ATATCAACGCGAATCGAAGCCGATCCAGGATGTCTACGCTCAGGTAACCCAGTTGTTCAATACTGCACCAGATTTGCTGGAAGACTTCAAACAGTTTCTTCCCGAATCTGCAGCACACGCCAAGCAGCAAGCAGCTGCTCGTCAAGCTGAAGAGGCGATTCCCATCAGCAATGTGCGAGGAGAACCCGGCTATCCAAGCGCGGGCGGCCTACCGTCACAGACACCTGGTCGGGATATGAAAATGCCGCCCTTGGGGCAGTTTAATGTCAAGGACTCTGCCAAGGAAGGAAAGAAACGCAGGGGTGGTCCTAGCGCTCCCTCGACGATGACCTCGTCGATTTCTGGACCCTCCGCGGGCGCTGAGGCCGCTAGGGTGGCTGATACCCAGGCTGGTCGCCCTTCAGCCCTACAGACCAGCAACGCTAACAAGGTGAGCGAAATCTAATTCCGCGCCATTCACACGCTTGATCGCTTCTGCATTTCACAACCCGTACCTGACTCCCCTCTGGCCCTTTACTTTGCATCGTCGCTGCCTTGAATATCCTTTGCACGTTGCGTCACCCTTCCTCTCGGCTTTTCCCTCTGTTACAAGCCATGCACCTGAATGTGACAACTCACAAAATATGCAGAGAGCGAAGGTGCACCATACCAAGCCATCCCAAGCAGAGGTTCCTGCTGTTTCGCCGACCCTCATACCCGCTCTTCCTGAGCCCATACAGCCCACCCAGACGATGACGCCCAGCCAAGAAGAGTTTGCCTTCTTCGATCGAGTCAAAAAGTACATTGGGAACAAGTCGATGTTCAACGAGTTCCTCAAACTGTGTAACTTATACTCTACCGACCTCATTGACAGGAATGTCCTGATCAAGAAAGCCGCTGGGTATATTGGGTCGAATCCGGAGCTTATGGCCTGGTTTAAGCGTTTCATGCATATTGATGAACCCGAAGACAAGGTCATTGAGACGAAGCCCAAACAGGAGTCTGGTGTTGTGAACCTGTCGCACTGCCGTTCCCTTGGACCCAGCTACCGTCTCCTTCCGAAGCGTGAGCGCCAGAAGCCCTGCAGTGGCCGCGACCAACTGTGCTACAGTGTTCTGAATGATGAATGGGCGTCCCATCCCACTTGGGAGTCTGAAGACTCTGGCTTCGTGGCCCACCGCAAGAATCAGTTTGAAGATGCCTTGCACCGTATTGAAGAGGACCGACATGACTATGACCACCATATCGAGGCTTGTACTCGCACAATTCAGCTCATTGAACCGATTGTTCAACAATTCCTGGTCATGAGCGAGGCGGAACGAGCGGCCTTCAAACTCCCACCAGGTCTTGGCGGACAGAGTGAAGCTATTTATCAGCGTGTGATCAAGAAAGTATACGACCGACAGCGCGGAGCGCGAATCATCCGTGAAATGTTCGAGAGACCGTGCCACGTCCTTCCGATTGTGCTCTTCCGCTTGAAGCAGAAATGCGAAGAGTGGAAAGCCAGTCAGGTAAGTTATATCAGACAACCTACGTTGAGAGATCTCCCACTAACATTTTGGCGCAGCGTGAGTGGGATAAAGTCTGGCGGGAGCAAACGCAGAAAGCGTACTGGCGCAGTCTGGATCATCAAGCGATTGCCAGCAAAGCGACCGACAAGAAACTATTCGTGGCAAAGCATATCCAGAATGAGATTCAGAGCAAGTTTGAGGACGCCAGGGGGTTACGCAAGAGCGGATTCCAGATTCCCAGACATCAGTTCGAATTTGCCTTTGATGACCCGGCTGTCATTATCGACGCCACTCAGCTGCTGTTACTTTTCATTGACCGGAACTCTGCTGGATTCGGAGCCGATCCCTCAAAGGTCATGGCATTCATCAAAGACTTTGTGCCGATCTTCTATGGCATGGATCGAGACACTTTCCACATGTACATGAATGAGATCTCGAGTGACACTCCGTCCGGGGAAGACGGTGATGACGAAAGCTTGGCCGCTGAAGACGTCTCGACCTGGCGCAATCGGAGAGGCGTGAATGGAAAGAAGATGGATCTCCTCCGCGATGTCCTCGAGCGGCGCAGTGAAAAGGCCAATCGGTCGGACAAGGACCGCAGTACCCCGCCAGCCGTGATGGCACCCCGGATGCTGTTCTGGTCCCATCAACTCCCGTCCCCGAACCTGCTGAGGCATTTGACGTTGCGGAATTGAAGTGGATGGAACATCCTGGGCAAGGGAACTTCAATCTGCAGCGAGAATACGCGCTGAATGAATCCTACGTCAAGAAGGTTCATCATTTGTATGCCAATCTGAACATCTACTGCTTCTTCCGCACTTTCGAGATTCTGTATTCACGACTCTTGCGGATCAAGATGCACGAGAAGGACGCTCATGAGCATGTGCGCCGGGCGCTGATCCCCAAACCCGCCCGTGACCTCGGTCTCATTGACAAGCTTCCAACCGACTTCTTCTACGATTGCGACCCGAAGGCCAGTCTGTACCAACAGATTGTCCGCATGTGCGAGGAGGTCATCAAGGGCGACATGGATGCCTCGCACTTGGAGGAGACACTCCGCCGCTACTACTTGCGAAGCGGGTACCAGCTATACAATCTGGAAAAGATGTTTGCCGGAATCGCCAAGTTTGCTGGCTCCATCTTCAATGGCGACTCCAAGGATCGCAGTGCCGACATCATCAATCTCTTCTTCAAGGAGCGGGATCGGGAGGAGACGACACATAACCAGGAGATCCAGTACCGCAAGCAGGTTGAGAGGCTCGTCAAGGACGGCGATATCTATCGTATTACCTATGTAAGTGCTCCCTCGGTTGGTCCATCATTGCAGGTCCGAAGCTGACTGGACACTTTAGAACCCTCAAACTAAAAAGACCACCGTGCAACTGCTCACCCCAGAGGACGCAACCTTGGAGAATGAAGAGCTGAGCCGGGAAGCGCGCTGGTCGTACTACGTCTCTGCCTACACAATGCGTGATCCTACGGAAGGTGTTCCATTTTCGCAGATGCGCATGCCCTTCCTGAAGCGGAACCTGCCGCCCAAGCTTGAGCAAGAAGAGGAGTACAATCGCTACTATCGGCCGCTGGTCCATCAGGATGGCCTTATCATCCGGATCTGTGCCAACAGCTATCATATCCTATACGAACCTGGGAGCTGCGATTGGTGGTGGCGTCCCAAGGCTCCCTCAGAGGAGTCACCTGAAGACATCGCCAAGGAGGAGGCCGCTGTCAAGGAAAGACGACGCGATCGGTTCATGGAGAAGTTTGTCAACAACCCGAGCTGGGCGCAGGGGCTCAGCAAGGACCAAGTCGACGAGTCCAACCAACGGTTCCGCTCCTGGATCAAGGGCCCTGAACCTGAAACGGAGAAGGAGAAGGCCCCGGCGGGCGCGACGGAAGAGGCCGACTCCGAGAAGAAGGCTGAGAAGGAAGATGCCGAGATGCCTGACGCAGAATCCACAGCGCCCGAGTCCAAGGAGCAATGACCCAATCAATCAGCGCGGAAGGCGGATTCAAGCTGGCCAATTGTCCAGACTCCATCTATGATTTAATTTTGATGCTTTCTTCTCAACGCTTCGGTTGTTGTTGTTACATATTCTCATTTCACGATCACAGCAGTGCCGTTTCTACAAACTGTATGGTTAGCGAACAGACTGAACGGTTGCACAAGTGGGGGTTTTTTTTCTGTTTATCGTCGGGTCTTGTCTGGCGAGGCTTAACAGCTCAATGGCGAGATCCCGACTGGGATTGGTGTAGAGGGTCCTGGGATGGATGAAATATGATTGGTCTATCTATTTATTTATACTTGTACTTTAGGGAATCGGCATATCTGCCTAGCTTTTATGATTTGACAATGATTGATCTTGACGCATTTGCGATTTGTGTGCTTGCGGGGAATATATATCTACCTATACAAGGGTATAGACACCCTGATCATTTCTCGGCCCACCACAGTCCGGTCACGGAAATCCGGAGTGAGTCTGCAGTTGAGACAACTTTGGTCCTGATGGGTACCTGAAAATCTCTGGTCTGTCATCTGCGAGTGGAATAACCGAACACTGCCTTCAGGAGAACTCTTTCACTGAAAGGAAGCGTCGAAAGCTCCGTGTGGCCGAACATCCATAGCCGATACAGCCCGAGACTTGGCCGATGGGCGAGACCCGGACAAGGCTCGGAGTTGGCAGCTCCAGCATCAATCCGAGACAGTCAATAAGCTCAAGCATGGTCAGTTGGGAGGGTTACTTTATACTCGATTCGGAATCTGTTGATATATAATAGTTGATCTGAAATATCTCAGCATATCAGTCTTATCGTAGAAATCGCAGATGTTGCGTGGAAGAAGAGAGGAAACAACAAAAACGAGAAAAGGCCGAGAGTTTGCCGCGTGACGTCAGTATGAAAGATGCACCGGAAAAGAACAAACGAACATTTTGAGGCATTGGAGGGGATCTGGAGGGGAATCAAGAAAAGAGAAGAGAATCTGGGGTTGAGAAGGGAGAAGGTATCCCAGTCATGCCTAATTGAACGCTCTCTTTGCCTTGTTCTCTGGGGAAAATGTTGAGATCCAATGCTGTTGATCATGCTTGTACTCCGTAGTTCCTTAGTATAGGAGTCCATTCACCACTTTACCCAGCTAGCCTCAAGATAGTCTGGGACCATGACTATTAGTATTACTACTCCTGTTGCATAGAAAACCTCTACTTTCCTCCCCCGTAACCCGGACAGGAGGATTTCTCCACCTTGGGCAATCAATCACGCTGCCCGTGGGGAGTTCGTTTCCGCGGCGTACTTATTTCTATTCTTCGTTTCCTCCCCTCTCGTCATCCCATCCGCCTCTTCCTTCTTTTGTTTCCCCTTCTCTTCCCCCTCTGACAGCTCCTCTCCACTCTTTGCGCTCACTTTAAACCGCCCACCACACAATGGCTGCGTCCGCACTTTTGAAAAGCCGTGTGAGACGGCCTTCCTACCTCAAGAAGTTGGCCAAGGCTGAAGATCTCATCGATCTCTTCCCCCATGGATCATACATCGGCTGGTCCGGATTCACGGGTGTTGGCTACCCCAAGTAAGTTGACCTGTGGCATAGACATCAAGTATCGCAGCTGACGCATGATCGCTCTGCTCAGGAAAGTGCCTACTGCTCTCGCTGATCACGTCGAGAAGAACAACCTGCAGGGAAAGCTACAGTACACCTTGTTCGTTGGTGCCTCCTCCGGTGCCGAGACAGAGAACCGGTGGGCGCGACTGAACATGATTGAGCGGCGGAGTCCTCATCAGGTTGGCAAGGAGATTGCCAAGGGTATCAATAATGGCGAGATCAAGTTCTTTGATAAGCATCTGAGCATGTTTCCTTCGGACCTTGTCTATGTGAGAAGCCCCAAGACGGTAAAAGCCAGAGCGGTGCTAATTGTGACAGGGCTGGTACACGCTGAACAAGCCCAAGAACAGGCTCGACGTTGCTGTGATTGAGGCGTCGGCCATCACTGAGGATGGAGGCATCATTCCCGGTGCTTCCGTCGGTGCGTCCCCGGAACTGATCCAGATGGCCGACAAAATCGTCATTGAGGTCAACACGGCCAGTCCGTCGTTCGAGGGTCTGCACGATATCACCATGTCGGACGTTCCTCCTCGCCGGAAGCCGTACCTGATCATGCAGCCCGAGGACCGCATTGGAACCCCCACATCCCCGTCGACCCGGAGAAGGTCGTCGCCATTGTCGAGTCAGACTACCCGGATCAGACGCTGCCCAACGCTCCCGAGGACGCAACCTCACAGGCCATTGCCGGTAACCTGATCGAGTTCCTGAAGCACGAGGTCAAGCATGGCCGTCTGCCCCAGAACCTGCTCCCCATCCAGTCCGGTATTGGAAACATCGCCAATGCGGTCATTGGTGGCCTGAGCAAGGGCGGTGCCGACTTCACCAACCTGAAGGTTTGGACTGAGGTGCTGCAGGATTCCTTCCTGGATCTGTTTGACTCTGGAAACTTGGACTTTGCCACTGCCACCTCCATTCGGTTCTCCCCCGATGGATTCAAGCGGTTCTACGATAACTGGGAGCGCTATGCCGGCAAGCTGTTGCTGCGTTCTCAGCAGGTGTCCAACTCGCCCGAGATCATCCGCCGTATCGGATGCATCGGCATGAACACTCCCGTCGAGGTAGATATCTATGCCCATGCCAACAGCACCTGTGTCATGGGCTCTCGGATGCTGAATGGTCTGGGAGGATCTGCCGACTTCCTCCGCAACTCCAAGTACAGTATCATGCACACCCCCAGTACCCGTCCCAGCAAGATCGATCCTACCGGTGTCAGCTGCATTGTGCCTTTCTGCACTCACATTGATCAGACCGAGCACGATCTGGATGTTGTTGTGACTGAACAGGTAAGCTATTTTTTTTTTTTTTTTTTTTAAAAAAAACCGTCTATTGAACTCTATTTGACATTATCCAGGGTCTCGCCGACGTGCGTGGTCTGTCTCCTCGCGAACGTGCTCGTGTCATCATTAAGCAGTGCGCCCACCCCGACTACCAGCCCATTCTTACGGACTACATGGACCGGGCTGAATACGAGTGCCTGAAGAAGGGCATGGGTCACGAGCCCCATCTGCTCTTCCAGGCCTTCAAGATGCACCAGAATTTGCAGGAGAAGGGAACCATGAAGATCAGTGGCTGGGACTGATGCATTTGCCGACAGAACTAATTTACCATAAAATATATACACCATTATCATTAGATATGGCGTCACTGATGTCATTGAGGGAACTGGGTCATCTTGGGTTACGGAGTCTTGTTACTTGTATCATTTCTGTCTAGCGGTTAACTGTTCTTGTAGTGACCAACAATCAATTTTCTTCTACATGAATACGTTCTCTGTGCAGTCAGTCGGAGATAGGCAAGGGCAGGCGGAAATAATCATATTCAGCGCTACGGGAGTGAGATCGAGCATCCCTGCTGATTCAACATCATGCTTGGTAAGCAGTAAGGGTATCTTTGTCATGTTATAGAGTACGGAGTTACATAAAGCCATCATCATCAGCGATGGCCGTGCTGAATCTCAAGCAGACAGATCTCTCCAATTCACTCTCGGTCCAAGATAGCCAGCCCTACTTCCCACCTACATCAACAGTCCTAGTATCTACAAGATAATCTTCACCATGACAACCCCAACTCCAAACCTCGTCTCCATCAACAAGCTCTCCGGCACCCGCGTCCTCATCATCGGCGGCACCTCCGGCCTGGGGTTCGCCGTCGCCCGCGCCGCCCTCGAACACGGCGCCAGCGTCCTCGTCGCCAGCTCCCGCCCCGAAAAAGTCCAGTCCGCGCTCTCCCGCCTGCGCACCTTCTACCCAGACGAGCAATTCACGAGCAGAATAGCCGGCACAACAGTCGACCTAGGGGATGAGTCCACCCTCGAGGCGAACGTCCTCACTCTGCTGGATAAAGCAACGCAGCCTGATCTCTTCCCGTCTACAGCGGACACCTCCGGGAAAAGCGAAAAGGTCCTCCTAGACCACATCGTCTTCACAGCCGGCGACGCCCTCAAAATCCTCCCGCCGACAGACCCAACCCTCGACCCCGCATACATCCGCGCCCTCACCACCGTCCGGGTCCTGGGCGGCCTGATGCTCGCGAAGCACGTCCCGAGCTACATGGCGCAATCTGCGCGGTCGTCACTGACGCTAACGAGCGGGGCGGTGGCGGTGCGGCCGCCGCCGGGGTACAGTGTGGGAGCGATGCTTGGGAATGCGATCATCGGGCTTGGGCGCGGGTTAGCGGTTGATCTTGCGCCGGTGAGGGTGAATGTTGTTGCGCCGGGGGCGGTGCGGACGGAGCTGTTTGGGGGTTTGCCTGAGGAGGTGATTGAGGGGTTGAAGGGGAGGACGTTGACGGGGAATTGGGCCGGCCGGAGGATGTGGCGGAGGGGTATTTGGGGTTATGAAGGATGGGTTTGTGACAGGGGTGGTGGTGCAGTCGGATGGGGGATGAGCATCAAGGCTTGAGCTTGATTGAATGTTATTGCTTGTTTTTAATGTGGATGTAAGTAAGGAAAGACGGTAATGAATAGCTTGATGCTGATGCTAATATGCTGACGCTGACGCTGTACTGTACTAACGCTAAACTGATATCATAACATGACATAACTATAACAAAGACAAGCATCCCAGCTTATGAATCCGTCGGGGGACGATATGCTCCTCCCGTAAACCTGACCAGTTAGTCGTTGCATACTAAGGAACAAGAACAAAGGTCGAAGAAAGAAGGACATACCGACTCCACAGGAAACTAAACAGCCCCCTTGATTGATCCTGGCTGCGCTTGGCCCAGCCATGGTCGACATTATAGTGCTTCACATCTTGAAGGCCGGCAAAGAGCCCTCGTCCAGCCGTTGGGTGCTGCCCAGTCATCTGTTAGTCCCATGCCAAAGAGCAGATCTGAGTGACAGTGGAGTACATACGCGACGTTCCGCGCCAGAGCGAACCCAGAGATCAGCTCCATAGTCATTTTGGAGACGAGAGGATGAGGATTCGGTCATTTTGTCACGATGACTGCTTTGACTTTGGTTGATATGTGTATGCGCTGCTTGCTGCTTTCGCTGCGTAATTTCAATGCTTTTTCGCGTTTGCTTGATTGATCAAGATGCTGACGATATAACATCCAGCTTCACCCACCCACCTCACCACCCTCTTTATATCTCTGAGGCATCTCAGCTCCAAAGGAAAGCGGATTGAACCATATCAAAGGCAATCGCGCTTCCGAATCACCTTACCTGACGCCGGCATCGAGATATGGACGATACCCACATGTTCGTGATGATTCTGTAGGGTAAACACGGAGGCTGAAAAGCATCATCCAACCAAATTACGGAAATCATCCAGAATTCAATTGACGACGGCATGATAGGATGGCGTGGTCCAGGATCGTGGCGCGGTGAAATGCGGTGGTGTGGTCGCCGTATAGGCGGTGGCATGATCTTTAGACCAGGGATGTTCCAGCTTCCAGGTCTTGCTATGTTCTCCGTGAGCTGGCCTGTGGAAGCCATGAGTCTGCTTGTACAATTTTCTGGGATTCCTTTTTTTTTTGAATAATCTCATTAGGTGAGATTCTGGTTGGTTTGTGAGGTATATTCTGCTGTCATGCGACAGGAGAGCTGATGCTGTTGATGCTGAGTATGTGGATTGAGCAGTGTAGATACGATTCGAGTGAGAAACTCTCGGAGATTTACGGGATAGGCTCTCCTCTACTACGTAGTCAACACCAAGTCGGAAATGAGAGCACTGTAAGAAGAGTCCAGCTCCGTTTCAATCAGACATTGGACTTTGGCCTTCTTGCAAGAAATCGTGTTGTTTTCCATCGCAGCCCCGGCCCTTGGGGTCCCGACGCTTTCCCTTTTCGGGCCTTGCTCGACAATAGCCCTAAGTTAGCCTAACAGCTGCAGTAGCTGCATTCCAGCGGCTCCATCATGAGTCCAAAGGAGTGAGGCAAATAAAGCTGAGTATGGCTGGCCGCCCAGTAGACTTCAACTTCAGGTTAAATTCCTCTGCAAACCACCCCCAGAGCGCAAAGATGATAATAAGAGCTCGACCCGGCGGAAAATGGCTTCTATGGGGAACAACTTCAAAAGGTACGGACGGCCGCTTGAACTCTTTGACCAGAACAGCGACTGAGTTTTCCAGATGGACGTAGCTCCTTGATCTTCCCGGTCGGAGGTTTCTGGGCTTCTCGGCAGGTTCAGCTTGAGATTTATCAGCATCTCTTCCCGTTGCATGCCAGCAAGATAGTTCACCACTCCCATTTTTCCGGGTGAAGATACCAGTCTGTCTCTTTAGTCCAAACTCGACGTAACGAGCCTTTGACCATTCAGGTTTACTGAAAATTGGCCATCCCCTTCGGAAACCCGAAATGCGACTGTAATCCGTTAGTATATATTTCCAGCACATTACATAGCATGTCATGCCTGACGTACAGCTTGCCTGTGGACTGATCAAAGATGAGCTTCGACATTCTGGACTGACCTGGTTCTACGCCGCAACTAAGTAATTGTCTTTTCATTATGTTAATATCCTGTCGTCTAGCTGTCTACGTACCAGGATTTGCATAGACTTGCATAGACTTACTTATAGGCGGCACGGAACTTAGAACGAATGTCATTGCGTCCGGCGTCCTCCAAGTCCCAGAAGAACTCCTCTGTCATTGGCTCACCAGGGACCTTTTCCCACACAAGGTATCTAACGTAGCCGCCAGGAAGAAGTTCGTGCTCTTCTTGTATTCTTTCTGCGTAGCCAAGGAAGCGAGGAGCAGCGCTACAGTCTCCACTCTGCAATAGTTTGAAGCACTCCAGCTCTCACACACGCCAGGGGGAACGGCCTGTCTAGCCAGTGTGTCGTTATCAGCGTCCTCCGTTCCAGTGATAGGAATCTGTTGGCAGATTCGCATGAACGCTATCTGCTTCGGGTCCTCTGCAAGGTGGCACAGGAATTTGCCAACAGTCATAGAAGACCCGCGGCCCATTCTGACATCGTGATCTGTCAAAGGGCTTGCCCTCTCCGAGAGTTTCTCTGTGATGACCCACTTCCGGGAGGTAGGTTCTGGTGACATGCCGTCTGAGACAAGGTCATATGTGGTGACCGTAGTGCCTACTAGGCCGCGGAGCAATCGAGTATCGAAGCAGGTCGTTCTGGTACGAGGAGCCATGATCGTGAGGGAGAATGGAAGAAACGAAATCATGATATTCGAACTATCTACTGTGAGAGAGAGACAGAGAGAGAGAGAGAAACTATCTACAGAGGTGGGTGGCCCGCTAAGCCTCATCTAGCGGCGTAGGAGAGATAGTAGCTCTCACAATGATGAAAGCTGTGAATGGGAGGGTTTGAAAAAGCAAGGTAGCCTGAAACCATGGGTATTCAACTTGGGGGAAGAAAGAGCCACGCATAATTACATATGATTAGACAGATGGTCATGTGACCAGTGCCATCATTGTCTGCTCAGACAGCTTGGTTTAAGTAAAGCATTGTACCGGCCACTCTGGCTCTGCTGGATCTTACCTTCTATCCCCAGACATACTGCTTCTTCCTCCCTAGATAGCGTCCAGTTAGCTGCTCAATGCCATATCATCCTTTTAGCTCTCTGTTTTGTCTGCCTTGCATCGTATGTGTTGACGTCTTCCATCATCAACATCCAAGATTCCAAGTACCTTGACGACTGAGCACAGTTCAGACTTCCTGATAATATCGATACTCGGTGTTGTTTATAACCACCATGCTCGTTGCTCTGCAGTTTTCGGTGGATCTTCTATCTGAGTACTGCCTGTGTATGTGAAGGGGCCTATTGACGTTTACACATGCAGATAAGTTGTGACATATCGATCTATGAGCCGCAGTATTAGAATCATTTTATCAGAGTGCGTGGAAATGTGCTAGTTGATCGGACGCGCACAAAGTAGTTGAATTTGATGGTTTCACCATATAGGATCCGATCCATATGTCATTCAGGTACTGCTCATGGACGGGGAATGTCCGTCAAGACTCAAGACTCGATTTCGCCCTCCACTCCACAAATGAGGTGTTCTTCCAAGTCAGACCTTACCAGTCGCGGCCCAATGAATGTTCAAATTGTAAACTGATGATATGATATCCTCAATTCTTGAGCAAAACCATTGGGCTTAAGATGGGAAGATGTAAAAATAAAAAAATGACCAGTGCCGGGCTCGATCCGGCGACCTTATCGGTGTTAACGATACGTGATAACCAACTACACCAACCGGCCATTATTAAGGATATTTCCGCTTTTTGGTTACATAACCCGAATCAATTCTGAGCATGCTATCGGGCTGTGCGGCAGCCCCTGATCGTAGGTTGCTCCTCTTGCCTTTACACACAAGCCATCGGTATTTAAGGAGGATACATTACTATCATTATCTTCGCATCATTTCTGAGGCGAAAGGTTCGTGAATATATCGTGTATAATCATTTCTGTTATAAAGGAGTAACATATGCATATATTCTCATCACATCAACATATTGTCCGCGGTTGGTCGATGGTCGATTACCACTGCAAGTTTCTCTTCACAATAGCCGAAACTCAGGAGCCATCAACAAATATTGACAGTTTGACACCACCCCTGAGTTCACGACGTAGTGAAATGCCTATTCAGGACTGGCGTTCTGACCCATAAAGGCTCTATTGAAACCTTGTCTTAGACAACGGCCCTAAGCCCGCTAGTGGACGGTATTGTGACCTTTGTCTCATATGCAGAGAATGTGATTCGTACTTGGTAGATAAATTTGAGTAACAGTTCCGAATAGCAACGTGCTATAGTCTGCTGGCTCTTTGAGCGAGCCACTGTTAAAAAGTGCACGGTCAAACGATAGTGACAAGTGCTATCACCCCCTGAGCAGTGAGCGCTTGAGCAGGCTGGTTCGTCGAGCCTTCAGGGGTAGCCGAAAGGAATTATTGGTAGGCGTTGGATTTCTGGGGATGTCACCCCGCAGTCTCCAGAACCGTTCTGTCAACTTATGGATTATGATAGGTTAAGAGGCATGAAAGCTGTAGCTACTGTATTCGGTTGGTGCCGCTGCCGAGCCAGTGCAGCTGGAATGCTGAATTTCGGATCAGGGGTTGTACTGGAGAGAACGAGGACTGAACGTGCCTATGTTCTTGATATGAGATACTATCTCTTCTTCTCAAATGGTAGCTGACCGTGCGCGTCACAACCCGGATAACATTCACTGGTTACCTATATTCCACAATTGGCGCCTAGCGAACGAGGGTGTATGACTTCTGAGATGGCAATCCTCGTCTCGGTTGCCGGCTTCAGCCCGAGCCAGCTTTGGACCTGACACGCCAGCAGTCCATCACACACAATCTGAGATTTTGCTACGGAACTAATCCCTGGGTATGAAGACTATCGGGTACTGACCCGAGTCTGGACATAGTCAGCTCAAATGTCTCGTTAAAAGCGGAAAGTACCCGGCGACTATGAGGATAGTGTATATCTTCCAAATGTCGAGATCATCAGAGATAGTAAGTAAGACAACTCAGAGAGACAACAGGCTAATAAGATGCAGATTGACTGGACGACCAAATGGCGACCACGTTGGAGACTCGACGTGGAGCCATTTGGTTGATAAATGCAGGAGTTCGTCCCATTGCCAAATCGACAATGCATATCCGAGGCTGGCCGATGCTCAGGTAACGCTGTCGAACCGTTGAATTGAAAGCTCTACGTTGGGCAACTGGTCATCGCTGGTCAAGAAGCCATTAGCCTGAGGAGCTATTGCAATGGTATCCAAAGATAGCCTCATTGCTCAATTAGCCGCAAATCCAGTTCATAAGGCATCTATCATAATCCAGACTTCTGATCCCCAGGATAGTCCTACGCACTAGATGCAGAGTTTCATCTATTCATGGTGCAGTTAATAATAACAACAGAGGTTGGTAAAAGCGGTGGCTGAGGGAACTATCTATCCATCAGCACAAAAATAAATCCACACAAAAATGAGCAATCCCGACTTAAATTGGGGGTGGAACGTCCGGAAATTAAAGCTCACAGCAACCGCCAATTAAACTCAAGAATGCAGGATCACAGATGAGCTATTATGCCTATCTGGGCCTAGTTCTGCATGGTAGCGAGTCAAATCCCCACATGGCGGCATTAGCGAGATGAGTGCCTTGCTGTGTCTTGCCGCTGGAACCAGGTTGCCTGAAGATGAACAACTCTCAGTTCCTCTCTCCTAGGAGTTCAAAGTCAAAATCAGATGCGACAAGATGAAGTCACCAGACAGTCAGCCAGTTATGTAAGGTGAGCTGGCGGGCCTAAAAAGAATGCAATAACAGACAGATTGCCAAGTCAGCATGAACTACCAACAAAATGACAATAATACGGACTACAGTGACTGGACGCAGTGGACGGGGGCTGAAACAATAATCATAACTTTAGTACCACCAAGCACGAGTCTCCTGAACGGACCAGCCACTGCGATCTATCTTTATTGCTTCAAAGTCCAAAGACCGCCATCGAACACTGGAGAAATGTTCTAGATGAAAGGATCTTCAATTGCATAGGGCATAGTAGATGGAGACGCATGAATACTTGGATCTTGTTCAAGTGAAAAATCAGAAGAATAATAATGAATGACACGGCGAAAGTCCCTCTTTTTTCGACCTATGGCCTCTGGCTGACCCTCTGATGTCTGATTATCGTAAGGATCAGCCTGGCCTAAGCCGAAACTTGACAATGAGACAAAGGATGATTAGCCAGCGTCGACTCTAATTTTCTTGCTGTTGTCAATGTTTTGTGCTCCTCCCCCCACCCCTGACAAACTATCCAAGCCGTGCGGACTACCACTGGTCAACTCCCTCTGGCACACCCTGCAACGCCCCCTCCTATAGTTACCAATCAGCATGATGGGGTGCCTGACTATGCTCAAGATAGTCTAACAGATCAGATTAGTGCCTTACACCGCTGCTGCTGCTGCAGTAGTGCGCTAAGGTACGCTAATTTCCTTGGACTTGCCCCTTTTGGGTGCTGGTCCCGGGTCCAGAACTAACGAACAAACGTAGTAGTATCTCTCTCTCTCTCTCTCTGTGTGTGTCTGTCAGTCTCCAGGGGGTCCCCCCGGCCACGATCCCATCAAGTGGGCTTTGGCTTTTCTACCACCCGCTGGCCGCCCCGACTCGCCTCTTTTCTCCCTCTCTTTTCCTTCTTCCTTCTCTTCTTCTTCTCTCCTTTCAATCCCGAACTTCCTCAAGTCTCTTCCACCTCAAGAAACCAAAAGAGGCCACCGCGCCCCTCCTTTACAAGCGTTCTATTCACTACCGCTTCACTCGTTCAGCGGGCATTCCTTGAAATTTGCAATATCTTTACCTTCTTATTCACCATGAGGGGTGCTATTCTGGCCACCGCGGCCGCTCTTGCGGGTACCGCCATGGCCGATGTCGCGCACATGCGTCGTCACGGCCACGATTCTTTCCACCAGCGTCGTGCTCCTGTCGCCGAAGCTGATGCTACCTGCGGTTGCACCACCGAGATCGTCACTGTCTGGGGTCCCCCTACCCGTAAGTATCCTGGAGTTGCGACCGAATCTGACCGAGCTGGTGTTTGATATGACTCGATGCTTGGTTGATCATATCGAAAGAATTACAGCGCTTACAGAGAGCCACTGCTAACGTCAATTAGTGATCCCCGTTGCGACTCCCAGTCCCAGCACCGTCACTTCCGAGGCTGTCACCACTTTGCACTCGACCAGCACCAGCACCGTGACTATTGTTGCCACTCCCTCCGCTGCGGCGACCAGCTCGAGCCCTGCTACCCCTATTGTCCCTCTGCCCACTCCCGCCATCACCAACTTCCCCTCAACTGGTGTCTACACCATTCCCGCCACCACTGTGACCGTCTTCGACACAACCACCGTGTGCGGAGCTACCACCACCGAGCTGCCCGCTGGTACTCACACCTACGGTGGTGTCACCACTGTGGTTGAGACCGCGACCACCGTCGTCTGCCCCTACGCCACCGTTGAGCCCTCTGGCACCACTGTGACCAGCGTGATCAAGACCACCACCTACGTCTGCCCCACTCCTGGCACCTACACCATTGCTCCCACCACCACCACCGTCCCTACCAGCACCGTCGTTGTCTACCCCACTCCCGCCATCATCACTCCTGGTACCTACACTCAGCCTGAGCAGACTGTGACCGTCACCCGTACCGACTACACCTATGTCTGCCCCTTCACCGGCCAGAACGAGCCCACCTCTGCTCCTGCTGCCCCTAGCACTACTGCCGTTCCTGCCACCACCACCGCCGTGCCTTCCACCAGCGTTGCTGCCCCCTCCAGCTCCAGCACCGCTCCTGCTTCCACCGGTGCCGTCAGCGGCCAGATGGGTATGACCTACACTCCTTACACCAAGGGTGGTGAGTGCAAGGACAAGTCCTCCGTCCTCTCCGAGGTCGCCAACCTCAAGTCCAAGGGTTTCACCCACGTCCGTGTCTACTCGACCGACTGCAACAGCTTGGAGTACATTGGTGAGGCCGCCCGGACTTCTGGTCTCCAGATGATCATTGGTGTCTTCATCAGCAGCACTGGTGTCTCCGGTGCTCAGGACCAGGTTACCGCTATCTCCAAGTGGGCCCAGTGGGACCTCGTCAGCCTGGTCGTCGTCGGTAACGAGGCTATCCAGAACGGCTACTGCGATGCTTCCACTCTTGCTGGCTTCATCTCCTCTGCCAAGTCCGCCTTCCAGTCGGCCGGCTACACTGGCAAGGTCACCACCACCGAGCCCATCAACGTCTGGCAGTCCTACGGCTCCACCCTGTGCGGTGTTTGCGACATCGTCGGTGCCAACATCCACCCCTTCTTCAATGCCGAGGTCTCCGCCGACCAGGCCGGCAAGTTCGTTGCTCAGGAGATCAAGGTCCTTGAGGGCATCTGCCCTGGCAAGGATGTTCTCAACCTGGAGACCGGCTGGCCTCACTCTGGTAACGCTAACGGCAAGGCCGTCCCCGGTGCCTCCGAGCAGGCTATCGCCATCAAGTCCATTGCCGAGGAAGTCGGCTCCAAGTCCGTCTTCTTCTCCTACTTTGATGACCTCTGGAAGGAGCCCGGCCAGTTCGATGTCGAGCGTTACTGGGGTTGCATCGACACCTTCAACTAAGCGCGGGTTGAGCTTGCGTTCTGAGAGAATCTAGGGAGGTTTGGAGTTATTCTCAATTTTCTGTCGGCCCAGGATATATCCTTTCATTTTTTTTGTGTGTTCAAACGACAGTTTCCACCTTATACCATTCTCAATGTACCTCCAAGTTCCCCATAGTAGATATAACTTTTTATTTCATGTCTATCCCCTGAGCCAATCGACTGTTTCTTTGTGTATTGTTCTTGTATATGCAATTCATACTCATTGTAACTGTTCTTTTTCCAACTTCGCAACTGTAGCCGCGATTCAGCCATATCCATGCGAATGACTGTTTTAGATCTAGCGATCACTTCGAAGCGGGGAAAGAATGCGACCTTAAGACTAGTGCCCATTCCTCTATCTTATCATCTGCCGTACTCCGCACGTAAACAAAAAGCAACAAGCAGGTTGACACTGCATTACCAACAAGATTAAATCTACAAGTACAAGAAGTAGGAACCCCATATCCGCCGCCCGGCCATCACTGCTCAACTCAAAACAATCCCCATCCAGGTATCCATCCTCTAAACAGCGATCGACTGGCACTGACGAACAGACTTCTCCCTCGGCCCTTAGCTGCTTATCTTCCGATCACATTCAGTTCTTGGTTCTGCGAGATGAAAGAGGAAGAGGAAGAGGACGAGGAGGCTGCTGGCAAACAGGTTGCTAGTTCCGGTCCATTAGCTTTTCATTCTGGTGATGCCAACGACACGAGGGGAAAGTAAGAGGGGATTTTGGAACTTTGGACTGGACTTACCGCGCCCGGGGCACAGACGAGAGGGACACAGCAGTCGTAGGCGTTTACGGTCGCGTTGCCGCAGGGGAAGCCGACCTATTTGGGTTAGTTATTCCGTGTGCATTAATCCAAGCTGGTTGTCGAGTAGGAGAGGATGAGATTGAGGATGAGAATGAGCCGGGGGTGGGTCGGGGGAAGGGAAGAGGGACGTATGTGAGAGAGAGAGGTAGGTAGACTTACGCCAGAGCAGGACTTCTCGGCGGAAGGCAGCGCCACGGCGGCGGACAGGAGGAGGGTGAGCGAGAGGAAACGCATTTTGGATTTCTGAGAAGAGTTTGAAGTATACTGAAGCGAAGTCGATGATAGGTACGGTACGTGAGTTCTCGGTAAAGTGGATGATCGTGGTGGTTGTGGTGGTGGTGGTTGTGGAATCTGTGTTGCGTGACTTGTCAGATTGGTATATCCCTTGATAGGTAGCTTTTACCAACGGCGGGTTGTGATTAAGGTAGATCATCTTCTGCGCCCCTTGTAAGGTAAAGACTAAGTGCTACCTAGCAGGCTGGGTGTGGCTGCTGGCTGCTTGCAAGGTGTGAAGGGGCAGGAAGGAAGGGAGTATATTCATGACGGGGTCAACGTACGTACCTGAACTGAATGAACACGAGTCTACAGAACACTCTACAGCAGTCAACTGTCCAGAAGAAGTAGAACTCAAAAACAGAAGAACGTGGGAGGCTGAGGTAGCAGCAGGTTATGTACCTCCCTGACACATCTTGAGCAAGAGCCTAGTGAAAATCAGGAGGCCGGGTTGGTGCGACAATGAGCCTGCGTACGGGACCTTCCTTACTCCATAGAGAAGGAAGCCCTGGGCTGTCTCTGACTGTGACTCTCACCCCTGTGCTCTGTATTTTTGGAAGCGATGCAGCAACCTGAAACACAATCAGCGGGATCGGCTGTTACGATGTTGATCAGTGATCAGCGATCTGCAGGACGGTGTCCGTACACCTTGTTATTGGACGTTGGGGCGCTGGCTGTGGGTATTGTATGCTATCTGTGAGCTGTCGATGACATGAGATGGATACTAGGTTCTCCATACCAAGAACGAATGGCAGGAGTAGTCTATGTCCAGGGGAAATCATGTACTCTGGAGGTTGGTTTGATATTATTGCATGGCTGGTGGTATACCCTACCTTGCTCGTATGCATCAAGTAGACTACGCTGTTCATATCTGGATGGCAATAGGCCACATCATATGCTCGAGCAGGATTCTGAGGACTGATGAATACTCCTCGTGGATCCACTCTGTTGCCTAGACTAGTTGGCTATTACCTACAGCATGCTTGCTCTGATGCAGGCACAATGACGGCAGGGATAGTAGCTCGATGTACTAAGGAGAATCTGACTCCTATGTACAAGATCATAGGCAGTCTTGAACGTGCTGTATTGCGAATGCCTGACTCTTTGTACATCGGTTTAGCTGAGCATCTTCGTATAAGAGTCACCAGACGGTCAGAAGAGAGTCATTGAGCGCGTACTCAGGACGTCCCAGCATGTCCATGATGACATCATAACTGGCACATGTACTGACCAAGGACTATTCACCTACACTACGTATAGCTCCAAGAGAATAGTGTACTGACAATTCCCAATTAGCATTGCACATCCCTAATACCTGCCTAGCAAACATCTCAAAGACATCCAGGTTTATGACTTGTTCAATGGTTCAAACACAGTAATCAAGAAGAATCATGCGCAATGTTCAAACGCCCAGTGAAGCCCGCTAATTGACTGTACAGCATTGCCATGCGCCGGATATCAAGCACCAGCGATGGATGAGGGAAAGTAAAGATTGATGGCAACAAAATGCTCGCAAGAGATATAGAATGACGGTAGAGCTCATCCTCTACTGAGAGTCTTAAGGATGGCTCGTGGTACATGGATAATCAATGACTGATAGGATGCAATGTTTGTTCGAGTTCCATAAGGGTCGTTCAAACAAGTGTTCGGCTGCCAGAGCAGAAAAAGGGAAACCCCACAACATAGCTGTATCGATGCGCGCTAAACGCTGTAACCCTTGACAGAACCTCAGGCGGCAGTCAGGGTCGAAGAAATGTGTATGTAGAATTCCGCATTATGTATTAATCCCATAGTGATATGGGGCATATAGACATTTGAGAATCGACCGATGGATAAGGCTTGTCGTGAATACTGATCGTCATGCTTTCTTAGAAAATAGTAAACCGTTTAGATTTGCCAGACTTTCCGGCATCTGTTCCATGGATTAGCTCGAGGTCGCACGAAGGGTCGTTGAACGCACCTAGAGACTTCTGATTCTCTTTTTGCCCTTCTTTTCCATTCTGCGCAGGGCTCCTGCCCTCGGCGGCAGCTCGGATCGTGGCAATCCGATGCTTTGCGCGCTCGTCGCCCTGATCCGCCGCTCTCACGTACCAGACGTTGGCCTCTAATGGATCACGACGGCAGCCAATGCCCATCTCTGTAAAGTATCCGACGGCATATTGCGCTTTCGCCAGTCCTATGTAGAAAGTTAGCAAATTAACTGGTCGAGTCCGTGTGTGCACATACCGAGTTCTGCAGCTCGCTTGGCCCACTCATAGGCCTCGCCTTCGTCCTTCTCCAGAACAGGCTCCGCGCCTACCAGGTACCAAGCGCACAAGGCCATCATCGCCAAGATATGCCCGCTTTGTGCGGCATTGGTATAGAAGTGGATGCTCAATGCAGGGTCTCGAGGACAGGCCAACTTGCCATGCTCATACGCATCTCCAAGCCGATAGCTCGCCTCGGCATGGCCCAGATCCGCCGACTTGGTAAACAGCTGAGCTGCGTAGGCCGGATCAGGAAAGACGTCATCGCCGAATCCCGTTTCGTGGAGGAGACCGAGTTCGTAAGGCGCAGAGTTGTACTGGGCGTCGGAGGATTCCGCCGCTCGCTTCAACCATTTGATGCCTTCCCGATACCGTTTGCCTAGGCCCATGTCGCCCGCAAGACAGGCCTTGGCCATGCGCAGCATGGCCCCAGGATGATTCTTTGAAGCGGCTTGGCGGTAGAACTGTTGTGCTCTAGCCGCTTCTACCCTGGTTCCCCAACCGAATTCATAACAGAGGGCGGTACGGTAGCATGCCTCGACGTGACCATGCTTGCTCGCAGCTAAGAACAGGGGGAATGCTCGGTCATAATCTTCCTTGCCCTTGCTGAAGAGTCCGGATGCATATCCATCCGCCAAGTAGTACTGCGCAAACGGATAGCTACGGTCGGCCAGACGTTGAAAGATCGACTTGGCTTCCTTGAGGAGACTTTCACGAGTGATTCCCGCCGCTTTTCGGCCATATACTGCGTCCTTGCGTGCTTCATGATCGTCCGGCGGCATTTCCAGCATCGCGTTGACCATGAACACCGCGAACTCGTATTGTACCGCAGGGTCGTCCGTTTTCTTCACATTGGCAAGATACATATCAAAGGTCTGTTTATGGCTGAGCAAGGAGGCATTGTTGCCCACCCAGGATTTTAGATGGGAGTTGTCCAGTTGCCCGGGGGTCGGACCTGGCTGAGGATAGGTGGTGTTGAGGAGATCGACAAAAGAAAGTGGACGGACATCGGGGGAAGAGGAGTTCCTTGGTGAAGTGCGTGCATGAAGGTAGGGAGAGGCACCGGGCGACAAGTTCCGACCATCGCCTCCCATGTCCGAGACGAACGAGTATGTCGAGTTTGGCCGTGGTACACCATGCCGTCTAGCTGAGAGATGTCCGTTGGAGCCGGACAGATTCTCGGCCGAAGCGGCACCAGATGGCGACTTGAGCGCGACCTTGGAGTTACGATAAGCCTGGTGATGATAGTGCAAGGGCTCGAAGTTCTCGGGCCGAGCCTCACTGTCCAAGCTGCCCCGGGAGGAGTTGTTCTGGCTGCTGGGAACTGCAGGGTCTGAAGTCGAGGCATTAGGCTGGATAGAACCATTCGTCTCATCTTTGAGCTGGTTGTCTATGGCAGACCAGGAACCGCTGCTCGCTGGCGTATGCCCGGCTCTCCTCGATCCTGGGGCTGGTGGAGGGGCGTAAGAGTCTCGCCGTGGTGGAAACGCCCCATTTCTGTTCTGGGGGTTCTGCGATTGATCCTCAAGCGACATATTGGCTAAAGCAGCGGTGGGAATAGAATTCTCGACATGACCGTCTCGAGTACTTTCGTGTGCCATGTTGGACGATTGCGGCAGATTCATGTCTTCGTGAATATAGACCGGCGGAACTGGAGGATATTCATTTTCAGATCGAGAGTCGGGCAATGCCTTCCGCGCAATGTGTTGTGTGGCGCGCTGTTGGGGTATCGACCTGGGCGTCGATTGACTCTGAGACGGCGAAAGCGGGGGTGATGATCGAAGATAGACCGGGGGAGGGGACGATATCGGTTGAGGGTATTCGCCGGCTACCGAGCTTGCCATTTTGTCCTGAAAGACAGATTATGTCGCGGCAACGACAGGAGACAGGATCCCTGTATTGCCGTCTTTTCAAAGGACTGTCAAGATTGACCTGGAGCGAGGGGTGATTGAAGAAGGAGGGGGCTTAGAGAGCCAACGGCATCGAGACTTCGTCAAGCGGATGTGCAGTAGTCGTGAAAGAGGGTCGGACTTGTGATTGCGTGCAATATGATGGAAATTGCGGTGATAGCGACCGAGTGAAGATCTGTACTGTGCCCTGGGGATGAAAGGAGGATCGTGGAGAAGCAAAGGGTCAACTAAGAGGGGACTCGGGGTTGGGTCCACTGCCTCGCAGTAGTAGTAAGTACTCCGAACCTGTCAACAGCAGGGGAGGGCAGGATGGTTGGATTTCCGTATATTTGTCTCAGGATACAGCGCGGATGAGGTGAAGATGCAAATCCGAGAGTGTAGTCTAAAGTTGAAGCCAGAAGGGCCAAGTGAAAATCTCAATTGCGTGACTGAGCGAGGGAGTCTCTACTTTTTTTTTGGAGAAGAGGAGACGCTCAGAGAGATGCACCAAGTGGGCGAATATGAAGAGTCCAACTCCATAAATGGCTTTAGTCTGATCATTAGCTGCTGCTTTAGACCGGTTCCGCCCCGTATTGATCTGGGTATTACATTTACCAGTGGACGGTACCTACCTTAGGCAGCCAGAAGTATTATTTGGTTCAAAGAAAGCCGCAGAAAAGAGTCATGAAACCCCCACCTGAGGCACAGCGGAAATGATCATGTGGGATCGTGGTATTTTTCTCGCTCTCTAAGCTTGAGCTTGTCTTTCTCCTTCCATCATCTTCTTTCTCATCTTGCCTTGGCTGGAAACAGATTGAAGTGGTGCAAAAGTCACTGGACTCGTTAAATATCCCAGAACTCATCTGAATGCTAGTTTTCGTTTCTGGATTAAGGGTCTGAGGATTGGTGTTTGAAAGGGATAGCAGTATTATTATTACTTATTATTACAGAGCGCTAAGAGCCTTAGACTAGATTGAAATGCAAATATTCCTCCGTCGCTTACGGAGAACATAAGCCTGAACCCCGAAGGTTTTAGGCTACAGGGGCAAAAATAGTATCGGTTGAATACCATGGTATTACGTACTTATTTGAATAAGTAGTGACATGTCGATAAATAATGTACTACCTAAAAAGACAGCTGTCTCTCTGGTGGCAGTGGCTCCGTAAGGAGTATCCCGTGCCGAGTGGAGGTAATCCTACGACGTCAATGATTATCACAGACCAGCCAATAGTGTTGAACCTTCCTGACATCCGCCCGACTGGACAACTAAGGGGTCTTCCATGGCTTCATCTGTTGTGTCCAAGGCAATCAGGGTATGATGAAACAGCAACGTCAAAGGCCGTACAGAGTTACACGTTTGAAAGTACACTATGTTTTGATCTTGTTTTAACTGCAGATACACTTGCTATACACTTGCTATACCCTTGCTATACACTTGCTATACACTTGCTAGACACTTGAAAAGCCAAGGGATGATGGGTCCCCATGCGCAAGGTCGATCTTGGCGATCGCATTAATCAAGACATTCACATAAGAAACTGGAGATCTATCTGGAGAAAGGGACAAGCATAAAAAGACATGGAAGATAATGGATTCCAGCCTAAGTGAACCTAGCCAACTCGCTAGATTGCGGCTCATGAGCATACCCAAATTAACATCCAGACAGCCTGCGGCGTGGAGCTTTCATAATGACGATGCTCCAATCCTTGCCAAGTCCTTCCCCAAACAATATTCGCGGAGCAAATCGAAGGTTTAATGATCCTGGTCTTGATCCCGCCCATCTGAATTCAAAGTCGAAATGGATCTGCCGGATATACATTTCAGAAATACTCCCACGCAGCGAGCCTTTTCTTTTTTGCACTTAACTTCCTGACCAGAAGCTGTAAAATAACTGCGAGGGTGAGGTGGAAATAGACATCCTCACCGTATTCTCAGCCGCCTCGTGTTTCAGCCTCAGCCTTGTCATCTCCTACACTTTGCCGTAAGAGGACCCTCCAGACATTCTTAACGAAAAGGACATTGGTCTTAGCATCGCTTAAAAGTGCCCAAAGTGAGATTCCGGTGATGTGTCTCTGGAAGCTGAAGGAGCCAAAGTCAAAGAATACGATAACAGTACTCTCGTTCAGTCAGTACCGCTTACGTGCGATACGTCCAGGTAGAGACGAGAGAGACCTATATATATGATAGTCAATTACTCCCTACATATCAATGCATTGCCGTCTGCTTGTACAGCGTAAGTGTGGAGCATAGTACCGCAGAATATATGATCAGTATCATATACATGGCATCGGACTCACCGCGTTGTGTCGGGTTCTCAGTGCTGGACCACGGACCCGAGTTCTCCACAATTGACATTCCGAAGACATTGAGCAACAAGAGCGGCAGCCGTGAGGATCTGTAATGCAAGTGTCATCGTCCAGTTCCTGAGAGTCATACTTGCTATTGGTGAGTAGAGAGTCAAGTCAATCGATCTCATGGCGCTACTCAGTACTAACGACTGCAGGATCGATACACTGCATATGAGCTCTTTACAAAGCTTGTATCATATTCTGATATGATCCATAGAGCTCACCTGTTGATAAAGTCTTAGAGTCCTGAGGATTATTCAAGAGATAGCTAGTTATATGGAGTAGATTCAGAAAAATAGAGACCATTGAAATGTTTCGTATGTGGAAACAAATCCGTCATTTATACGGAGTAAATACCAAGCTGTAGCACCGCCACAAGGCCCCTGAGTGAGGCGTAGATAATAGGAATAGGTAAGGTAGAAAACGGTTTTCAGAAAGGTACTCCGTACAGGCTGAACAGTGACTAGGCTTTACCTAACTTATTGGAATACTATTAGTCACATAGCAGATTAATTCTGCGATCACCATACATGAATAGCAATACGTTGATAGCATGTAATGTGTAACAATCAGCCAAGTCAAGTTCTCAATGATGCGACGGATTGAGATCTGGCAAGTACTACTGCGAACATAGGCGTGGTTCGGAACCCAGGCCGAGTTATCGGGTCAGGCGGATATTCCAGACTTGCGGCCGAGAAATTTTAGGTGACCGGGGTACCTACACAACTGCATGTACTTCATATGGTAAAGGTTATCTATTCTATCTCTTATTTACTGCGCGGGCATGGATAATGATTTCCTACTTGAATTTGCATTGAAGAAATTATCCGCAGGCTTTGACAAAATTGTTAACAGTGTGACAGTGGTTCTTTAGCATAGATGAGCCGACAAGCTCACGCTGGGTTGTTCTAACTTTGTGGTGTATCCGAAAATAGAATACTCCCGTTGAGGTGTCTTAGATGTACCAGTAGGAGTTCAGTACAGTTTTACATGCATAAGCTCAATGTCTCAGACAACGTGTCTGACGCATGGAGCATTGATGTTGTCTTCTTCCAATTCTTCCTGCGCGTGGTGGAGGATGTCTCAGCAATGAACTACAGAGATAAAAGGCGTTTCCAGCAAAGCCAGGATCAACTCCGTACTCGACTCATGCTTCAGTGCGCTGGGGAGCGGTGACCCTTAGGAGTTTCCATTTTGGATCATTTGAGGAGCAAGGACCAGGGAAACTCAAAAACACCAGACTTTGTATGATTGGCTTAACACCTTAAGCTATCCCATATATGGCTAGCTTTTATTTCTCCATTGATAGAACCAATAAGCGCTATGGTAAGTTGACCCTTAGCAGACCATTAGACTCACTAAACCTAAAGGAGGCTTAGCAATAATAGACTGCCCTAGCGACGGAGCACATGGCTCTTATTTGTGTACAATAATTGGAGAAGCCTGCTAAGGTCGCAGCACTACTGCCTCTAGCCCCTGTTCTGGTGTCCTAGACACAGAAGTAGCAGGTAGACTCCAGCATGACTTTTATGATCATTTTATGACTGTTTATCTCGCTAAATCTTATGATTGACTGCGGGTGAAAGACGCCTGTTTTGGGTCTTAAAATAATAATAATATAACACAGGTCGTAATCTCAAGGTTGATTCCTTGACGCCCGTTGAGTAAGCAGGCAAGGGGAGAATATCTATTGCAGTATTGATTGTATGGAACAGAAAACAGTCGCATACTCACAAATGAAAGCGCTTCATCTTGTATAAATAATTAAGGTTGCTCCAGTTTCCAGCGTTCCTTATGCACTGCGGAGGATACTCCCATTTTTCCCTTTAGTAGTGTACCATGGTGTAAGTCCTCTCCGTCGTAGTGGTCGGCCGTATTTTTCTTTACCCCTTCTTGGTCTGGCCAGCCTGCTCCGCACCGCACCATCTTCGATCGCCTGCCATCGCCGTCCCTCCATAGTCCAACCGGCCAAACCTTTCCAGTAATCTCTTTTCAGCACGGAGGCCTTTCTTCCCAAATTTCCGCTTCGTTCTTTTCGCTACGTACTTCCGTCTACGCTCTCGACTGCGATCCTTAATATGCTGTCTTGACCGGCTTCAGTCACTCGCTTGAATAATACGAGGACTATTGATTGGGTCACTTCTCCCGCTTTCTGTCAGCAGCGAGTATCCTCAGCTCTCGCTCACACACGACAACCACGGTCGTTGACAAAACGTTCGACTTCCTTGTTGGATTATTTGCTTTACCTTATTGTGCGACTTCAGGCAGTCCCTTATAGTATTCAACAAAAAGGAGGACATTGCGAATCAGCGCGCGACAGATATATCACGACTCCGGCAGTCTCCCACATCTTACAACTTCAAACCCCTGAAAGACACTCAACTACTGCGTTATATTTGGAAATTTCAAGTGCGTTCATGCTCGGCAGTCGCTAAAGGTGAGTGCCTTTTACACAGCATTTTCCAACTCGGTCCTGTCAGATCTCGATGGATACTGGCCAGTGTCACTGACAAGGTCTGTCTGGATCAAAAGAAGCGTCATGTCTTTGCCTCAGCGGCCGGGAAAGGTCTCCCCGCGGCGAGAGGAAACGCAGGCGTTCCGAGACACTTCGCGCAGACGACGTCGGGATATCGAGTCGGGCGACAACAACGAGACACTGTCCAGCCCACATCGACACCACCATCGCCGCCATTCGCACAGCTCCAGAAAAACTAGGGATATGGATGAAGAGAGACTCGAACCCGGTGGGCACAAGAAGAGTCAAGTGAGGCCGGAGCGCAGTCGCATCGACGAGAACCATCCCAACTACCACTATCGGCAAAAGTCTCAAAATATGCCAGTATACCCGTCAACAACCGGAAATGAACCGCTGATCGAAGGCGACGAGCTCAACAGAGACAGTTCGCAAAGCACAGAGCACAGAGGCAGGGACGGTGATTTTGCTACGCACGGAAATATCAACAAGCCCATGGAGCGGGCGCCGAGCCGTCATCGGTCGAAGAGGAAGAAGTCCCGAAAACTCTCAAGAAAGGCAGCTACAGAGGAAAAGCGACGGCAGAAGGCCATGGAGCAAGTTCGTCCGCCGAGCCCCTGGAGTGCTTATTGTGCAATCATCACTTTTTGGGCACCCAACTTCATCCTGAAATGTTTTGGGATGCCGCAGAAGGCCCAGCGAGAAGCCTGGCGTGAGAAGATCGGTCTTATCAGTCTCATTCTACTTATCGCAGCATTTGTCGGTTTCCTCACCTTTGGTTTCACTGCAACTGTCTGTTCCTCGCCTCCATTACGGTTGAAGATCAACCACGTCGACCGTGGGTACATGATCTTTCATGGGGAGGCCTACGATCTGTCTAAGTCGAAGCATCCAGCGGCTGCGGGTATTCCGGCTGACGCTAACGTTCTCTATGACTTACCTCACAAGTATGGGGGCCAGGACGGAAGTTTCTTCTTCCAGCAGGTCAACGGCGCCTGCAAAAATCTCATCACCTTGAAACCGGGATCAGATATCCCTTCGAATTCAGACGGAGATCTCGCCTGGTACTTCCCCTGTACGGCTTTCAATCAAGATGGCTCCTCGAAGCCGAACTTCACCTCACCATACTATAATGGCTGGAGCTGCCACACTTCGGGAACCGCTCGGAAGGCATTCTACAGCCTGCGGAGCTCAGGCGATGTGTACTTCACATGGGCTGATACACGGAATAAGAGTCGGAATCTTGCGGTTTACTCAGGAAACGTCCTGGACTTTGACCTTCTGAACTGGCTCGATGAATCTCAGCTCAACATTCCGGCTAAATTTACTGAACTTCGCACGAATCCGGATGTGCGCGGCGTTGACTTGACTTACTACTTCCAAACGGGCGAAGATAAGAGGATTGGAAAGTGCTTGTCACAGATCATCAAGGTCGGTACCATTGATACGGACACAGTTGGTTGTATCGCGTCAAAGGTCGTTCTCTACGTGTCCTTGATATTCATCCTATCGATTGTCGCCGTCAAATTCGTTTTTGCCCTGTTCTTCCAGTGGTTCGTCTCTACTCGGTATGCGGCTTCGAAGACCAGCATGGGAGCCGATTCGAAAACCCGCAAGCAGGAGATTGAGGACTGGTCTAATGACATCTATCGGCCTGGTCCTCGCCTGGCAGACCAACACTTGCCTGAGCGTCCTAATAAGCGAGCCAGTTTCTTACCAACCACATCACGATTCTCCAGTCCCTATACTGTGAGCAATGGAGGCAAGCAAAAGCCTCAGTATGTTACAATGGCCAGTCAGAACTCGACCTCCCGGCTACTCCCAAGCACTGCCGGTTCCATGTACAAACAGAGCCACAACAGCAGTGGTGGCTCATTGCATCTAGAACCGTCGCGTCTGAACCCCGCTGCGAGTGGTACCAGCCTCGTCGTCGGGGCGGAGTCCGATGGCCTCGGGTCATCTGCTTATATCCACGAAGCTGTTGTCCCGCAACCTCCTCCTGAATGGCAGCCGTACGGCTTTCCTCTTGCTCACGCCCTGTGTTTGGTCACTTGCTACTCTGAAGGCGAAGAGGGTATCCGCACTACGCTGGACTCTATCGCCATGACCGATTACCCTAACAGCCACAAGTCTATCATTGTTATCTGCGATGGTATGATCAAGGGTAAGGGTGAAGAATACTCCACGCCGGAAATTGTCCTTCGCATGATGCGAGATCCCGTCATTCCCATGGATGAGGTTGAGGCATTCTCCTATGTGGCCGTTGCCACCGGTTCCAAGCGTCATAACATGGCGAAAGTGTATTCCGGGTTCTACGACTACGGCGAGACCTCCGTCATTCCCCCGGAGAAGCAGCAGCGTGTACCCATGATGATCATCGTGAAGTGCGGTACACCGGCTGAGGCAACTCAGGCAAAGCCTGGAAATAGGGGCAAGAGAGACAGTCAAATTATTCTCATGTCTTTCCTGCAAAAGGTCATGTTCGACGAGAGAATGACTGAATTGGAGTATGAGATGTTTAACGGGCTCTGGAATGTGACCGGGATACCGCCAGACTTCTATGAAGTCGTCCTCATGGTTGACGCAGATACTAAAGTTTTCCCCGACAGCTTAACCCATATGATTTCTGCCATGGTGAAAGATCCAGATGTCATGGGCTTGTGCGGCGAGACCAAGATCGCCAACAAGACAGACAGCTGGGTGACAATGATCCAGGTCTTCGAGTATGTGTTTTCCTCCTTTCCTTGTTACATTTGTCGACCTTAGGTTTCTCCTTTTTTTCTTCTTTCCCTCTCTAATGAAACTTGCAGATACTTTATTTCGCATCATCAGTCCAAAGCTTTCGAGTCGGTTTTTGGTGGTGTGACCTGTCTGCCTGGCTGTTTCTGTATGTACCGCATCAAGGCGCCCAAGGGAGGCCAGAATTATTGGGTTCCCATCCTTGCCAATCCCGATGTGGTGGAACACTATTCTGAGAACGTGGTGGACACTTTGCACAAAAAGAACCTGCTTCTTCTGGGTGAAGATCGTTACCTGTCCACTCTGATGCTGCGAACCTTCCCAAGCGGAAGCAGATCTTTGTGCCCCAGGCTGTGTGTAAGACCGTGGTGCCAGACAAGTTCATGGTGCTTCTCTCTCAGCGGCGTCGCTGGATTAACAGTACTGTCCACAACCTCATGGAACTCGTGCTCGTCCGGGATCTTTGCGGTACATTCTGCTTCAGTATGCAGTTTGTCATCTTCATCGAGTTGGTCGGCACTCTTGTCCTTCCAGCCGCCATTGCATTTACGTTCTATGTCGTCGTCATTTCCATCATCAAGAAACCGGTTCAAATCATCCCTCTGGTACTACTCGCGCTCATCCTGGGTCTGCCGGGTGTGCTCATCGTCGTGACTGCGCATCGCTTGGTTTACGTGTTGTGGATGTTGATCTATCTCATTTCACTACCCATCTGGAACTTTGTCCTTCCGACGTATGCCTACTGGAAGTTTGACGACTTCAGTTGGGGAGACACTCGTAAGACGGCGGGAGAACAGGACAAGGGCCATGAAGCCGGGGAGGGAGAGTTCGATAGCAGCAAGATCACGATGAAGCGTTGGCGAGACTTTGAAAGAGGTTTGATGCTTTCGACTCCCTATGGATGATGACACCGACTAACCTCTTCACTAGATCGCCGACTGAAAATGCAGAGTGGATGGGCACAACCTGCTTTTGGCGGAGGGTATCCGGCACAATATGAGCCATACTCGGACTATTGATTTCGTTGCGATATATTGGATAATCATCATGACAAAATATTTTTGTAATATGTTGCATTTTATTTTGGAGCGGCGTCTCCAACCATGTCATATAATATCTATCGAGCATATGTGCCGAGCCCTTGGTCGATTTTTGATCGATTTTTGAAGTGTATGTATTTCTTCTCCAGCTTGTTTGAACCTATTGCCATGTGGCGCTTCGAGCGTGCTTGTTCATGGAACTCTTAACTATGGCCTTACTGCATGTAATTAAATTTTGTTCACCAAGACATCCTATCGTCATGATATTATAGAGCTGATTTGACGCTGTACCTATTTGCCCATGCCAATGCCTGTTGTGATGGGCTCGGAAGTACCTTACATACCTCTTAGGTGGACTTGCCATACTCTCGACTGTAAGTGATTTTCTCTTCTCTTTCTTTGCTGCCGTAATTAACTGACAGATGTCAACGACGGATCGATGCTTATTGAGTTATAAGCAGTTATCTAAAGCTATCCAGGCACAACTTTAAGTACGGAGGATTGCTTTGTCAATCAAGGTTGAGCAGTTAACTAACCAGTTGTACGGAGTAGTTAACTTACTTTGGCACTCTGACTAAGACTCTCCTTTGTCATCCACCATCTCCCCTCTTCATTTAACCTCGTCGCTCAGCTGATGTCCTCGTTTATAAGTTGAACTGCCTCAACCGGAACCCCCTTATTCATCCTTTTGTTTCATCAATCTCTTCCTGTCATCCCCCTGCCAGTTTAAATGTCCGTTCTATGTTGTACTTAGTGTCTTGATCGTCACCGCCTCTGACGCTCAGATCGACCACTATCTTATTAGATACGTCCGGTCATGCACGTTCTTGTGCCCAAAACGCCGGCCATGCTGAAGTGCGCCATTCCTACCCACATTTGAACCTTGGTGCTGATTTCTTGTCTGCAAGCACTTTTAACATCGTCCTCTCACACCACATTAAACTTGTGCAGTCATCAAGTCACCACTAACCAGAACAAGGCATAACGGCCTAGTAGTCAAAGGCTGTTGTCTCATCATTTATCCACCGGTTGCCTTCGGCTTCCGTGTCTCATGACATTACTCATGCTTACGGGCTGAGCGTCGACTATTGCCTTTTACGTACATACCCACATACATACTGCGACACCGCCCCTCACCGTTTGAGATCAATCATCTCCCTCGTTACGTGGTGCTATGCGACCTGATTTATCATCGCGACTCGACGCTTCCGCACAACTAGCAAACCACATATCGTTGAGGACTTGGTTTTGACTCGGTCGGAATCTCAATTCCTTCCCCCTAGCTTAATATCGGACAGCCTTCTTCTCGCCGCACTGTGGGGGTGGAGGGAGACTAGCTGCGGGGTGACTGGCGATTACAGAGCAGAGGCGCCATAATCCCTGATCCCCGACAAGGAACAACGTGGTCGGTTATCTCTCCGCCTGTACAACGCTTGGTGCGGTTTGGTGCCTATCAGTCTCAATTTGGAATAATACTCTCTGCGATCTCTCGGCTTTATCGGCTGGACCTGGCTCGATTATCCCTCCGTGGCTTGCGCAAGCCTGCGTCTCGGGAAGAAGCGACTTGTGTACGACCAAGGGATGCCCGGTCCAAGTGACTTTGCATTTACAGCGTCATCATCGTCATCGCCGTCGTCTTTTTTCACGTCGCCTTCCGAACATCCTACGCATCCCCGTTATCGTAATCGGACATCTCACGCCTCGTCATGTGATGCGCCTGGGCCATCACGACTGCGACCTGTGGATATGTCGTTCGGACAGGCCTCCTCTTATGATGACCAGGACTCTGACGAGATGTCCAGGGAAGGCGATGAGCATGCTGCTTTGCGCACGGATGTTGACGAGTTTCCGATAGTAGCAACAATATCAGAATCTCACGATGTCGGCTTGACTCCAACAAATGACATGGGCTCGAGCGATGCGGGTATCTCCGCCTTCACCGCTGTATCTCAATACCCGAACGCTTTTGACAACGACACGAATGCTCTCGCCGTCACAGAAGTCGTTAACGCCGTCATCGGACGGGAAGAGTATCTTCGAGGAGAGGGGAGGCACGTCCGAGCAGCATCAGTCGGCCGCTCGCCGTCCCCGCCAGCGGATCTGTATATGTCTGATTCAGAAACAACTGATGTTCTGGGTCATCAAGGTGGAGTGCCTATCGGACCATACATGGCCGGTGGCAGAATGACCATGGACAGTATCCTGGCCAACGATCCAGCTCTGGAACACCACTTTTCTACCATTCCCGAAGAAAGCGACGAGGACGATGTGGGCGATTTGATTATGGACTACGAGTCACCAATGCCGCGAGATGGGTTTAGCGTCTCCGACCATGAGGATGATCCCGACGATACGCAAAAGTTTTATGTGGATCATGACGATGACTATTACGAAGAGCACATCGAGCGTCCGCGGACGCGCGAAGCTACCGCGCAACTCACGGATGTCGACTTCAACGATTTCTACCGGGCATTCGACTATGATCCGCTGCTGGTGATGGAAGCAGCCCCTACTGGTAATCACGGCGATCACACCAATTTTCCAGAAGGCGAGGCGACGGGAGGGCTACCAGGGATAGACCTTGGCCACCTTCCTGCATCTGTGATCCACGGCACCAGTGAGTATTCATCAATCTATCCACGGTAGACAGGTTACTAATCTTTTCGTCTATGCAGCTCACGAACGGAATTTCAATATCGACCAGTTTATCAACCAGTGGCTCCTGGAATCTACCAGGCACTCACCGCCTACTCTCCCGCTGATATCCAGGTTGCTACCGCCGTACCCCATATCCAGGATTCTCGGATGGACACCGCCGGAGAAGATCATCCGGCCGAACAACTACAACAGAGATTTCTACGATATTCAGCAGATCCCATGGTGGGAAGCCCTACGCATTAAGCGGTCGGATGCGCGTGAACTGCGAGACCTCTGGTATACATCGTATCACAACGTTGACTATCCGCACCATCAGTTGGACGGCAAACTTCCGCAGGAAGAGTTCTATTTTCGAGAGAAATCGATGCACACTAAGCATCGTGCCTCTATCGAACACTTCCAGCTGCGGAATCTGATATCTGTCCCTGCATACAACACGGTCCATTTCTCGCACGAGTCGAAAGTCTACTCGTGGGTTCCGGCGCATGACGACCTGAGTTGCTTGATTGACCTGTCCAAACCGCCAATTAATTCTGGATTCCGCGGCCCTGTCAAAATCTCGACCATGAAATCTGCGCACAATATCTGCATCGCCGGTGGGTTTACCGGGGAATATGCCCTGCGACCGGCGGGCAAGGAGGGCGCAAAGGTGGAGGGGTTTGTGACGACCAATGCGAATGGCATCACCAACCACATTGATATCGTCCCGAGCCGGACAAGTCACGCTCCGATGGGGATATTTGCGTCGAATGACCAGCACCTTCGCGTGCTGGATTGCGAGACTAACACTTTTATTGCGGATCACGAGCTGTCGCGAGCAATCAATTGCACCGCCACGTCCCCGGATGGGCGGTTGCGTGTGGTCATCGGGGATTCCCCAGATGCTTGGGTAGTAGAAGCAGACACAGGACGACCGGTGCAGCCGCTGCGCGGTCATCGCGACTTCGGCTTTGCGTGCGCATGGTCGCCAGACATGCGACACATCGCTACCAGCAACCAAGACAAGACTGTGATCATCTGGGACGCGCGCACTTGGCGAATCTTACAAACGATCGAGTCAGACGTAGCAGGGTATCGCTCTGTACGATTCTCCCCGGTCGGCGGAGGCCCACGAACGCTGCTACTGGCCGAGCCGGCTGACCGGATCGCCATCGTCAACGCGCAGACGTACCAGACCCGACAGGTCCATGATTTCTTCGGAGAGATTGGCGGAGCGGACTTTTCGCCGGACGGCAGCACGATCTGGGTGGCGAACACGGACGAGCATTTTGGCGGGTTCATGGAGTTTGACCGCCGACAATGGGGCCAGCCGTACGGACCACGGGGCTTCCCAACGAGTGGATACGGGAGGCGGACCTCGACGAGGACGAACGGTGTGTGCTCAGCGAGCGGGAGCGACAGATGAGGTTCTGGTGGAATCTGAGCGATGAAGAGCACGAGGCATTGCTGCTGTAGGGGTTTGCATATGGCTGGTGCTGTGGCGTTAGGGAATCTTCATCATTACTCTGTTCTAGTGGCTTTGCCGCGCTGGGCTGTGGCTGAGCCTGGTGGGGCTCGGGAGGTTATCTGCTTTGTTTACAGCGACTATGATACCACAATCGTTCATTATTTCTTTTCTGTTTGTTATAGAGTTCGATAGTCAAATATCTGAGGAGAGCTGGGGAATCAATAATCCACTACGGGGCATACTCCGTAATCCTCCACGATATTACCTTAGTCTGTGGCTGAGTCGGCGTCCCACTGCCCCGCCAGACCTGTTCCACCCTCATACGTAGCTGGCACGACCCCTCACCTGGAACATACAAAATAGTATACAACAGGCCCGGTCTGTAGTATATAAAGCTCATTCACATCCATCTCCCACACCTACCGTATCCAACCATATTTGATTCCATACAACCGAAGAAGAACCCCAACCAACGAACCAACCTACCAAAATGTCCTTCTCAAACATGATCCAAGACGCCCTCTCGGGCCACGGCCACAGCAACAACAACAACAACAACAACAACAGACACGACGACAGAGACGACGACGACTTCAACCCCGCCGTCCGCTACGCCGAATCCCACACCAACACGTCGGACCCCTCCCTCTTCACCTCCGCCCTCTCCTTCCTAAACGAGAACAAGCACCGCCTCTCCAATGACAACGACATCGACGAACAGAAAATGATCAACGCGCACCAGTCCCTCTACGGCGGCGGCGAAAGCGAGCGGCGTCACGACTCGGACTCCGTGGGTGCGGGGCCGCGATGCAAGCGCTTAAGATGTTTACGAGTTCGTCGGAGGGGGAGAAGAGCGGGATGGACAAGAATGCGTTTATTGGGTTGGCGATGGCGCAGGCGAAGAAGATGTTTGAGGAGAAGGAGGCGAAGGGGAGGTGGTAAGTTACTCTTTCGCCTTTGCCTTGGCTTTTTGGTTTTTGGTTTTTGTTGTCGGGGATCAGGGTGCTGACTGTTGTAGAATGGGGATAAGCAATCTGCTATCAATGCGGCGGCGGAAATGGCCCTCAAGATGTACTTGAAGAGTGGAGGTGGTGGTATGGCTGGCACCGGTGGCCCTGGTGGTGGTCTGTTGCAGCTGGCTAGCAAGTTTCTCTGAAGGGCTCCATGGTTTAAGCTGTTGATATGACGCTCGTGGCCTTGATGGTCGTGATAACCATGACATGTTTATGAATGTCGACATATGTGATAACTGTGATACTCCAACTTCTTCAATTGCTATATACGAGCTCTATGTTGGTTCGTAGGAAATACCCACATTCAATCCATGCCTCCGGCATCAGTCAATATCAAGAATGCAAGCGCCAAACAATCTAGGCTCGCTCTTTTGGTATCAAAAAGCCAGACCCGAAAAGAATCAACTTGCGGAAATCAATATGCGACAATGGAACAATCTAATGAAGGCCGAGTGAGGCGAAATAGAATGAAAACTGTAGGAAGAAAGAATATCTGGGTTGCAAAAGTCAAAGTGCGGAATGAAGGAAAGGGAAAGGAAGGCAAGAGACAATCACCAGTCGTCATCGTCTTCCTGCTTTCCTTGCATTGCATGTTGTCGCGCCCTCAGTGCCTCTGCGAGTCCACCGGCTAAGCTTGCGTTGGACATACTATTGGGTGTTCCACGCCCGCTACCCCCAGATGAGTCGTGAGAATTCATGCTTACAGCGCTGTCGCGAGGAGCCGGTGGCGGCGTGGGAACTGCCTTGCGTGCCGCCATGTTCGGTCGCTTCGCTGGAGGCGCGGGAGGTGCAGGCTTGGCCTTGGCTGCCGCGGCGGCACCGTTGGTCGCCGGTGCTGGGGTCGACCTCGGAGCTGCTGGTGGCGGCGGAGGAGGAGCAGGTTTCGGGGTCGGAGCGACTTGCTCTTCGAGATATGCTTCTGGTGTCCAACCCTGCGCCGAACTCGTCATGTTCATGCACAGCCACCAACCTATCACTCGTTAGTAGACGGTTGAGATGTAAGGAATCTTCCAGGCTTACCATTTCCTTCCTTGGAGACAATCTGCACAATCTCACCAGCCTTGATTGACAGCTCGTTGGATTGCTGGCTATTGAAGTCATACAAAACCTTTGCGGTCGGCTTCTTCGGAGCAGGTGCAGCCGCGGGTGGCGGTGGAGGTGGTGCCCTCACTGAAGCTGTTGAACCGGTGCGAGTGTGAGAAGCAGCAACGGCAGCAACAGGTTGAGGAACAGCTCTGGCAGCTGGCTGAGGTGCGGCTGGCTGCGGCGTGGCACGGGGCAGGGGTTGAGCTGCAGGAGTGGGTCTGGCCGCCAGCTTGGAAGGCCCTCCTCCTGGGCCACCAGGACGAAGTAACTTCCCTTTCGTGACAGGACGCGCACTGACTGGCTTGGGCTTCGGTGTCGGCTTGGATACCGAGTTGGCAGGCTCGCCCGGTCCGGTGTGAATAGTACCACTCTTGTAGCTGTCGTCTCGGGCAACAGCAGGATCCTTGACGACCTTGACAGTGGCCAGTTTGCCCGGCTTCTTATTGTACTCGATGCTGAGCCTAATTAGCTGGGGAAGGCCAAAGACTCCAACAGTGACACTTACTGGTCGGCAATCTTCAAGTTCAATTGTCCGTGAAGAGTGTTGTTCAGATGGGTGAAAAATTCCGTCTTGAACACGCAGTTAACAAGAGGATCAGGCTCTTGTGGACTGCCAACCACAATTGAGAACCAGTCATCTTTCAAGTTAGAGGCACTGACGGCCTTGATGGCACCGATTGGAATCGTCCTTTCCGACGAGATGGCCAGCTGGTTGTTGACCAGGTTTTGCGCGATGATGTATACGTGACGGTTGGTCTGATTGAGTTAGCACCGAGCACAAAAAGCAAGCGGAACAATCAGCGTACCAAGACTAGTATACGAGGAGCAGGCTTGCTAGACCGACCAAACTTGGAAACCAGAACCTCGCCACGGCACGAAAAGAGAATATCCTCTGATCCTGTAGAGACAAAGTCAGCCAGCCATCGAGCTGTATTTCAGCGTACCCAAGTACTCACCGCTGATTCCTGCACCGTTGCGGACCATCTCGCCGGGTCCACCTTTATTGCCCACCCCGATATAATCACCGAGAAATCTGCGGGAACCGAGCAGACTCATCCGCCGACGCTCCTTACGCCCATTGAGAAGCTGATGTCCCTGATCGCGCAGCTTAATGAACTCAAGACCGCCAGTGGTGCGACGCCAGAAGCGCTGAATGCGAATGGCACACTCAGTACGATAGCGAAGATAGTTTCGCCACGCACGCTGGATTCGGATGGCCATGTTATGCCAGTAACGGTCACGCATGGCTTCCAAAGCAAACAGCGTCTCTGGAGTCTTAACAAACACCTTTGTGATTCCCATCTGGTACTCTTCGGCGGGTATGCTGGTATCCTTCAGAATCTGACGAGCGCCAGATTCGGCGTCCCCTGTCCATGTGTAATCTCCAGCATAAGACGTCTTAGGCGATAAAAGGTAGAAACGCTCCACGAACTTGTCGAATGTTTGACGGTAAGCGAAACCAGCACGTCTGATTCGAACGTTCTCCTGCAAACCAAGGTATTTAATCTGATGCAGAACGTTTCCGACGTTGTACTCCTTAGGCGCCTTGTTGTCGTTCGGCTTGATCGTCCGAATATACGAGGGCTGGGCCTTCATCAGGGTTGCCACCAGGTCGTTAGCCGAGGCCTTGATCTTGTCGCTGGCGGTGGGTGGACGTCGCTTGTCATCCTGATTGACTTGTTCGGGGAAGAGCGTATGGACGAATTGGTTGCCGCTTGTTCCGACAAGGTTCAGAAGATCTTTCAGCAACTGGTCCTTGTTCTTGTCCGTCATTCCAGCAACGGCGTAGCTGACATCACCGGCGTAATGCTTGACAATGAACTGACCCTGGCGGTTCTCAAAGTTGGGATTTTGAGACAAGAAGTTGAGTCTTCCGACGAAAGTATTATCCGCAGCGCTGGAATCGGCGTGCGCTGTTGCACAGGCATCGTTCAGTGCAGCAAATACACCAGGTGGACGTTTGTCTTCGATCAATGAGCACACGACTTTGTTATCAAAGTATTTAATGGGAGTCCACTGAATCTGCTCGCGAGCGTATTCATCCTGCTCAGCCTTGAGGGTCAATTGGATGAAGATTTGCTGCAACTTCTCGTTGACATAGTTGATACAGAGTTGCTCGAAGGAGTTCTTCTCAAAGATCTCAAAGCCATAAATATCTAGAATGCCAATCGAGTTCGCAATCTCTCCTCTGGCAGTCAAGGAGGCGTTGACACGCTGCACAATCCAGTCAAACAGGTTGAAGTAGATCGCTTTGGCCAATGCGTCACGGACGGCAAGAGCTTGGACAGTATTGAGTGGGACCTCATAGACTGACCCTCTGCGACCTCCACGAGCAGTTTCCATCACCCGAATGGTAAATGCCTTGTTCACCTGGGCAGCATCAACCTCCAGGAGGTACGCAACATAGTCAACCACCGACTGATCCGTAATAACGGCGTTTCCAGAATCGTCTTCTGCAAATTGAACATTGCCGATCCACAAAATCGCAGCCAGCATACGGAAGACATCATCCTGCTCACCCTCCGTCATGCCAATCACGTTCATTGCATTCAAAGTATCGCGGAACTCGGCAGAATCGTCAACGCCAGGGACGTCATAACATTTGGATCGGCTGGTGTAAAGGTATGACTGCGGTTGCTGTATGCCGAACAGATCTATATATATCCGTCAGTGGGAGAACACTAGTGAGATCGGGCATCTCAACTCACCTCTATACTTCTGCGGCGCCGCCTTGGTGAATTGGTAGAAAATGTGAAAGTTTCGCTCGTTTGTGATTTGTCCTACTACTCTGGATTTCTCGAGCAGGTAGTTGGTGATATTGGCACCCACGGGTTCACCGTTTGTGTTGAACTCCAGTTCAAGATATTTCCCAAACCGTGAGGAGTTGTTGTTGCGCAGGGTCTTCGCATTACCGAATGACTCGAGCAACGGGTTGGTGGCTAGCACCATTTCCTTGGTGTGCTGGATGGACGAGTCGGTGCCTCCGGATACACTGGCTATATACTGCATAATCCGCTTCGCAGCTTCCGTCTTTCCTGCACCCGACTCTCCCGAAATAATCACGCACTGGTTATCCTTGTAGGACTTCATGTTGTAGTAGGCCGATTCTGCGACTGCGAAGACGTGGGGAGGCACTTCGAGTCGATTTTTGCCTCGATAGGACTGGAGAACATTGTCGGTGTAGATACCCACTGCGAAGCAACGATGTCAGCGACGCAACTTTGAACATCGCACATGGCTCGGTGTAAACTCACGGTCTCGGAAAGGGTTGACGGACACCAACACATGGCCGATATATGTCTATCATCCGAAGAAATCAGGTCAGCGCGCGCCCCTCATTGGCGCAAAATTCCGAGGTCCCCTGGTCGAGGGTGATGCTTACATAGATCTCGTCATGTTCAAAGCGCAGCTTCAGGTTGTCATTGATGGCCTCGTTCGAGATTTTGCTCAACAATGTTAGATCTGAAACACCGATTTCCTTCTTCTTTGTGCTCTCAAAAGTGGCCTTCTTCACCTGAGGCTTGCCCCCCGTTTGTCGCCCATCGCCCACATCGGCAGCCGCCTTGGACCGACCGAAGCCCCGACTCTTCTTCTCTCCGCCAGCAGGACGTCGTGAGTGTCCCTAGAAGTAATCGCAGGGTTAGAAAACAATTTCTGAATTAAGCACAATCTCTTTCTGAAGTTGAGTGTGTAGGTTAAGCGTAGACGTACCATGATTGTTGCTGCCGACTTCCCCGGATATGGCGCCCAGGCGTCAAGATATCTGACCTATCAGTTTCAAACGGCAGCGGCAAGTGAGCGTGGAAGAGACAAGATAAATGTACGCAAAAGACAGGCCGCCCAATCCAAGCAGTGCGCAGAGTCGGTGGAAAGAATGGTGGATGTCAATGTAAGGAAAGGAGGGGTAGAGGGAGGGGATGAACGATAGTAGGAACTTAGAATGACGATGGTGTCTTGTGGAGGACTGGACTGGAGTCTTAGTCCTTTCTGGGCCTTGATAGGACTAAAGACGACTCTCCTGGATAATAACGGGGCCTGCGCCACACTGGACACACCTGTGGCACCGTCGGGTTCCCTTTGTCAGGTCGAAAACGCGCAATCTCGCTCAGGCTCCGGAGTTCTCTTAGTCAACCCGGCCGCATATCCGACTCATCCTAGGCTAACTTTTTCGAACTTTGTTCGATTCCTTCGCCGCTCGGGCATTTAGGGGCAAATAATTCGTGGTCCCTGGCGCTAAAAATGCCATTGTCTCCAAATTAGGAACTGGAGCACAATCCGAGTATTACGATGCCTAGCGATATTATTTCTTGGCCTCAGGCTGCCCAAGGGAGAATCTTCGTGATCAACCTCCTCCTACGTCACTGCTGCATTTAATTAAAGCTTCTGCCTTCACTTTGGATGAGATTGCATAATGGGGACTCATTGGGCATTTCTTTCAGGGAAAGAGAAAAAAAAATTATATTGGAATTGGTCTGGTTATTGTGGCTAAGGTGTTGATCTTCTACACTGGTCAAATAAGTTATATATTTCCCTTCACTCAAGCATTCCTATAGATACCGCTTCTGCAACTCTCAACACGTTGGATACGTCATGTCGGCTCATACGGTCATTAAATCGGATGAGAGGCAGGTAGAGAGCAAAGCCTGAGAATTTACTCATAAACGTAATCCTCCGTCCAGAACTGAGCAATGTCCGTCCCCAGTTGAACCCCCAGGTATTCATCTAGCGCGAACCTCCCTTGCCGCGTGCGGATGTCCTGGCTCAAGGATTTCAAGGATGGAAATAGATCACTCAGGACATTTGCATCCTCTTCCGGGAGAGAAGGAGAGAATGGAGCTCTCATGTGATGTAGTAAAGACACGGTGTCCGTCAAAGGCCGAGAGAAAGGCGGTAGATTCGCAAGACTGCCTATATATCCCTGAATGCTGGCCACGAAGCAAGACGAGTCAGGAATTGGGATCGTGGGCAAATGATCTGGTAGGGATTCAACCATGCTGGATTTGATAAAGGACCGATCAGCTGAGGTTCATTCCAGCCGAGTTCTCAACGTAAACGCAACTTTAAAAGAAAGAGCTTGCGTACAGTACTTGCAGAGCCAGGAGTCCTTCGAGGCTATACCTGCCACTTGCACTGCTGAAAGGCGCTTCCGTTAGGAGAAAAGCAATGGCTTTTCTGTGAGAGCCTGTTGTCATGCACGAAAACCTTTTCAGTCGAGCGATTGTCTCTTGCCTGTTATCCTGAACAGAGGTCTGGGAGAGAAGTAGGACCTTCAAATGCTCTGAATTGCCGAGATCAAAATCGAAATCCGATTCTTGCAAATGGCACTCTGGTCCAGTCACATTTAGAAGTGACTCAAAGCTGAACTGAGGTTTGAATGCAAACCTTCGAGCATTGGCACAGACACTGTAATTACCGGGCCCATCACTTTCCAGACAGGACGATTCCCTAGAGAGGAGGAAAAAGTCCCTCGAAGGAATGACACGGCAGGATCTGGCATCGCAAAAAGCGAACAAGTCTATAGTTTGAACTGACAGCCAGGATTGGAGAGTATATGTACAGGAATGAGGAACATGCGTTTTGTGAGAGCAGAGAGGAGAATGGTCAAGCCATGCAATGTCTGGACTCTCATTCAACTTTCCACCTTCCGCCACAACCAGACAAACTATCGACCCATCATCTATTACCATAACAGAGGGTATCCTGAAGACATGACATGCTAATGCTGACATCCAACAACTCCGAAACCGGAAACAGCATAACAAGAAATATGAGCGAAGATTATGGAGAGGTTATTTTGTGCAAAGCCACACCAGTGGAATCACTCAATGATTCTTTACTGAGGGCGTCTCATGAGCGACCGATTTCGCTGGTGATTGGTCGAATTGAATAGAGACTGTTGAATTTGAGGGCGAGCTTTGGTTCGACTGTACGACGGGCTTGGGTACCTCGCCCGGTTTCTGTTCAGTGGTCTGTCCGAAAGTGAAGAACGAAGTGATCCGCGACCACCAGTCCAGCTCCGCCAGCTCTTCAGCCTCTTCTTCCTCTTCAACTTCCCACACTTCACGGGGAAGTATTCTAACCGAGGACTTGACTGACTCCCCAGCCTTGGCCTTGAGATGTATGACTTCCTTTTCCAAGGCGACCAGGGCCTTCCGGGCGGCCTTCTCAGACTGCTCCAGTTCGACTAACCTGGCCTCAACATCTTCTCTCCGCGTTGTTTCCTTTCTCCTCGATCTCCATGATTCAAACACGATCAGTCCACCCGCAACGAGAAATAAGAAGGTCTCGCTGATGAAAGTCGCGCCCGATTCTATGGCTTTAGATTCCGACAGCGGTCGAATATGAGGAGTGGGAGCCGGTTTCGCTGCCTCTGAAGCCGCAGCCTTTGCTTTCGCTATGGCCTCCTCCTCGGCTTTGGCTTCTGCTTCCGTCTTTACCGTCGGCGCTGTGGGTTTGTGTTTTCGGACTTCGGCTTCAGCGGCTGCACGCTTTTGAGCCGCAGCATTATCCCGTAGGTTTCCAAGCCGGAGACGCATGTCGATTCGATGCAGACCTTGCGCTATGGAGACACAGATTCGTCGGAAGCGCTCATGTTCGCGAGCCTGGCCTTTGATTTGATTCTTGAAGGTGTAAGTCTTTCAGAGCTTCAAAAATTGGAGGGGTTGAGGGGGTGAAGCATACTGCAATCGGCTTTGACAGAGTGCGAATCACAAGAGAAGAGAGCTTCAAAGTCAGAGACATCTTGACAGCTCTCAGTACAATTCAGGGGTTGAATTGAGTAGACGTCCAGGCTACTGCTGCAGCTGATGATGATGACTGATAGCCAGGCACTCACAGCTGCTCCCGCGCTATGGCCGTATCGGGAATGGTCCCTGACTCTCTGCGTCATTTACAGCTGCATTACGAATGATATACATGCTTATGTCAGCAATGCACGTTGTTACGGCAGTCGGATGAATGTTTATCGATTACCCGATTAAGCAATCCGTTTTGAATAGTCAATTCCTTCTTCACCATCACAGTTGGCAGCCTCAATACCATCATCATCACTCCCTGCTTCCCCTCCCCGCCTCTCATCAGGGCTGTCAGTTTGGTTGTTGTGGCGTTACATGCATATCATTGTTTCAGAAAGTTATAGTTGATCATATTTTTCTACTTGCACTTGTTTTTTGGTAAGAAATCACTCATCCCGAATCCGAGTTCTTTGTTTCCACGACGGAACACCGAGACATTGGATGACCCGGCAGACGTACTGACAGATTTGAGCCATAGATACCAAGAGCACGCTCATCTATTATACCCCTTTTCGCTCCGTCTTGCGTTGATTGTCTATATTGTAGCGATACTTTTATGACCTGGACAAATATTTCGTCTCACCTTGCCTGGTCACACGCTTGATCTCCAATGCGAAAATTGATGCCCACGCACAGCAGGGAATTCGATCGAAGGACTGAAATTGAAGATGGAAGCATTGTCGCCGCGATCGACGAATCACTTGATCAGACCTAAAGTCAGCATGGAGCGAAAAGTCCTGGACAAGAATGCCGCTGCCGCCGCAGCGGCGCAAAAAGCCGTTTCGTCGAAAATCCATGCGCCTCCACCACCATCGCTGGTTGTAGAGCCCGCGGAAGGGGGTGAGCGCTATTCTACTGGCGCTTTTCTTGGAAAAGGAGGTTTCGCAATCTGCTACGAAGGAACGCTATTGCGGAATAGAAGAGTCTTTGCAATGAAGGTGGTGAGGTCTGAGATGGCGCAGAAAAAGATGCAGGAGAAGGTATGTCTCGAGTCGCATCCGCCCGCATTGGCATGCTTTTATCCACCCTGTTCTAACCAGAACACTCTGTAGTTTCGAACCGAACTTCAAATACATTCGAAAATGCGCCATCCCCACATCGTCGAATTTCATCGCGCCTTTGCATTTGACAAGTGTATCTATGTGGTCCTGGAGCTGTGTCCAAACGGTTCAGTAATGGACATGGTGAGGAAAAGGAAATGCCTGAGCTTGCCCGAAGTGCGACGATTCATGATACAGCTTTGCGGTGCGGTCAAGTACCTACACAAGAGGAGTGTTGCGCATCGTGATCTGAAAATGGGAAATTTGTTTTTGGATCGTAATATGGACATCAAAGTGGGAGATTTTGGGCTGGCAGCGATGATTATCTCTGAAAAGGACGAGAAAAGGAGGAAAACGCTGTGTGGGACACCAAACTATATTGCTCCAGAGGTCCTTGATAAGAGTAAGGGTGGTCATACCCAGAAGGTTGATATTTGGTCGTTGGGTATAATATGGTAAGCAAGACTAAAGTCATGACACGCACAGGGTTCCCACTAACAGATATTTTCGAAGCTTTGCGATGCTTACCGGTTATCCACCTTTTCAGTCAAAAACACAGGAGGAAATATACAAGAAAGTCAGAAATTTGAGTTATGTTTGGCCCAGCGGCACTCAGTGCGCGAATCACATCCCCGACGAGGCCAAATCTTTGGTCAGCTCTTGTCTCAATCTCTCAGAGAACGAGCGGCCTGACCCAGACGACATTGTCGAACATCCGTTCTTCAATATGTATGATGGATGTATCCCTCGTCGGCTGGACCCAACTTGCACTGTTTCAACGCCGATCTGGCTCAGGTCGGATGAGCCCCGTGGTGATCGGATGATGCTCGGTCATAGCCTGGAGTATGACGAGAAGCTGTCAGGCTACATAGAGCATGTTGATGACCCGACACAGCGATACCTCATCTGCCGGACGGCTTTCTACAGTCTCTGTGGAGTCGGACGTAAACCAGATGGGACAGCTCGCAAGTCCGTTGGCAAAAACTGTTCGAAGTCTGCGTTTGCGGAGTGTCTGTCTGAGGAGGAAAAGGGAATGCAGCCAGTTATGCCGCTGCCGGAAGACATGGTCTACAGATACCCTAGTGACCCAGATGGGGACTGGAGCACGCCCAGTCCGAGCCTTGCACTGGGCAAGGATGACTCGTCATTGGACGGTACGAGGTCCTCTGGTAAGCGTGCCGTATCCATGCGCAGTAATTCTGCCTCTCTTTCCAGAACCCAAGCCGCTCTTGCTGCAGCCCAGCAACGACGGAAAGAACCGCAGAGTCATGCTGCAACGCTTCGCCAACAGGCAATGGGTGCTCGAAGCTCGGTCAGGAAGATTGCAGCTATTTGTGATCCACCAGCAGTAGTAGAACCAGAGTCTACTGCTCCTGTCCTGCCGACCGGCGGACTCGCAGAAAGACCCATACGCGCGCGACGCGGAGTGGCAGTCTCGTACTCAGGTTCAACGCGTGACTTGGACAGAAAGATTGTGCCATCCACCAGTGACCCTGGGATGCTGACAGTGGGTAAAACACGGTCGCAGTCTCGACGACTGGGAGCGGCAAGCAACGACGCACTTGCCGCTCCTGCCGTCATCAAAGAGCGATCTGTCTCCTCAGCGTTGGACAACCTACCTACGAGGTTACGCCAAAGCTCTGCACGTTCAGTTGCGAGGGAAGAAGCTCTCCAATCTTCCAAGCGGCAGGAGCTAGAAGCAGAAGTCAAGGCGAAGGAAGTGCCAAGCGGAGATGGCCGTCTGCGAACAGAAGCCGCCGTAGGCCGTTCCAGTAGCAAAACAGCCTCCACGTCAAGCAGTAAGCGCTCGACATTAGGACTGTATCCACTCCTTCATCCGGACGATCACTGCGAGATGATGCCAAGGACATCTCTAGAGGACGTCAACACCGACCTCCGACTGATGCTTTCTAACCTGGTGCCTCCGACATCTGGTCGCCGGCGCGTAAGCTCGAGAAGGGCACCCCATGCATACGTCATCAAATGGGTAGACTACACTAATCGTTATGGCATTGGGTATGTTCTAGATGACGGTAGTGTGGGATGCGTGTTCAAAGCGGAGAACGGCCAGCCGGCCAGTGGAGTTCTGCTACGAAATGGTGAAAGGCATATCCGTCGGAAAGCCCGTAGCCTAAGCAAACAAAAGGATGGAGCCTCTACCTACTCCGAGGCTGATCAGCTCGTGCCTCGTAACGGCAAGCCGGTGGAATTCTATGAGAACTGCGAAATCACATCGCCAGATGGTCTGACCGGCATCCGGCGTGCGCTCGTTGCCCCATCTGTTTTCGAGGTGAAGCCGTCTTCTGATGGCTCCTCTGGTGCTGGAATCAAGGTTCGCACAAACTCCGGTCTCGAACGCGCGCGTGCCGATGCAGAGAAGATCAAACGCGTGAAGCTGGTTGATCAGTTCGGCAAGTATATGATTGGATCCTTGGGCAGACATGACGACGATGACGTTTCGGAAGACGATAAACCAACAGACGGGCTTGGCCAGTTTATCAAGTTCTACCAGCGATTGGGCAATGTCGGTGTCTGGGGCTTTGGCGACGGTGCTTTCCAGGTTTGTTAGCCCACCTCTGTAACTTGATACACGCTCTAATCATGGTCTCGAATAGTTCAATTTCCCCGACCACACAAAGCTTGTCATATCCCCCGGTCGTACAAGAGCCTCATCACCCTGGATTGACTTCTATCATCTCTCCCCTTCTGCGGCCCGGTATCTGAGTGCCAAAGGAAAGATGCACCCGTCCGGATTTGACACTCGAGCCGTCGCTTCAGACGAGGCCACGGCATTCCTGAGCATTGCACATGGCAGCGCGATGAGCTCTGTGGACCAGCGCATTTGCGATGTCCTAGAAGCCAACTTTTTCCTGGAGAAGATCAGCTTTATCAGGGAAGTCATGAAGAGCTGGGTTAAGCATGGGCGCTTGGGAGGTGGCCTATCGCAATATGAGACTTCAGCTGACGCTTCCAAGATGCTTTGGGAAGGCACTCAGGAGCGGGCGCAACTTGGAGGAGGCAAGTTTGTTTGGGTGACCGTCGGGGCTCCTGGAGGGGATGGCGAGTATCGATCCATTTCTCTGAAAGAGAAAGAATCAGAAGGAAGAGAGAATGACCCGGAAATGGAGTCTTTACGAGAGCGATTGCGGGCATTAGCTACCAAGCCTTAGATTCGGCAACCTTTCCAGCTACAAACTTACGATGTCACGACTTTTTGATTTGTGTTTTCCTTGGCTCAGAATTCAAGCCTGCGGTCACTGAAATTTCTTTTGTGATATCCAACCAAAGCGCTGAGTGGTTTGCATAAAGCTTATAGCTTCGTTCTGTCAATTAGCATTGAACGCAATCTGCTGCTACTCTTTCTTGAGATACAATGACTCCAATGTACTGATACCCTGTTAAGGAGGAAGTGGTCTCTTGCATCGCGTATCCGTTCTCTCAACTTATGATAAATCCTTTTCTGGTTTGATTCCAACAGCGCGCCGTTACCTTGCTTGTATGGCATCGAAACAGTGCTCGTCTGAGCCCAGCTGCCAGGAGCTAAACCATCCGCTTGGACATTGGAGTCGCATTCGACCCCGACAGCCATAGACTAGTGGAAAAAATCTCGGAGTATCTCTAGGAGTCTCTTTGAATGATTCCATTCGTTACTCCGTCCAGCTGTGTCATGTAATACAGGCGTCCATCGTGCGGGGTTAGATAGCCCCTCTGTCCTCAGGCTGATGGTACTCAACGTCTAGCATTTCATCAATTGCCCAATCCTTCTGACCTTACTGAGATCTGTCTGCGATCTATCTATCCCATCACAAAATGGGCACCGTTCCCTTGTCCGAGATGCAGAATCCGTCATGCCTCCTGTACGGCCCGTTCGACGCAAGATTCGAAGATAGACCCATCCCGCAGATCGAGGACCCATCCGACGTGATCATTCGCATCGCATACACAGGCGTCTGCGGAAGCGACGTACGTCACATACCTCCTTTTCCCTGACCATCACAAAAACCCAATCTAACCACAAGCACAAGGTCCATTTCTGGCTCCATGGCGGAGTCAAACGCCTCGTATCCCCCGAGCAACCGATCGTCATGGGCCACGAAGCATCCGGCATCGTCCACGCCGTTGGACCCTCGGTTTCTGCCCTCCAACCTGGAGACCACGTCGCCATTGAACCGGGCTACCCGTGCCACCGGTGTCTCTGCTGCAAGAGCGGCCGGTACAACCTCTGCCCGCGAATGAAGTTCGCTGCGGCCCCGCCGAGCTGCCACGGCACGTTGACCAAGTACTTCCGTCTGCCGGCGGACTACTGCTACAAGATCCCGCCTGGGACGTTAGGGCTCGACGAGGCGGTGGTGATGGAGCCGCTGGCGGTTGCGGTGCACTCGGTGCGACAGGTGGGTGTGCGGCCCGGGGATCGAGTGGTCGTGTTTGGTGCGGGAACGGTAGGCTTGCTTTGTGCAGCGGTAGCGAGGGAGTTTGGGGCCGCGACGATTTTCATGGTTGATCTTAACGCAGCGAAACTGGAGTTTGCGCGGTCGTTTCTCGCGAGCAAGGAAATGGTCTTGGGGACGTGGCTGCCTTCTGCTCCCGGGTCTTCGGAGGAGTATGCCGCCGCTTTGCTGGCTGCGTTTGAGCGAACCGAGCACTGGAGCGACGAGACCCCTGGGTTTGATGTCGCTATTGAGGCTACGGGCGCGGAGCCGTGCATTCAGATGGGGATTGAGGTGCTTCGGGTTGGGGGTGCGTTTATCCAGACGGGGCTTGGGAAGCGGAATGTGAGCTTTCCTATCTGCACGGTTGCGGAGAGGGAGATTGTGGTGAAGGGGTGCTTTCGGTATGGACCGGGGGATTTTCGGATGGGCCTGCAGTTTGCAGTTGAGGGGAGGATTCCTGTCAAGGAGTTTATTACGAAGGTGTTGCCTTTTGAGAGGGCGACGGAGGCCTGGGAGACGACGAGACGTGGAGAGGGCATCAAGACGTTGATTGAGGTGTTCCAGTGAGGCAGAGAGATCCATGAAAGTTTGAGCATTCAGGTTTAAAATTGTAGAACAAAAACAAGGGTCTGGCTGCCATCACTGTTCTCTAATGTCATAGTATTTAACTGCAAAGCGTATTTGTGACATGTTCAGTATAAAAATTATCCTTGAGAATGTACATTGGCCAAGTCATTCACTTTTTGCTTGACGCAAGCGTGCATTCCTCCTCATCTCAACATCACCCCGTGCTAACCATCTACTCGCTTCTACTAGTTGTACGACATTCACATACTGCTTGAAGAGCATGAAGGGCAACGAGACAGTAAGCAACAACCACGGCATGGAACTGTCGATTTTATTGGCACTAGATTCAGTCAGTCAGCACCAGTCCTAGCCTCGCCAGGGTTACAGCTCACCGAGCCATTTCCATAGCCCCAGCGCTCCACAGAGATCCCCAGATCTGGGATGCTTTTCCGTTGTCCTTCAATGAAGGCGTGAGCAACGGCGAAGAAAACGAAAGTAGATACAGCGCGATGAAAGACGCCTCGTTCATCGTGCATACAGTAAAGAGAACTTTCTGTCTATACGTCAATTTCATATGATCTGTATTCAAATGGTGATGGCAAACCTGAGTAGAGTAATACGTCCTCATAATCCAAGGCCGACTCTCGTCGATATCCTTATGACTCTGCGTCTGTCCGCCCATTGCCAGGGTGGCATACATGTGGACGTAGTGGCTCGAATAGTCCAAGCTAATCAAGGCCTGAAAGATGATGCTCCATCTGGGAAACGCGGATGCGAGAAACACCAGCAGACAGGTTGTTGTGCATCGATCGGTGATCATGTCCAGGACGGCGCCGAAGCGTGTTGTCTGTCCGAGGCGTCGGGCAGCAGCTCCGTCTAAGGCGTCTAGGAGATATGAGACGCTGTATAGCAGTGAACAGGTCCGTGGGTGGTAAGGCATGTAGTAGAGGGACCCAATGGCGAAGACGACTCGGGTGTAACCTAGGAACGAACAGTCAGTAGGGCGACTCTGGGCTGTATGGCTTGAAAGATTCTCATACCAATCAAGTTTGGAATAAGGAGGAAGACATTCTCTTCCTTTCCATTTACTGGTTTTTGATGGTTAGGATGGGTAGACATTGAGTTGGACGGTTGCAGTGATGATCTCATGGTAAGTTGTTGATTCTGAATAAAGACAGTTACCAATTTACAAGGATGAGCTAGATTGCTCATGTGCCTTAATTGGAAGGATATTTTTCCGACAGACACTAGACAGGGATTAGAATAATTCTGGGGTGTTAATAGTACCAGATCCACATCTCTCCTATCATCATCCTAGCCTGATATTCAGTCATTATATCGGCAGGGTGTCGGTGTACCTCTACCCTAGATATAGTTCTACATTCTAAGCATGCATGATCTGTAACATCTCTAACGAGTATACATGGTTCCCGGGGTTTTCTACGTGATGCATTTTGATCTCGTCCAACTAACATCGCTACCAGGCATCATCGTGACTGTATCCTTTGACTCCGTCTTTCCAACACAATACATAACCTTCATATCATGCAACTCTCTATACCGTATCCACCCGTCTCTAAACACGCAAAAGCAAGCAGTTCACGGGTATCAATTAATCACCCTCGCAGGCCGAAGCATATACCCCTGCACATACCCACCCGCAACCTCCCTCTCCTCCACCACCCGAAACCCATACTTCTCATACAGCGGCCTCCCCACCGGCGACGCCGACAGATACGTCTCCACTCCCACCTCATCAGCCCTCTCCAATCCCCACCGGAGCAGTCTCGACGCGAGTCTCCGCCCAGCATACTCCGGTCTGGTCCCCAGCATCTCCAGATCTACACAGTCAGCATGCACCTTTTGTGTAACAGAGCTCAAAAGGGAAATCAAAGGGGAAAGCAAATACAGTAATGAGGCCGAGCACCCATGATCCTCCCCTTCATCTCCTCCATCCCGCCGAAGAATGCCTCGCGGAGCTCCCTGTCGGAACTGGCGGGGTAGCCGTGCTCATCGCCTGCATGTGGAAGCGAATGTTTCAAGTGGACATCCTCGGGGGAGGATTGGACGGGGAGCTGCCACACGGCAAACGCGACGATGGACCCATCTGCCGAGTCGATTATTTTGAGGACTGTCTTGTGTGGGTTGTTGATGAAGGAGGTGAATTGTGCGGTCCAGTAGGCCGTTACGTCTGGGGTGCGTGGAAACAGGCGGTGGTTGAAGGGGTCGCGGAAGGCGGCGAGGAAGACGATGGTTAGGGCGGGGGAGTCTGTGGGGTTGCGGGGAGGAGTTCGAAGGTCATTTTCTTTTTTCCTTTTCTTTTGCTATGTATTTATTTTGTATATTTTTATATTGGGTTGTGGATCTATGGTTCTGAAAAGATGAAAAACGCGGTGAGAGAAGACTGAGATGACATATGATGTGCCAAGACTCTTGCAGCTGTGGGACGAGTGGAGCACATTGCCCGAGTATGTTGCATGATTTGCATGATTTCCATCTCATTCGTACTGATTCAGGAGTATATATCTGTTGTGGTGGTGGTATACGGAAGGATATGATCATGCAGGTTCATTAGGATTAGCTATTAGCTGAGTTGATACGCTTCGAGTCAAGACAGTTTCAAACCCGCTCATAGTGTGGGTGCTTCTCCAATACCGGCTCAGGAACAGACACCGGGCTGCTCGCATCAGGCTTTCCAGGCTGCTGCGATTCAGGTACCCGCGCCTGCGGCAAAAACGACCGACGAGTCTGCCCCGGTCCAGATGACGAGCGACTCTCCCCGCTCTTGGTCGCCTCGATCTCCCGCTTGACACCCTCATACATACTCTCGATGAAAAGAATCTCCTCCTGGACATCCAGCTGGCAGCCGTCGAGGCAGAACTCGCGCTCTCGCTGCTCAATATATTCCCGAATATTCCGCCATTCGTTCTGGTAGTGCTTCAAACGATCGGGCAGCCCAGACCCCTTGAGATAGGTCAGTATACCCGCCATGATAGTGTTGATGGCACCAAACGCCGTGACGGCGTTGTGGGGCCCGCGTGCAGCACCGAGGGCCGTAAGCGCGGCCGCGACCACGATCTGGATGCCCAGACAGGTGTTCATGAGGATGCTGAAAAAGCGGAACCGCTGTGCGGCGGCTTGCTCGGCGCGCACGACGCGCGTGTAGATGCCGACATTGGGCGCGCTGCGCGGGTGATGGTGCGGGATTGCCAGGGCCGGGACGGTGTCGATGCCGGTGAGAGCGCGGAAAACGAGCAGTTTGTCTGACGGGGGGATCAGGGTGCTGGCGTGGGTGGTCACTACCGTCAGACGGCGGGCGAGTTGTGGATTATTTGCGGAGCCCATGGATAGACCCTCGTTTTCTTGGTCGTGGAGTCCGTGCATCGTAGGGTAGTGAGGGTAGCCCTGTTCCTCGCGATCAACGGGGTCGATGATCGCTGTCAGGATACGCCTGAGAAGGGTCGGTCGGGGTCGTTCGGCCATGGTTGTTTGCAGCTTGGCTCTTTGGCTCTGCGGTAGAACGGGTGACGAGACAAGCTGTACAGGGTCTGTGTAGGTTGAGATTGTCGACTGTGCGGGACAAACCCCCTCGTACTTAAGGATCTGTCAAGCACCGTGAGCTTCCGAACAGTGGACTACATTTGCTGTCTTTGCTTATTTTTTTTCCTCTTGTTTGTTCGTCCGAGCTTGGTCTTGATTCAGCTAGCCTAGGGCCCGGCGGCTGCAGTCAAAGATATGAGCGCCGAATCATATCGAAGATAGTGCGAATGAAGTGAAATGAGATGGGAAAACTTGGCCAATAATCAAGCCATTTATTTTCGCTTATTCCTCAACTGGATGACCGACTGCAGATCAGCATGTTTTGGGCAATGACTCCGGCCGATCCCTCGAGAGCTCAGGCGTGCGGGAGCGGCCCTCTGAAGAACCAGACCCAGACAATAGTCACAGCAGGAACTATCTCACTCCGTGGACTCGGCCCAGAGTCTCCTTACTCGTGCCCCTTGCTCTGTCAAAATGACTATTCCGTACAGGAACTTGATTACACCCATGAGCATGATGCGCAGGGTGGTGGAGGGATCGCAGACGATTTGGAATACAGATGTCGACACAGAGGGGGAATGCGAACTCTTCATTTAGTGTGTCTTGGCGATGGACACACGGGAAGTTAAAGAGTGATTGACGAACTGAAGATCAAGGCTCAAGATGATGGACATTTTTTGTTGCCGAAGATGGTGAAGAGTCAAATCTAGATTCGGTGGAAAATGTCACTCGTCCGGTCGGAAAATCTCCCCGCCAATAGACTACCATTGAGTACTCTGTAGAGCACCTTGTTTCGAGTCGTTCGAAGATACAACTCGTCAAGTCACTGCCTTCATGACAATCAACATGAAGAAAGTCTAGCACCGGCGTGTTGACCATCAATAGGTCTTTGCTCTCCAGGTCTTGTTTCACACAACATGAAACTGGTTACTTTGCAGATACGGGAGGGGAGTGCTCGTGAGGCATGAAGATCGGAGAGATTCTGATCAATAACTAAACAAATTAGCGATCCTCTACTAGAGGTACGTGCACAATGGAAGAAAAATGGACTGATCATCTCCTGCATGCACATGACCTTTTGCAGCACCAAGCAGGAAGCTGGACATTCCATCTTGGGTATAATGGCTTGACTCAGAACCCCCACTAAAGCCTAAACGGTTATATCACTTAGGTGCGCATCTTACAAGAGTCCTTTTGTTCTATGTCGAATATCTATTAATGAATGATTCTTGATGACATTGAACCTGAAGTAGGTTGATGTCCAAGTCTCCTTAGATATTCAGGAAGATGTCTTCATCATCAGACTCAGGACTGGATGAACTATCAAGTCGATTGTATGTTTATACCTTTGCCACTGTGAACAATCCCTTCGCAGCCTTTGCCTTGCTCATCACACTAGGAACTCTGCTCACTGTCCTGGCCACCACGGCATCATCGTCCCTGACCTCGGCTTCAGCACCAGTCTTTTGCGACTTCAGGTCTGTTATCTTCCACGCTCGCACAAACCAGAGGCAGATAGCTGCTCCCATATACATAAAGCCAGTAAATATCTGGGCATGCAGAAAATTGGTTCCGTTGTCGGTCCGTAACCAAAGGGCGATCGGTTCGGCAAATGTGCTCGGTATGACCACCGAAAGCCAGAGTATAGACAAGGCAGATGGTAGGACTTGCAATCCCACAACCTCGGTAGCCACCGGAGCAACGGTAGTCGTGAAAGTTGGGGCAACAACGCCGCCAACCAAAGCATAGAAGATGAGGACCCCAAAACCTTTGGCAAAGATCCAGATTGTCAGAGAAAAGAGGCCAGCCAGGAAGGTACAAACGGCTGCGGTGTTAACTGGTCCAAAACTATCGCTGACGTACCCTATGGCTGGTCGGCCAAGGCCTCCTCCAAGATTGAACATGGCACCAAGAATCGAGCCTTGAGATACGGTAAGCCCCACGGTGCTTGCGTAGCTGGGGATCGAAAAAAGAAGGGCCACATAGCCCAGCACGCTAAAACAACCCCAGGCCAAAGTGAGCAGAAACTCTGGTCTTTTCAAAAGACTGGCATGGAAGGCAATTTGGACAGCTCCAATGGCCATATTCCGATCCCTTATAAGGATAGCGGAGATGCCGCACGCAGCAGCTGATACTATAGCCAAGATCCGGAAAGCCCAGCCAGTACCCCATCTCTGAATCATGGCACTTGTAGCCAACGAATAAATCAGGCCGCCAATCCCTGATCCCGCCGTTCCAATCCCGTTTGCAAGGGAGCGTCGGCGGCTGAACCACTGAGGGATGATACCAACCGTACCACTGAATTGCATTCCCATCCCGAATCCAAAACACAAGGCCTGACTTAGAAACAATTGCCAAATCTCGGTCGCCCATGACGCTCCTAATAATGCTGCGCTCTGTAGTATAACTCCTATCGTCAAGGTAGTCCTTGTCCCCCATTTCCGAGTAGTGATGGTTGCGACGGGAGCGATGAACTGGGCCATACTGAGCGAAAGGCCTCCGACAAAGGCAAAGTCTAGGTCTGATGCCCCGGAAATGTATTTGTGTCCATATAATGTGCCAAAAATATACCATACGACTAATTTGCAACGAAAATTAGCAAAGATCGAGCATTTTGTCTTAAGGCCTCGAGAACCCTACACTATTGATTCCCCAAGTATGGGCATTGACCAAAAAGACGCACAGCACACAGAGCCAGCCATAACCACCATCCGGGGGAGGTTCTACCTCTCTGCGTGCCGGTGGTGCTTGCTCGGGGTCAGTGTTGACCGGTTCGTCGCCGGCAGGGTCATTCCCGGACGACGTCTTCTCTGAAAAGTCGGCAGAAGGGTGTTTGGAGTCGTGGCCAGGTGGAGACGCTGTTATCGCCTGACTCGAGTAATCATTCTTCTCCAGCTGCATTTCTTGAGTAGAGCGGAACACAACTGAGGTAAGCTGGTGTGGTAAAAGCCCAGGAAGGTTGTGCGTAAGACCTTGGATAAATACCTTGCTGACTGAGTCATACGTAGAACTAGATGTACGGAGTATAGATTTCCCTTTCCTTTGGCGTGCATCGCCCCCCGGCGACCAACGTTGTCTGACTCAGACTTGAGTTCAGTATTGAGGCATTGATGGTGCTGATAGGCAGAGATGTCGACTCAGCTTGCTTATCTCTTGGCGTGTATTACCCCATGGGGTCAGCAATTACCTGATGTAGGTTTTCGGGTTCAGGATCAAGGCGTTGATGCCGCTGATAGACGGAAATGTGGACTCGGCTATATCTTGGCCTACATTGATTTGCATAACTATTGGGTATTGATTCATACATATTGCTACGTTATACATTTTCGGTAAACAATATTGCTTCTTTCACCAAATCCCCGCTTTTTCTGGCCTTTTGGGGGCCGTTTGCTCCATTTGCTCCATTCGCGGGCCGACTGACAGGCGGGCAATACCGGGCCTACCGCGCCTCAACCGTACCAAGCTACAGTTCATACAAACAATGATATGACTGTGTGATATTTGTTCTTTGTCATGTATGATTTACACACTATAGATGTGATGAACGATCGAGATAGGTCGAGGGACGAAACTCCCAGATCTTATGCACATAGATCTGTACAACAGGGATTAATCCATATATGGAATGGAGCCCTGAGATACCCCAGTCCCATAGTGGATCCGGCCGGGGGCGGGAGTACTAAACCTGAGTGGAGTACTTTAACCTCCAGTAATCGATGGGTTTGACGCACGTCACGATAACCCTGGATTGTTCCACCATTGGTCCATATCCACTATTATCCACTATCGTAATGTTAGTTACAAACCATGTGAAGTCACTCAAGAAGTAAGCTTAATCTTGGGGGCGGGCAATATATCATTCAACGGTGATGGAGATTTGCCGGGAAATCTTATTCCTTTCCTGAACTTTCATGGAAGAATTGACAGAGCTGAACAAGAAGTCAGCTCGAGGATGTCAAAATACGAAAGGACGGTCTTTCTATAATGTCTAAATTTGTAAAGCAAAGCATAAGAGGCGTCGAGTACCAGAATGCTGATAATCAACAATCACTACTACAAATGGCTATGCATTTAGCCACCTTCGCGAGTCATGCTGTGGACGTGACTTTCAGGCTAGCAGGGGTACTGAAGTCATGAGGCAACAATAAACAGTATTATTGGTCCCCAATAACATGCGCACTTACCTTTAATGTATCATTAAAGGGAAGATGAAGTATGCTCACGCTCTGGAAGCTGAAAGCTCATATGATTGCAAGATTTGGCCGTCCTTCCTGCAGGTAGGCTAGACTTAAGTGAAGTAATTTAGACCTCCAATATCTAATTACTGGATCTGACACATGTCACTATAACTCTTGATTGTTTCACCATATCTCGCTATCATAATGCTAGTTACAAACCACTCAAGCCCTGTAAGTCCCTTACGACTCTGGAGGCTCGAAAGTAATATAATTATATGGCTTGGCTGTTCTCCCTGTAGGTAGGAAGTATACTCGAGTGGGGGAGTGCAGTCCTCCAGTGACCAATAGATATGACACATATCACTGTAACTCCCAATTGCTTCACTGCTTCTCACTGTCATTCTGATAAATGCCTCACTGGTGTATAGAGCAAGGGTGTGGGACCTCATCCACTTGGCCAAAAGGCTCAAAATGGTAACTATAGTTGATCATGGCTCCTCACATCTATATAAAGTCTGGCCGCAACAGCTGGCTCTGAACCTTTGAGTATTCTCCTATTCAGTCAATCAGTCCGCGGAAAATCTTCATTCGTTTCAATATGAAAGCTATTAAGAGAACATTTGCTCACTGCAAAGAAGAAAACCGAGTATGTATTCCCTGGGTGGCGGAAGCTGTGTGTATTTATATGAGGTTTAAGAAGGCATTGCTGACTTATAATATAGCCTGCCTTTGTGACTTTTGTCACAGCTGGATTTCCTACAGTTGAAGAGGCTGTAGATATTATATTGGGATTGGAGGCTGGGCGTGCAGGTATGCAATACATGATGTCGACTGAATTGATCTATGTTGTCAACTTCTTCTTGTCGCAGATATCATTGAACTCGGTGTTGTTAGTAGTCTCGAGCGCTATTTGATACCCACTGTTCTTCTAACATTAAGTTACCGTTCCACGGATCCCTTTGCGGATGGACCTACTATTCAGAATGCAAATACCGTATGTTGGTCCTCATATATTATCTGCATATTTGCTAACCATATGCAAGCGCTTGCATATAATGTCACTATAGAGTCAACCCTAGGGATGATAAAAGAAGCTCGGAAAAGAGGTCTCCGAGCACCGCTGCTATTAATGGGTTATTACAACCCACTATTGAGCTATGGCGAGGAGCGATTGTTGAATGATTGTCGTGTGGCTGGTGTAAATGGGTTCATCGTGGGGGATCCTCCTCCACACGAGGCTGTAAGATTCAGGAGTTTCTGTGCGAAGAGCGGGTAAGTCATGGTCCTTCTATGATACCTTAAGATATCCTCACTGACGATAGTTTACAGACTGTCATACGTCCCTCTTATCGCTCCTTGTAAGCTCTTCTCACCCTTATTTGTCCAACCTGCTTAGCTTCTAACCCTTCCATTATTCCAGCCACTACCGAGAACCGAGTCAAGAATTGCTCTGCAAACTCGCCGACTCGTTGGTCTACGTTGTATCGCGTATGGGCGTCACGGGTGCAACAGGTACGCTGAATGCCGGTCTACCACAGCTATTGAAACGAATCAAGCAGTATTCTGCCAATTCTCGAGAGCAGTTGGGTTCGGTCTCAGCACAAGAGATCACTTCTTAGGTGTGGCTAGCACAGCAGATGGTGTTGTCATCGGCAGCCAAATCTTCACAACTTTGGCCGTGGCCGCTTCTGGAGAGCGGGTTAAAGCTGCCGAGGAATACTGCGCTAGGGTATGTGGAAGGAGAAATTTGAAAGGGCGTCGAATGACTCAAAAAGTGGCGTCGAATGGAGCTCAAGAGCCAAATGGTGATGTGCAAGTGAATGGTAATGGTACCATCTATACAAATGGCAACCACTCAGGACCTCTTGATCAGAAAGAGGCGATGAATTCCGAGGTTGGAGATCCAGAACTCTTTCCTGCACGCTTCGGTGAATTTGGGGGTTCGTATTCCCCAGAATCACTAATGGGATGCCTTTCAGAATTGGAGGCAGGTTTTGAAAACATTCGGAACGACCCCGAGTCTTGGGCGGAGTCTCGATCATACTACCCCCTATCTAGGAAGGCCGGGCCATCTCCATGTCGCGGACCGTCTTACTGAACATGCTGGCGGAGCCACTATTTGGTTGAAGCGTGAGGAATTGAACCATACGGGAAGTCATAATATAAACAGGGCTCTGGGACAGATTCTTCTGGCTCGTTACCAGGGTAGGCCTGAAATCATTGCTCAGACCGGTGCTGGCATGCATGGTGTAGCGACTGCCACAGTCTGTGCTAAATTTAGCATGAAGTGCACAATCTTCATGGGAGCAGTAAGTCCATAGGCTTGGGACAGTGTTGCAAGTTTATATCTAACACCTATATAGGACGATGTTAGGAGACAGGCAGTGAACGTGTTCAGGATCAAATTACTCGGTGCTGCGGTCATTCCTGTCGAGGCAGGCTCAAAAACTCTCAGAGACGCCGTAAATGAGAGTTTTCGAGTTTGGATTACGAAGGTGCACGCCGCGTGTCACATTATCGGTTCAGCAATTGGGCCACACCCCTTTCCCACGATCGTGCGCACTTTCCAGACTGTCATTGGGGAGGAGACGAAGGCACAATATGCTGGACAACGAAATAAACTACCGGGCGCGGTTGCTGCCTGCATCGGTGGGGGCAGTAACTGTTTAGGGATGTTTTACCCGTTTATTAATGATCCAAGTGTGCAGCTTCTGGGAGTCGAAGCCGGGGGTGACGGCCTTGAGACGAAGAGGCATGCCGCTACCCTAAGTGGCGGCACTAAGGGGGTCTTGCACGGCAGCAGGACATATGTGTTGCAGGATGAGCATGGACAGATACAAGATACCCATTCCACCTCAGCTCGTCTGGACTATGCCGGGGTTGGGCGAGTAGAGTCTGCATATTTCCCTGAGATGTCGTCGCCCACAGTCTGAGCTGGCCAGAGCTGACTTCTGGAAAAGACTCGGGACGCGCAGAATTTGTTGCCGTTACCGATGCTCAAGCTCTCGAGGGGTTCAAGCTGCTCAGTGAGCTGGAGGGGATCAGTCCTGCTCTAGAAACTGCTCATGGAATCTGGGGCGCTGTTGAGCAGGCCAAGACAATGAAGAAAGGCCAAGATGTTGTTATCTGTGTTAGTGGAAGAGGGTATGTCTATCCCCACAATGCATCTCGCGCTCTCGACTGACTTGTTTTCAAGTGACAAAGATGTGGAAAATGTGGCGGAGGAACTGCCTAGACATGGACCAAAAATTGGGTGGGATTTGAGGTTCTGATAGACCTAGGCGAACAACAGTTGCTGTCTGACCAATCATTTGGCGTCAACTAAAGTTGTTTGACGTGATGAGGCCGACTGGTTGTGGATAAGCTGAAGTGGACTGCAATACCAAATCAGAAGAAGAGCTCTTCAACAGCGCTTTAAGGGCAATTGATGCCTCGATGGACAGTTTACCGAAAGTATAACGTAGAGGGAATTGATAGTTCATTCGTAATCATACTACAAATAAGCGATGCACATTTCAATGAAATTTGATGTCAGAGTTCAAGGATTGATATTTCTACGCTGATATTTGCTGCCGCACAACCTTCCTATCTGATATGACAAGAGGTACCTATGTCCGTATACTCATGTACACGAGAAGCTCTCTGATTCTTCTGATCACAATGACGTGACTCGTATGAGGATAACCTCGGTTGTCGATGTCCAAACAACCAGCATTAGTAATGCAAGTGTGGGGATTTCTGGAGAAGGCCCGATAAGGAAATCTCCCCCAGTGGCCGATGGGAACTCGGTCCCCTCCTTCGCGATATTTTGCAAAAATTGGCAACAATTGCTCATCTGGAGATTCTGGACCAGACGGGGCTGGGTCGATATTACTGCGTCCAGAGTCCCCTTTCATACCTGGTCATTCTAGGGAGTCGACTGCCACCTTTTCCAATATCTTTCAGCGTCCTCGGGCCTTGAGTCCTGACAGCGAGAGAAATGGGTGATGCGGGTTTAGCCAAGGAGCAGTTGCTCATAGCTTATGACCTACCCGCAGCGGTAATCGAAGATATCCGTGCCAAATTTCCCACCGCCGAGATTACCGTCATTCACCTGGAGAGAATGGCTCCGATTCCAAGTGGTTCGTCATGCACTCATTCAATTGACAATGGATACGCTGACTCTTCGCTTAGAGTATGCGCGGAAGGCTACCATTATTGTCACTTTCGCCAATCTGCCGAATATTGAGGACTCTGCCAAGTAAGTATACAAGACAGCATTCCTACCCGGGATTGGTCCTTACCGATGGGAACTGACCATGCCAGTATCAAGCTGATTCATACCCTCTCGGCTGGAGTCGACCATCTCTTGACCCATCCTATTCTCAGAGACAGCAAGATACCCATCAGCACCAGCTCGGGAATTCATGGACCTCCTATTGCCGAATGGACTGTATTGAACTGGCTCGCAGCATCGAAAGATTTTGTTCGGACGTACGAGAATCAAAAGCAGCATGTCTGGGGAGGTATCGACGAATACATGCATGGGCTGCATGACCAGGTTGGGAAGAAGGTGGGCATTCTGGGATACGGGAGTATTGGACGACAGAGTATGTTATTGACCACTTCAATAAAAACGTCTGCTGACTGTGATCCAGTCGCCCGTGTCGCCGTGGCTCTAGGAATGACTGTCCACGCGTATACGGCTTCTCCTCGCCTGACTCCCGAATCCCGTCGCGATACTGGACACATTATCCCCGGCACCGGCGACAAGGACGGCTCATTACCAGTATCATGGCATCACGGCACAGACAAGGCATCTATCCATTCATTCCTGAGGCTCGGATTGGACCATCTGGTAGTCTGTGTGCCATTAACAGCGCAAACACATCATCTCCTCGGAGCCGAAGAATTTGCCGTCTTATCCTCACACATACCCGCCGGACACCCTAAGCCATATCTGACCAACATTGCACGCGGCAAGGTCATCGACCAAGAGGCATTGATCGCGTCTCTCCGCTCGGGTGAGTTGAGTGGGGCAGCGCTGGATGTCACCGATCCAGAACCGCTCCCAGCGGATCATCCACTATGGGATGTGCCAAATGTTCGGATCAGTCCTCATATTAGTTCCCTGGGCAAGGAATATTTCCCCCGGTCATTGGATATTGCCAAAGAGAATATGTGGCGACTGGAGAGGGGAGAACCGCTGGTCAATGAGTACAAACGGACTAGGGGATATTAATTGGGATATTTTTGACTGGAAGAACCTTTTATTGGATAAGCGCGCATTACAATAACTAGAATTGATCCCGGCCCCGGCCTTATTTAGATACTTCCTACTTGGGATACAAGTACACACCGAGTTGGACAGGCGGACATCCCCGCCCAGACCAATCAAAGGCAGCCCCGCATGCCCACGGTGACAAGCTTATCGCCGGCGCTTATCATTTGGCTGGAAAGCCTGGAACCTAAGGAATCCAGGATCGGCTCATTATTCACTCCATCGGTCTTTCGAATTCCAGATCCCAAAACACTCGTTCTATCCAATCCTGTATGTGACAGTCAATGTCTCCCTTCCCCTTTCTCTCCCTCCCTCCCGAAGTCCGCCTCCAAATCTACCACTACTTGATCCCCAACATCCCAGTTCGCAACTTCTCCCTGATCCGCAACAAAAAGCCCCCCTCAGACGAGACGGGAAACCGTGCTGCCCCGCCCTCCTCCGCACCAACCATGCAATCCACAACGAAGCCATCCGCGAATGGTACAGCGCAGCGTCTTACGAAGTCATCGTCGATGCGAAATACATTCTCTTCTGCGGCAAAATTTTAGCCCCCTATGTCCCGCTTCCGTCTACGATCCGCTACGTCACAACCATGCACCTCTGCATCGCGCTGCAGCGCACTCCCTTACATCTCCTTCGGCCCGAGGCCACCGCACCACTCGAACACCTCCTGGGTTTCCAGGATCGACTTGTGACACTGGCGAAGGGAATCGGGGACCCAGTTGGGCGGAGGCTCAGGACGCTCTTGGTGGAGATTGAGGTTGATGTGCCGCTGCTGTTGAGCTTGAGTAAGACGCCGGCGGAGCTGCTGGAATTGCTGCGGTGGAATTTGGATCCAGTCAGGCAGAACGTAAGGGGAGTGGAAGTTGTTAAGTGGGAGGTCAAGGAGCAGAGTTACGGAATACAGAGTCGGGAGTTTCTGGCAGCCTATGGGGAGTTGAGGACGGTCATGCATCGGTTTTTGGAGAATATGAGGGAGGAGATGGTATCCGACGAGGATGAATTGGTTTGATGTTCAAGTATGTATTTACGACCATGCAATCATGATAGTAAAGTAATCAGTGAGTTGTCTGCTGATGATATCTAGGGATTTTCCCAAATTGGAAAAAAGCATGGCCAAGCAATTCAGCCCGACAGCTGATTGTGCCTTGGCGTCAGCGTCATCATAGCCTTGTCTGCTTCAAGACAATAAATTACAAGAGACGCCATTTACGCAGGTCTTGTGCATTCTTCTCCTTTTTCATCAATTTGTCGAAGTTACTTGACTAGCCGAGATGGAAAAACCAATTGCTTCGTCCCAAAACAGACGCCGGCAATGCTGGGAATGCCATCGCCGCCGACTAGTATGCGACTTCTCACTACCGGGGTGCCGCAAATGCTACACTGCTGGGGTCGAGTGTCCTGGCTACGACGACAAGAAGCCGCTCAAGTGGGTCACAACGGGTGAGGTGACATCTCGACCGCGGAAGAAGATAGTTCAACCGAGTACTGCCAAGCAGCATGTGTCTGAAGGTACAAGTGACAGCCAAGACGAGTCTTGGAGTTTGAGCGTCCCTCGCGACCGACTGATCACTGAGCCTGGAGCGATCGTGGAGGCTGCATATTATTGTGAGTTCGCTTGTCGATTTGAACCAGCAATGTTCTAATAAATAGACAATACCTGCGTTCTACCGGAGTATACTTGCCTGCTCCAGCTAGCCGAAAATCCGTTCATTACTGCCTTTCCTATGGAAAGTCTTCAAGCCATCCCACCCCCGATCCACTGCACGCTTGTCTCTCTAGCGCTGAGCCACCGATTTTATCGACTACTCCCCCGGAACAGCCGTAACGATTTGCGAGGGATCGAAGCCAAGCATTACCAGCATCGAGGCCAGGCTATTCGGTACCTAAAGGATGAGATCGGCCGCCCAGACAAGTGTCGTACAGACAAAACGTTCGTCGGGGTGATGATGCTGCTGTTCAGTGATGTGGGCACCAGTATCTGCTTGCATTGAACTGACGCTGACGAGCATTTCAGTCCAGGCAATGTACTTCTCCCAACTGGCGTCATCACTTCACTGCAGCTCTGGAGATGATCACCCTTCGGGGAGGAGTGGAGAAGCTTGTTCAATCGGCTCCGCAGCTCAAAGCTCTGTTGCTGTATTTCATGATGTAGGTCTCTCCGTGGATAGTGGAACATGCGCTGACCAGGTCTAGTATCGGAGTCATCAGTAACACGACCAGTCCACCTTCCGACCACATCTCTCTGGGCTCGGATATACGGTCGATCGACGTAATCTCTCAGATGTACGCGGGCGGCTTCTTCCCTGTTCTTCTCTGTCCACCGGCACTTTTAGCAAATATCATCCGGATCAATCATCTCCGGCTGCAGGCCTTCTCGCAACCGTCCACCGAGTCCGAAGGAAAAGCTCTGGCGTTGCTAGGCCGGATCACGGCCTTTTCGCCAGAGCAGTGGGCCATGTCTTGCGCCGCCCCCGAAATGGGAATAATCCTTGGCCATGTTTACCGCTCCGCAGTGATACTGTACTGCATACTGTCTCTGCAGAGTCTCTGCGTCCTCCCGCGAACGGCACAGCTTAGATCAATGACAGTAACACACACAAAAGAGCTCTTCGAGTATCTGAAGCAGGCCTGCGGGGCACCTGGGATCGGAAAGTGCATGCTCTGGCCGCTCGTTGTGGCCGCAGTGTGCGCTGGGGGAGATTTGGGCATGCAACAGTTTGTTAATCGACAGCTCTCCGCTCTGGGAACAGATATCGGGACTCCCTTACCTCTTCTGGCGGCAGTTGTTTCCAGAAACTTCTGGGAGAGTAAGAGCAGAACCTGGGATGCCTGTTTTGAGCGACCCTACTGTTTTGTTGTGTAGACTGTGAGTCTGTCCGGATATAATTAGATTGATCGGCCTCAGAGGAACAGATTATCATATGGACGGTGCTCATTTTGGTCTCGTCGCATGTCCATTCCCTTAGGTGAGATGACAGAGTAGGATTTTAGTTTTCTGCAGACTTGGGGAATAAGGTTGATGATTGGCCAAGTAAGTCGATCTCTAATTTCTCTTCTATCCACACTAACAATCTTGTGTTTCTTTCGCGGAAGGCTTGCGGAGTCTGTGGGAGGTTAGGATGAGGATTAAGGTGGCTGAGGCTGTGCAGGTTGAATAAGGTTCCCTTGTTATCTATCACTCTTAAGCTACCCCTTGATCCTCCAGGCTACAGCATTAACATCATTCTCCTGATGTGGCGAAGCTGAGACAATAATGTTTGTCACGGAGACCGTTATCAAGCCAGACCAATCAACCCGGCTCTATTCGACCATCATCTGGTCGAGACTAAAAAACCAGGGTCTTGGCCGGGGAAGCAACTTTGGCATGCCAACGTCGCTTCCAGACACTGATCCTTCCCTTACGCGGAGAATGCTCGGAGGATTCGTAAGGATTCGTATCCAGTCCTTGGCGGCTTTGCAAGACTCTGGTCTTCTAGTCCTGGATCTGTTTTCGGGTGTTTTCCGGGTTTTTTTGGCAGCGTTTGATTTCGACTTCGGAGGAGAGCTTGATCTCCACTATGATTGCCCGTCCTGCTGCGGGGACTGGGGTGACCTTGCTACTCCGTACTATGATCTATCAGTTTATCAACACGGTGCAGCCGTGATGGCGGCCGGCCAGATAATCGAGATGAACGCGCGATAACAAGAGGAACTGATCGGTCTGACCCTGTTTGCTTCAAATGAGAGCAAGGTTAGTGCTCAATACCCAACATCTTGGCGAAGCCTCCATATGACGAAGGATCGTGGCACTCATCAACGTGGCTATGCTAACGGTGATCAATTACTGAATCAGGGTCTTGATCACCGTGGGATTGGGCCTGGCGACTTATATTTCCTATTTGAAATCATCATAGGCGATATACCTAGAGGTAACTCTTGGGGTGAAACCCGAGGACTTATATAGTCCCTCTTGCTCAAGCATTCTGCTTGCCACCGCAGTAATAATTAGGGATCGACCTTCACAATGCATTGGAGCAGATTCCCGCATCTGGCACTTGGTACGTATCTCCTACCTGTGCCTCCGGATAAGTGCTGACGCGATAACTAGCGCCCCTTGCCGCCGCCCAAATCTACTCTTTCTCTCCCGCAAGCGATATCGTCTATAGCGTGGTAGTACCTGAAAGCACAGCTTCCTCCAACTCCGGGCCAATCTACTTCCAGATCCGCGCACCCACCTCGTATCAATGGGTGGCTCTTGGCCAAGGCTCGCAGATGGCGGGCTCTAACATGTTCATCATGTACGCCGCCTCTGCCAACAATATCACCCTCTCTCCCCGGTCCGGCAGGGGTCACTTCCCGCCAGGCTACAACCCCGATGCGCAGATCGAGCTCCTAGACGGTACTGGTATCAGCAACGGGTACATGACCGCCAATGTGCGCTGCAATAACTGCCTTCAATGGACCGGTGGCTCTCTGGATCCGTCCAGCAGCTCAAGTAGCTGGATCTGGGCAGAGAAGCAGGATCCCGCGATTGACTCCAGCGATCCCAGCTACGCTATCATGCGGCATGATTCCCACGGCGTACACACTATCAGCATGTCACAGGCCCGCGTGGCCAACGTGGATGCAGTAAATCCGTTCGCTACGCAGAACGCGGCCTCAACCCCACAGACAGTATCAGGGGGGACCACAGCCTCCAAGTCGAACTCGATATTAATAGCCCACGCCGTCCTCATGAGTGTCGCCTTTGTCGTGTTCTTCCCGTCCTTCGCTATACCAATCCACATTATCCCCTACTCCAAGACCGTTTCGCGCATCCACGCACCACTGCAACTCTTCACCCTGGCTATGGTCCTCGCGGGACTCGGACTGGGAGTGTACCTTGGCGTGGACACAGACCAAATGGACAAGTACCACCCGATCATCGGCCTGGTCGTTGTCGGCATGCTGGTGCTCTTCCAGCCCCTCATGGGCTTACTCCAACATATGCATTTCCGTCGCACAGGCGGGAAGAGCCTCTTCGCATACGTGCACCGCTGGCTAGGCCGGACCCTGATCGCCCTTGGCATCATCAACGGCGGGTTAGGGTTCCTGCTTACCAAGAATGCGGGCAAGCCTGCGCCGAAGGGCGCGGTCATCGCCTACTCGGTTGTTGCTGGCGTGGTCGGCCTGGCGTATATTATTTTCGTGATTGTGCTTCCGTTCAGGTCGAAGAAGGGCGTTGCGCCGCAGAAGGTGGCGTCGCCGAACGGGTCCGGTGAGGGAATTGCTGTGCAGGAGAGGAATGGTGTCAGTGGTTGATGAGGTATGAGATATGGATTTATGTATGTATGTTTGTCTCGATGTTTTGTGTTTGATTGAGCGTTAAGCAAGTAGTATATGGAGGTCTACTGTTTGACTTACACAATCAAGATGAAGTTAATGCTGAATGGCTCTGGGCTTGATGTAATATCAGCGGGTCTGCGGATTATTCAAGGCGCTCATGCATATACATGTAGTCAAAAATACATGATGCCAATGGATCCACTGAGTCTACCCAAACTGCTATTGAACGTTTCTACCTGCACAATCATGCGCCTCCATTCAACGCGCGGATTTCCAACACCGTTCTGCAAGTTCAGCTGTCAGTCACGACAAGGAGCTAGAAATCTGTAATACTCATCGTTGTCATATATACTACATGCCCGAGGATGAGGCCTGTCTTGACCATCAGGTGGTTATACAATAGGTTCATGAAAATCTCAAGCCGATTAAATACTCAGCACATCCACAGTGGGAACATAGAAAATTATGAACCATATTAACTCCTTGATATAACTGTACACATCAAAATCTACTGACCCAACGAAGAACGCACCATCTCCTCAACAACAACACCCACAACCCCACTAGCAACAACAGCCCACGTCCACGGATTCGCCAGCTCCGACAACGCAGGCCAGAAGCTGTTCTTCTCGCGCCGCCACGCCTGCAGCTGCGCATACTTGTGGGGATCCTGCATCCTATACCTTTCCTCCTGGCTCGCCTCATTCTGCGCATCGCCGCCAACAAACCGCAGGAAAACGTAGTTTGCGACCGGACCCAGCAGGACAAGCGGGTTGAATGTGTTTGCCGCGTTGAGGACAACGAATGAAAGGTGCACGAGGGTGTCGCCCAGGTAGCTGTAGCATGGTCATTAGCTTTTTGTCCTTTTATACAACAGGGTGAGTAGTATACGTACTTCGGATGACGGACGATGCTCCACACCCCATGGCGGCAGAGATCATCGCGCTCCTTGCGGTGCAGCTCCATCTGCGTATCGGCCAGCGCCTCCATCGCGAACCCCGCGCTGAACAGCCCGACGCCCAGGGCGCGAAGCAGGCCGGACGTCCCTGCGTCAAACGACACGCTCGACCAACTCAGCCGGAAGGGAAGGGTGAAGGGAAGAGAGATGAGCGTCAGGAACGCCGCTTCAGGGAGATACGATTTGAGGAGCGCCGTGTTCCAGAATCCGGGGTCCTTGGCCTTGAGCTCCTCGTAGCGCGGGTCGTCTCTGCCGCGGGCGAGCGAACGCGACACGATGCGGTAGAAGAGTCGGCTGCCCCAGGCTGTGACGCAGGATAGCAGGACCTTTTCGGTCCAGGGGATGGCGTTCATGGTGCTGGAGAAGGTGAGGTTGTTGTGGTACATTGGTTCGCCGACGGCGCTCCACCAGGCGTTGGCGACTTGGCTGAGGGGCCAGAAGTAGTCTTTGATTTCGCCGCGGTCGGTCGCTCTGGAGAGGGCGTAGGCTGCTACGGAGAAGCTGGAGTGGAGCGTGAATGAGGGAAGGATGGTTGATTTGAAGATGCCGACCTCGGTGGCGTTGAGTCCGAGGTGGGAGCGTTCGTATGGCCATCGGTCGACATCGACCAACGGCTGTGCGCCGGGCTCCATTTTGAATATCGGTGAGGATTCAATCGCTATGTCGATTGAGTAGATTCCATCTTGTCGTTGATGGTGGTGAGCTGGTGGTTTTATGGGTCGATTCAGTGTTGATGTCAGGATTATGTAACGTTCGCTGCGTGCAATCTGCCAAACAAGTTATTGCCTACCTTGATGATATCATCGTTATACATAACTTATGTTATGAAAAAAAATTATACTCTTTAAATAGAAATGCATTGCTTGTATCTAGAAACAGGGCTTGTGGAGTTGATTTATATTAATTGAGGTGTATCTATATCTGTACATGTCATAAGTATACCGATGTTGCTATCAAGCGTTAGTTAAGAGAAGATTCATGCAGATGCAGAGGCGCCACCCATGTCAAAATCACCCAGATGCTGTAGATCGGAGAAGTTTATCTGAATGCTAGGCATATCTGAACCTTCTGTAGTTCGAAATTGTTGCTTGATTAACGAGGACAATTGGCTCTCCCATAAGCTTAGGAACTGCAGATCCGCGGCAGTAAACCCTGCAAAAGTATCTTCCTCTCGTATATATAGATCCTGTTCATATAAAGTGCGAAGGGTCTTGGAGACCAGAGGGATGGCTGCAGGCTGCACCAGGCATAAATCATGCAGCTCGCACCCCTCGGCTATCTTCTCAAATGGTAACTTTTTTGTCTGAACTCGTCGGATCTTGGCCGGATCTGAAGCAAGCCTCCTTTGATCATGCGAGCTTTTATTGCGCATGAGATAAGACCTCGGATCATGTGGGTCCAGACGAGGGCTCGGGTTGTCAGTTTCTGACAACGATCGCTCTGACTCGGCATTGCTGCTGTTGATGTCGGGCTGCAAAGCGGCTTTGGCAGCAAGATATCTGCTCACATGAGGTGAATTCGCGGCGGACGCATTCTTTCTCTGTTCCCGGAGCCTTGTGATAGCTTCTCTCTTGCGTTTCTCAAAGTCAAGTGCCCTTTCTAGGTCGGGGTTTTCGTCAGCATTCGCCAGTCTGTGCAAATGTGCAGACCATCGGTCCAGCCGCCTCGACGCAGGCTCTGAAGCGCGACTCCGGCTGATTAGTGACGATTCGAGCGAGCTCGTCTCCTCTTCAGACGGTCCTGGACTTCCTGAAGCTACAGGGAAACCCCGAGGGGCCGTTGTGTCTGAAGTGACCGGCGGACGTTCACGTTGTGCAAACCGGTCCTGCGCTAGCTGCGACAACGGAGGCTCATCATGTTCGTTTTCCGGACGCTGCTCAACCGGCTCTCGACGGGCTGATGCTTGTGCGGTCTTCACAAACCATGTATCGAGAGCACCATTACCGTAACGCTCTTTGTCGCGCTGCCTTGAAGCTCTTGATCGTACGGATGAACCGTGTACTGGTGTGATTGGCGAAGTTTGCGTCAGCTCGGAGACTGAAGCAGAAGAGCGAGACTCGGCTGGGGAGTGTGACAGTCGATTCGAATTAGGTGTAGATGCACGCGGCGAGGCGGAACTTGCTGAGCCCAGCGGAGATGCATGGGTCGTAGACATGGAATGCTGTTCCTGCGCCGCAGGAGGCAGCCGTGCGGATCCTGTTGGACCCCTCGACGGAGTTTTGTGGGATGGAGCTCCAGAAGGAGCATACAGTCGAGTCACTGACCATGGATTAAGACCCTCTGAATCTCTGGTTCTCGTATGTCCGGAGGCACCTGGACTTCCATCGGAGAATAATCGCTGTTCGTGTCGGCCATTCTTCGGGCTGCTCCTCATGTGAAAAAGCGAGCTAGCCGTGACGAAGCTTGGTGGATTGTTACCCTCATTCACGGTTTCGACAGAACATTCAGTGGTGTCTTTACGAGCTAAAAGTAGTTCGAAGGCGTCATTATTTGTCATCCTTTCTTTCCCTTTGGAGGGGCTTTTGCGTTTCTCAACCCCATCAGGGGTTTCACCGTAAAGGTCCTGGAAGAGAGCTTCTGCAAGGGAAAGAACATCTTGCTGATTCTCAAATAAAACATCGTCCTTGGCAGGCTCAACATTCACGTCGTAACAGGCTTCTGGACAGCGGATCTGCAAGCAAAGGAATGGATCTGATATGTTCGAGAAACCGCCGCTACGCGTAGCAGCTGCTCGTAGATAAGACTTGTACAGCTTCGAGATCTCCTGTCCGATGCCCCGAGATGCGGAAAGAGGTCTGCCGTCTACACTGAAAAACTGTCCCGCGTTGTTCACTTTTGAGAAATCTGCGCTCATCAGCGAAGCTCTCAGGTCAGTGGGTGGAGTGAGTACCTGATTCAGGATTCGCGAGTAGGGCCATCAGCTCAAAAGAAGAGCCATTACCACACCCAGATTCCTCATCGGACTCGTTTCCATACGGCCACTGCTTGGTTACACAAGCAGAAGCGACCTCAGTGCCCGCAACTTTGAGTGCTGCGTCCACAAGCGAGGCATTTTTTCCAGGGGCGTAGACCCAGTTCGCCTTTTCGCTAGCAGCTTTAAGAACCTTCAATGAGAGCCTTATAGAGGGTTGAGCAATAGCATACGACTGTATAATTTTCTTGATCTTGGCTATTGTCTTTGCGCTGCTTTTCAATACCGTTTGCCTCCGGACTGGTATGTTCTTGAAGAGATCCGTCACTCGGACCGTTGTACCGACTGGATGCGAGGCATGTTGAGTACTTCAATATGTCAGTAGGCTGCGAAGCATTCTTCCAAGCGACGTACCTGATGAGCTCGCCGTTTCTCCCATATTTCATGCAGAAGCCAACTGGGTCCGCTTTAACTCTAGTCGTGACCGTCACTCCTCCGCAAACTTCAGCAGCACTAGCTAACGCTTCACCTCTGAAGCCTAGCGATTTCCCGCCGAGCTTCCTCAGATCATCGACAGTCTCAATCTTGCTAGTGAAGGCGCGCCTACAGACGAAAGGATGATCTTCGGACGGAATGCCATGTCCATTGTCCTTTACCTGGATCACATCGACTGTGTTCTGGGAGATTTCAATAAATATTGCAGTGGCGTGTGCGTCAAGAGAATTCTCCAGCAACTCCTTGACAATGGAGCAGGGGTCTGAAATGACAGAAGTTGAGCCAATTGCTCGAACAGTGGTCTGGGGAAGGGCCGCGATCGGCATCCTCAGCAGTGATGACGCGATACTCGGATCATTCTCTAAATATACTGAGCCTTTCCATGTTTTATTGATGAGAGCCACTTAAATACTGATGAGCTCGATGAATATGCTTCAGCAAAGTATGCTTGAAGGTGGCAGCGATGAGAATGGTTGTCGATATTTCCACGCACGCTTCTTGTAGAATCCAAGTCACGTGCTTTGCCGCTTAGTCAAGACCACCTGCACACGTGGTCAGCATCAACAACACTTCTGAAGAATTATCCTGATGCCATGGTCGATTATCTTTGGCGTCAAAGAAGTCTCCCGAAACGCATAGAATTGTATAGATGAATATGTCCCTATCGAAATGCTCTGTCGCTCGTTCAACATCTCGCAGTTGGCGATTCCGTTCGTGTGCGCGTTGATCGGTTTTCTAGCGTACACGTCCCAGTTATTTTTCTACTATTTCGAGGAGGCACCCCTAAGATCGCAAGAGTTCTGGCGCCTGAACATCTTCGCTCTGTGCATCTGGGTATGCTATTACCGCGCATGTACTGTAGATCCTGGCCGGATACCCAAGGATTGGATGCCCTCCAACCTTGCGCAATTGGAAAAGGATTGCGCAGGGGGTAGGCAGCGCTGGTGTCGTCGATGCGAGGCGTTTAAGCCACCGCGAGCGCACCATTGCAAGACATGTCAGAGGTGAGTTTTTGTGGCTCGAGAGTCGTTCCTGACTAACCATTTGTGCAGGTGCATTCCGAAGATGGACCACCACTGTCCGTGGACATCGAATTGCGTGTCGCACTTTACATATCCTCATTTTATGAGGTTTCTGTTCTACGCCGTAGTAGGCATGGGCTATCTTGAGACTCTTCTCTTCGAGAGGACTTCTTTAGTCTGGGCATCGCGCCATCTTCCTAGTGTATGAGCAGATTGTCCGTTGTCTTTTTGTGCAAGCTAATTCCATCTTAGTACCTCGGCCCTAGCTTGGGACAACTGATCCATCTTTTCATTTTGTTGGTGGTGAACAGTTTGACGTGGCTTGCACTATTCATTCTTTTGCTTCGAAGCATCTGGTCCCTAGCTCTTAATACCACGACTATCGAATCGTGGGAGATTGAACGGCATGAGACTCTGCTAAGACGAGCTCGGCATTTTGGAGGGTATCTGTCCGGACCGGGGGTGTACAGGTTCGGATCAAAAAGCAGGAATTTCCATATGATATTGGCATATGGTCGAATATCAAGGCCGGAATGGGCGGAAGTGCGAACGTTGGTCCAGCCGCGAGATTCTTGACAGAGGCGCAACACTGACAATGTCCAGGTATTGAGTTGGTTCTGGCCATTTGCAGCTACTCCTGACCGGTCGACTGGTCTAGAATTTGAAGTCAATGGCTTTGAGGGTGAGTGCACTGTGAGACTGTACAGGTGGTATAGAACTGACCAGTGATCGCTGGCAGATCCCAACCTCTCATGGCCGCCACCAGACCCTGATCGCATTCCACTTCCTGCAAGGCGGGAGGATATGAGCGCCGCCATTGCGGCTGCCGATGCTTCGTACCACAGGGCTGTACAAGCGCGAAGTATGCAGCGTTCCAACGATGCCAGCCATTCACAAGGACATAACATACAGCGTCGGAAACGCTTCCATGACCGGTTTAATGAAAATGTGGCGAAAGGACGAAACTCTGAAAGCGAAAGTGACTCTTCCGATGATGGTGAAGTAGAGGACGGTGAGGAAGGCTGGAAGAACTCTGAAGGAGATCGCCTCCGTGATTTCGGCGTTGACGAGGAAGCCGAGTTCTACGACGAGGAAGACATTCCTCTGGGCATTTTGATACAAAGACGTCGACAACAATAGCCCGGGTGGCCAGTGATGCGCTGTATGATAAGGTGACTTAATTCACAATGATTGGCTCAAATCAGGGTCGAATCTCGGATCATGGAGAGACAGAAAATCCCCTAACATCTGCGTTTCCGGATGCTGCAGCTCCCTTGGCAACGCACTTCCTCCACCAAACAGAGCCCATTCAGCCGCGCCATCGAACAACCTCAAAGGGCCCAGATTCGCATTGCTCTCTGCCATACCTGAAGGATCCATCTCGCCTGTTGGCCAACCTTGCTCTTGAATCGGTCCCGCAACCGTTTCGACGGCATTGCAATCCCCATCATTCTGCCGCTTCCACATAGACTCCCACTGTTTAAACTCCTCATAGTCGGAGGCTACTTTTCCCACCTCATCAAATGACCTTAGCCTCACAAGCGCCCTCTCCAACGCCTCAATCAACTCCACCTCCGATCTCGCCGACTCCCCGCTCGCCGCCATCTCCCGAATCATATCTAACCCAACTCGTAACGCCTTGCGAAAATGATCAGAGCGATCCTGGATCGAGTACGCGATTAGCACGAGCAACGCTGCCCGGCACGAGCTGTATTCTATATACGAGGCGCGCGCCAGCCCAGGGCCACTATCACTGTCGCGGAGGGTGCTGCAGATGGAGATTGCGTCGGCGGCGGCTGTAATGCAGCAGGTCACCAGTCCCTGGCGGGGCGTGGGCTTCTGAGCGGCGCCTGAGGGGGAGTAGCCGGGGAGGTTGGGTTTGATGGCGAGCCTCGCGAAAGCAGGAATGGGCGGCCGATGAACATGCGCAGGAGGCAGTGCTCGAGTTTGAGGTGAGCTGTTGATCGATCGACTGGGATCTGGGCGTCGTTTTTTTGGATGTTGAGTGGGAGTGTGGACCACCATTTTTCAAGGTCGTTTTTCCTGTCGGCGAGTCGTGAGAGGAGGAGGGGGAGGTCCGGTTTTGCGGTGGTGCGGAGGAGGGATCTGCAGTTGTCAGTTGTTTCTGTCCCTTTACTGGCGGAGTAGACGCACATTTCTTTATAGAAATTCTCCAGGTGATGCGTGAGATGAATAGAAGCAAGCATATATGGCGCTGTTGTTGAATCCTGCTCACCCAAATCAACCGGCAAGTGCGTGTCGACGTCCGATCGGAGCATTCCCAGAGGTCGTCCATGGAAAATAGATATTTTCCTACTCCGTCAGCATTATAGCAAATAAAAGCAAGAAAAGAGACAAGGATACCTCTCCATCGCATAGGCCGTCCACCACACCCTATTCCTCGTCTCCATCATCGCCGCACTAAACGCCTCCCCCACGCACCGCCGATGCATTCCGTTCTGCATCGCCAGCCGAATTGTCAGATTGATATACACGTACCCTAATCCCGCCGCATCAATCGGCAACGCATACGCCGCGAATAGCAGACAGGCCTGTACGCTCTCCAGCGAGGACACTTCGATGATCTCGGGCAGCAGGCGGATCGCCTCCTGGTAGAACATCATCCCCAGCTCGTCCTCGGAGAAGTTTTGGTTTTGGCTGGACGAGGCCGGGGCTGACTTTGCTTCGAGGTAGGCGTATTGCGTGCCGATGGCGAAGACAGTCAGAATGATGCTGAGGACTGGGGCGTCTTTGCTGGTGAGGGTGTCCGGGGTGGTGTAGAGGGCGGTTAGTCGGCTCAGGAGCCATGGCCTGTCGACGTAGAAGTAGTGGGTTACGGCGTGTTTGAAGAAGATGCTGATGAGGAACTCGGCGATGTGGCGAGGGGGATGCAGGAGATGGCTGCTGCGAGAGTGCGCGAGCTGGACCGGAGCTGTTTTGCTCGGGGGTAGTTTGAGATTTGGTTGGGAGGAGTCTGAACCGGGTTAGCATGTATGGGAGGACTATGGCAGAGACATACCTGGCTCAGGGAAGCGGAAGCGGCCATTCTATCCTCGATCTGGCGCTTGACGCGCATGGAAAAGTTCCAGTAGGAGAATTCTCCGGAGAAGTCTGCCTAGAGTCAGCGCCGCCATCTACACTGTAGAGTAGAGAAAAAAAACGCACGAGTAACGGTATCCTCCACGGGGTCAATCGTGCACTCCTCCTCTTCCATAGCCAACTCGGCCTCGTCAGTCTGCGGCTGCGTCTCCTTGTCCGTCTCATCAATCGACAATGCCATCTGCCTGAGACTCTTGGTATCTAGCGAAATCCCCTTGAACGCATGTTTTAGGATCCGCTCCATGTACATGGCCCGCTCCTGCAGTTCCAGAAACGCATCCCGAGCGCTAGCAATGTCAGCCTGCACAATTTTCTTAAAGATTGACGACCGTACCTGATATCCTGCACGGGCATACCCCGCACGCGACAAGGACGGCCAAGATGCGAACATTTCCTGCACGGGATTCCTCCCTCGCATTTTTCTTTCCATCGGCGGCATTGATCGCAACTGTATAGTCAGCTTGCTTCTCGGTGGTTGATTCTGGAGGTAGGCCCTACGCTCTGGCTGTACGCTTTCTCTCGTCGGTTACTTTGCGGTGTTTGAGTCGGGGTGCGGGTGCTTCGGTGCTTGACTGCGGTCTGGAGCTGGGAGGTAAGGGTGACTGGCATGCGCTCATTTTAGTACATTAAAGTGCAGTGAAGAGAGTAGTTTATGTGTTATGTGTTGTGTGTTGTGTGAATAAGAAATGCAATGAAGACTGTTACAGTAGGGTTGCTGCACTGCTGGAGCTTGAAGGGGCTTATCTCTGGGTGGAGAAGCTTAAGTTTGGGAAAGATAACGGATGTGGGATAAACATGGGGTAAGGATCCACTGATAAACACTAACGCTAATCTAATATAGGAATATATGTATGATGCACCAACTGGCAACTGGCTAACTACCTATCTACTGCTTGGTAGCAAAGAACGACCCCGTCCCAAGAATATCTCCCTCCTCTTCTTTCCCCCCTGCGCCCTCTCAATCCTCTCCTTCGTCGTCTTGAACAACCTCGGCATCCCCGTTTCCTCAAACCCGACTCCCTTGCCCACCATCCTCGCCAATCCCTCCGCCGCCAGCCAAACAACCGGCATCCCATGCCCATTCAGCCCCGCCAGGATAAACTGCCCCTCGCAGTCCGGGACCGCCCCAACATGCGGGTTCGAATCATACGAATAACCCATGACCCCCGTCCAGATCTGATCGACCCTCGCCCCGGACTCCTCCCACCCGCGGAACGTCCGCTGCATGTACCCGTCATAAAAGTCCTTGGCCGCGTCGATGAGCACGCTATCGTCGGTGTTGTTGTACCACTGTTCGCGATGGGGTTTGAAGAGCGCCGACGCGCCGCCGACGATGATGCTCCCGTCTGCGCGGGGGATGAGATAAGACAGGACGTTGTCCTTGGTGCGTTCGATGTAGGAGTTTGTGAGTAGCGGGGCGGGCTTTCCGTCGGGCACGGCGATGCGGCAGCAGATGCCTTTGCAGGGGATGATATTGTATTTGTACTGCGGGAGAAGGGAGGAGACGTAGGCGTTGGAGGTGTGGATGACCTTGTCGGCGTCGAGGGTGCCGCGGGGGGTGTCGATTGTGAATTTACCGTCTGCAGATGGAGTAACTGCTGTCGCCGGGGTGTGGGTTTGCAGATTGACCTTTCCTGAAGCTAGGAGTCTGGCGAGGAGGTGCATGATGAACTTGTAGGGCCAGATGGTGGCTGCGGTATAGGAGGCACAGGCCAGGGCGCCTTTGACGCCGCAGATCTGGTCGCGTTAGTAATGATAGTGTTTGGCATGATTGGAGATTCAGACGTTACCCCTCTACATTCTTTCCTGTGTGGAAGTCAACATCGTCCATATACGCAAACCCGTGCCCCTTCATCTGCTCGTACACCTTCCTTGCCCCCTCTGCCGCTTGCTCATTACACCACACATCGATCGTCCGTGTAAGTGTAAAATCGCAGTCGATCTGCTCGCTCTCGACAAGTTTCTTGATCGCTCGGACATGCGCAATCTCAAACTCGGCAATCTCCGCCGCTGCTTCGGGTCCAGCGCGGTCAATGTACGTGGGGATATGTCCGTACAGATCCGGGCGCAGATGGCCTCCATTGCGACCGGTGGCGCCAGAACAGACACCTCTTGCCTCTAGGATCGTAATGGAGTTGATGTTGTTGTGGTTGTGCAGTAAATGCCAGGCTGTGCTCACGCCCGCATACCCGGCGCCGATGATCACGACATTACTGTGCGTCGGGAGATCTTCGGTGGAGCGATGGTTGTGTTGTTCGTGGGGACTGTTCTGCCAGAAGGAGGCCAGTGGGTTTGGGGGAAAGGTAGACATTGCTTTTGTTTCTATGTTCTTTATCACTATGGTCAATTTGACCACTGTAGAGGTCCCATATATACTTATTCTGGCGCCTGATGTGGTCTGACCAGGAGTTGACTATCTGCTCCGCTCCACTGTTTTACCTACCCCACTTCTCCTCTCTTTTCTCCACTGATAATCCCTGATCCTTTCTTATCTTTCATTATGCGAGCTGCAATTCTCCGGTCAAGTCCGGTTTATCATCATGTGACCATGCATCATCCGGTCCAGTTCCGGTTGGTCTTGGTGTCACTATCCCCAGAAGCAAGGGCTTTAGGTTGCAGTGGCTACACGGAAAGAGGGGAAAGCAAAACCTTGAGATAGGAATTGCAAATGCGTGGTCTTCATTGGAAGAACATGGCAAGCTATCTACCTCACTCTAATCTCAAAGCTAAACCATCACCGGATGAGCTTGAGCAGAGAGATAAGACATTGGTTAAATATCGCCAACTGGCCGGGCCACAGGATCACATTGATCCCAAGGTCCCCAACCTACTTTCAAATTGAAACATGCCACCTGAAAGAGCAATAACAACAATAATGTCAGATCCAGGAAAGGACACCCTCCATGACACCGAAAAACAACTCCCCGACAATGATGACTCCGCCACTGATCATCTCGGGGAGATCCGCCTGGTCAAGCAGGGCCTCCACCAGCGACACATCCAGATGATTGCATTGGCCGGGACCATAGGCACCGGACTCTTCCTCGGCTCTGGGCGTGCCATTGCCCGCTCAGGGCCTCTTGGAGCCCTACTAGGGTACGCCATCGTCGGCGTGGCCGGCTCAACCGTTGTGTTTGCCGTCGGCGAGATGGGAGCATTGGTTCCGCTGAACGGAGGCGTGGTCCGCTACGCCATGCTCTTCTTCGACCCGGCACTCGCCTTTGCAAACGGCTGGAACCAGGTCTATTCGTACCTGGTCTCGATCCCCGCGGAGCTGTCCGCGGCGGCCGTCATCGTCGAGTTCTGGGTGACGGTCAACAATGCGATCTGGATCACAGTGTTTGGGTTGCTGATGCTGGCGACCGCACTGCTGTTTGTACGCGTGTACGGGGAGCTCGAGTTTGGGTTCTCCATGATCAAGATCATGCTCGTCATCGGCATCAACATCATGGCGCTGGTGATCACCTGTGGAGGTGGGCCGGACGGGCAGAGCATCGGATTCAGATACTGGCGGAATCCCGGCCCGTTCGTGCAGTACCTGGACGTCCCGGGCTCGTGGGGCCAGTTCCTGGGGTTCTGGACGACGCTCAATAACGCGCTGTACGCGTACTCGGGGATGGAGAACATCACCGTCGCGGCGGCGGAAACACGGTCCCCGCGGCAGGCGATCCCTAAAGCGGCGCGACGGATCTTTGCCCGTGTGTTTCTGTTTTATATTCTGTCCATCTTCATGGTCGGCTTGGTGGTCCCTTCCAATGACCCCAGCCTGCTTCGGTCTACCGGCAATGCATCCCAGTCGCCGTTTGTCATTGCCGCCCGGCGCGCAGGCATCCAGGCCGTCCCCTCTATTATCAACGCGGCGGTGTTGACGTCTGCCTGGTCCGCGGGGAATTCCAACATGCTGGGAGGCTCTCGCATCCTCTTCGGGCTGGCCATGCACGGACACGCACCTAAATTTTTCACCCGGGTCAATCGGTTCGGGGCGCCATACGTCGCTGTCGCCCTAATCGGCGTCTTTATGGGGCTCGGCTACATGACGCTGTCGGGCTCGGCCAGTACCGCTTTTACCTGGCTGCAGGACATCGTCTCCATTTCAACTCTCGTGAACTGGATGTGCATCTGCATCATCTACCTACGGTTCCAGTACGGATGCCGGAAGCAGGGAATCGACCGGCACAGAGAGCTACCGTGGGCGGCGCCGCTGCAACCGTACCTGACGTGGTTTGCGCTCGTATTGTTTACACTGCTGTTGTTTACTGGAGGGTATAGCACGTTTATGCGGGGGCACTGGGATACGGAGACGTTTGTCTCGTCGTATTTGAACATCCCGATCATTCTGGGGTTGTATTTTGGGTATAAGCTGTGGGGGAGGACGGCGATTGTGCCGCTGGAGGATATGCCCATCCGGCCGTTTATTCGGCTGTACCAGGAGGAGCCCGAGCCGGAGCCAAAGAGAAGGACCTGGTGGAGGCGGTTGAATATTTTATGGTCATAGTCTATTTTCGCTTTAAATGCATGTGTTTATGATTAACAAACTGATACTGCGAGGACGCAAACTCATGATAAGGCTAGAGATATCAAAGTAATCTCCGATAATGCTCCGATGTGGACCGGAACGCATCTGATCAGTAAACTATATCCAAATCGACCACGATAAGCCGGATTGCCAGATACATGTTATATCTCTCATCCGCCGGATGTGATCCGGTCCATGAACCATCGTCACCATCGTCACTATTTACTCCGCATCTCCACATCAATCGAGTCCACATAAACAACCCACCCCCTCACTCATCACTTCCCTCGAAATATATTGAAACAAATGCATTGAAAATCAACTACCAAACAACTTCACCATTTAACAAGAACAATGCGGAAACACATCATCTTCGACGTCGTCGGCACCTGCGTCTCCTTCGACGCCTACTTCGCCTCCATCGCAGCCACAATCGGCCCAAAACTCTCCACCTACAATATCACCCCAAACCACTTCGGCTACACATGGATGACCGCCGCGGAACTCGAATTCACCTTCTTGTCGATTTCCGAGTCCTACCGCCCCTACAAAGACGTCATGCGCGCGCTCTTCTACCGCAGTCTTTTCATGGCTGGTGTCGCCGATCCCCGGAGTGTTTTCACAGATGAGGAGCGAGATGCCTGTATAGCCGGCTATGCGTCGTTGCAGCTTCGTCCGGAGCTGGGACCTGCGTTTGAGAAGTTGCGGAATGCCGGGTTCGAGGTGTGGTGTCTGACGACGGGGGATGTGGAGCGTGTGCGGGGGTATTTTACAAGGGCGGGGTTGAGATGCCGGTCGAGAGGGTGTTGAGTTGTGATGGGTTGAGGGTTGCGAAGCCGGCGCTGGGGGCTTATCGGGCTGCAATTGGGAAGATTGGGGCGGATGATGAGAAATGGTTTGCGGCGGCGCATTTGTGGGATGTGTCTGCTGCGGTGAGGGCCGGGTTTCGGGGGCGTATTGTGGTGTGCTTGAGGGGAGGGATGTTGGGAGGTGTTTGATCGGGAGAGCTTGGAGGTTGTTGCAGATGGGTTGGTTGAGATGGTGGAGGGGGTTATTAAGATATCTGGTTAGGTTGCATTTCCTAGTATCTTCATAGTAGATGTTTCTCTCATTTGACTGTTGTGGATTAGAAGTTTAGGTATCATTTAATGTACAGCTGTCATACACTCATATTGATCAATCAATCCGCAACAGCCAGAATCCTGCTCACATCAGACTGCATCAAACATCAAGAGGAGAACAGAAGGACACTCACTCATCTCGATCAAGAAGCAAATACTCATCGTTATCAACCCTCACCTCCTTCCCCTTCCCCTACCCATCATCAGCATCATCTCAAAATCTTCTCCAGAAGCTTGTGCAGAGTGAATCTCACCTTGGTATAGATAACCAAATCCCCCAGCCTCACATCCATCGCATGCCTCCCCCCATTTCCCAGCGCCTTGGTCGTGCCAACCGCCAACACGACCCCCGCGCGGGCTTCATCGTCTTTGTCCCCGAGTTTGCCGTCCCGACATGCGTGATGTCGTCTTCAGGCTGGATGATCACGGTGTTTTCCTTTGGGCAGAGGTACTAACAACTTTTTGTTAATTGTCAATCATCAATCAACACTTGGTGTGGAGGATGATGATGATGGTGAGGGTGAGGTGTGGCGAATCCGCAAACTCTAAGGCTGTTGCTACATACCGAGTGAACTGCGTCCGCTTTTGCCATTGCCGATATCTACACGATAAAATGGTGCAAAACACGATAGGTGATGATCAGTTAGTTACTCGTTGGGCTTGTCAGCATGATTATACAGGACACACAGAATGTAAGTCTACCCAGGTGGTATCGGAGCATCATCTGATTTTATCCCCTCCGGGTAGGCATATCTCGTTATGACGCTTCCATCTCCCTGAACCCAATCAGATGAGCTGTCAAGTCTGTCTCCGCTCGACGGTTCTGGCCACATCCGATCCCTTCTAGATTTGGTTGCGTCCAAGCTTTGACCAGGGGGTAGCCGGAGAATGGATCGATCGTAGGTTAGACACGTTACTGGATAAAATACTCTCGGAATTCCTACGAAAGACGCTCTCATTGGCCCAGACAAACTGAGCACATTTTCATTTTGATTTTTTACTACTCATCTCCTAACTGCTAACCATAACTGATCCTGAGACTACGGAGTCAACCCCATCAATCCACCGTTTCAAGCATCTCGCTTCACCAGATGCCAGGACCTTCCGCAGACGCCGGCTACAGCTGGATCTGGGTGCAGCCAAGAACAATGACTCCGTTCTAATATCAAGTAAGTATGCCACTCGACGGAATTCTGCTATGTCTACTTACGTAGTTATTGCCAGTGCAGCACGCAGCTTTCGCATCACAGCTACCGCTGACAATATTGGTGCCTGGGCTCGTTAGCAAAGAAGAGCAAGATAGACTTCTGGGAGACACTTACAGGTCAGACCGACACTGCCGGTCAAGGTATTAACGTCCACGTTCAACAGTCGGAGCAGGCTCAAGGCATCGGCATTAAGGCTTTTCGCGTTCTGGAGCTGCTGGCAGCATTTCTTGTTGACAGCGCTGCAGGTCTGCGCGTTGACGGTCGCGAAGCAGGCGGCACTGACGAGGGCAATGAGGATGGTGCGGGACAGCATTTTGCAGGTAGTAACTGGTTGATTGAGTCTGTGACTGTGATTGGCAGTGTGCTCGTGCTTGTGCTTGTGCTTGTGATTGTGAGTGTTGGAATATGTCCTGGTCGTGGGTGTGTCGTCTCTTTATACCAGGCTCGAGGGAGTCGAAGCGTTATGTCATTGACACCTGCCATCCTCGAGATGGACTTGGAACGAGACTCTCATCATTCCTCATGCAAGCCTTGTCTTACTCTATCCTTGGCGAGTAAGGCGGGTGTCATTCTCGGGTGAGAAATGCCCGTGAAGCCATAGACGCACCCCCGGGCTCTAATGATCGGAGACCTGGGGCGATGGTACATTTTTCGGCTGTTGAAGAATGCGGTGTAGCACCGATCGACCCTAAGAACAGCATCAAGAAGCTTTTAAACACGACCTTAGGACATGTGATGAAGCGAGGGGGTGGCCGCTCGCTCCTTGGCCCAAGCAATTCGATATATTGAACCGGGAATGGGACAGCAAGGGGTAAGCTTACCATAACTGTGACCTCAACCCTCTCACAGATCCTCGTGTCTGAAATGCTATTCAGCCATGACAGATTCTATTGTCGAATAGCATTTATTCTCTCCTGCTGTCATCTTCGAAGTACCTCGTCGTGACCAGGTCGCGTGGAGCATAGCTTCGCATCCCAGCCAGCCTCATTCCCGGAGGACGTCAAGTCAATGCAAGCTCTAGCTCAGGTATGGCGAATTACAAATACTAGCTCAAAGCTAATCTAATCCCTCTCATGCTGGGAGCTGTGTAGCGGTCAAGAGATCCAGCAGCAGGCACAACACCGCAAACCTTTTTGGCTACAAGCATGTCATACACAGGGAATGAATCAATGTGGCTTCAGATTTCTGGAATACGTACGTATTCTCCGAAGCCCTGGAATGCAATATGCAACTTAACTGGTTTCAGAGCGCCGTCAGCGAGATCAGTGTCTCTCAGTCAGGCCCGGATGTCAGTAACCGGGGCGACATGGATGTCTCAGTCCAGGGTCTCTGCGTCGGCAGTGAGGGTCTGACCCCCACTATCCAGCAGACTATGTCACTGTTCAGCGTTAGGCCCCGGCATTCAGTGTTGTGGCATCGCTCAAGTCCCCTGAATCTTTCGGCTTCTTAGGCTACGGTACTTTATTTCCCGCATTACTCTTAAGCCAGAGATCTGATAATGCAACCCCCATAACAGCTGGTGGTTTTGCAACAAGATCTTCAACTCTGCGATCAGTTCCTGTTCCTCAGCAAGGACCGCCATCCATCTGGAAGGGAACTGCTCAAAATCATTGAGCAGCAAGTGACGTCAGGTCCAGGCGTCGAAGATACAAACGGAGAACAGCTGGAGCCACAGGACGGAGTAAGGGGACACTACGTCTCCGGACGCTAAGACGGATCAACCGGACTTGATACTCTTGCAAGAGCTAAACGACTTCAACGGCATATACGTCAGGGGATGTCGAATGCAAGCCAAACATACGAAGGATGCTCCTGCAGACGGTCAACTGAAAATGGTGTTCAGTAAACGAACTCGATCTAGCAGGCCTGCGCATGTTTCCACTGAACTGGATACATCATTGTAACTATATGCAGATCACGACGCGTTAGATCGCCAGACCAAAGACGCAACCAGCCACTTTTCTCATCAGCGGACAGCATTTCTTCTGTAAAAGAAGCCTACCTTTATTCAAGCTGCCGAAGCATCATACCGCGACCAGTTTTCCGGAAATTATATTCGTGAATCAATCCGCCTACATTCGCCTATATGCTTGGCTGCATATAATGACGGTGGTCTATTTGGAACAACAAAATACATGCTTGAGATTATCGAGTTTCCTCCTGTCTATCTCCCGTGCTGAAGTGGGCTGTTTGCTGCGAATCCTCGGACGCGACCGAAGTGTCAAGAACAGGCGCTCTGCCATTGAAATCTCTAGAGTATTGGTACAAATTCAAGCTAGAAGCCTGTTATTATCTGGCTGATACTGCGTATTATACACAAACAATACCACTCAAGCTCATCCAACTCATCCCTCCCTCAACAAACAATCGCTTAGCACTGAGCCAAAGGCTCCGTGTACTTGCAAGCGTTGCTAGGACCGGAAGCCTTCTTCTTAGGCTCCTGGTCGTTGTTATCAGTACCCTCATACTCAACACAGATCTCCTTGACGCTGCTAGCACAGCCAGAGATAGTCGCGGTATCGCCATAGTTGGAGTTGATGCCGACGAGGGACTTGCCACTGGAGGCCTTGACGCCGCTGATCTCGACGGAGCGCTTGAACTGCTTGCTGCAGTTGCCGCAGGCGCGGTACAGCTTGCCGAAGTTCTGCACGGTGAAGTCCTGGATGATCACCTTGCCGCCGGAGTTGTGCTGGATGACCTTGTCGTCGGCGTTGCGGGCGCCGCCGCCGATGATGCGGTGGGTGCCGCTGCCGGTGCCCTTGAGGGAGAGGGCATCTAGATTACATTTAGCCGGAGGCTGTGATGGAGATTTTGGGGGGAAATGGGGAAAGAAGGGGGGGGGGGGGGGGCATACCCTCGCAGACATCAGTCCACCAGACGTTCTGGATGGTGCAGGAGCCCTTGCAGTAGACACCCTCGATCTGGTCGGCGCCGATAATGGCGTTCTTGAGGGTGGCGCCCTCCTCGAGGACGAAGACGGCGTCCTTTTCGCCGCCCTCCTTCTGGCCGGAGCACTTGACGCCACGGCCGTAGGTCTTCAGACCGCCGTCAAAGACGCCGCTGACGGACTTGGGGGAGGAGTAGGTCACGCTGCCCTTGGAGGAGGGGATGGGGAAGGAGGCGCGCTTGTCGAGGGCCAGGTGGGTGGTGGGATCATGGGGGTGGCAAAGGCCGAGGTGAGGAGGAGAGGGAGGAGAAGAAGAGGCTGATACATTGTGATTGATTGATTGATGGAGTCTGAAAGATTTGCTTGTCTGGAGTGTTGATGGAGAGGAGGGTGGTGATGAGGAGGAGGACAACGGTGGCAAAGGAGCTGGATTTATACCTGTCAGGGCTGAGGATATCCCGAAAGCAATGCAATATGGAATTCTTGGTATGTCTCACTGCGATACCCGCCCTCTACGTTTAATGAAGCAAATATCAAAGTGAAACGGCGGTGATGAACTCCATTTCCGCCATTGACAGCATCATCCCGAAAGCCCCTGGTCCATGACGCCAAGCACTCATGGCGTTTACCAGCGGAAAAGCAGTTGGGAACTATGACCTGAGTCAGGCGAGTCAGGGACCAGTATTGCCTGTGATTAATGAATCAGGGACCCATATAACCAGCGTTAATGTATATTAGTCTCACCCTGTTGGAGGACTCCATCACCCAAAAGCCGCTCATTGGTGGAGCATATCGATTCTGACTCGTATAGTGCAGGGTTTGAAGACGATCACTGGAGACTGTTATGCAACTTTTTCCAGGGACATACTGCAGCACACTCCCTAACTCTTCGGGAAGTCGGGGAAATATGCAAGAGACGTGGAGTATCTATGCAGGGGCAAAGGTGCAGCGGCATTTCCAGGTCGACAACTTCGAACAACAACGGGATTCTCGCTCCGTCAAACCCAGAAAGCCAATCTCGGAGTATGATATGCTTGGCGCCCTTATAATCTCCTGCGGTCGGACGGTGTTTCACTGGCCCATACTCTGGACTGTTCTAGCGCAGGGGCTGTGGAGCAGCGGACCCTCCCAGTACGGGATGTGATACCGAGATTTCTCACATGTAGCTTGGTTTCTCTTGGAGATCACATAGCATATACAAGTATAGAATGGATACTTGACGTAGTTATACTCCGTAGTACCTGGAACACCAGGCAATCCGGTTACAAAGAGATTGTTTTCATAGCGGTCAAACTGACAGAGCAGACAAGAACACAATCAGCAGGTTCTTGGCATCACCTAGATGATCCATCCAATAAGTCATGAATCACACCGATGAAGCAATGTCTCCGTGCCAAGCCCCCCGGACACCTGCCAAGAGACTCTTGTGTTTCATCTGCCCCAGAACAGCTTATCCCCGCGGACTTAGCCCGGGCGTAGGCTGTTCTTTTGACTCGAGGAAGGATCAATTTGCTGAGTAACTGACAGAGAAAGTACGTATTAACGGAGTACGGATACTCGGTACTGATTTACCCGAAGCCATAAAAGAGAAAATGAGCCGAGTGCTTCCTATTGGTTATGGCAGTCATTCTCTGCCACTTTGTTTGGCATATACTGCACTCTATCCTTTCTACCAGCTAGAAGTGGTAGTCCTGGACACCCTCTGTCAAGTCGTTTATGTTGACACACTTCTAGCTGCTTAGTAATTAGAGAGTATGGATACATTATATCCATCTATTCTTGTACTTCATTTAATTTATAATATATGTAGTGATCTGGGACTGAGTACACCGACATTTGGAGGGCATCGAGCCTTCGAACTAGTGGTTCCTAAGCAGATGCCTTGCTCGCCTTCGCCACGGAGGTATTAACCCATAGCGGATGTAGACAGCATCATGAGATGAGCCCATCCAGTGTGGTGGACTATCTCCTTTCTCAATCAATTGAGCTCGGGATAGCATCCGACTGCCGCCCTAATATAACCACCTGCAGCGTGTCTCACGCGGGCCGAGTTGATTGGTATTCTCTCATCGCTGCAGTGCTCGGACATGTCTCGTGACGGCATTATCCCGTGCAGAAGATATTCCCTCGAGAAAATGTGATCGACATAGAACTTGGAGTACTCGTACAGTTTGTCCGTCTCGTCCTATTGCCTGTGTGGATTATAGGATCTGCGTCCTTGTGGCCTTGTACCATGACGAGACTATATACATTTCTGCTCTTGCAGAACGCAGTGAATTTAGTCATGTAGTCCTGGCCAAGGCATTCTGATGGAAACTATGTCCAATTAGGTCCCGACTGGCAAAGATGGTTTCCTCCAAGAATAAGGCGCGTAGACCCTGAAGAAAATCAATGCCGAGAGAGAGAAAAGCATACAAAACATGCAGGAGGCTACGAGTTTGGATATTCAACTTCGCATGAATCGGAGACCGCGTATCATCCTAACCCAATCATGACCAGTGTCAGCAGAAATGACTCTGCTTGGCTCTTCACTTGCCACTCGCTGGGGTTGTAAGAACATCGGGATCATTTAGTTATTCAATCCCTGACAGCAAAATAGGAGGTTCGCGGGGCAACACAGTCCTGCAATATTCCATCCACACTCCGCGGATCCTGTTACTACTGTTTCTGCAACGGAGGCCATGAATTGGAGTGCGGCTGTTGTCAAGTAGTCGGTGTCAAGACAATCACTGCTCATTTGCTATCAATGCGAAGGAGGAGTGTCTCAACTAAAGGCTATGGTAGAAAGGCACATATCTGCCCAAGGTTGAACTGAAGATTGTAACCATAGGAGGATAGGCTTTGGCTGAAAGGTCGATTCAGTATATCTACAGATGTATCATGTCTGTGGTTTCAGGGAGGAGACTCGTGATAGATCATTTTCTGAATAGATAGGAATGGTATGATATTACCATTTATGAAAGCTGTGAGCACGAGACAGTTGATACTAGCAGGATCCTGGGGACACACTGGCTCTTGAGTCTAATGAGTGGCTGTCGTACAATTTGTCGCATAGCTTTGCATCAGGTTCATAGGGTCCATATTACCCTCATGCGAGATTGCTGTAAACTCAACCTTTCCATGCATCTCCAAATTATAGAAAGACTTGGGCTTGAAAGGGTAGGTGTTATTGTCAAGGCCTCAACAGTGGAACTATATAAGTGAGACACCTTCTATGGCTTACATGCAGACCATAGTTTTCGTCCTGTAACATATTCGTGGCTAATGAAAAGTCTCAGTTATAATAACTTGCAGCCACTATATCTTATGATCCGAGACGCTGGCCTCTTCGTCTTAATCTCTTCATCGCCTGGCATTGACGGTCATATCCTCCTTAGTCTTCTCCAAGTCCCGGTCTGTAATCTAACATGGAGGTGGGTAGTGGAAGTCCTAACAATCAGAGGTCATAACCATATACCCACTTGGGCACCACGCAATGCTGCCACGGCACGGCCAAAGCAGTTGATAAACCGTGGCTGATGGAAAGGTTCCCCCCCAAACCCAACAATACACCCATCCTGTCCATCTACCGTCAGGTTGGATGTTGCTCATCTCCATGCTGTTAGAGGATATTAGACGAAGAGCAGTGCTGGGTGCATGTGTAGTGAAGCCCATGCGCTCCTGAAGACGCTGACGCAAGAGAACCTCCAGGGCATGGAGGTCCTGATCCTCTCTGTGGTGGACACTCATATCGCTGAGATAATACATGAAGAAATCTGGGAGGTGATAATAACGAGTACCATGCTCATATGCACGCGTTCGCAGCATGTCCTCCATGAAGTGCCGAGTAGCTATCAGCTGACTGCCCCGACCATTGCGGTAGAATATGCGGAGCATGTTGGCTGAGGTGAAGGGGTCGATATGCGGCCGGGTGGAGTCGAAGTATAACTGAGCAACAAGGAGCCTCATTGTGTCCCAGCGACTGCGTTTGTCTGAGGGTCACTCACGTATACCAATCGTCCGGATTTAGATAATGCAACATGTCATCCATAGTCTTATGTCTGATCTCCTCAGCAACGTCAAATGCCATCAGAGCGAGAGCCGTAGTGCCCAAGTCGTCCGGATAAGTATTTGTTGATAGCACCGGTGGCCCGTAGGCAAACACGTTCCAGTGACCTTCGGGGGATTAGGCTGGCCAATACAGACAAGGTCCCTGAAAGTCATCAACAAAGGCGGTTTGATGGGTTAATGAACAGTTCCCTGAGAGCTCTCGACTCACCCATCGCCTGTGAGATGCAACAGAAGCAGCTGTTGGAATTGGTCTCGGATCTCGATTCCTGCATCACTAACGCACCACTTATCCTTCGCCTGACTACGAAGCCATGCCTTACCTCTTGTGCGGGCTCCCCGACCAGATTGTACAACTTCTAGAGCAGCCTATCAGTATTTTCAAACAACAGTCCATGCATGCCGAGGTACTGGGCGCTAATGACGTTCTCAGTCCGGTCATCGACGAATTACGGTAGATTGGCCCGGAAGTCTAGCAGCTTTGAGGACTTGCTCGTAAAAAGCTCGCGCGGGCTTGCGTACTCTTAGTTTACCAGAAATGAAGACATCGTCGAAGATTTCCCAGCGCCGAACTTTCTCACAGAGTATCTTCAGCGAACTGCGGCTGCATACTAACAACAGAAATGTATCTAGTCAGTATTACCACCCCTGCAACTCCACCATCAAAACTAAGTGGCTGAAGTTCCTCAAGCGAATAAGGCATCTCGTCAATTCATGTGAACTCTGGTGTGTGTCTCTACTCCAAACTTGCCCTGGGTCTGGACGACCATGTTCCAACAGTCTGCATTGGAGTATCTGAGCAATGTTGTCAGGCCCATAACGAGCAGCTACCATCAATGCGGTCTCTGCTTCGTGGTCCCGCACCGATAGATCAACACCGAGCTCCACGGCGCGTTTCACCAGCTTCTCTCGTTCAAATGCAACCGCCTCGTGTAAAATCGACGGGGGGTCTGTATAAGCGGGTCCGCTCCATGAGTGAGAAGAAGTTCGAAAGCATCTTCATGACCATTGGTGACAGACAACCAGAGAGGCGAAATCCCATCAATGTCCAAGGCGTTGACATCTACCCCACCGTCGATCACCATCTGGACGACGGCGAGGTTGGGTTTCCGGTCTGCCTGAAGAATAGCGTGCAGAAGTGTTTCCTGGAATCTCGCGACAATCGAGGGGTCGGCCCCCTTAGCGAGCATGAGCTGGACGATTTCAGCAAAATTGCTGTTCCTGCCGCTTTGAGAACAAACCCAATGAAGCGGAGTTTTTCCCCCTAGATCCTTGGCCGACAAGTCAAAACCAGCATTGAATAAGCATTTTAGCAATTTTGTTGCGACCTCCAGAAATAGCAAGATGTAAGGGCGTATAGCCCTGACAAGTAGCCACCTGGTCCTGAGCACAACCTCTCGCAATGAGGTTGACGATTGCTTCGGCATTCTCAGCAACGGCATAGTACAATATGGTATAGCTCCATCTGTCTTGACACCGGAGTTGCTCATCAGTCACGAGGTCGGCGAGTTTTGGGACTGCAACGAGAAGCGATATGGTTTCGTCGGGCCGCAGGTGATCCACAATAAGCTGGATGATCTCAGTCGGCAGATGGAGTAACTTCGAGGCGTGCATGCTAGAGTCTAAGTTCATATTGCCTGTATGGGGATATTGCAAATTTTGTCCCTGTGTTATGGAGCAGGAGAACTAGGGACGTGCGCGATGGAAGGTGAAAGAAAGATGATGCTCTTGGGAGAAGATTTATAACAGAGATTGCACGCTTATGTTTTGAATTCTCCTCGTTTTGCCTTAGAATGAGGCCACAAGCTAGATTACATTCACTATGTAGTGTCCTTCATGAGCCCACATGATAAGAGATATTCACCAGGAGCCCTTCAAATGAGCTCATATTGAATTCTGCTCAGCTTTCTATTGTAACTAGAGATGAAGAGAACAACAGAGGGTATGTCGGTAGTGTGAATCCTAGATGAGGTCATTTAGAATTTCCATGTACGCTATGCCTCACTCGTCTCTAGATGAGGATTTAGGTTCTCAGAAATGCTCCTATTATACTCCAGTCTTTGCATCCTGTAGAAGATTTGGTTTCCATTATTGGCAAAAGGTCAGTTCATGGGCTGTCTATCTGGATCCTGTGATCATTCCTTTAATAGCTCTGATATTCTCCCTTCGTTTCTTTTGACTTATTTAACTTAATCATCTGCTCATCCGTTGTTATAGAAATGAGCATAAGTTTGTTCACATGCATCTTCATAGAGTTATGTATGACTTGTGACTGGTTATGGACATAAATTAGTCACTCACTTCATCTTGGCCTGAAAATGGACCAATCATCTCCAGCGTAACAATAGAGTCAAGAATGCGAGTGGGTCATGCCGGCGTCCAGATCTCGTATTCGGACTCGTGACGTTGGCGTTTCCGTAACTCGTTCTATTTAATCCATAGGAGCTCGCCCACTTTCGCAAACATTCCATTTTCTTCACCAGCCGAGTCGCCATCACATCATGAAAGCTCTCCTCCCCATTACGTCTGCCATCCTCGGCACCACAGCCGTGGGAGTCTACCTCTTCCGCCAGAACCTCAAATCCCGCGTCACAATAAAAGCGCAACACGGGCATCTCCCGCGCTCAGTATCCACCAATATCACCACAGCCCCTGATGAGGTCTTCACGGAGCAGACAGTAGCCGTCTACGACTCGGCCTCGATAGCCGTGCCACGCGGGAAACTCCCCGCCCTACCGACTGAAGAACTGCTCACGCGCTTGATGCGGCGAAATATGAGTAGCTTCACGAGATTGCCGCAAGCATATATCCTCCGAACGATGAGCACAGAGGCCGAAAAGCCCAGTTTCAAGGCTGCGAACCTCGAGCGTCTGGATTTCAAGGAGGGGGATCTCGTCTGCGGCGCTTACCGGGTCATTCTGCGGACGCCGGGGAAAGTGGAGTTTGAGCTTAAGCCGATGGGGGTCGTTCGGGGTCGTTTGGTGACTACGATTACGGAGAAGGACGATCAGATGGTGTTTATGAATGAAACGTTGATGTGGAAGCCAAAGGGGGAGAAGGGGGTGATGCCGTTGGAGACTGCGGTGGGCAAGTGGATGCATGAGTTGACGGCGTGGTGGATGATGGATTCGGGGGTGAAGCATTTGATGGATTTGAAGAATTGACGGTAGACTAATTGTATGGACGAATCTCCTCTCTTTCGCTGTCTGTGCGGTTGGATTTTTTTTTTCCTTTTTTCCTTCTTGTATGTGGTGATGAGTTTCTGTTCCGTTTTGGCTTGCATGTTTCATAGATGTTGCTGTTCAGCGTAAGCAGGTTAGAGTTAAACAAGATATGTATATTAGGAGGTATATAATTTAATTCATGTAACATCTGCTATTCAACCTCCAAGGAGGTAAAAGTCGTGGACTGTATCTCGCCGGATGAGATATACAGAGTGCAATACCTAGTAGATGAGAAACTTGTATTACCCTTGGTTTATAAAGTACGATTGCAGCTCCCATGCCAAGGAGTCGAGTAAGCTATATCATTTGTTCATTACTTCTTGGTGTATCATCACGATACGATGGCCGAATCTTTGCATGGGTACATTTGACCTGACACGAGAGTATTAACCTTATTATGGCTGCATTTCCCGATAATTATTACATCATTTTCTGTCATGTTCGTGCGCACTAAAAGCCAGTGGATAATGATTAGAAGCAGCTGGATCATGCTCTTCCTGTTCTGGAAGAAGATGATTGATCTCCGACATCAACAGTGGCCTAGAGAGGCAGTCTAGATCGATCCCCGAAAAAGAGAACGTGCTGTGTTCCTGAAAGACTTTCGGAGTTCATTGTCCAAGCTTCCAGCGACAACCTCAATCCGTACTAGCAATGAAATGCATGCCCAATGGTAAAAGCGGGCATTTGTCGATTTTCTGTCCCGTTGACCCCCACAAAGCAAAGCTAACGAGAGACTAAAGGAGACACTAAGGAATAGGCAGCAGACCCGATTGGATTCAGTCTTGAAGGATCCAATTTCTGCCCTGATTCATGATCCGGGATGCCCGTTGGCGATTCTCACTGGCCGATGTCAACCAGGCCGTTGATATTCAATCAGGGAATATGCAGCCAACCCGCGTGGTCTCTGTCAAAATCAGCAACTCCGATTTCAGGTGGAACTGGAGTCAGGACCATGATAACATGAAGCTCCAATGAACATGTACAACTGAGAAGACGAAGAGACAAGGTTTTGTCAATCTTAGTCTATATAGACCGACTACCTCTAGCTGCAATTCAAAACTGCCTTCTCTCTCACCCAACTTGAGTTTGATTAGATCTTGATGCGATGTAGTCGTCATTGACTCTCTTTTGCTAACTTGCAAACTTAATTAGATTTCCTAATGTCGCGAGTTGTTGAAAAGGCTTCTGATAATGCTCACGCCCTCTCATTGATCCCCAGCATTCCGTCGCAGTGTATTTCAATCTGGAGTCCACCCCATATTGGTTTCCCTTCCTTCGATTGTTTACCTTACATTGCTTACATTGCTTACTTCGGTATCCTATTATACACCCTCGCAGTCAGCATGGGAAGAACCATGCTTGTCTGCCTCGTAGGCAGTATCACGGCCTTTTCCGTTCTCACTGATCTTGCTATCTCCATTACTTCCTACATACTTCAAGAGAGCCCATCCAACGAACCCAACCCTACCAAATGGTGCAGCGTATCTCTCTCAGCCGTTAATTTCATACTTGTTGGTCTTCTAACCTATCGATTATACCTTGAGAGCGAACCTCAAGCAAGGGAATGGGTCCTGTGGAAATTCCGAGCTCGAGCTCTCTTCAGTCTCATCGTCTTCATCAATATCGGCATCATCAGCGGTGAGAGGGTGCAACACCTCTACTTCAGCAGTCCAGAGAGTTCATCCAGCAGCGTGTGGCTGTCTCTGAACATATCCCATGCCGTCCTATGGACGATCTCAGCATACTGTCAAGGATTTCTCTGTGCCCTCTCGTTCGTCCTCTCCAACATCCTTGACAACCGATCCGGTCGAGTGTCCAATCCATCCATTGATATCGGCCGCACAGCCGACTCGGTCTTCTCAACGACAAACCTCATCTCACCTCAGAGTCCGCAGTGGAGGAACCCTCTCCTATCACCCGTCCCCTCATTTCTCGACCCCTTACCATCCCCTCAGAGCGAGCTGAGCGTCAGAACAAGCATCCTCCGCTCCCCACTCCCAAACTACTACACCTGCAAAGACCCCGAGCCGCTCTTTCTGCAGACCCGCAGCAGGGAGAAGTCGCTCCAATCGACACCATCCATCGACACCGTCATTCGCTGCCCTGAATCCATTAACGGGGAAAGTACGGTAGCCATCACGCCGACTCCCACCCCGACCGCTCGCGAGTCCCTCCTCGAAGCTATTGAGAAGAACATCCACCCCCTCTTCAGACCTAGCACGCCGCATCTTTCTCCAATGCCGAATATGTCGACATCGATTATTGCTCCGTTGGAAAGTCGTGACCAGACGACCGTGACCTTACCAAGCCAGAGGGAAGTCGTCGATCCGCAGCTGTCGTCCGAAATGGCACAGCCTATACTACCATGTTATGTTCTCAATGCGACGGCGAGGAATAGCCTGGCGCGGTATGAAGATAGTAAGGTTTAGGGCTCACTGCCATTCTTCCGCTTGATGTGTGTCGTATGTCAACAAAAGCTTTATGGTTTGCACAATGCAGTGCTTCGCTGAAGATGAAAGTACATGAGCTCATCAATAATCCTCTAAATCAAATAACTTATTTATGATCACGAGATGCCATCTCAACCAAAATCAATACAGACCTCCACCAATAACCAGACAACTTCTGCTGAATCCAAACACAATCTACACCCCCAAACACTTCCCCAACCCACAACTCTCAAACCGAAACAACCCCCATCATTCATAATTGTATCTACTCCCCACTCCTGCAGTACCTTCTCCCCATCAACCCATATCTGGAGATCGCCGTTCCCATCAACCCCCACTTGACCAGAACAGACACCACATACCACCTCCCCACCTGCACACTCCCTAGACTAAAGGTCCTCATCTGGCGCTCACGAGGCGATCCAGTGACTAGACGAACGTAGAGCTGATCCTCCTGGACCCAGATCAGACCTGGTTGGCGATCAATGCCGGGTGAATCTGCGGTGAATCGCGCGAGATTGTAGTACCCCCGCAACGCGAACTGCCATTCTTCCTGGAGGGAAAAGGCGAAGCTGTGGAAGGTTGTGTCGCCGCGGTGGTAGGTATTATGGTTGACAGATTCATGTTTATATCTGAGTGTGTTTGGGTGTCTGTGCTCGAGTAGGTGGGTTATGTTGAGGGAGGAGGGGCCGGTGATGATGACGCCGGGGGTTTTTGGACTGCGCTGTTGTGTGGAGTGGCATGTGCGGTGATACTGATGCTGGATAGTAGAAATACTATCAACGGTCTCAAAAGCATTATGTTGGTAGATCGGGTTTAGAGAGCGGGTTTTTCATCTTTCCGCCATGTTGATGTTATCTGGCCCTCTTGTTTACGGTCTTGTGTCTAGAACTCTAGATCGGTGACTTGGCTCGTGGGAAACTCCGCTCTCTCCATACTAACCACACGTGGAGAAATGTCTTATCTCTGCTTATGAAATGGATGCTTCAGCAAGAAGTGATTAGCGTTGTGATATTTTGCTCCAACTGGGGCGGGGGGGATGGCCAAGGCCACCGCCAAGACCAACACGAGGCAAGGTAATGAGGCAGAATCCAGCTGATTTCTATAGCCGGATGAATTCTTATTCTATTCAATATTCTGAACAAACTGGAGGCACTGTCATATCGACAAGAACTGACCCTCGCAATATTAGCGACAATTTGTAACTAGGGATGAGCGTCCGGTCCCTCGCAGAACAAACAGCGGAAACTCTCCTCGTCGCCCTCTTTATAATCGGCTTGTGGTTCTTCTGGGCGGCGTCGTTAATCTTCAACGGCGTCTGGTATGCGCTTCACCCGACAGAGATTGTGAAGAAAATCCGTACGACTGGTGGCCGTCCACCAGTCGCTCTGTCTCGCTCTCGCCGCTCTCTGACCCTTACTCTGCGGCCGCAGCAGGAGGATAATGTTCAGCAACGATGTCACGACCAGCTCCAGTCCCAATTTTTTACGAAGCTGGCCCCGAGATCCGCTGCATGATATATCGCGAGATCCTTGTGCCTCCAAATGCGCTTCATGTCCGGCGGACCCATCAGAGACTCTGCAGCATGCCGTGCAGGAATCTAAACCCCCAGGCGGATAGGCAAAGTGATATTCACAGCTCCTGTTGGCCCCCTTTGGCAGACGACGGCACGGTGTTAAGGCGATTGCCCGGCGAACCTCCCCGTCAGAATCAGATACTGCCGCTGCTTTGCAGCTGTCGCGGAGTGTAAGTTTTCCTTCGGAGTCAAATACTCGGCTAGTAATGGCAGAGCCCATTGGCTACAGTTACACAGAGGCGATCCGTCTCCTCTACGAAGCGAATAGATTCCACTTCGACAGCCCGCTTACGGTGCAGGCATTACCACTGTGTATGGTTCCTCGTCGACTCGCATCAATACGATATATCAGGCTTGATATCCAAGCCTTTGAAAATCGGGCCATCGTCGCCGATGTTTCCTCCTCCTGGGAAGAAGCATGCACTGTCCTTGCTGGTATTGAGGCGCTGGAGGAACTTGTCGTCATCTTACGCTCACTCGACAAGGGGACAATGTACAAGCCGCTTCCTCTATTACCTCTGCTGAGGCCTTTGACAAAGATCACTGCCTTGAGGTATGTAGTGGAGGTGCCCCCTCTTGATGACCCGGAAGAGATTGTCGGCGGGTTGGGAGTTGTGCCATTCACACTAGAAACGAGGGACTTTCTGCATGGAGTGATTCATCAATGCTCCTGGTGGGGAAGGGAAGAATCGGAGAGACCCAGGTGGTTACCTCCACTGTGACTGTGTTAAAGTAATAAGAAGATGATGACGTGCACCTGTCCGGGAAAAATTGACGCCTGAATCTTTTTATCGATAGCACCAACTTTGATAATTCGAATTCAGAGTAATCATGTAATCAGACACTTCCGCTCTAATTGTGGAAAGCACATACACCGCAAACCAGTTGACCGATGTACTGACTAGTCAGTCCAGTTATGATCATGACGACCAGACTTCCTGGGAAGGCGTTTCTCGGACAGCGCTGTTTGAAGAGATTTCACCTTCTGGAGGTGCGTTTAATGAGCAGAGATCGGTCTAGTTCACGATTCATGACCAGGATGGAAAGCCAACCTAGAACACTGCAGGCGGAAATATATATTGGAGTGCGAAGGTGGTCGAGTAGTGGCTGGGAACCAGCCAGTCACGCCTGCGATTGATTCTTGCCTCTTTTCCGGTATAAATGGATAGCATAGATCTAGAGATGTTTATGAGATGGAACAAAGAAAGGTCTCTGGCTTTCTGCGACCAAGGAGTTTCAAAATAATGGTCACCCTCACTTGGACATCCCCCTGCTTGGTAATTCTCCTTCATAATTTCGAAAACGGCAAACCCCATCAAGAAATCCTCGATGGTCTAACGGTCATGATTTCCGCTTGTCACTCCAACGAGAACGAGCGCGGGAGACCAGGGTTCGACTCCCTGTCGGGGAGATTTCTTTTTTCCTCCACTCCCTTGTTCTTTTTCACTTATCCATATTTGTTCTGATCTATATTTGCACAGAGTATTATTCCATCGTCGTCTTTCTTTTCTTTCAGTTGCTGTCTCCTATGTCCACAACGCCACAAGCAATGTCAAGAATTTTCCGTTTCCGGAGACGAAGCCTATTCCGCCACCGCAACGTGACCATAAGAATAACATTTCCTAGAGTCGTTAAAGAGAGTATGGATCAGGGCAGCTTCGGACAATTTGGTCATGACCTCATCCAGGCCAATTCCATGTGTCAGGGGAATTCCATGTGTGTCTGCAAGGAGGGTGGTCGTGGCTTGACCCGTCAAATGTCGGCGCAACACTCGGGAATTCATTCCTACAATTAACTCGTGCATTTGACTGTAGAATATCTACACCGCATATTGAACAAACCCCGATATGATCAGACAAACACTTGACATCATCAGCCAAGTTAATGGTGGGAACTGGACTCAATGGGTCGGCGATCAACGGCCGCGCCTTATTGCCTGAACCGGCCGGATTCGCCGACCCAAACAGAGATAGGCCTGGTACTTAGCTCACTCTCTACCCCAGACACAGTCCACCACTCATTCTCCTTCACCATCGCATCATCCAAGCCCGCAATGACAGCATCGCATAAAAGCCTCTTCATCTTTCCTGACAACTATGGCAAACCCTTCTGCCGAGCATGCGCCTGCCGCTGGGCCCTCCTCCTCGATCTCCTCCGTTTCCGGCACTCACCAATCCAGATTGCAGTCGGCGACCGAGAGTGAGGCGTCGCGACCGTCCGGCCATGGAGTAGAGCCGAGAGATTGGTTCGAACTCCAACAAATTCCAACTCAGGGTGACCACCCGGATGAACTCTCCTCGGGATCGATATCTTCGGGGGAATACCGAGTCACTGCTCGTCGCACGGTATCCCGGGGTAGCTCCAGTCGGCAGCCACGCAACGGGGTCTTGGGCTACATTCAACGGTTCTGGGCAAATCACGTTTGTTTGACGGTGCCACAAAAGAGCAACCGTGACCATTTTGGTACGTATGCTTATTTCTGATTTATCGCATTGGATGGAATTTATTTTCGAGGTCCATTCTCCGCCTGCGGAACGGTATTACGCAAAAGCAATTCGAAAGCTAACAGCATCTAGCGCTGGAACGAACATTCTTGGCGTATATCCGTACCTCGATCACCGTTGCCATGCAGGGTGTGTTGATCGCTCAGCTGTTCCGTCTGCAGAGCAAGACCGCTGACCATGCTCGCCTGGGTTACTATAGAGTTGGGATACCTCTTGCGGTTACCTGTCATGTGGTTGCCATTCTCGTCGCTCTGATGGGAGCGTATCGGTTTTGGAGACAGCAGAGCGCTGTAGCACATGGGAAGGTCTGTGCTGGGGGTTGGGAGCTGAATTGGATAGGGATTTTCATTGGTCTGGTAGGTATGCTCCCTTCTCTTGAGTGAAAGTTTGCTAATGGATATAGGTGAATCTGGTGATTTTCATAGTCTCGATTGTTATTGCGGCCGGAATATCGAACAACAACATGAGATGAGGGCTATGTTTGTCGCATTTTACGATCAGACCAGACTCTGCTCAACACAATGATCGATATGTTGATATCAAGGACTGATCTTCTCGTCGTCATTCAATCGATCGAAATTCGATTGACGAGGACGAGAGGCACGCATCTGAACACCACACCGAAATCGGTGCTCAATTGCGGAAGGGAACATCCTGCTGTACAACATCGTCTGTATCTGCTATGTCCCTGACAGAAACAGAACAGACCTTTGCTGCTCGCAATCCTCCATGTCACAGCACGCGTACTCCTCCTGGGGTTACTGCGAGAAGAATATCGATTCCGCATCTCGTCCCTGGAGGCGGGCTCCCCGGAGCGGAGGTCTTTTCCGAGTTCCAATGAGCCACCAGCATTTCCATCGTGGGCGAAACCCATGCATTCCATGGCTGACTGCACCCGTGCGGCGGGCACTGAATCTGTCCGATAACATCCTCTATTACTCGACTGGACGATATGCGTTGCCCCAGCTTCCGCGAGATCATGACCTTGATTCTTGTCTGGTTGGATAAACGCAATATGTGGTATATCAGAAAAGCACTAGTTTGAGTGGAACCATAGGATGAGATGAGCCAACGTGCATATGCACCGGAGTGCAAGAAACAATTGATTGGATATCAGAATTATTAAATTAAAGTATGGGTATATGGTGGTATCATCCGTTGACATCATCCCTGTCGCATACAAATTTTCTCTCGTCTCTCGTCTCCCGGCGACAAGCAAGCTGGATTATCATGAACTTAATCCACCGCCTCTCGACAGGGACATCGACATCATACCTATGCAACCTCGACTGTCTGCATCTGGGTTCCCTCCGTCGCAGCCGTTTCCCTCTTCCTCATGCCTGCGAACCCGGGGGCGTCACACTCCAGAATCCCAAGCATGGCAAGAACAACGATGACGAAGAGCGCGACGAAGAGCAGCCTGCTCACTCGCATTAGCCACGTCAACCCACCCAAGGGGGATTATAAACGGATGTGAAAAAAATAAACATACCACGAGAGCACCGCAAACGCAATCACTGCATTATAGTAGTCGGACGAAGCGCCCAGCCCATCCAGCTTGGCCGCGATGTCCGCAAAGCATGCGAGCCAGAACACCATCGTCATGAAGTAGACGCCGCCCAGCGCGCCCGTGATGATTGTGTTGAGCCGTGTTCCGGGGGCGGCCTTGACGCGCAAGAACCGGGGGAGAAGGAACGCGGCGACGGAGACGAGCATGGTCCAGACAGCGGTGAAGATCTGGAAGGCGACGATGCCAGGGACAGAGAACTTGATGGTCTTGTAGGAGTAGCCCCAGGTGCTGGAGGAGTCGTAGACGGGGATTCTGCGGGAGCCGGTAGAGACGGAGGCGATGTGGCCGCCGAGGCCGAGCTCAATGACGGCGAAGACGAACGCGACGCCTAGGAGGGCGGTGGGTATGATTCCCGGGAGGCGCATTTTTGCTATCTGCGAACTAGCTGTCTAGTCTTTTGTGATGTTTACTGAGTGGCAGACGTGCAGAGCTGGCGGCGCAGGTTGTATTTAATAGCCTTCAGATTAGCCTCATGACTACCGCTTGGGCTAAAGCTCGTGTCGCGGCATGATTCCTCTCGGCTTGGCCTTCCAATCACGCTGGATGAAAAATGCCTTGCCGTTGTTGACTGGTCAAAGACAAGCGGCACAGGATGTGATTGCTCGTATTCCTGCAGATCGACAGATCAGAACCAGTAGGAATGGGATGGGATCTGGTGGTGTCTGATTTGCGAGATTTCTGCCTTACAGTAATAGTAGAAAGGTAAACATCGTGAAAATGGAGATGAGTGGAGATGAGTTCGTATGGGTGTCGATGGACCTTTGGGACGGATGGGGCTATTATGAGATAGCCTCAACCTTCTTCCTTGTTTTCCTTTTTAGGAAGGCTTTTCCTTTCAGCTCTGGGCGATCTAATTTAGTATCTCGCTTCTCATATCCCTTTCCGAATTTGTGGTTCCTTTATCAGCCTTGTGCAGCCTTGCGCTGTACCATGAGGCTGAGCCTGTGCCTGATGGTGTTAATGCTTTCAACACGGCAGCAAGGTCTGACATGCTGTCATATGATGCGCAAAAGACAAGTTTACTGGTTATCTCGTCGCAGCTTTGGCTTGCGCACAAACCATGACACTACAACTCGAGTGGAGCTGATCAGCAACGGCTCTTTCCGATTCGGACTCAGCCCTGGAGGCTATTCTAGACTGATTTCTGTTAAAGTTTTCACTCTGTCCGTACTCAGGGTCCTTCAATCTTAGATTTGCTGTCAATGAGTCACTTGCACGCGCGCATATTCCAGCTCAACAATCAGTAGTCTGTGTGTGGGATCGCATCCTGCTAATATGCCCTGCTTGACAGTTATACATACAATACATACATTGCTGTATCCGGCCTTGTTTAAAAGGCAGGAGCCTGGTAACCAACGCGAGACTGACCATTACTGGCAAAGGGTTACTTAAGGATACATCCGTCCGACTTGGGCCGCACGAATTGACTCGGGCGAGCTTGTCGACCTGTCACCTAATCAAAGCTGAAACTGTATTGAGCCTCGTCTAATCCAACCAATAGAGTAGACAATCCCGTCCCCGCTAGCAGTAAATGATCCCACCACATCGTCGAGCTGAGAGTGTAGAATGATCATGGCTTCGGAGTTTGGTACTTGCTGGATTCGCGAAGGCACAGACTAGCCTAATGCTAGTTGCATACCTTGACCTGATTCCTTTACTCGCGGGCCATATACAAGTATCTAGCTGTCCTCATCACGTAATTCACGACCGTGAAACGTCGTGTATCTATAATGCCATTGACATGACTGATGCGATGTCTATAGAGCTAGGAGTCTCCAGCAGAGACGAACTGCGTCAAAGAGAATAAACTCCCTTGAACACCACAAAACGGAGACGGTATTCTCTGACCATCCTGGTATAACCGCAGGATAATCGGGTTCAGCCAGACGGGAGTTACCCATAGAAAGAAAAGGCCAACCCAGACATACCCGATGGCCTTTCTCCAACGGTAACTCATGCGTTTGATTATCCCATGGCAAGTCCACCACACCAGATGTTCGAACGCGATGCCCGGAATCTGCAGACAGAAGAACCACAACGCTCCGCTCTGGTCCAGGGATACCCCGAATCCCAGATCCATGAGAAAATGGACTAATCCCGACGTGGCGAACGCCATGATAAGCCGGAGACTCTTGGCAACAATCCCCTGCGGGAGTCGCAGGACGTCGTACAGTAAGAAATCGGCGTTCGATGTGACCAGCTTGCGCAGGATCTGATGCCAGGCGATTCTACTTCGATCAGTATGTAGGTGCCAGCAGGGAAAATGAACAACTCTCACTCACCCCCAAACCCGCGTCAACGAGTACATATCGCCCAAGTCGCCGAAAACCGGCGGCCAGTCGACGGGCTCGTAGACCCCCAGCGCGACGAAGAACATGGCAAGGAGGCTATACGTCCCCAGTATAGCCGCTCGCGTGACGAACCCAAAAGAGACGGTGAATAGCATCTGGACGAGCGCGCGGCGCGCAGTCCATTCCTCCCAAGTAGGGAGTAACACCTTCTTAGAGTCTGAGATCTCGGAAATCATACCCGCGAGACGAGCATCCCCCGCATCGATAGTGCAGAAATGCAGCACAAGCAATGCACCGCATACGTTGAGCGCATACCGGCCCAGAAAGTCCCACTTGTCCGGGATGAATCCCGGGTCATGCTTGTCGAACGCGGGGACAGCGCGGATCTGCCACGGGGTATTCACGCGACGGTAGTTGAACGCCATTTCGACGGACCAGACGAGTCTTCTCCAGTAGCTTTTTCTGGCGGCAGTCTTGCTTTGACTGAGTTTCGTCTCCCAGGCGATCTGCTCGTCGAACGAGACCCGACTCAGCATCAGCAGGTCGATCGCGTTGAGCACGTTGACCCAGCACATGGCCGCTAAGGGTCCACGCGCGCGAGTCTCGGCGAAGGTCTGCCGGACTTGAGTCTGGAATGAGTAGGCGAGTGCGATGACAAGTACAGTGACAGCCGGTCTAAGTTTGGAGTAGGGCTGTGTGAACGTGATTGTCCATCCCGTCAGGAGTTGGACGAGTAGCCATTGTGTGAGCGGGATGCTCCATGCTGATAGCGAGTTAAGGTCCATGGATGACTTTTATGAAATGAAGTTAAGGTAGCAGGGGGGGGACATCTGTTGATTTAAGACTGGACATGTAGTCATGCCTGTTCAGCTGCATGATCAAGTGTTTGATGTTTTGCTAATATTATTGCTTTTTTCTGTGTGACGATCTTGGCGGTCTCTCTTTGTTGCTCAGCAATTGGAGCAAGACCCACCGACTATTGATTTTATTCAGCTGAGTCTCTAGATTAGAGAGATTATCTTGTTAGTGAATGTGAATGATATGATTGAATTTGATTGGGCGATTATCATTGCTTAACATGGGCATGCTGACTGAGTGCTTATCCCTTGCTAAGACACCGGCAAGTGGTAGTGTTTAACTATCCCACTGATGAATATAAGCATAATTAGGCTAGAGTTAGGATAAATCAGTCAGACACGCATAGTAGATCGAGTACTCTAATGGAAAATACATAATGTAGTGTGATCATACCATGGTGAGTGTTAGTTTGCTGAGGCCGATCATGTACAACCTATTAGTATTGAACCTCATATACCATTCTAGGGATGAGGGATGAGATGAAAGTCAATTGATTGAAGATGTCCTGATACATCAACTGATTACACCAGGTCTGCCCATTATCTCACCACTCAGAATCATCCGTCAGGCCACCCGTGGATCATCACCAACTCAGTCTTTCCCCGCAAAGCAAACCACGTCCATTGACCAATGCAAGGCATCATGAAGTATCCATGATCTCACCACCGAAGCTCACATCCAATCAACTCCATATGCAGAATATCGCTCAACCATCTGATTGCGCGCCGTCAAACAATTTATCTGGATCATCTCCAGACGCAGTGACCATTGCATGTCTGTCATCCGTCATCTTTTGCGGGGTTGAAAGACAGGGTATAAAAGGGATTCCTACGGTCGCGTGTCTCTCGATCAGCCAGAGAACAATCAATTCCTTCTGCTACATCCACCAACCAACACAATGACCAAGGACCTTGTCAGTCAAGCAACCCCGTCGAGTATGGAACCCACTAACCGTCTCTAGAGCTTCGACGTCTACTTCTCCAACGAACAAGCCCATGCCCGCTTCGGGGACGGCAAAACCCTTGCAGAACAGTGCGTTAACTCACCGTTACTTTCTACCTTCGTACTGACCGTTACATAGTCTTCGTGAAATCTACGAAGGCGAAGACCTCGTCTTCCCTGATACCTTTGAACACAGCGACACCTCTCCCCCGGTGCAGTACTTGACGTAGGCCTCTCCTCCTAGAGACACCCTTCCTAGTGCCATACTAAGTTGATACAGTGTTGAAGCACCCGACGATATGACTGTCGAGGAACTCTACGAGGTAGAGGTTCCTCCTGGATTGATGGTGAGGATTGAGGAGTTGCCGCAGTAGTGGTGCTCGTCTTTCCTCACCACCCCAAATTGAAGTTTTTTTGTTTGGTCATTACGAGACATGATGTATACCTAGGAAATTATTATAAGGAGTGCAGTATATATGTTAATCAACATGTTCTAATTAAGTCACTTGGACTGATTGAATAAACCAATGGTGCAATCTCCATGTTACACTGATTAGGTAAAAGATGGTACATCAGGCCATTCTTAACATATATAGACGACCAGCCCATCCAGGTAATGTTACACATCAATCTAATGCTCTTAGCTGACAGCGTCTGTGTCATCAGTAGCTAACGCCTTGCTTCCATCCTTGCAGGTCTCGATTACAATTTCCATCTTCCCCAAGACAGTGTCAGCATCACACAGCAGTAGCAGTAGCACGCCCAGTATCGCATCAAACATCCTTCGCCAGATGCGTCCAGGCTGGTACTTTTGTACATTAATCGCTATATATTTTATTGTATTAAGAGGAAATACCAATAAGAAGGGCTTGTGGTTTAGGGGTATAACGCTCCATTCGCATACGCAAATGGGTCTTGGAGAGGTCCCGGGTTCGATTCCCGGCGAGTCCACTTTTTTTCCTTCCCTATTTTCTTTTTTTTTGGGTATGGGCAGTATCTAATTCAAAGCTGTCATAGAATGCAGACAAATATGGTTTAGTTCACTATATAGACTGATAAGAGATCACCCTAACTAACAGAATGATGCATTCGAGACTGGATTCCAGTTATAGCAACCATTGACCACTGACCATTGACCATTGGTTACATCCAATAAGGTCCGGGCATGCAAGCACTGACAAATATCCCTCATAGTCATGTCTACTTTCCTTTGCTTCGGAATGCAATACATAAACAAATGCAATTATCCAGCATATAGAATATGACTAGCTCGTACCACTAGGTAAGGTAAGGGTGGGATGCATGTTTGCCTACCTTAGCTGCTGTCGACGGGTATAAAGTCCAGCCCTCCCATCCAACTCTCTGACCCTGATCAGCATCCTTCACTATCGCTTACACTTTCAAGTAGGTCATGTGCTCTTTATATTCCAGTAGCATACTGACAGTACGCAGAATGAAGTTGATCTACCTGCTTACATCCCTCGCTGCCATGGCTCTGGCTGCGCCGAGTCCTCTGGGTGAGTATGTGTGCCATCGAGAAGGGGAGACCTGTGCTACAATTGCTGGTCCGATTGGAGTGTGCTGCCCTGGGCTTCAGTGTATATATATCAGTCCAGACCAAGGGGTGAGTACAGTGTCATCTATGAGTTAGGCATGGCTGATTCTTGCTAGGTTTGTCAGCCTACAGAAGACTCCACTTGAAGAGAATGGTGGCAGTGCTACTGGATACTCAGTGTCTGCGCAGTTAAGAGTTAGATGCAGGATGACAAGGACTCCTGTAGTATACTTTGTCTACCTTGTACTTTGAGTGTTTAGAGCATGTTATTCCCTGCTCAAGTCCTGACCACTGATCCCCTTGCGGGCACTCATCCCTTGCCAGCTGCAGTCCAATCCTTAGGGATCTAGTCTGTAATGCCTAGGATAATGTAATGATTCTCTAAAGCATATTACCGGCTGATACAGAGTACTCATCTCTAGTCTGCAACCATTACATTCCTCGCTTGAATGTAATAGGCCTGACTAGCACTTCTATTGACATCGAGCATATATACTGACCAACAGCAAAGTATGCTTGCTCTCTAATAAAACAGGGTAACAAATACTGATGAACGCAATATCACAACAGTCAAATAAGCCATACTGTTATCCACGGAATCAAGTTCCATCAAGTCAGCACTTGGTAAAGGATGTACCCATTATTGCATCATGCCGTGGGTCAGCCCGATCCGTCGGGCTTGGTCGGCAGCAACATCAGGCCATTGTTATTCATTGCAGCTATAGACCATACCAGTTGATTATATCACAAATACAGTCAGTTGGTCAATACCTGTTTTGTTTATGTCAACCAGGATAAAACCGTGTGAGTCTGGCTGACATCGTCAGAGTACCAGTCCTTCCGTGAAATACTTAGTCTAGAGCAATGACGTGGTTCCAGTGCAATATAGATACATAAACCTACAATACTACTTCAAATACTAGGTAGAGACATGGCAAACGCACCCCACACCTACGGCAACGAAGTCTACACCGACGGCCTCCAAAACATCAAAGCAGCCATCAGCTTCAACCCGTACGACTGGGAAATCCACGCCCGAGACCTCCTCTCCGCCAACAGCTACAGCTACATCTGGGGCTCCGCCGGCCTCCGCGAAACAGACACCAACAACCGCGACGCTTTCCGCAAATGGGCGCTCATCCCCTCACGCCTCGTCAGTGCCGACTTCCCATCCCTTAAAACCACAGTTCTGGGTCAGGAATACGACTACCCCATCGCCATCGCGCCCATCGGCGTGCAGCGCATCTTCCACCGCGACGGGGAGCTCGCGGCCGCGAAGGCAGCGAGCGCACAGCATGTGCCGTATATACTGAGCACGGCCTCGTCGACGAGCATCGAGCATGTGGCGGCGGCGAGCTGGAATGGGGCGAGGTGGTACCAGCTTTACTGGCCGCTGCGCGAGCACGATGAGATTACGGTGAGTTTGCTTCAGAGGGCGAAGCGCGCGGGGTATAGAGTGTTAGTCGTCACGCTCGACGCGTACATGCTCGGCTGGAGGCCGTCGGATCTAAATAACGGGTATAACCCGTTCTTGCGAGCGGACAAGATCGGCGTCGAGCTGGGGTTCTCGGATCCGGTGTTCCAAAGGCGGTTTCGGGAGAGGCACGGGGTGGAGGTCGAGGAGGATATGGGGGCTGCGGCGGGGGAGTGGGCGCATATGATCTTCCCTGGGCGGAGTCATTCGTGGGAGGAGATTGGGTTCCTGCAGGGGCATTGGGACGGGCCGATTGTGCTGAAGGGGATCCAAAGTGTGGTGGATGCGCGGCGGGCGGTGGAGGTTGGGGTGCAGGGGATTGTGGTGTCGAATCATGGGGGCGGCAGCAGGATGGGGTATTGGGTCGCTTGATGTCTTGCCGGAGATTGTGGATGCGGTGGGGGAGCAGATGGAGGTGCTGTTTGATTCGGGGGTCCGGGGTGGTGCGGATGTCGCTAAAGCGCTGGCGCTCGGGGCGAAGATGGTGCTGATCGGCCGGCCGTATGCGTATGGACTGGCTATTGCGGGTGAGGCGGGTGTCTCGCATGTCCTGCGAAGTATCCTTGCGGATCTGGATCTCACGCTGCACCTGGGGGGGATCGAATCGGTGTCTCCTCAGCATCTCAATCGGTCAATCCTGCGCCGAGTGAGGTAGGAGCCACCATGATCAAGGATTTCCTGGCAAGGGGGAGGTATCTGTCTTGTTGCTGTTCACAGGTTTCGGGGAGACGCTGAAAAAGCTTATAGTCAGGTGTTCATTATATAGCTCGTATAGACCAGGTGGGTGCTTCTGCTTTCAATGCGCACGGCGAAAGCTATTCGAACTGATCAAGTCGACTCTCGATCCACTCCAGGAGATTCGTCCCATCGTCCAGCAAGATCGACTCCCCATTCAACCAATCCGCCGCTACCGCATCAGCAGGTAAACTAGAGGGCAACGGCGACGGATTGGCCGATAAGGCCAGGTTGAGGATGCGGCAAAGGATAACGCGTGCACGCTGGCAGATGTTGTAATTTCCCTCATGCGGTCGAACGACGTATTGGAGGTAAGATGCAAAGACGCTCAGGTTCTGGATGGTTTCGGGCCGTCGGAACATCGACGGAGCAGACCGTGATGACCGGTCACTTTGGCACAGTAGCTCAATTGCGAGAGCGCCGGCAGCCGGCATACCGAATGAAGAGGCCTGCGTTGGTGAGAAGCTGCGGTTTAAGGTTTGAGAAGTTGGACTTACGTTCCATCCCATGTTGTATGTCCCATTTCCCCATGCAATCTTCCTCCCGATGAGCTGAAGAGCCGTGCCCAGTATATTCTGGGAGACGTTGATCAAGGCATCCAACTCGGTCTGGGAGCGCCTAACAAGCAGCCGGTAGAGAAGGAAGTCATTGTAGAGGAAGTCGAGATAGAGGGGAATGAGACTGCCACTGTCGTCCGAGCTGGCACTGCCAGGAAGCCAGCGAAGGAAACTGGGTAGTTCATCCCACGTTCTGCGGGAGTTATCAGACACTTGCCTAGACAAATATCAATTACGGGCCACACGATATTAAAATGTGAGAGCTAAGCTCACTTGGCTTTCCGGGCGAGGTCATCGACACAGCGGCTCAGCGACAATTCGAGGATTTGCTCTCTGATTGAGCCGACCAAAAGAGCAACTCGCAGCCACTGCGCCTGTTGGATGACACCTTGGCTTTTCCAACCGTTCGCGTCCAGTCTGCCGATGGCAGCATCTCGAGTAGCCGGGTCCGCAAGGATTTCGTCGTAACGCAGATCCAGAGGAAGTTGCACATCGCAGTATCTCCAGATGATCTGGGGCGGTCTTCCAAGGAACGTGGACAGCTGCTTATCCATGATATAGGCGCCAGCCATCAGGCGTCTACGGAGCTCGGCCAGAAAGAAAGGCATGCGCGCGTTGAGTTCGGTCTGGTTCAGCCCGAGAGTAAATACCACAGTTGACAATTGGGCCAGTTTTCGCCACGCTCGATAATCTTAGCCTGTCAGCATGGCGAACTAGTTTCCACAGGATGGGAGGATAGAGTCATACCGTTGTTACCATAGACCAAAGTCAGCAGATGGGTGTGCTGATACAGCAGCCACCCCAGCGGATCATGGACTACGCCTGAGTCATCGCAAAATTGGAGACAAGCATCGCTGGCAGTGGCCGCAAGCACCCCGAGTGATCTTTGATCTGCTGGTGCAGCATCTGTCAACTGAGATACAGTTTTCCAGTCTCTCTCTAGCATTGCACCTTGACCCACAATGGAGAAGACCAACCCGATGCCTTCCCATCGATTGGAGATACAACGAAGATATTCCTCGGGTGCCGTGAGCGGAGCAACCTGGATCGTCTGCGAGGTCTCGTCAAATATTTTCTGGGACCAGCCTAGCAGGTTCTCATAGTACCGCTCTTTTTCATCCTGGTCATTTGCCAGGAGTCTGTGGTTATCTTTCAAGGCCGTAAAGATCATGGGGACGAGATGTTGGCCGACAACACAACCTTCTGGTGAATTGTCTAAACGATTTTCCGCGACGGTCTCGTAGAGCGACAGATTCTCAAACAACGTCAGCAGTAGCCGTGCGCCCAGCTGAAACTGCTTTGAACTCGAGCTGGCCCGATTGTGTTCCAAGGTTGCCAGCGGCGTGAGGATCCCATTTAGATGATCCTCGCTCTCGCCTAACCCGCCAGAATAGCTCATCAGTCCCAGGGTGTCAGGAGGCGTGACCGATTGGGCTTTCTTGTCCCAATTGTTGTCTGAACTTGCAGGCATATGTGGCGAGGAGACTGGATCAGAATACCAACTCCGACTCATTGGCGAAGGATGATAAACACAGACGTCTGACTTTCCACGGCGAACACACCGTTTGCATGTCGGAGTGGAATGGTCGCAGCGTAGTTTTGACCGGCGGCAAGGCTCGCAAGATGTCTGCACACCATTCCGAGGAGGGGAGGACATGACTGGTGTGACGATTGACCTGGTGAGCTGAAAGGGTGTGCTGAAAGGTGTGCGATGGCTGTGTTTAAGTAGTCTCGGACTGCATGATGTCCTCTATACGTGTCAATGTGCAGCCTAGATGTTAATATCACCTGAAACGTTGAACGGGAAACCACATTGCCGATGCTGAGACAAGGATACTCCAAGATGGACCCCGCTTTGACAAGTTACCAGTTGTAGAGCTCGTCAGGTCGTACTGCTTGGAGGCCATTGAAGATACGTGTACAACAGCAGCATGATAAAAATAGAAAGAAACATTCTAGGGTAGCAGTCCAGTTCTCGATTGTCCAAATGAAGCCAGAACAGGTAGTTGTAAATTATAGGTATCTTACTATTTGACTGGAATTGAGGATCAAAATACCTACCTGAAATTCCGGCAAAAGCATCCGTCAAGAGCGAATTTGTGTGCGATATTGTAGTTATATAATATAATACACTTATGTTGCAAGTCTTTCAACAAGTGGGTTGTGTAGTGTAATGGTTATCACTCCAGATTCTGATTCTGGCAATCTTGGTTCGATTCCGAGCACGACCTCACCAATTTCTTTTGCTTTTTGCATGCAGTATCATCAATCTCGATCCATATTAACCTCCTTCTAATTTTTATGTTCTCTCTGTTTCCATTCTTTAATAACTTCCCTATCTATTACATTTGTATGAGTATGAGTCAATCTCTAGTACGGAAAGTGAATACATTATGACTAGAGCGGATGAAATCATCAACCTTTAAATACGCCCTTCATTCCTCGTCTTGGAGATGAAGCAGCAGAGTTCGAGACACATGCATGGAATCTTGCATACTGTAAGCCGCATATAACGTTCAATGACCCAACCAGAATGAGGACATTTGCTACTACTTGCATCTCCATGACCGATGACCATAGTGGTGAGGTCATCGCACTACGGCACCAATCTACATCATAAGGTTACCAAAACCTCACGAGTACTGGAATGTAGAACCCAACCCAGTTAATAATCTATAATCCACACGATTGAACAAAATGGTGCACATCAGCCGAGTGCAGAAACGCCCCAAAGGCCACCATGCCAGAGAAGCTGAAGTGACCGACTATGTCTATGGCACCCACTTCGCAGCGCAAGATCTACCGCACCATGAAATGGCAGAGCGCGAAATGCCGGCCAGCGTTGCGTACCGGTTAATCAAGGACGAATTAAGTCTTGACGGGAATCCATTACTGAAGTAGGTCCTCCGTGACAGGGTTATGCATGCTGACGGAGTCCAGTCTGGCGAGCTTCGTCACCACCTACATGGTAATCACTTAGGCCCACAACGGAATATTCCTGTTACTGACAGCATACTCCCATATAGGAAGACGAAGCCCAAAACCTCATGACCGACGCGATGAGCAAAAACTTCATCGACTACGAACAATACCCGCAAACAGCCAACATCCAGAACCGCTGCATCAACATGATCGCGGACCTCCTTCACGCCCCAACCGCCGACGGCCCGGACGTCCAAGACGCCATTGGTACATCGACCGTCGGATCCTCGGAGGGGATTATGCTAGCCATGCTGGCGATGAAGAAGCGCTGGCAGAACCGCCGGAAGGCTGAGGGCAAGGACAGCACGCGGCCGAACATCGTAATGAATAGCGCGGTGCAGGTGTGCTGGGAGAAAGCGGCGCGGTATTTCGATGTCGAGGAGAAATATGTGTATTGCACGGAGACGCGGTATGTGATTGATCCTGAAGAAGCGGTTAATCTGGTGGATGAGAATACCATTGGCATTTGTGCGATCTTGGGGACAACGTACACGGGCCAATACGAGGACGTCAAAGCCATCAACGACCTATTGATCCGCAAGAAGATCGATTGTCCGATTCACGTAGATGCCGCGAGCGGCGGGTTCGTCGCGCCGTTCGTGAACCCTGGCCTAGAATGGGACTTTCGGCTTCCAAAGGTTGTGTCGATTAATGTATCCGGCCACAAGTATGGTCTGGTAGGAAACCAACCCCTACCTTCCAAGACGTCCCTGACAGAGTTTAGGTCTACCCCGGCGTCGGCTGGGTCTTCTGGCGCTCAGCAGAATACCTCCCCAAAGAACTCATCTTCAACGTCAACTACCTCGGCACCGAGCAAGCAACCTTCACCCTCAACTTCTCCAAAGGTGCCTCCAACATCATCGGCCAGTACTACCAGCTCATCCGGCTCGGCCGGCACGGCTACCGCTCCATCATGCAGAACCTAACCCGCACCGCAGACCACCTCGCCACAGAGCTCCAGCAACTCAACTTCATCATCATGAGCGACGGCGCAGGCGGCGGCCTCCCGCTCGTCGCGTACCGGCTCCCACCCGATGAAAACCGACTATGGGATGAATATGCGCTGGCGCATGTCCTCCGCCAGCGCGGGTGGGTGATACCCGCGTACACGATGGCGCCGCATAGCAACCAGCTCAAGATGATGCGGATCGTGCTCAGGGAGGACTTTAGTATGGATCGGTGTAATGTGTTGGTTGAGGATATGAAGATGGCGATGAAGACCCTGGAGGAGATGGATCGGGCAATGATTGAGCAGTATATTCGGTATGTCCTGCTTAGTTACTTACTGATATCAGAAGCTGACGGATACGTTAAGACACTCTGGTCGCCATTCGCTGGCTGGGAAGCCTGATCATCCGGTTTACGCGGGCGAGAAGCATTCGCTTCAAGGGAAGACAGGAAAGACTCATGCAGTGTGTTGATCAGCAGTGCGGCGTTTATCGGCGATAGCAACTGTTCAATTCAATGGCAAAAAGTGCATTCGATAGTGTTGCGCTGCATGCAATGTCCGCGGTTTGTAATAGCGCATGTGAATAGTCAAAACCCCTTGCGTGATACTCTTTCATCCCAAAAACTCTGTCTCTCTCCTACGAAGGCCATAACTCGTTCACTTGCTGCTGGCCGTATGTCAATGACCTAAGACCGCTTCCAGTAGAGCAGGTCCTGGACACTGTGAAGAACTGACGGTAAACAGATCCGTAATCCAGAACAGTCGGTTGACGAATATAAGCGAAGACCCACCTTCGCCAGAGGACGTAGTCTAGATGTTCAATTGACGTAGCCGAGCAAATTCCGTTAAAGCGAACCAGAGATTTATATCGTCTCCACTAATTGTAGGGCAGTTGACAGGTTCTCCGAACCGTGGTTCGGCATCAAACTGAGAAAACTCGGGAGGACGGAGAGGTATTCTAATGACGGCGCTCAGTGCATAGGATGTGCACTTGACGAGGTTCTAAGACACTATTTAGAGGGAACTTCGCTTGTTTACAAGTCTTCGTTTCTTTCTACTATTCTTGTCCTGGCTGCATAAATGGTAGACGCAAGGGCGGGTAAGTATTGCATATGATAGATGGAATATCATTTCGAGAAGAACAATGCCCAACTTTATGCAAGTATATGCCGGATCTGCCGCTAGCAAACTCTGATTATTCTGTCGGTGACTCTCTTTTGACGAATGGAGCAGAACATGCCTAAGTTATATAGGGCAAGTCGGACCGTCTGTTCTGCTGCTAAAGATTATATGCAGTAGTTGATGGCGCATGTCCATAGGAAGAACCTTAACCTTCAGTCGTGAGCTGCGTGAAATGCCTGACCGCTATGTGATATAAGTACGATATCAAGATGAAATGCCATGTTGGTCTTCAATTGGTGCTAGGCGGTCCAATTGATTGAGGATCTGTGTAGGTCACATTAGAGATTTCCTACCGTATCTTGACCAGGACGATCAGCCTGTCCGTCTTCTTTTTCTTCTTAAACTTCCGATCGTCCTGGTTGTAAGTCGAGTAGGCAGGAGGCGGAGCATATGTCAACACCATGGAGTTGTGGACGCTACTCGGGCTGTTAGCTGCCACCAGCCATGTACAGGCGAAAGCCGTATTCGCCCATTTCATGGTAACAAATAATGTCACTTCTATCTTGACATAGCTAATATCGACCAGGTGGTGAATGCCATCAACTTCACGCAAGAAACATGGACCAACGACATCTTCGCAGCGCAGGCCGCGCACATCGACGCCTTCGCCCTGAACCTCGGCTACGGCCTGCACAACTACGAGCTCATCCTCAATGACGCCTTCACCGTCGCCCACCGGCACAACTTCAAGATGTTCCTCTCCTTCGACATGGGCCAGGGCTCCCAGTGGCCCGCCGACGAGATCGTCCAAGTCATCGACAACTACGCCACCGGCAGCGCATACTACAAGCACCACGACGACAAGCCGCTCGTCTCGACCTTCGAGGGCGGCCAGAGCGCTGACGTCTGGAACGATGTCAGGCACAACGCGCAGTCGGACTTCTTCTTCATCCCCGACTGGTCCTCGCTGGGGGTCGAAGCCGCATCCAGCAGCCCCATCATTGATGGCCTGATGAGCTGGCATGCGTGGCCGGCCGGCGCACACGATATAAACACCACGCTGGACGAGGAGTACGTCGCTGCGCTGGACGGGCGGCCGTACATCATGCCCGTCTCGCCGTGGTTCTACACTAACCTGCCTGTGTTCCACAAGAACTGGGCCTGGCGCGGGGACGATCTCTGGTTCGACCGCTGGCAACAGGTGCTTGAGCTGGAGCCCGAGTACGTCGAGATCATCACCTGGAACGACTACGGTGAGTCGCACTACATCGGCCCCATGCACGAGGACGACCTGGGGATTTTTGCTGTGGGCGATGCCCCCTTCAACTATGCCGAGGGGATGCCGCATGATGGCTGGCGGGCGTTTCTGCCGTACGTGATTGATTTGTATAAGAGTGGGGGAAAGAATGCGAGCTTTGACAAGGAGGGCGTGGTCTCGTGGTACCGGCTTAATCCGGGCTCTGCGTGTATGAGCGGGAAGACCACGCCGGGCCAGCTGTCTGTCGAAGGGACGAACACGACCAGCCCGAAGACCGTCATGCAGGATAGGATCTTCTATTCGGCGTTGCTGGAGTCGGCGGCCGACGTGACGGTGAGTATCGGCGGGGCCAGCAAGACCGGGATCTGGGCGGATACGCCTAGCGGACAGAAGGGGTTGTATCATGGAAGTGTACCCATTGACGGGATGACGGGGGAGGTCGAGGTGACGCTATCACGGTCTGGCGAGCAGATCGCCCAGATGAAGGGCGAGGCCATCACCACCGACTGCCGGAAGAATCATGGATACAACAACTGGAATGCGTGGGTGGGGAGTGCAATGGGCGAGAAGAATGTGACATCTGAAAAGACTTCATTTGATGACAAGAAAAATGACTCGCAGAGGTCAAGACCGGCGATGACATTGTTGCTGGGCTTGGTCTTGTTGGCGCTGGTCTGAGCATGTGCAATATATCACCGATATCCGAGGCATGATACTGACCAGTACATAATCTACCGTTATTTTATCATATAGTAATAGCCTGGACAATGATAGATGGCGTTGACTCTTTCAATGTACTGCAAGATCTTCCATTTCGGGCAGGTTCTGGAGAAGACAAGGAGACTGAGGCACCGGCCGAACAGTCCCATGGAATACACAATCGGACTGTTCGAGTGACGTCTTCTGGTGACAGATCTAGACATTAGATTAAACTGTTGGTTCTATCGGCGATCCGCGAAGAACTACGCAATACCCACAGCTACGTCGGCGATTGCAGAATTTCGGACAGAAATAGCAAACGATAAGCTGCAGAAGATTGCCAAGTAAGTGATTGCTGACCACCTTCCTGAAGAAGTCCACATGCCTAGAGGTACCCACAGGCTGCACAAAGGATTAGGCGAGGAGTTTCCTTGGCGAGTCCAGTCTATGACAACATCTCCACGCCACCCGGACAGCACCGGTGCTGAAGAGTATAGATAGAGTTTGCTAACCGAGCATGAGCCTTGGGTCCTCTCGGGCCAAGACGGTGCCACATATCCCTTGCTATCCTTTTCCGCTTCGGCCGAAACGCGGCCGAGGTGATCAATATCTTCATCGTATACAAGCGTGCAAGCTCTATAGCTTCGAACTCTGCCGTACCCCCTGAGGCTGAAGTATAAGTACTCCCCTGGTCCCTGAAGATCAAGGGTGAATTGACACCCTTCATCCACACTTGACAAGGCCTCTACTATTTGCCAACCGGTCAACATGGCCGGACCCCTCGAGGCTCTGCCGACTGCTACCATCCTACTCCGCAACGCCACTCGTGCATTAAACCCTCGTATTCCTCCCATTGCCCGGCAAAGCATCTCCATACTCCCCTGTCGCATAGCCATCATCTCGCGCGACAAACTCAGAAAAGAATCATTAGCCAAGAACCCCGATCTACGCCGATGCGTCGCACACAACAGTCTCCTCCGTCGGTCCATGGAGGAAGCACACCATAATATCCGCAGACGCATGTCTTCACTTTACTTCGAGGACGACGAGGACGGCAGTGCGGGAATTACCCCTCAAAGCCCAGCGAAAGCCCATCGTCCATCATCCGGAGCACAATCAACGCCGCTGTGAAAGCTATGGGGCGTCGACAACGGTCAGAGGGTCTTGACCGGATGGCTTCTTCTTCTTCTTCTTCTCAGGAAAGCGACGGAAAGAAGCCGCTGGTTAAGTATCGTCGCTACTACGCTCCCAGACTCAGAGTCCACCGTCCCGCGGGATAGATATACAATATACGCCCGCGTTGCCGGTTGATACATCACCGCTTGAAGTTATCACTTGATTTTATGTCACCTCAGCATATCAGCATTTACGGAATGGTCTTTATACCCCTATAGAGTCATACCCTACCAACTGATAATATCCTTTTCACATAATTCCCTCCTTACTCGTTATTGGCGCTTTAGAGTTTAGACGAATTACGAAGACACGCTGTACGATCCTTTCATGCATTGGCGATATATCTCTATTTTACAGAAGCATATGCATAATTGAACAGATATCATAGACATACTTGTTCTAATACTGCATTTGTAGCCAGTATTCCAAAATATATTAAAATCCCAGGTCGCTGGCTTTCCACAGATAGGAGGAGAAAAGGAAAAAAGCAAAAAATGGTCACTACGAGGGTCGAACTCGCGACCTTGGCGTTATTAGCACCACGCTCTAACCAACTGAGCTAAGCGACCGGTTCTTGAATACCCCAAGACTTTAATGATTTTTCAGTGAATCCTTTACATCGCTCTGCCTATTCCAGGACGATGGCCGCCACTCTACCATTAGATGAATATACCGCCATCGCTTTTGTTAGCAATGGAAGAAATCATGAAAGCATGTAAATATAGCCATGCGCTTGGTGTAGACTCCTTATACCAAACATACTGACCGGCTGATGAGTAGCCCGTGCCGGCATGGGAGTTCCCTGTGCATATATTTATAGTCATATTCCATTCCCACTCACTTTGGTCTGCTGGCTCTTAGGGCCGTTGCTCCCGGTGTCAAACGGCCAGTTAGCGTCTTAGCGTAATGACAACAACCATCAGCTGTTGACCTGGTAGGTCCCCGCAGTATAATCGGATACTGACAAAAGATGCTGACATCCCTGCATTCACTGCAGTATAAGATTTGGTCCTGAGGATTATTTCTGACCACCGCAAATGCTCTGTCCTACATTGAGTAGACACTGTGCTGCTAGAACTCAGCTTCATCTCGCACAGGTTGCTCAGCATATATTGCGTGCTAATAACAATGATCAACAAGGAGGTCTATCAACTCGAAAGAAGCACGGATCCAATATATACAAACTTCTCTATCATACCCCTTGCTAAATTTCACCCCTCGCATGGCCCTAACCCTACAGCGCAGCCTTAGCCAAATTCGACTGAAAAGTCCCATCCCTTAAACAGCACCACTCGCGGACCCAAAATTCGCGTACTCCAGACCCTTCCTCGCCGCCTCGGGCATCGAATCCCAAGCGAGCAGCAGCAGATCCCGACCAAGGGCATTCGTAAACTGCAGCTCATGATTCAAGGGAGAGTTCGTAAAGTACTCCACCTTGGACCTGGTCACCTGGAGCGGCACATTCCTCCGTCTTCTTGTACCTGCCGTGCGCAGACGCCGCAGCGCCGGGGGAGAGTCGGGTTCGCAACGGCGGGATAATCCACCCAGATCACGACTATGAATTGCCAGGATGCGTATTAACCATCGGACTAGTCCTTTGATACACCGTAAGAGCACTACGTTCGTTCCAATCTCCATCTTACTAAATTCTCGTCTATCGAAAAACCCAGATAGTTACTAATCTCCACAATTGGAATCTCTGGTATGGCATACCCACGGCTTCAGTTGCTGAAGCCGCTCGGGAGGTTGGAGCTGGGTGACCGTTGCGCACACCGACTCAATGGCGCAGACAGGTGGATGAGGATTGGAGTAATTGTTCAGTCGGTCCATAGTTCAAACAAACGGAAGCCGATGTAGCGTCCTCGGTGGCCGTAGCTCTGTCTGACTTGGCTTCAAGCAAGAGCCTATGTTGGCTTCAGACGTATGCCCCAGACACTCATCGCGTTTGAGTCTCACGGGATGCGAGCCTAGTTTATCCAGCAAGACGCTCACTTCTGTTTCCGACTGAACAGCTTTGTGCTCCTTGCTCGCAATCCCACATCTTTTTTACTCCTCTTACTGCCCGGGAGATAATAAAAGAGGCCACGGACCAGCCAGTGGACGTGCCACAAGGCTCTTGTACAGTTCTCTCGTACGTAATGTGAGTATTCCGCGCCTACCTACCTTACATCTTTTCATCCGTGCTGATTCCAGAATCTACCAAGGACCACACCGATCCTGCGAGTGGAATACATAGACAGTCCGCCAGCTATGGATCGTTTGGCGACGAGTTAGTATCTGATAATCATGGGTATCCGGAAACCATCGATTTGATGGACCTATTCACTACCACTTTCCCGGCAAGCTTCGATCCTTCTTGATTGGCGTCTTTGACGAAGCGTTCAATGTAATTATTGATTGCATTGCTTACCAGACAAGGTATTTCCATAGCAGGGCAATAGAAAACCTTCCACACCATTACCCAGATATCAGCATATCACAGTGGTATCGGAACTTCGGACATCGGGGCGCCGTGCTAAATTGCTGGCCGAATCCCCGGGGTCGGATACCTGTACTTTCTGAACCGATCAGATCAGAGCAGTAGCACGATGCTTTTCAGTTAAATTAAGTACAGTTGCCCTGTTTTCATGGCAACTCACAAATGTGTCCCGCTTTCCTCTTTTTGTTTGTTTCACTCACATTTCTCCATCTTTTCAGGACCTTCGGACATAAACTCAAAGGATGAGCCCGCCACAAAAGGTAAGACCATCCTAAAGTATACTTGCTTGGCGGAGTATATCTGATGAGGAGTCGTGCAGGTTATCATTATAGGGGCCGGTCCCGCTGGGATTCTGGCTGCGCTACGCCTACGTGAGCACAACCACATCTCCCCTACGATCTACGAATTCCGCTCGGAGCCCAGTACCCTTGGAGGTGCAATTGGCATTCCATCGAATGGGCTGAGGTTGTTGCATCGGCTGGGTCTGTGGGATGCCCTGCAAGGTCGAGGGGCCGAGACTTCTACTCTATCCATGCATGGAATTAAGGGGCAAGTCCTCGGTCAGATGGACATGACTTCATGGAGTCGACAGAAGACCGGATTCGGCTATTTAAGGATCCGCAGGACGGACCTGATGGACGTCCTATACGAGGCGGCTCGTAGAGCGGACATCCCCATCCACTTCGGCAAGCGCCTGACGCACATTGTGGAAAATGATCAAAACATTACTGTTGCCTTTTCTGATGGCTCCAGTGACCACGCAGACCTTCTCCTAGGGTGTGATGGGATTCATTCGACAGTGCGCAGCATCTACGTGGACGCCGGTATGGCGCCTGAATACTCGGGCATATCGAACGCATATTCCCTGGTTCCCACTTCTGATCTACCCATCGCTGCTGGGTCAATTAGTGGTCTGAACGCGACTCTCACCACGGATGGGCTCCTGGCCGTATCACCTTGCACCCCAGGCGGTGAGTTGATCTACTGGTTCTTCTCACGCGAGCTCGCCATGCCAGCTAGTGGTGACACACGCGACGGTTGGCGCGGGAAAGAGCAAGTGGACACCATCAAGTCCACGGTGCTCGATTTGATTAAAGAGTCAGAAGGATCATGGGGCAACACCATAAAGGAAATAATTAAGCATACTGAGACGCTCCGGTTCTATCCAGTCTACCGCCTCCCCACGGGTGGCAAATGGTGGAGAGGGCGGTGTCTAATTATCGGGGATGCAGCGCACGCAATGCCACCGCATGCCAGCCAGGGTGTTTCCATGGCGCTGGAAGATATATTCATGTTATCGAATCTCCTTGTTGCTTGTCCAAATTCCTTGGATGAGGTCTTCAGATTGTATGAGCAGAAGCGACGGCCTCGTGTGAACGAGATGCACAGGGTGGCGGAACGCAATGGCGGCGTCAGGAAGAAGACCGGTCCGTGGCAGCTGTGGCTCAAGGAACTTGCAACTTCTGGAACTTTGCTGGTGTACAGCTTCTTCGGCCTTGACAGTTTAGGACTAGGCCAGAAGCCGTTGGCCTACGACGTTGAGGAAGATATGTGCTAGACAACTGTTTGCAGCAGGTTTGTCAGTCATCATATTCGCTAGATTTTTATAGCTTTCGATGTAAAAGTTCCGATGCTAAGGTAGGCAGTAGGATTATTCCGGCGCTTCACTGATTTCGCAGTGTTGGTCTACGTGATAGGTATCCGGATAGAAAGCCGGAATTAGAGAAGAGAGCACAAAGTGCTGGCCAACCACTTCGCTATTCCGTGGGAGACAAGGCCTCGAGACAGGCTCTTCTTTGAGGGTCATCGTCACCCTTTGGGTCTTTGGACATTCTGATTTAAACTCGGGGCTGGTATTCAGCCAAGAGGGAAAGAGCCATTTCTTACAGAATGTGAAACTAGAAGCGAGCATTACAGATCCGTAGATGAACATCCGAGTCTAACGGCCAACGTAAAAGATTGCCCTGCAAGTTCTTGCAGATGACCTGGGATGGGCTCATGAGATCCGTGTAGAGATATGCTCGGTGCTTCCCAGTAGATTGCCAATAAACTTAGGGAAAGGTCAGCCTTACTCTAATCCTGAGGGTTTAACGCTGCCGGACCCGTTGGTGGGAGGTGATATACAGGATGACGAAAATCAATCTATTCTCTAGGAGATTACTCTGTATGCAAAGCTCTATAGTTTGCCTTATTGACCTCAATTCACAACTAATACAGTAAGACAGTGCTAAGTTCAGTAGAAGGAAAAAGTATTGCCGTTACCCAACATCAAATCACTTAACATAACACCCACCCCGCAATATGCACCAATCCCAAATCCATTGCGTCGCCTCGAACAACTCATCCACATTCAGTATTCCAATCCCGCTCTCCACTAAGAATCGCCAGAGCTTCGTCCGTCGATTCACCGGCCACCCGGGTATATCCCAGAATCGTGACACTAATCCCCTTGCCGCGGCCGTATCGATCATCTTCTTCATGGTCTCTTTCTGACGTCTGCTTGGTCCCCAGGGCCAGATGATCCCGACAGCTTTCCGTAACGACGCGCTTGCGTAGTATGAGTTGTTGGCGGTGAAGCTGGTGTTGTCTGCAAGTTGATCTAGTGGGGCATCAAAGAACACGTCCCGGTATTCGGCGTCGGCATTGACTAGGTTAAATGGGGTATTCCCAGTGCCCACTACTATGATCGGCCGCCAGGCCAGCCCATCGCCGGTTCTATTCCAATATGATAACCAGCCACCGGCACGCAGGGGCCTAGTTGATCCATCACCACGGGCCAGGAAGTATGGCCGTCGGTCTTGACATCAATCAGGAGTGTCAGGCTTGCATTAGGAAAGGCCTCGAAAACTCCGGATCTGGGGACAGGAAAGTTGGCGCCTTGATTTATCTGGGTGAGGATTGTGGTCAGGGGCTTGATATAGAGAGACTGTAGAGTGCGGTCAGCCGATAAGGATGAGCTCCGGTGGCCTACCAGTAGGTTGTTGGACGTTTCATCTAGCCATACATCTGCCTCTACGCCCACACAACCAGCGGTGAGCGCATCAAACAGTGGAACCTTGCGCCAGTAGTCATTATGTGAATGGCACCGGATAGGTGTGATGCCCTGGCTAAAGTCCTTCGGCCAGGGGGATAGCGCTGTAATGGAATCGGATGGCTTTCTCCAGCTCTCTTGTATCCGCTGCAGCCTGTTTGCATGCACGGGAGGGGTGAGACTGCCGACAAGGACCATGTCCAGGAGGAACCATACACTAAGTAGCGACCAAGTCAGTGGATGGGATATTGGAAGGTGAGAGGTTAAATACAGTACAACCAGGCCCCAACTGAGTGTGACTGGGAGAAGGCAGTGAGACACATGGCTGTAGATTACCCTTCTCCGCCCTGTGGCCGCGAGCTCTCGGCCGCGGGAGAGGCAGAAAAGAGATCTCACTGAAAGTAACACTCTTCTTAATAGTCTGGATGGTGCCATATGTGACCGGGTACCCTCACGCCTGCTGTTGAGGCTATATACAAAGTGGAAGCGCAGACGGATCAGGGTGTATTACTCAGAGTTACTGCTTGGCTTGCTAGATACCCCAGGAAGACTGCCAGCTTTATATTTAAAAACAGTTGTCTAAGTAATATTCGGCGCACGGTCTGTCGTATGGGGCGCTGGATGCGACTGATCGAAGACCAGTCATCTTGTACCTGTTATGGTCAAGTGGTTCTTACTAGTGATCCAGAAGGGGAATGTGGTATAATTGGTAGAGGTGCTGGATGGTACCTCGCTTGGTAATCAAGTGTTTCTTATTTTCGCGCAATATTTCGATCTTATAGAGTAGTATTGTCTTCCCCTCCAACCTACGATTAAACCATTGCTTTCTGAATTCGTTCCTATCTGTATCTGTCTACATTGGAAACCGCGTGCTGTATGGCCTGTTGAAGGATAGCCTACCAAACCTAGATATACTGGGCAATACCATGTCTTTAGTCTTGACTTTGACCGGGAAAAAGGTTACATAAAGGTAGATTGATTAGGCCGGCACGGCGAAATAAGCCACTCGTAAACATCGGAGACTTTGCGTACTCCCTCTGGCGAGGACTGAAAAGGGTGGATTTGGTATCTTACGCAGCTGCCTATCTTCCTGGGTCGCAGCAAAATATGGCGCGTGCAGGGTAAGAGGCGATCCTTCCTAACACAGTAATCCATGTATTGTAGCCTGGGATTAATCACTGTGAATCTTGACCCCTGTTTAGTGCTGCCAATAGTACTTGGAACTCACTTCTTAGTCTGCCTGGATGCATATCAAACTGGGATTAGCCCTCCAATTGTCACTTGATAAAAGGATCCACCAGCCCGGCAGAGAGCACTTTCTCATCTGACCCCTGATTTCAATCCCAGTCCGCTTGATGTAGCTTCAGCATTTCCCATGTTGGGGAGAACACTTTGGGTACAACACTTCCAGTGGAAGTATCCACAAGAGCCAACACGGCCCTTGAGCGTTGGTGTTTCATAGCATACTCATAATGCAAAGCCATCCAATCCGCAATTTTACAGCGTCGTGGCCTCAAACTTCCCGTAGTGTCTCTCTAAGACACGCATTATATAGGTGGTCAAGCAACAAGCCTAATTGAATACTATCCTAGGGATTACGTGCCGCCGCCCTGGAGATCAGGCCCATTCCTCACTTGCCTGGCGGTTAGGTATGTGAGGTGTTTAAATGCTCATGTTCCGGAACAAGTATTGATATTCAAAGACTGCTTGAGATGTTCAACATCTTTCAATGAGCGATAATAGTTGGGATGCTGCAGCGTCACTATAAACACTTGATTAACTAGCTCTTCATCCACACTGTCTCCTCAACAGATGCAACTGTCTCCTCGCGACAGACGCAATCTAAGCAATGCAAGTCAACTCAGAGCCCACCCACTCGCATCCCGTGTGATCATGGTTAGTTAGTAACTCCTATAAGGTGTGGAAATTGTAGTGGCAAGATACTTACTGCCAGAGATAACCTGTGATTTGTCGCTAGAACTGCTATAGTACTTGCAACTGGAGCCCTGCTTGTGCTTGCAGTTATTGGGACAGTTGCAAGCATAGTCTGCACGAGATATTACCACCATGTCTTTGGTGATACATGATTAGAGGGAACCAACAAGGGGAGGTAGCAATTTGAATCGCGCCTACACCGCGCGGAACCTCTACAGAAGCTCCAATAACCTGGTTGGTAGCAAAGAGCACCATAGCAGAAAAGAGGGCGGCACTGAAGTGCATCTTAAAGAGGTTTTCTAATGAACTTTCAATTTTAAGAGTGATGGATAAAGATTCTGGGGATAAAACTGAAAACCAAAGATTCTTTGGCCTTCTTATATGTGTCGTCTGTCTGATCTATTAAGAGCAGGGGAGTGGTTGCGCTGTAAGTATAGATATTAACCAACATTTATTTGTCTTTTTTATATTCACCCAGAACATAGAATAGGACTACAACTTAGTTCATGACCCTCCTCTATCCTAAACCGATTTAGAGGGAGAAAGTAGAAGAAGGGGAAAAAATGCCTTATCTAACCACCTATATTATAACCCTAGTAGGAGTTGTGGAGGAGCATTTACTAAGTTCAGGCTACAGCACAGTTATCAAGTATATCTATTGTGTTCTCTATACTGCCCTTTCAAGGGTCACCAACACTTCCATACCCACTCAGACTCACGCTCTGAAGCCCTGAACCAGTATTATATCCCTAGATTGGTTTGTGATTGGGGTGACGAGCTACCTGATTGGTATAGTGCTTGAGACTTTTCTAAGTTCTGCTTCCCCTCTTGTATGTAGCATGTGAAAGTCAGAAGTTGGTCATGTAACAGACTAATGTTTAGCTATCACACCCTCACCCAGAATGTCGGGTCCTGGACTGTAGTATTCTAATTCAAGGAGGTCGCTGGCGTTGCACCACTAGTTCACAAGGAATTATACTTTTTATCGGTAAACTCCATCGTCCCGCGTCCCGCGCTGTGATAGGATGGACTTAGAGCAATTCGGGGGATGGGGTCGACCAGCTCTGGAGGTGGTATTAATCTTAGGCTAAGAGAAACAGGGTAGTTTTCTATAGTGTCTGATGTACAAGTTTACACCCCTTGCCAATTTGTCAGACTACAGGCATAGAAATAACGAATCAGAGCGAATCAGAGAATAAAGTAATAAATCCGATATCTGAGTCTAGTACTTAATTCAGTCTCCCATAGGTGAACCTATCGGCCTTATCTAAGCGCTGAATGATATAGGCATTATATGTATAATACTTTGATTGATATGCGAAAAGGCATGGTTATCTTATTCAGAGCCTATATAAACACTGACTTTATAAGTATACTATAAGAAGCTTTTTACACAAAATTAAGCTTAAATGAAAATATACTATCTTCTAATATGCATTTTATTTTAATTGCAGTGCTAGGTTTAAGAGTGACATCATCACTATAGTGCCCAAGGTACTTGCTAAGTTGGGGAGGGGAGCCTTGGGAGGTCTTGGTGAATGAAAATGCATCCCTGAGGAATATTTCACATTGCTGACGATGGAGTGGCGTGATCGTATTTGTTGAAAGAATAATCCCTTACAAAGTGCAATCCCAAACCAGCTGATACAGGGGGAGAAAGAAGAGAAAGAAGAAAACTGCCTCATCTATCTATACAGATCTGTTGCTTTCTCTACTCTAATTTCCCAAGAGCCAACACTTCTACTCGGATTCTGACGTGTACTCTCAAGCCCTGGGGGGAAACAGGAAGAGGAAATGGAAAATGCCTCATCTAACTACCCATGCTATAACCCCAGTAGGAATTGTGGAGTATATACTGAAATGAGGCTGTCGCACCATTATTGTACTACATATGTGTTGGTTTCTCTAAACCAATTCTGGCAAAGAACCATCACTTCGCCCCCTGTTCTGACGTATGCTCTAGACCCTGGGACTAGCACGCACCTCCTGCCCAGGTTATGATTGGGGCGACACATTACCTAGTTTAGCATAGTGCTTGACACTCCAGGTTCCGCTTCCGGGGTCCGGTGAAATCCTGCCTATAAAATTGGAAGGCGCCTGCCCAGGTTTCCCATCAGCAGACTAATGCATAGCTATCACACCCTCACCCAGACTGTCGGGTCGGGAATGTAGTATTCCGGAGTAGTTAGAGGCCACTGGCATTGCGCTAGGTCACAAAGAAGCATACCCCTCACCAGTATTTCCCAACCTTCCACCTCCAATGGCTTGACAGCATGGACTTTAAGCAATTCAAGTTTGGGATTGGTTACCTCTAGAGGTGGTCTCTATTCTCCTTAGTGTCGGATTTAATATTTTACACTCCAGGGAGTCTCAGTCATCTGCGCGAGTCCAGGCATATCTTATGGCCAATATGGGTATAAATGCTTTGATTGACATGCCAGGAGATGTGGTTGTCTTCTCCAGAGCTAAAACAAACACTGACTTCCCAAATTCAATCCAAGAATCTCTTTAAGACAAACTCAAACAAATTCCTGTCTCTTAATCATGCGTTCATTTTACCTTGTAGTGCTGGGCCTGATGGCAACATCGTCACTTGCGGCTCCCAAGAAAGCCGCTCAGGAGGGCATCAGTGCCTTCGAGGCCATGGCCAAGTTGAAATCAGGACCTCATGTATATGTCCACATCGCGGACGACGGAGTGGCGCGAGCTTACGACGAGAATGAATCTGTTATCGACTATGTTCCCTTGACCAATGACCAGCTTAAGCAGCTGCTCGCGAACCTTCCAGAGCCATGGAAGAAGGAAGCGGATCATTTGCACACTGTATTTGATGATGTTGATGGACGTCAAGTTACAGATGAGAAACAGTTGCTTGACCCTCCTGCTGAGCTTCGAAATCCCATGCCTCGTCAGGCACCTCAGTCTAAGCGCGCCCCCGACCCTCTCCAACAGTCCGACCATTACTGAAGAGGCCAACTCTGCAATGATGATCCAGCTTGCCAATTCATGGCCTGCAAAGTCTGTTATAAGGTGGATATGACCTATCCAGGAGCACCGGGTTTTTGCATTTAGTGAAGCATACTTTCTGTTGCCCTCGCACCTTGCCACCTCCATAGATAGGCTAGTACTTCCCACAGTTGTTCCAGCATCTTACTCCTTCTTTATAAACGATGGTCTTACGCACATCCTAGATGGTACAGACCTATCTTCATTCTTCTCTCATCTCTTTGCCGAAGCCTTCATCAGATTTAGTCAAAACCAGAGCCGTCGGATCTGCGCAACTGTCTAAATGACCTTTATAAAAGGTCTACGCTGAATAGTTAGATGTGAAAGTCCAATGTATCAGATTGTCGAGATTGAAATGGGTTATATGTGTGATGATTGTTCCAGACGTCAACACCTTGGCGCCTGAGGCAGACATTGTTTACTCACTGGTTACATGCTCACCACTCAGTGAGTGTGCACTTCAACTAATCAGCTGCCTGTGAAGACCTTCACCTGTTCCCCATGCTTTGTTTTCTAGTTGACTTGCCTACCAATGCCATTTATTGTACTTCACTGAGTTGTCATGATTGTATAATTTAATTCACCTAAAAATGATGGACAAACTGTATCAGAATCCTATGGATTTGTAAGTGATAATTCTAAACGAAAAAATAAGTTAGGTTTTAGTGGCAAGATGAGTGCATTGAGTAGTGGGTGTCCCATGAACCTGTTGGTAAGGTATAGTACAGACATGTGAGACATTTGCCTGAAGAGGTCATGTGTATAACTAGGAAAGTACCTTGTTAATAGAGTAGCTTAAAAGGCTCTCTTATATCCCTGTTCAGGGCATGTGACAACTGGTCATCATGTTAGTATTTCCTCTCTGCATTAGCTCTAAGTATCAACTTCCCCTCAGGTGACCCACACCTCTCAGAGAAGTCTTCGCCTCCTTTCAACTATCCTCTCTCTATTACACAGTACAACCGAGAGATCCATCATATCACACAAACAGATCACTTGAATCATGTCTTGCATCGTAATAGTATTTCTGACAGCTTGCATCTGTACGATACTAACACCGCAGTAGAAAGACGACGAGCCATCGCCCTTTCCACCCCTCAGACACTCACCATCGAACAAAGGCTTCAACCACCTTGCTACTGATGGAGTGATCCGCAGTTTTAGCTCGAGTGGCGAGGTAATAGATTATAAGCAATCAAGCCCGGCGGAAATTGCAAAGATGCTGGAATTCTTTGGAAAATATATGGATCCAGAGGCTTTTGAGGAGGTTAGGAAGAAATTTGAGGGTGTGGACGGCAGAAATGTGACTGATTTGGAGCAACTGCTTCATCCAGGACCAGGAATTGGTCCAGAGAGATTTAAAAAGTGAAGACCACACAATTTTTGCAACTTCTATCTGCCTATCTCGCCCTTGTTTTTCTATGTCTATTTAGTAGCCGACTAAGCCGGCTGCGTTATTCCAGTCGAAGACGATCCCCTCTGCTAGTGCATGCTTTAAACGCAATAAAGCTTGTATTGCTACATTACTCCTTCGCTGCAATGTAATAGAAACTTGGGCCCTAGCTCCCGAACGCAGTTATCTGAAAGGCAACGATGAGCCGCCCTGACCCTCCCTCGACCCCATCGATTCGTATGAGCATTGGGATCCATACTCAGACCCGAGTCAGCAACAGATACAGCCAAACGATCTTAAGTTATGCTAGTTTCCTGACTAGGACAGCGAGAGAATAAACGAGGATGATCCACATATTCATATACCTTACTCAATCGGGTGGAAGGATACACTGAACAAGAGAGCAGTAATGGGACCAAACACGGAGCAAGATACAGTTCTGGCACCTGCTGCCTACTGTCAACACTTTCTCCACCCTAAGTCGGACGATTTTGGCGCAGAAACGAAAGATTGGGACAATCGATGAGGGCAAGTTGAGTGCCTTGGATGGTAGAGGTATAGATTTGGCATGCAACTGTGCCTGCTCAGCGATCAGATTCAGACTTCAAAGAAAAGAGGGCGCATGATTTGCCGACCAGCCATATCTCTCAAAGGAAGCTATCTGTCAGACATTTGAGGACCTTTATTCAGTCCTAGGGAAAATCTCGGTACCACCAGAGCACGTAAAGAGAGTCTGTATTTTGCAACGGCGACGATTGCCAGTAACGAACCTGCATTCCAGTTCTGGCGACGCTTTCAAACCCATACAAATCAGTAAAATCAGCGGTAACACCAACTGCATATACCCGAGCTCCGGACTGGCCAGTTATACCAGTGTTCATCCCTGCTATAATTTTGTTTATGTCGTTTATCACTCGCCCCTGAAAACTTGCCACGGTCCTGTTGAAGAAATCCTGATATTCTCCTCCGCATTTCAACTCGACACCGATTCTCTTGTAGCGTTCGGATGGGTTGGGGTTTGTGTTTGGATTGTAATATTCTGTGCGATGTTTGCACCAAAGGTCGATGGACTGGCTTGCGTCTTGGAACACGGCTTGTTCTCTTTCAACAAAGTAGGGACTCGATTGGGGAATGAGTTTTGCCAGCTCGGCCTGCAGCCAGCCTTCCCAGCCGCCTTTCATGCCAGTTTGCTGCCAGATCTGTTGGCGGTTGTGCTCGACAAAGCTGACAATGGCCGCTAGGACATCGCAATCCTGGATCTCTCTAGGGTGGGCCCTCAGAATCTGTTGTTGGCTCATACTTGGAGGAGAGGGTTTTGCAGGTCTTGCGTATTGCATGTTTCATGGGAATGTGGTACGCAGGCCGGTAAAGTGGTGGATTGATGTGTGTTATAGTTACTGTAGAAGTTCAGATTAGAAAAGAAAAAAGAAACCAGGAAATTCTTCAACCAGCACCGTTGAGTGGTTGCACTTCCTCTCTCTGGTCGGGCGTAATGCAGTGCAACAGCAACTTCCCTACTCGTCTTGTGAATTTTGGCAGCAGACCTGATTGTTCTCCAGCCTTAAAATGCGATGATCATCCTCAGGCGGCAGCCCATTTTTCACGTGTGATACTCGCGGCTTAGCTACAGGTCGTTGCAAGTACGGGTTGAGCCCTCCTCCCTGTCACGCATATTAACTAATGTGAAATAGTGTGAGGAGGAGGCGCAGCCCGTACTTGCAACGACCTGTAACTATAATAGTGCCAGTGTACCCGGAAAAAGTGGGCCAACTTCAAATAATTGAGTGTGCAACTGTGAAGCCGGTTTCGAACTCTACTAGACAGTGTTTGTTATTCGTCATCTGAAATCGCAGATCCTAGTCCACTCCACCTTTTCAGCGTTGGATACCACTCACAGCCTCACAGGAGGGGTAAATAGCCGTAATCATCGAGATTGGATGCCTTGTTTATGTGCTGACACGTTGCTCGGTAAGCTGAGGAAGTTGTGTAACCCTACCTGCTCTCGGTCAGACCACTTCGGAGGGAAGAAACCAGCCAAGTCACAAGATGACTCGGGATGCCTGCTGCAAAGACTGAGGCTGAGACTCTCTTGGCAGACTTTCTCTTTTCGGGCGAAGAACGTAGGAAAGAGGGCTTAGACACATGTTGTGCCCTGCAGCCTTGCCAAAGCTTTCCACAATTAAGGTGGCGTACCTTTGTCTCTATCCGCACTGAAGGTCTGCTACTATAAACCGTCTTCCTTAAGCTATATCTGCACTGCACAGTGAATGCATTTCTTCCATCCTGTCCACGCAGAAACCAACGCGGATTGCCTATTGTTTTGTCTCAAAGTGAATCTGACAAAGGTGGACCTATATGTAGTATGATAAAGTAAAGTTGCGCCTGAGCTACATAAATGAGTGCCTAGCGGACCAATCAAGATTGTAGATATCCAAGGCTGTGCTGTAGCGAGGCATGGCTAGGCTCAATGGAGGGTTACTGCCAAAAGCGGCCTGCTGAAGCTGAGACTGTTGGGCATCAACTTGGGTAACAATATATAATGAATATACAACTCCAAGCAGCTCCCGTCCAGCTGCGTCGTAATTCCTTTCCTCTTTTGTCAACGACCGGGAGATGATGGTGGTGACGATGACCGTTCGTGATAAGATGGCGCTATTAGCAAAGAGGCTCGCGTCGGTCGTGATTTCGCAGGGGTCTGTTCTGGTTGTCGTCGTCCACTGCCAAGGCTGGAGGGCCAAGTTAAGGCGTACAGGGGCTGCGTCGTATACGCAAGGCCCAAGGCGTGGCCCCGAAAATGGTTCTCGAACCCGAGAATTGCCTGAACGTGTTTTTTTCTTCGGGGTAGGCCAGTCGTTGACTGTCTCGGTTCTGCAGATCGGCTGTATCCTGCCGTGCCCATAAATGTAACTGTAGGAATCAACGGAACTGACGAGATACTGGGATTTCTCTGTGTTGATCTTTATTTGTGTGCTGTTCAAAAGCATGATGACTTGTTGTGTGACTGCTGCCCACCGTGCGCGGTCCAAGGAGTGAATGAGGATGTTGTTGATGTGTATTGTGACTTCATCGCCCAAGGTGTGGCCAAGCACGCGTTTGATGTAGAGCTGGAGCTCGCTGGGTGTGTTTTTGAGGCCAAAGGGGAGTACATTGAACTGGAAGAGTCCCCGTGGCGTACGAAAGGCTGTGAGCCATCAGTCATCGGGATGTATGAGCATGCGATAAAAGTACTGAGATCACCTTCTGTCCGCAGTCCCTGCACTCCTGCTCCTTCGCGACTGTAGTCCGAGACGGCTGTGGCGGAGAGCAGTCTCTTTCAGTCAGTTAGCCCAGCTTCTGGAGAGCATAGGCTATGTTGGAAAGCTGGACGACTTCACCATCAAGCCGCTAGAGTTAGTGTCATTCCTCCTGGCCGGCGTCGGTCATTATACCTCGTCTCGGCTCTCGTGGAATAGGACGACTCTTCTACCGCCGCATGTAAAGGCACATACCCATCCGTAGTATTAGTGTACTATGCAATTCGAATCAATCTCATGCAAGAGGCTTGATGAGGCCATCAGGAATTTATTCTGTAGTTAGTACGTGTTTCAGCTTAACTATCCCCATGTTTTGAACGTCTCGTTGCCACCTATGTGGACATCCATGCGCTTCATGTGCAAATAGTACTAAGGATTTAAGGCTCCATCCTGTGGCCTCTTTTGCTGCCTTATCTGCGAGGTCATTACCTTTAATTCCCCTGATGAGCAGGGCCCAGTGTACTGTAACCGATACATTTAGTCTCCAGAGTTCATCCCATTTCTTAACAACTTTGCTGATAATCTGCTGTCCCAGGATTTGTGTACTGTCTATCACTTTTATCGCGGCCTGACTGTCTAAGAAGATCATCGCCTCTTTATCAGCCTGGACTTACTGCGCAGGAACAACTGTTATACTGCCCTGGGGCGGTGTTGGATAGATGCTGCCCCGACTTTCTTGTTGATCACGCTCCCCTTACTGTAAAAGACGAGGCCAGAGTTCTGGAGCAGGATTTGATTATGAATAGCCTTGCCGCCTTTGCATTAACTCCAGATATAAGTGTATAGCGCTCCCCACCATGTCAGGGTGATAAAGGGCTGTTTTTGTTGCAGATTATTGACTATTTCTGGCCCTAGTATCCCACATCAGTATTTATGCCGTTCTAATCATCCCCATCTATTTTGGAGGTCCCGCTAAGTACCTTGATAGCCTGCCCACAGTCCTTCCCCTTGGATCTGTTCGAGGGTTTGGTGGACATTCGCGGAACCAATAAAGGACCTAAAATCTGCTCAAAAGAGATGAAGTAGTCATCTCCTAGACCTGTCAGAGCTATCTGATACAAGCTGGGTCTATCTCAGACCTAGTACATACAACCATAGGGTGTGGAAAGCAGGGCTTCCCGTCCGCTCAGCCATACTTAGTTCAGCAATTGACGTAGAGATACCGCATAGAAGCGGAGACAACGGAAATCCTCAGGGCGAGAATGAGCATTGTCATTCTCCCAAAGATGTCACTGTATTTAGCGAAGATAGTGAGGAAGCCTAGACCTGTTGGTCAGCTGTTGTTTATGTTATCCTTCTTCATTACTAGTTAGTAGTTACTCGCCCATGTAGGTCAGTAGCTATGCAGTGACATCCCAGACCTTAATCAAGAAGCCATTTAAGGCGTTTGGTGATCCGAACCAACGAAGTACCGACAATGGTGGTCTCGACGGTGGAGAGAAAGAGGGCAATCCAAGCACTATGCAATGAGTTTGCTGCCTTGCTTGACTCGGAAAGGGCCTAACTCAACATACCCATCGTTAAAAGATGGAGGTTCCGGCCTTTCAAGAATTTTCCCTGCAGCTTGTTCTCCTGCTCCCCTTCTATCTCCGATTTGATTTCCACAGGATCAGCATCCGGTTCCGTCGGCACTGACTTCTGTTGACTCGTCCGTCGACTGACCGCGGTCCTCCATCTCAAATAAGGCATGGGATACATTCTTGACTATCTGCTCAGTGGACGCCATAATAGCAGCTTGGGAAGAGTGAAGTTACCGGAGAGGATGATTCAGGAGAGCGACGTGAAGAGGAAAAGGGTAACGTGTGTTGAAATCTGAAATTTGTAGGCGCATTATAGTCAGGGATTAGACAGCTACTTAGAGCATATTGACTGATTGATCGTAGGAACCAAACCGTTGAGGAGCAGTAGAGTGAAGGCTGGGAAAGGACAGGGAAATAATAAGCATAATATCATTTGATAAATTCGTCGAACCACTGGGCTGCTTGAAGGAACGCCTGCTCCTTTGCAAACTTCTTGGCCTTATCGGTCAGGTCTGCGCGAATGGCGAACCCATGCTCGACTCCACTGTAGAGATTGATCTGGTATGGCTGACGACGATCACGGAGAATGCCTTCTGACTGGTGCCGTTTTGATGTTGGAAAGATGTCATCAGTCTCTGTGATTTAGGTTAGCCATCATCTCTGATATCTATACAACAAACAGAACTATCACTCACCTGCGGCTGCAATGCTCAACGGGCCTGTAATCGCGCTGAGTTCGTCAAGTTCAACGAAGCCAGGATGCGCGATATATCCGACATCAGCCTTTCCCTCCTCGGGCCTCAGAAATCGGACAACGTATTTTGCCTAGGATATTCTTCATTAGAATCATGATTCAGGGACACATCACGACGCAAGCTCTTTCCGCACACATACCCCAAAGCAATACCCGACCGCTCCAATTTTCTCGCAGCCAGAATTTGTGCGCATATGCTTAATCACAGAGTCGACAACGGGATCCACCCTCTCGGTCGGGTGTCCTTCCAGCCAGGTCATTAGTTTAAAAGACGCAGGCCTATTGAGCTTGACCGGGTCGCCGTGGAACAGATCAGGCATCGCTACGAAGTATCCATTCGCCGCAAATTGGTCGGCAATGAGCTGGGAGTTGATGAATCGGTGACCAATGACGTCCGTGAGAATGATAACTCCATGCTTGGTCGACCTGTCCTCAGGATATGATAAATACGTATCAACTAGAGAAGGTGAGCTCAATTGAATTCAGTACTTGGAACACACAGAAACATACCACCATCAATGTCCTGATATTCGCCGGCTGCATCTCCACTGTGCTTGACTCCCACAGTGCAGCATCTCGCAGGCACATTAGACGCCATTTTGATGATAAACAAATGTTGTATTCGAAGATTGTATAAGATGACCAGATGGTGAACAGAAGTGGGAAAATTGGCTTTAATAAATACCTGCGTGCTCGGTTGAACTGTATTATTACGTATTGCTATTCTGCCTAAGATATTGCGTTGTCAAACACCTGCCCGAATACGAGGGCGCCGCGCACAGGTGGGCAGACATAGTGCGGTAGCATAAGACCATGATTATTTTCGCTCGACGGGTTTCTGGTTCCACCGAAAATGCCATCTCATGCACTGAGACAGGGAAATGGACGGAAATGGACAGCAAAGGCTCCCTATACTACAACTGAGGCACAATAGCAAATGCATCTTATCAAGCAACCTATAAGCTACAACGCGAAAAGGACGCTCAATGAAAAAGTTCGTCGGCTGGCAAAAACGCGAATTCACCATGAATGAAGGTTGCTCCAATACGACACCGGATAACTGAGCTTCGCGCAGTGGATAAGACTTCTTCGAGTCCTTCGCAAACGCACAACTGGAATATTGAAACTTCCTTCTAGGTAGCCACCCCCAACACTGGTCCCGGGACAACAGACCACGTCTCAGTCATGAACACCAGCTCTCCCCTCACCTCCATAAGCCCCGGATTAACATATACCTTCATCCCCACCGAACCACGGCCCAGATTATACACCCTAATTATCACGTACACAGATGCCTGGTTGTCATTTTCAGTGTCAACGTGGCGCATGGTTCGCATCTACTCCGACAAGGGTCAGCTGGTAAGTTTCGCTTGTATGAGACTTTGAGCTAACGCACCCGTTCATACTGATACCTGCTCATATAGAATGGGGTCTCCCAAAAGGACGTCGTAGTCTTAATCTCTAGAAAATAATGCGGTCTCGCTCCGGTCCATGTGTCATCTAAATACCCCTTATCAATGAGTAAGGCGGTGAGAATCCCTTCACTGTCGGAGTAGGTGATATCAGCAGTCTCACGGCCGTTCCAAGGCTCAAGGTCGGTGTAATCCTCGTGGAGGTTGACATATTTCCGTATGGTGCTTTGCCAGTTATCGCGGCAAAAACCGGGTAGGGACGGGCTTAGACGAATATCAGGTAGCCACAGCTTCCCTGCGCGACCTTAACCGAGGTATCAATTGCAGGCGTATGGATAATGGAACATATTGTCTTCCTGAACCCTGCGATGTTGCGAAAATCTGGGTTGATGGTGGTATTTGGGGAACAGAGCTCATCAAGCCCGACGGCCCTTATTCCAATATATCATATTTACAGTTCATGAGGTGGAATGCAGCAGCACTGCACGAGCCGGTGTTCCCAGGGGATACTATTTGCATTGGGTATGGTCACATAATCCTCTGTCTCTCCCTTACATGACTTAGTGACGTGCTGACACACTGGCCCTTAGGCCCCCTGGAGGTGCATATGCCCCTCCTGCTGCACCTATACCAGTTTCACCCAATACTACGTACACCACTACAGCAGTACCAGCGTTGGGGACGCCTCCGGGAACCGTCTCTAACTGTGGCCTGTACTATGATACGGTGACTGGCGATGACTGTAATATGATTGCGATGAAATTCTCCATCACATTCGACCAACTCCGCCTGATGAATCCTCAGATCAATGCAGACTGTACTAATTTATGGGCAAACACTTCCTACTGTGTAGCATTAGTTAGTGGCACCACTGTGACAACTACCGCGTCTTCCTCAGCCAGTCCGACTCCGACCCCTTCATCAACCGGCGGCTCGATCAGCACCTCGCCCACCAGCACGACAGTGGCACCACCAGCGCCAACCCAGCCTGGGGCCACTTCCTTCTGCTACGAGTGGTACGTTGCTGTGGCTGGAGATGATTGCTCTAAGATTGATACCAAATTCGGGATCACATTTGCGGAGCTGAGAGCGTGGAATCCATACTTGGACAGTACCTGCAGCAACCTCTGGGTGGACTACGCTTATTGCGTGAATGGGGCGTAAGTACCGACGTGTTGAAGTCCGATCTCAATTGGACCAAATAGGATCTTGGAAAGGGGCGAAGGGAAGCCAAAGGTAATTGAAGTCATAGAAGATATGCATTTGGTCGTCTATTTTCTATCAGCTGTGTTGGGCCACAAAGGAATTCATGTAATATCAATATTCTATATGTTCCGTTATATTTTCCAAGGAAACCAGCTATTCCTACGCTTGCTACCAGCTTTACTCAGGATAAATTACACTTCAGTCTTGGCTCTACTCATTCCTTGCGCAATACTTTGGACCTAGCCCCTGCCATATCATTATCCCACCTTGGGTCCATATAGTGAATCTACCCTTTGCGGCGCTATATAGGTACAGATTCCCGAGGTGGTTCCCATTTGACAGGACCAGGATAAATGTTAACAAGATCCTTTAAGGTACTTTGGAGACCGTCCCGGTGTAAGGAATCCGGCCGGATTTTGGTGTCCCCACAAGGCCAAAAGACCAATACATCTAAATAGTAAGTATCATGTTGCAGAAATTTTACATGTATAGGTTATGGACTTATTGTATACATAATAGCTGCGGGATTTTAGCCAGGGCCTTGACTTAAAAGGCGGCAGAAAATAAAGGCTTGCAGGAATTGGCATAGAGTCCATCACAATGTGTTATAGATAAAGCATTGGAATTTGGACAGAGGCATATCAATAAACCTGGGAAGGGAGAATGGATGAATTAGAGTACAATATATTAGATAATAGATGGTAGCAATATGTTTTCACATGTATAAGAGCTATCTTTGTGTTAAATATGTCTATTCTCTACTAGTATACTCCTGTACACAGATTATGAGAGGTGCAATAATGGGGCCTGTTATCATTCATGAATTTTTAGGTAATATCAGCATGCCCCACTGTTATTCTATTATGATAAGAGTACGGAGGCGTGCACCAAAAGTTTTGACCCACGCTAGTAAGCTTGGCTGTATCCGGCTGACGCAGCCCCATAGTAATTTGTATGGCAACGCGTCCGGAAGGAGAAATCTTTGTTTACATTCTAGCGTTTAACTGTTTGATACTATCCAAACTCACTATTTTCATCAAATCGCCTAATTCTTGCTGGTTAGCATCCCTTCCTTACCATTTACCATGCCTAAAAACGGGTTCCATCCAATTGAATTGCACATTCAGATTCTCGGGCTAGTAGCCTGGGGTATTGACATCCAGGATATCGCTACTAATCTAGAGGTCCCCCCTTGATCTATTCGGAAGATGATACAACGTGCAAAAGACCGTGGATTCAGCCCTGGAAGATGCGAACGCGTTCAAATGGAATATACTGAGGATGCTAAACAATCTGGCCAGCCTAAGGAGATAACACCTGAGAAGGAGAAAGCCATCATTGAATCTGTATCCAAGGACCGCAATGGAAGGGAGAAATCATCAGAAATTCTAGCTTATGAGGCTGGTATATCACACTCCTCTGTTTTACGGATTCTTAAGCGAAATGGATTTGTCATTACGAAGCCTTCCTGGAAGCCTGGACTGACCGAAGCTGCTAAGGCCAAACAACTCAAATTCTGCCTGGATCACCAACACTGGACCCTCGACGATTGGAAGAATGTCATCTGGATGGATGAAACTGCGGTAGTTCTAGGTCACCAGCGTGGATCTATACGTGTATGGCGAACAGTTGAAGATCGGTATGATTTAACATGTGTACGGAGGTGTTAGAAAGGTGCATCTGATTTCATGGTTTAGGCGTGTTTCTCTTATGATAAAAAGGGCCCTATCCATATCTGGGAGCTAGAGACTTCACAACAGAAGAAGCAGGCTGAGATAGAAATTGAAGCCTTGAACCAGGAGCTTGAGCCTATCTACCATGCTGAATGGGAGATAAATACTACTATGAATTACCTTCATCTCCGCGGAATTGGGGGCGTAAGCCTACTTGGAAGTGGAATGAGAAGAATGGTAAATATATTCAGAAGACAACAAAAGGTAGAATAGATTGGTGGAGATATTGAAAGGTAAGTTCCCTCTGAGGTTCTTCTAATCTTAGTGATTTATATACTAATCTAGAACCTCTCTCTACTAGGAAGTTTTGATTCCAAAGCTCATTCCTTTTGCAAAGGAATGCCAGAAAGATCGACCTAATACTATTATCCTTGAAGATAAGGCCCCAGCTCATATCCACCATAGTCAACAGCATGTATATGATACCCATATGGTTCAACAGCTCCTAGATTGGCCAGGGAATTCGCCTGATTTGAATGCTATTGAGCCATGCTAGCCATTTCTAAAGAGACAGACCACTATACGCGGAGCCCCTCGAGATAAGAAGACTGGCAAAGCTATCTGGATAAAGGCATGGAATGAGCTTCCTCAGGAGAAGATTCAGCAATGGATTCAACGCCTTATTCGCCATATCCAAGAGGTTATCAAGCTGCAAGGAGGGAATGAATATCAAGAGGGGCGAGATAGGCCTAAGCGTAATCAGTCAGGAAGACAGCTTAAGGGACAGCTATCTAGACGTCAAGATCTAGATCTAGGCTGGGAAGACATTTGAACAGCTTCATTACTATTATCAATAGATTCATTTGAATATTTTTCCTTCTAGATGCGTTGCCATACAAATTACTATGGGGCTGCGTCAGCCGGATACAGCCAAGCTTACTAGCGTGGGTCAAAACTTTTGGTGCACGCCTCCGTACCACTGTTCTCTTAGTCTTAGGGATCCACAATTTTATATATATGAATACGTAATATTAGAAATAAGTGCATAAAACATGCCAAGACCAGACTGTCCATGGAATAGAGAATGGTACTACAATACACCTGCATAACTCCGTACAAGTACGCAATATCTTCCCCGCCTGTTTTTTCTCCCTCTGCTCTCTCCAACTTCCACCAAATAACCACTTTTACTTACTCTAATCATTATGGATCCAATTCGCGAAAAACACAAGTGTCTCATCAATGGACTCACGCAACTCTTCACTCTATTTGTCAAAGCCCATTATATCGCCCCTAATGATGTCCTGTATCCTCCCAACGACACTGATGTTGGACGCCTCCAGAGACTTGGATTTGAGCCCGAAGTGATTGGTCTCGTCCAACTCCTGCCAGCGATTAGAAATGAAGCAGTCTGGAGTTATAACGACGAAGGAATAGAAATGATTCCTCGTGCCAAGCTGGTTAATTATCTGAAACAGCGAGAGACAGCTAATGCTAATGACATGTTGGAGACCCTTCGATGGGTCGATCACACGGATAAGGATGCGCAGGGACTCTTTCCTCCGTCCATCCTTCGACTGACATTCCCCGCTTTTTATGGAGTAAATGTGCTCTATGACGCCCATGACCGTACGTTGCTTCTCTCCTTGGGCTCTTTTTAGTTTGTCAATGATCTAGCTAACCGTGCACCAGAGACTATAATGGAATGGTGTGACCTGGACCAAAAGGAATGGCAGGACTGCCCCCGCCAAACATGTGAAGAATTCTTCTCAAAGGTCCTCAAGAAATTCCGGGATCTTGAATACGTCCCTTATTTTAATCCGAATGACGGAGCGAAAGTTCCAAAACGTAAAATTAAGGAGAATCCCATTCTATTCCAGAACATTTTTCCCGGCGGAATTCGGTATCCCATCGATCCCCAGGCTGCTGTTCAATGCGAGGAAAGGGAAGTCGGCCAGGATAGCATACGTGGTGACCTTAATGAGTGGAGGGCTCTACAGAAGCTCTACCGCGATGCGGGCTGGGAGAACGAATTCGACGGAGAGCTTTTCGACGATAGAAGAAGGGATTTGTTGCGTGTGATGAAGGATCTCCAGGGCCAATCCAGCGGATGGTGCTCGATTCCAGAGAATAGGAAAACAGAGGAGATGCGGATCGCTGAGCGGGAGTTTCGTCAACGTCGGGAGGAGTTTTGGGCCGAGACTGCTGGAGAGTACTATCTTTAACACATTCGGCATGGCTTGCAACTTCATTTCCCAATTGCTTAGACACACTAGCCAAGAAGAGGACTTCGTTTGTTTGGGTGTCGAAAGAACGATAACTCGTGCTGCCTTCCACCCCGAGGTACAAGAATCGACTGGGTACACAGTTCTCAGGACAGTCGTTAACGTTCTGTCTACTTTAAGAAAATCTATGGTTACGTGAAAACAGAATTATTCTAAGTGACCCGGTAATGCTCTATGATATACCCATAATGAAGACCCAACACTGCCCACGCACCTCATAATCCACTTATTCCAGTTGATCATATTCGTCTGATTGAGTAATATTCATCTCATGACCAGTCAAACTCTGGTTTTCCTCGTCCGATGGAATACCACCCTACGATAACGCCAGTGGCAGATCCTTGTCGAAGGGTGCGATTGCCGGCACTGTTGTTGGGGTTGTAGGTGGAGTGGCGATACTTGCACCTTCAGTTTGGTTGTGCTTTTATCGACGGCATAAACCGCCCTCAACAATGGGGCCTTCTGCAGGACGCACAAGGAGGCCAGTGAGATGTACCAGCGAGCACTGGTAGGCAGAGAGAAGGCTCTTGGTCTTGGTCATACATCCACCCTGGGTACAGTCAACAATCTTGGGAATCTCTATTCTAAATAGGGCAAGCTCAAGGAGGCGGAGGAGATGTACCAGTGAGTGCTCGCAGGTTATGAGACAGCACTGGGTCCTGATCATACATCTACCCTGGATATAGTTAATAACCTTAGGAAACTGTACAAAAACCAGGGCAAGTCCAAAGAGGCAGAGGAGATGTACAAGCGAGCACTAGCAGGCTATGAGACAGTACTGGGTCCTGATCATACATCCACACTGAGTACAGTCAACAATCTTGGGAATCTGTACTCTAAACAGGACAAGCTCAAGGAGGCAGAGAAGATGTATCAGCAAGCACTAGTAGGTAGAGAGAAGACCCTTGGTCCTGGCATACATCCACCCTAGATATAGTCAATAACCTTGGGAAACTGTACAAAAACCAGGGTAAGTCCAAGGAGGCAGAGGAGATGTATGAGCGAGCACTAGCAGGCTATGAGACAGTACTGGGTCCTGATCATACATCCACACTGAGTACAGTCAACAATCTTGGGAATCTGTACTCTAAACAGGACAAGCTCAAGGAGGCAGAGAAGATGTATCAGCGAGCACTAGTAGGTAGAGAGAAGACCCTTGGTCCTGGCATACATCCACCCTGGATATAGTCAATAACCTTGGGAAACTGTACAAAAACCAGGGCAAGTCCAAGGAGGCAGAGGAGATGTATGAGCGAGCACTAGCAGGCTATGAGACAGCACTGGGTCCTGATCATACATCCACACTGAGTACAGTCAATAATCTTGAGAATCTGTACTCTAAACAGGACAAGCTCAAGGAGGCAGAGAAGATGTATCAGCGAGCACTAGTAGGTAGAGAGAAGACCCTTGGTCCTGGCATACATCCACCCTGGATATAGTCAATAACCTTGGGAAACTGTACAAAAACCAGGGCAAGTCCAAGGAGGCAGAGGAGATGTATGAGCGAGCACTAGCAGGCTATGAGACAGCACTGGGTCCTGATCATACATCCACACTGAGTACAGTCAATAATCTTGAGAATCTGTACTCTAAACAGGACAAGCTCAAGGAGGCAGAGAAGATGTATCAGCGAGCACTGGTAGGTAGAGAGAAGACCCTTGGTCCTGGTCATACATCCACCCTAAGTACAGTCAACAAACTTGGGGTCCTTTACGAAAACCAGGGCAAGTCCAAGGAGGCAGAGGAGATGTATCAGCGAGCACTAGCAGGCTACAAGACAGCACTGGGTCCTGATCATATATCCACTCTTTGTATAGTTAATAGTCTTGGTCTTTTTTTCTCTTTTCAGGATAAGCTGGAAGGGGCTGAGGAGATGTTCCAGCGAGTACTGGCAGGCTTTGAGACAGCACTGGGTCCTGATCATACATCCACCCTGAGTACAGTCAACAATCTTGGGAATCTGTATAAAATCCAGGGCAAGTCCAAGGAGGTGGAGGAGATGTTCCAGCGAGCACTGGCAGGCTTTGAGATAGCACTAGGTCCTGATCATACATCCACCCTGAGTACAGTCAACAATCTTGGGAATCTGTACAAAATCCAGGGCAAGTTCAAGGAGGCGGAGGAGATGTACCAGCGAGCACTAGCAGGCTTTGAGACAGCATTGGGTCCTGGTCATACATCCACCCTTAATTTGCCGCCAATATGAATTGGGTTGGAAACGAGGTCTTGTTCTGTATCCTTTGCCGGGGCCGGGGTGTTGAGAGTCACTCTGCACTCAATCGCAGACGGTGCAGTATGTAAGACGGAGTTCATCATCTGTCGCTCCATTGTCAGATTCGAGATCCTCAAGGAAACATAGTTCTATTAGATTGGGATTGATGCAGTGCTGTTGAACACCCGCAAAACTGATGGTTGGGCCAGAAGCTATATTCGGATGGCGTACGTTCACGACGGAAATCACCGAGTGTAGGAGCATACAAAGGAGATTGTCGCCAGATGCCAGCTTGGGAGGCAATATAGTTGTTAAGAGGGCTGGACGTCATCTTCTTGAGGTCGCCGAGGAGCCTTGTTCGAATCGCGGCCTTCAGATAGCAGGGTCATCTTGAACAGGGAAAGACTGGTGCTGATCAGCCAAAAATGATAACCAGGTTGATTTGTGATGCTTCACTTAACTCCTGCATTACCTGCAATAAGCACCTAAATGCTAGGATGCCACGATAGAAACAGGAAGGTGGCTGTTGACAACTCGCTAGTTTTGCCATACAGCTTGGGTGTCAGTCTGCATAGAAGCTTCCCCTCATGTCAATCTCCCATACGCCAGATTAGCAATAAACGATCAACCACAGTAAGTGACAGCTTCTGGACTTCTCCCAAAGGCATCTAAAAAAATAATCATAAGGTCCGCACACACCAATCAAACTTATCTGTTTTGCTCTCATGCAATTCATCCTTCTCCCGTTCAGGCCCTACTGAAACAACCGCTTCAACAGAAATGGACCAGAATGCCCTGTGGAGGCGCTCCCTATAGTCTCCAGTATTAACAGCCACTGACCACATTAGGTAAGTTGATCCAGAGTCCTTTTCTTTCCCGTCGGCGGCGAATAGCAGTTAGCGTCTCTAAGGTGATATTGGTAACTCTGCGATACTGTCCAGGTCCACTGGACAGGCTGGATGGCGGCAGTAGTACGCCTGTGGAAGAATCTGAGCTAGGAGATCATGCTCTGGAATTACCCTTCGCATATAGTGGAACCGACTTGGACGCAGCGCTTCCAGGAGAGTCGCACGGGAAGACGACTTTTGATGTGCTGCGGTATAAGGCAGGAAAGGGATGATTTTCTTTTTGGCTTGTAATGGAGCGTAGTCAATTCCAAACCTATGTCACTGCATTATATTCCTAAACTGCCGCCCTTGTCCTGGGCAGAGACAGCAGCGAATACTCCCGGAGATCATATTCCGGGGTTGTTGATCTCGAAAGGCTTCATGTAAGGGCAGCGGCTGTGCATGGGGTACTAGAGATCACTATTTGCTATCATTCAGTCGTCATAAAGTCTACTGGTACGAGGACTTTGGTACGAAGTCTTTGGTACGAACGCCAAGCACAACGTCGGTCACGGCACCGCGTTTAAGGTTCCAACGATCTCTTCTTTCCACGTGGAGGCTTATAGCAGTGAACATCTTCAAGATGACATGCTAGTTCCGCCAAAGACCCATATCCCTGTGTGCATGCGGGGTGCCGGCAATGGAACTTGCCGGATAGGTCCTTGAGGTGAGAATGAACATGGTCGTACCACTTGCTCATATCTAGATATTGCTGCATCTGTCGAATTGGTCCTAGGCTTGTGTTGCCCAGACAGAAAGGGCAGTAGCCAGGTTTGACTGGACAATTTCGAAATATAACTGGATCGCAGCGAAGTAGTTCGCTAGGGTTGCTGAGATGATCCTGGCAGTGCTGATGCCATTCATTCTGACTGTTGAACCACAGGTCGCACTCGTAGCAGAACTCCGCAAAATTATCAACACTCATTTGACAAAGCTTCTTATGGTAGCAACAATAGAGATGAAGCCATTGGCGATGGGCATAAAATCTAACAGGTCAGCGCAGGTGGTGCATATGGAGAGTTCCTGAATACTTACTTATCTATTGGTTCACCACAAATGCATTGGCCATTAACTGGTTGTAGACCCAATCAATAGGCAACCAGATGATACTGGCTGTAGATTACTTCCAACACCTTCATAGCCTCCTGTCCTGCTGAGCTTCGTATAGTTGACCTAGTTGGCAAAATCTGAGTAAGGAGACCCTACTCTGGCATAGCTTATTAGCAGTAGTGGAAGAGAGTTTGTTCATAGATGCTTCCTATTTAAGTACCCTGTTAGACCTCCCATTATCACTTAAGTTCCTCAAGATACAACTTATCCTTTTGATTTTGGACTCAGCACTGTTACAGGTGAATCTGGTGTGTAGTTCCCTGGCTGTTAGCTTTTGCAAGTTGGGTGCTGAGGAATGTGAATTCTTTATTAAGTGTTATAACATCCTCTTGCTCCTGGAATTCAAATTCTGCCTTTGCTGGTAGAGATTACTATAGATTTAGGTTACAGTGTATGCCTATACTGTGTTAATTTTAAATATGCTTATAGCATGATGTAATATTCAAGTAGGTTACAGGCCTATCTACTTTGCACACAGGATGTGTGTATAACTGGCTAAATGTGCGTGCTTTAGTATGAGAGGCATATTTCATTTAAGCTATCTGGGAGTATTTCTTGTCTATGAAAAGTAAGTAGCTCAGACAGTAATACTAGATTAGCATATTTTCCTACTGGTTTCCATTAATGCCTATTAATAACATGCACAGGCAGTAATATTTAGTTCATACCCACTCTGATACCCAAGTGCAGTAAATTCTTTTCTAATATATTAGCACCTCTTACCCTACCTGTGGAGGTTTCATAATCTAGCTCACTAAACAGCCTAAATACCAGAGTATCTAAGAGGTCTTTTCAAAAATGAATCCTAGAGATAACATGGTTAGATTATAACTCTAAGTTGCTAACCTTGATAGAGTCCACTTCATTAAGGATCTTGGTATATGATTTATAATGGCGGAAAGTATAGTCTGTAGAAAATAACTAAAGCATGAAGAAAATAAAGTTAAAAAAGAGTGGGGCTTCCTCTTTATACACCTTATAGAAAGCATGCACTGGAGGTTCCTATTTTTTCTTTCTCCAGTACCCCTTTATAAACTCCTGAGCATAGGTTAACACTAATATCAGGATGCCATCAACTAGTTCTATAGTAAGGATAAAATGCTATGCACAGTCAGCCTTAAAAGCCTTCTACTAAATATAGATAGCTAGATATGGACCTTGTAACATGCAGCCATGGCACTAGCTTAAAGATTCATGTTATTGTTATTACTGCTGTCCTTCTACCAGGCAAGAGATTGGCAAGCTATTAACTCATGCACCTCTCCAGTTTGGGTAGATAAAAAGTAATAGAGCAATATTACTGTGGTAAGCTGTGCTCTACTCTAGTTAGGAAACTAGCTATGGTATTCCTTAAAGTCCTAACACTAGAGCTGTGTTAGGAGGATGGTTAAATCATTTAGAGAGAGTCCATCTCTGGACATCTTAACATCTGGAAGACTAAGTTTGGTCTTTAAATCTAATATGATGTACTTTAAGATTTATTAGTATATAGACTATATTAGGGTTAAAAAATGCATACCTCCTTTAAGGTATTAGATATATTCTTTAGGACACAGAAGCCCCTTAGCTAAGTAAGAGCTATTTTAAAGTCCTAGTAGAAATTCTCCATAGTCTCTATTATAGGCCTTTCCTTAATTCAACCCTTTGTGTTTTTTGCGTAAAATTCCAAAAATCCTTTGTAGGTTTTGATGTCTGGGGGAGAGTGGGCAGCAGGGTGTAGTTTAAGGAATCTAAGATGATGAGACGCGAGCCTCCATAGATTTGAAAGACTTACTAGTTAAAAACCTCTACACTCTGCTCATACCTTTCTGCTGTTTATGGAAGAATAGCTTGTTTAATCTCTTTATTATTATGTTCATCAAGGTTAATAACGCATATAAAAGTTGCTGCTGGCTTCTGTGGCATAGTGTCTGATCAGTTTGAGTTAGGGATCAAGGTGTAGTGTAGGAGTAAGATGGATGCATTGTGGTTTAAAATAAGTTTTCTCTCATACATGGGCACTACTCTGCACTTTTGTTAAAATGCAGCTTCTTGGTAGTTAAGTGCAAAATATTTAGGTGCCTGAATGTTCACCTGAAGGCCGCCGGAACGTGGGCGGCAAAGCGGTGAGGGAACAGACAATGGGGTGGGTGAGCACTGACATATACATGCTGTTGTATGTTGCTGCTCACCATATGTTTTTTTTTGATTTGTTGGGTTTAGCGCCCTTGCTGCTCTTACATTCTCATACCTTTGCTTCAGATGGATCTCGCCTGTGCTTTCCACAGCCCTCAATCAGCTGCTGGTTCCCTTCTAAAGGTTGGTTTAAAGCACGACCCTCTGTTAATAGACTTGACAATAGGCCAACTCCGGTAATACCGCAGCAGACCGCCCATATCATACGTACACTGTCAGTATACGCCTCTTTCAAAAGTTCCTTCTTCCAGCCTAAGTCGGCAGGCATCTGCTTAATCACCCCGACCATTCGTGCAGCATCCTGGCTGTATTCCTCTGCCATCAGAGCCAGAGGTGCCTTGGCCTGCAATCCCCGGCGCATGCTATTCTGAAAAATGACGCCCCCAACGGCGACGCCAATGGTGTTCCCCAATGCTCGGGAGAAACTAAACATAGCAGTTGCTATTGCCATGTTCTCAACTGTTGAAGAGGCCTGGACGGCAAAGCACAATGCCGGGAAAAGGAGCCCGAGTCCCAGCCCTGGGACGATATTTAAGAAAACCCACGCAGGAATGCTGCTCCCTACCTTCATGTAACAGAGTAGCCCAATGCCAAGTGTTGATATAGTCCATCCTAACCAGATAGCCCACCAGTAACTGCCAGTATAAGTAATGATAATGCCAGTGACCATAGCACTCGGTGCTACAGTAAAGCTTTCAGGGAAGAACGCCACTCCAGACATTATGGGAGAGTATTCTTTGACTGCCTCATAGTACAACGGCAGGTAATAGAGGAGACACCATAGAACAAGTCCATGCATGACGGTTCCTGCGTAAGATACCATGACTGTGCGGTTTTGGAATATAGTAAGGGGAATAGTGGGATAGCGCGCAAAGCGGTGCTCGTAAACACCGAAGGCCAGTAGACCCATTCCCCCTATGACAATAGGGCAAATTGTATGCCAGGAATTCCAGGTGTATATGCCCCCCCCCACCCCCCAGGTAAGGGGCGCCAGAAAAGCGGCGAGACCTCCGACCAGTAGAGTTATACCGATGTAATCGATCTGTTGTAGCTTTCCTACCAGTGAAGTGGGGAGACTTTCCATCTTCAAAAAGAAAAAAACGAGAAAGAACCCAACAACTCCAAATGGGAAGTTAATGTAGAATATCCAGCGCTATTTTGACCGTTAGTATCCCTTTGAAGAGTTAGCTTGGATCTCACTTACCCACGTCACCGATTGCGAGAAAGCGCCCCCAAAACGGGCCCAAGGACGGAACGTATGCTCCACATGGCAGCAAGAATCCCGTAATAATGTCCTCGATATCTTAGTGGCACTAAGTCGGTGATAACTATATCACAGAGAGAAGTGAACCCACCCTGTCAATTAACGGAAACGCTAGTAAAATCTTATTCTTGCATAAACAGAAAAGGTGGGATAGCCTCTGGTAGGTTCCATGTTGCAGGCTTCATACGAAGCCGGGCTGGAAGGGGAAGATGTCAGACGGCACCCATTGCCATAGCATACTCAGAAAATGCAAAGTACACTTCCGTCTGGGGGTGCAAAAATCTATCAATGTAGTCTCTCCGCCACTCATCCTCATACCAGCAGGTGAAGACAGCCTTGCAATATTCCCAATAATCCGGATACCATCCTGATTGCTGCCAGTCCACAATGACAACACGAACTGGACTCGTAGAAGAGACAATGATATTTCGTCGATTCAGGTCCCCATGAGTCAGCTTAATATCTCCAGTATCCGGTAGTAAAGATCGGGTCGGGTCGTCGTATTTGTGCCCAAGACGTAGTTGATGTAAAGAAGCAAACCAGTCATTGAAGGCCCTTACGCTCAAGAATGGGCCTGTTTTCGGCTGGTCGATAAACACGTAGTCCATTAGGTGCCCACGGTTTATTGATCCTGAACAGGCGTGAGTCATTGAGTCTGGTGCTCCATCTAGCGCCTGCAATCATACCAATGAACCGCTCCGAGGAGTCCTGCGCGAGTTTGCGTAGTTTTTCCATGATCTGGGAGAGCTGGTCACCGATGGCTCTTTTTCCATAATATCAAGAGAGTTCCAGCACTCTTCGAGGGTTGGCCCCGAGATCAGCTCCATATATTTGAAAGTATACCCATCACTATCAACGCGCCAGCCAAATACTTCGGGTACGGGGATGTCGTCGCCGAAAACCTTCTTGATCGTCCAAAGATTCAGTGCCTCGACAGTGGTAACGTGAGGCCCGAACTTTACAAGTAGGCCAAGCTTCTCATATTTGACAGGTGTGTGTTGCGCACGTGTATCAATATCCTTGGATAAGGCTCTCACTTGAGTCGGCGTCGGAAGCTGTCGGGCTGCGCCGGCCATGAAAAAAGACGTATCGACAAAATCTATCTCTTTCTGCTCGGAATCAGGTAATGAGAGCGAAATAGGCTTATCGCCGAACGAATATAGGACCATCTGGTAAGAGTAAGCTTTGTCAATATGACAATCGACGAACCCTCTGCAAGTTAGAGAAGGTATCACGAGAAATATGAGCATTGAACAATAACGCGGTGAATGCGGGAAACACATGCACTAAAAGCTTAAGGAAGTTGCATAGACTGGGCTGTTGCAATTGCATACCGGTTATCTTGCGACATTCACGAAATATGCTTGTCCTTTTGCAAAGGACCTTGCGCTTGGTGAACGTGGGGTCAGCACAACCCATGATCACGCTAACCATATTTGTTAGGCAGTATTTAGTAATGAAAGGACTCAGCTCACCAGAGCTTTCTTTTGGTGAATGGCTCCAAGCTAAGGACACGTGTCGATTAGCGGGAGTGGCAAGTGAAAAGCATGGGTATGCTACTGAAATGTGTTTAGGGCAGATAAATGCATTGGTCTATGAAGGGCAGAGTGGATTACTGCAGACAACATCCACTGGTGAACGATATTTTGACACCTCTGTGGTTACTGTACTATGTTTACCTGGGAGGTTCAACTCAATGCGTGAGCTCGGTGAGCAAGTGAGAGCCTGGAAAATGGACTGAGCCTGGGCTCTAGATTTGCCGTTCACAATAGAGATGGACTACCACCCATTGATACTACAGAGTACAGACATTGTTTGACTTCCGCACAGGCCGAACATAGAGCTATCCATTATAGAATAAAGACATAAAGATTCTTCAAAGACATTTTGCCCAGCCCCTCTTCTTGCCACGTGGTGCGGTGTAGCAGTAAACATCATTCAGATGATACTCTAACTCAGCTGGACTGCCCAGTTCCAGAGCATAAGCAGGATGGCAGCAACGAAATTGACCCTCTAATAACTTTAGGGGAAAGATGCCAGCCCACATGTGCAAACCATGCTAGTCAATCTAAGAACTGCTCCATTATTTTTAGTGGTTTTAAAGATTTATTGCTGAGGCAGAATGGGCAGTATGTGGCTTTTACTAGAGCATTCTGAAAAATTATTAGATTGCACCAAAGCAGGTCCTCTAGCCTATCCAGGTGATGCTAATAGTGATTAGACCATTCCTAGACACCTTAAAAGCTATAGGTTACACTTGAAGCAATATTCCATATAATAGTTTCACCTATTTAGGTTAGCTGGTGCTTATAGCATTTATAAAGTTGCGTCCACTGAATCAGAGCTGTGCAGTACTACTAGTAAAGGAGAATCATGATCTACACATAGCTAATAAGAAAGAGAAGCAGAATAGGAAGCAATCTAGACGCTAGATAATCCCTAATGAAGGACTCTGCGTGCAGGAAGCTAGGGATCTTATCCAGGCAAGAAATAAGCAAGGGAATGAGATTAGGGGTCATCTATTAATTCTACGCCTTTACTTTTAGAACCCCTCAAACACGCGCCACTAAGTTGTTCTAATTACTTTATTATAGGGTATACTAGAATTAGATGCCCTACACGCCGTACTAGCTAGATCTAATCAAAATCCATTGTTTTGGTTGATTTGGATAGCTTCAAACGATCAAATGCGTCGAAATTGGTTGGGGTGGCCGGCTGACCCGGGAATTACGTTAATAGGTGCCCAGTTTGGCGTGGCAAGTGCAGTGGAAGTGGAATCCGCAATCCTGACCCCAGACTCTGCCAGTAGGACTATCCGAGCTTTCCTTGCTGCTCTGTTTTGCAACTATCCGGATACCCCAATACAGTATGCATATCCGGCCCATAGCCCCGAGCAATCCCCGTTCAGCGCCGGATTCCACTGATAAAGCTGGTCAAGCGTGATTCCAGCACTCACGGCCATATCATAGCAGTAAATCCCTGGAAGAACCAGTAAATTATAAATTACCTGCAACAAAAAGATGGGAATGATATTTTCTTACCGTCTTTCTGCATAACCCACTTATTGCAGGTAGCCGGAATACCCGATTGGGTTGGACCGGGAGGAGGGACCGAAGTGGGCGTTGGAGTGGACGAGACAGAAGTATGGGAGGGACCTGAATCGCCTTTGACGCAGTAGCTGTCGACAGATGTCAGTGTAGCTACAAAGACGGCAAAGGGTTGCCTTACGCTTCGCCTAGGAGGAGGTTCGTGCAGTCGGCATTGACCTGGGGGTTCCAGGTCTGTAGTTGCGAAAAGGAAATCCCGTAGACGGCTTCAAGAGTGGAGCATTGATCGCCATTGACCACCACATGCCTACAATATTTAGATCTGTAAATAGCTTTTTTTCGGAAGGATTGGAAGGGCTTACCATAAGTAACAGTACTGTGTGGTTCCTGTCGGCGTCGCGGTGGGAGGTGTCACGTAGGTGGAAGTAGTGGTGGTGTTTGCATTTGGTGCGGTGGAATTCCAGTCCTGCATAGGGAAGACACAGTAGTAAACGCCTGGAGGAAGAGATGAGCAATCCTGACCGATGGAGGGATTGATCGCCATAAAAAGCGCTGTGGTTATGGAGTACTGTAGGGAGATCTGCTCGCAGGTATCGCCTGCCACCACCTTGTGGTACTTGCCGCATTCCGTTGTGGTGCCGCTGGCTGTAGGACCGTCTGGAGTGACCGTTGAGGTGGCATACTGGTCAGTCTTGGTGCCCGTGACCCCGGCGATGGTGGTGGGGTATACTGTGCTCCCGAGGGCCCAATGCAGATATTTGTGTCGGCGATGAGGTTGGAGCAGGCCCTGTTGATGGTGGGGTTGTACGTGAAGATGTCGACAACGGAGATGCTATAGGCCGAAGCGATTGATGCGCACGTGTCGTTGGCTTGTACTTTGTAGATCTGGCATTTCCTAGGCAGACACCTGTGGCTTATGAGCAAGATGTTGTACTTTTTGATTGATTAGAAGTTTGGTAGCTTACAAGACCTGTCCTGCTAGGAGATTGGATCCATCTGGGAAGATCCCATTCAGTGTCCTGAGAGGTCCTGTGGGGACTCCTTGCGCCTCCGCGATGGCTTGGATATTATCACCAGCCACGGTAGTATAGAAATTGTTGGAGAGACATGTGACATTCGACGGATCTGAGTAGTCCACGCCCGGAACCGCCGTAATGTTGGTGGCCGGGGGTTGAACCTGAGTCGGTAAGGCCCGGTCTGACACGTCTGCTGGATCGCAGCCCAGTCGGCAACGTGGTTCTCATTGTAGTTGGAGTAGGCCGTGGCCTGCATCTGCTGGATGAGATTCAGCACGCAAGGGGCGCACAGCTGCTCTTTGGAGAGAGTCCTCAGGGACGTGTCCGTCTCTCCGAGCATTGTTTGGATGTTTCCAATCTCATCTATAGAGTATTAGCCTTAGCCTCGTTCGCTATCTCTGGAGTGGTTGTCTCACTCGTGCAATAGAGTCCCGTCTTGGGGTCCTTGAGACAAGTGCGGTTGTAGGTGGCCCAGAGAATATCTCCCGCCCAAACGGCCGGTATACCGTCCCAAGGCTGGGGATCTTTTGCACATTGCTCAGAAACAGTGTTGTGGTACATTGTTAGAGATGTACCGCAGGCACTTTGGCAAAGTTGGTCCTGGAACGTATCATTTCCCAGCGGACCGAAATGGTCGATTGTGGCTAGTGTGTAGAGGTATGGATCGCATTGCAGCGTTGCCTCAAGGGCGTTGCTGCACGCAGCAGACAAGGTCGCAGAGGAGTTCAGACCATACTGATAGAGATTGATCTGCCCTACTACTGGCGTTGCCACGAGGGCAACGAAGCTGAAAAGTGAGGGCTTCATATTGCTGACGAGAAAGGGCTGCAATCAGCTATAGATTCCTCCGTGGGCCTGAAAAAGCGCAACAGAGGAGCATAATAAGAGAAAGTGTTCTCCTGCCTTCGACACCTGTTTGGACAGCTCTGATGAAAGGCCGAAATCGGTGTCAGAAAATTAAGCCTCAGCTATAACATATCATCGTCTGACCAATCTGAGTCGAAGCATGCAGGAACGAGAAGCAGGTAATTTGAGTCCATCCGAGCATCCCCAAGCATCATACTGAATGTTACCCACCTGGCAGGAAAATGAGGGGACTGGATTAGTGTGGATGCACTTTACAGGGTTAAGCCATTGAGTGAGCATTATATCATAATGCAGTATACTCTGTACATCTCAATCAAACTATCTAGCCTAGCCCGCAGATGTTGTAGAGGCTCTTCAGTATCATTGGGTTTCTCGACTGAGCCTCCCTCCTGGCCCCCAACAACCTGCATTAGTGCTTATTCGCAGAGGACCTAATACACACTGACTCAGTTACTACGTCACAAAGTCACCCGACCTGACTCGAATCAGGTCCCGCAAGGGCATGAAAGACTATCAAACCTGGTGGATCTTGTCGGGATGAGAGGCGAACCACAGGTGCAGACTCACCCACTAGAGATAGATAGGCTGTTGTCAAACAGGATAGAGCGGATGTGGAGAGGGGCCGCGGAAGGAAAGATGATCGGCGTCCTCTTGGCTATCTCAGATACCCATTGATAAAACGCCGCTGTGGAGACGCTAGGACTTAGCTTACTGGGAGAAGAATATAGACAAGGATTGGCATCGCAATGATATCTTAGCTTCCTTAATCCTGAAACGGCAAATAAACTTAACTTCAGCTGAAGGGTCTGAGCACGATTCAGCGCTGAAGTGCCTCACGTCAGATGATATCATGATCCTTGCAAAATGACATGCTTCAAGCCGGTAGGTGGAGGTGAATGGTAGGGTTGCTGAATACTAGTCATGACTGGTAAGCCCTTCGGATGCGTAGGGAAGGACATTCAGCACGCTAATCTCAGGATCATCCTCGACTGCTTCCCCCCTCTCTCCTTCTTGAGAGGCCCTCCGAAGACGGAGGCTGGCTGCGTCTAGACAGATGGATCAATCCAAGCGAATTCCCGTCGGTGTGTCCTTAAATATGACACAGCTACGATATGAAGGACTCTTTTCGCAGATGACCTAGAGGTTATCGTTGTTGTGTCCTTTGCTTCTTTCCTTTTCTTCTTCTATACACATCTGTTGCTCTCTTAGATAGAAGTCTCGCGTGGCCAACCATGAACGGGGTCCTCTTCGTCTGGTTGTGCCTGACCTCCTGGCTACCTCTGGCCACCGCACAGGACTACACCTGCAGTGCCACGAAGCCCTGTGCCATCGGCTGTTGCTCGAATACCGGGGTTTGTGGCCTGGGGCCCGACTTCTGTGGAGATACTTGTATCTCAAATTGTGATAGCAAGTCAGAATGCAATCCAGGATGGGGAATGGAGGTAGGTCGTCCGTATGGCCGCGGGTATCATCAGGCTGACTCACCATGCCAGTGGTCGCAAGCCGACAAATGTCCCCTGAGCGTCTGCTGCTCCAAGTTTGGATTCTGCGGTACGACGGAGGAGTTCTGTGGGAACAAGACTGTTCAGTCGCCCCAGTGCTCCAGCGGTTCCAGCTCTTCCAAGAAGACCATCGGGTACTATGAGGCCTGGAGTGTCACGCGCAGCTGTGATCGCATGTATCCTGAATGTATTGTCCCTGCTTTTCTCCGAGCTAGATGGCGATTGAAAACTGACTTCACAGCCCTACCGATCGGCTCCTATACCCATCTCAATTTCGCTTTTGCATTCATCGTGAGTGGCACATAGGTCTTTTCTCAATCCGTTGGCTCACAATATCAGGACCCGTCCAGCTTCAAGGTTGCACCAATGAATGCCGGTGATGAAGCACTCTACAAGCGCTTCACCGGCTTGAAGAGTTTATATCCCGATCTGGAAACTTGGATCTCCATTGGCGGTTGGAGTATGAACGACCCCGACCAGCCCACGGCCACCACATTCTCCGATCTGGCGGGCTCAGCCGATGCACAGGCAAAATTCTTTGCTTCTCTGATCTCTTTCATGGAAACTTACGGCTTCGACGGCGTTGACATCGACTGGTTTGTTGTACATTCAGATGAATGTGTTACGTTCCCGCTAATCAGGTTCAATAGGGAATATCCCGTCGCCGAGGAGCGTTCTGGCAAGCCGGCAGACTATCAGAACTACCCTGCTTTCCTGAGAAATCTCCGAAACGCCCTGAGCTCGACCGGACACAAGTATGGGCTTTCCATTACGGTACGTCTTTTTCTTCCCGATTCTTTCCCAGCTGGCAGGGACGCATTTTGGACAGTTGGCTAAAAACACAATGTCGATGATGTGGTAGATTCCTTCCTCCTACTGGTACCTACAGCATTTCGACATCGTTGAGATCGAAAAAACCATTGACTGGTTCAACGTGATGTCGTATGACCTACACGGCACCTGGGACAGCTCTAATCGCTTTACTGGCCCCTACCTGAAATCCCACACCAACCTTACGGAGATTGACCAGGCGCTCCAGCTGCTCTGGCGGAATGATATCAATCCTGACCATGTGGTGCTGGGACTTGGTTTCTACGGTCGATCTTTCACCCTCACGGATCCTGCCTGCTCCAAGCCAGGATGCACCTTCTCCTCTGGCGGTAATGCAGGCCCTTGCACCGCCGCCGTCGGCACGCTATCTTATGCGGAGATCGAAAAGGTCATTGCTGGTGGGGCCAAGGTCGAGCTTGATACGGATGCAGCTGTCAAGATCGTGACCTGGGGCGGCAACCAATGGGTCAGCTACGACGATTCCGAAACGCTCAAGCTCAAGCTGGACTATTCCAACAAACACTGCCTAGGAGGCACCATGGTGTGGGCGGCATCGACGGATGACGCGCAGGGCAGTGCGGCCGCAGCGCTCTCCAAGCTGACGGGCCGGTCCATCATCTCGCTGGCCGCAACCTCCTCGTCGGCGGACCAGGTTCAATCCTGCCGGCTGGGAGAATGCGGAAAACAGTGTCCCAGCGGTCTCAAGCCGGCCCAGCGCAGCGATGGCAAGAACAAGGGCAACACGGGTACAAATACCGGATGTCCGAGCGGCCAGTCACGACTATATTGCTGTCCTCCAGACAACATGCCCACGTGCCAGTGGAGAGGAGGAGCGCCATTCTGCAATGGCAAGTGCCATGACGGCGAGGTCGAAGTCTCGAGCAGTCTCAGTGGCACGGGGTCTGAATGCTGGACCGGGCATAAGGTGCTGTGCTGCACGCAGAATGCGGCCAACGCGGCCGTGGCCGAGTGCAAATGGTCTGGCAGTGCACCGTTTTGCGCAGCACCGTTTAGCAAAGCCGGTTGCCCTACAGGCCGCGACAGACTCACGTACTCGAACTATGGTGCCGGTGGTGAGGAGCCATGCATCACAGGATATAAGGTGAGTAGTCCCCTCCCGCCAGGTGAGGAACGGACCCCACTGATGTCGAACGAGTCCTTTTGTTGCGACCAACCTCCTCCATATGAGGACTGCGATTGGTATTACCATGGTGGCAAAATCCTGGGACAAATTCCGTTTCAATGTACTGGCGAATGCCCTGCCGGCAAGGCATCCATTGCAACAGATCCGTCAGGATGCCTTTCAGGTTCGTCCTCACTTCTTTGGATAACTACGACTCAGCTAATGACGGTCAGGTTACGGATCCTTCTGCTGTAGCTCTCCCGCGACAACGGTAAGTACCTCTGCCATGGTTGCAGCATCAGAACTGACATTCCATAGAATGATCCGCTGGTAGCTGCATTTACCACACGATTGGAGAAGTTCATCAAGAACCCCGTTTGCAAGGCGAGCGACCGGCAGTACACCAAGCGTGATGATGGTGACAGGACCGTGACTCTGGCCAAGCGACACGACCTGGCTGCGTCGGACTGGTCGGGGCTACTGTTGCAGATTTCGGCTCTGGCAATAGGCAGGGCCGGAACATATCAGTCGTCGCTGATGGCGGCCGAGTTCAACACAACTTATGGCGAACCGTTTGGTCTGTCGTTGGACCAGATCCATCGATCGTTTGACGACGCGTAAGCCCTCTCCAGCCTTCATTATAGCGTCCGCAGCGGCTGACCTGTTTTAGACCTCTGGTGGACACGAATTCCCGCACTGAGAGTCTCATGTGCATGGGCAGAAACGCCGGGAATGAGGTAGATGACTATGAAAGGTCCCGAAGCAGCGTCTGCGTCCTTCCGTGTGCCGCAGCCGGGCCAAGCGTCGCGGCATTGATGCCTCTCTGTCGGAGTCGAACGGCACCAAATTGCTCCTCAATCGGAACATTGGGGAGTCGGAGGAATCTCAGTCCTCGGCGCAGTTCGGGTTACCAACGTGGGGTAAGACCTTCTTCTCCGTGGTTATCGGGGTGATCCAGTCTGACTGAGCAGGGTACATTGTGGACGGTATCGTCAATGGCCACATGACGCTGGTCTATGAGCAGCTCATCCGCACCAACGCGGGCGAGAACATTCTCGAGAGTATGTCCATGTCCCCGGGTCTTTTTTTTGTCCGCTCGAGTTCTAATCTGGTGCCATAGTTGTCTGGGAAGTCCCTGACGATAGCTACCGGGAGACGGCAGCCGATCGATGGGTGGCCTTCCATTTCCACTTTGAGCATCTGGCCAACCGCGGTGGTGTCAACCGCGCCGGTATCTACGCGATTGTCGCCTTCCACGCCCAGCAATATGCGAACAGCAACCGCTTCTCGCGCGTGGATGGGAATGAGCACCAGGGAGACAATCGGCGGGCGCATATTCTCCAGTGCAACACGGGGAGTGAGGCGAACGAAAATACGATCTACTGGTACCCTGGCGATCTGCCCAACTCGGCAACCAACAATCTGCCAGTGTGGGCGCAGGTAGTGACGCGGTTCGGGAACTATCTGTTTGACGAGGATCTGATCACGGAGGAGACGTTCACCGGAGCGCAGCGGGGACAGTTGACCACAGTTGCTGATGACAGCGATCCCTGTTCCTCAAGGCGGTACTTTGACTGGGGTGAATATCGGCAGAGCCGACAGTTCACACCCAATGGCAATGCGCAGGGGCAGCCGAGCACGGAGGATAGTCAGAATGATAATGACGAGGTATAACTAGTAGATGCGATTACGCAGCACGGCAGGGGAACCCACGGGATCCTGGTTGAAATCAATCTATTGGTAGAAAGTGCCGAAAACTAAACTATAAAAATCCAAAACATTGGAGCAATGTGACGTAGGCCTCAGGCACAGCTTACCTACTTTCGGGTGAACGTACCCCCGTTCCTAGCCTTGATTCGCTTGGTAAGGTAGTATATATTATAAGTATCGACTCTCGCCCACCGACCATCCCATCATCCATCAATCTTGGAAACGTCATGTCCTACCAACTTACCCGCGACGATCTCGACAACTCGCAGGATGATGAACCCCCGCCAACCGCGCCGCCAAGAACCCCAACCCCGCCGTTCTCCAGGCTCTCTTGGCCTATTACAATGAGAGATGCCATGATGCACCACCAACCCTCCGGCGCCATAACCTTGAGCGCTACTCCCCCAACGCCAGCGTCTCCGGCGCTATCTGGGGCATTTACGAGACCCCCCTCACGGCCGCTATACAGGCAAACCTCCTGCACAACATCCAGACTCTTCTCAACGCAGGCGCCGACCCCAACGGCATCAGTGCCTTTGAGTTGAATGATTATGCGGTGCGGTTTATCCGCGGCCGGGATCCCAAGATCGACATGTCTAGTTTCGCTCATTGTCCGGACCGCGCGACTGTCTTGGCCAGTGCCCAAGGGAAAGGGATTACAGCGCAGACTGCGCCATTAACGGCAGCGGAAATTGAGGAGCGACGGGGAGGTTTCCCGCGGTTCTGGACCGAGCCGAATGTCCCGGGTCAGCGCTTGCGGATGAATGCGGCCTTGACGGCGCTGGAGGTGGCGGCGGGGATGGGGATGTAAATGCATTGGACGTTCTGCGGGCGGCGGGGGCAGACGAGTCTGCCTGGTTGACGCAGGAGAATGAGGAGGAGGAAGGTGAGATGATGGTCGAACTTTCAGAGGAGGCAGGGGAACCTCGGTCCGCGCTCTCGACCTCTTCGCCGATTCATCAGGCTCTCCAGGCCGGACGGGTAGATATGCTTCGCCATCTCTTGGCGGAGTGCAGGTACTCGCCTAACTACCGCCCCCGCGCGGCGCCCACAGTCGCTCTCCCGCCTGTGTCGTTTGCGATTGCGCGCTGCGATCTGCGGGACCCCGGTGTGCAAAGGTGTCTGGTCGAGTTGTTGGCACATCCGAAACTGAACCTGTGCCTCCGCACCCCGGTTTTTGACGTGCATGTGCTCCATTTTGCGGCCGCGAGACATGATCCGGATCTACTGAGGTGGTTGGCGGGCCATGTACCCGGTGGACTGAAAGCTGCTGGGACGACGGCGCTTGGCCATACGCTGCTGCATGTCGCTTGCCTGCCGCTGACGGCGGACCAGATTGTGGGCAGGAATCCGGCCGTAGCGAGGAGTATCCATTGCGCGCGCACGTTGGACACGGCTTGGTTGCCGCATCGATTGCCGAGTCCGCTGCATATGCGGTTCGTCTGGCCGGATCAGCTAGGGGGTAATCCCCGGCCGATGAGTGAAAGCGAGCGGAGAGGGCTGAGAGAAACAGTTGGGGTGATTTTGGAGGATGGAGGGGTCGATGTGAGGGCTCAAGATACGGATGGGAATACGGCGCTACATTACTTAGCCGGAACGTTGAACGTGGACGAGGAGGTTGTGCGCATGGTCAGGGGGATGGAAGCGGCAGAGGGGCTCTGGGAAAGAGTGAGGAACGAAGCCGGGTTTACGCCGGGGGTGTTGTGGGGGGAGTAATTGCTTATATACAAGTCTATCAGTCCCTTAAGCTTTATTGTGCACCAGATCTCAGTCAACCTTGAGGTGTCCTTCACATTCACTTATGGTTGCAATATAAGAGGAGCTGACTTATGTCCGAAGTCGAGACTTACCGGAGTTATAGATGAAGGAAGGGTCGCGCAAAGCTGGCCAAATCAATCCTTCTTCCAGCGTATATCCAGTGTTCACCATAAGCCTTGTCGCACCTCCCTTGAATTTCATCTTTCGTCCAAACGGGTTCAGCGGCTCATACTTATTCAAGCAGGTTTCAGTCCATGACTCCATGATATGAGCAGGCCCGTCCTGAAAAGCCCGAAAGATTTCGGAAAAGGAGTGGTCTTCGGGGCTGACGGTATACAGCTCCTCATCATAACTAGATAGATATGTGATTATGCTTAGTGATAAAGTTTATAGAAATGGTATCTTCCGTCTTATAAATCAGAATTGTGATTTTAGAAATCAAGCCAGTTGCGTCAATGGGGGATGCCGGTAGTAAAGTGTCTATTGCACGAAAAGTTCACCCTTTGAATACACATGTCGAAACCATAAAGGAGACTCTTGTTTGTCTTCAAAGCTACTATATATATGCACGCAGGGCAGTCGACACTAGTTCAAGCGCACCATTACACTTTCTTACTGATCTAGTCTAGAACCTAGTCCTCTTTTATTTACACCTCGAGCCACCAGTTGCTTCGTGCCTACTCTTCCACATCCATCGATTAGCTTTTCAGGGCACTAGAGCTCCGGGTCTATTAGATTCGGTGGGGAATAAAGGCCATCCATGACTTTACTCTGAGTATCATATACACAGGAGATAGGATCCAAGGACAACAATGCTGGATGATACATTATAGACTCTGTAAAGGTGTCTACAATAACATGCGCCATCGAGTACGTCCTGTTGGAGAAAGTAGACGATCTGCTTTGATATACGGATATTCGTCTAGGTCAATTGCATCTGGATACGCCTACTGGGACAACGCCTCATACTGGCCTCTGCTCGAGAACTGATTCTAAGGAGCGCCGACATAACTTCACATAGATTGACAGTTGTTCAATTCTGGTTGAGTGTAATGGATGGTGCAATACCATTGACATGCAAAGCTCTTCAGAGCAAGAAATATATAACAGCAGGTATGAATATTAGCAGATACATGCGGTCTCAGAATCAACAGTAATGACAAATTAGGTGGTGAACAGGCAGGGGCCGCATTCACCGTAACTAATTCCATGTAGCATGTCCAGCTGTATGACCAGACTACGGGGTAAACCCAACCACATAAAGACAATCATAAAGCAAAAAGGCCCTTATGTCAATCCATCCTAACTCATGAATACCAACTAACCACAGCAAGCTTGGACCTTTGTAAAGAACGCAAACCCTTCCACGAGTGATAATTATTGCTGTCCACGATAGTAATAAGCTGATTGGTGGACTTTATTCTCGCTACGAACCGTGCCGACACGGATCACAAACACTAAAAGCAACCGACTAGTCAGGGATTACAAGAACTAAGCTACGTATTCAGGCCAAGGGACGGGAACTCGACGCTTAGCAGGCTTGATTGATTAGTGGCTGATTTAGTTGGCAAATTGTGGGATTGAGTTTCTGTACTCCGTACTCCATGCTGGTTTTGACTCTTGAACAGTGGAGTAATGGACTAACTCCGTAGATTTTAGGTGCAATACATATGAGTTCAACTACACATAATATCCACGTTGGATAATAAAACATAACTCAGTAGAAGTGAAGTTACTTGTAAAAAATCAGTAAATAAGCACCATCTACTCCGCTCGCACCTTGACCATCGGCCCCTGCCACCTTTTCCGCCCTCGCACAAGCCAGTCACCAATGGCAAAGACCAACACAGCCAGAAACACCGGCGCCGCGTAATTCATATTCTTCGCCGTAACGGGGTAATTTGGCGGAAACGGCAAGAAGATAATAATATACACCCCATACACAATCGCAAAAACATTGATGGGGACACCCCAATGGTGCAGACGGAACGAACCCCACCGGATCTCCTGCGGGGCGCGCAGACGCTTCAGCAGCAGGAAGATCACCGGAATCAAGTACGAGATGTATTGCCCCAGAGTAGTGAGAGACAAGAGCGCGTTAAAGGCGGTGGTGGAGCCGATGTTGATCAGGGCTAGGAGCACGGTGATCATAGCGACGAGGAAAAGCGCGCGCAGCGGGATCTTGTAGCGCGGGGAGACGTACGCGAAGAAGCTGGAGAAGGGGAGGCCCTCGTCGCGGGCGAAGGCCCAGGTGAGCCTTGTTACTGAGGCGAGGCCGTTGAAGAGTGCGATGAAGCCTGGGAGGACGAGTGTCATCATTAGAACTGAGGCGGCGGCGTTGGATTTGGTTGCTGTGTAGAAGATCTCGAGGATGGGGTAGCCGGTGGGCGTCTCGAGGGCGTCGCTCAGACTGCCCATTGTGTACATCAGCCCAATGGTGAATCCGAGGGCGACGCAGCCGTTGATCAGCACGCTGTAGACCATTGATCGGGGGACTGCTCGAGGGGCGTCCCGGACTTCCTCGGCCATGTGTACCACGCCGTCGAATCCTATCCATGTATCAGTGCAATTGCACATATCGGTGAGGGAAGACAGTTATGTACCGCCCAGAGTGTAAACTGCGGTCAAAAGACCCACAGACCAGATGACCCCATCGTTCTTCCAGCCGCTCATGGAGTTCTCGAAATGTGCCCAGACGAATTCTGACGAGTTGCGGGATCCCAAGACGATCAGAGTAATCAGGACGGCCGGGAAGAATAGAATATGGATGATGCCGCCAATGACCTCGACTGGCGACAGAAGACGACGGGCATAAATATTCACAGCCACAGGGATGAGAAGGACAGCCCAGATAATGAGAGTCGCGTGCCAGGGCTTGGGAACATACTCCGGGTGGTTTTGAATCACCAGCGCCTGGATCTGCGTGCCGATCAGGTAGGGAGAGGTTGCCACGTTTGCCCACCAGGAGAACATCTACCCCGTTAGTATTATTTTGGCGTCTGTGGATGTTGTCATACCGTAATCCATCCTATACTTGGTCAGCCTGGCTCATGTATTTCGCTATGAGACACACCTTGAATAAAGCTCAGGAATCGAGGCGCAAACGGTGCCAGATCATATGTCCAGTGGTACTGGGCTCCAGCCACCGGAGTACTACTATATCAGCAGACATCCATTGTTTTCCGATAACTTACTCACATTGATGCGAGTTCGGCGAGAGAAAGGGCAATGCCCAGAGAACCCACAATCGCCAGCATGAGTCCATAAATGAGAACAACAGGCCCTCCATTCTCCAAACCAGCAAACATACTCGCTCCAATAGCCTCCCAGGATGCCTGGAGAGTTGCTGCGAACGCCAGCATAGGCAGGAAACCGAGATATCGCTGCTTGCGGTTAGATCGCACGCCAAATTTCTTCCTCTTGTGCATACCTCCAGGCGTGGTTTCGACTGGTATCCATTTTCGGGAGAATATTTCGATTCAACGATATTGTCCTGGGGCGACTTAAAGCCATTGCCGGTTTCATGGCCATAGGCCAGTTCAATCCCGTTGATATCCATCTTTGATGGAGAGTGCAGCAGACTGTGTGCCACAATGAACGAGGGAGAGTTTGATGAGAAGAAAAGAAATGCCTCAAATGGTGGCAGGGGGCGGTAAAATGGAAAAATGCCAGCCAGGAAGGAAGGAGGGGGAGAGCATACCTATGAGTTAGTGCGACGAACCCTGGCCGCTTATCCTGGCATAGCATGACGCCGTTGCGTGCATCCTGGTCACTATACGCGGACTCATATCAACCCCGGTCAATTTGAAATTGCGAATCGGCCAGAGTTTGTTTCCGATTGTAGATCTCTTCCTTTTATCGGAAAGGAACATTTTGAGGTTGGATTCGAACTAGGATGCCTCGAGTAGCAAGCGCACAGGGGCCAGGGTGTGGTCTGACTGCTCAAGGTTCTCCCTCTTCCGCTCAGAAGATGGCCAAAATGCTTTATATTGATGTGAAGTGTATGATTCTTTGACTGTGTTATTGCTGCGATTGCCCATCTCGCCGCTGCCATGGCGGAGCCCTCTCTTTTGCCGCCGCTGGGGCAGATTACGCCAAATAATCATGGCGCGATCGTGTCACTTTTCACCTTTATATTTCTGTCCTGTACGGTAATTGTGGTGCTCGCTAAAATCGCGTCGATGCTCTATCTGAAGCGCTCAGTCCCGTCAGTTGACATTCCAATTTGGAGCTGCATGGTGCGAAGGAACTGCCTCTCGAGCTGGCTTATGTCCCTAACAAGCGCAGATTGTTGCATTCGGTCAAAGTATCCTAATCCAGGTCGCTGTCAATCATGGCATGGGGAAACACCGCAGTGAGGTTTCCACTGACTCATTCGACGCATATAGCAAGGTACATCAACTGCATCCCGTGGCGTAGGAAACTCACTTGCTAACCTTGACAACATGTCTTTAGCTCAATTACGCGGCCGAGCTTCTGTTGCTCCTCGTTCTCGCACTATCCAAAGTGTCAACCGGCAATCTCATCCGCTCGATCAGCCCAAGCAAATCAATTCTTCGATGGTGTCTCATGGTACAGATCGGAATTGGTGTCTGGACGCTGCTTGCGCTCTTTGGGACTGCCTTTCAATGCCCCGCCCCATATTGGGAGTATTCGCCCAGCCGCTGCATAGGAAAGGTAGGCCGCTACCACAAGCATCATTGAACGTTGCTTAGACTTTTAGGGCGCGATCAGATACACGATCATGATTTTTAACTTGACATTGGACGCAGCTCTTGTCGTCCTTCCAATTGTAATGCTATGGAATGTGCAAATGCCTCGAATCCAACGGTTCAAGATTTCATCCGCATTTGCATCTCGTTCGTTGTGGGTTCGCACTCGGTCATTTAGGAATATTTATTGCTGACGAGCCAAGGGTCATTGTCGCGAATATTGTCGAAATGACGTATGTGACGCAATACCTCAATTCGACTGATTCAACTTGTACGGCTGTCCTCCCCGGCGCTTGCAAATGTCGCTTACCAGTGCGCATACAGGGACTATCGTCAGCGTGACTGCTTCTAACCAGTCTGTTTTCTTCCCCAGTACGGTGGGGGAGTATCGAATCTAATTCCTGGCCTCTAGGGCAATGATGAACATCAGTATCATCACAGCTTGCATCCCTAGTCTATACCGAGTGATCACCAGTCTGGCCCTAGGGATGAACACCGTCCATATGTTCGAGGGGACGGAGCTGACCTCCTCGGCAAACTCTAAGAAACCCAACTCGCATTCAACGCCCAAATCCTTCAGATCAACCCGGCCGAGTCGCCACCGAGAGAGTGCCTTGATATCAAACATAAGCACAGCCACGTGCAACGCAGTCAGAGATGAGAGCACTGAAAGCACTAGGAGGATGGTGAGCCACCTTTGAGGGCTGGAGTAACCGCAGAAGGATGGAACATTCTTCCTGACTACCTAATGAGCGTTCTGGTATGCGAACGCTGGCTATAATATGATGAAGCTAGTATAGAAGGTGGCCCATTTTCTGAATCAAGCTGCTTATGCTGAACCTTCAATAGACTAGTAATATCCAGTCATTCTTCCACATACCTATCAGGTAGCACCAATCCGTCTCACTAATCTTCTAGGCGCTAGACTGTATTCATATAATGGCTACTAACAACTATCTCCTAGGCCTGTAACAAGACCTAGCGCCCGCGGCCCGCCTACCCCCTAACTGATGGGGCTAGCGTATGCTATCCCCACCGCAGAGCAATCATAGTGGATATTATAAGGATACATAAGAACTAAAAGCCGCTATTAGTGGAATGTAGCACTATTGGGGAGGGAAAATCCATAGCTACCTTGAAAAGAGACCTTTTTCAATCTGAGTTTGTTTATGTCAGATAGCCAACCTCTGTTCAAGTACACCCTCTAGGAAAAGTCTCAGACAAACATACATGCAGGATTCCTAATTAGGTACGTGCTCCTTATGAGTTATTCGGCGACGCAAGTTGTTGCCCCCCCAGTCTGTCATGATAATCCCTACATATTGTAAAGCCATTTAAAGCCCCCTTAGCCCAAAAGAGTATGTCGCATCTATGTAGCATTTACACACAGGCTTATTAGCAGGGACTCGTTCAAAGACAGATTCGGTTTCGAGCAGAAACCAAGGCATCTCGCGGATGTCATCCTGTTCCACGCGCACCTGGTTGTCACTAGTTCTCGGCTTTCTCAGCATCGGCAGGGGTATTAATATCCAGGATGTCGCCCCTATTGAGGCTTGCCGCGACATAACGGCAAAGGAAAATGCCCAGCTAGGTATTATCAATTGTCTCTATGAAGCGGAAACAGTAATTATAATTATCCACGGGTAGCATAACACCGAGCCGGCCGTATCCACGGCCCTGCTGAGTGTTGCAGCCCAAACATCCGATCTCAAGAGGCGTCTCTCGCTGGACGTATAGTGCCTCGCTTTCCAGTTTTCTTGCTATACCTTCTTGCCACAGTTACAACATGCGTGGAAGCCTTACTATACGGAGAAAAGACGGACGCTGGATTACATTTCATGTAATGCCAATGCCAATCATTCACGACTAGACTGATTATGTCGTTAGTATGGCTTAAAACAGCTGGTAATACCGACTGTAGAATGACGTCTGTCATGTAGTCAAGTGCTTTCTTTTCCTACTAACATTGTCTGACTCAGTTCATGAGCCTGTAATTGCTAATATTTTGTAACTGCCACAGCACTGGGTAGCGTAAATTAGCAATCATCGGGTGCAATGGATGGAGCTCAATCACCAACGCGCCATTAAAGGGGTACCCTGTCCATTCGCTGCTCTGGCTAACAGTCCTCTCTCGCGTAGCTTGTGTCCGTGTGAAGTCGTTTTCTACTACCTCATCATGGATGTTTGACTGAAGCTAGCTAAACAAGATTTACTGTATTAGGCTATTGCTGGTTTCAACAGCAATGATCTGTTATTTCTTAGGCTGAACATTAATAGTTAGGTTCTTTGCCTCATTAGTTTTATGGAAAACCTTTATCTTTATTAATGGCTCTGGAATAGTATCGATATCTATTATGGCAGGATCTTCCCGGGTTTTATTATGCTTTAGTGGAGCCAATTTAACGATAAGGTTAATCTCCCAATGAAGCCAAAAATGATCAAGTCAAACAGAGTGGCGCTGGAAGGAGAACCTCCTTGTGTTTCAAAAGTCTTAACACGCCACCTTCTGCAGGGGTGGCCGCGTCCTCAAATTCCCTTACTGCCACCTGTGTGGCTATATTTGCGCAGGTAATGCTAGGGGATTGTCTCTGGTCCATGTTCTTTGTCCGGTTTTTGCTGTCACGGTAATGTACTCCTATTGCAGCTGTCCACAAGGCTTCTTTCGAATTGATCTCCCTCATTATCAAAGTATCCGGTAATGGTTGGCATCTGGATATGCAATGCAATTGAGACCGAGGAAACCATTACTTTCGTCCTAAAAAAGGTGAACGGTTGAGACATCTACCTTTGGATCAGGTACGAGGCATTGGACCGCATGCTGACGAGCGAAGTCGAATTCACGCAGCGACTCCTTTTTGAATGAGTCTCCGGTTGAAATCGAGTATATGTGTATAAGATGAAATAAGGAGAGTCCCGATGTGCTTGGCAGAACGTGACATCATAGAACGGTTGTAAATGATCAATGGGTAGTAGCGAGTCCACACACCAATAGTTACTCCATGCTGCCTGTATCATTATACTGCTCCGTACTCCGTATAGGATTGAGCCTTTCAAAACTTATGTGGAGCTTTGATGCGGGGACCCCAATTTGAGGGGAACTGCTGACAAATATCCATGCCAGGTAACTATCTTAGTCGAAGAATATAGAACCCTCTTTCATCCTTATTGATTTATAATCCCACCTTCCATGGATGATTTTAAGAATCGTCCATAGCCCTCCTTTGCTGACTACGGAATACTACTACCCAAGTACCTCGCGGCAGAGCGTTTGAGAAAAAGGCGAAGCCATGGCCTCCTTGGACGAAGTCTTCGCAGAGGCGACAGAGAACGGCTCCATCCTGGGTGCCATTATTCTAGGCAGGGATACTTCTCGTATATCTACCGGGCCAGTATCTGAGCTCCACTGACCGCTACAGGTAAATTCAACTACTCAAAAGCATTTGGTCGCCGCACATTTGGAGATGGAGAGGAAAGTTTGATGCGAACGGACACAGTGCTTTCTTTTGCTTCTGCCACGAAATTAATCACTTGTATCGCGGTGATGCAGCTAGTGGAGGCGGGGAAGCTCAACCTGGACGACGATATGTCACCGATCATCCCTGAACTCGCGGAGCAAGATGTGCTCTTAGGGTTTGACGAGAGGAACGGGGAACCACAGTACCGGAAGCGGGCGAACCCGCTCAAGCTGCGATATTTGCTCACCCATAGCGCTGGCCTTGCCTACGGTGCCATGAACCCGTTGCTCCAGAGATGGGGGCTCTGAACAACCGGGCCCCACAAACTGGGTCGACTGTTGTGGAACGCTTCGCTTACCCATTGGCGTACGAGCCAGGGACTGGCTGGGGCTACAGCCCGGGTGTTGACTGGGCAGGAAAGGTCGTGGAGAGAGTCACGGGAGAGACACTGGAGTCCTACTTTCGGAAGCACATTTTCGATCCTCTTGATATCACCAGCATCACCTTTTGGCCGCACAAGCATCCGTCCATTCAAGGCAAACTAGCGACCATGACTGCGAGAACTGCGTCTGGTGGCGTGGAACCTTACAATGGACCGTACCTTACTGACGGGGCGGAGGATTGCTTTGGCGGACAAGGTGCTTATGGCAATCTCGAGGATTATATGAAGATTTTGACATCTTTGCTTGTCAACGACGGGAAACTGCTGCGGAAGGAGACTGCTGACCAGTTTTTCCAGCCACAGCTGACGGCGGAGAGCAAGGCCGCACAGAAGGCCCTTTTTCAGGATCCAGAGAAGCTAAAGCTATTCATCGGCGATTTCCCCTCAGATATGGAATATGACTGGGGCTTGGGCGGTGTCTTGGTTCAGAGCGACGGCCGAACGAGAAGGTCCAAGGGCACTATGATTTGGAGCGGCATGCCGAATATTTTCTGGGTAACTCCCCGGTAAGATCTAGGTTGGAAGTGCTGATTGCTGACATTCCCAGTTCATTGACCGGGCAAGAGGACTGTGTGGTGTTGTTGGTATGCAGTTGCTGCCGCCGGCCGATCCGAAAGCGCAGGAACTTGTGAGGTTGTTCGAGGAAGGAATGTGCCAGCTCCTCGGAAGTCAGGTTGTTTAGACCAGTGACTGGGTTTGAAGTCAAATGATGGGGTTATTTTTGGGCTCACCGCATATATAAGAAGACAGGGTAACATTCTCAACTTCATGTAAGATTCTGTTTTCTAGATATTTGCTCGGGAATTGTCCAGCATTAGCGATTCAGATGCAGCTTTTGAACATTGTGCCAGCTGAATGTCGCCGCTTTGGCCCTGACTGACGAAAATCTGACATTTGCGTATCTGAAACAATTTTCCCCCGCTACGGGGATTATCGGCCGCCTCAAGCGACTAAAGAAGGGGAGGGGCTGAGGGACAGGGATCAGATTAGAAAAGAGCACAAAGGACAAAATCGGAAGAAGACGTCATTAGGCTCTTCGTCCTAAAACACTTCCTCTCTCACACACACACCAAAATCACATCACGAAAAATCCCAGTCGGAATGCAGTCCACCCCTATAAACCCGGAGATGATCCACGTTGTCTGCAAGGCCGACAACCGCCAACACGCTGTGGTGAATATTCCTTCATCAATAGACCAAAAGCTGCCTTCCTCGTCGCTCCGTGCGCGGCCGATCTTTCTAGGATTAACTTCCAACAACCTCAGTTACGCCCGTGGAGGGGATCTACTGCATTGGTATGCCGGCCTGGCTTTTATATCTTTCGTACTCACTGACAGCCACAGGTGGAAAACGTATCCGGTACCACCTACCGCGCCGTCCCTGTACAACGACCAGTCTTCCTGGGGCATCGTCCCGGCATGGGGATACGCCACTGTCACCGAGAGCAACGTTTCTGGAATCCCGCCAGATTCCCTCATCTGGGGATACTGGCCTACCTCAACGTCGCCTTCTCTCCTCCGCTTGGAACCTAGCGAGCCTGCAGGTTACTGGGCGGAGGTTAGCAGCCACCGGCAACAGCTGATGCCCATATACAATCGCTACGAACAGGTACCCTCTGACGAAGAAACGGAGTTGGATGAGAGGGGGTGGAGTGTCCTCTTCCGAGGGGTCTGGGTCGCGGGATACCTGCTGAGTGAGTATGTGTTTCCTCCTGACCCGCGAGCACGAGAACCAGTCCACCCGCTTGGCGCGGCGAGCAGACTGCCCTGGTCCTCGGACGATGCGGATCTCTCGTCAGCAGTTGTGGTAATTTTGGCTGCGTCGACCAAGACTGCGCGCTCGTTTTCGTGGTGTCTCTTCGATCGGGCCAGGGCAACTGGGCCTCCGGGATTGGTACAGATTACTTCATCGCCTGGTGTTTTGCAGAAGGTTGCAGATAGGAAAGGCTGGGGGATGTGTCCAAGGCATTTGCATATACGCAAATCGACGAAGCAACCGGGTGGATTGAGGGTCTGCAGCCGTCAAAGGTGGTGATTATAGATTGCGGGGCCCGAGAGAATGCCCTCAGTCTGATGTGCCAGAATCTTCAGGAGTCAGCGCTCCGGTCATGTAAAACTGTGATTCTGCAGGTGGGCAGTCAGCAGAAGGTTAGTCTCTGTCCATGGTTCTTGAGGCATTCCGCTGACTTCTGTTCAGGTGTACACGACGGAGGAAGTCCAGGCAGCTGGTGCAGCTATGCAGTCAATGGGAAAGATCCAGTACAACACCTCTGGCATCCAGGACGCAATCATCGACCGGGATGGTGCTGAAGCATATTTCGGAAACGTCTCGCGCAGGTGGAAGGAATGGTTAGCAGACCGTGCCTCCGCTATCCCTGACATGCAGTTAGTCTGGGGAGAAGGCATTGATGGCGATAATGGAATCTACGGGGGATGGGAACGACTTTCAAATGGGGAAGTGCGCCCTGAAGAGGGATTGGTTTATGCTCTGTAGAGAGATCTTGTCGAGGCATGTCCAGGGAGCCGATAGTGCTTCTATCTAAGTGTCCGTAGAATTGCTCAAGCCAAAAGACTCCAGACTTGTACAGAAATTCGGTTGATTCTCACTGGAAGACTATGTTGTCCGGAGAGGGGAATGCCAACCTTTCGTTGACGAACTCGAGAAAGGAGCTGCTGAAGGAGAAACCATCTGGGGAACAAATACGGATTTGGCGGAACGGTGAACTGTGTTTTTCCATCTCATCATAAGAGACCAAGCTGTTCAAACACCCTGGTTCCAGTTGGCCAGATACCAACGAAAGCACCTTCCTGGGGCGCAATCTCGCTTCTTTTCTCAAGCACGACATGGTCGATATTGGCTCGATCCAGGCAATGTGCCAAGATTAATCCAGCAACGGATCCGCCAACTATAATAACCTTGAACTTTAGCTTTTCCATACTCTTTCAGAGCAGGGACCCAATCATATAAACATCTCACTTTGCTTGCTCTACATAAGAGGAAGGAGCTGTTGTGGAGGTGTCGGTTGCTTGTACGCAATATCTCAATTGGGAAAGTGTGATGCTCCAAGTACTGGCAGCATATCATCCACTACCTAAATATGAGGCCTTTCAAACACCTCTGAGCATACACTGTGTTGGTTTCTGCGCCCTCCTGACCAACAGTATATGTCAAATTTGACAGCGTCTTTCTGCATGCCTGCTTTTACCCATCGCTCCAGTTGATACCGCAGTTCACGGGCTGCTTCCCCGGGCAATCCCTTCTCAACTCGATAAACGAAGCAATCGTTGAGTTTTGAAAAGAAGAGGTCGATATCGTCAAATTCATCGATGATCTGGTCCCCATCGCGTCTGAAACACACCCCTGCGCGTGCGGGAATCGTCCAATCTAGGGCCCTGGAGCATGTTTTCGAGTAATGCCGTGTCTTGGATGAGACATTGTGTAATCGACAGAATGGTAGGGAGACGATCTGGTGGTCCATGAATTCGTACTCGAACCACGGCGCATATGTCAGACTTCTCAGTGGTTTCCCTTGCTTATGCCATTTTCTTCGCTTGTCTGCTGCGTGACGAAAGTGGATATCCACGGTTTTTATAGACTTTGCCATACTGAGAAAGTCCACTAGCACCTGGAGCCTTTCGAACAGTAGTATCAGTTGGCCAGGACTTGAGGGTTTTGGTGGCAAGATGTCGACGCGCACAGGTACCCTGTGGAAAGGGAAATTGTTCAGGCCGCGATAGAATGCGCGGCCCATACAGCCAATGGTGAATCTCAGCCTGAATTTTGGGAGTCTACAGTAAGTCCATACTGACTCGAGCGGATCAATGGTGAATGAAACGGTAAGGTTGGAATACAGATGATGAGATATCTCGTCGTGTAGCCTCCTGCTAGTGCGAAGGATAGTGAGCGAAGTGTTTGGTCTCGGCCACGGCAGTTCTTTTCCCGGATACCGTTCGGTGTCTGCATAAGGGAGTAGCCAGTCCCATATACAGAGCCGCAGCTCAGGCGGCAGCCTTGCGAAATGTCCGAGTTCTGTGCGTTGGGGCGACATAACTTTTGGTAGCATGGAATGCTGGAGGAAAATGGGTAATTTTGCGATAGAGATTTGTAGTGCATTGGATGACTCACTCATCAAGTAGAGGGAATGACGTCGAAATAGCATCAACAAGGCCCTTGAAGCTTTTATCTAGTCTACCATGGAACGAGGAGCTACTGTCCCAGTATCCTTATATAGCTTTGTTACCGCGCAAGGAGAGATCATTTGATCTACTTATGTACCCTAAGAGAATCTACATGGACTGAAGTGTGCAGTAATATTGTTGATCGCTCGGACTTGGGACTCGACTCTTGGTATGCATTGTACTACAACTATTGACTTAAGTAGGCCATTGTATAGAGGCATACTTCGATTCAGGGCTCATCCTACAATTCCTAAAGATTATTCACAATATAATCATGCCCGCGGGTAGGATTAACCGTCGAGTCCATTAACACCTCCAATTTATATGGTTTAGTGTATACTAAAGAACACAGCCTCTTGGTATTCAGACATTGTCTTGAATCACTTGTCTCATACTCTCAATCCATTGCAATTCTCCAGTATATATATCAAAGAATAACCATTCTAGCTTCAGCTCGGGCCTCACGATTCTGCACTTGCAAAGAGATGGCATTCTAGGCAATAGACCTTATTCAATCGCTAAGCATAGATGACTGACCTGTATGGAGATTCACATTGCAAGCCTGGATGCATTATTGATGAGCGTACATGGCTTATAGCTCATTGTCGGGGATCATAACGGCATTGCTTGTTAACATGTATAGCAATCTAACTGCAGACTGGACACATCCTGCTTCAATAGGAACGCCTCGTCAGTCATTTGGTGGAAGAAGACAACTTTGTGGAGACCGGTTGGAGCGGTTAATGACGAGAGAGACTTACGGAATGAAGGCCACGCCAGCGAACCAATGTGTGAATGGACCTCTGGAATACCGCCCGTTTCATCAATGCAGCTGTCTTTGGCACTCGGCAGGAGAGCGCGTCGACTAATGAACAAAGACAGGAACGGGCATCCTATTCACTGTTCCCTCATTTCCACAGTGATGCCTAGTTTGCGGCGGCAACTGGGTAATCTAGGACATAGGCGATTGCAATGTCCTAATTGATAAATACGTTGCTCTCTGTCAACGACAGCTTTCATCAGGAGATCCCTAAGAAGCAATTATAACTATCATCCTCTATTGTCCTCATACAAGGTAATCTTACGCATATCTTGTATATCGACAGACAGCTAATCGGAGAACAGTCTTTACGCTTCTGCCAGATATCACTTACACCAGCCAAAATGAGCACTCAGCCCGTAAGCATTTCTTTGACCATGCATGCAATTGATCCGATTTGGCCGCTTGGCGATAGCAAAACGTATCCACAGAACAACAACATTCCACCTTGACCTCGCATTATCATGAACCGTGAGCTCCCCTAGGATAGTGCGCACGTCGGCCACGGTCTACCAGTGGTTGTCACATGAATAGACATAGTTGATAGTAATCAGACAGCCGTCTTCCCTGTGGAACGAGCCACACCTTTTACAGCCGCCAATGTTGCGGATGTTCTGGTAGTCATTCCATATGTCGTTACCACTGATACTGCAGTGGGCATCGCCCTGGATGAACACGCCGCAGCCCCGAATCTGATCGCCCCAGCAGTTGCCGGACAGATTAATGCCCGACTCGTTCCTAGAGACATAGATCAGCATTGGCATTGAGTGTACAAGGGATAATAAGAATGTTGCATGCCAATCGAGCAATGACTGATGGCAAACGAGCAGGTCACTCACGCAGACGTAGCAAAGTAAGAGGGCTGGTCGTTTCGCTGCAGGGTATTGACGGCCTGGTCACACCACTTCACAAAATCGGGGGTCGTGCACATGGTCGAGCCCTCGCAGTCATAAGCAGTGGGGTCGGGCTCAAAGGCGTTGGTTAAGGGATTATAGCCTTGCGCCTGAACCACGAATTTGCTCGTGTCGAAAGTGGAAGTCCCCAGGGGTAACGTCCACTTGTAAGTGTAGCCGGTGATATCCAGGGTGATGGTGCTGACTACCTCCCACGACCATGGGGGCGCCGTGGAGCCTTCAGGAAGTACACCGTTATACTTGTAGAGTGTAGTGCCTTCGACCATGTAGTGGGTGCAGGCGTAATGGTCAATGTTGAAGTTAACACTCCATCCTGGATCAGTATCGAAGTCACAGCCCACGGAGTCCCAGAGATAGAGGCGGACAAACGAGTAAGGTACTAGAATGTCCGCCTGGATAGTGGTCGAAGTCGCTGAAGGAGAGGAGTCGTAGTTAACAACTGTCTTCCCACCAGGTAAAGATTCGGTATTCACAGTAACTGTATTCGAAGCTGACCCTAGACTGCCGCCTCCACCTACTGCACTTACATGAAATATGTAGCTAGTTCCGGATGCAAGACCGCCAATCGTGATCGTCGTCATTGAGCTTGGAACACTTGCAACAACACCATCACCCGAATACACATGGTAGCCAAGAGAATTCGAGGCCCCGTTCCAGGATAACTGAGCAGAACTATAGTCCGAAGTCACAACTGATAATCCAGACACCGCTCCTGCGGCGCCTCCAGAGGTCCAGGATGCTGCATCTGTATTCAATGGGGAGCCACCACTGATTGCGTTCATCATGCTTTGGACGTATGAATCCGCAGGCAGCGTGTCGTATGGATTGGGCAAGCTGTCGTCTGTAAGTTGAAGGAAGCTCACCCCGCGCTCCTTGGCTAGACTGGCTACCTCACTGACCGCGGATTCGGGCACATTGTAGACAATATGCCAGAGTTTCCGCGGGTCACTGGGGTCCAATTGTTAGGTGTGTAGGAGTTGATGTAGGAATCGTAGTTCAGCTCAAAGGTCAGAAGGGTATCCATGGTATCCTCGAAGCAAGATGCTATAGGCGATCCGGGGTTCAGGACTGTAAATGCACCGGGGTGAGCACGTTTCGTATAGGCGTTGATATACTTATACAGATCCGCATATTCATTATTGTCACCACATTCGGGCCAGCCCTCGTCAAAGAAGATACCGCCGATATTATCGCCGTAAAGCTTGTACCACATATCAACATCTTCCTCGATCTGAGCAGTCCAATCCGCCAGATTCCCCGAGCCCAGCCGTGTTTGGAATTTCTGGACACTCACGCCCAGGTATCCAGTCCGTACATAACCAAGCACTGTTTTACCCGCAGCCGAGGCACGCTGGATCACACCTTGCCAGTTCGAGTCAAGAGCCGAATCCGGGCCGTTCACGACGTTGGCAACTAAGATAGGCATCTTCTTCACATCATACGCGATCAGCCGATTCCACGCGGCCGGGTCACCAAGCGGGTTGATGTACGAAGCGACAGCAATCTGTTGCCCCTGGCCAGTCGCAGTCGACGAATTCCCCGTTGGGTCCGCGCCGACAGCAGTCATGGTGGCTGTGAGGGTGGTGGTGAGGGCGTCCTGCGCATCGCAAGACGTGACGGTCAAGCAGGCAGTTGAGCAGGCGAATTGAGGGGCGAATGTCTGGACCTCGCACTCAACGCCGCATTGGGTCGCTGTCTGCGCTTGGCACACCGTGGCGGTAGGACCCCCCTGGAGCGATGCGGCGGGGATCACATTATTGATCGTGATGGCCCCGTTGGTGAAGTAGAGCCACGACAAGGCAAAGGCCCCGACAGCCAGCCCGTGGAGATGAGATGCGCTGATCGCCGGATTCAGCCGGTCAGCCTGAGTGAGTGCCCACTGCACGACAGTATTTACACCTGCCACAAGCTCTGCATTGGTCCACGGAAAGTTTCCGTGATTCATGAGCAGCCAGTTGGGATATCCATCCCGGCCGATGCCGTCGGCGAGGATGTTTTCGGCGCCGCAGATGACGCTGGCCATGTCCAGCGAACGAGACCGGAGGGAGGATGAAGAAAAGAAATCGGCGCCTATGTCGCAGTTGCTGTTGTCCGAGCCGGAAAGCAGCGTCTGGAGGTGCGCTGCCACCGTCGAGTCCAACTGGATGCCCATATCTCCCGCACTCGCGCCGTTCCCGGCACTCGCAAAGGTGGTAATCGTGGCTGGCAGTCCAGTCGCCGTGTCCTGCTCTGGAGGTTGCGTGATGGTCTGCTCTGGCTGGCTGAAGTCAGTGATGAAGACGATGGCGGTAGCGGTTTCCAGATTGAAAGAGTCCTCCAGTTGCGCCGGGGGAATCTTGATGGGCACCGGAACCACCTTGTCGTCCCGGTAGACTTTTGCGATTATGAAGCCGATAATCGCCATCGCGCCAGCCCCTAGATAAGCCAAGTTGCGCGGCTCTAGTGCGGGTGGGTTCAGACTGCGGGATTGGAGAGTGCGGCCAGTGCCCTCAAGGACGTCCAGGACCTCTTGGTAGCACTTTGAGTCAATATCCGCCGCGCAGTCGCTATCCATGGTGGATTTCAGACTGGTCTGCATATCTGGAGACAGGAATGCTAAGATTCCATTCCCAGCCGGGTCACCCACCGCAGTAATTTCAATCACGGACCCGGTGAGCACGGGTGTGGGGACCTAGAGAGGCGTCAGATGCTTGCGGAGAGAACGTAGTGGGAAGCCGTAAAGACATACTCCATCCGTGGTGTACTGGCTCAGGTCACCCACGGAAAAATACTCATCATCCGCATGAGCAAGTATAGAGAAGAGAATACCAAGAGACAATAACAGGAGCGTCGGGGGCGCCATTGTGTCCCGAGGAAAGGAAAATGGGTGTAGTCCCGAAACTCGAGTGAGATGCCGTAGAGTGTGTATTGACTACTCTATATACCCTTTGATCCTCAATTGTACAGAAATGGAGCTCAGAGGCGAGGCTCCGCACATTTCTTAGCTCCGGCGAACTGCTAATCTCAGACAAGTGTACTGTACTCAGGCAGTTGAAGAGGGCGAGGATACAGTCCGAATTGTGGAAATGAAAGTCAGGCAAGTGGGGGTCACCAGGCTCGCAATGGTACACACACATCCGGACTACTACAGGCTTGCTCTTGAGCCACCATCCTCTTGTGGTTCTATAAGCCCTAGGAAGCCTTAGAAAGTCCTAGGACCAAAGTGTACAATCATCCGAGCATTGTTCCATGAGAGTGGCGGTTCGACTGGATCAGCCTAGGTCCCTAGGAGTAACTAGTCATGTACTATCACAGAATTGGAGAGATTTCTCGGCTAAATCTCGTAGCGAGGGCAAAATAGCAGTACCATATTATGCGCTATACTAGTAGTACATTGGGAGAAATGGGCCAATGTAAGATCACAGACTGCATCTCAGGAAAAGGGCGTTTAGGACTGTAAGGTAGAATTCAAGTCATTATTGACGGATGTACTCGGCGCTTTCGGCTAAGTGCTGAGACTAATAATGTCAAGGGACTGGACCCGCTCTGAATGGTACCTAACCTTTTTATATCAAAAGGTATCAAATTATAATACCACTAGGCCAAAAGAGTATCCGGATATTATCCCAGTCAGGGTAGCGTCTCATATCTGTAGATCATAGCGGTATTCTATTTTCTAACAAAAGGCTACTACAACTGTACCTAGACTGGCTTACCCAATCCACCAATTGCCAGCCCTAATCCAACCCACGTGGATATGGATTAAACCATTGGGTGCATGTGATCTAGGTTATCTTAAACTGATAAGCTTTCTAACTAGATCTAGGCCTAGATAGGGGGATATTTTTATATTTATATATAGAGAATAATCCTATTTAGCTATATATAAAATAAAATTATTAGATCTATTAAGAAAGACTAGAGTCATAGTGATTTTTAGATTTAAGAGGATGATGATTAGGTGTCACACCCTGGGATCCGTCTCTGCTGTTCTTCCGCTAGTCAACTACTTTGGGAACGGGTTGATATAGTCCCTGGACTATACCCGATACTTGCCTGCGGCCTACTGACCAGGTAGCCCATAACGCTATACCAACCAGGTATACGTCTTGATAAAATGGTACAATGATCTCTCGTAGATCAAGGACAATCCAAAGGTAACACACAATGTCAATGAACAGTAAAGATAGAAGCAAGGCCTATTAAGGATGTATCCTTAATAGTAGAGAGTAACTGATGATTGACGAATCAGACTAGTGAACTTGTACTCAAGTGAGAGATTGTTATTGAGCGCGAGGAACTAAACTAAGAGTGCTAGATACAATGGTAATGAGTGTCCTTATATAGTTTCTTAGCCGCGACTTCATCGCGACTCCTATCGCTACTCCTGGAGTATCCACAGAGTAGATCGTAGAGTAGCTTCTGATACTCCTTGTCTTGGCGATACCCTCATCCTGGGGTAGCAGTCACGTGTTGGTCAGGATAGTATCCCCGAAGCTAGTCTCCTCCATATCGCATACTCAGGTACTGGGGATTGATTGGCTGTTCGCTGTTCCCTGATTTTGCCCATCACATCCGCCTTGCGCCAGTGCGGTGGCGTTGGTGCTGTAACATTAGGATAGTGAGGGTAAGATATATATATCTCTGCACCGACTTTTCATTCTCAGCTTATGGAGCACCCCTACTCCCTAATATAAGCCTATTTCAGCTTATACAATAGGTAATATATAATATTTATATACCTAATAATCATGTAATCTAACAAATATATAGGTTCCCCGGGGTTGAGGTATAATACTAGAATAATAGGTGGTAATCTGAATGCTAGAGGTCACCTGACTAGGTTGTATGGATATCCATATTATCCACAGTCCAACCCGCGTGGATACGAGGGTGGGTGAGATACCTGATGGTTTACCCATAATCCACGTGGGTTGGATCAGACATGCTGTGGATCAACCCATATCCAACCCCAGCCAGTCTAACTGTACCTATTGGTCTTTGTCTCCGCTTTCGCCACCGCCTGCCCTTACACGCATAAATTTGTCCTCGAAGCTCCAAGCCTGCAACTTCTCTGCAGTACATACCCCCATTCCCATTCAAATCTCTGTCTTGTTTATAATATGCCACCCAACAGCGCAAATACAGCTTATATCAACACATTTCTTGTTGCGTGTGGTAATGGTGACCTGCCGAAAGTCCAGGAGGCCCTCGCGAGCGGGCGACTCTCTGCTGAGTCTCTTGACACCGGACTCAGCCGCGCCACCCAAGCGGCACATCTGGATATCGTGGCCGCGCTCTTCGATGCCGGCGTGCCCATGACATCCCGCACAGTAGGCTCTCTTTGCGGGAAGGAAGGCCATCAGGACCCGCGTGTAATTCGCCTCTACTTTGACCGTGGCCTGAAACCTAGAAAATGTACCACGTCCTCCGGCGAGCCTCTTCTCCGGTACGTTGATGGCCAGTTGGGTAGCCCCTGATTGCAAGACTAACTTCTAGGGAACATAGCTTTTTGAATGCTGCCTGTGCTCGCGAGTTACTGGAGCGAGGTGTTGACCCCAACCGTTGCGGCCCAACAAAGACAAAACCTCTCGCCAGCGCCCTTAACATGGCCTATAAAGACAACGGAGCTGTGTTCGACCTGCTCGTTGAATATGGGGCTAAGGTGGAATCCAGTCTCTTCTTTTCCGCTATTTGTTGGAGCAGGTCGAATACAGCGTTCAAAACTAGATTCCTTCTTGCCAAGGGTCTTGATCCGAACACGACCTCCGCGAACTGGGGCACGCCTTTACACTGTGCTGTCCGTTTCGCCATGGAGGACGTGGTCCAAATACTACTAGACGCGGGCGCAGATCCTACGGCGCGACCGGGGTGCAAACAATTCCGTGACCGAAGCCCTGCGGAAGTAGCCGAGTTACACATACAGGTCAAGCATCCTAGCATGCAGGCCAAGTATCAGAGTATACTCAAACTCCTTGTAGATGCAGAAGTTAGTCACACTCATTCTATAACCGCTTTGTCTAGAAAGCTGACCAAGCATAAGCATGCAACAAACGCGGTACAAGCTAATACAGAGAAGTCAAGCGCCGAGAATGCTACAGAGCCTACAGCAAAGAGACAGAAAACCAATAGCCAGCATACTGCTGTTAAGAATACTCCGATGGGGGTTATTTCTCAGGATAGTATTAGCAGCCGAACACGGAGTCGTACCAAGTGTCTCCTAACTAGATCTACTGCGGTTAATGGCTTGTTTCGCGGTAGTAGAGCAGGGTAGTAGGTTGGCTACACAGGAAACACGAGCTCCTTCAGTCTTACGGGCGGTCGGATGTTATTCCTTTGTACGGAGTATGCTTCAGCTTGCTGTAGCATAACTAATTGTCCTGAAGTACTCCAAATACCTGCTATTCCTTTCCTCCTTTCCACCACTGATTCGCCAGGATTCGTTCCGTTGTACTATGTCAGTCTTTGATGATTTCCCCCTGGGATATATTATACATGAGACGGCAATGGCTGAATGATTATGGTATTCTATCCTGCCGTCATTTTGGTTGACATGAGATAATGTAAGCCTCCGGTAACTTCCTGTCATTGTAACATGTAATAATACCGAGGTACCAGCCGCCAGAGGGTCAGGGCGGGGCGAGGCATCCACCTCTACGCCAGATGTTTGTAAAGACTCTACAACTCTAAGCGACCCTGGCTAGCGCCTTCTAGTCTGACTCCAGTGACTAGTCAAAGCTGAAAACTGGATTCGGACCAGTTCCTGAATTCTCTGGGTAGAACTGGAAAGGAGATCCAACACCCTGTCTAAGAGGGGCTCGGAGATTAAATCAGCGCCACAAGCCGACTTCAGCTGTAGAAATAGACTATTATCTTACGGGCGTATGCTATGGTAGTAGCACTAGGAGCACCGCTTGCAGGGTCGTAGTCCTGGTCCTATTCTACCCCTACTGTGGAATGGGATGTGTTTTTCTCATACATAAGTAAGAGACCTTCGCAAGTGTGGCGAAGAACTAGAGCAGCCTTACTTTCAAATAGCGCTGGTGCTGAGTATCAGGTAACCCATGGCACACTGCATCCAATTTACTCTCGTCAGCAGATCGCCCTAAAATCTTTTTTTGCGTATGAATATGCGGGGAGCAAGCTTGTCAAGTCTCTGCGTCTTTGCCAGATTGTTTGGAAGTATGGTACAGAGAGCGACCGGAACATCGAATAGTGTATGATAGTGATAGACAGAGTAAGAGCCCAATTGCAGGAAAGAAGATAGCCGCGACGGGTAGTAATGAATCATATATGTATATATACAATATAGACCACCGTAGACACTTGATCACACCAGACCCTGTATATGGCTCACCATTTGTCCTCATGGTACTTCTGGCCTTCAACCCACAACATAGCCCATTGCTGCGTTTGGCCCCCCCAATGTCCTGAGCTCGGTCGTATTTGAAGAGATTCCTTCCTCTGACTGTATTGCCTATGAAGAGTTCATCATCTTCTTTCACCGTCTCGTACGCAATGTCTGTCCAGCGTGATTGGTCTTGCAGCGTGGGCACCAGCTCGCCGACAGTGTCACGGATCTGATTCCATTGTATGGTGTAGTCGGCAGCGTTTGGATCTTCTAACTGCCGGAAAGGCTTGGCTGGACGGATGAGGTAAGCGCGGATGTAGTCGTCCTCGATCAGGTCGGCATCGAGTTTCCTGTGGTATCTCCCTCCGTCCCTCAGCATATCAGTGACAGTGAGCTGGAACAATTCAGCGTCCGTTTGGGTCGGCGGGTCCCGCCACTCATCGTCTGGGTCGAAGGAGACATTCTCCCACCAGTGGGTCGCATATACTGCCTTGCGGCTGATGATATACAGGGTGGTGCACCCCTTGAGGCCCTCAAGACCGGTGCTCCACTCCTTCCTCCGTAACCGGCCGAATTCCTGCAGGATTGCCGCGCTCATCCAGGTCGCCTCGGGGGCTTCGTCGCGTGTCGCGATAGGTTTCGAAATCTTGGGGAGCTCCTTTTCGTAGAATTCTCCCAGCGATTCCAGCGACCCCGGCAGCTGCATCCGTTTTGCCAGGGCCGTCGTCGACGTCGCCGGCCAGGTGACGTTGCGCTCAAGCCGGAGGAACCCTACGCTGCGCTTGATGCTGCTGCTGCTGCTGCTGCCATCAACTATCTCGATCCCACACTTGCTCTGAGCATAAACTTCCCCAAATGCCAGCCATGCTAGTAGTAACCATAGTAGTCTCATGGTTGATAGACGTGCTGGGCAGTGGAGGTAGTTAACTATACACTGGAGTGAGTTAGTGAGTGATGGAGTAAGTGAGTGAGTGAGTGCAAGTATGGTGTAAGTGTGGCATGAGTGTAAGTGAGTATGTGTGTGTAGACTGACATGACTGCCTTAGAGAGACAGAAGAGATGGTATGTGCAATTCTAAAATAATCACACAGTATTTGTGTTTTTGACTTTCTGTATACACGAAAAGCCAAATTTATGATGGCTGCAAGTTGGCTGGGCTGGGAGACAAAATAGGGACAGCATGTAGAGATTGATTTATGTCTTATGCTTACTTTGACGTAGAAGGGAAATTATATTTATGGGAAAAGGACTTGGGGGGAGCTTCCTATTATTTTATTTGGGATTGGTATTATAGTTGTGAATTCTCTAATGCAGAGATAGACTGTAATGTCTCTTCCTCCTTCTGCTTTAATAATATTCCTGTCATGTGCTGAATGTAGATTAACTAACAATGGATGGTTAGCACTGTAGTACTCCGTACTATAGCACAATACATACAAAGTGCATGTGTATGGTTATAATAATTCCAACCGCCCACCTTCGAGGACCCGCCAAGGGTATCTTCTAAATATGAGCAGCGTTACATTGGAGTCAGGCGACGGAATATCTCTGAATGTCACATCACATCTCGTGTACTCTAGCATATATTGTATTCGTCGGCTAGAAAGGAAAAACGAATTTGACCTAATATGTGATACCAGTGCTGGTGTAAGCCGAACTTGTTTCTTGGCGCACTGGCTGGCCCTTATTACATGGCATGGAACAGAGGACCCTAGCCAAGCTGGTAGTAGCATCGCAGAGCTTCAATTTCTGAGGCTAGAATATAGGTTCACTAGGTAGAGTCAGTTACCCACTTTGCAAAATCCACCCCCTTCGAAAATGGCTATGCCGGCCGGCCACACCTCACCGAAACATAGTTTTCTTCGCATTATTCTATGCTATTTTATTTTATTTTATTTTTAGTGCCTGCGTCCGTTCAACGACTTTGTACAAAGCCAGAGTGTCCAGAAACTCAACTTTCTACATTGTAGTTCTAGATGAAGATCATTACGTCCCTCCCATAGACTGGGCATCAGACGTTACTGGATGTGTGCGACCATTCATTATTGAATATAGTTAGATAGTACACTGGGTGTCACATATGTCTAATAGTACTCTTGGATGGAGCACTGTACCAACAGGTATAATAATAACATGACCAGAGAACTATGCAAGTAAGATAAAGCTGAGCTAGAATGTTAAGCAAAAGAATCAGACGTTAAAGGACCAGCCTTAAATACGCCGCATCAACCAGGGCCGGCCCTGAAGCGCCTCCCAAACCACCCCCCAAACCTTGGGGCAAAACAACACACAGAAAAGAAAAAGACGAAACCAGGCGAAGATAAAAACCAGACGACGCATTAAAGAATCTCAATTGAGCCAAGGGCAGACAACAGCCGACGTGATACAGTTCCATGCACTGTCTCAGCATGGTTTATCAATGCTAATTTACTCTCTAATTCTTCCCTGCAGATGCTGCATTTAACCCGCATATCTTTTGGATATGGTATGACGTGAATGTCAACAAAGTGACAGCCAAGGGACCTAAGGGTATGAAACTTTTTCACTTACTTCTATTCTAGCAGATAAGGATTCTCAAGGCAAAGGAAATAAATCATTAACTGCTTATGTGGAGCTTTAATGCAGATAGACAAAATTACACTAGAAAGAGTAGTTATTTCTTCCTTAGGTGAAGAGCATTCTTACCTTTTCGCAGGGGGGGCAGAAGGTAAGTTATCTATGGTGTGATATTTCTAGATAGCCTTTGGTCACCTTATAGGTGAACCCTCTTCCATACTATAATAAGCAATAACTGTATTAATTATAGTAATCTAACATTAATACTCCTTTTCAACAGTTGAGCCTGGCATGGTCAAGACAGTATTAATTAATATCATATACTGTAGGGTTATATATCCTGTCCACTCTAGAGCACCTATCACCTCTTCATCCACCACTTTTCCAGCAAGTTACCTCTCACTATTAATCACTGGCTGCTTGTTCTTATACCATACCAGATTCTCACGCACTAAGCAGTTATGTTATTATTACCACTCATTCTAAGCCACATGCTGCACCCAGGTATGCCTTTAGATTGCGCGCATATACTTTCTCTCCCACTACTCTATAATATCAAGCACCTGACAAGCAGGCCCTTGTAACTCCTATTTCACCTTTTTTTATTGTAGGTAATCACTAAATTTTTGCTGGAAGTCCCATTCTGCCATCTTAAAAGCCCACTTCATCTTCTCCTAAACTTCTTTTCTTTCATTGACCTTCTTCTGCAATTTGCACATAGATAGGACCTTGTTGACAACACTAGTATCCTCTAATTTATAAGGCTGATGGGGGTTAATTAACCAGCTCATAGATACTATAAACTACATCAGCTGCTTCTAGGCTGGTAGTCCCTAAACAATTGCCTGAGCATTGATGTGGATGCCCATGCTATAATATTTGATGAAAGTGTTAATGCTAGCATGTTTTAGAGCTCATTAGTAACGTCCGCTGTTCATCAGAAGATGGCTATGTTAGTATGGACATAGTTATTTCCAGCCTATAACAAAGTCAGAGAACTCACAGCTATCATTAAATGCTTTCACTACTCTGTAGTAGAGATAGTATAGCTTGGTAACCTGCTTAAAACCTGTGATTTCACCTCCTTACTTTATTTAATATCAAAGTGCTCCTTCTATGAGTTGTTCTTCCAAGGCAATTCAAATCCCATCCGCCTCACGCACGGCCTGACAGAACACAAATTAATTAAGAATTTCATCCTTTAGTTTTAGTTCTTATTGTCCAAGTCCATCCAACATACTAAGGTTATACAAATTTTTAGGACAATCTACCACTAGCCTGTCTTTAGAGAAGTTCTTGAACACCTTGATGCGAAACAGCATCCCTAGAAGGAATACATAGGGGCTGAGGACTAAGGTTGGGTCAAAGATAATCTCAGGAATGGGGAAAGTATTCCTATGTTAAACATGATTAGCTATGATATGCCAGGGGGTACCACAAAACCATTAACATCAGAATTAGAAATCCAAACTTACTGTTCCTTCTCGCCTAAGAAAGTCTTGGTAAACTCTGGGGTTAAGTAAATAATTAACTAAGGACGCCCTCTATCTGGATCACAGACTAGAGTGAGCAAAAGTTTCTAATAGTGTAGGTTCAGTAGTGCTCCTGGGCGGCTACTGGTGATGGTGGCCAGCTGGTAGAAGAGGAGGAGTTGAATCTGAAGCCACCCACACTGAAATGTCATCTCTGTTATTGATAGAAGAACGCGAGCGAACTCCGCCACATCTTTAATATACATGGTTGCTTTTGGTCACCGCCTAGGAAGAAGGCCTTTCTCCTTAGCAACTATCACCAACACCTATAGACTATTAGCTAAAGCCTTAGCTTCATCCAGACATAGGTCGCTTACATCTAGGATTTTGATAGTAGTGTCTTTGCTAAGGCCCTGCCCCACCTTTACCTTGTAAACCAGATGCTACTACTTCCAAAAGGTCTCTAGTAATGTTTTATATTTTATTCCTAGTGTTTACTGGCTATTTTTACTTTGTTGCCAACCACATCACTAGGAGAAGAAGGCCTTAAGGAACTAGATTATCTCCTTAGAGTCAGAGAGCTAGTAAAAATATTTAATAGGATTATGTTTTCCTTCATAGTAGAACCTGGCAAGACAGATGATCTGTTAGCACTAGTGTTAAAGTTAATACACCTAACTACTTCTCACCGGTCCCAGTAATCTTGTGTATTGTTTAATCTAGACTGGGTCTTTGGACTATAACATTTTTGTCAGAGCTGCGATATATCAAGAGATTCAGCCTCTTGAAGGTAGTGTAATATAGAAAGCTCCTGCTCTTCCTCCTCATCTAGGATTAAATCATCATCAGAATCATCAGAGTTGTTACTGCTGCTGTCTAGCTCTGATGCACTCTCTGAGCTATCATCAACAGTGCTATCTGAGAAGATATTAGGAATATTGCTGCTTGTGCTGCTATTATCATCAGAATTAATCAGCTCAGGTGAGCACCACATAGTAGATAAAGAGATTAGAAGGAAGGATATACTCAGTTCTTAAATTTAGAAAGAGTAGATGATGATAGAAGTCGAGCCTCTCTCTTCAGTTATGTATTGGGAAATAAAGAACAAAAATGCGGGTGATGATATGGAAGTTACTTAAAAGTGAAGGGGAAGTAGGAGAGTCCCATGGTCATCATAGGCTTTATAGAATTAGAGTAAACAATGTGGTCACAAGGGGAGCCAAAAATGGCTCCCTTGTCAAAGGAAATGAGGTATGGTTGAGTGATGAACCAGCCCTCAGGCGGCGGCAGCATAATGATTGAACGTCAGGGACCAGGCACATAAGAAATAGGGGGTGAACCAAACAGTGCTGGGCCGTGGTGGTAAAAGCTGTTGGGCGTGCGGTTATTACACGTGACGCCAAGGACGGCCAAGTGTTAGTAGGACTCGCAAAACAGCGTCAAGTGTAGCCGTTTTTGGCCGCTGGCTAACTGTTTCATCGTTATATGTAGTATTATATGCTGTCTTTAGGACTGATAATTCTCCTATATAAAGCTACCAGTAGCCTAACAGAAGGTTAATTTTTAATAGTACCTTCAATTTCCTAACATTAAGTGGGTTGTGCCTGAATACAACAGGACAATGGAGTGTAGAAGTTTATTTTCAGCAGTGTGGTGATCAAGTGACTCCATGTAAGATGAGTCTTGACTACGCTGTGCAGATCTAAACCCACCCTAGATCATGTTGTTGTGTTCCCAGGCCGATCTTCAATGGATCTACATCTGCTGATCTGCAGGAGAAAGACTAAGAGCTGTCCACTGCAGGTAGAGCAGTGTGACGAGTCAATCGTCATAGGACTACCCCTCCTTGTGCCTAGAAAACAAGATCGTGCAGGTCCAGATGAACCGCCAATAATGAGCAATCGACCTATATGGACTACAATCCACCAACAATTGCTGACTTCCCGCCCGACTTTTAGAACAAATTCAGACAATAAAGCTGGCTTAGGCAGAGCAGTCCCCCACTAGGCAGCTGACTTTCCACTCGATATTAGTGTGAGAAGGTCGAACACTTGAATAACCTCTCTATACTTTTTGCGCAGGCAGTCTACTAATCTGTCCTAAGACCCTGGTTCAACATCAGTAATCTATTCGATAATGTCGTCTATTAAGAAGGTTATCGTGGTCGGAGCGGGTGGCCATCTCGGGCCACACATCCTGTCTGCCTTCGATACCGATCCTCAATTTGAAATCTCCATTCTGAGGCGTCATTCATCAAAGTCCACATTCCCGTCTCATATGCCAGTCCACCGCGTCAGCGACAACTTCGACGAAACCGAGCTGGTTAAGATCTTTACCGGACAGGATGCAGTTATTTGCACGATCGCCATGCAAGCCCTTCACCAGCAAAAACCTCTAATAAATGCGGCGGTCAAGGCCGGTGTGAAGCACTTTGTGCCGTCCGAGTTTGGGCACGACACGCGGAACGACCAGGCGGCTGCGCTGCTGCCTCAATTCTACAAGGCGAAGAGACAGATTGTGGAGTACTTGAAGAGCAAGGAAGGGGATGGGCTTAGTTGGACGGCGTTCGTGACGGGGCCTTTCTTCGAGATGTAAGCGTGCAGTCGCACCCATATTCGTCCTTACGGAAAGAAATCTGACCGGAGTAGAGCTGTTTCGAATTTCCTCGGATTCGACATCGACAGGAACCACGCCACGATCCTCGATCATGGCACGAATCGTTGGTCGGCGACGACTCGCAGCACTATAGGTCTTGCAGTGAAGAATGCGATGCTGAGTCCGGAAATCGTGGCCAACAAGTACTCGTTTATCGAGTCATTCAATATCTCGCAGAATGACATTCTCGCTTCCTTGGAAGATGTAAGCGGAGCAAAGTGGGACGTTACCTACCACGGTGCGGAAGAGGAAAAGCGGCTTGCCTTGGAGAAGCTTGCCAAGGGGAACTATAGCGCAATCCCTGTGCTCACGCGGTATATAACGTGTGTCAAGGGGTATGGTGGGAACTATATGGACAGTGAGGAGAGCGCGAATAAGCTGTTGTCGTTGCCAGCAGAAAGCCTACGTGAGGTGCTGGCCGAGATGACAAGCCATGAATGAAACCATCAAGATCGTACTCTATCCTTAAAAGGTCACGAAATGGACAGATCACACTATGTCTATAGAAGACTGGACTTTAACTTCTGTTATACTCGAAGCACCATAAGTGCGATTCCCACCAGTGCAAAGAGCAGACTGCTCATTATCCACACAAGGCCGATCCATGCTCCGCTCAGTTTCAACCCAAGCGTGAATACATTCGTAAAACATAGACTCCCCAACACACTTCCCACCGACTGGAATATCTCAACTGTCGAGTAGAGCCTTGCTGTTTTGTCCCTTTCCACCAAGGCTGTAGCTAGTGACCGTGCGACAAGCGGGAGTCCTCCTCCAGCCGCGTGCAGGCAAAGACTTGGAACCAAGAAGACGATGTGCGGCGCAAGGCCAACACCGAGTGATCCAACAGCTAAACAAATGATACTCATACGCGCAAGGTAAAGATCCCTTCCGCGCAGCGATAGGTAATGCAGCACGTGTTTTGCAAGATAAGGAAGGAGGAACAGGAACACCGGGATGGTAGCAGCTGTGTGGAAGGATTTGAGCAGATTGGCCCGTGCTAGGGTCCAGCTGAAGCGTGTGGAGATATACTGAGCCAGGAACCCAGAGGAGCCCCGAGCAAGCTCAGAGACGGCAAAGCCGAAGAGTAGCAATAGGATCCGGTGGTCGAAGATGAAGATGTCATGCTTGAGGAACCGTCGAATCTTTCCCCAGATGAGACGATGTCTTGACTGTTTCGGGAGAGCCTTTGCGCTGGAGTAGGACGATTCTTCATCGACATTCAGGCCGCCCATGCAGGAAACTTGGTCAACACCATGCATCGGGGACTTCCTCTTTACGCAATGGTTCAAAGTCTCCGGTAAAAAGAAAGCACAGCTCAGTCCGATAGTAACGAATCCACAACCGGCCATCATCGGGATCCAAGGGTTAACGGTCATGAGTTGCGCGCTTATCGCACCGGCGAGGAAAGTAGCAATCTCACTGACAACTCCAACCCGAAAGAAGAGTATCGCACGGGTTGAATCTGTCGTATGATCGGCCAACATCGTCCATATCAGTGCCATTACAATAGTTGGTCCTCCCCCAATGGTCCAACTCAGCGATGCGAGCCAGATAGCCCTGGGAGGGAAGATATCAGAGAACCACAGTACGGAATTAGTGATGATTGCATTCAGGACAAATCCAGGAATGGTAAGACGAATGGCTCGTCTGCGTCCATATCTATCTGCCAACAAACCGTATGGGATAGCGCAGAGGACGCCTGTACTATGTCAGACAATGAGATTATGCAGATGGAGAAGGGCATTGACACGAACAGAGTAGCCCCTCGAGGAAATCCGAATACCCCTTGATAGTCGTGACTTCCGCCTGCACCTCTTCTATCTTACACTGCTGCTCTGCTACATGGCCCGAAGCCGGGAGTCGACTTGCGTCGTGTGCACGCCAATAGTCATCACAGACGATGGTTTCGATAATGCGCACCATGGGACCTGGGATCATCTGACCTCCGATCTCAAAGGTGAGCATTATCGCAACCACGGCGATCACCAGCCAACGACGGCTTTTTTCTGGTAAAACAGTGTCTGAGCTGGAATCATCGGGAGGTCCATCTCCAGGCGCAGGTTCGCTCCTGAGATCTTCTAAGAGGAACGGAGCATCTTCGCCACTGAGTCGGTAGTCATCTTCTGGCGGGACATACTGCGCTACCATCTTGGATAGCCTAACAATGGGAAAGGAGAATCGTAATATTCATGGGAACATGAGACATGGTTTTCATACAAGTACAGCACCTTCCGTGAATGACGTATCCGTATCTTCATCGGTTTGGCCGATCGAGTAGGAAAATGGAGGGGCTGTAGACATGGAAGGCGGACCAGAATCTTTCATGCATGATGTATCACATACTTCAATACTGCCTTAAACACTCAAGGATCTGCATAGGTGGCGTGGAGGCGATCATGTACCATTGACGACAGTTCCCCACATATCACATATTAATCTTGTACATACGCTTAGATCAATGCATGTTAGAGTCCATGTTATTTAGTCAAGTGTGACACACGCACGTTTTACTTTTATGTAGCATACAGATCTCTTTATGGGTCCAAACGCAAAGGGTCTAGTCTTGATCAAGCAAAACTACTATGTCAATGTCTCTGCAATAGTCGTCACATCTAACTAATGCCCTGCGCCGTGATGCGTATGCATATCGCCCAGACCTTCCTGCATATGATGCTGACCCAGCTCCTCACCCAGCTCCGTCTCTTGCTTTTTCCAAGGCGCAGGCCACACGAAAGCGTCCTTTGGAACTGGCATTTGGTCAAACTTTTCTGGATCAACAGCATTGCTGCGTTGCCAGTCGCGCAGCGCATTGAAATCGCGACATTTGCGATTCACACTAAAGTCCGGCCAGGGAGCCTGGCGGTCTTCCACCCAGTTCAATGTCAGGAACTCCGTATTGGCATTGCATTGGATGTTTTGCAGCAGGATGTCCGTGCAGTGACCGAGGTGTATCCACCACATTTTGTCCTTCTCGTCCAACTCTGGCTCGTAGCCGGGGTAATCGGCAAAAGCTGCTTTCCGCAGCAGGTTAAGGCAGTGGATTTGCTGCGCTCTATTAGTATCATGGACCCTATTGCAACCAGACAGAGCTACTTACATGCATTACGTCCATCTGCACCATGTAGGCATCATCCCCCATTCCCCAGTAATCATTGTCGAAGCGGGCCGCAGTCTCCGGGTCTTTACCCAGCTTGAGGATTTGCTCGCGGGTGACGACGTGAGTCAGGACCTCTTCATATTGCGCCCAAGCTGCGTCGTTTTTCGCGCCCGGCTCTTCTCGGGCTATTGAGACCTCGGGCTTAGCGAAGAATGTCCCGTTCAACTTTGTCTCGAATCTCGGGATTTCAATTTCGTCGAGGATGGGCGCTTCAACGGTTAGCCACCGCCGAAGGGAATGAAAGAGCTAGACTTACACCACCAAGCTATCGGCCTTAGGACCGCATTTTTCTCAATTGTCCGAAAGGTGCCTGTGCTGAGGATCAAGGAAGCCGTGATGATAAGGATGGCTACGTTTGCAACCGTAAAGTAGATCCAGGCGTTCGAGACGCCTGCTTTACTTGCGACATTTCCGTTCCGCAGGAGGGTCTCTGACTCGATGTCAGTATCATCGTCAGCCTCTGATTTGAGGTTTTGGAATTTGTGCTCCCCATTGAAGGGTTTCAAGATCTTTGAAAAGATCATGGCGGCGATAACGCTCAAAAAGTCTCAATGGAGTGTGAGAAGGAGAGTAAATGTCCTTTCGGGATTTCTATGGACTACGTAAAATGTACGGCCTATAACTACAGGGACCTCTAGAACGCAAACAAAGTAGGAAAGACAAAATAGCCGAAGAGTGATCTGTGCCGCCGTCTATCACTACCTAGAATGGTGTATGCTCGTCAATGCAGATCGTGTTCGCAGTTCGCGCCAGGGCAAAAGCGAGATTGATCTACCCCTCTACAGTCAATACATGGAACTGGATTTAACTTAGGTTAGACTGACGTGACTAGAATTGACGAATTGACATCGACCTTTGTTATTACTGGCTTATTCGATAGTTTGTGAGTAGCCTGTTGATCAGTGACGTGGAATATGCAATGTATCTGCAGTTCAGCCCACATAAGAATAAGCAAAAGCTAGACTGCGATAGATAGATCACATCATCCTTTCATCAACAGCAGTTCATCCCATCTTCGACCCCGCAGAGAACATACTGGACTACAGTTGATCTATTGCGATCAGTTCAGAGGCTGGCTGATATGCTGTTGATCTCTTTGTACCTCCTCTCTTCTTCTAAACGCTGATAGGAGGCCTCTTGTTGAGCAACTGGTGGAGAGGTGTAGCCTGCATTTCAGCTCATCGCACATTACCTCATGCATGAACGCAAACTGACGACGACCGAATCATTAGAGACCGAGTGATTGCCACCTGCAGAATGCAGCCAGGGCCTTTCGCTATGCTATCCCTATCGGAAGCTGTGATACTCCAAGTCCGTTCAGAGGTGACGGGGTCACTAGCTGCTAGCTCTATATAAAGCGCAACGAGGCTTCTACCACGTCAAACCTTCTTCCATCATTCAGATTCTCTCTTCCGTTCTATCAAGACCCTAGCACCGCCTCATCTCATCATCAATATGCAACTCTCTTACTTTCTGGCTCTCCTTGGAGCCTCAAGGATTGCCTGGGCCGCCCCTGTCGCGAACAATGACCAAGTGGAATCAGCCTCTGGCGATCTTGAGGAAAGCTTTGTCTACACCCATTATACCCCCGAGAAGCGTGATGAAGATCTCGACAAACGATTCTACTACACCAAATACGACCCTGCGAAGCGCGATGAAGATCTCGACAAACGATTCTACTACACCAAATACGACTCTGAGAAGCGTGATGAAGATCTCGAGAAGCGGTTCTACTACAACCCTTACACACCCGAGAAGCGTGATGAAGATCTCGAGAAGCGGTTCTACTACACCAAATACGACCCTGCGAAGCGCGATGAAGATCTCGAGAAGCGGTTCTACTACACCAAATACGACCCTGAGAAGCGTGATGAGTGAGGGCTCACCGTGAACTGCGCTCAGCTATCAATACGGTCGGGAGGTTGAGCGCAAAATTTGAACCCGGTGAAACATATGCCTCGGGCTCATGCTCCTTGTGTCGTGCAGTAAATGGGAACAGGGCCATGTTGATCCCTACTTTATTATCGCAAATGCGTATTTGTTGACTTTCTTGTGTTGTGTACTTGGCTTTGAGTAGTTTGGTTACAACATGCATTATGGATTTATAGGCATTCGTTAAGACCGGGTTCTGGGGTTCTTTTGGACACCACAGGCCCTGGAAGTAGTCATCAATGCATGGTTAGCTTGGTTAGCTTCCTCTGATAGACCTATAGGCTATTGATGCTCTAATGTCTGACCTGGAACAATCGTAAATCATGCTATGATTGACATAAGCAATCTATATTTACATCTTGGCCTGCCTTACAGCCAATGCATTTGTCAGAGACAAAAGACTGTCTCGCTCCTCGGGGGTAAACTCTCGTCTATTTGGACCTCCACGGCTACCATCTCCTCCCTTCCGGCTCTTTTCCCCGGTGAAGATGTCTTCCCGGGGCCGGTCTTTGTACTCGGTATGGAACCTCCATTTCTCCGTCAACTCCGGGGACAATTGTCTCTGGAACGACTTCGCAATGTATTTTCCGACGTTAGGGAGGAACTTAAATGCACTGCACCGATATTAATATTTATGATACTGATTTGGGGGTGTACATACTGTCCGGTCCCGCCGGTAGCGACAAAGAGGTTGGGATGGTCAGGGTGATAGTCGAAGATAAAGTCGCCCGTCGGTGTCTCGTTGTACCAGCACAGGCATGTCTTCTCGAAACCCCTTTCTACTAGCTGCGGTAGGATCTCCTTGAGGCCAGAGAGAAGTCGCTGCATACCTTCCGCGGGGATGAAGTTTGCCCGCGCGGAGATAGCCCGACTAGGTGGTGAGGAAATTTGCTGGTCCGTCGACAACGTGTATCCAAAACTGTGGCAGGCGACTTTGAGATATCCCGTCTTCTCATGCGGCGGGAAGCTGAAGAACCCCGTCGACAGATTAAAAATAATCGGCAGATCCTTGAGCGCCTTGACCTCCTGCGGTGTAAGCCGCACGAAGCCAACAATCTGCGCCGTCGCTACCATCGAATTCCACGAGGGAATCAGGCCAGCCGTCCACGCACCCGTCGCCAGGATGAACTTGTCAGCTGCGATCCGTCCCCCATCGGCCGTCTTGACTGCGGTAACGGTACCGTCCGAGCTCTTCTCCAGCTCCGTAACCTGGCCATGAGGACCGGTCACAAACGACACCCCAGCAGCAATACACCGATCGCGCAGACCCGCAATCGCAACACCTGCATCCGCCCACCCAGCCGCATTGTTATAGAACCCCTCGAACCCCTCCCCAATCGGCGTCCCACTGACAGCGGGGAACCGCGCGTTCAACTCGGCCGCATCCGCCAAAGTATGCCACTCGGCCCCCATCCTCGTCAGGATCTCCTTCGTCTTCCGGATAAAGTCCGACCCCCCGCTTTGAACAAGACCAGCCGGACCAGTCCTCTGCGCCGTCCAGACACACGGCGTGCGGTGGAACGAGTCCGCATACTCAGGGCTGGTATTCCACAGATCGTACGCTTCTTTGCCCAGCTGCGCGTATACGGGATCTCCGTAGTCAAAGCGGATTACACGAGAGATATCGTTGCTTGACCCGTCGGGCACAGGAGGCATGTGTCTGTCCAGCACTGTGATGGCTGTGAAGCCATCATGTGCGAGATTGAGGGCGGTGGAGAGGCCGAAGACGCCTGCGCCAACAATGACAATGCGTTGATTCTTGTCCATGGTGTGTAGATTCGATAGTAGGATGGAATTCTTTGCCAGGGACTATGATACTATTATGACTTGTGGTCTTCTCATTGGAGGTGGGGGAGCTTCGATAGCCGGATCGGGCACAAAGCCGAACCGGCTTGGCACGGCTGGTGAGCCGGGCCCACAGGAGCTATAGCTGCACAGCTGGACAGCTGTAGCCGGGAGGGATTGGACACTTTGTATGGAGCACGGGGTTATGCTTATCTGGGTGGTGGGGTTGCGTAGGATATCCCTGCGCAGTGAGTTGGCATACTCCGTTTGTAGATCATTTGGTCCGGTTCGTTCTGAGACGATCATCGATTGTCAGTGCTGGTTAGCGGAAACGTCGCGGGATCATACGACTAGGGTAGGAATAGTAAATTTCTCAATCAGGTTTTAATTTGTTTCCTAAAATAACAGGATAATATTACAGAAGCAAAGTTGTATACATTCTAGCTATCATGGTATCGGAGAAGATATGGCATGGTTCAGCCTACAGGGGAGTAACATACACCATACTAAGTAAGGTAGGAACATGAATCTACCGGGTCCATGGAAAAGAGAGCAAATACTAGTCCATGGGGGAGTGTTTACTTTGTCGCACTGGTGGGCTACGATTAGTGACATCCGCTGTCCAACGTCCATCATGCCACTCGTGACAAAGGATAGCATGCCTTTTTCTGGCAAGGTCAGTCAACAAGCTTTACGTCCGTCCGAGGTCTGGACTCTCAGACAACGATTACCGTCTCAATAATGTTCGCACCGCAATAATTACCATTTACCAGCTGCCGCACCGGTAGTCAACCGGCCTCGGTGGAGCTCAACCGTGTCCGGCGCCACCGTTTCACATCGTCCACTCCCGAGAAGCGTATGCCCATAGTGTTCCAATCTGCTTGCCCGTGTGGCAACTATGTGAGAGCATCATGATGGTATCACAAGACTCCGGCAGGTAGGTTGAATCCTCCGTCTCGGTCCTCTGACGCTTATCATTCCTTCCGTTCCTGCGGCTCTCCAACCGGCTCCGCTTATCGAGTGTCTGGAGACGAGATAATGGAGTATGTAGGTAGCGTTCCGTGGATGCGACTGCTATATATAAGTCTGTTCATCTTCGATTAAGGAATCCTTCCCAGTAAGCAAGCTCATCTTTTGTCATACAACTAAGGAAGAAAACGTCTACTCTATCCATACACCAAAATGGGCTCCTTGTGGAACTATCTTGGCCTTGGCTCCACCTCCGCCACTGACGAGAAGAATGCCATGCGCGCTTTGCCGTCCTCATGGTACACATCTCAGGAGATGTTCGAGCTAGAGCGCCGGGCGATCTTCTCCCGCAAGTGGCTGCTGACCACCCACAAACTACGTCTCCCCAACCCCGGGGACTGGCTCCGCTACGAGGTCTCCGGCTTTCAATTTGTTATCGTCAAGGACCGCGACGGAAACATCAACGCCTTCCACAATGTCTGCCGCCACCGTGCATTCCCCGTTGTCACCGAGGAGAAGGGAACATCCCGCATCTTCGCCTGCAAGTACCACGGATGGTCGTATGGGCTAAACGGCAAGCTGGCCAAGGCGCCGGGCTATCAGGACCTCAACGGCTTCGACAAGAGCAAGAACGGCCTCCTGCCGATCCACGTGCATATCGACACCAACGGGTTCATCTGGGTCAACCTTGACGCCGGCGAGAAACCCGAGGTCGCCTGGGAGGATGACTTTAAGGGAATGGACCTGCTGCCCCGATATGAGCACGTCAAGTGGGACGAGTACACCTTTGACCATACTTGGGAGCAGGAGGGCGACTATAACTGGAAGATTCTGGCGGACAACTACAACGAGTGCTATCACTGCGCAACAACGCATCCCGATATTCCATCCATTGCGGATCTGAGCGCCTACTGCGTCCAGACCAGGGACGGCGGCATCATCCACGATGGGCGCAGCAAGCCGGAGCAGGTTGCAGCCGGATTGAATCCCGCCAGCACATATTTCTTCCCAAATGCCTCCATAACCGTCTCGTAAGTCGTATCCTCTCGCCTATCAACCATAACCAACTAACCAGGTAAAGCCCCCACTTCTTCTTCATGCAGCGCTTCGTCCCCTTCTCGCCCACCCGATCCATCATGAAGTACGAAGTCTACCGCAACAAGAACTCCTCCGATGAAGACTTCGAGACAATCAACCAGATCTACAAGCGCATCATGTCCGAGGACAAGTACCTCTGCGACCTGACCCAGAAGAACCTGAACGCCGGCGTCTTCGTCAACGGCGAGCTGCACCCCGAAATGGAAAAGGGACCCCTCTACTTCCAGAAGGTGGTCCGCGATCTCGTGGTGGAGCACTACGAGCGCGAGCAAAAGGCCAAGCAGGAGATCTGGCCGGCGAGACAGAACCTGCCGAAGACTGCGACTGTCAGCGAGAAGGATATTTCGTTTTGCTCGAGTTTGAGCTGCCAGGCGACTGAGTGTGTGCAGCCGCCTGCGACTATTGCGTGGTGATTTTTTCCTTTCTTTCTTTCTTGCATTTGGCGTGCTTAGTCTGGTAATAAGATTGTTTAGATATGAGTAATGAAGTTCTACTTTTAATGTACTATCTATCACCTCTTTCCTATCGAAATGTGATGACGATCCTACGATCAATCACTTCCCAATCCCGTCCCCTTCGATTGGACGCTGTACTGACCTGATCACAACCCGAAGGCACACGCCGGAGCTAAGCTCAGAGAGATGATGTATGGGTTGATACTAGACGTAATATCCAGAACTCATTGAAGAATACCAAGGTCACTCGAGCGATCTTATCCTAAGAGCGTGGGGCGTTGGTCCGGGAGTATTGCGGTAGGTTGCCGCGGAGTGAAGGCTGTTATCGACCCGGCGGCGCGGGGGAAGGGGGGTTATACCAAGTATTAGGTAGGAACATTATGTTTTCAGATTCTCCTGGTATCCTCGTACAGAAGCATATCTTACATTTATTTGTAGGGGTGTGGACGGTGTGGTGGACAGAGAAATATGTTCTCGACTTGAATAATAAAGTTTTCCCAGAGGACTGTACATACAGCCACAACAATAGGAAAACAAATAGCTAAGATACTTACTAGTAAGGAGGCACCACACTAGCGGTACTGCATATTCAATATGTCCAAGTTTAGTACTATTCAATATCCTGCAATATAAGCATTTAATCGAAAACACTATACGAGCATGTGTACAATGATGTTTCATATTTGGGGACATTGGGATAGTGGCTTTTAGTAATACCAGGGATACATGATACATCCAAGCAAACAAGCTGAAGAGAGGGGAGTGCGGGGCCGGCATCTCTTAGCGAACTTCGGAGATAGTCATCTTGTGTCCTTCTGATTGGTGTATCCCGTAGATAGCATTCTCATGGCATGATCCGCCGTCCAATAGGCCATTGCTCCGTGCTATCTTGCCACTGTTAGGGCGGATTGTGGAAGATCTAGCCCGACGTGGACAACACTTCCCCGGTACAGAGGCTAACAGAGTAGCTTTTCCAGGATTTATGTTATCTAACTTAGTGACGGCTGTCTCACCAGGGCGATATCACGAGGCCAATCATGCTGCTCTGCAGGGGTCAATGCTCGACTTCCCCGCGAGATTGTCGTCCCCTACTTGGACGGTTGATCTCGCTCCTCAGCGAGCCTTGAATGTTGTCATCATCATCATCTTTTATTGCTCAAATATTTGGTGCATATAGTTTTACGAGCTCGTCTTGATTTTATTTAAGCTCATTTGGATTTAATCAATCCGTGTCTATTAATAAAATAATGACCCCGGCAGAAGGCACTCGGCGAAGACTTCGTTCCAACCACGCGTGTCTGAATTGCAGGTTGGCTTTAGCACCTCGCTAATATTCTCTACGATCAAGACTGAATGTAAAAAAAGGAGAAAGAAATCTCGATGTCCCGGAGAGAAACCGGCGTGCTCGTGCTGTGTACGGCTTAACCAGTCGTGTTTCTACCCACCCGTGTCCAAGCCAGGATCAATAGGTGGCCAATCTGTACGCATGCTCTAGTTTCACATGAATCGCGCTAACGAGATCCAGAAGGACCGCCTCGCCGAGCTTGAAGAAAAAGTAAACCTCATCCTAAAAGGAAGCATGTATGTATCGCCCGAATTTAGCGCCGACCAATTGCTCACGCTGGGCGCAGACCAACCCGAGGGAGGGAATCAGTCCTCGAAGATGCCAAAGAGCTCACAGACGCGAGATTCACACAAAGCAGCCAGCCTCGCGATCGTCGCGACTCGAGCTACAGCGACCCGTCTCCCTCCAATTTCGCTTTTGATGATACCAGTCCCCAGCCTTCCTCCTTGGCCGTTGCCCGAGCGGTCGATTTGTACATGAAGTATTGCCACCGACAGCCCGTCTGGTGCTTTGATTTTGAACAACATGGGGATGTGGAATCCTTACCGGAAGAGCTCATCTGCAGTATCATTGCGCTGACGGCGCGGTTCTTGCACGAGGGGGAGCACGGGCAGCACCATGCGGATACGGCAAAGAGTTTGATTATGCTGCGGATTGCGAACGGGACAGTGGAGTTGAGTACGATTGAGGCTTTGTGTTTGCTGGCGTATTCTTCTTTTATTGGTAGGTGTTCGGGAACTCACCTCAGCCACAACTTGCGAGGTACTGATTGAAAATTAGATGGCGATATGCGCCTTGGTCGATTTCACCTCGGACTGGCATTTCAGCTCTGTCGGTCTGCTCTGCTCGACACAGAGTCCGCATACACTCCTGGAGACCCTCATGCGGAGCGTAAGAAGAGGTTATTTTGGAGTCTACAGCTATTGGAACAGTCGTATGGCCGCCAGACCGGACTACTGAGCATTCCCTTGGAGACCTGGCGTCCGGTGGACTACTTCTTAGGCAACGGCAGAGAGCCGCAAAGAGATACTGAGAAGCCTCCCCCATTGCCGCGAGACACGATCGGCTGCGCTGCGCCGGACGACACTGGCATCTGGAGCATGACGATCCACTTTGGCTGGGTCTGGAGCAAAGTACGCACATATGTTTCTGATTGTGCAAACAATCGACTACGCGAGCCCTGGCGCCACGAGTCAATGTATTCCATGGTTCTTTCCGACCTGACAGAGATCGAGAACCAAACACCACTCTGCCATCGATACGACCATGTGCGGTTCTATGATCGACAGCCGGACGAAGTGATCGTCAACCGTGCGTACTGGGTCCCCTGGCTCAAACTACAGTTCATGTACCATGCCATTCTCACGGTCCTCAACCATCCCTTCCTGTATATCATGGCCTCGCGGCATAACCCCAACCTGGCCATCCCGAATAGTTTCTGGCGCCGCTCGTCGGAGCTGGTGCTTCTGCATGCGACGTGGATCGTGCGTATGATTGACATGCTATCGGACAAGGACGTACGGCTTACCGATCCCTTCTTTGCGCATGTGGCTGCGATCGCTGCGACGGTGCAGCTGTATTACTGCTGTGCTGGAGACCCACGACTAAAGTACAAGTCCCGTGCGGATCTAGCCCGCTGCAGGGTGTTTCTGAGGTCGTTTGTACCATTTTCCCGGGCGTGTGCATCATTGGTATGTTTCCCCGTCTCCAGGTGACACGAGTCAAAACTGACCAGGACAGAACCGATCACTCGATCGCATGACCCGGATTGCAGCCGGCACAGAGAACGTAGACTACGACAGCTGGGTGCCGTCCAAGATCCATCTGAACATCCCCTTGATGTGGGATATCCTCCAGTTCACCTGCAGCGACGATTCATATCCCGCCGTCCCGTCCGGAAGCCTCTTGCATTCCTCCCTCAGTGCTTCTGCAACCAGAAACGATGCTGAGGAGAGCTCTACACTCGAAATCATCGTGACCACGTCACCTGAAGTAACCGTCAACACTGCAGACGGCGGCCAGGGCGTCCCTATGCCTTTGTATCGGGCCCCGAAATCGTCAAAGGACAGCGACACGAGCCCAGCTACCGCTCCACGGTCTATGCCTCCTTCAGACGCAGTGGTAGCTCCGATCGACAGCCTCATGCTCAACACGCCCTGGCTTTGGGCTGATCCGGCGCCATTTGGAGACGTGGACGACCTCGACTATAGCACGTCCGCTCCGGCGGTAGGTGACATTGAAGGTTCAGCGTGGTGGAATCTGGGAAATTTATAACCTGCATACAAGCGCCAAGCGTTATGAAGTTGTGATTGATCACATCACTCCATGGATCCTCCAGACTGTGCACTGCTTATATTCTAGGACTAGGACTAATGAGCCTGCCGATACGCGACTTACAGCCTGGCATCAGCCACGAACGCAGCACTGAACCACCTCCCGTGCGATATGAATTAATCGTTCCGCAGCACAGAGCAATGCAAGAAGAAGAAGTCCTACCAGCCGATACCACGAATGCAACATTTAACCCTGATCATACCCCAAAGCAACTGCCTCTGCCCCTGGATAGCCAAAGCAATTCATGAGTCCCCATCGTTTACAATGAGCCCCAACGCAGATTGTATAGGCTAAGGTTCGATATAGGATCAAGCACTTGCCGTTGTACAACGCCGATTGTCCTTATCGAGTCAGCTCATTGTTCCGTTCTGCGACCCATGACTCCGAAGCCGAAAGCAACGCCATATCGATCATAATGTCGTCGAAAAGTGATAAGGCCAGGTGTGTGGGAAAGCAACACACATCATTGTATAAGCACTCCTGCTGGCATTTCCTCGTCGTGGATATTGAAGTGGACTAGAAGAACTGCAGGTGCCAGCTGTTGGTGGAACAAAGATTAGCGTAGATGAACCAGTAAAATGCGAGATATAAGCAGAGGAATGCCATTCCCGAAGCGGCAAACTTTTCCCCTCACAACCCCACATGAACACGTTTCGATGACGAAAGGAATTAGATAGCACACGGGAGAGACTACTTTTACCCCTCTGGTCTGGAATCCCGGCTTCCGTTCCATGGCCGATCATCTGGTCGGTTGGTACGGTTGCCTTTGCCGCATCCCACAGGTTCGTCCATCATCACCACCACACTACACGAAGTTGGTTATCTCGTTGCGGGGTAGTCATAATGAATATACTACATCATGTATATACAAGTATCACCATGAGAGTCAAGAGGTAGTTCCTCAATGCAAACATGGCACCCCCACCACACATCGTCATCATCGGAGCTGGTATTGTCGGCGCAAACCTCGCCGATGAGCTGGTCTCCCGAGGATGGGCCAACATCACCGTCGTCGAGCAGGGCCCGCTGCAGATGCCCGGTGGCTCGACGTCGCATGCGCCAGGACTAGTCTTTCAAACCAACCCGTCCAAGACGATGACCCGGTTTGCACAGTACACCGTTGAGAAATTGCTTTCGCTCGAGAAAGACGGGCAGAACTGCTTCAACCAGGTCGGTGGCTTGGAGATCGCCACCACAACGGAGAGACTTGAGGAGCTCACGCGGAAGCATGGCTATGCGTCCGCGTGGGGAATAGAGGCGCGGCTCGTTAGTGCAGCTGAATGCGTGAATATGTATCCACTTCTGAACAAGGACATTGTGCTTGGGGGGTTGCATATTCCCAGCGACGGGCTGGCGCTCGCAGCGCGGGCGACACAACTGCTGATCGAACGGACACGTCATGCAGGCGTCCGCTACCTAGAAATGACGCCCGTCACGGGTATCCAAAAGACAGGGACCTGCGTCACCGGCGTGATAACCTCCGCAGGAGTCATCAAGGCAGATATCGTTGTCTCCTGCGCAGGGTTTTGGGGCGTCGAGGTGGGCGCCATGGCCGGCGTGCCAATCCCCCTCCTCCCTCTAGCGCACCAGTACGCCAAAACCACTCCCGTCCCGGCCCTAGCAGGCCGCGAGATCAACAACCGCCCCAACGGACTGAACGCCGCGCTCCCCATCCTCCGCCACCAGGACCACGACCTCTACTACCGCGAGCATGGCGACGCCTACGGCATCGGCTACTACGGCCACCGGCCCATGCCCATCGAGGCGGCCTCGCTAGGCCAGACCCCGCACCACGTCGACGAGAAAACCATGCCGTCCCGCCTGGACTTTACCGCTGAGGACTTCGCGCCCGCCTGGACCGAAACGCAGCGACTCCTCCCCGCGCTGCAAACATGCCAGCTCGCCGACGGCTTCAACGGCGTCTTCTCATTCACGCCCGATGGCGGGCCCCTGGTCGGCCCGCCCCGACACTGGACAACTTCTACGTCGCCGAAGCAGTCTGGGTAACGCATTCGGCGGGCGTCGCGCGCGCAATGGCCGAGTTGCTGGTAGAGGGCTCATCTCGCATCGACCTATCCGAGTGCGAGCTCTCCCGCTTCGAGGACGTGCAGCTCAGTCGTGAATACGTGGCTGAAACTTCCTCGAGGAATTTCATCGAGATCTACGATATCCTGCACCCGCTGCAGCCGCGTGAGTCACCGCGGGAGCTCCGTGTGAGTCCGTTCAACGCGCGGGAGAAGGAGCTTGGCGCGTTCTTCCTTGAGCTCGGTGGGTGGGAGAGACCGTTTTGGTATGCGGCGAACGAAAAGCTCGTAAGGTTTCTTCCGGGGAATGGCGGCCCGTGGAGAGGGATGCCTGGTCGGGGAGGTATTACTCGCCTGTTGTGGCTGTTGAGGCGTGGAAGACGCGGAATGCGGTCGCGATGTATGATATGACTTCTTTTCATCGGTTTGAGGTGTCTGGACCGGGGGGAGGGAGTTGTTGTGCCGGTTGATGGCGGGTGGTGTTCCGGGCGTGGGACAGATCGCTTATACGCTCCTTCTGAACGAACGGGGTGGCATCCGCAGTGATATTTTTGTGACGAGACTTGGAGAGCAAATGTTCCAGATTGGCGCCAACAGCGCGACCGACTTTGCGTATCTCTCCCGTGAAGCCCGGCGGCAGTCTCAGCAACTTCCAGCGCGGTCGGTTCAGGTTCGCGAGGTGACGGGGCATACCTGCTGTCTTGGGCTTTGGGGCCCTCGTGCCCACGATGTCATTCGCACACTAACGACTGATGACCTTTCCCACGCCGGACTGCCATATATGCATGCTAGGCGCACCACCGTCGCTGGTCTCCCTGTGACAGTCCTCCGCAAGTCCTACGTCGGCGAGAGCGGGTGGGAAATCCAGACGAGCGCAGAGTACGGGCTTCGCCTGTGGGATGCCATATGGGCTGCTGGCCAACCCCACGGTCTTATTGCCGCGGGACGAGCGGCACTCAACGCTTTGCGTCTGGAGAAAGGGTACAGGACCTGGGGGGTGGATATGAACAGCGAGCATGACCCGTTCGAAGCGGGGGTAGCTTCAGCGGTGCAGGTTGATAAACAAGGTAACTATGTGGGTAAGGCTGCGGTGCAGCGACTTGCAAGGACACAGCCGGCCCGTCGTCTGCGGTGTTTGACCATCGACGATGGACGGTCGATGGTGATGGGTAAGGAGCCTGTGTTTTGGAAGAACAAGGCTGTGGGGTACATCACCACTGCTGCGTTTGGGTATACGATTCGCAAACCCATTGCCTATGCCTGGCTTCCTGCATCGATTCAACAGGGTCAAAGGGTAGAGGTGGAATATTTCGGGAGGAGGATAAGGGCGACGGTTACAATGGAGCCGGTTTATGACCCTAATGACCGGGCGCTTCTGGCAGGAGAGACGGTGGTTAAGCCTGTGCTGAAGCCGTTAAGGCATCTTCTATAGGCATATATGTTGCATATAATCCGGTTTTACTTAACGAAATTATGGTTCATCTACTTATCAAGCTTTGCTATTTTTCGCTTGACCCAGGAGACAGAATGTCCAACGCGATTTATCCACACCCAGTCATATTACTCGTATCACTCGCACTAGATTTACTCTCATCTACACCGCCCATCCATGGATAAAGGACATCTTGAGACCTAACGAATCCTCGGCCCCCTTTTTCCCGAGCCCAGCGACTATGGTCACCAGATTGGTGGGATTTGCGAATCCCCGCCGCAATACGGCCTCGAGATCGATTAGCGAGCCTCGCGATCATAATAATACCGAGATGATCCTGTGGGGAATTGCGGTTGAGTTACCCCGGACTCTGCAGAAGCACTTAGTTAACTATGACGCCCTAGGGACCCCGCGCCGAGCAACACCCAATAGGCAGGAACCAAGACCCCGTCGGTGGAAGACATCTTCACAATAGATCCATCCCTCCGGGCCAAGGGAACTCATGCAGGATCAATGGAGATACTGCATACTGTGTGAGGGGTGGTCATTGCGCAGATAGAATAACCTGTATATATATCCTCGGCCTTAGACTGAGAATTTCGTCGGAGACAAACAGTACTGACGGTACATTCCCAGGATATCGAAATTCAAGCAAGAAAGTGACGAACATGAAAAGCCTCAACTCCCTTTTCTGCGCCTCCACATTAATGGCAGGCCTAGCATCCATGACCACCGCGGCACCAACTACCCGGCCCAGCGCCAGATCCTCCTCTGTTCCGATAGTACAACAATGCCATATGGCGCGACTAGTCTAATCCAGGGGTAGCTCCCCCTTTCAACGAGACAAAAACCGTACTGACTCTATAGATGGGGCTACTACATGCACAACTTCTTCGACCTGAACATCACCAACCTCGCGCGCGGAGGGCGCAGCACCCGCTCCTTCATAAACGAAGGACTCTGGGCTTCTCTACTTGATCGCATCGTCCCCGGCGAAGGCACATTCGTCCTCATTGAGATGGGGCACAACGATAACGGGGATCCGAGGACCGACGCGAAGAATCGAGCTACGCTTCCTGGTATCGGGCCCGAGAGCGTCGTTGTGGCTAGTAATGCTACAGGCGGCACGACGGAAAGAGTATACACGTTTGGCCATTATCTCCGGAGAATGATCCGGGATGTAAGGCAGGCTGGTGGTGTTCCGTTGCTGAGTGGAATGGTACCCGTTATGTCGTGGACGGGGGATGTCCTGCGACAGGATTGGGCTTTTGCGGATTATGCGCGTGAGGTATGTGAAGCCGAGCGTGCACAGTGTGGTGAACTAAGCGAGTACAGGTGGCCGAGGAGGAAGGCGTGGAGTATATCGATCACACGAAATATGCGGTCAATCGCTGGCAGGCTTTCGGGTCGCTCAATGCTACCATGCCGTATTACCCGCTGAACGATTATACGCATACAAGCTGGACGGGAGCTGAGAGTAAGTCTTGTGCTGAAATGAAGAGGAACTGCTGACACTCGTATAGTCAACGCGGAAGCTCTGGTGACAGCTGTTAAGTGCGGCCATTCCCACTGGTGGAAGTCGCAATTGGCCTGGTATCTGAATCGCAATGCAAGCAAGATTGACTACTCTTGCTAGTTTACGATCTGATATTTCTTTCTAGCGGATATGAGGGTTGTGGTGTACCTGATCTGGTTGGCGCAAGTACTAATGTCAATATCGATTTCTATTGGGGGCTCTGGCTGGAAGGGAAACATCTACTGTTCCCACGATACTATTCTCGTTTGGCTAGTCTTCAGTCAAGCAGGGGTGTACCCCATCTTTGCCATGTTAATCTGCGCTATGGTGCGCAGCTTATCAATGCCCAGAGGAAGAATATCCCCTGGACTCGTGCCAGGTCTGGCTGACCGGCCAAAAATCATCCGCCGCGTCAGGGTTATGGCCTGATTACCAGGCTGGATGCCCGGTGGGACCGGGAAGATTTGCTGCTTTCGTCGTTAGCTATCTAGAACACGATGATGATTAATAAAGAAGATAGCCCGCACCTCGCGTTGCTGGAGCCGTGGCATGCCACTTCTGTCTAGTGTGTAGAGCTCCACGACACCGCGGACACGGCGGGTTGTGCGGTTGGGGGTCCAGTGTATAATGATGGCAGCTTGGACAGCGCCATTTCCTCCGACGAGCCATTCTCCTGCATCTTCTCGCAGTTTATTGAGGGATTCGCTCCACCCACTCTCAGCGACAATTCTGGGCATGATGGCGTTTGGCACGTTGATTGCTACATTGGGTGCCTTGTGGATGCCAACAAATGGCCCGTCAGGGAATTCATAAACTCCTAGCAATTAGAACTGCATGAGATGGAATGAACGGAGGTGCATTGCTTTACTGGTATTTGCTGTGGTATGCAGCATGTCGGACTCGTTCTGAGTGAGTTGCCCGGAGACAAGCCATTGAGTCTCGCTTTGGTGGCACCAAACCTGGTCGACATTGTGCAGAAGTGACGCCATTGCTACAACTCGGAGGATTAGAGTAGAGGTGTTATAACTCTTGCTAATGAAGAGAAATAAGTTATTCGCTTTATCGTTCTTGTATGCTGCTACATTGACGATACTCTCTTACCAGAAGGCACCTCTTGCCCGCTCAAGTGCATCCCCCACATTCGCCATCCAGGAAGGAGCGATGTTGTCGTAAACAAGCTCGGCATAGATGGCATCTTTCGTTGCTCTCGCCTCGCAGATCTTCTCTACTAAGTGATTGTGGAAAGACTGTTCGTCTGTCAATTCCGAGCCAGAATACCGAAGAATCAAAGACTCGGGGCTTGACATCTTTCCAAAAGGCTGGCGCAGGACTCTGGCCGGAGGACAAATTTGCTAAAAGTGGAAATTATGTGAATGGTGTCTCTGATAAGCATTAAATATGATGTAGACATGATAATGCTGTCATGCTTCGAGAACCATGGAAGCTATCATTTACCGAATAGGGCCAAGATGTTTCTTGCATCTCTAGGACCTACTCATGTTGGTTCCTCAGTTACATGCCGAATAATCTTCATCTACAAGAAATAACGAGTCCAACTATAGAAGTTCCAAGAACTATGCCAATTTTCCAAGATATTTCCATGCAAGGTAACCAGACACACCCAACGTAGGCACCAGTAGCGTCCCCAACCTGAGCATAGCGGCTCTGGTTCTCTCCTTAAAGTAACCCTCCGCCATGGCCTTGAAATTATCCACGTCGTTGCCGCGCGGATATTTCTCTTCTGGAATGGGAACATCCAGGAACGGGCAAATCTGCTCCCATCCCAGCCCATCTTCAAGCTTGACCACCAGCAGACGCTCTTTGGGAACCGTATTTTTGACAGCCTTGATGCTGTAGTCCATGTGAGCACTCTCTCACATAGCCATATCTCAGGGCCGCTTACTACTCAACATAGTTCCTCCTGAGAGCAGCCTCATTACCCGGCTGGCCCGGCTTTGTACCGTCAGCAATGACAGCGTACAGGGTGATGTTGAGAGCCAGAAAGATCCCTAATTCCTCGTCGAAATACTTGAGAATATTCAATGGAAACGAAGCCGCCGCCTTGACGATAAAGCCCACCGTGCCGTTGACCGACTTGACCCACCGGTCGGGGTCCCGCTCCGTCAGGATGAACTTGACCTCGGGATCCTGTGTGTACTCGTCAAGGAGGGCTGGGCCAAGGAAACTCGGGATCTCAATAAGACACTGTAGTATGGTAAGTACGCAGAACGCAATCGGGTATGTGGACATGTACATCATAGTCGGCAGTCAACTTGTCCAAATCAGCCTTGTCGAACCGTTTGATGCCTGATAACCGATTGTGCTGCGCGGTTGCGGCCTCTCGGAGGGCTACCATGCCTTGTTTGCCCTGCACTAGTACCACCTCGTACATGTGGTAGGGCTTGTAGCCTAGTATCTTCATGGCAAAGTAGAGGCCGAGCGTCCCAGTTCTGGATGTGGATCAGCGACATGTTATTGTACACGCAAGGAATTGCTTACCGGCTACAGCTGGCGACGATGACCTTGGTCTTTTTCTTCTCCACTGGCGTAGCCAGGTTGTCGATTGCTCGTGACATGATGCTGGTTGTTGCTGTGGAAGCTACAGCAGTTGAATACAGTCTATTAAAACGAGGTCCCAGCTTCTTATAGAAATTGTCGTCTGGTATCGAACTTTGCTTACCTTTTCAAAGTATGTGCTGGCCGCCTCATGTCCGTGCGACAACAAATGAGCAGTAAGCACTAGGTTAACTACGTGTCGGCTGCACAAAGAATAAGTTTCGAATCAGACACCCCACGGCTTCCTGGCTGAGATCAATTGGACTAGTGCTGACTGCTGATCACTCTGTCGCTCCACCGTTGAGGCTGAAGCTGAACCATTGGGACGACTCGGCTGTGTCACTGGTTGATTTGCCAGCCATGCTTATTTTACTTCCCTAGGCGACACGGTAGATTTTGCGCTGGCCGTGGCTACGCTCGTATACAGTACTTAGTAGGTATCCCGAAATAAGAGTGGGAGATTCGACCCAAGAGACATCCTTTAGGCAGCGACCATCATAAACCCTAAATGTAGAAAACGCCAATAACAAGGATTTCTTCATGTCATATTCAACATAATTAGGTATGTTCACACGTACAGGCCCGACTTAGTGACTAGCTATTCCATCTGAAAGTCAATAATATCAACATGCAGTCCAGGCGGCACTTCCACATTCTGCAGTTCCTCGATCTTTACATTATCTGGTGCCTCGACGCTGCAGAAACTGTATCAGCTTCTCCTGCCCAGGGACTCCAATAGGAACGGAACCTACGATAGAAAATGTACAGGTGGAGTGGTCAATGTGGAATCGAAAACATCCGGGAACTTGAGGTTGCGATCGTGGTATATCTCGCGAAGACTGCAATCCGGATTAGCTACTGCACTGCACGGTTGCTAGGATTCATACTTCTCGGCCAACTTCTTGCCGTCGCCGTAGTAGCCGTGCGCGAGCTCGTTGTCGAAATGGACATCAAAGGTCTGTAGCCAGTAAGAGCGGCACAACGCCTCGGGCCCCGACGGGGAGGCCTACCAAGTCCTTTGTCATTTTGCGATATGTACAGAAGCGTTCAATATAGATATAATGTACAGTTTGTTGCTTTCACCACTTACTTGATAGAAAAGGATAACAGCTAGTTATATGGATGATGGTGGTGGCACAAATGCGGACTGTTTGAGTTTGTGGATGACGTCGGCGATGATGCGCTCCAGTTTTTGCTTTATCATATGACAATTATATACTATGACAATGTTTTCTCCATCACTTTTCAATTGAATTATTGTCTTGTATAGCTGCAGGATCGCAAAGATTGTCACCTACATTTGTTGAAGATTGCAGCATGTCGCCGGGGCACGTCCTATCTAGTAATAAAGGTGGCGCTGGCTGGAAACTGATCTTTACATATCATGAACACAAGGGGAGTGATGCATCTCATTGGCTTGCCTTTAATCCTAATCCGGTGGACTACGCTTCCTTGACCATGAATCTGATGATAGAGTAATAGATGATGAACATGCGTCTTATGTACTGTATATAATGAAGCGGAGGGTGACTTAGTAATAGTGTCTCGGCCAGGCATATGGAATAAGACCGAGATTTAGCACCTAGTTCATACTAGCAGCAAATTAATGGAAGGCTGAACGTGTGCTGTATCAGAAAATAAACTGTAACTGTGTTTTGAGCTGGATGATACCTTCAAGGTGTCTGTCAATGAGACTGCTCACAGCGCGACCTTATGAAGCGCTTAAGAAACTGGCATTGACTGGACAGCTATAAGGAGGCAGATCGCGTGTAGAAAGATCTCTTTTGTCTGCCTTAGGAGAAGCTTACTGCCTCTATCCCTTCTTTATGGAAACTGATATAACAGGAACCTCATCAGTAACCAACAGAATGCTTCGTGAACATTATGATTAGATTAACACTGAAAACTGCTCTAGACAACATTTAGTTTAGCAAGATGCATATGGAAAATGTGATGTCCAGGACTACCATGCCAGCATGAGGGTCAGTACTATTACCAGGATTTGCTAGGGGAAAAGCATTACAGACTCAGGAAACACTATCTAAAAACCATTATTAGATATACGGAGCAAAGCAGTAGCTTAAGACATCTATAACAATGTTCCCAACAATGTACGCTAATTTCATGCATGCTGGCTCAAGCATTCCGGAAGCGGGATTGCCAAATCTTTAACAATTGATAAATTTACGAAGGATGTTTCTTGTGTCCTTGTTTGTGCCCGGACTAGTTCTCCGTATCATGTATCAATGATCAGTGCCTTTGATAATGCTACAGTAAAAGACATGTCCAAAGTGGTGTACATGCTTTATCTCCATTTAGACACGTGTATCCGAGTCTGAACACAGCCCTGAGGCATTATTCAGGAGTCAATTTGTTCCCAGTTCTGTATCCACTCGCTTTCGATTGTCACAAAGACAAAGACAGTTTTTACAATGGTGGTCGAGACGATATCGTCCTCTCTCAATCCAATTACGAATCAACTGCTGCAGCAAAGCTGCATCGAGAGCAACGTACTTGATATCTGGTCGGGTCTTGCAACGCGCGTGTCGTGTTCGTTGGATCGTAGACGGGAATGTCTTTGCTCGTCTGCAGCCGGCTCAGGCCTTCATAAACGGATTCATCGAGCAATGGCATCACCGCTCCAGCGCATTCCCGGACAAGTCAGTATGTTGAAAAGCGGCCTGCTTGGTTGTGACACCGCAATAGTCCTCCTCCTATTGCAGACATACACGATAATTCAGTGAGCCCACTCCATTGGCATGCAATTGCTGCCTCAGTAGACCGACCTGCATTGACAATTTCTTTCTAGTCGACCGGTTTGTTCTTCTCTCATGCCACTGTTGATCCGGTTGCTATACGTAAATTTCACGCCGCCGTCGAAGGAAGAAATCCATTTGTCGAGGCTGTGTCACCAGTATCAAGCCGGTAACTTCCGGGTAGAAATTTTGGAGCTTGTACTGTTACGGGTCTTATCACTAGATTTGAAAATTCTAACTGACGTGACACACTGAAAATGGTATGTAGTACGCGCATGTTCGAAACCGAGTGCTAAGAACCCGGCGCAAGATTGTATATCTTCTTGATATCCCGCAACGTCTCTTCAAAATCAATCTCCAGGTCCCTAAGAAGACCAGTCTCCACATCGAATATCCAGCCATGAACAACGGGGAACTGCCGCTCATGAAAGCTCTGCTGCACCGCAGCCGTCTTGATCACATTTCTACAGGACTCGATGACATTCAACTCCACAAGACGCTTGTATCGAGCAGTTGCATCTTGAATCCCATCTAACTCCCGCTCGTGCAGACGGTACACATCGCGCACGTTCCGAAGCCAGGGGTTCAGGAGCCCCAGGTCGGAGGGTGTCAGCGCGGCTTTGACACCACCGCAGTGGTAGTGGCCGCAGACGACAATGTGCTTGACCCGTAGATGTCGGACGGCGTAATTAATGACCGACATCACGTTAAGGTCAGTGTTGGGGACCAGATTCGCGATGTTCCGGTGGACGAAGACCTCCCCGGCTTCGAGACCCATGATCTCGTTGGCTGGGACGCGACTGTCACTGCAGCCGATGTACCTGGTCTTTTCAGTATTTGTGAGATGTATGCGGTGTTGTGTTTCTTACAGATATTCCGGGGTCTGTCCTGCAGAAAGCTTCTCGAAAAAAGCGGGGTCTTCTTTCATTTTCGTCGCGACCCAGGCGCGATTGTTCTCGAAGATACGCTCATGCGACTGTTTGAGATACTGGGGGACAGAGTCCCCTTTTTGGTTTGGAGACTCCATAAAGGACCGATGTGAGAAAGAATAATGTTCCAGATGAATGTTGGAGGAAGTACACTACGAATATTCGTGGGTCGGAGGATGGCCTGATTGATGCGGAAATGGTGGGGCGTTCAATCGTGGGGCCAGATATGTATGCCTGAGGCATGCTTACTGCCAACTGGCTTAGAAGCTCAAGTGGTGGCATTACTTGAATGAATCTACTCCGGAGTACAGCTACGTGCATTCTTCAACAGTGTATCCACGCGTTCTTGATCTCGTCTTATGTTTTCCTTTTCCAAAAGACGGTCAAATAGCTGATCACCGTCATGCTTCTACTAATTGATAACCTGTTTTCGACGCCTTGTCGTAGACCATGCCCCAGATACTTAGCTGGTCCTTCTGCAAAGCGTCTGCAGCCTCAGCAGATTGGCTTAACGAGTGCACCTGCTCAAGGACATTTAACTCCACCAGCGCGCGGTCGCGTTTGTTTCCTGTTAGACTGTCGAGGGTGTGATGATGAGTCGATCGTAGAGTGTCAAGTATACTTATTTCGTCAGAGTCAATCCCATTGATGAATAGCGGCAAAAGTTACCTGCTCCAAGGTTTCTGCAAACCAGAATTTACTTCTCCATTTGCAATATGACACCCGTAATGTCCACATATCACGATATTCCGGATCTGGCTGGGTTAGTCGCATCATCTCCTAGGGACAACAAACTCACCTTCAACGAGTCCAAAGCATAACGCAAGGTCGTGTTGCAAGAGAGATCATCCACCATCATGTTCCCCAAACTCCTGTATTCGAAGATCTCATCTGAAGGCAAACTCAAGCTCTCCAGTTCATCGCACCCGCTATCCGAGCATCCAATCCATAATACCTGCTGCCCCGGCTGTCCACGCCACGGTACCGAGTCTGAATGCAGCGGTTGGAGTTGATATCTGTCCGGAATTTGTTCACCCATGTTGCGATGGGTAGAAGCGAAGCGATTTGAGGTCGGATTGAATCTTGCAAGAGTAAGACTGCGGAAACTGAAGACCCGGGAACAAGACATAGATGTGTGTTGGATGCGCTCAATTGCGCTGCGTATCGCTGGGCCAGGCCCGATTAAATATGTGTTTATGAGTCGCATTTTCCATAAAAAAGGCCTTTTCAGGAAAGTGGAACAACAAGGGAATAGGTCAATCTCCCGGACCCGACATGCTTTCGGCCGAAGCGGCGATCGCTCGGCTTTTGCTTCGCTTCGTCCGAGAGGGCAAGTAGTTACATGGCTCGGATGATCTAATAGGAGCTAGAATACTGCATGATCTAGGTGTGGATCAAATGAGGCGCTAATATTCTTGCCTTATGTAGAAAACTCGATTAGCAGGGATAAGTACTGGATGGACCATCACGGAAGGGGCAAATATTTGATGGATGTCAGCCAGGATCACATCTTGGCAGAGCCGCTGGACAATTATCTGAGACACCATCCCCTGATGTAGACAATCCGCAAATCCATATCCAACCCATCCAATCCGCAAAATGGGTTAAACATACACAACCCATGTGGATAGCGATATGGATAACCCATTAGGTGCGCACGGCCTAGGGCGGCTTAGAACTGACAAGCCTATCTGGCCGTACGGTCAATCTCCAGGCCTAGATAAGTATTTATTCTTAATATATATGGATGGAGTTTGATCTTGTCTATCTATATATGAATAAAATGTTCAGTTCACTAGGAAACTAGGTGTTGCGCCTACGGTGGATATTCCATTATCCGCAGTTCAACCCACATGGATATGAAGGTGGGTTAGATAGCTGGGGTTCAACCCGTTATCCGCGTGGACGGCGTGGGTGGATTGGGTGGATTGGGTGGATTGGACGTGGATCAACCCATATTCAATCCACAACCAATATACACTCATGATATTAGCAATCCTAGCACAAAGTCTTTGGTTTATGTGTGGGGCCGTGCAAGGATCCAGGGATACTTTTACATGCCTTAGGTAGGCACATGGCTGCAGAACTTGCATAATTAGCTGTTAGATATATTATTGTTTACTGGACAGTAGGCTATTTCCAGAGACTAGAGATCCACAATTTACCAGAATGGGCATTCCCTACCCTTAGCCAAGAAAAGTAAATATGCAATTCCTAAGCGACAGCCTTCTCGGGATGATTAGCGGGAAGAACATCCGCTATGGTCTCATCCGTGCCCGCAAGATCATCCTGGACATCGATGTGATCACGGATCTTGAGGAAGATGACGGGAGCGGCGACAACGAGGGAGGCCGCGAGGAGAACCCAGTTGCTAATGAATTCCTTCTTGTAAGACAGCTTGCGCGCATCAAGGTTGTTGACAATAGCTGCGCCGCAGGACTGAATGCCCTTGTAAAAGCCGACATAGTTGGCCGAGCGACGACCGGAGTTGGAGAGAGCGCCCATCAACCTATTCATTCATTAAATTATCCGCAGTGAAAAAGACCAACTAGCTTTGATGCGAGCATAACATACCAGTAGACGCTAGCTTGCCAAGCAGCGTCGTAGAAGCCATAGAAAATGTACAGAAACATTGGGCCCACATAGCCGGGAGTCTCCCAGTCAGTTGGGACATAATGGGGGTTGAGCTTGGGATTGACACTTTCGCGGGTGTATGTCTTCTCATAGGCGTATCCACCGCCCCAAATGGCAAAGGTGAGTATGAAGAGAACGACCCAGGTGATCTTCGCTCGGACGGAACGGCGAACGGTCTGAATATCGAGAAGATATCCCCAGATGGCAGCTGCAATGATCTGCGCCAGGAAGTACAGAAGACTGTTAAGAGCCTTTGTGCGGGTATCAAAGTGAGCACCATTGACCGAGTTCTGCTGGTAGACGTAGAACCAGTTCGAGGAGAAGAACATGGGGAAAAGGAGGACCACAAATGGCTCAAATCGGAGGGTTTCCCAGAGGCCGAGCAGCTCAGACTGCCAGCTAGGATGCTTCATCAAGATGACACGGCTGCCGTCGGCTCGGATGATGTCGCTAGCGTTGCAGAGACAGAGAGCAAGGAGTGCACCGATAAACATCAAGACAATGAAGCCGATGTAAGTACCGTCGGAGACGGTAATGTTAGTCTTGACATGGATATTTTCGCCGAGGGGAATCTAGTTGCGTATTAGTCAGTCTGTAGAAAATACATCGGGCCAGGAGAGACACAGTACCAAGCTGCCAATAACGGCACCCATGTTGAAGATACCCCAGAACCAAGCAAAATACCTTCCCTTTTGTTCTTCAGTAGGGTACGAGATCATGATGGTACCCTGAGCGGTCCACAAGAGACCGGCGCAAATACCGAGCCAGGTACCAGCGAAGAGATTGAAGCCGGCAACGCTGGCGTGAACCGAGACCAACAAGCTGATGGCGTAGATGCAATATCCGATTCCTCCAAAGGCGAGAGTCCATCTGACACCCAGCTTGTTGATAAAAGTGCCACCAAAGAAGCCAAAGACTGCAAAGGCGCTGTAAAGAGCCGTGTTCTGTTTCAATTGTCAGTGGTAACCTTTACGAATTCCGTAACGTCTGACGCACCATGTTATCTGCCAAAGTAGCGTCCGTCTTTCCACCACCACCTAAGCCACCCAGGGCGTTGAACATTCCAGGACACATGAAACAGACAAAAGCCACCAACAACAGCTGAACGCTAGGCGAGGCATACCAGGGAATGTTGAAGCCAAAAATGCGGTGCTGCCTGTATTTCCATCCTGCTGGTAGATCTGGAGGAGAGTCGATGCTCTCACTATGGTCATGGGGAGTGATTTCCACGGACATGGTGGAGTGTGCACAGGTAATTACTGATGCGGATAATGGGAATCTGAACGACGAGGCCGTAATAAGGGGAAAGCATTCTTAATTTATTTCGTTCTCAGTGTTGATAAGCGACGAAATGAATAGCTTTCCTGTATAGCCACGTGAAAAACCGATACTACACTCCAACCCTTCAAGGTAGTATTCAGTATCGAGTCGAGTGTCTCCATGCTGACAGTTCCCAGATTCTGTCCAATAATACAACCAGGATTACAGGTTCCGAGTCGTGTGTGACTGATAGGAAAGGAGTCGGGTAGCATAGCAGCGTCAGCCTTGCTCCTCGACAACCTGACCCCGCATGGAAGCACTAAGCAATCGTCCAAGCCTCCACTGGTTCCACCCCCGCAACTCTTAGGTTCGAGAACCCATGGCTTCAAGCCAAGTGAAGTGATTTGTTTGAAAAGCTTTGAGGATGGCCACAGGACACTGTAACATTTGTTGGCTGAGCTTGGCCCGCTGAAAGGGACGGTGAAGACAGCTTGGCCAGAGGCGCTAGGCAAGATAAGGTATCGGATAGGAGACCCTAGCGAAATGTAACGCTACCAAAAGTGTAGCACTCTGAGATGTGTTGAAGATAAGAGCTAATGCGGCGTCTTCGCTCTTGTTCTAAGACAATAAGCTGGACAGTGTCATTTTGAAGCTTGCTTACTCTGCTCGACATTATATATCTACTGCCAGTAGACTATACAAACCCGTGTAGTCTGCATGGATGTAACGATACAAGGGACGATGATGTTATCTACATAGTGATACATTAGATATCTTGATCGGAGAGGGATACTGTAAGCCATTGTTGCAACACTGATAAGAACTGGTTATCCACTTGAAAGCTGTTCTTTATGGCTTGGATGGTATGTGGCAACAAATCAGCCTATCACTAAGCCGGTCAGCATAATCATCTGGACCTGAGACACAAGAACTAATTTCTCACTAGGACGACATCTACTGCGGGGAATCTCGCTACTGAACCAATACTTTCATTTACGAAGCAATGAGATATAAATAGCTCCACAAGCTAAAGGGTCAAAGCGAACCATTTTCTGGAATATCCCACTCATAACCAGGGAAGCTGCCCAGTCCAGATTCTGCTCACTTCGCTATAAATATAAATTTGTCTAGGTATCCGCATTGAAGGACACAGGCCACACATCAATTCTCAATACATATGTCAATACATTATCGAAGAGTCATGTAGAGGAGTAGACCGTCCTAGTGCTTAGCCTTGGCCTGATTACCATAAGTCCACGTCCAAATAACCCCACGCCGAGCATCAGCCCCCTTGATATGGTCGCAACTCGCGAGTCTGCTGTCTCCGTTCTTATAATTTTTTTTTCCCGTAAGGTAGACGACACGGAAGCATATAAATACCACGTACGAGCCATATTCAAGCTCGATTGTTGCCATGACTACCAGAAACCTCAATAAAACCTGGCGCGACGTTGTCGTCGATCAGTATGCCGCTGACTTTGACGCCGATGTTCCATTCCCCGTTCGGTATCTGATCAACGCCGATGTGTGGAAGAAAGATATTTTTATCGAGATTCCAACCAAATCCCCGTGGAGACCTTGCGCCGCTCCGTGTTGACTTTCGTCCGCGCAAAGCGCCTTGACTCTGATCCGGCTTACCGAGACGAGAACATCTCCGTTAGAGCCCGTGTATCTTACCTCGAAAGACAAGCTCGAGAAGCTAACAAACAACATGATGATCCCGGTTCTGCATCACAGGATTCTGCTACCGTCGCTGGCGATGCTGGCGATTCTGGGGAAAGCCACTAGAGCATGGGACTTTGTCGTCTACAGTGACCGTAAACCACTCCATCGGCGCACTACATAAGTTTTGTCATGTCAAACTCTTTTGCCTCTACTGCCTGGCAAAGTAACTGCCTTGGGGACAAAGCTACTCCAAATCCATGTTTGTAAGACTGGGTAGAGCGCTGCATGCTTTTGTTCAACATAGTGGTACAGGGCACTTGACAGGCACATTGTGTGTTGCTCGATCTTGATAAAGCAGACCCGTCGGTCGCCCTAATAGTGGATACTAGGGTTACCCCGTATGAATATAAATCTGTGTGTGTCGATTGTATGGGTACCGCCGATCGCTGTAATTAAGCTAGACCAATCTAGTTTTACAGTCCTGGGAAGCTAACTGTCTATCTGGGCTCCGAAGATCGCTTCCCGGACAAGAAAGCTTGATTATCCTGGCAAAATATTCGGAAATATGCATAGCACATCGTGACAGATCACTTGGCTAATGCTTTCAATGCTTTCAAACCGGAAATCTGCAAGAAGCTGACGCAGCCATGGGTGTAAACCTTGGGCAATCACAGGGGAGATGATGATAATATAGGGCTTGATAGACGAACATGTGCTGCATCGGTATCACCATAACCGTGGAACGGCCTTCGTGGAACCCCTTGGAGCTCCAATATTGGGGTTCCTCTAGAGTATCACCGTGAATACCCCGCGTAGTCCTGTCCGAGGGGGAGACATGAGCACGCCGAGTACCGGCACTAAGTGGTATATGTATCAGCAAGGGCAGTTCTTCACGAGCCCTACCGCGTGTTTTCCTTTGCTTCGTGACTCGAGTCCAATCGTGTGGATCTGCAAGGTATACTGTACATTACCCAGGAGGTAGGGCATTTTTCCCAATGGCGGGCTACTTCTCGCACATTAACCTTTCAGCACTGACGATTCAGGAGCTCCGGCCCGAAGACCGATTTTCCGCTGCAGAAGCCACGCAGCCTGTTTGGATAAATAAGCTTCTTCACGGCCAATCTGCAGAATGATTGCCGTGTGGAATGCGGGGAAAACCCGCTATTCTGGGGCTAAGTAACGCAGATGTTTCAGAAGGTCTCACCTGTCAGTCCTCCTTTTGCCCGATGGCTGTAGAAAACAATTTAGCCAGAATTGCTTGCCCTGCTGGAATGAAAGCCGGGTAATCAGCTTGGGTGATGATAAAACCCGACCCGCCCATTGATCTGGATCTATCATGTTTTCTCTGACCACTGTTTGAAAGGATTGCCTGTTCTTCTGAACGACACCATGAGAGCTCTATCTCTTTTCTTTGCCCTCTTCTGCTTCCTGGTCATTTCCTCTGCGTCTCCGGGGCAAGATGTGGTCAAGCGAGTCACCAGCGGATCGCTTCAGCAAGTGACTAACTTCGGATCTAACCCCTCTGGCACGCTGATGTACATCTATGTGCCTAAGAATCTGGCCACTAAGCCTGGAATCGTCGTTGCTATTCATTACTGTGGGTGGAGCCCACCCTATGCACCTAGGTGCAAACGTTGTTGACACTATTAGGCACTGGAACCGCACAAGCATACTACACAGGATCCCCCTACGCACAGCTGGCGGAGCAGTACGGGTTCATCGTCATCTACCCTCAGAGTCCCTATAGCGGTACCTGCTGGGACGTCAGCTCCCAATCCGCCCTGACCCACAACGGCGGCGGCGACAGCAATTCGATCGCCAACATGGTCACCTGGACCATCAGCCAATACAACGCTGATACCAGCAAGGTGTTCGTGACCGGGTCTAGCTCTGGCGCCATGATGACGGTGAGCAGTCCCTCAACATCAAGGAAAGTCACATACTAACTGTAAGGATGCAGAATGTCATGGCCGCCACCTACCCTGAACTCTTCGCCGCCGCAACAGTCTACTCCGGCGTCTCCGCCGGCTGCTTCTACTCCACCGCCAACCAAGTCGACGCGTGGAACAGCAGCTGCGCCCAAGGCAACGTCATCAGCACACCCGAGGTCTGGGGCGGGATCGCCAAAGCAATGTACCCGGGGTATACAGGCCCGCGTCCCCGCATGCAGATCTACCACGGCAGCACGGATACCACTCTCTACCCGCAGAACTACTACGAGACCTGTAAGCAGTGGGCAGGTGTCTTCGGGTATAACTACAACTCGCCGCAGTCGACGCAGAGCAATACACCGCAGGCGAACTACCAGACAACTAACTGGGGCCCGAATCTGCAGGGCATCTTTGCAACGGGCGTCGGCCATACGGTTCCTATTCATGGGGCGCAGGATATGGAGTGGTTTGGGTTTGCGGGCGGGTCGTCAACGACTACGACCAAGACTACTTCGACGAGCACGACGACGTCGTCCGGGGGATCATCGACTACCACTGGGGTGGCGGCGCACTGGGGTCAATGTGGAGGGAATGGGTGGACGGGCCGACCGTTTGCGCGAGTGGGTATGCCTGCACGGTGATAAATGCATGGTATTCCCAGTGCTTGTAGTAGTGTACTACATATTTGTCCTGATAATCCGTGTCCATCCTGAAAGAGCCCAGCTCGAGGAAGGGTATATTCAGAGCTAATTGAGGTTACTACATGTCACGAGCACTCTGCGTTAACAATTCCTTCAACGGCCCCGTAAACCTCCCTCTCCCTCGTACGGCCCAGTCACAAACCAGCAGGACACTCACACCCAGAAACACCGGACCGCTGTAATTCATATTGGTCGCCGTTACAGGGATCTCCGTCGGAAACGACACAAAAGTACAGATGAAGATGCCAAAAGTGATGGCGTAGATGTTGATCGCCAGACCCCATCTGCCAAGGGCGAATGGGCCAAACGCGATCGGCTCCTTTCGGATACGTTTCCGGGCCATCATGACGATGGGGATAATGTATGAAATGAACAGGGAGCTGGTTGTGAGCGCGAGGATAGCACTGAGGGCGGTGGTTGAAGCGATATTGACGAGGGAGAGCAGGATGTCAGTGAAGCACACGAGGCAGATGGCGCGGATAGGGATGTGGTATGTTGCATCCACGTGAGCAAAGAACTTGGAATACGGTAGGCCTCCGTCACGGGCAAAGGCCCATGTGAGGCGGGAGACGGAGGCGACGACAGCGATGTTGGAGATGAAGCCAATGAGGGTGATGGCGGATTGCATTGCTGTTGTTGCGTGGACGGAGCCGGTGGCCTGGTAGAACATGGCGATAATGGGGAAGCCGGTTGGAGAGTGTAAGATTGCGTGAATGTCTCCGACGCAGAACAGCATGACTAAAATGAAGCCGAATGCTAGAGTGCCGTTGATGACAATGGTTTGGATGAGAATGCGAGGGACGACTGTGGCTGGATTGTGGACTTCTTCACTCATGTGGATAGCTCCATCGAATCCTGCGTGGGTCAGCAGAAGTTCATATTCGCGGATGGGTCATCTTACCGGTGAAACAATATGTGACAGTCAACATTCCCAGACACCAGGAGACGCCATCGCTGCTCCATCCGCCTTGATTCAGCAGCTCCGTGAAAACAAATTCAGGGGTACTCCGGGGCGACAACAGAACCAGAGGAACGATCAGAGCAATAAAGAATACGACATGCATAAGACCGCCTAACAGCTGAAGCAAAGGCAAGCTGCGAACCGCAAAGACATTGATGATTAACGAGAAGAGCATCACTGCCCACATGAGCAAGGTCCCATGCCATCGTTGCGGTTCATACTCCGGACGGTTCAGGATGATGAGGCCCTGGATTTGCGTCGCCACAAGGAAGCTGATACTAGTGACGGCGGCCTGCCATCCAAACACCGTGATCCAACCTGTGCGATAAGTCAGTGATATATCAGACTGCGTTTTGAGTGCGCTCATACCTTGCATCCAAGTGCTGAATGCTCTGATTCTCGGCGGCGCCAACAGCGCAGTCCAGTGGTATTGTGCCCCCGCCAGTGGGCATATCGAAGCCATTTCGCCCAGCGACAAGGCCAGTGCCATCGTTCCTGTCATTGATAGCAACATTCCCCACACCAAAGCCGCAGGACCTCCATTCATCAAACCAGGAGCGAATCCACTAGACAGGGACAAATTACTATCAGCTCAAGGCAGAGGTGGCTGCTGACATACCTGGCGATGGACTCCCATGATGCCAACAACGTGACGGACAAAGCCAGGATGGAGAGCGAACCGAATTTTCTCTTCCATGGGCATTAAATTAGCGACGAATATCACTCTCACTGAGAGGTGCTCGTTCCTACCTCCATGCGTTGCTTTCCACTGGTATTGTTCGACGACGTGGGAACCCCACTGGCGCTGTTGCAAAAGGCCTTCCTGTCGCTTGTTTCATGTTGATTTCTTAACTCCAGCGCATATTCCCGAGCGACTTTTGTCCCGAAGGGTGACAGCTCAATTGTATCTGCAGGCATGATGACTCTTAACTTTCATCGGACTCTCCACGATATCAACTTGAAGTACGGAGTAATGCATATGTACATTAGGAACAAGGATGAGGGGATAATCAGGGGAAATGGACTCCACGTGAAGATGGCCGGCGAAGGAAAGTAAAGCAATTTCAGCCGAAGTCTACTGTAATCTGGTTGGGTCAACGGAGGACACTATTGGATTAGTTTGTTAGAGATCGTTGATGCCCTCCGGAGACACCCATGTCTGTCTAGCTTTAGACTCGTGATTCTAGAGTTTTGGAATTTCCTGTGTGATACGCAGTTGGTAAGATTAACGAAACAGGATGCAAATATGCCTCTGTCAAGCCATGTCATTTTAATTGACTTTTTTGTAAGCCCGTCAAAAGTGCTTAAACCAAGTTTCCATTGTTATTAATCAAAAGCTCAAACCAATTGTTGTTTCAGGGCTGCATGGAGGTGTGAGCACGCTTACAGATACCTGTTTAGCATAGCGTGTCCAGACTGTCAGATTGGCTCGTGTCAAATGCAAACCTTGTCCAGAGGCACGATGTAACGTCGACTGCGTAGTTCCATCCTCTGGTTCATGGACGGCTGAGGTCCGACGGACTCCAGGCCAATCCCAGACCAGAAAACGTGCCACTAAATGTGGATTAAAGCTTCAAGGATAAGCATTGGCACATGGCCGGTCAAACCTATAGAAAGGGGTTAGTTTGGAGCTAAGTTCGACATACTCCACATATTTGATTGGCTCGTGCTTTTATAACTCTCCCTATTGCTATCAGCCTATCCAGGCCAATCAGAGACCGTGCAACAGACTATTAACTATTTCTCTGGTGCTGTCAGTGCGCCCGTGATATCCTTCCGGTTTCGCATATATTTCTCTGCTGTTGATCGGCCTGCATCTGTACGTACTACATAAACCGGCATGGCAGGCACATTACCACCATTATTCCCCATCTCAGATGAGGACCACAGTGGGTATGTCGCTGTCACTGTCTATACTTTGCTAAGTTTGACTGTGACCACTGTCTTTGTGCGACTTTTTACAAGATGGTATATCGCCAGAGCCGTCTACTCGGATGATATCTTGCTCGCGGGCGCCACAGTATGACGGTCCCCTTGCCACGGCTTATTCCTGCAAGGTCTAACTTTGATCGCGTATAACAGGGACTAGGAATTCTCCAGAGCGCGTTTGTTCAGCTATCCATTGACCATGGACTCGGCAAGAGGATAAGAGCCGTTTCTACCGACGACTTGACTTCCTTCGATAAGGTGACATTCATCCTAGACCCAGAGGTGTCTCCGAAGGCGACTAGACTAATAGCTCCCAGTACATGTACGGAACACAAATCCCCCTGCTTGCAACTGTCGCCTGCAGCAAATTCTCCCTGGCGCTACTTTTCCGCAGTTTGACAGCCCAGGGCAACGTCTTGCGACTTAGCCAGGGCTTGATGGTGGTAATTGGGTTATGGACATCTTCCTCGATCGTGGCTCTGGCATTCCAATGCGCTCTGCCTCATCCGTGGGACGTCACAGGCCGATGCGTTAATCGAGTGAGTGACGGGCATAATGCAACCTAAAGGGTTCCGACTGATAAAGAATCAATCAGGAAGCGCTCTCTAACTACATCTGGACTATGAATATTCTTACCGATGCAGCACTGGTTTTCCTGCCCTGTGTCGTCCTCCAGAAAGTCCAGATCAGCGGGTTGAAGCGACTCCGGATCATGGCCATGCTCGCCACTCGGTTGATGTACGCAACGCAGTCTCTAACTCCACTTAGCCCCTGAAGCTGACAGGTATGCAGTGTATGTGTGGCAACCGGGATCCAAATGCACTACGTGAATATTGCAGTTAGTTCGCCTGACCGGACATGTAAGTAGATCGACCATCCCAATCCGTGCACAAAACCCGGTACTAATCATACACAGGGGCAAACATCAACTCCACTATATGGGCTCAGTAAGTAACCAGACCAACGCCGTGGTGAGAGTTCATAAATTGACAGATGCAGAGTGATGATGAACCTCAGCATAATCACCACAGCCATCCCATCGCTTGGCCGCCTGATGATCGAACTCCAACCGAGTCACAATGCATTCGCTATTACTGAACGCCATGGCTTCTCGGGTGACAAATATGCCATCTCATCGGTTTCGGGCCACTTTGTACGCGATCATACTACTATCAATGAGGGGCTGGGAACTCATGCATCGGTCCATGGGCAACGTCAAGCGCAGAATGGTGATTCTGAAAGTACTGATGGTCTAGTGGGTGGCGCAACGGGCAATAAGATTACAAAAACAGTGTATTTTGAGGTCAAGTGAGACATAGATATATGTACCCTAATACGTTAATGCTGAGTGTCCTTCTATCACACACGTATATTAGCCAGCTGCAGCGGACAGTGGTCAGTGATCAGTGATCAGTCAGCTTTCCCGGGAGTACACGGACTTTCTGCTAGTGCGACTATTGGTCCAGGTAAAAGACGTACTTTACGGAGTGTTCTAAGCCTTGGAACGTGGCCAATTCTATTAACTGACCAGATGATGAATCCTATGCATCAGCCGCGGATCAATCTGCCGAGCCAATGTAAAATTCGCAAATTATACCTAATACAGGCTAATGGACCCGTGATGCCGTATAGTTCATCTTAGATGCCGATCGATCTGCAATATATGCAGATCAATAAGATCTATTAGCAGAACACACCTGATTAGGCAAAAAAAGAAAAGTGGAGCTTTCTTCAATGTGATGTTGTACAATAGATTCCTTGCTACCCATTGAGGACCAGGCTATTCAATGACCAGCCCACAGACGATCCGTACAGCCGTAGGAGCTATTGGGTGTATAATCTGCTGTTCCTCAGAACGAAGTGGCAGTGTCGTAAGGAGTCAGACTACTCCCAAGCCATGCGTTGTGGACCTCCTGTGCCTTGGGGTCTTTCAGTGGACTGCCAGCCCCGTAAGACTTACTACAAGGTGCCTGTCATGTCACCACGCCTAACATTCCATCCATATATAGTTACTGAATCTCCTTCAACTGTTGAGGAGTTTAAGGAGTTATGTGAGTCTAAAAGAGAGAATGCTAGATGTTGCGGAGAACAGCAGGTAAGTCCTACTTTAATATAGTTGAAACCCTGCTTCTATTATTGACTCTTTCACGCCACAGTTCAATCGCCTTCACTCATGCATAAACCTGGGAGTACTTCCTCCCTTTGATGACGATGATTAAGGGGGAGAAAAGGGGCTGATGATAGAGGCAAACGTATTGGGTATTGAAGTTGCAGTTGGGGTTTAATAGTCCTACATCGGTTGTCCATGGGCGGTCTCAAGTACTAGAAAGACAATTAGGAGACTATGTAACCCCTAGTTGGGGATGCAATGAAGAGGATATGGATTATATGAACAGTTTATTTCGACATCAACCGAGAGATACAGTGATATGTAATCCCACATTGGACAGTGAAGCTAGATCGCCGAGGTCTCTACGGGTGGCACAGGTTTGATCTTTGTTGGTCTTACTCGTATGCTTTCAACCATTAATTAACTGGACGAATACCATCGAAATGTAGTTGAGCTACTCCCATATACTATCCTAATGCCGAATATCAACATTCCAGCTACCCAAATTACACTGCCTGAGACTTCATAAAGTCAACAATAACCGGGATATCCTCCATCAATGTCGTACATTGAGGACTCCACCCCAACCTTTCTCTCGTCTTCGCGCTCGAGGCCACATTGTCAGCCACGGCACCAAACCAGAACCAGCCAAAATGCTCCTCTGCCTTCTCCGGCGGGATACTGACAACAGGAATATCCAGCTGCTTCCCAACTGCAATCGCAATCTCCTTCGTCGGCACACCTTCCTCACCCACCGCATGGAAGATCGACCCAGGCGTGGCCTTCTCCGCCGCAAGCCGGAATAGCCTCGCCGCGTCGTCGCGGTGCCCAGCACACCAGCGGTTTTGGCCCTCACCAAGATACGCCGCCACGCCCTTCTGCAGCGCAACCCTCACAAACGGACCCATAAAACCCGAGAATCCGAGGCCATGCGTCGTAGGCGGAAGCCGCACAACGCTAGCCCGCACGCCCTGCTTCGCAAAATCCAGACACACCTGCTCCGAGGCGCCACGGGCCGCAGACATCGGGTTGGACATGTCGGGGGCATCGTCCTCGTCACCTAGCTCGCCCCGCGGGAGCAGCATGGTGCCGGAGGTGATTACCAGGGCGCGGTCTCCTCCTGCCTCAGCTAGAGCGGAGCCCATGGCGGTGATGGCGGCGCGGTCCGTGGCGCAGGAGCCGGCGTAGTTGGCGAAGTCGTGGACGAAGGCGAGGTGGATGACCGCGTCGCATTCGGAGGCGGCTTTCTTAAGGAGTTCGAGATCCTCGATGGTACCGTGCAGGGCTTCTGCGCCCTGGCTTTCAAGTTGCTTGATTCCGCTCTCGCTGCGGGTTAGGCCGAGGACTTTGTGTCCCGCGGAGAGAAGCTCTTTGACGACGGCTGAGCCGACGAAGCCGGTGGAGCCGGTGACGAAGATGCGCATAGTGAAGTTAAACGGATTAGGGACTTGAAGGTGAAAGAAAGGTTTCTGTTCTGAGGGAGATCTTGGTGATTGGTAGAAGGTGTACTTACTTTGTCCCTGGGATTTGCTGGCAATTTATAAGTCTATCACTTGTACTTTGTCCCTGGGATTTGCTGGCAATTTATAAGTCTATCACTTGTACCAAGCTTGACCCGCCCGGATTGGTCAATTGTGACCTGACTGGGCCGACATTTCTACTAATGTGGGACATGATCATGACTGCAGCCAGTGGGCGCCCAATCATCACAGTCTAGTTCCGAGCAGAGGCTAGGGCGTTCAGATCAGCCTGAGATCAGACAGGCGGAGATACCGGAAGAGAAGGGTCGGAGATAGCATAGCGCCTAAAAGCCATCTCACGGACGTTTTACGACACGGCTTCTGTCCACAGCGCATCAAACTCTGGCAGGTCCGCATTCCTACCGGTGCTAAATCTATCGGTGAGCCGTCGTCCATGCAGATCAAGCATGCATTCGCCTTTCTCCAGCAGTCGGAAAGAAGAATGACACTAAGCGCAAGTCGCGGTTTGGCTGCCGAAACTTCAAATTGCGAAAATTGAAGGTCAGTCGAGATGCACTCTCACTGCGGATGCCGTCAAGCTGAACGATGAGAGCTTTACTTCGAAGTGTGACGAGACAAGACCGCGTTGCCCGAGATGCCGTACTTATGGGGCCCTTTGCAACTGTGACTTCAACATTCCGGATCTCCAGCCGCTCCCTGAGCACCGACAAAATCAAGCGACAGTCCAGCGATGTGGAATGTCATCGCTACAGGCACCTATCAGTAAGGCCGTATGGGCCGACGACGGACACGACATCATTCATGCTTGATCCGCAAGATCGAGAGCTTTCAACCGGTTTCGTCACGGAAGCCTATCCTCTCTCGGTGATTCGGGAATGGTAGAGATCTATCAAAATTATTTGCTGAAACTCTGTTTTGCCGTGAGTCTAATAACCTAGAGATGTTGACTGCTGGACTTGACTGACATGTTATACTGCCTATCCCTGATGCACGGTACTCTCGCCGTGACGGCTGTCCATGACCGTTACCTTGGACTGCCGCCAACCCATCGTCTCTCTTTATGGGAATCGTATCACCTGTCTCGATGCACGTCGTTATTCAACAAGTGGTTGAGTCAACCGATCAAGGAAGAACACAAGGATCCTCTGTGAGCCACTGCCGGCGCCCTTGGCATCTTGACCTTCTCGTCCATCGATGCTGGCTCTTCCGAAGAAGCATGGCCTCTTGGAGCATCAGACTCTTCGGATCGAGCTTGGATACGTCTGGGGGCTGGTAAGATGACTCTGTGGAATCTGGTGAATCCTATGCGACCCGAAAGTGTCTTCCGTGTGATGACCGAGACCTTCGCATATCTCCATCATCCGTTGCCTCAATCTGTCGAACTAGCGCAACTGTGCGCCCTTGGCGAGTTCTCAACGCAAGAGACTAACTCTTACTTCTCCTACCATGACTTCTGAAGACGAAACTAGTGGGGCGGGCAGGGTTTGTCCTGTCTTGATGAGATTTACATCTCAAGGTTCGAGTCTATCCTGGGTTTCTTTGCCTCGTGGCATGTTGTTTTCCTCTATAAAATCAACCGAGTAATTTAGCAGGTAATCATACCTTTACGTCAGGTACTTTGTTACAAACGGCCAATGAAGTGTGAAAAGAAGTAGGCTGTAGGTAGGTAACTTCTCCGTACTGTATCTTATCAACCTGCTCCTGGGCGTTACGATAAGCCCCAGGTTCTCGATCTGGTTGGCAGCTACAGATGCGTCCAAAGGCGAATATTGCAGCTGCTAAATCCTGTTGAGGCATCTTGCATACACTGCAGTATCTCGGCACAGGTCGGCATATATTCTCCCCGTTGCGTTGCAGCTTGGATGGGATGCTCGCGCTCAGAAGATGTTTTTCTCCCTGAACGTCTTTGGGCTGCCACGCAGGTATGAACACCCTCGCGCTTCTCTATACCTAGACTGGTACCGCGGGGCATCTCTCGTCATGCCTGGATGCACTTGGCTTGGCTTTCAGGTCGTTCCAATTAAGTAGTCCTAGCATATTGCATATGGCACGCCAGAAGTATGTGGACGGTATCAGAAAAGTCGGTCAAAATCCGATTCCACTAACCTCGCAATGAATGGCATATGCAGACACACCTTACTGAATACAGATGCAATACCGAAGCAAACACCTCTCCAGATATTGCTGTCATCGTTAGACAGAGTTACGCAATGGGGTGCCTCACTTCGCACTCCTGTGGCTTTGGCCGGACAATGAAGTGCCGTCCTCAACTTCGCAGATAGTGCGTTCCTGTGCTCTCATTTCCCCGCTCTATATTGCTAGCCAGCCTTCTAGCCACCAGATGATCAAGGACTGGATCATTCAGGCCTTACAGGGGCATATCCATGACTAGCCCACCCACACTGCTTCCCACTGTGGGTGAGCCACATCGGTTTCACCAATTACACTGGAATCACTAATTTTTGATATTTTAACCTCTTGAAGCTATTCCAACCTCACAATATACTAGAATCTTCTAAATATAATAAATCTAACCTCCTTAAGGCCTGTGAAGCCGCTCAAGCATAAGAAAAACTAAATATCTCTAATATTGTGTGTGAATATAGTATTTTAATTATAACACTATATAACTATATTAAAAAGGGCAGGCAGCCTCATACAGCTCAGAAACTAGTTAATAAAGTACTTAAGGGATATTAGGAGGAAGCCTTGATATAGTAGATAGTCTAGATTAGAGTTGTCATTTTCGCAGGTTGGGTTGGGTTCTCATGTTCCGCCAACCCAGCCTATGGGTTTTGGGCCTTGGAAACCTGAGGCCTAAACCGACCCGTAGACCCGTGGGTTCTAGGTGGCTTAACCTGCTGGGTTTAGTTCTGCTTAGAGTTGCATTTGGTGTGAGTTCGGGTGAGTTCAACCATAGTCAGACCCAAACCACTGCGACTTTGAGTTTAAATTTTAGAACCCGTAACCAAATCCACAGAGGAGGATAATGTCGCCTTCCCCAGTAGTTAGTATGTAGTAGTGATTCCTGAGCCATGTCGCGCGCCACGGCGTCCGATCGGCCCGGTCGGGACATATTCTCCGTCCACTTGAAATCCCTCAGGAACAATATATGCCTACTCATGGGAGGTTTCATTAGTAATGGACAATGACCGGGGCTTAATCAGATCTTCGAAACAATGTTGCGTAAACTTCAGCCCATGGGCTTCGGACGACCGATGCCGCCGTTATTAGAAATCCCCTTCGCTCAGAGACTCTCCGCCTGGTGGGTAAGAAGATGATGAACAGATTCAATAAGGGACACGCCTAGAAAAATATATAACATGATTGAAGCCCAGTGCTACATAGGAAGAAGGTGAAAAAGGAACACAAAACTATTGTACTGTTTGTCATATTTGAGTTTCCCCTATCATCAGTTGCAGTTGTTTTACAAGAAGAATCTTGCACTTGTGCACCATGCCTAGCAAGCTCCGTGACAATGTGTCTCGCGTGAAAAAGTTCAATCCATTGGGCATATTAACATTTATTGGGCTACGCGCGGCCGATTCTCTTTTCCAGTACGCCCTGCTTCAGCGAGGCTGGGCATCCAGCTTGGTCGAGCTCGTCGGTGCTACAGCAGTGAATCGCAACCTCATTGTTCATGACTCGACGGGTCAACTGCACCCTTATTATGCTATTATTTCATTTATGGCTCTCGGTAGCAGTGTGAAGCAGATTTTGAACGCACTGCTCGTCTTGGAACAAGAAATGTCACCATCATCAGCAATTGTCATTGCACTCTTCAACACTGTATGCAACTCGCTGAATACTATCCTATCGGTCTGGGTGATTACAGCACAAGCGCCGGGCCGGCTAAGCTTCTCTGGCATTCTTCAGTATCGACTTTTGCTTGCCGGTGTCGGGTTCTACATGGGCGGTATTCTTGTAGAGGCCACCTCGGAACTACAAAGACGTTCCTTTAAGAAAGATCCCACCAACAAAGGAAAGCCGTATGCTGGCGGATTATTCTCTGCAGCAAGACATATCAACTACGGCGCCTACACGATTTGGCGAGCCGCGTATGCATTCACCTCGGGTGGCTGGCCATGGGGCATTGCCGTCTTCTCGTTCATCTTCTACGACTTCGCGACTCGGGGTGTTCCAGTTCTTGACAGATATCTTCTGGACAGGGTGAGTCGCTGTGTCTATGGCTATTTATGAGAGACAAACTAATTCGAATCAAAGTATGGTGAACAGTGGCAGGCAATCAAGGACCGGGTTCCTTATCGTCTGATTCCTGGCATTTATTGAGATGCACAGTCTGTCTTTTACTTTCGATGGAGCCTGGACCGGTTGTTACTATAAGTTCCCCCCGGATTCACCCTATTCAACCCAATGATGGCTATTCCATCACTTCTATCACCAAACAAGGAGGTGTGGTTTTGACGGTGAGGCAAGATAATGTACTCTGAAGAGTCGTGCTGTGTTAATAGGAGTATATACATAGGCATATTTTAACTGAAGCTTTCTTCTTAGCAACTATTTGTAACGATGGGAGGCGTACACAAGGATTTTGCCGTCAAGTGGATGGCCATGCCTTCGAAGGTGTCTGCGGCTGCAATCTGGAGATAGCACATTGAAGGATCCACTGACTGGGTTTCGAATTACCTGGCCATGACGATAGCCATTCGCGAACAATAACCCTAGACGAGTCATGGTAATCGCCAGTTGGCCTGTGAAGCTATCCACCTTTGGGTCGATCCTGTCCTGGGCGGACGACCATCAATTCTGTATGTTACATTGCTACCCAAGGTGGATTGGTCAGGGGAAGAGAATGGAATGATAAGTGGGTTTATGAAGTTGGGTGAGTCAGTTGCTGAGTACCCATCATCAAGCTATGGACTCATTCACTGTTCTCTAAAGACAAGTAGTTTGCCCAACATCTATTAGTATTTTTGGCACCTAGACTCGTTTTCTGAGATTTTCAACCGCTTGACTGCTTGGATAGCGATCGCTTGAACAATAGTATTACTAGCGTCTATGTACACCATGACAACTGACCTAGAAACCAACGCGGCAACCGGTGAAACTTTGGGATGTTTTGCAATCAATTCAGGGAGGAGAGCAAGGCATCAGATACGTTTTTTGCTTCTTTTGACGGCTATTTTCCTAATATACGTCGTCTTCCAACCTGAGCTTCCTCTGCAATCGATACAACTCCTTTTCATTCCGAGGTTCTGTCTTCATAGACTTACAACTGTCTTCTGCCCGTGGCCGTCTCTGTAGCCATCCAATGCCGCGTTAATCCTGTCGGGATCAGCCCCCTCAATGAATTCGCACTTTAGTGGGCAAAGGTGCCCGGCCTGCAGCCAACCCACCACATTCTCCCAGAACACCATTGACACCTCCGGATACAACGCGCTGAACCCGAAAGTCAGCCGTCTGTCGTAGCCAGCTGCCTTTTCCTCAAGCAGCGCTTTGTCCGTCTCAGTTTCATCCACTGGGTTCAGCGTGATGAGGCAACCCTTCCGGGTGTTTGACAGTGCCGCGAGGACGAGGTTCTGAGCGGGCCCTACATTTACCGTGTCGATCGCATATATAAGCTCGTCACCTGTGACATCTCGTATCTGGCGTAGAATCTCGTCGTGGCCAGCGTAACGATCAATCACATGCGTGGACCCCATACCTTTCAACTCTATGGTATTCCGTGACGAGGCAACGGTGACTATCATTCCGAAGCCGAGCATGCGAGCGAATTGAACAGCAAATCGACCGCAATTTGATCCCCCGCCGACGATAAGGATAGCATGATTCTTAAAGTCTGCACTAACCTCATCGACGGCCGGTGGTAACGGCAGGCCTAAACCAGTCGAATGGAACATAGCGATGAAAGATGCCATGGCACAGACGGGGATGCCAGCGGCCTCTTCATCCGACAGACCTGTGCCTGCGACCTTGGCGGCAAATCGGGCATCGACCAAGGCGAATTGTTGAAGACCGCCACAGTCTTTGAGCTCTTGGCCAGGGACAAAGTTCACATGAGCAAATACGTGCTCACCCACTGCAAACTGCGATGCCTTCGTTCCTGCACCACGCCTGACCACAATCCCTGCAAGCTCGTGACCCAGGACTTGAGCGGGCCCTTTGAAGAACAAGCCGACATCCCGCGTTTTCTGATCAAGAGGATTTACTAGAATTCTATGAGGAAAAATTGATTTCCAGCGGCGGACATTGACTTACAGCCTGCAGCCGTCACCTGGACCAGAAGTTGGTTTTCCTCTGGGCTGGGGATCGGTCTTTCCACAAGAACTGCAGGGGAGTTCAATCTGGTGACAGCGATGGCCTTTTGCATGTTGATTTAGAGTCGATAAAACTTCGATACGAGCATGCGCAGTTCAGTAAGAAGCAGCCTAGAATTTTTGCTCGAGTCTAAGCTCGCGGATTGATGTAAGTTCAATCCCTTACTGCAGGCCCAGTTAAGCCAAGGATATCAGCAATGTTGGATCATATGTTCAACTGCAATGTGATTGGTCATGTAATCACATTGCATTAGCTCCTGCTGCTAGCCCCACTCGGATCCATAATTCTGGAACTTTGAATGTCTTTGACCCACACTGGCAGTTTTAGCCGTCTTGCAAGTTGTCACTGAACAAATGTATCCGTATTCCTCAGACCATGTACCAGCCAACATGTTGATGATATAAAGTAGCCGTAAGAACTGCACTATAATGAACTAAAAAGTCATATGTCCTACCTATATTGTCGTAGAATATTGCCCTCTTTTTCAACATGGTCGGAACGCACCAAGGTTCAGTAGCAGCAACTTAGTCCTGGCCTGGAACGTCCCTTCAGCCAGTCAAATTCACTGTTCCGGCTGACAAATACCACTGACGAGTGTAGTTAGACTAAGATCCTGCATGTACTCATCTTAAATAGGGATAACGCCCCCCGCTTCCGAGTTCACCTCAAAGGATCCTACCTTAATGCAGGTCCAGTCATAAGACGCATGGGAATGGTTCCCACCATTCCATTACAGCAGTTACCGCAACAACAGAAAGCACCTTCGGAAGAGGATTGGACTGGAGTTAGTGACCCTGTTACGCGTCGGCGATTACAAAACCGACTAAATCAAAGATCATATCGTTAGTTGTCCTTATTTCTTAGATGGGGTACTAAAGAGGGTTAACTTTTCTAACTGCAGGGCAACGTCACGCTAAGAATAACAATACTGGCCACAGTGGTCAGGCATATTGTTTTGTGGACCCCAGCCATGACAGTGGTCGTCCTCTCCAACTCATGAGGAGTGCATCTGCTGCAGCTAACACCGTCTCACATGTCGCTGCCATATTATGCAGATTAACTATGGACCAACACTCTACATGCACCTTTGCACCGCCAAATATCCACGAACTAATGAACCAATTTGAAAGAGACGCTCTGGAAAAGTACCTTTCCGGCTCCCCAGAGATAGACCAACTCCTCTCTCTCAGTAGAATAAATGTTCTACGCGCGGCTTATGAAAATGTCATTGCACTAGGCATGTCTGCTGAGTGGCTATGTGCGGATGAAGCAGTTTCCGTGTTCAGTCAGTCCTGTCCAGGGGTGCGAGAAATAGATGTTCCCCAAAGCTTAAGCCCAACGTCCTTACAGCGGAGAGTTCCACATCATCCGTGGCTGGATGTCTTTCCTTTCCAGCAGATGCGGGATAATATGATTGTGGCTGGAGACGCCCTAGATGATGATGAGCTGTGTCATGACCTTGTATGTTTCTGGGACACTCGTGATAGCCGCGCAACGCTACTTGTCTGGGGAGCTCCCTGGGACCCGCAGAACTGGGAGGCCAGCGAGGCGTTCGCCATCAAGTGGCACTGGGTACTTAGAGGCTGTCCTGACCTACTGGTTTCTACAAATAAATGGCGACGGCAGAGGGGCGAGAAACCTCTTCTTTGGAAAGGGATCCTCGGGGCGGGAAGAACACAGGTTGTCTAATTTACTGTTGGTTTGAGAATATTATGGTGCTGAAATGTACTTGGATTATCCTGTTAACTCCTATCAATTGTGTATCCTTACAGTCACAAACAAGAGAGAGACTGTGTCTCTGACATGGTCAGATTCAATCAACTTTCGAGACGCAGAGACAAAATCCAGTACTGGTGGTCCTTCATGGGATCAGGAGCAGGAATATCTGAACCAATAAAGCCGTGATATTAAATTGTAGGGGTTACATGGCTCTAGCCCGTGACAACCCCCCTACTATAATTATAGCTTGTCCTTTATTATAGTTAGTAGTATTGGCTAGTATGCACACGTGCTTCGTTCCAAGTGGCGGGCTGAGACGAGGGGTCATCCCAGCCACGCCAAAAACAAAAAAAAAAAAGGTTTGCTGAGTCCCTGGCCTTTTACATTTTCTATCTCCAGCATCGACATTCACCTTCATATTCAAGGTCCTACTTAACCAGCTAAAATGGCGTCTGACGCCGCCTCAGAACAGCTCTCCGACCCCCATTCTTTGGTTGGTCTGGTTGAGCCTGGAATCCAAGCAACGCCCTCTAACCTTTCATTCGACGAGCCAAGCAAGAAGAATATCGCGTGCTTTCCCGTAAAAGACCAATGGTTCCGAGGCCCGTCCAGCGGGCCCTATATATCGATCTACTTGCTTGATCCCCTCATCACAGTAGAACGACACCATGGCAAGTACCACATCACCGCCCGATTCAATCTCGAAACGACTATTCTGGAGTATAATATCAATAAGGGGCATGAGCTCGACCTTTCCCCAATTTGTCTTCCTTTAATGCATGCGCTAAATTATGTAGAGCTGGACATGAGCTCTTCTTCCAGGACATCTGTCTACAGTATATCAATTCTTCCGGCGATGAAGACCTCACCACGGAGCCGCAGTCGGATACAACGGGGGCTTTCACTGTGACCAGATCCTCGAATACAACACTCTCGGGAAATCTCGGCGTCTCGCTCTCCCAGCTTCCATCGGCGAATATCTCCCTGGGCATCTCGCGGTCGAGAGAATGTACCATCGAGCGCACCGTCAACACGTGGACGGTTAGCTCCCATCGTGTCATCCCAGGTCAGCTACTCTGTGCTTCAGCTACAAAAATATGGACCTACTAACATACCCCTCCTCCAGAGAACTCAAAACGCCGCCGCAAACCTGTACAGCTGCCCAGACACCAATGGTTCTGGGCGGCGAATCATAAAGAGATCGCGACTCTGACCCCGGACCTAAAACACACCGTGAAACGACATATCCTTGTAAAACGCGCGATACCGGTCGCGGACTTTCCGGTTAGGAGGCTGGAGAGCGCCAGAGACGTCTTGCGGGCCAAGGCCTGGGGAGAGCAAGCGGCGCGCTCGGATGCAGCGCCGCCGATACAAAAGCTGACTGCTGACCACTCCGTCCACTGGAAAGGACATAAAGCGTGGGAAGCGCTGCTAGATGACTGGAAGAGGAAAGATGGGCGAATGTCGCTGGAGCAACTGTTTGAGTTTCGATTTTCTATATTGGTATGACATGACACAATCCCTTCCTCACAGTAGCCCACATTAGCGCACTAACCCCATCATTCCTGTTCAAAAATCGCCATACCCGACATCGAGATATTGACTCAACTTCTCGCAACAGATCCGACTACGAAGGCGATACGGCCGGCTGCACCGCGCGCTGGTGCTAAGCAGCAACCGCAACAAGGCAAAGCTGGTGGAACCCATATATCGGGAAAAGTTCTCCTTCCGGCCGACGTTCACACAAGAGTTCATACCCACATTGAGTCATTCCTCCATGTGGCGACCTGACCAACCGCCCAATTTTCCCTCAGAGAGGTACTTGCACAGCATGACGAGCATTCCCATGGAGGATACGTGCGACCTCCGAGATGTGCTTGGAAGGATAAAGGTTAAGGTGTGTTTTCCGAGTACATTAAGAGTGATTAGAGACGGTGGGTGCTAATGCGTGGATACGCGATAGTACGATGGGAGGTGGGATGAGCTGTACACTCGGGACTGGGCCGATCTCGTGCAGGCTGAGACACAGATGGAAGTGGTGGAAGCGGATGGAATCGTCGATGTGGCGGCAGAGGCAACGGCGGAAGCAACGGCGGAAGCAATGGCGGACGTAACGGCGGATGTAGTAGCGGATGCGGGATAACTGTGACAACGCATGGGTTTTGAGCTTTCGCAGGTTCGCAGAGGGGACCGGCAAGGGAGATTTTGCACAATAACGGAGAGGAAGAGTAAGATGCTATATACTAGCATTCTATATAAGATAGCCCTGTTTTTGCTGAAGCGGACCACGCTTTGAAGACTTTGCTCTCTATGCATATATATAGACCACGCGCGACGTATAGGTATGATATTTTTGGTATTGCGGGGAGTGGTGATGAGAGAGCTCATGCCATCGCATGTTGCGGCGGCTCCCTTAAATCATAAGGCGCTGATAAGGTAGTAAAGGCGCTGTAATGGAACCTTGTACCATCCGGCGCCTTCTGGCTGGCCTTTGAGATTGCAAAGCTTAGTGATGGCACAAAGGCCATCACACTTGCCATTTGGGTCTTTAAGATAAAGAGCTTAATATCGTGGTAGCAGACTGGGTCTGGAAGATCAGCAGCTGAAATGTATTTAAGAAGGTTGCTCTAAAAAGTCTGCTCACCTTTGTACAGAGTGGTTAAAACCAACCCCAAAAACAAGAACCCAACCCAGCCGAAACGCGCCACTTTCAACAGATGTTTATCCAATCCTCTCATTCCATGTGTTTACAGAATGTAGTCTCCAATTCAATGCTATCGTTATGAGCCTAGATGGAGAGCGAAATGTGTCTACTCTCGTCCAGGACTGGGAGGGCACAAGAAAGAACCTTGATTTCGACTCATGGGAACGTCCTTTATATCTAGAAGCAGCTCTTGCCGGACTTTCTATAACACATCTGGCATACTGTCCATATATTTTTATGATAATTCCAGGTAAATGGCTATTCCCACCAGTCAGAATGACTCCATTGGTTGGTCTTCCCCAAATGCCTAGGCTGGATCCCCCACTCCTCATACGCCGCTTTAATCCGATCCATCGCCTTCTCATCCTCTGGTGTCTCATCATCATCGTCAGAATCATGACACCGAGTAATATGCGAATGGAGAGAGACCACAATATCAGAGTCAACTGTCTTCCCCATCAGTAGCTCCATCTCAGTCCAGATTGACAGCCCGCTCTGCGGGATTCCTTTCCACCATATGACACGCTTCAGCCGACAAGTCGCAAAGCGGACATCGTCGCCGAACAACAGCGCCTCAAAGAAATCACCCATCCGCAAGCCATCTGCGAACACTCTTGGATCTTGCTGTCACGTTTATCAATGGCTTGCTCATAATGTCTCGAGACAATTGTCAATCACCTACAGGAACCTCAAGAAACGCATGGCTGAATCCGTATCCCCCAGTTGAGTACCTGCAGACTGCGAAATTGCACATTGGCGGCTGTTGGAGCAACATCCGTCGCCAGCTTGCTTCTGATCGTAGATACGCAGCTAGTTTGGAGGGAGTTTTCATTATGTCGAAGGCGGCGAGGGTGGGTTCGTCGTATTCATAGTCGTCTTCCGGGTTATCGGGGTCCATGAATTTGAAAAGGGCTGGGAATGTTTCTACCAATAAGGGATTCTGGACTTTTCCTTGACCGGCTGAATTTTCTGTGGGTGTAAAATATAGGGCTTTTTGTATGGCTGACGAGTCTCGGGTCATGCTTAACCAGGAGCGGCATGTTCGTTGAATGCAAAGCAGCGTGCGCATGTCCAGGTTGAGGAGAATCATTTCGAGGATTTCGGGAATCCCGAATGCTTTGTGTGTTGAGGAGGATGCCATCTTTGATTGCTTTGGGAGAATGGTTGTTGATTGCAATGCAGTGGTATAAAGATTGGCATGCAACCTTGCTGGGAGTTTATTAGGGATACTAATGTTGTTATCCGTGAGTCATCTATACATTAGCTCGCTAATAGTGCAGAATCTTGTCTTTCGCTAAGGAATATGATTCGTCCACCTGCTGAGATATCCCTGAGTGCGTCAAAGAAGACTAGAGCCAGTCATAGATCAACTGCTACGAAAGAACATATAATGACTTCATATCTCTTGTTTTATCATTTCACCAACTGCAACGTGTTGAATCGTAGATTATAGTAACACATGGTCCTGGCTGTTAAGAAGTACTCACGGAATATATATATTACTCTAGAGGCCTATAAGATAAACATCCTGCCCTACTCCCTAGTCCCCTATCGAAGTATCTAGAACCTATCATCATCAATTATAGTAGCTCTAGGTGTTTACTCTAAAGTAAGTTAGACGCGATGCTGATCTTACAGTTATGATTTAGGATGCACCTAAGCAACTATACTCAGTAGGTTGGGGAGTTACTACCAACTAATTGGGTAATAGTAGCCAATAGTAATAGATAGCTTGGTTCTGCCCGCAGACCCACAGAACCCGCAACAAGCTTCCGGGATTAATAATATGCAGGATGCTCGGTTGATTCGGAGGCCGAGCTGACGAGTCAAGCCACAGTTTGATGGAATCTGTCTTGGTAATCTTCGGCAGTGCCAAGACCGAGTCGTGACGATCATTTGTCATGCCAGACTGATGTATAGCTTCAAGACTGAGGATAAAAGGACGACATTATCCTCAGCAAACATATCCATCCATCAACAAGATCCTCAATTGCCAACGACTGGACTTTCATCGACTATCATAGCCATCAATTCACCAAGATGTCCAAAATCCTCACTGTCTTCGGCGCGACAGGGAAGCAAGGCAGTTCTGTCATTCGTACAATCTTGCAGGATGCAAAGCTCTCCCAGGAATTCAAGATCCGCGGTATCACCCGTGACGCGACGAAGCCGGCAGCTCAAGCGCTGTCCAAGGAAGGTGTTGAACTCAGAAACGTATGTTTTAGCCTCTCACGCGACGAGACACTGGAAACATACTGACTGTTCCCAAGGCCAATATGAACTCTAAGGAGTCTCTCGTCCAGGCCCTGCAAGGCAGCCACTCGGTCTTCCTCGTGACCACTCCCGCCTGGGGCGCTGCCGGCGCAGATGCAGAACTGGTTCAAGGGAAGAACGTGGCCGACGCAGCAAAAGAAACCGGCGTCCAGCATCTGATCTTTTCCTCCTTGCTCAATGTCACCGAGACCTCTAGCGGTCGGCTCAAACATGTACCCCATTTTGACCAGAAAGCGCAGGTGGAGCAGTATATCCGGTCCATTGGCGTGCCTGCTACCTTCGTGCTGCCGGGGTATTTCATGACCAATTACTCTGAAGCGGGAATGCTGCGTAAGGGCGAGGACGGGGTCTACACCCTAGCGTACCCTGTGAGCCAGGATGCCAAATTTCCACTGGTCGACATCGAGAACGATATGGGTATGTGACAATCTTTTGCGAGAGTGTACTGGAATAGCGAGACTGATGATGTCCACAGGCAAATACGTCGCTGTGGCGTTGAGGAATCCTTCCGAGTCTCTTGGTGCTCAGATCCTCGCCGCCGAAGACTACTACACCCCTACTCGAATCCTCGACGAGTTCGAGGAGGTTACCGGACAGAAAGCTCGATTTGTGCGGGTGGATTCCGATACCTATAAGAGCTTTATTCCCGGTCCAATTGGCGAAGAGTTACTGGAGAACCACCTCTTCATTGAGAAACCCGGTTACTACAATGGCAGGGATCTGAAAGAGAGCAATGACTGGCTCGAGAAGGCTGGGTATCAGCCAACGAGCTGGAGAGATTTCTTGGTGCGAAACAAGGCCGCATTTCTTCAGTAGTGATGAATTAGTTTGCCAAGTGGTGAGTCGTATATAGAAACAATGCGTGTGGCAGGTGGAGTGAATCTCATATAACCGTGTTTTAAACCCAGTCGCTGGCTGATCACCCATTTGCTGAGTGTTTGGACCTTGACGAAATGAGTATGTATCAACAATCGTATCACTACGTTTAATTCCATGACTTTTAGTCTCTCTTGCAGAACTCTCTCAGGCACGCTACTACTCTCTAGCAAAAATATATAATTATTATGTCACGCCGAAGAGCTATTTATCGCAAAAGGTTCCACTGGAAATTACACCGAAGGATCCCCAGGGCTCCCAGGGTGTATGAGTTGCTAATATGCAGCTCAATGGTAGGTAAGGGCGTCAAGTATGTTGGAGACGGACTTGTATTATTTGTGCGACATGAAGACCTTCATTGTGAAATACGCCAAAGCATGGATGCTGACAATTTTTATCTTTTGTCTCGCTCCGGTGATTAGTGAAGTTACTGCAGTTTGATGTCGTCTCAAGTCCCTCGAATCATCAAAGATATCTCAGTCCTCCGCGGAGGAACTCTACTTCCTAGATAAGCCATCGGCGAGACATTGTCTGAGTTGCATGTGACGCTGGTCGTCGTCTTTCATTCGGTTAGTTATTATGGAACAGATATCACCATTTTCTGTTTGATCCACGCGATTCTCAAAGGACCTTCTGGCCCAGGTTAAGTGCTGAGCCCTTACTACAATATAAGCCTCTCCTGCTTCAACTTGAAATGTCCACTGCTTCTGGCGTCTAGCTATTCCACCGCTGATTTAAGGTATTCAAGATAAACGTATTGCGCTGCCTGCACTATTTGACCGGAGTGCTTTGACAGCTTGTCGCAATGCTTAGTGCAGACGAAAGAAAAACAGTTCTCATCACAGGGTGCGAACACGCTCTCAGTTCGACCTCCCTTTCTAGATTGCAATTGGCTAACTATTATGTATGTGTTTTAGATGCTCCCCTGGAGGCATAGGCTATTCGCTTTGCTGTGCCTTTAAAGCAAAAGGTCTCCGTGTGTTTGCGACAGCGAGACGACGTGAAGACCTTGCGAGTCTGGAAGCAAAAGGAATCGAGACGTTACCACTCACAGTCGACAATCTGCAAAGTGTACAGCAATGCTATGCTGAGATCGAGAGGCGCGTAGGTTCCAGAGGTCTGGACTACCTGGTCAACAATGCGTATGTGAATGCCCGCAAGCTTCATCTCTGTTGACATCCAAGGCTGACCGTTCGCAATCGCAGTGGTCGAAGTGAGTGTACTGACTACGAGGAGAATTTTGCTCTTTGATCGTCTATATGTTGATATTGTGAATACAGACTATACGGTCCCTGCAATGGAGGTAGACTTGCAGGAAGCCCGGCAGCTTTTTGAAACAAACTTCTTTGCCGTGATACTGATGTGTCAAACATTCCTGCCGCTGCTCGTGAAAGCTAAGGGGACAATTGTGCAAATTGGATCAGTATCCGGAGTAAGCACGGCAGATATGGAGCCATACCTGAAAAGACCATGCTGACTGCTCTAGGTGATGCCGTACGTCTTCGGTTCCGTCTACAACGCATCCAAAGCAGCCTTGCATTCCTTGAGCGACACCATGCGTATTGAACTAGCTCCATTTGGGTACGTTCTCACTATCCTCCAGAACTCGCGTCTTGTACTAGATTGAAAACTTATATTGTGATGAAATGCCTGAAGAATTAAAGTCACCACAGTCATTACGGGAGGCGTCCAGTCACGCATTGCTCGGGAGGATCGCCAACTGGCGCCAGACTCTCTTTATCAAGGCATTCTGCCAGAGTACAATCGCCGCGTTCAACACAGTCAGGAAGGTGCAATGAGCCGCGATGCTTACGCCAAGAGTGTGGTTGCGCTGATAGTGCAACATACTGGTTCGCGATCATACAAGAAATGGCTGTGGGAAGGAAATAAGAGCAAGTTGATACGGTTCTTCGTTGGAGGATGGCTTTGGTTTGGCTTCTTTGATTGGCTCTTTGCACGCATGTTTCATTTGAAGAAGTTGAAGAGGGATTGATCTGCATGCATGACAGGTCGTGTCCAATGTGTGACGATTTTATTCAAACATCGAATGATGGGACGGATATTGATTCTCTTTGCACATGCGAATATAGAGTGACAGCGAGCAGTTTGTCCGCGGAGGAACTGGACGTTTGGTACCGCCCAATGAGAGAGGCTACAATGAGTGGATCCGGCAGGGTGGCAACAACTTTAATTTAGATCATCCGATTGGCTAGTTTTGTTATGATAGTCAGAAATGCAGCCACGTCATGTGACATGAATCTGTCCATCCCCGCAAAGCCAACGTCTTGCAGCTTCAAACACATCATCGAGCCCCGCAATCTTGAAGATGTAGCGATTTGTTTTAGATCAGGCAGAAGGGAGACTCGACTGATAATGTCTCCAAATGCCTCTAGCCGTTCCGACTCGGCAGTAGCCCGAGAACAAGTCTCGCAGAGTCTTGGGGCTAGCAACTTGCGAGTATGCGACAAATGCATTTCGTCAGTGGTTCTATCCATACCCCGGATTTCGCCTGACTAGCCCGACTAACCCTTTTTAGGAGAAAAGTAAAGTGTGAGTGCCTTGATTCAGAATTCTGTTATGAGAAGAATCATCACTCACCCCCATTGAAGGTGACCAGAAACGGCCTGTTTGTTCTCGATGTCATGAAAGAGGTTTTGCCTGCATTTATTCGTCCTCCAAGAAGAAACCAGGTCCAGCCAGGGGAACACGAAAAGCAGCGAGGCGCACTGCCAGGTCCCCAGAAAAGGCCGCTCATTCATTTGTCACTCCTGAGCAGAGTGACGAGCACATGTCTTCATTCTTTTCCGACATCTTTGTTGCTTCTCCGGCGACGGGATTCCAGTTGGATGCTGCTGCTGGCTTCGGAACGGGTGATGGTGCCTCACAGCCGCAGTCTCTCCTTGCCGGGTTGACACCTCTTGACCCCGGAGCTGGGCCATCCGTGTCCTCGGAGTTAGGGATTTCCCCAGAGATGCAGGCGAAGCTGTAAGTCCTGCTACCAACCATTCTTGTCTCAGAGTTGATTAACATTGCGCCACATATTAGAGTTCATGACTTCTTCGACTTCGTCCATTATTCCATGCCCTTATTCCGGAAAGACGAGTTTCTCCAGCAGTACGAGGATGGAATGATCAACCGTTCTATTCTGCTTACTGTCCTTGCTGTCACAGCAAAGTCTCTCGGCCTACCGCAAGGTTCGCAGGTAGCCAATATCGATGATTGTCTGCAACAACTGTTAAAGAATGACCCATTGGACGGCCCGACCCAGCCGGCCCTGCTGCTAGACGCGTTCCGGCAAAGCTGCCTACTCGCGTTTTATCGTTTCCATCAGGGTCATGGTGGGGATGCATGGGACTATATCAGTCGTGTCTCGCGCAAAGCTCTCCGATTAGGACTACATCAGCTAGATTCCACTGATCGGTACAGCTCATTTGACGACATCCTGACCACTCCCGCCAACCTGGAAGAATGGAGATACGTTTGGTGGTGTATCTACTGCTTGGACTCGTACTCGAACATTATGGCAGCCACCCCCTTTGTCGTGGAAAAGGAGAGCATACGGACTGCCTTGGTAGCTACTTCGTTGGAGGGCTTGAGCGATAACCAAGATGGCAGTCCTGTAGAACAATTTCTGCCTACGGATACTAGAGATCTGTGGCGCATCTCGGCGGAGATGAGCGCCCGCAGTACCCCTGCCTCATATTTCAACATGCATATTGTCACAACGACTCTCCTAAGAGAAGCGGCAGCTATTTTTCGATTACGGAGGCAGAGCCCCTCAGAAAGTCTTGAGCAGAGACGCTCTCAATTGGGAGATCACCTGTCGGCCGTGCTGCTTTCCCTGCCCCCACAGTTTCTCCGCGAAGCTCGCAACGCCTTTGCCAATGAATCCAGCGTAGACCATCATGCGCGGCTTGTCTGTCTACTTCATCTTCACGCAGCACGGCTTTTGAACACAATCACGTTTGATCCCTCGGACGATTCGGCGTGGATGACATCCTGGCAGCGATCACTGGCCCACTCCGAGGACATTGTGGCTGTCATCAGAGAATGGGACAGCCGGTACTGTTCGACTGTCGACCCAGCCATTTGTCTGATTGTATTGTGTACCTTGATTCTACTGTACCTACATGAAATGCACGAGGCCACGCCTGGAGTGCCTACACTTTCCGATCGTCTCCAGGCAGAGAGGAACATACTACTTTTGTTTTTGGAGCAGTTTGCCAGGATATGGGCACTTCCCAGGTCACTCAAAGGTGGGTCCAAAATAGTTACTTTGATTTCTACCGTGACATGGCTTGAAGTCTGACTTCTACTAGCATCATTCGAGAAGTTTACCAGTGCTGTCCATGGTCCCCTCTCCTCCTATGACATTGGCCAGGTCCTGATACACGTGCCTGGACCCTTTCGGCCATGGAGGGGACTTCTTGGTTTCGCCCCAAATCCGCGGGACCCGTTGCCCACACCACAGGAACCCGGAATTGACCTTTCTGGGCTTGACTTTTCGTTTGACTTTTTCTCGCCTTTATGATTATTTTCGTCTGGGACTTCGATCACCTGTCATGGTTATATCCGTTGCTGCACCTCCGCTGGTGCCCTCTCTTCATCACCGAAGCACACTTATGTACCGTTATGGAGCAAGGCTGAGACAATGCGTACATTATAAATTAACATAATAAGACAATAATATTACATATTAGCCAACACGACCTAGACCAGAGAGTTCCTATACCTCTACATAACGACCGCCACTCTACCTTGCCTTATTGTCCCCAAAGTCCTTCGGCACCTCAGGACCCCATATGGACAACGGCCCGACAGGTTCCCTCCGAGTCGGATTATCCTCATTCACCATGTCTCCGTCCGCGTAATGCTCGATCTTAAACCCACTGCTATCATACCAATAATCGAAAATCTGACTGCCGAGGATATGCCGTCCCACGCCCCAAACCGACCTCCACCCTTTCTTAGCAAGATACCTGTGCCCCATCAACTGCTCGTCAAAGTCCGCTACCTCGAACGAGCTGTGATGGAGGTACGTCTTGCGGACATTCGGCGGCGCCCGCTGGAGGAACAAACTGTGGTGGTCGGAGTACTCCGCTCCCAGATCCAGATGCATGAAAGTCAGGACATCGACGTGCGGGAACTGCGGTAGGTTAAGGATATCCGAGTGCACGAAGTTGAAATTCGACGTGTAAAAGTCGAGCTCGGTGTCGAACTCCCGACACACGTACCCGTAGTGGCCCAGCTTGTGCACCAGCGCAGGTGCCTCGCGGTACCGCTGGAACTGGCCTAGTCGTTTTTTCTGGAAGGGTGTGTTGTACGGCCCTTGCGACTCGTGTGTCGCGGACGGGGGCTGCTCGGTTGAGGTGTCGACGCTGCGCTCGGTCTGTCCGTAGACGACGTGGAAGAAGGTGCCGTTGGGTCGGGCGAAGGTAATCAGCTTGCCGCCGCCGGGGGCCTCGTCGAGCTCCTTGAGGACGGCGCCTGGGAGCGCTGCGGCCTTGTTGAAGTTCGCCTCGTCCTTAGCTACCCAGGCGCCGCCTAGGAACCGTGATCGGCCGGTCTGGCTCTGCGAGGCGACGTAGACGTATGGGTCTTTGCCGTAGCCGCGGTAGTAGATGGTGTTCCCTTGGCGTTGCTCGGGTATGAAGCCAAAGTCCTTGGCGAATTTGTCGAATTTCTCCAGGTCTCTGTGTTCGAAGTAGACGTGTCCGATTCGGGATAGTTGGATTTTGGATGGGTTGTTGGTGACGGTAGGGATTGAGGACGGTGGGAAAATCCAGTCTTGCCATGATTTAGGCAGACGAGCAATCACGTCGAGGATGAACAGAGACATCTCGCTGTTTGCGATGCGATTGTGCCTTCCTGTAGTAGTATGCTGTGATGTTATGCGTGGAAAATGCAACCTAAGCTAGTCTGTGTTCGTTCTGTCAATGATGGAGAGAATGCCAGGTATACTAACAAGATGAAACAAATAAAGAGTTCTATTTCTATATTATATCTGAATAGTTGGGACAAAATCTGTTAACCTCGCCATCCCATGTGTTCCCGCGGGAGAATTCCCAACTGGCGGATATCAAGACTCGCCGCGGGACAACTTCGGAGTCACTAACTATACTCACTCTTTGATTTACACACCATGCAAAATGTTAAAGTGTTTTAAGTCCTATATCAGAAAATTGCAGACCCTTTTATAATAAACTTGCCTGACAGCCACCCTTTCCACTCTCTGCATTTTCAGTTCTCCAATGAATACCGACGTGGTTATTGTTGGCGGTGGCCCGTCAGGCCTCACTCTAGGGCTTGCTCTGGCAAGACACCAGGTTAAAGTAAGTGGATACCTTTTATATCCGTTTGAAGGAGATAAACTGATTCTGCTCAAGTCCATGATTCTTGAGAAAGAGCATGACATCACACAGGATCCTCGAGGAGTCGTACTCACAGGTGATGCTCTTCGAAGCCTATGGACCCTAGGACTGGGGAAGCACGTCTCTTCGATAGGGCAGGGTAGGTGCTATATCCAGGCCATCAGTTCATTTGAGAATCAGAGCTAATTTCAGCTACACGGTAGAGCTACACTCGCTGAATTTTCATACGACTACCCATCAGAACGAACCTTTTTACAGGACCAAACTTGACTCGGATGTGCTGGAACATGCTCTGCCGAGTACCATCCTGCAGAGCCAACCGCGGCTGGGTAAGAACCCCGCGCACTGAATCTCGTATGATTCGCGATGGACCAATCTGACTGATTGCGCAGAGTATTTCCTCAGGCACTTGGTGTCCTCCTCAAAATATTGCACCCTCCAATCAAGTTGCGAAGTGGTTAGTCGCGACGAGCACGCCGACGGCGTCACCGTTCACTACCTCGACAGCAAAAAAGCACCCCACCAAATTCACGCCGCCTGGCTGGTCGGAGCAGACGGCAAAAGAGGCATCGTCCGCAAACATTTCCTGGAGCCGTCCGCTGGTGTCCGTCAGGAACCCGGGATCTTCGAGTACGAAGGCACATGGATAGCAGCCAATCTCGAGATCACCCTCCCCACGCCGCAAAGCCACCCCGACCTTGCGCTCTGGGCGGCTGGACTTGACCCTGAATCGGTATACGACCTCTTCTGGCCGGCGAACTGGCACTTCTGCCGGCCACCTGGAAAGCCGGTAGCCTGTGGCCGCTTTGGTCCGCATTCGGATCGACTGTGGCGCCATGAATTTGCGGTCCCCGAGTGGGACGACTCGATGGACGCAAATGCCATATTCTGGGAGCATCTCACCCCGCTCATCACACGAAACATCCGGCCGCTGCACGGCGGCTGCCCTGCAGAGGTAACTTTTCCCCGGGATTGTATTGAGGTGCTTCGCTGTCGCCCGTTCCGCTTCAGTCACCGCGTCGTTAATAAATGGTTTACCGAGCGGACCATGCTAATTGGAGACGCGGCACATGTATTCCCGCCGTTCGGTGGGCAAGGGGTGGCATGTGGTGTCCAAGACGCCGTCGGGCTAGCCTGGCGACTCGCCATTCTTACCAAGATTGACTCTCTGGCGCACTCACGGACTCTGCGGGAATCTCTTCTTCAGGCATGGGCGGACGAACGTCGCATGGGCACTGATAATTCCGCCCGGCTGACCCGACAGAACGGCGAGTTATGCAACAAAGAAGGTTCATGGTCCTTATCGGTACAGCTCGCCTGTCTGAACATTGCCGATGGTTTCCTCGGGGCTCTGGGTATACGTTTCGGGCCGTTCGGAGCAGATAGCCAAGGGTACCGCGGCTGTGTCGGGGGCGGCTTCATTACCGAGCACGGCGGAGGGATCAAGCTGGGCCAGGTCTACGTGCAAACACGTCATACAGATGCCCCGGTCCTGAGGGTTGAGCTGTCCGATCAGGCGCTGCGGCGCGTCCCTACCATCCTGACTCTTCTTGTCATCGCCCCTATCCAGTCCTCTGAAACAAAGCAGGAACTGGTCGCTCTCCCTCAGGTGCTGCGGCAGTCTGGAATGGACCCTGCAGTGTTATCGGAGCAGTCAATTGTGCAGTTCGATCCTTCCGACTCATCAGAGCACCTCCCCGGTGGGAGTCAATGGCCGGTTTGTCGTGTAGCACCTGCGGGCCTGCTCATTGGGTACCCCGTCCGTCCAGGATATAGCTCTGCGCAGTTCATGCGTCGTCTTGGTGACTCTCGCGCTCGATATGTGATTGTTAGGCCGGATAACATCGTTATTGCCATGAGCAGAGACCTATATGGCCTGAAAAGTAATCTGGGCGCGCTTGAAAAGTGTCTGTCTTAAAACTGATTGATTATTTGATCTGCAAATTTTCTTGTTACTGTCACTGCTTGCTCTTTGTCTGATCTTACCCTACTGTATATTATCTGCAAAGTCTAATATTGCAACAAGTAATCTTTCATATTTATATGTGCCATTCCCTAACCTGTCACAAGGCCTTCAGGGCTATGCAACGATCTGTCTAAGCTCTCACATACACAGGGTACCTTGCCAGACACTATCCCAGAGCTACAGATTGGCAGACACAGCACAACGCCTTAACTAAACCCCCACTTCATACCATGTCGCGCTGTTTACAGTAGCAAGAGATCTAGCAAGATATTCTCCTTATTACATGACCATAATCAATATACAGACTTAGGTGACAGGGAGGATACAGCAACTGAGAACTCCCCGGAGCTCAACCTTACACCAGCCACAGACTGAACCTATACCACAATCTGGACTTGATCAATTTCCAGACAAGGGTCCTGATCATCTCATAAGAGGAGACACATTAGTACAAGCGTCCACCATTCGGAGAAAAAAAAAAATGTTTTTAACAGATGTGATGTTAACAGGCTCCAAAGAAGGCGAAAGGTCATCTCACAGCATATTGTCCTGGCCCTCTTCAAACGCAATCTGATTTTTCAGCACTCCGAGAGCGGTAATCTCAATTTCGACCGAATCCTTATCCTTGAGGAACTGTCGAGGGGTTTGGAAGGCACCCACACCGGCGGGAGTCCCTGTCATAACAATTGTATATGCGGGAATCGTGGTGCCTAATCAGAACAGCAGAAAAAACAATTATTAAACCAGTCTGCTCGTCGCTTCAAATTCGAGACATATTGGACGTAGAGACACTTACCCTGTGACATCCAACTGAGAACCCTCGCCGGCTCGTAGATCATATCCGTTGCGAGGTGAGAGTCTTGCTTGACTTGTCCATTGATGCGCGTAATCAACCGAGCCGTCTTCGCAGCCTTGTGCCACACGGACGGATGAACCAGCACCGGGCCAACCGGCGCAAATCTATCAAAGGCCTTGGCGTAGAAGAACTGCCCGCCGGACTGCTCGGGGAGTTGGAAGAATCGGCAGGAGATGTCATTCCCGATGGTATAACCCAGAATACATGAGGATGCTTCTTCGACGGTGAGGTCTCGACACTCTCGCGAGGTTACGAAGCAGAGCTCACCCTGTTATTCAAGATGTGGGCATGGTCAGACTTTGTCCACTCGGTCGTACTTTATACAACGTTGAACGGGCTTCAATTAATAAGGACAGTACTCACCTCCCAGTCTGGTAGATGGGACGCACAGAACCGGTTCATCGCGATTGTCTCGTCGGGACCGGCCAGAGCAGCAGGCGGCTTCGTCCACAACGGTGGATTCGCGGGGACATTCAGCTAATTTCCTGATCAACCTCTGTCTGGGGACCTCGTATGGGGACCTCGTATAGTGACCAACTTACATTTGCTTCTTTTGCATGGCTCTTATAGTTAAGCCCGACACAATAGACCGGCAAATCGTGTGCAGGGACAGGAGAGAGGAGCTGTAGACGATGTGAGACCGCGTTCAGAGGTGAATATCATTCTTATGGACTTGTGATACCTTGGCAATGGTAGCGACTACACCATTCTTCTTCTCCTTCAGTTCTTCGAATGAGTGATGTGCGTTGATTTGGGCCCCAATGACGGGCCCCGTAGAGTCGATGTCGGCAAAGAACCTGTCTCCCTTCTCGTTTTCAAAGTGGATCAGATACTTGAACTCAGGCATTTTCAGTGGTTTTTGTTCCTTCGATCGTTTCTGTCGTTGAGGCCGGATCTCTCTTGGGGAATTTTAGGGCGAAGGTTAGAGTGAGCAGGGCATGCAGGAGATCTCAGGAGGGAAGCCAGGTCTTGTGGAAGTGTAAAAACGTAGATAGTAAAACTTCAGGCGAATTATAGATCTACTAATACAGATGGTAACTACTTTTCCTCGGCTCCTGGTGATGATATGCCGTAGAACAGTGGATAGGGTGGAGATTCCCCCGCGGAGGATCTTTGGCGGAGGGTTCAGACCCACGGTTTCTCTGGACTGGAGCCGAACCAAATAATCATAGCAATAGTACCTACCAAGTAGAAAACTACGGCCATCAAGGCCGTTGCCCTTCTTGTTTTAGTAGGTGAGCAGTGCCGCCCTGAGCTCGCGCGACTTGGGTGAGCGGGTCTGTGGTGGGACTGAGCAAGATGTGCATCATCAGTCTGACGTCCCGACAGCTGCAGCTAGCAAGACTGCGTCGGCTTCTAATTCCGCCGCAAGAGCTACTCCGAACGCCGTGACCTGGGGTGGATTAGGTGCTTTGCTCAGTGTATATTCAGTGGTGTTAAGTGCTGCTTTGTTCTGATAATGGAGTGCCTATAATAAAGTAGAATAGCTGTGCCGTTGCGAAGCTTCACTACATTCAATAAGAAAACCTGGCATTGCAAGTAATTTATCTGTCTCTGCGATCAATTCATTAGTCCTAGGGTCACCTTTACAAAGTCAATATCAAGATTCCAGTTGCTTTCCCTTGTCTTGCTAGCATACATGCTAGGCACCTACCACTACTCTCATCTCAAACAAACTGCATATCCTTCCTTTCAAACCAATCGAAAAAGCTTGTTCGAATCCAATAGCCTGGTTCCCATCCATGCCAGTGCTGCTCGATGACTCACTCTTGAATGTATTTGGTTCAACACTGCGCCAGACACGGCTCTCAGCACCCCGGTTTCGATCCCAGTCGCCCTCTTCAAATACCCCACCAGTCTCCTTGGCTCGGGCCAGACACAACTCGAACGGTCTTGGAGATGGAAAGATCGAAAACTCATCACCCCTGTTGCGCAAGAGTGCGATAGAGCTCATCCGCCCGGTAAAGCACTTTCTCAAGCTGAGCCACCATAGCATCGCGTCCTTGCTCTGCGTCGCGCTTAGAAAAGCTTATATTTGGATCGGCCCACAGCACAAGCATGATATCCTTGCAGTAGCGGAAATGCGTTTGTATGAGTGTAATAATCGCGTCGTATGCACCCCATGATATCTTGAGTTCTGCGGAGCTGCTGCCCCTGGCAGTTGGATAAAGGTGTGGAAGATTGCAGAAGATTATAGCAGAGCTGATGCAAAATTGGCTTTCGGGAGATACAATCTCCACGCCTTTAGTATACCTGAAAGGTGTATAAGTCAGACACAGGTCAAATGGAACAAACACCTCGTCGAGCTTCGCAGATCCTAACAACTTACTCCATTCGTAATCGATTCAACGTCCACTGGAGCCCCGCATTTCCGGACAGCGTAGGGTGTAAAGCACAGGTAATTTGACTCCTAATAAGTGTCGGGTGTTGTTGAGCATTTTCTCCACTGTCGGTCGATTGGTGGTTAGAACAGCCCAGGGCGCTTTGCTCCTGGAGTTCTGCCCTAGGCGTTCCATGTTCAGCTGGATAACGCCGGAATCGTAGCGGTATAGACATTTTTTGTCATCTGCTGCATGTTGAAAATCAGGCATGGTGTGGGAATGAGAAAAGAATCTGGAGTAAGAAGTGGCAGCGGAAGCCGTAGCCTGAACTCCATATTTGAGCATGAGGCTGAGCACCCCCGCCTTTCCGGTGGGGTAACGAGTCTTGATGTGGAAGAGCTTCATTACTTTTTTAGCATGATAAGAGTCCTAGTTATAGAGAGTAAGGGCACAGTGCTCATAGATTAAGTGCTTTAGTTACATTTAATAGTGTGTGAAAGGTGACAGATAATATACTGAGGCGCCGCATATGTCTACTCTTTGATGTAGCACTATACCAACAGGTACAACAATAACATGACGAGGGAACTATGCAACTAAGATAAAGCGAACTAGAATATCAAGCAAAAGTATCAGATGTCGAGGGACCAGCCCTAAATATGCAGCGTCAAGAAAAACAAAAAAAAGAACAAACAAGTAAGGGATCCTTGGATCTGTAAATAGCCAGGCTGGAGGCGCATAGAAAATCTAAATTGGGCCAAGGGCAGACAACGGCCGACGTGATACAGTTCCATGCACTCTCTCAGCATGGTTCATCAATGCCGACTTACTCTCTAGCTCTTCCTTGCAGATGCTGCATTTGACCCGCATGTCTTTCGGATATCGTATGGCGTGAAAGTCAACAAAGTGACGGCCGAGGGACCCAGGGGTACCAAAGTCTTTGACTCGCTCACGTTCCGGCATACGAGGATTTCCCAGGCAAAGAAAGCAAATGTTCGGCCGTTCACGCCGAGCTTTAATGCAGACAGACGCAATTGCTTGGGAAAGAGTGGTCTTTTGTTCCTCAAATGAAGTGGATTCTTGCCTTTTCGCAGGGGGAGCAGACGGTAAGACATCCAAGGCGCGACGTTTCTGCGTAATGTTTGGTCGCCTCGTGGGTGATCCCTCTTCCACATCACAGAAAGCGGTAACCGCGTTGATTGCAGCAATCCGGCGCCGATACTCCTTTTCGACAGTTGAGCCCGGCATGGTCAGGATGGTGTCGATCAATATCATATGCTGGGGGTCATATATCCTGTCCGCTCCAGAGCACCCATCACCTCTTCATCTACCAGCTTTCCAGCAAGTTGCCTCTCACTGTCAATCACCGGCTGCTCGTCCTTATATCGTTCCAGATTCTCACGCACTAAGCGGTTACGTTGCCGTTGCCACTCATTCAGACGACAAAATGATTGGACCACTTCCTAGTGATCTGGTCGTCAATCAACATCTAAGAAAACATCACCACCGAGATAACACCATCGAGTCGGCGGAGGCTGAGATTGAGAATATATATATATATAAAGCAGGGCAACAGGCCTGGCGGCATACAATATGGGGCTACAGGAAGAAAAAAGGAGCCTCCAATTTTAGTATCTAAACAATTGTGTTGTTACCAGCCTAGATAGCTAAAAGATACCCAATTTAATCAGGATCGATTGTGCATTGGTGGCATTATGGGTAGTTGAGTCTCCTGCATAGCACCATTACTGGATAGACGAGTTCTATAGGCGCAGGGTATTGCCTATCATATAGGCTTGATCTCCCTTTAGTACACAGGGTGATAATCGTTTACGAATGCTAACAGCAAGCAGTTAATCATGACAATGTAGACAAGGAGCTATGAGCCTGACACTGATGCTTGGGTCTTATCATAGATGGAGGCCCATTCCTGCGTCAACTACCAAAGTATAGCAAATATACATATAGTTTGCAATGTCTGTTTATTTAGAGAAGTATTGAAAGGCCTATGAGTGGTTACTTAGACTGTACAACCCATCACTCTTAATAGACATCATGACTGATTCTGGTATATCAGATCCCTCATAAGCCCAGGGATCACCTTTAAATCCAACGCAGCCTCCAGATCCTCCTTATAAACCCCTGTCTCCACCAAAAACTCCCGCACAGGCTCTGTCGCCCGCAGATAATAGCATAAACAATGCACCACACTGCGCCCCTTGGTATCCACAATCCGCACATCCGCTCCATTTTGAATCAAAAACCGGATTATCGGGGTTATGGGGCCCCCAGGAGAGCGCGGCGGAAGTATCGTCACCGTATGGAGCAGCGCCGTCTAGCCCATGCCCGTCTAACTACGTGCATTGATGTCCGCTCCCGCAGCAAGCAGAGCCTGCGCTTTGGGTATACTCCCGATAGCAGCGGCGCAGTCAAGCGGGGTGACCGTATCACAATCATCCTCACTTTCAGGCCCACTGGTGCACTCGTGCAATTCTCTGAAGATGTTTTCTCCGGACTCGTAGCCGCCCATTAGAATGCCAGCGTCCGCGCGCGCCCAGACGTCCGCCCTGTGCGCAAGGAGGTAGCTGATTAGGGGGGTGTTGTCAGCCACTGGTCGTGTGCAATTGGCCCGAAGGATTGGGTCCTCGCCGAAACAGTGAGTAGCTAAGTGCAGCGCGGATGCGTTTCTGGGGAATGATGGGAGGGCGGAGATATCTACAGCGCATTCCTCGATGAGAAACTTGACCGTGCTGAGGTGGTTTTTTGCTGCCGCAAAGTGTAGTGGGGTCCAGCCGTAGCTGTTCGCATCGTCTGCTGGCAGATACGTATGCTGGAGAATCCACGCAACCGTCTCTACGCGCCCGGCCTCCGCTGCGCGGTGCAGAATCGTTGAGTTTGAGGTGCTCCGCGCGGTCATATCCGCTCCAGCGTCAACCAATGTCTGCAGGAGAGATAGCGAACTGCTGTATGCTGCAGTGTGGGGGATGGTTTCGTTGTACTGATTCCGCAGCGTGACACTCGCCCCTGCGCGGAGAAGCACTGCGACCGCATCCTTGTCATCAGACTCAACAGCACTAAAGAGAGCACTTTCTCCGTTTGAGGCGGCAGCATCGACCTGGGCCCCAGCCTGCACGAGCACCTCGATAATTTCCCATGCATTGGGGCCCTTCGCGGCATAATGCAGCGGGGTCATACTGTGTTCGGGGCAGGAGTTCACGTCCGCGCCTTCGCGCAACAAAAACCACACACAATCCAGAGATCCAGAGGCGGCCGCCTCGTGCAGAGGAGTCATTCTGTCGAGATCGGCCCGGTGGAGAAAGCCATCATGTTAGTGTTGAGGCTTGAGCTTGTTCCAGATGAACTCCAGGATGGCGAGATTGCCGACCCTTGCGGCGACGTGGATCTCTGTCGCGTGAACTCGCCCATGAATCCTTTGACATTATGCTCGTAGAGTAGCTGGACGATGTCCAAGCGCTGGTGCCTGATGGCCACGCTGAGCGGCGGATTACTGTAAGGCTCATCTGGGGAGACGTTGCGGTTGAGCAGGTGGCGGGCGGTGGCGATGTCGTTCTTCCTTATAGCGGTTATCAGGAGTTCATCTGGCCTCTCTGTTGCCATTGCTCTGTCTATGTCTGCCATATCTGTGTGTGGTGTGTCTCTACTCGACGTTGGTGGATGAGAAATGGTTGAAAAATGAGGAAAAAGGATGGACGGAATGGTGGGGTTTAAGCAAGTCGGATTTAGTGGGTACAACTACTGACTACAACCTGATCAATCACGCATTCACGTTTCACGCCTCAAGATAGCTTATGCTGAGAGAACTTGATAGTATAAATGATTACGATGCAGGAAGCTAGTTCTGGTATATCTAACAATAGAATGACTAGGATACCGTGATGGAGCATGTTTACGCCTCTAAAGGTAGAGATAGCACTAGAGAGAGCCCTAACATGACTTCCATAGTACAATTGCCATCAGACTCAAAGTAACAAGATAATCTAGACTACAACAACGCACTGCACATTTAGTGGCCTCTATCTATCCACCATGGATATATCTAATTTGCTGCGGCACCCACTCTGTCCATCCCGCCATAATCTCCCTCTCAACCATGAGGAAATTGCGACTCATTCCGTCCCTGAACTGCTGATACTGAGACGTATGGAACTCGAAGGGGTTGTCGCTGCCTGGGTAGATCGGTCTGAATGCTTGAGCCCCAGATATCCCTGGTCATACAGAGTACGCGCGAATTCCGCCAGTTCTGTTGCGTAATAATGGTTGCCCGCACCACTCGGGGAGCCGCCTGGGCAATGTACCACCGCTGTCCTCTGGGGCATTGCAGGGCTCTAGATCGCGTATTTTCTGTGTTGGGATTGCCGTCACGGCCGTCATCCCGGTTCCAGATCCGATTATCACCACGCGCGCCGTTGTCGAGGGTTTGCCCGTGGAAAACAGTGATGCTGCTGCAGCCAATGTACATTTGGCCCTTCTTTGGCCGAAACAAAAGCCCATCCTGTGAATGTGTCAGTCTTCTTCTTACTGAACGTGCAGCAGATTCCCGCGGTCCATCAGAGAATGGCGAGAAAGGGACGTACATTGTTGTAGTGGAAATGGAAAACAACCCATTTGTCGTTGTCTGTTTCTTGATACTCGTTGGCATTGGCCCCCAGAGTCCCGATCTCGCTTCCAATCCAATAAGCTATTTCCAGTAAAGGACCTTCTCTGCTCCCGTCGCCATTCCGGTCGTTGAAATGTTCCCACCGGGCATAGTGCAGGGTCAGGTCTCCATTCCTGGTGCCGCGCAGGATGGTCCGCATGGTCGGCTGCCCATTTACCTTTGAGTCGGTAGATATATCAACGATATTGATATGTCGTTCTTCAAGGTCTGCATTGTCACTCTCCGCCGCAGGAGTACCCCTTTTCGCCGGGGCGTTGCCCTCGGCCTCTTGAATGGTGCATAGGTCATCGACAGCCGTGACCATGCAGTTCAATGCCTCGTCAGCCGTCCGCGGGTTGGCCATCAAGTCACTGACATAGGCATACCGATCAATGCCACCCCCGGACTGGTTGATCGCAGCATTCATCTCGGCCATCAGGAAATGGTCGCCGTACGTCACCGGCGGCCCGGTATGGTCGTACAGATCGATGAGGGCCTGGACGTTCGACACCATCGTTCGCGCATTGTACGTGTTGAAAAGCTCAAAGTCGTACAGGTTCAGTTTGGTCCGCTCCACCAGTGCTTGATCCTCTTCCGGCGACCAGGAGTAGCTGTGGAAATCAGGCGGGGCCCCTGGATCCTGCATGTATCTTGAGATCAAGGACTGATACTCGTAGTAGTATAGGTGATTGGGGTCGCGGGGCTCAACGGTGGTGGTGTTCGGCTCAGTACTGCCCCCGTCATCAGTCTTTGGGGGAGGCGGGGGATCTCCTGCTCAGCAGTATGCCTCCCAGCCCAGCCCGCAGTCGCCTGCATGCATTCCCAGCCGGGTTTGTCCTTCGAGGCAGGAGCTCTCGCAGAATGCCTCCGCTCTCAGGAAATTGGTGGCCTTCTTTTGCCACGAGCACTTCTTGAACTGCCAGGGCACCTCGCCCTTACAGCAGAAGCTCTTGGCTCCCTGCGTACACGTCTGCTCTCCGCTGGCGCCGTTGGAACTGGCAAAGACAAACGTCGGATAATCGCTGGGGCAGTTTTTATGGCCGCTGGACGAGGAATACAGGCCCGCGCTTCCCACCCACTTGCATTCACCATAGGGGGCTGTAGACGGCGTGACAGTGCAGCAGGCAGACTGATGCTTGGTCTGGCAGTATGGATAGCCCAGTGTGCCAACTTCAACCTCACCGTCCTTGCACCCGGGGCTGCAGTTCCTGCTGTGTTTTGGCATACCGCGCCATTGACAGCTGGGCAGGTCCACGTCGCCTGGACAGCAGAACTTGCGGGAATCCTGACCCGAGTAGCAGTAGGTCTCGTCAGTCATACTGAGAGTGTCGCTGTCTTGCGCCTGATCCATTTCCACCCGGCGGGACAATTCTCGCCGCAGTTGGTCCAACGACACACGTCCACATTGCTGCCGGCACTATCATCCCTCTTGGTCAATGTCAACGGAGCTGCGCTCGCGGCAGAGTACGAAGGCAGCTGCATTCATTTCTTCCCAAGGCCGGTCATCAGCCCTTCGGCAGAGGTTGACTTATGATTGTCATGGCTGATGGCCCACACCATCACGCCCCCAAGCACTGCGAGTTTAGAGGACTAACCTTAACTAGTTTCTAATACAATTATATTCAAAACAGAACCTTAGCAACGAGGCCATCATCGTGCACATTACAATTGACACTAACATGAAGAGAAGAATGTAAAAGCAGCTTACAAGTCTTTGGTAGACAGTCTATTGGCGAAAGGTTATTCTCAATTACTGAGAGCATGAAGCATTATTTAGTGTGCAACATTCCAGATCATGACGATTTTAAGGTGGTGGTTGTTGTCTGAAAGCAGTGTTGGGTAACCAGTTGGCGGATGCCCAGTGGATGCATGCATTGGGTGTGGCAGGCAAGGTGGGGTGCATGGACAAGGGACAATAGAGCTTTGGCTTCTATTTAATGGACGGGCTGGAACGGGGGCATTTTCAGGTGGGGATTCGGACGGGTAATCTAATCACGCCGTCACCGACCGCGTTGCAGAAATCCCATTTCCAAGTTTCCCAAATCCGCAGTGGTGGATCCCTGTATGTCTTACCCCGGTTCAGGGTGACATATGCTTCTATTGAATCATTGGATTTCTAAGTCATTGCAACGAGGAAGCTAGTCTGATTGAGTGACGGTGTTGCATCACCGCCCGTGCTTTTCTTCATTAAGACTTAATTTCAGCGGAAAAATTATATATCTCCTCAACTCCGGATTCTCAAGTCCAGAACTCTCCATCTTAAAGGCAACCATACGAAAATGTTGTCGGTCAACATCCCTACCTACTCGAAACCATCCGGCTACCAGCTTTCTGAACTCCCGAAGCCGGAAATTCAGGACCCGAAAGATGTTCTTATCAAAGTTCATGCTGCCAGTATAAATCCGATCGATGTGAAAAAGGCCGAGGGTATGTTAAAGTTTGTGCAGAAAGACGCGTATGTGCATCTCATCTAGATCGCCAGAAGGTGACTCACTCTGAATGGCTCAGGTTCCCATATAAGATTGGCTATGATTGCGCCGGTACAGTCGCCGAGGTTGGAGCAGGTGTGACGCGGTTCAAAGTCGGAGACGCAGTCTACGTTAGATTACCGGAAACATGTCGAGGTTTGTGATAATCGAGAAGAGATGCTCGTATTTGAGCTGACAAAATCAAATTAGGCTCGTGGAGTGAGTATGCCAAATGTGCAGAGGAATACATCGCTCTCAAGCCACCGTTGTTGTCGTTTGAGAGCGCAGCGTCGATTCCATTAGCGGGAATGACGGCTCTTCAGGCGCTGAGAAAATATGATGGCGATCTTTCTGGGAAGACTGTCTTTGTACCGGCTGGATGTATGCTTCGCCTGATTATCACATTACGTTCTCTACTAACACAATGGCAGTGAGCGGGACCGGTCTATACGCCTGCCAACTTGCAAAACACGTTTTTAATGCCGGGAAGGTGATCACGACCGTCTCGACATCGAAAGTTGCCAAGGTGGACGAACTCTTAGGAAAGGGAACCGTCGATCAGAGTAAGAAGTCCATCCCATATCTCACCATGCAATGACTGCTGACCCGATGCAAGTAATCGACTACAAGAAGGTCGACCCAAAGACTGCGATCGAGCACGGTACTGTTGATTTCTTGTTCGACACAGCAGGTGTCGCCATGGAATACCTTTGTTTGATGCGACCAAAGACCAGTTGGATTGTGTCTATTGCAACATCCCCTTCAGGAAACCAGCTGCAGGATTTTCTTGAAGGCCGCAACTCTGTCCCAATATATGTCAGACTCGTACTGAATTTGCTGGATTCCATCCGCAAGATGCGCGCTCGACGCTACGGTGTTAGCTTTACATACATGTTCCTGCATGAGAATGGCAAGGACTTGGACGCGATGCGGGAATATGTTGAGGATGGTAAATTAAAGGCGGTCGTCGGGACTACAGTGGATATGTCCGATATTCAGGCCGTGCGAGCCGCCTGTCAGGTTGTATACAGCAACCAGGGAGGCCTTGGAAAGGCTGTGATCAAGGTTGCTCCGTCTGAGAATTGACCATGAGTACTTGCGATGTCTTCAAGAAGACCCAGAGGCGCTGATGGTACCTCCTTTGAAAATATGTTGTGGTGGAGTGGCTTTGCTTTTGTCTTGATTTATACATTTTGTGACTTTAGCTAACTTGTGGACTACTCTAATTTCATAATATACTAGTAGGTAGTAACGTACCAGCTTCATCAAGAATGTCAGTAATAGACCTTTTTCCTGCGCTCAAGTGAGGAAAGATCAGGTATTACAAAGACTGGCCCTGAGTGATCCGACCTTGTATCGCACCCGATCCCGCATATGTTCGCTTGATTTACCCTCAGTTATTCTGAAGACCATCCGTGGGTGATCTCTTCTAGAAATAGTAGGTTGGCATTGCTACCACCGCGTAGTGTAGCTAGGGAACTAGATGTTCCAGAAGCTGCAAATCAGGAAGCTAATATTCACCGGCATGTATCGGATCTTAGGCCTCCCGGGGATCCGTTCTCTCGGATATCGGGACAGCTACAAAATGTAGACTGCCTGGATCGACGCTTGTTGTCGTAGGGCTAGAACCGTGCAACTCAGAAGTTTCAATGGCCGTATGGGCCGACCGAGGCACATACCGAGGATCCACTGACTAGCCCTAGGTCGGGGCAACAGTCTATCCGGTTTGCCATGTGGGGAATAAATCGGGGACCTACATGGCGGAAGATCTTATAGTTTGTCCTTCTCATACGACTGTCATTTGGAGATCTCCACTAGCTGGATCAAGGCAAGGTTGCGAGTATCTGTGAGGTTGCAAGAGCTTTCTTGCCACCAGAACCAACGAGTGAAAAAGGGACGAATAAGTAGATATCTCGTTATGGAAAAGTCACGTGAGATGCCGTCTAGATGTCTTCGCCATTGACCCCCTTTGTCTCCCCCTTTCTAGGTAGTCACGAATACCATCGTTCTCTCTCATTCGACTCCGCAGTAGACCTGAAAGATATATGGGGCTGTATGAATTTTTTTTTTTTTTCAATACGGAGGACAAAGGAGACAATAACACGACCCCTGTGAAAATGGCGGCGTTTGTTACAGAATTGTTAAATCCTGGCAATTACTTGGGAGGAGTGAGGTTTGATCCTGAGCGAGATATACAAGACCTGGCAGGCAAAGTTGTTTTGGTAACTGGAGGTAGGACGTGCTCCCTGATTCCAATCGAAGCCGTTGTAGAAGGTCCCTAACATTCTAGGAAATGCTGGACTGGGGAAGGAATCCATCCTCCAGTTAGCGAAGCATAACCCGGAGAAGATATTCCTTGCAGCACGCTCGAAAGCAAAGGCAGAAAGTGCCATTAGCTCTCTCAAAGGACAGCTCTCGAATAACGTGAACATTGCATGGCTTCCTCTGGATCTGACATCTGTCCAATCCATCAAAGATGCAGCCCAGCAATTCTGCGCACAGTCATCACGGCTCGATATCCTAATGCTCAACGCAGGTGTGATGGCGCTTCCGCCAGGGGAGACAGAAATGGGTCATGAGATCCAACTTGGTACAAACCATACTGGCCACTTTCTTCTGACCAAGCTCCTGCTCCCGACCTTGTTGAGAACTGCTCAGGAGCCGAACTCAGATGTGCGGGTTGTCTCATTATCTTCAATTGGACATAATCTCGCACCATCATTTGAAACCATCGTGGATCAGGACAAGTTGAAAAGAGTCCATACAAACCTTCGATATGGAGCCTCCAAGGCAGCCAACATTCTGTTTGCTGCCGAGCTTGCAAGGCGTTTTCCTTCAATCACCTCTGTATCCGTTCACCCGGGTATCATATTCACGGATCTTTACGGCCCTGCGAGCGAGTTCTCTACCGTCGCTGCCTTGAGTTCGAAATTGCTAAGCATTTTTGGAACGCCGGTCCGTGCGGGAGCCTATAACCAGCTATGGGCCGCTGCGGGTGCGAAGAAGCAGGATCTCGTCAATGGGGCGTATTATGTCCCAGTAGGGAAGCTCAAGGCTCACAATGAATACACCAAAAACGAAGAGCAAGGGCGACGTCTCTGGGACTGGACTGAGGCTGAGCTACACAAGTTTGGAGCGCTTACTTGATTCGGTTTCATAACCCACTGTCCAATTTGGCTTTCTTCGGATGGATGCTTAACTACATATAGCATGTTAATATATAAACTATGCCTGGCAGACTAACTTTGCATTTGTAAGTTCCTCTTATAACTAACTTGTATCCACTATTTCCGGACACGATTTTAGTCGCTAATTAAAATTCTAGGAGGGCTTCAGTCTCTAATATCGGTTGCTTCAGAAAAACCAGGAGTCTAGGGTACGACATGGGAAATATTTTACAATTAGATGAGGTAGTAAGCCAAGCATAATATCTGGTATGTCACCACATTCCTCCTATTGGGTAGTATTCGTGTATACTACGGAGTACGGATACCTAGTTACAAGTGGATCCTTTTAAACATCCCCGCGTTTCGGTCTGGTACCGGAGATGTCATCGGATAAGACCAGACACATCAAATATTCCGCACAACCACCGTTGCAAGCATCAATCGGAGCTCGTTAGCCATCTAGTCCAATCGAAATCTCCAGTTAGGTCCTCTTCCATAACCAAATCTGCATTGTCTACCATGCCTCGCATGAAACGAAAGACCAAGGCAAGGACATTCTGAGCCCATTCGCTACTGTTACAACATCTGACCCTCCTACTAGGATGAGGACCTTAAGCGGGTCCGTGAAAACCAGCGCAAATGTCGGCAACGAAGGCGTGACTACGTGGCCGAACTAGAAAGCAAAATCGCAGCTTATGCGGAGGCTGCGGCTGAGGCCGATAGGTGGCGAAAGGCTGTGGAAGGAGACCTCCGCAGAGAGAACGAGGCACTGCGGACCCTGTTGACTTCAAGCGGCCTCGATGTCCTGGGGCATAGTACTGCCGAAAAGCATCAGGAAGTTGTCTTGGACGATATACAAACGAGTCTCAGCTTCGCGGCAAATACTGTGCCGACCACCCTTGAACTGCACGCTGACTTGATGGCCCTGCAGTTGCCGAACGTATGACTATCCGACTATCCACCGTGCCTAAAAGGTGTGCGGTGCCACTCGCAGAAGCCATGACTAACTAACATCTCTCAGGTTACTCCTACCTTTGGATTTCCCGCTACGACACGGGAAGTCGCAAATACTGGACCTGCGGCGCCTTCGAGCGTGGATTTTACGCCCTCGCAATCTACAGATCTAAGCACTTGCCTGGACTTTCGGGTACCCACTCTCCATGGACCGACCGTACCGGATGAAGAATCGCAAAGCCGTCTGCTTGAGCTCCTGCCTCCGACTAACCAAAGTACGACCGGTCTTGATATCACCATAGGATTAGTTGATCCTATTCTACAAGACACGACACTGTGCGCTGTTGCTATTCACCTTGTCCGTCACTGTAATAAGAAGGCTCTAAGCATGGTGGAGCTGGACGCTAAGCTCCGTCACGGGTATAGGAATGCTAGGTCTCCTCTGGAAGGTTGTAGGGTCACTAACTGGGTTTTACTGTCCGTCCTGGCAGAAATTATACAATAGTCCCATTTTGTTTCTTGCTTAACTATTGTGTTAGTCCTAGAATTATCGATGTCAATAAAATGTTGAAGGATCATCGACAGCAGTGGCCAATCCCACCAACCTAACTAAAGGATACTACGGGAATAGAAATAGATATGAAGCCGGTGACATATCGGTCATCTTTGCTGGTGGACGCTTTAGGAGGGGTAAGGAATAGTGGTGACATACCAGTTATACGGCTGCCCAATCACCTGGTGACTTCGCCGTGCCTCACACATACTTGTGCGTAAACCCCTGTTGCTTGAGCTTCCAATGTACGAGACTCCTACCTTTGGCAGCTGTACGCTTTGGCCTAAGGATATAAATAGTCTAACTTCCTCTCATCGGCTCGCTCTCATAGTTTCGAATCAATCTACGTCAAAGATCACCTTGTCTCTTTCCTTTTGTTTCACCTATCCACCGTCCAAGAGCATTGAAGCTGCCAGAGAACAATCACCAGCACGGAAGTCTGTTGCAATGGCCGAGGATACCTATCAACACGTGCGGTCCCGCTATGGTGACATCGCCAAACGCACAGGCGACACGGTCCATGATAAGGAAGACGATATCGCATTAGCGTTTGGGTACAGCGCGAAAGACCTACGTGCCCTTCCAGGCAAAGCAAACCTAGGATTGAGTTGTGGCAATCCAGTGGCACATGCCAATCTCAAGGAGGTACCTGGCACAAGATTCGTGGTCGTGTATTCACACATTCTAACTCTCTGATGATTGAACTAGGGAGAGACGATCGTCGATCTCGGAAGTGGAGGCGGCATCGATGTTCTTCTAGCCGCTCGCAAGGTCGGACCAGAAGGAACTGCCATCGGGATTGACATGACGAAGGCTAGCTAGCGATTCTGTCGCTTGAGGAGCTATGGACTAATATCTCAACCAGGGCATGATTGATCTCGCAAAGAAAAACGCCGAAGCGGCTGGTCTGTCGAATACGCGGTTTATTGAGGCGTCTATCACCTCGATCCCGCTTCCAGATGCCAGTGTCGACTGTATTATCAGCAACTGTGTTATCAATCTTATCCCGTCAAAGGATAAATCGACTGTATTCCAAGAAATTGCTCGCTTGCTGAAGCCAGGCGGAAGGGTTGCTATCAGTGACATCCTGGCCAGGAAGGAGCTTCCAGCGAGCATCGTCAACGATATAGCTCTCAATGTAGGGTGCATTGCAGGGCCAGCCAGGTTGCAGAGTATGAGGACTATCTCAGACGCGCAGGATTCAAAGGTACATGCTGAGGTTCCACGCGGACCTTGCGGTTCCGTTGCTGATATGACTGCAGATATTCTGATGGTCGATACTAAAGCAGACCTCAATCTCTATAAACAGTCCTCCTATCTAGGTCAAAGTAGTTGCTGTGGCCCAGCAGATTCCCGCAAAGAGTGGCCAGCTGGATATTCTGAGATGGACTTCAACGAATGGGTTGGTAAGTTTCCTTCAATCCAGTACTGCTTATATGGAGACGTTAATCATCTGTACAGCCTCTTTTCAGATTTATGCTGTCAAATAGAGCAGTTTCGTGCAGGACGCGTCTTAGAGAGCTGGGGTCTGAAATGAAGCATGATGCATTTGATACCGAACGACTCAAGTTGATTATCTAATTATTCGGCTCTCTTCCGTCTTCCCGAATTCCATTTATTATGAAGTATTCTTCTAGCTAGGAGAAAGCAATATCTATCGTCAACAGATCTAATCCTTCCAACCTAATTGGTTTATCACGGCTTTCACAGCGTAGACAAGGCCCAACAGCACTGGCACCTCAGTTAATGGCCCCACTGTGGACGCAAGACCCTGGTTGCTGTCCGCTCCAAAGACTCGCAACGGCATCAGCGATACCAGCTTAAAGTTGTTGCTAGCTGCAGTAAAGCTCTGCGTCGCCGCCAACTTATACCCGAAACCCACCTTATACGTGATAAAAAGAGTCGCGAAGAATATGAGGGCAAAGTAAACAATAAGGGGAGCCGCAACCCGGACAACAGATATCTGATGCACTACTTGGCGGCCTTGAGAAGCGAACAACACCAGGATGGTGAACAAGTGGCCAATCAATGACCAGGGTCTGGCCCATTTCAGAAAGACTACATCATACCATCTTGGACGTGCAACCCATCGGAGGGTCGCGTGAGGATCCAGCGCCTAGGGGATCCCGAGGAACACAGCCACACTTTTCGCGGCGGTATTATATTGAAATCCAACGGAATCGCCGCTGATGACTGAATAAAAGAGACACCCGTCGGGGCGAACCATCGTTGTTGAAGCCACGCGTGAAGAAGGCATTGACATCACCGACCAAAAACTAAAAATCTTAACTGCAGATGCTGTCCAGGCCAGCGACGTTGTTATCACTATGGGCTGCGGCGATGCTTGCCGCTTCTTCCCAGGCAAGCGCTACCTTGATTGGAGACTCGATGATCCCGCCGGGCAAACCTTTGATGCTATACGCCCTATACGTGACGAAATCCGTCGTCGAGTCGAGAATCTAATCTGAGAGACGTTAGACTCTCGCTGAATCTTGTACTCCGCCATCAGCAGATGTACGCTGTCGCGCAGTGCTACCCCAAAACGTTGCTACCCGGCAACTAGATGTACCTAATTGTTGCCTTGATGAATAAAGGCTGCAACTTACTGTGAATAGAAGTTGAATTCCAAGCCACAAACATTCCATTGATCTGACGGAGGGATTGTTTTTCTATGACCAGACATGGCATTAAGTATGGTTTAAAAACTCATCTGGAACCTTTAGAGAGCACCAGTGAAGCACTATCCCATCTGCCTGAAACGCTGGAAAGTCGCGGGTCCTAAATCGTCAATGACTTCCTCTAATCGACCATCTGCCATCATTGCCACAACATCCCTTCCAGCTTTCATGTGCTTCTCCAAAGTGCCGAGTCTATGAGCCACAATGATGACAATGTGGCCCTGTTTAGTAAACTCATCGTCAATGATACGATGAATGGTGGATTCCGTGACTTCGTCGAGGGAGGATGTAACTTCGTCCAAGAGGACTACAGGCTTCATTCCGGAACGTTGTAACGAGTTGGCTTTGACAAGTGCACGACAGAGCGAGAATAGCTGACACTGTCCTACGGAGAGCTTCGGAAGTAGCGACACCTTCTGGTCAAGGATATGATATCCACTGGAGTTTGAAATATTGGTGATGGTAGCTGGCTCTTTCCCAGAGTACGTGTGGCCCTCGAAGAAATGTGGCCACAGCCCCGCTTTGTTCAATGCAACAACAAGGTCGTCATCTGACATTGAAGCATCTGGGTCTAAGTTAAAGCGCAAGGTCTCGTTAGGCAACACCAAAGGGTCTTGAGACACCGCGACGAAGCACCGTCGTCGTAGGACATCTAGCCTCACTTGCTTGATATCAATGCCATCGAGCTCGATCTTGCCGGATTCTAGCTCTAGAAGCCGTAGGAGCGAGAGGAGTAACGTGCTTTTACCGCTGGCATGCACAATGAGCCTTCGATACATAATTTGTACTTCATGCAGCGACTCACCTGCCTGTACGCCCGCACGCAATGAGTTTCTGACCTGCGGAAACATTCAGGCTCAGGTTCTGTAGAGCAACCGACCCCGGCCTTAATAGTGCACTTGTCAGCTATTTGAAAAGAGACCTTAGGCTGAATGCATACTCGTAGGATGCAGCGACGTTTTTGAATTCGATATGTCCTCTAGAAGGCCAGTTTTCCGGTGGCTCCAAGGTCCGGAGTCTCCCCCCCTCAACTGCAGCCGTTTCTTCAAGCGTCTTCAATCGAGCGATGGCACCGAGGGACGCCTCTACTGTAGTCCAATTCTCCACAAGCTTTAGTAGTGTTGAATTTGCTACGAGCATAACGTTGAGCGCGATTCCGACTTGTCCACCACTGATGTGCCCTCGAAATGCTACAACTATTGCAACAACACTCGTTGCAACAGCCGCACCCAAAAGGTCCAGGACCATGTTCAGCCATCTCTGGAGACACAATCGGAGAAATTCTGGACGCTGAGAGTTGTCGATGCTTCGGATATGATCCTGCATTGCAGCCCTAGACCAACCAAATGACCGTATGGTTTCGAGGCCCTCAATCTGGGAATTAAGATTAGCCGGTTACAAGGACCAAGGGTCGAATACATACACATTCCAAAGAACTCATGAAGACTCCTGCGTGGGACTCCAGCTCCAGGAATCGGAGTTGTCTCGAGGTCCGCAGATAAGCCTTTTGAATGACATAAACCAAGAGCACGCAGGCCGGTAAAGTTACTGCCAGCCATTTATCGGCCAGGCAAAGAAGTATGATCTGCATGAGCAGCTTGAAGATCTCTGGCAGCTTGTTATCCCAATAATTATTCAAAGAGGGAAAGCTGATCGTACGAGTTACCACAGTTTGAAGCGCTGATGGCAGCTGTTTGTCAATAAGCTGGATATCTTGACTGAATCTAGAAACCATTAATATGCATACAATGATGCAAGCCTGCACTCTTACCTGTTTAGGATTGAGCCATTGTCGGTTTTAGAGAAATACGACAGAGGCGCACTATACATGATTAGCCATCTCTTGGACTACCGTGTTAGGGTCTTTCGCAAAGGGCCTATAAACCTTGCAACGATGTGCAATAGACGTTGGTGTAGCCGCGACCCAGACTGCGGAGCAAGTCGGATAAGAACGGACCTATTGGACTTTAAGTGGCAATGCATAGCTGGCATCTCTCGCAAACTTACCACATCTGAGCGCTGGTCGAGATCCACGACAAGGTTGACAAAAAGAGAAATCCGCTAACGTAGAACACGGTGTTTCTTCCACCTAACTCTGTCCACAACTGAAGCCACTACTGGCGGATACTGAGGAAGAAAGCATATGATACAGTGCTGGTGATAAGGGAGAAAATGTTCGTAAAATCAATGCAACTGAAATAGTAGCCTAAGTTCATATTAGTCGCATCCATATAAATGAGAGAGGGAATTGCCATATAGAGCGGGATCTCCAGTCTGTCGAGCCAGGTCTATTTCAGTTTCATCTTTTGCTCGTAATTTGTCGCCGAGTTCATCAGAGTTCGCCGACAGGACGGCGTTGCCCCTAGCGTGATGGATCGAAGATAACTTCCCTAAGGATGCAGCTTTCACCTTGATATCCTGCCAATTCCCTTGATCTGTGATTCGGCGGTCTCCCAGAAAAATGATATGATCCACAGCTTGGAAATACTGAGCTATCTCAGGGTAAGTCAGTAAACTCGAGACTGAGCAAGGAAAAGCTTACAGGAATTAGAAACGAGGACTACAGTGGTCTTCAACCGCCGTGTTAGCCCTGTCCCCCCAAATAGATTATCAAAGATAGTTTTCTCCGTTTCCCCATCCAGCCCACTGAAGGGGTCATCGAGCAGAAGTATGTCGCATTTTGCAAAAATAGCGCGCGCGAGTGCCTGCAATTATGATGAGCTCAGCCCATACGTAGCAGTCCTGACAAACTTACTACATGCTGCCTTTGTCCTCCAGACAAATTGAGCCCCCCACTGCCAATTCGTGTCATATCTCGTTGGGGGAGGGAATTGAAGTCAAGGGTAGGACAACACATATCTGTTACCTCATGATACCATCTTTTATTATCTGGGTCACTAGCGCTGTAAATTTCAGTAGCACCATGAATAGCCTCTTTAATAGTACCATTAGGAAGCCACGGCTTCTGAGCACAATATGCTATCTGTCGCGTTGACAGACTAATTGACCCTTGCACAGGGACTACTTCCCTAAGAAAAGCGCGCAACAGAGTTGATTTGCCGCTGCCAGTAGGGCCTGATATTATAGCAAGTGATCCAGCAGCTACATCAATGTCAATATGCTCCAAGATCACTGGTTTATTGCCAATCCTCAGTTGTCGGGTTTGAATAGCAGTAGAATCTTTCGGTAATATTCCGCGAGAAGAATAGGATTGACCCATGTAAAAAAGAGTCCACTTAATACACCGTGGAGTTCTTCGGGTGACTGGTGCTTTTCGAGATCACCGAATGCTGAGGGCCCCCTGGCGCAGCATTCAAGTACCAAAAGCGCCAAGTGCATGCGGCAACGAATAAATACCGGACGCAAGGTATCGGCGTCTCTAGCGATCTCCAAGTCATGCCTATATGGACGGCATCGCACAGTATAGATGCGACAAGGTATAGTCTAGCGAGATCTGAGGCTTTATGAAACCGCTGTTGCTTATGGAGCAGAAGAACGCTCAGGCCCAAGGCAGCAGGTATAGAAGCAAACAGTGAGGCCGAAAACAAGGCCTTGTGCTGCACATCCATGCTTGAGAGCTTTATGTAATATGAGGATAGTATGACCGAGAGCAATACACCTAGACTCTAGGGCCGTTATTGCTATGAGATGTAGAACCCCGAGTCTTGGGGAGGGGGAACACTGACGGCCTTGAAGAGTCCTCGCCAGCTTTGGGTGCGGCGGATGCTAGACTTACGGAGTCCCCAGAGTCTGACAGGGAGAATCAACAGAAATATGGCGGCAGAGACTGTAGATACAGCAAGTAACACATGTGTTGGCTCTGGAGCCATTCTGGGTGCGTCAGTGATTGCTGTCGATATGGGCAGCAGCGAGTTGAAGCTCCTCTCAATAGTTTGTGAGGTTATCCCGAAGGACGAACTGGCTGACATTCAAAGGTACGAAGCAAGCGGTCATTAAAGGCACGGAGGACAAGATCCTGCCTATAATTTGTTCACAACTCCCTGTTGGAATACGGAACACTCGTCGAAGGACCAATTGGCGTCCATGTCGTTCTGGCCTAGTGCTTTAGAAATTCTGACAGTTTCCTCTTAAGACTTGTAAGGTTGGCTACTGGGATGCGACATGAAATACAGGGGTTTTTGTCCTTGATTGGTCGCCTTTGGCTAGAACCAGTGGGTGGTAAGATAAGGATCCATCCTTATGATGCCAACAGTAAGGCCGACTGTGTGGCCTTATAGCAAGCGTAATTTGCTGGCGCTACCTCGTATGACCAGCTTATACAGATGTCAGATTTTTGCATCTGGAAGCGTGATTAAGGGATATTTTTACTGCAACTAGAGCCTCCAAGAGGTCGTGTGCGCAGCTGGTGACTACTTGCCTGTTGAGCCTTCACAGGAGATTGGCTAACGTTGACGCAAGTAAAGCCAATGGTGAGCACATGGATCTAATATCCATGACTCGAAGCAGACGTTAGAAACCCAGATGGTATTGGAAGCCCCTGATGCGGAGTAGAGAGGTCAAGCAGCTTGGTTGCTTGTCAAATACTAAGCTCGCGTTCTGTAGAGGTCCAAGAGCAGAGGTGAGTTTGAAGAATGGCCTTAACGTTCTTCGAGAATTGGTTTGGGGCATCTGGTAGCAAATAGATAAGAGCTCTGGAAAAGGTGAACTTGCTGCCAGGCCCACTATCTATATGCTGGCTTGATCATTCATTGTTCCGTGAGGTAAAGTATGGGACATTCCTCTACTTTGGGTTCGATGAGGCAAAACATATAGATTCTTTCTTGAGATATTTTAATCTTCAAACACTCCTTCGATATCGAGATTTGATCATGATTGTGGTAAACAACCGCGAAAAAAAGAATCGAATCTGTGGCGCTGCCCGGAATCGAACCGGGGCTGGCACGGCCACAACGTGACGTCCTACCACTAGACCACAGCACCTGTTTGTTGATTTTTCTTTCTGTGCATGCTACAAGAAAGTCTGAATATATACATGCTTAATCGCATTCAAAATTGACCAGTACCTTCCAGGTATTTTCGTCCGGTGGAAATCTGGTGCTTCATTGAGGAGGTAATCACGGCAGTGGTTGCCTATGTTGGACGAGGTCCTAATTACGCAGTAACAATGTTGGCTGGAACGCACTAATTGCTATCCACTGTATTTATATATATATAGTTATATACTTAGGAAATCAAGGACACTGTGATTCTACTGTGTTGTAAAGCCCATCCCCAGATAGAGTGAAAGGAGTTAATCATCTAATTAGTAATATTACTTCAGCTTTGTAAATAGACAAGTGGCACCGATCATCTGTTTTCTATTAGTTGTATTCCTTGGATTGGATTACCAGAACATGGCCGCTACGAGAACACCAGCGATGACATTCAGCTCTGGCCAGCTAACACAATATGACACCACGCCGATTTCGAAGGGTAGTGTCTTAGTTGAAGTCTGGACTACAGGTTAGCACGCCTGAGTGATTCTCCTCAGCGAAGGACACGATACCAGAATCGATTTTCCCGTAGAATACGGCGACGGGGCAGGTTGACTCGGAGACAGTGCGGTTAAACTCGCAGTAGCCTCCGCTGTAGTAGAGGATACTCCATTTGTATTACCTAGTAGCGGAGCTGTTCCAGAGACGGCGGAGGCCACTTCGACAGGATTGGCCTCAAGACCGCAGGCGGTGCCAGCCTTGGACATCGAATCACCGTAGTATTGCCAAATCTCGTACTTTAGAGCGCAACCCAGACAATTGTTCAGATCGGATTTGAGTGTGTCAGAAGCGCAGTGGCCATGGCTGTGGCTGGCGACAACACCACCACCTTGGGATACCGGTTGATGAGCGCTGAAGCAGGTACCCGAGCGTATAGTCACGAACCAGAATTGACGTGGCAGTCATATTCCAGAATGTCTGGGTCCCTGGAGACGGTGCAAAGGTTCGGGGTAGGGGATTGTCCCGGCACCGATCGCAATGGAGAAAATCGTCCCAATGACGACAGGATGCATTATTTTACTTGAAGTTGCGCTAGTAAGTTAATAGCAATATGCCACTGATGGCGAGGCTTGATTACGGGTCGGCCGGACGGTGCGATGCACCCTGTATATAAATAAGAATTCTCCGTAGGTCCACCATGGCTCTCCAGATTGGCGCAGGCCACGATGATGCTGGAGGTGGTCCGAGTTTCGGCAAACCTTCGAATCGTCCTAATGCAGAACCACCAGCCATGCCTTACATCGCCAAACGGTCTATATTCTCACCCATTTAAAGGGAAATGATAAATCAATCGTGGATACCTTGTGTTGGACTAGTCCCTTGCCATAGTGGGCGCGGAGGACGATGATGGATCGACAAAGATCGGCCTGCCCCGCTATCTTACAGTATGATAGATAAAACAGAATGGAATTAAGGAAAGTTGCCATTGATGAGGGTCTTACTTACGGAATAATACTCTTCAGTGATCCCATAAAGTAAACTTGCAATAAAGCCACTATGCAGAATTTTCCAAGTGAGACTTGCGGGATGGCCATCTACAATATTAATTTGTCCAACTAATTGGAAGACATAAACAGGATCAAAAAGATTGGGAAATTTTGGCCAAAGGTCATAGCGCTAAAAATAGACTTCTTACTCCCTACTGGCTCGAAACAAACTCCTGCTTCCACTTACTCCTGCATCGCTGACCCTGGCTGGGTTTGGACTGTAGTCAGCCCCCCCTTTGCTGCTGTGTTGCTTCCTTGTGCTCTCCTCAGTTTCTGTAAGCTCCCCTTGGCTGTCTCTTGCTCCGTCTGCAGATCGTCACGTGATAAATTAAAGCAGCAGCGCTACTCACGCTAAACTAAAACGGTTGTAAACAACATTCAATTTGGGGAAGGACTATAGGGAGGTAGAAACCAGAGGGAGTGGTAGCAGGTAGTGAAACCAAGTGTGGGAGAAAGGTTTGCTGTCAGTATACTAACATTGGTGGCCTCGTCGGCTCTAATAACTACTTGTAGTCAGCTGGCCCGTGAGGATGATGGCTGCAGTATGAGTGGCGTAGGATCGAATCAATCAAACACAATCAAATCACACTGTATGCTCTGTGGCAGATTATTGAGTTTCACCTCACCTGCAGCTGAAAAAACCCGAAAGCACAACGAAAATGGAATTGTCCACTCCCTTAAGATAGCACTGTTCCCTTCCAAATCATTGGTAAGGGCTTTTTTCTTTACCAAAATTCTACTGACCGCCATGGCTCAGAAAAAACGCGTCCGCCAAACAGCCACAGCCCTATTCAAACAGCTTCCTACAAACGGGCGAATCCCTTTGACGCAAGTTCTACAAGCGACTTGGGTTGCAATATTTGCTCTCTTTATCGGAATCTGCTTTGTTCTCGCAATCGCCTACTCCGCAGATGGAAAGCCCACAGGTAGCAATAAGTGGTATGAATACGCTCCGACGTTTGTCGCTTTGGGAGCAGTCGTACTTCGAGGGTCGGTCGCCGCTTTGCTCGGGATTACGCTTTATCAAAACCTGTGGCAGAATGTTGCCGCGCCGGCCAAGGCTAACGGGGAGCCGCGCGTTGAGACGGGAGGGGAGGGAGGTATCCCGTTAAAGAGGGTTGAGTCACTGCACTTGGCTTCGCGTTTGGCGGTCGGCATGTTAGCCTATCCATTGTTCAGGGCTGGCTGGATAATTGGTTTCCTGGGACTTGCCGTAACCTCTGCTGTCCAGCCTGTCCTGCAGTCCGCCATTACAGTCAGGCAAGAGAGGCAGGTCATTCCTATGAGTTTACCGATATATCACCCCAGTTTAACGGATCGCTTGCCCTAAGCGACTCATCAGCAATGGTTGCAGGGGCTCCGACGACAATATCGAGGAGGTCAGCAGTCGCAGCTCTGATGGGAGAGAGAAGCGGACTTCGTTACACAGATGCCAACGTTACTGGTATTGCAAAATTTGGCCCCGTCAAGTACCTCGATGTTACCTGTAACATTGAAGCTGTCCCTGGAGTCAAATCAAATGCAGCCGGCTGGGACCTATACAATTTCACCTACCGATATCCAGACGCGGAACACGTTTCGGATGATTTTGATTTGACCAAATTCCGAGATGTATTCAATACCTCGGTCCTGTATGAGGGAGTTGAAATTTCGCTGGCTGCCAAATCAAAGGTAGAAGTGCAAGCCGTCATGTTCAACAACACACATTACCTTAGGCACCTATGCATGGTTCAAACCGCGATTGGAAGCTGTGCCACTCCTATTACAGCCGGCATTGGAAGCATGGGTGACCTCGCCTGCTTGAGAGGTCAGTTTATTAATGTCGACAGCGACCTCGATAAGCCCGGTTCATTCTACGGACCGGCTGGTGGAGTGATATCTCTATTCGGCTCTTTTTTAGAAGTATTTGCCGGGAAAGGGCTGCTCGATATACGTAGCAGACTTAACCCTGGTAAATCTCTGTTTATGATGGGAACCATGGTCGCCGATACGGATAAAACGCTCGTCATGCCGTCAGATCTCTTGTCACATATGCAGCGAGTGCTCTGGGTCACGCCTTTGCTTGCAAAATTCGGTACTCCGGAACAAGATGCACTGAACGTCACAATGTCCGTCTTAGATGAGCGTAACGTAATCGTCTATAAAATCGATAAGCCGCGAATCATCGTCACGGTCGCCGTCCTCCTTATCATCGGTCTCGGGTGTTTGGCCTATCTATCTCTTTGCAGTAGCGGAGCTTGTGGACGTCTCACAAGAGACAGCTTGGTTCATTCCCTCACAGTGGCGGGCCCGAATGGCCCTGCGATCAAGGGGGCGTGCTTGGCTTCTTTGGAAGAAATATTGGATAAAGCGGGGGATGAGAAACTCAAGTTTGGTGTGCTTCTAGCGGCAACGGACTCGGTAAGCGGACATCTTGGGTTTGCAGAACAGCCTCTCGCACCGGGATCTTACGAGAGTACACCAGTTACAACTGTTGGAAAACCGGTGCCAGGGAGGTGGTATGGGGGTCAGGGTTGCCTTAAGAAAAAGAAACCTCGAGTCGAAGTAGATAAAATGGTAGCTTAGTTCAACTGCTCCTCACTGCAGACAAGCTCGAGCTTCCCCAGCGAAACGATCCGAATGTCTGTGTGCTGCGGCTGGTCAGCAACTGGCTGTGCAACGAGGCAAATGGAAGATGGATGATGATTGTGGATAATGTAGATGACATTGAGGTACTCTATCCAACGCGAGCAAGCAAGCGGGATGAATACCTCGAGACGGGATCAGCACCACTGGCGGCTTACCTCCCTTAAAGTGGTAATGGATCGATTCTAATTATGTCTGGAAGTAAAGATGCGGCGGCCTGGCTGGCAGGAGGTTATAAGAATATCAAACTCTTTATAATCTGGGGTGATGTAGCAACTTTCTTCTGACCTTTATCCACTGATCTCATCATATGCGTCTGTTGCTTGGTTGAGTCATTCAGTTTGCGCCGTCACGTCAGCGCCGGAAGTAGAGGTATCAGTATCTTTTTCAGTGAGAACTTTTGCACGAACCTTTACGTAAGAAGTGACAGGCCGGTGGTATCGTCATCATTCTTGAGGCTGTCATAAGCGGCATTCCACAGTCTCTGGGAAGTGGAAAGGACTTTGGGTTGCTCTGCGGGGTTTGTCGCGGGCTGAGGCTCTTCGGGTGGGATAGAAGGCGGAACTGAAAGTGGAACTTGTGTCTGTGCAGCATGGTCAGAAGAGCTGTTGAAGGTCACTTGCACTGTTTACAGGCTGGTGAAGCTCTGGGCTAGGCAGAGTCTCCGGACATCAGGAACAGGACGGCCTAGAGGAGCATGTGGCTCGGTCAGGTTGCTGGATGGCAAATTCGTGCTGTCTTATATGCCTCCTTGCTTAGCAGACTAGATATGGCTGTATTTCGAAAGACTGGCGTCCGCAGATGTGTTGTCTGAAGTGTGTCACTATAAAAATGGATGCTCTCGTCAGACGCAGATCGTCCATAATCTTCAATGCGGGGGTTTATTTGTTGGACACTTGACTAGTAAAATGTGTAATCTGAGTAAAATGAAAGTCTCTGTTCTGGCGCAAATGGTCCTGCGACTTGCACTGTTTACATAGATATGGTATCCCGCTAACAAGACAGCCAATCGCATTGGCCAGAGGGCAGCGTGTCCAACATCCTGCATGAGACCAAGTATGAGTGCAGAGCCTAGGGCCTTTTGGAGGACCGTCCAGGAAGTTTTCGCAGACGGCGCTAGATCCTGAAGGCCCAGAAAAGCGTGGATTGAATCTCTTAAGCTTTCGATGCACATATCTCACAAGTTCACTGTTCATCCTGGGTTGGGATTCTGGCACTTCCACAGACGAAGTGATTTAGATGATATATAAGACATATAAAGAAGGAACTCCAGTGCTCTAAAATCTTAGTGCATATAAGTTTCCCACTCCTTTATTAAGGCTGATGGTGATTTTATAGGGGCTTGTAGATCTTCATTCTGGTAATAATAGGGCCAACGAAATGGCCCTGCTTTAGTAAGTCTTTATCTTATATATATCTAGTCCCTGGCAAGATACTCCCTGAAGAGGAGGACTAAAAATTAACTATTAGTTATTAAAGGAGTAGGATCTAGTTATATTATATACTAGGCTATGCAGCATTATTATACTAAGTTACTAATGAAATCTGTTAGTTATCTAACCCTATCATTTACCAGGCTTAATTGAAGCGGGAATAGTATAACTACCTTTTAGAGGTAATACTAGTACTATAAATCTTTATAGCTCCTTCTTAACAGTCCACGAAGAAACTGTGTACTTTATATACCTATCTGTTAAGGAATTTCTTATAGGGAAGGCTTCTAATGAGCTCTTTTCTTCAGGATTAGAATTAGTCTATTATACTATTTTTTAGAGTTGTTATCTAATATAGGACTGGCTCTGTGCTGTGATGTTTATTCTCTTTATAATCTGGGATTCCTTATTAATAAGGTTAAGCACCCTAAACCAGACCCACTAGGTACTATGCAGTACTCATGCATATGTTAGATTGACTATTTATATAATACTTATCATATTGCAGCAGTGAAGCAACCTTAAGTCTGTAGGATGATTAATTGGTTTCTTACAGGAGAAGTACCTTTACTGGCTTGAGGCTCTTAGTCTTCAAGGAAGTATGCCACAGGGAGTTTGTTCCATGTCAAAACTTGAACAACTAGTTCAGGTAAGACTTTAAGCAGCGGAGTTAGGTTATTTCACCAGAGTGATATTAATGTGGTAAAAGTGAGGACAAAAAGAGTCTGATTTATTGAATCTCATCCGCGATGCACACTGATCTATATGTTATTAGAAGATGCAATAGAGAATACCCCTTTGCAGCCGTACCACTCAGTGCTTTTATTCAGTCCGGCAGGCAGCTTGATACAGCGGTTATTTAAACATGAGCAGCCCTGATGGTATCTAAGCAGACCTGCCATGGAAGATAACTGGAGCGCTTGCCTACAGATGCTTGAGGGCCATAGCAGCTGGGTCCAATCAGTGGTCTTCTTGCATGATTCCAAGCTGGTCGCCTCCGCCTCACTTGACATGATGGTTATGACTTGGGATGCCACCAGTGGCCATTGCCTGCAGACTGTTAATGCTGGAAGGTTAGCTAGGGTAGAATCATTCGACCTAACTAACTTATACCTTGAACTTTACTGCGGCACTATCCGCTTATCCTTGGGTTCACCTGTCATACCAGCTGAAGCACCGAAATTCTCGGCATGTGGTATTAGTTCTGATGGTATCTGGATTACCTGGGACACAGGAAATTTGCTATATCTACCCTCTGAGTACCATTCGTATGTCTTGACGTGACGATAGTGACTCTCTGTATAGGCTGCACATCAGGACGGGTGCTAATTATTTAAGATTGATCCCTAGCGACTCCCAAACTCCAAGAACTGCCCCCGCCCCTGGATTTTTTCGTAATATAGCTAAAATCAATCAAGGCGACAAAGTTTTGGAAACATCATCTCTCTGTTATTTTCTAATACCTTTGTAAAGAAGGGTCTGGCACCACTAGTAAATTTCTAGATACGGTGCTTATTCGCCACGCATGTGGCATCTGCCAATTCCATGTGATTCTAATTGCACGCCATCGCTCCCTTTAACTAACTAGCTAGACTTAGTTAGTTGACTAGTTATGCATGGCCTGTTTGCCGTTACATAAGACATTATGCGGATGTGAAAGTACAACTCTGTGGCATATCCCATGTGAGAAATTTCAGCAGCCCGTTGTTTTAGACAAGCACCCTAATAATAAATTTACACTGAGGTCTTGGCAGTGGGAAATTATCAAATATTTGTTGGTTAAGCTGATTTCTAGAATGCCTGTATCTCATCGTTTATCTTATCTGATCCGAGCCCTGGGTTGCCTTCCTAATAAAAGGTAGTGCTTTCATCACAGTTCCGACAACCACTACCGGAGGAGTTGCTACTGACTTAATGGTCATCAATTGTTGCAAAGGAATAGCTCGCGTCTGTGATGATATTGCGGTTGGTTCGGTTGCCGGGGTAGCATTGGGGCCATCTTGCTGTTTGGATACAAGAGGCTGCTACAGAAGTACAGATTGATGCGTCAAAAGCCGTATTCCCGTAACGATAGCTAGGATAGGAACAATACTTTCACTAGAGCTGATGATGCCGAGGATGCTACCTGCTCTGTGAACTTAAATGGTTGTCATCGCTTGAACAGAAGACTGTTATCCAGGCCACCAGCCTTCGAGTGACTGGCTAAATCAATATTAATACAATTGAGAACTTTATATCCTAGCCCTTATAATAACTTTTGAGAGTGTCTTGAGCCCTCCAGTGTTGTATACAGTGTCATATCATCCTCACAGCGCCTTTTTCCGGACCGAAGAATGAACGATGAGTTGTAATAGATTGATCAAGATTCGCAACGGCAGTCAGTGCAATCGATTCTAAGGCAAAACGCGCATGTTAGGCTGTGCTAATTCAACGATGGAAGCTCGTAAAGTCAAAACTCACCAGACACATAGTTGTAATGGAGATGTTGTGCTTCGTAATGCACATCGGTTTTGTCCACTCTAGGGGAGGATGTTGGCAAAATAGGTTCATCGGCTGTGCCTGAAAGAAAAAAATAGTGTGTTAGCGACAAAGAAGGATGTCTCTATGTAATGCAGGTCCTGGTGAGACATACGACTTCTCCCTCTCATAAACCACTGCAGTAGGGCTCTGCCTCCTATCAGAAAACCAGGAATAGCAAGAATACCCGTCGCAATACCCACGGCGACTGTGGCGGTCATCGATGGATCTGTCATGACCGAGGTTAAGGAGGTGGGGATGAGTCTGGTATTTTCGTTGATACCAGGTGGGTGCGAAAATTCTTTCCCGTGTGAGGGTGGTGCATTTATATGTCAATGGGCTGTAGAGACACTCAAGGACGCAGCATTCTCTGATTCCATCACGGCATCTTTTCCCACAGCGAATACCAATCATTCCACAGTGAATACTGATAGTTAGACACCTAGGTAAGCATTGCGCGGGCTGCATAATTACTAGACCACCTTTCGCTTAATGCATTTGGCACTTGCAATCGGGCTGGTTACACTCTAGTCTGGATAGAATATATTAGAGCTCAACTGAGCATAATCCACACAGATATTTCTGATACATCGCATGGCAGTTACACAGATCAAGGAGTACCGACTCTGCGTCGAAGAAGCTGGGATTGTGCAATGACCTCTTGCGAGGCTGATTCCAAGCCAAGGCTCTGTGTCCACGTAACTAAATCAGGAAGAGCCCAATGAGTTGCTCCCTTCTAGACTAGTGGGAACAAGGTTCTTTAACAAAAAAACATCGACTTGACGGTCTTAGTTTCTTGAGAAGCATATCAGGAATTTCTTTCCGAATCGGTTCCCAGCTCCAATTCCGAGTCTTTGCTCCTGTCTACGGGGTTTATCTTTAACTTTCCCCTATTTTGTCTAACTTCATCAGGTTCCCTGGAATGATAACCCATGCTGGATGACACCAATATTCACTAAATGTGTATAATTCGTGAACTCGCATCTATTTGATGAACTAGTGAACGCCACATAAGATTGTGTAGAATCTGCTTGTGACTACTTCAATAGATTCTTAAACACCATGTCACTATCTCAACTCAGATAGACTTTCTGGAGTCTGAGACACTTAATTTCGGCCCGGAGCGACTGAAACGTTGGGGATGAACATGGCAGATGACTTGGAAAAATCCGCGTACTCTACCTAGATACCATTTCGTCGATGGAGCCTACCACTCCCTTGGAATGATGTGCGTTGGTGGCTTGATCGATGCAGATCACCATAAATGCAATTGGACGGGACTGGACGGGACAGGACGGGACAGGACGGGACAGGATGGGCCGGGATGGGCCTGGATAGGACTCGATGGGACTGGATGGGAATGGTTACAAATGAACAAACGCGCAAAGGGTGAAAAAAAATATGCTTTATATCGGGTCAGGTATGTACCTTAGCATAGTGTGTTGAATCTGATGGATGTTGAACGAAGCTCAAAAAGAAGTTTTCGTTGTAGCCGAAGGCTGTCTGCTCTACTACTTCAACCTGTCTACTCTGGGTATTTCTATGATCTATACTTCTTAGTTTTACTTTCATCTCTGTACTCATTCGGGAGTTGTTTTCTAGTGATATGTTGATCATTATTGCTTTGAAGGGACACCGTTCCGCTCCGTAATCCTGTGGTTTCCTTGATTCTATCTACCGATTGGAAACCAGTGCTGAAGTACTTCCCCGTCTTCTGTACACCATTGGAAAAGAGACGGCCGCTATTAGTTCCTGGCATAGGCGAACCTGGTGTTAAGCGAGGAATGCCGGGATTGACTTGAAGTGTTCTAGTCCTTAGTCTGTCAACGTCCACACTGAGACTAATTTCCTCAGTCCCTGGCTAGTTGGTTCGGTTGTTTTGGTTTACTGCCTGGTTCTGCCTTCCTGCTTTCTTATCTATTCATCTATGTTGCCTCTGCTAAGGGCCGGCCTAGGCAAGCCATAGAGCTTCTTACTCTGAACCATAGAAATACCAAGCTTGGCCGCCACCTGTCATCAATTTGGAGTATGGCCTGGTTAGCATAGTGACTACCTTGGTGTTACTCATAATGACATGGACTGGGCTCCAAGTGGAGATACTGCAAATATTAAGCTCAAATTATATATAACCTGTATTTTAAAGGTGTTTGCATTGCTCCCCAATGCCAGTTTACCCGCAAAGCCATTCTCAACAGAAAGCTGAAGATGATCTGTGTACTGGATAATAACAAAAGTATACATGCAAGTTGGGGGAAAAGGAATACCTTAAGCCCATTCAGGTTGGTAGCATCATAGTGCTGTGCTTCATGAAGGGCGATAGGAGTAAGTCCATGTTATTGGAGTCGATACATAGGCTGCTATGCCAGCCAATTTGTGTGTATGTGGTCTTGGACCCACTTTATCTCAGCTATGATTACCTGAACCCTACAAAAGGTCAGCTGAGATACAGGTGAGCCGACACTTTGGGAGAGTTTGGACCACTTCCCGAACATTATGTGACTATGAAGTTTTCATAAAGGTCAGCCAAGCTAAATATAATACCTTACTATTGTTTTAATACTATCTATCTAAGGGCCCAAGGGGTGTTTAATTGCTTAAAACTAGTCAATACCTAGTTCTGTCGTTAGAAGTTTAATTACCTTTCTATCTAGTTTAGAACTAGTTTAAAAGGTCAGTAAAAGGTCAGTAAAAGGTCAGTAAAAAGTCAGTAAAAAGTCAGTAAAAAGTCAGTAAAAAGTCAGTGGAAAGTCAGTGGAAAGTCAGTGGAAAGTCAAAATATGTTACACGTGTGTAATTTTTAGAAAGGTTGGCTGACCCGCATTTGTTAACTGAATTCCTTAGTTAAGGGTTGGCTGACGTGTAGTCTCTCAAAAGGTGAGGTGACCTGAACTGATAAGATAACTGCCATGATATAGACAAGATTTTAAGACAAGTGATCAACTAAAGCGCTGGCATCTAGTGGAATAATGAAGAGAGCAATGTAGATGCTTCCTACAAGATCCAAGTCCTAAATAACCATCCAGGGAGTAGCATGTGTAAAGTTATTGTCAGTAACGCAAAAATGGCTTCTGAAATACAATTACTCCCAGAGTATTGGCAAGCTGAGTCCCATGTCCATGATCTCGAGAGTCTGTAGAAAAAGAAGAATAAACATTAAGAATAGCAATACCTAATTTGCCCAGACCCTATTCATAAAATCATCTCACGCTGAATTCCACAGCTGGCGCATAGCATTCAGCAAGTCTCCTGGAGCAATGGCTCCTCTGAACTGGTTGCCAACATCATGGCCCAGCTTCTGCTTCAGCCGTGCCTTGACCGCCGCAAAATGAGGCGGGTTCCAATGCAGATGGACTACCCAGTAGATCAACCGCTTGATGTCCGCTTTTCCATTCTCAGGCAAACACTTCAGGAGCTTCTCCGCATCATGACCAACAGGATCCTTCGCCTTAGACAGCATCGACAGCAACGTATCTTCCAGGTGACCCGAGAACTCAGCCTTGATCACCTTTTCCAGGCTAGTATGATACTTTGTCTCAAAGGCCTGCGCGATCGCAACAAGCTTCGCATCCGATGCACCCAGAAGTACGGCAAAGACACCAGTCTCATCTGTCCCCTTGCGCGCCTGCGTCGCCTGGTGGATCTCACGGACATCGGCATCAACAGACTGCGCATCGAAATATGTCCCCGGCTCCGGCCTCGTAGCATTGAGCAACATGACAAAGAACTGCTCCGTCTTGCCTGACAAATCGCTCTTGATTTCCTCAACCAGCGACTTCTGGTACTTGCCGACATACGCGTACTTGATCGCGCGCAGATCAGCATTCGACCGGCCGACCAACACATCCGTGAGCAGGTTTTCGTTCGTTCCCATCCCCGCCAGCGCATCACGCACGCAAGCGACGTCCTGCTCGAGTGGACCTCTGGCTAAGGAGACAAGAACGTCTTCCAGGTCTCCTGAGAGCTCGGACTTGAGGTCTTTTTCGAGGTTGCGCCCGATGCGGTCGGTGTATGTGTGTCTGATGAGTGCCATTTGCAGGGGGTCGGGCTTGGCCAGGATATTGATGAGGGCTTTTTCGTCTGTGCCAAAGCCTTTCATTGCTTTGCGGAGGGCTTCCGCTTCGCGGGTTGCGTCGCCGGGGGCGCGTTGGTTGGGGTCATAGCCTAGGGATGGTGGAGTGGGCATTGGTTGAGGAGCGTGAGGAGCTGGATAGCCGGGTTGGCCTTGCGGCGGGTAACCTCCCTGAGGAGGATATTGGCCTTGTCCTGGTGGGGGGTATTGGCCAGGTGGAGGATATTGACCCTGCGGAGGGTATTGACCTTGTGGAGGATATTGACCCTGTGGAGGATATTGATTCTGAGGATATGCTCCCTGAGGCGGATACTGCTGCGGTGGTGGATGGCCTCCTTGAGGATATTGTTGCGGTGGTTGGCCGGGCCATTGTTGTTGCGGCGGAGGTGCACCATATGGCTGTTGTTGGTACTGACCAGGGGGAGGATATTGCTGCGGGGGAGCACCTTGGGGGGGATATCTGCCGGGCTGTTGTGGTGGATAATAGGGAGCCTGCTGCTGCTGTTGATGGGCGCCTGGCTGAGGATACCCAGCGCTGTTATAGGGGGGTTGCGGGGTCCGCCGTAGGTTTGCTGGGGGTGTGACATGACAGAAACGTGATGGGGAAAAAGACAATGATAATAGAGACTAATTCAAAGGGAGCGCGTCAGCCTTATATCCCCTCAGCACAGCGTATTTTAGAGTTATCTAGCCTGTGACTCGTATTTTAGCCCATGTCACCACAGCCACAATCAGCTGTAATTTACCCCTCTATTTGTCCCACTGATTGGCACCAACCCAAGCTACATTACGGAATGCACAGCCACTGGAGAGACACAAAAGGACTTAACCCAATAGTGATGAGGGTCTTGACTCGCTTCGTCCAATAGGGAACTTGTCAAGCCACAGTGCACCGCCATTCTGCCAAGCCTAATTTCCTGATCATCCCACCGGAACCCCTCCGTTTGCTCATGACACGTGCATAAAGATAGATTAGGAACCTTTTCTGGTTTGGATTTTCCTTTTTCCTTTTTTTTTAGAAAAAAGGATTATGTAACCTTGCATAACATAACTAATGATATTTGATGACTGAACTAGATTCTCAGTATGAGACCTTTTTAGGTCGACATAGCTCTGCCAAGTAGGCCATTATTTTTAGTCAAACAGAGCGAACTGCTTCCACAACTTGCCCAATCCGTTCCCAGCGTTCCAGCGTCCCAGCGTCCCAGCGCCATAGTAGGATAGACACCTTACTTCAAGCACCAGGACAGAGCTACTGTTCATCGGGACGTCTCTCTTTTCTGCAACCGAGTCACACAGCCGAAAATCTGGTTGTCGGTGATATTCTCTTGGCCTCGCACAAGGCCTTTGAGCTTCCTATCCGTTTACTGTCGCTTTGAGCCCCTATCGTCCCATTTGTGTGAGAGAATACCACACGCGAGCGGCGAGGGGACTCCACGGCAAAAGACTGATACCCAGACCACAACATAACAGGATAATCTCCCTTCCTTGCCTCGGTAGAGCGGATGATGGTTGCCGAATCGTGATGAACGTATAACACCCGTGCTGATCGGCGATATACTAAAGTATCTGGGACTCTCATGCCGCCACCCAGCTGGCTTCTAAGTATCGTCCTTGGACACTGTTCACGGCATCGTTCAGTGCTCTCATGATTCGAATGGGACAGACTGTCACAGACATGATTGATCCAAGCGATGGATCTGCTAAGCATCGATGTATGTCTTAAGGTGAACGTAACCAAGGATCGTCCAATAGGTCCCTTGCCGATTCTCTCTCCTCGGGCTTCCGTTTGAGTATCTTGCGAAGGAATTGGATGAAAAGCTGCTGCGATTTACCATCCAAACTTGCTTCCAGCTTCTCCAACGAAATAGGAGGGATATCAATGGTCCCCTTCCCATTCCCTATTTCGTAGTCAGCAAAAGCCTCTTGGAAGATCATGATTCATACATACCTTCGCGGTCAAAGAATTCGCTCGCAAAGTCACTGCTCTGAATCATTTCTCTCGGTGGTGGTCCCATAATGCGATCATTTCGGCGAGATGATGGCCATCAGAGTTTTCCTTAGCTGAATCTCGAGCGTAGAACAGATGTCCTTGTTGGAAGTTATCCCATGTCTGCACCCGATGTTACCAAAGGGGACGTCTACTACTCGCCGTAATAGCTTAATTACAAGACGGGTTCATAAGAAATGAATGTATACCAGCACTCCGACGTTCCAGATATCAACCTTTTCATACCAAGGCATCCGTAATACCACCTCGGGAGTCCGGTAAATATAGGGCTGAATATCCCTGGTGTAAGTATTGGACCCATAGCGAGCCTGACCAAAATCACAAAGGATAGGACGACCATGTTGCTTGGTTTTCCTAAGCTTTCGAGAAACATAGATTACCCGATTTCCAATGATTTTCTGTGGGCTAGGATTGGATTTCTCTCGCTCTTCAAAATCGGCTAAGATCGTTGTGTCCTCAATACCCATCATGATGTTCTTTCTTGAATATCTGGAAAACCTCAGTTAGAAGGCTCCTCTGGAGATGGAGACTGGATAATACCCGAATGGACAATCCCAGCATCTGTATGAAGATAATCAAGAGTAAGAAGGAGATGCATCAGGGTCAACTTGACTATATTTTCGGAGAGTACCTTCGCCCCAAATTGGGCGCGAAAATCATATAGACTTATCCCCAGCGGAGGATGAACAAGACATCCAAATTTACGGTCTGCAGAAATAATCTGGAAGCTATCCAACGCTTTGCGGATAAGCTTAGCACCAGCATGATTTACTGCACCGAGGAAATTCAAATAGTGGTAGATGTCTGTCTCTCTTTGGCCTTCTTCCGAATTGCACTCGAATACCTTCAGCGTAACATAGGCATGCTGTCTAGAGCAGAGTGAGTTTTTGGCGTCACTGATTAATCGTAGGGTAAGCTAACTGTAGGTCCTTGCACAGCCAAAGAGTTGAACATCCCGCACTATTTCCTACCTCCTCGAGGATGGCTAACAGCAAAGGGCCCATCCGGCTTACGCCGTCAATGATCCCCAACTCTCCCAATTTCGACGTCAAAGACTCATCATTCTTTCAAAAATATCAAGAGCTACCTTCCCCAGAAGATGTCCAAGCCCAAGCGGAAGCTCAACGTCTTGCGGGATTCAACCCAAACCCTAGGAAAGACTACCAAAGCGCCGTGCCTTATTTTATAAAACCACAACCCGCGGTATTTGAAAACATGAACCTCCTTGTCAAGTGGGGACTCACAGAGCATATTTCCGAGGCCCAGACACTATTTGCTCTCCGCCGACTTCTAAATGGCCTTGTTCCTGTTCCCGAGGTGTACGGGTGGCGCACAGATGGAGTTGTAAAATACATCTACATGGAGTGCATCCGAGGGCAGACCCTGGAGCAAGCATGGGATAAACTGGAGCCCGATGATAAGGTTTCGATCTCCCGCGAGCTTCGCACAATATGTGACAATCTGCATCGCCTTGAGCAGGGCCCTTCGGATCCGTTTGTGGGTATGCATACCGCGCCCTACAGCGTGTTTGTGCCTGACCTAATTCATTCCGACAGGGACTATTGCACGAGCCCCTGTTTATGATAGAGCTTTGGGCTTGGATTGCATACCAGCAGAGCGACCATTCGCGACAGTAAAAGAGTTCCATGACTGGTTCGCATTTCTCCGCAGAAGACCGATGCCGGATCCTTACTCGGTACCCATCGAGTCATATCGCTATGAGCTGCCGGACGACTGTGCCATCAAGTTCACCCATGGTGATCTCCACCGCAGTAACATCGTTATCAGTTCCTCTCGGCCGTATCGTACTCTGGCTATTGTTGACTGGGAGCAGTCGGGCTGGTTTCCCGCTTACTGGGAGGCCCGCAAGGCGCAATATACTGCATGGATTACAGAAGAATGGAGCACGACATATTTGCCAATGATTTTAGATATGTGCCCTGGTACTTTGGAGTCATGGAACTACTATACTATATCCATCGGCCCTTAGATTATTCCATTGCGACATTCCGGGAGTTTACAGGAATAGCTCAGTACGGAAATTCTGCCTTCAGATTCTAGTCGCGTTCACAGCTTGCGGAGATCAATCAGGTAACAAGCTGTACACTAAATTGAAGTGGTGTATGGACGCCCATCAAGCAGTCTATGAATGAAAGTTTGAAGCGTCTCACTACATGCTCCGGGCCTGTATACTAGCAATTTGCACTTTTCAGCAAGCACACTAATGAGAGAAAACGCAGTTTTCCGAGTTTCAATCTCAGCATCATGGTCCCCAAATACTAACTAGGTTTTCACTGAAGCTCTGACAATGTTTGTCTGGCCTAATATGTGCATAAAGGAGATTGCAGATGGTGGGCATCTATCTACGAGAACACCAACTATTTGGTACAATCAAGCCTCAAGGCAAGTGTCGGTAGGATAGTTGCAGCTGTCGCCACTACCGCCAGTAATGCTGACATTCTCAAAAACAAAATTAGAGCAGCTGCCGTCACCACAGAGAATGTAGTAATCCTTGCCATCGCTCATCGTACCAGTGACATCAACAAAGGTGATGTCCTTGATCTTAACGCCATTGGTAGGCTCGCCGGTAGGGCCCCCGTTCAGGTAATCTTGCTGGATGTCGATACCATAGTCGCTGATGCCGGAGACGGTGATGTTCTCGTAGCGGATGTTGGAGACCTCACCGGTGGTTCCGGAGTTCGATTTGATTCTGCACCCATTCGAGCTGTTGATGACCTGCGAGTTGGAGAAGGTCACTCCGTCAACGGTATTGTCGCTCTTACCGCCGATGGAGCCGATGCTCAGCCCGTGGCCGCCGTAGCAGTAAATGTTGTCCACGACAATGTCTGTGCCGCTGCTAACGGCGACGCAGTCATCCTGGTTGTGCACCCAGCTGTTCTGGAGGGTGAGGTTCGTGCTGGACTTGATGTCGAAACCGTCGGAGTTGTGGGCGGCCGGTTTGCTGCCGCTCTCGCTGTTGGGGTCGTCGCCGGCGGAGTTGTTCAGCGTAATGCCGGAGATGACCAGGTTCTCGGTGTTCTCGATGTCGAAGCAGTGGACGGGCCAATTCTGAATGTTGAGGTTCTCGATGCGCGAGTCGTACAGGTGCTTGGCGACGATGAAGTGGTCGGGCTTGGAGGAGCCGCCGTTGGAGCCCTCCCCGTCCCAGTAGGCGGCGCCGTTGCCGTCGATGACGTGGCCCTCTGCGCCGGTGATGGTCACATCAGTTCCAGAGATGACAATGGGGTCGAAGTCGTCGTCGGGGGTGTCGCCGAAGGTTGTGGTACCGGCGAAGATCACGGCAGCGCCTGTCTGCAAGTTCTGAAGGTCGATTGTGCTGGATGGAGGGGCATAGACGTCCGACAGGAGGATGTTCGAGCAGGATGCGACGGCCGAGGAGATGGCAGCGTACTCGGTCACGGTGCAGGTGGTGCCGCCGTTACCAGCGAACGTGGAGCTCTTCGTAGGGGCAGGGGCTTGGGTGATGGAAGCCGCAGCATTGGCTTTCAGAGTGGTGGGAGCAACGATGGAAGTGACCTGAGGAGTGGCCGTGTTGACCTGAGTCTGTCATTAGCACGTCATTCGTCTCGATACTCACGGATTGGATACTCACAGCACTGGTTTGAGTAGGAGGAGCGACAGTAGCAGGACCCAGACAGCTACAGGCGCTTGATAGGTGCTTGGTATTGTAGTCGCAGTTGCTGAGAAGAGCGGCAGGCACGCCGGTGGTTTCAGTCACCGCGCTGACGGTGAAAGTGGCACAGAAGCTGGCAGCAGCAGCAGACGAGACCGAAAACACAGAGGCACAGGAATGATTGGCGTCACTGGGGTCGACACAGGCAAGAGCCAGGGGAACGAAGGGAACGAGGAGCGCACCGCGCTTCATCTTGGACAAATGAGTGACTTTAACGAGATTACAAAACACAGGGAAGAAAGGAAGGGGATGTAAGTGAATGGATATAGGACCAAGCCTGTGCTGTTATAGTTACCAGGAACGAATGGGCAACCATATGTCTTTATATAACCGACCGAGTCAGGAGATGACAATGAATCTTCTGGAGTGGACCATCTAGCAATGCAGACTCTGACTTAGTTACTCCATATAGTTAGATATCAAATTGGTGGATCACGGATGCCATTAGCTTGCATAACGGCTGTTTCAGATTGCTTCAGGAACACAAAAGCCACAAACTCAACGGAGAACCACTTGCTTGCATGGAGGACTGAAATGAACTGTTTAATTGCTTAATATATACTAGAGTGGGGCTTCTCTTTAGCTTGTCATAGCTTGCCATAGCTTGTCAGTCTTGACTCGGTGGGATTGTCCTTATTGGCGCTGTCGGCAATTCCAATTCCACCAGCCAAAGTATTCATAACTAATTACGGGGCAGGCATGGTTATTGGGGCTTCGGAAATGTTTCATCAGTATCCGCTACTTGATAGGGGCCTCGCTTGCCTTAAGTCCGAGGTTCTGCCATTATCCGTACAATTCCGAGGTTTAGGCATCGAGTTCGACAGTCCAATTCTGCTGAAAGACTCTGTTCAAGCACCTTGAGGGATTCCATCGTAGTCCAATGTCGGTGAAAGAATAATATATCTGTTGCTGACGGAAATTAACCGTATTATGTGTAGGTGCGACGTGTAGCCTCTGATGGTGATTCCTGCGCGGTTCTATACTTAAATCACTTTGATATAGGCGTTGATGGAGATCAAATAAATCGCTATGAACCATGACCCTGAAATCGCCGTGCTCATATGTCATATCAATCATGAAACGGAATTATTATACAACCCCACAGGGGGTACGGGTATCATTCAGCATGACCGTTCCCATTCTCACCTCCATTCTCTCTCGCCTCATGCGAGTTCTGCAACTCTTTCCACCGCCGCACCACCATGGCGCGCTCATCAGCGGAAGACGCGCACATCTCATCAATCCCCTGCTGTATTCGTGAGGACAGAATCTCCTTGATTTTGCTTTTGGATAGGGAGTTGCGCAGGCTCTTGTGGAGGCCGTCGAGGGGATACCCTGCTAGGCCCCAGAATCCTAATATCATCAGTACGAAGTAATCAAGAAAGAAAGGTGGTCAAACCTGCTGCGGGCTTGAGGATGACTCCCCCGAGACCTTTGCCGATGCCTTTCACAAGACCGGTTGGGCCGGATCTCTCCAGACCTTGTGCTGGCTGTGTGACGAGGCCGGTGATTCCTTGGTAGAATTCCTGGGTGAATTCCTATTTGCATCATTAGCTTTCCGTTAACCTTGACGGAAGAGGGATCAAATGTTAGTATCAACCTTTCCAGCGGCTCGAAACCCGCTCCGCACACCCATCACCGTCGGGGTTTTGGCCACCGTCCTGTCGTGGTACAGCTTCGGCGCATTGTGGAAGCCCTTGGACAGACTCAGGGTCACGTCGGTAGGGATCGTAATCGCCCAGTTCAACAGTCGCTTGCCAAACCGTTTGCCGTGATAGCCAGTCTCCGCTAGCACCACATGTATACCTCCCCGCGCCTCCCTTGTCGCCCGTCGGCTGATCGTCCTCTCCAGATCCAGTTCACCACCGTCCTCGTCGCTCTCGACATGCGTGTCTGTAGAATCTGATTGGATCGTGGACTGGTCGGATATTCGACTTCGTGGTCCTGGCCCGCTATCCCTGGATATCCGATCGGGAGCAGAGACAAAACTCGTAGTTTCACCATCAACTTGCTCCTCCTCATCGTCTTCGTCCTCTTCTTCCTCTTCTTCCTCTGCATCACCAGACGGACTCGAGATCGGAGAAGCGGACGACGATCGCCGCATACTCGCCACCGCGCCCAGCTGCGACCGCACCCGGTCTTCCGGGGGGATGCCGTCCATTAACTTCATACTCCTCCCTATCCGTGCCTCACAGTCACAGGTGATCTCCTCGTCGTGACTATGACGCCACCCATGCTTCTTGTGGTAATGGTGATGGCGCGAGATCGCCTCGGCAAGGTCCACCGGCGCCGTTGCGAGCACCATCACAAAATCCGACATGATGCCGTAGAGCACCTCTGCGCCCGCAGAGAGGGGACCCCGAGGGTCGCGGTTCGTATCGTATTCTTTCGACCGGTAAAGGACGACATTCTGCGGCTTGAGGAAGCCCGCCTCGACGAGCACAGCCGCTGCAAACGTGCTCAGCCTGATGTGCGAGTGGCGCACCCACCATACCGCCGGACGCTGCGGACAGATCGAGCAGCGCAGCGTCTCCAGGTCCAAGTGCCGGTGGAAACTGGCCACGGCGCACTTGACGCCATTCTCCTGTCGCATCATCGCCCCGATCTCGCCTGCCTTCTCTTGCATCTCCGGCCCGAGTGCCTTGTTGATCGCGTCGGCGAGCTTCTCCACGTTCAGCTGTTTATATGGGATGGGCGCCGGGCCTGCACCGGCTCGGTACACTATCGAGCCCCAGAAGGGCTGGTCGCCGAAGAAGGGGATGACGATGGTCGGTCGGCCGAGCGCAAGCCCGGCTGCTGTGGTTCCTGCTCCGCCGTGATGGACCACGCACGAGACGTGCTTGAACAGCCAGTCGTGGGGACAGCTGCCGACCATGAACACGTTCTTGGGAATTTCGGCTTCCCCTGCGCCGATGTTGCCCCAGCCTTTGTTGACCAGTGCGCGCTGGCCGGTTTTAACGATCGCCTCGAAGACGATCTTGGTTAGTTTTGTTGGGTTATCGACGACGATGGAGCCGAACCCGACATAGATGGGTGGGGGCCGTCTTGTAGGAACTTGACTAGATCGTCGGGCGGCGTGTAGCTGCTTGGAGCAGGGAGCATGCTGAAGCCGCAGATGTCGACATTGGTTAGCCAGTCGACTGGTTTGGGGAGCAGAGCAGGTGACCTGGTATTTGTCAGTATTTAAATTCACAAACAAAATCGAGGCTACCCACCAGAGATAAGTGAACGGAATGCGAAGCTTCTGAGCAATACCCGGCGCGCGAATGGCGTCCAACGGATCAAGTCCTAACTCCCGCTTGCGGAACTTATTAAGCAGATCTCCCAATCCCTCATAAAGCATCATCTCGACAATCGCATACGAGGCGAAATTCGCGACGGAGCGCTTCGTACGCGTCGGACGCACGTTGGCCAGCGGATGCGGAAAGGCCTGCGTGGGCGTCCAGGGCATCGTAAACATGAGAGTCAACGGTACGCCCAATTTCTCCGCACAGCTGATATGCGCAAAGCTCGGCGGGTTGGCGATAATCGCGTCCGCCACGAACGGCTGCTGCCGGTAGTCCACCGTCTCGCTCCACGGATCCTCGGGGACATGGTGCAGTCCCGTTCCATCGCCTGTCTCGAAGCACGATCGCCAGCAGCCAGAGAATATTGCCGCCATTTCCCTCCGCCGGCGCCGGATCGCCCCGCTGCGCAGCGTTTTCATCCCCGGCAGCAGACCGGGGTTCTTCACCATGAACGCCATGAGCTCGGCGGGATCGCCACCAATGTTGAAGAATTCCAGGCCGTGGTCCTGTACGAAGTCGCGAAAAGCTAAATGCGTCGCGAGTCGGACGCGGTGGCCCCGTTCTTTGAGGGCCATGCCGAGTGCGACGAAGGGCTGTACGTCGCCGCGCGATCCGACGACTTGGATAACGATGTTGAGGCGGAGTGGGAAGGGTGCGGGTTTCTCGATGGAAGGCAGGGGAAGGGATGCTCGTCGTACGTCTTCCGGGGTTGGTTTGTGTGACTTTTCCAGGTGTTTGAGGAGGTTCGTGAGGCTGGATTTTCGGCCGCGGAACTTGATATCCAGGCGTCCGTCGTCTGCAGCAAATCACATCAGCTTTGCCATTTATCCGCTGAATACAGCAGCCATACCCGTCACCCGCACCCCCGTGTTCATCCCATGGTCCATCATGGGTGTGCGACGCCGGTCCGCCGAGGCCGGGTCGCTGAGGGCCTCTTGCGGCCAGTCGGCCGTCGTGATGCCACCAGTGGGTTGTTGCGGAGGCATCGTGTCCTGGGTGGAAACAAAATCCCAGGTTTAAGGACTAGGTAACTGAGAAACTTCATGAGAGAGTAAAGCGCAACTGGTATCTTGACTCTTGAGATATAAATTTCTGGAGTGTCCTGATGCGGTGGCCTCACCCGATGATGTCATGGCCCGTTAAACTTTGCCGTGGGTCAGAAGGAGCAACCTCGGCATCGCGACATCAGTAAGTCTTCATCGTTATTGGTTTGTATACCTTCATTTAAAGGTGCTGGATGATCTGAAATAAGCTATGATATGATGATCCTGCTCTTCCGGCATAACCGGTTCGGCCTCGGAGTGACTACATTTGGCCGATGTACACCGATCCCGTCGTGTCGATCATTTCGATCAAGGTCAATCTAGATACTCGCCGCCTTTGGAGTTCTCGTTCTTATTATCCATGTCTTATCAGCAATCCGCGCTGTATCATCATAAGGCAAATATGAAACCCTCAACCTCTCTACCGCGCAGGCCGCACTGACGCGCTATGGGATAAATCAGTTCCATCTCATCGGCCACTCAATGGGCTGCCTCCCGGCAGTGATGCTAGCACATACCGAACCAGCCCGTGTCCTCAGCTTCATCAATATCAAGGACAGCCACACGCCGGAAGATGGTTTCCCGAGTTAGCAGATCTCCGAGTCCCTATGGGTCTCGGATGAGGGCTTTCTGATGCACTTCATTGAGTGGACGCGTCGATCGGCGTCGCTTGTTAATGGCCTTTATGCTGCTGGTCTACGTGCTTGAGTGCGTGCTTTGGCTGTCAGAAGGATCCTCGCTTCGATGGCTTGTCGGATTTAGGAAGGCTTACGAAGAAGTTTCGGGCGCCTTCCGTGTCCAACGATGTCCATGTTTGGCGATCAGAACTGAGGCTTGTCGTATCTTAGGTATTGAGGGAGGGAGGCTGACATAGTACCTATATGTGTCTGGTGTCCCAGAGAGGGAGGTTACTGCAAAATATACACACCAAATCAACAAATGCACAGGTATGCCGAGACTGTCTTTTTGTGGGATCCATTTCAGATAATTTATTATTCCAGAAGCGGGCACATGATCAATGGGCAACGTACAAGATACAGGCCGATATCGGAAGGGGCAGAAGAGAAAACGAGCAAAAAGATCAGACGGAACGGAAAAGCAAGGGACCAAGGCGAAGGATGCTTTTGCTTTGCCCTGTCTGCTGCATGCGTCAACTGGTCAGCCAATCCACGCGTTTTCTGGAGACCCCAGGCAGCAGGGTAGGTGAGGCCCCGCCTGAGAGATCGGCAGGAAAGATCGGAGGAACAGTAAGATGGAGGCGAATATGCAGGTAAGACGGAAGATGGAGGGGCGATGGAGGGGAACTACGGCGGCGCGATTTGCAGGTAAACTATTCCACTCATGTACTACTTAGATAGCTTCATTGTGACAGGTACACCTGGGAAAGAATCGCTTAACGCCTCTATATCTAAGCCTCTTGAGATCAGAGTCCATGAGTTGTTGTTCACTCGAGGAGAATACTCTTATTTGATATTCACTGCCAAGTAAATAACTTGTATACAATCGCGATAACCGCCAATACAAAGCAAAATGATCTAAAAGGAACCCTATTCTAAGCCGTAGGCATCACACCGGCTTTCCACATCCTCCTGGCTGATTCCTCTTAATACCACCAAGTTCTGCACAACGTTTGGCAAGATTCGCCGTCAAGTATGGCCTGTACTCAGGTTGTATTTGTCTTACTGTCTTGGCTGGGGGCTGTGATTGGACGTCAAGCTAGCCCTGTCAGGTCTTAGTGAGTGGGCTAAGCAAACATGCGTCCAGCCCACATAAATCTTGGATGAAGATCTGTGCTACTTTAGATTAAGTGCAATGGCTAATCGTTGACTTTAGAAGCAGGCCTAACCCATTATGGGTCGATTTCAGGAGCAGGCCTAACCCATTATGGGTCGATTTTAGGAGCAGGTCTGGCCCATGATGGGTTGATTTCAGGAGCAGACCTAACCCATTATGGGTCGATTTCAGGAGCAGGCCTAACCCATTATGGGTCGATTTTAGGAGCAGGTCTGGCCCATGATGGGTTGATTTCAGGAGCAGACCTAACCCATTATGGGTCGATTTCAGGAGCAGGCCTAACCCATTATGGGTCGATTTCAGGAGCAGGTCTAACCCATTATGGGTTGAATTCAGGAGCAGCTGAGGTAAGTTAGCCCACATCAGACCAGAACTAGTACTAGTTTAGATATAGCATATATGCCGGTCCAAGAAGTCCTTGCATCTTCACTAAGAGCATGTATCTTTGATCAGTGGGGCGTCATGATTGAATAAGCCCCAACCATAGTAGAACTTCACCAAGCATGCCTACACCTTAAATTGCTTACTAGTGGCCTGGGTGGCTGTACGCATTATGTAGCAGGGGTATGCACCAGATGATGATCCTGGAACTCACTGTAAGAAACAATTGAATGACTACGTGGTAAATAATTTTTCTTAGGATATTTGAGTTACTGCAGCAATGTTGGCTCTAATATTTAATTAATCTTTCAGCTGCCAAGCCAAATGATTCAATCAGTAATGGCCCAGCAGTATGTGTTGTAAAGATTGCCCTAAATCATATATAACTAACCCTAATGTGGCCAAGAAAGCATTAGTGTCTGTTTGGCTGCAATCGTAGCTGATACGATGTATAGAAAGTAATTACGGCTATAGTAGAGCTCTGTCTTAAGGAGTTGAAGCTGCCCGGACTGTTCGAGGCTGGCCCTGTCCCGAGATACCTTTACTAGCAAAATTGATCTATGAGAAGAAGCCATACAAACCTGTCGTATTAGTAGCATGCTTCCAAATCCACAGAGAAATGTTAGTGCGTGTCTGCTCAAGGCGACTTTGGCTGGGATAAAGAAGAACTAGCAACAGCTACTCTTTTGCCTAGCAAGGACGGCTCAGCGGCGCATGGTTGCCCCATGCATACCACTTGTGGCTGTAGGAACCCATTGCTTCCAGGAAAAAGAAATCCCTTATCTCGTCTTGACTTTTCCAAGGTAAGCTCAAGGCTCAAACTACTCAAATTACTTAAATCGCCCATTTCACCTCTCCCGACTGCTCATGTTTTATTTCTCCGTATAGACCATCAATTCTACTTTTATTTCAAAGAGATTATAGCTCTTGTTTCCGTTCTCAGCTGCCAGGATGTCCAGTCCTGTACTTTCCTTCTACAGAAGCGCACCAGATGATGTATATTCTTTCAATGTTAATACCGGCTGTTTTAATCAGACTACAGACTTCGCTCTCTATTACCCAGTTCAGGACGAATCACTGGCCATTGCAGTCGATCGAACAACTACCACATGTCCATTGCAAGACTTTGGACTTGACACAGCTTCGCAATCTGATTGGCAAATGCCAGTGCCTTCAGTGTCTCAACCAGGATTTACTTCGGATCTACTCTCGCTTAATCCAGGGGCAGAGCCATTTGAGAACCAGCTACGGGGCGATCAACATATTGTGGACCGACGTCCTCGCCAATCGCAAGGCCATATCAATGACCACGGCGAGCAGGGAGACTCAATCCCACCTTTGATAAATCAATCCTATCCTCCTCAGTCTGTAACCCAGAACGGCGTTTGCCAAATTACAGGCAAAACGTAGGTTCCCCGGCCTATCAAAGGTACCGCCGCTGACTACTCTCGCTCATAGGCTACCAGCCGAAAACGCCCGCCTCGTGTGCAAGTGGGAGGGATGTACCTACAAAAAACCGTTCAACAGAAAGGCGGACCTCTCTCGTCATGTCGAGTCTATGCATATCGCGCCGCGCTCGTACTGCTGTCTCGTTCAGGGGTGCTCTAGGCTTTTCAGCAGGAAGGACAGACGCGATGCACATATGCTGCAACGACATTTAGTCTCGAGGTCACAAAGCCATGCTGGGATGTAATGACTAGCCTGAATAATGCTCGTGATTCTTTGCTTTATAAGCTTTTTTTGTGTGTACAAATTGACTGTTGATGACGTCCTTTTGTTCTTTCGTTCTTTTCAACCCTTCTTTTTTTAATGTCATTCATGGTGATATGCAAGCCTGCTTATGTCAATTGATTATTTCCTCTCACTGTAAAATGAGGAGACCTTCCAGAGGGGAGGTAAAAGATATTTGATGCTTGGGGGTATAGGAAAAGGACCGACTAGCCAACGAGCTCATCAAAGTCTTGTAGTAAGGCACTCAGCATGCTAGTTAAGTCCAAGAACGGGTGAAGAATCAAGGATGTCGAGGATTGGGACGACCTTGTTATTAAATCGACCTAACACCATGATGAACAGAGAGCAGAACACTTGCCAAGTCGGTTTCTTCAAATGACGAAATGCATCGCATAGAACTACGTTGGGACAACGTAATCAAATGGTCACTACTTAATAGTCAAGAACGCTTCTAATGTACACCGAATCTCCGTACCTGACTAGCAGTTACAGCTAATATACGAGTACGAACAGGGACGAATACCTTAATACGACTACCTGTGGCTTTCGGCTTGGTTCGGCAGTTCGGTGGCTATGTTGTACTGCCCAGACAGTATTCCCCTCACTAAGGCTCCGCTGTAGGACCGTCTATGCTTACTGGACTGGATGGTTGTTAACTGAACCACCGAACCTCGTCTCGATGTGGTGTTTGCCAACCAACAAGGACTTGGGGATTTCTGCGCCTAAGCCCCCAGACTGTGCTGGACCGCTCCCCACGGGGAGATCTTTCCTCCTCCTAAATAGTTGCACCATCTGACCCAGAGGGTCCCTGCTCTTCGGTTTAATTTGTACCGATAGACTTGTCTACATTCGGGGCACTAATGGCGAGCAGACGATGATCAACTTGTATTTTGTAAGTCATCCTTCATTAAGTGCCATTAGAGGACTGGGACTGCGCATCTTAGTGGGTAAACTGGATAAATATATACATGCATACAGAGAGGTTTAAAGTCGCTTGAAAGGCTGCAACTGAAGTTCATATTTATATCTCATTCTATATGCAGACTCTATATACAGTTCATCTATATTTATGTCGTATCTCAAGAACGCCACAATGCTTTTGAGCGGAAGACATGTCCTAGCCCAGCCACGGCATGTCCCTCACAATATCGCCGCAGCCAACACAACCAGATGTAGGGCATTGCCGTTGGTTCCAGTAAGCGATATGTACCGCAGATGGCTTTGAAGGGCTACAGGCCCTCAATCCCGTTTCAAGCCGACCTTACCCGCCTTCCTCAGCCCAAAGTACCCGACAAGGGTACAAAGAATCATGAACCCAAACATAGTCCAGAAACTGGCGCGGTAGCCAGCCATCAGCGCACCGGTCTCATCAGCGCCAGACTCCTCCGTCACGACGGTTGAGATAACCTGCAGAATGGCCAGTCCCAGGGCACTCCCGAACTGCGCGGCCGTGTTGAAGACGGCACCCGCTAGGGCCTGCGTGTCATCTGGGAAACTATTCGTAATAATGATTAGGCCGATGGTGTATAGAGCGTTGAAGCTGACCGCCTGCAGGAGCTGCGCGACGAAGGCATTGCCCCAGTAAGGCCAGGACGGCTGGATAACGGCCATGAGTAAGGGGGAACCGGCGCAGAGGAGGGAGGTGACCGTTGCGATCCAGAACGCGGGCACTTTGTGCACGAAGACGCCGATGACGAGGTTCAGGAGGACGCCGACGATGAGGCTGGGGAGGATGCGGACGGAGGCGTCCAGCGCCGAGAGGCCTTGGACTTCTTGGAAGCTGGGCCAGGTTAATGAGAGGGCCCACAGGGGTGGCGGAGGGGAAGGCTTACAATAAGCTGGCAAAGAGCTCCATTGAATTGACGACTGTTGTTGAGATGGCGAGAGACGCGCAGATGCTGGAAAAGGCGATGTTCTTCCACAGTGCATTGGGAATGAGAGCTGGCTTGTTCCTCTTGACTTGGTAGTGGACCCAGCCGATAAACGACGGAAGCGCAAGGGCAGCCAGACATAGAAAGACCATGCTACCGGCAGATTTGATCCGTGAGGGGTCGGCGCTTAGAATACTACCCTTCGGTTAGCCTTCGAACGATGCCATGGGCAGGATGCACGTACGCCAGGAGATAACAGAGCAATGCCATGAATGCGGAGGCCAGTCCAGCACCAACCCAGTCGATTTTAGTCCTGATGTTGTGAAGAAGATCTGAGTACTGCGTGCTCTTACTCCGAGGCAAAGCCCAGAGACCGGCAACTGAGAATACGAGCGTGATACCGCCAGAAAGGAACCACCCCGACCTCCAGCCGATAGTATCAACCAGGACGCCCCGACCACCAGGCCCAAAGAGAATCCAAGGGGTTGGCTAACCCCCAAGCACGAGAAAGCGACATTGCGACTTCTTCCTGGAGGCAGAAGCTGCGTCACGATGGAGATCGAAGAGGCCAAGTGCATTGCGAGACCGACACCCTGGAGTGCCCTCAAAACCACCAGCTCCTGCCCGGTGCGAGCCAGACCTTGACCGATCATCAATGCGCCACTGGCAAAGGAACCCACGAGTTCGACCCATCGTGGACCCACAGTGTCTGCCAGGGACCCCGCAAAGAGAAGGGTGGAGGCGGTCGCGAGGCTATTCACCGATGAAGGCCAGAAGGATAGAGAAGGGGGAAGTTGGAGATCCTTGGTGATAGTTGGCAGACCGACAATGACGAGCCCATTGATCACGCTGGCTGTTAGAGTCACCGCAAAAAGCTGGCTGAGCACAACGACCTTTCGGAGCTGCGGTTCTGGGGACTTTGGCCGGTCATTTTCTGGGGACCGAGAATTCGTCGCTTCCAATACGAGAGAGTTGGCGGGTGTAATCGTTGCAGTCGTGGTGCTAGACATGTTGCTGACTGCCGAAGTATTGCTACCGTTCAGATTCAAGGCGGTTTATTTAGATAGGACCTAGTTAATAGTTATAGCTTAGATCATATATGACTCAGAGGGCTAGACTACGCCCTAGGGAGTACATTTTTTCTTTCTATTAGGGGGAGCGAGAGTGAGACTAAGAGACATGCCACGCGACGCTAGGGCACGCTAAAAGTCTAAAACTGGGGATATTAGGCAATAGAAATGTATTCCTCCGGTGTCGCCCCCTCCGGCTTCATGGTTCGTGAGCCCGAGCTCGGAGATTTGCTCTGATAGCCGAGCCAGATCCACTCAGCGGACTATAGATTACCAGCATGAGATGTTGTGAGTTTAGCTCAGCAGATTGTTAAGGTTAATGCTCAAATAGAAGTCCCCAATTGTACATGCAGTTATCAATTCCCAGGATCCGCCATTCTCGACCACTACCGCTAGTTAATGACCCTGAGGTCAAACGTGTCTTTCTAGGACTCAGTGGATCCAGTAGAATGTCTAATCACCCCCAAAGAGTTGTAATACTCCTCCAGGCAGAAAGGCCCTCCGTTTTCCCTTATATGCTCAATAGCTGTCTTCTTCAGTTCCTCTGACACACAGACGCTCAGCTCGACATGCGCCATGCAGGCAAATCTCCCATTGTAAGGCACGCCAGCTTCGTAGTACACATCCGGATTGTCCCAGACGTTGTGATAGAGGAAAGTCGTTGTGTATTCAAACAGAGCCGCATGAGGTCGAATGCAGTAGTGCTGCCTGTTTGTGAGATCGCGGCACCCGCGTTCTGGAATTCTTGCTTCGAGATCGCGGAGGTACTTTGGATTCGGACTTTGGCGAGCGTCAACCATCAGGTTCGAATCCGGATCGGCATCAAGCTCGTCCCAGTACTCGCTGTAATCTCTTAGAATGCAGACTCTCGCCACAGCCGGTTTCATGGACGGCACGCGCCGCACGAGCTCTTTGCAAGTCGTGACATGGGGAAAGGAAGGGTACCAGATGCAGTATGGGAGGCATCTGGTTTCTGGTGTAATGCGAGAAAGGTCATTGTTCATGATGAAGCGCGCATTGATCGCTTGCTCAATCTGATATGGCTCTCTTCCGGGTTGAAGAGTCCACCATTTGGCGAACATGGTGTTGTGGTAGATGCCGCGCACCACACAACTTAGTTCGCCTACTAGCCACGTATTCGGTCGACGCAGGCGGGCGTACCGTTCAATATTACCGTAGTATGCTGCCATGAGGATCAAAAGGTCCTTGTTAATCGTCGGCAAATCGGCAGGCAGCGGCGTGTATAGCAGGTGGGTCATGTCGTCGTCTCGCAGGGGCGGCTCCGATGTGAACTCGTCAATCCGATCGTCTTCTGTGATGTCAAAAATGCCACGGTCTCGTATATCCACAATATCAAAAATACTCCACTCTTGGTCCGGGTCGGGCGGCTTTGCGAATTTTGTCTTGATATCCAGGTAGGATCGTACTGCAGTGTCTGCGTTGAGGTACCCCGGGACTGGTGCGGGAAATACAGTCCTCGTGTAGTCGTCCATAGCATTGTAGCGTCGATCTGCCGCCATGATGGCTTCGTAGATCTCCCACTGTTTGTTCTCTCGCGTCTCTTCTGCAATGTGCGCTTCGGGAAGGAGATCCAACTCTTTGAAAAGGTTTACATAACCCGCTACAGCACATGCTCGCCCGACGAGATATTTCATCTGCGGATAGCGGGTGGCAAGAGCTCGGTAGGTTTCCTCCTTGGCTGTCTCTGGGTACCAGATGCAGTAAGGGAACTCGTCTGCTTCGCTCATCTCAGGAATCTTATCGCTCATGATGTCTCTGGCGTTCAGTGCACGGGTGAATTTGGGCAATAGCCCACGAATTTCGGTGGCAAAGCCTGGATGGTATCGAATGCCACGCACGACACATAGCTGAGTAATGTCTTCTCCCAGGGCTTTCGGGATTTGTTGACCACGTACAGCAAGAAGGCAATCCTCTTCGTTGTATTTTTTGTTTGAGAGACTGTCACTGGAGGGAAGGCCCATGATGAATAATATAGACAGAGGGAAAAAAAAAAAAAGATAAGAAAATAACTTGGTACACCAGGGAGCGGCGGAAGAGGAGCAGCCTTAAGATTAATATAGCCAGGCTCGCTTCGATTGTAACCTTACAGGGAAGGGGTCCTTGGCCTACGGAGTATAGCCCCGCTACCCATCTTATCCACGTTTATTATGCGTTAATTTAGTGATTCCTTCCGCAAATCTCCTGTGTCGAACAATCAAAGCTCCGTAGGAAAGGCTTTGATGGAGAGAGAAAGGTAACCAAGAACGCTCACACGCAGTCAAGTGTCCGTTTGCCAGCCTGCATTGCTTCCACCACCGGCCAATGAATCTCATCATGCGCCTTGAATTCCCAAAACAGTGCTAGAATGTTATGTTGTGGATTTTCCTTTTGAGTACGTCCGTCGTCTATGAATTCTCTCGTTTCGGGGGCACTGCCTGGCCAAGGTTCGGCTTTTGGGATCACCTTCACTCCTTGTTTTTCGAGGTATTCCGCAAACCCATTCGGGAAATTCAATTGGCGGATATACGTAGCTGTGTCGAAGGCGGCTAGAGCATTTGTTCGATGCTTGTTAATCAAAGGGTCCGAGAAGCTCTTGCTTCTTTCTTCGAGTCTTTCATTTTCTTTGAAACCTCTGAGCTGCCCTTCTTCATGACTGAGTTCGCGGTTGAGTCAGTGGAGAAGATCCTCAAGGCAGCAGATGACATTGAAGACGCCGAGAAAAAGGCGAGTATCCTCAGTTTTGTTATGGCTTTCTTGATGATTGTGCCCGCAGTGGGGTTTGCCACCATCGGGCGTATCATTCTGCTAACTGGAGCCGCGGGGGACACTGCGTTTGGTGTGTACAGCTTGGTGGATGATCCAAACAGTGCTGTCATGGCTCTGTCTGCTGCCCTTGTTGGCTTTCGTGGTGAAATGGGCTTGCGAAGGCGGCAGAAGTCAGAAGGGGCATGGCCGCCAAGGAGATTGCAGCACTGGGCTCATCCTTCAAGGAGAAAAGTGACTTGCTACATTCGATTCAGAAGGTGCGCAAAGCTTGAGAGTATGGTTTCGTATGTTCAACCTTGTACGCTACCAACAGTGGCTACCGACAGTGGTACTCCATGTTCGGAATCTCATGTCATGTAATTTATGTACAGCCGGATATGATTCAAGTATATCTGGGACACTGCGTCGAAAGCCAGACACAACGTTCACCTGTACAATTATATGTCAATTTACTTAACTTGACAATCTGCTCTTGGCTTCTAGTCCAGCCATGCCTCAACAGCCACCTTAAGATGACTCGATAACCACTCCTCCTCAAGCGGCACCTCAACATCAAACCCATGATCTCCCTCTCGCAGCGTCAAAACAATCTTGTCGCCACCAGTTTTCCCCTTCGTGACCTCCCGCGCCTTCGCAACAAACTTCTCACTGTGCTGCACCGGCACAATCGCATCCTGCAACCCATGCATAATCGCAATACCTCCCCGCGGGATCTTCACATCCGGCCGATCAAGCCACTCAAGCGGATACCGCAGTTCCCGCGGCGCGTCCTCCGCGCCATATTCGTAGAATTGTCCCAAACCACCGTAGTATATAGCCGCTACCATCAGATCGAATCGATCCGGTAGAAAGGCCGACGAGCGAATTGCGCTTCTGTCCATTTGAGTTAGGTACTCATCCACCGTGGACGCAGGCACATCCGGTAAGGGCTCAGAGCTCGTAGGTGTGCGGAAGTACTCCGACGCCATGTTGACGCACGGATACGTAGCTGTCGTCGCGCGGATCTCGTCTGCGTGTGCCAGTCCAACGCAGATACTGAGTAATCCGCCTGCGGAGTCTCCGGCCGTTAGGATCCGGTCCAGGTCGAGCTGTGTTGGTGTGGAAGATGTCGCGAGCAGTTCTGTGACGGCAGCTGAGTGCAGCCAGGTCCAGAAATCTTCAATGTCGGAGAAGATCTCTGGGCTGGTTGATTCAGGGAGGAGCCGGTAGTTTGGGCTTATGATGACTGCGTCGTGCTTTTTGGCGAGCTCGAGTAGCCAGATGGGGAACCAGTCCATTAGGAGGGAGTCGCCAGTTATCTGATCATGTTAGTGCAAGTCCAAGAAGGGGGTGGAAGGCTTACCAGGCCTCCGCCGTGGAAGCGGACGATTACTGGGCGTTTTCCTGTGAATGTTGACTGGGGGATGATAAAGTCGGCGCGAATGGCGTGGTCTCCGATCTGTTTATAGTGTGTCTGGATCAAGTTGAAGCCAGCGAGTGTTTCGTGGGTTTCGATTGAGCCCATTTTCGATGATAGGGAGGAAGGGTTTGATGATCCTTCTGATGTCTGGGAATTATCTCGGTTTGGATATCTGCGAGGCTATATGAGCTTCTCGCGGCTTAACCGCTTAATCAGCATATAATCAATACGCTAAGGTCAAGGAGATATCTTTCGGAGACCATGGCAACTATTCCTCCGCAGGTTAATAATGATTGTTTTCATCGTTTGCATGTTTTGCAGGCTATCCAGATGGACCAATTATAGTGTAGATCTATATTAACATACTGTGAGAGGACACGGATGATTGCAACGCAGTCTGTGTCGGGGCACCCAGTTATGTTTGATTATGTTCTTTCATCTATTCCCGAATATTGTAAGCTGCTAGACATCCAAGTGACTCATTCGGGTATTAGCAAATAGCCTTCCACATCACCAAGCAAGACAAAACACGCAAATGTCCCGAAATCAAGATAGGCGACCACCACGACAGTTCAGAAAAAGTCGGGATCAAGCCAGCAGCGGTCCACCATAGGAATTCCCTCGAGCTCAAGAAGTATATCCTCGTTCCATCCACGCTTGCTAGTCTCAATGAACTCCCTAGTCCAGCCCCAGTTTTTGGTATCAGCTCCATCGGCAAAAGCAGGCTCCATTGATTCTCTGATCCTGTCCCGAACCGTGTGAAACACCATGCTCCGCCAGAGGGCATTGTTCGGCTTGCAGAGAGTCTCGCAGTAAACGACCCACAACCATGGTAAGATCAGAACGTTCTGCAAGTGATAATCGAGGATTGTCTTTCTGAGAGGCCGTTCTTTAAACACAGCATCGCTTCCTCCCTTTGCTGGATCACGCAGTTGATTCACAGTTCTATGCACATGCTTCCGCAGCGCGAGTGATCTTGGAGGAATGCGCGCGTCTTTCTCGACGCACGTCTCCAAGCTTGCAGCCTGAGCATACTGGGCGCGCGGATATTGAGTCGCGAATTGCATGACCTGGAGGTCTTTGATTCCATTCAGGCGGATTCCGTGGTGCTTGAACAGCGCGGCAGAGGCGTTTCCGACGTCGAATAAGATCTTTGACGCGGCGGAAGATTCAAGCAGGAGCTTGAGCGAGTTGTCGGCGAGACTGGTAGTCGTAAATGCGTCGTCGCCTAGCTTCAGCACGTCTATCAGGAAGACCTTTTTGATGGGCCGTATGAAGAGAGAGATGATTGAGATTGAGCCGTCTTCTCCTGGATTTAAGGTCTGGACGTCGAAGAACAGAGCGGCGGGCTTATGCGAGTTGTAATCGAGCTCGTTGAGTAATTTCTGCAGAGAACCGATGGAGTCGACCATCTGTATATCGCGAGTCGAGGTTTGGAATGCCATGGTTGATGTAGCCATGTCGCTCCAACGAGAACGATTTGCTTAATGGGTAGCTTCGGAAACGGACAACAACAGTGTCTGGTCAATTCTCGTAGAACAGAATGTTCCTATTTCAAGGAAGTAGGACGCGCATCTACGTCACCTTTATACACATAAAGGTAGCGAGTTGCTGAGAACCACGGGTTGCAACCGGAGTTTGCCCTGGGTTCTGGGTCAGCCATCAGATAATAACAGAGGCAAAGAGCGTGAATGTGAGCTCATCTTTCGGGAAATTCCGATAGAGTATAACCTATAACTTAAAAGATTTGTTGACTCAGCAGGATTAAGTGAATAACGAGTTGGGAATTTTCTCACGCAGACTCACAGTGATCATTGCTGACATATAATGACGCAGGATCTTGTTCGCCTATTATGGTCATGCTTTAACTTTGAGATGCCAAGTTAAAGATAATGCCAGCTCAGTGGTATGCAATAAAAGCCTGCTCGATCTGGAGTTTGTCTAATTCCCTCATCGAAAGTATAGGATGTCGATTCGAGCAGTCTCCAACCCATTCCATAGGCCCTACCCTGTATTGAGCTGGGGTTTACCATGACCTAGAGCGCATTAGACAAGCTGTACCATTAACATTAAGAGAATGCCGTCAGCAAACTGACTGGGACAGTGTCACAAGTCACTGAATAGGGTGCTGCAGCTATCGCACTACAACCACAGCGATGCCAAATAATATCTCCTGGGAGTCAGTAGCCAGTTCGTGTCAAGTAAGAAATGATCTGTCCTAGCCCTCCAGCTGTGATTTAATAGCTGATGGGTAGACCTTACAGTCGATACAACAATAGAGATAAGAAATCGACCTTCTGCTGGAAAATCCCGGGCACGAAGCCCTCTACCCAGTACAGCCTCATCTAGACCCTGAACCCTCTCGCTTAATTCCGCTTCATTTAGCCTATTCGGAAAATTAGCGTATCAAAGTAAGACATGATAAGACATAAGAGTTTCGGATTGAGCCGAAAGTTTCTGGTTCAAGTCAAGCATCTAACCCTTAGTGTGTGGATAAAACCGTTTTGAAACGACGGCGGCGGCTACGGGGCAGTTGTACTATATGCCAGCACAAAAGTATGCACAGACGAGATTTTACACTAGATTACGAGGGGGGCTTTTACTTTGTGCAATTCTGATTTCGAAAAGATAATAATAACTCCCATTTGATGCCAGCGCCTGCGCACAATATTCTAGCTAGAATAACTCACGACTCCGTCAATCGTCGGGAGCGTATTAAATACAGGATATGAATGGTAGACGGTCAGGCCCAATGCAACTCGACATGATATGTTTAAGCCTTGAGGCACTGGTGGTAGTAAGGGTTCCACTGCTTGCAGACGAGACCAGCCTCGCAGCTCGTGGCACCGGAGTAGTTCTTGCCACCGCACTGCTGGTACACCTTGACAGAGCCGCTGGCGCTTCCGGAGCTGGAGCCAGAGTTGGAGCCAGAGTTGGCAGGAGGAGCAGCGGTAGCAGCGGGAGCAGCAGTGGTGGTGGGCTTGGCGGCAGTAACCAATGTGGTGGGAGAGGCTGGTGTGTCGGCGGAGCCCTGCTTGGTGGGAGCAGTGGTCACGGACGCAGCGGGGCAGTCTTAGCAGGGCTAGAGCCGGAAGAGCCGGAGGAAGAGCCGTCCCAGACAGCAGGGCCAGGAATGGGATAGCTGGTGAAGGAGTTGTACATATCGAAGAGAACGCCGGGGTCAGTGGCCTTGTAGGCACCGGGGATGGAAACACCGGCAGGAAGGGTCTTGGTGCCGGCAGAGGTGACCTTGACCTGGACACACTCCATGTAGAACTGGGCGCCACCTTGGCGGTTACCCTCGTGCAGGGCGATGATCTCAGGACGGAGCAGGTACTCGCCGGCGGGGACATCGGGAACGGTGATCGAGTGCTTGCCCTTGTTGGCGATCAGGTTAGCAACCGCCCATTTGCCGTTCGAGTAGCCCTCCTCGGCGATCTTGACCCAGCCGTTGCCAGCTGTTCCCTTCTCGGTGGGAGCCATGTAGACCATGACAGGACCCATATGGGAGGAAGCGATGATGTCGTCGGAGGCAGTACGAGAGTCGTGGTGCCACTCGAAGGTGACCTTGTCACCGGCCTTGACGGAGAGGGTCTTAGCAACGGGGTTCTTGCCGTTGACGTTGCAAGACATATCGGCGGAGGTAACATCAGTGAGAGGGCTGTTGTTGGGGGGAGAGCGAATGTATCCGCTAGCGGAGTTTCCCGCGCCCTGGTCCACGTCGTTGATCCAGACGGCGTGGACAGTGGCGTGGGCGCTGACGAGCTTAGCTGCCGCTGCCAGAGCGAGCAATCCGAAGGTCGACTTCATTTTGAAAGATTGTTTGAAATGTAATGAATGACTGAAATGAAGGAGAGAAAGAGAGAGGAAAAACGAAAGAATGCAGATAATCTAAGGAGAGATGAATGCTGAGCAGTCCAGGCTTGGAGAAAACAGGATGAATGGGGGGAGAAGGGTTTATATATCAACGCTGGTTAGAGTACGAAGTGCTGGCGATAGCATCAATGGTCTAGTCAGACCGATGGGGCCACAGGAGATGAACGGGTCCCTGCCAAGACATAGGGGTCCCTTGGCTTCCCTGTCACCAACGGTGCCAAGCAGGGGTTTTCATCTATATGTTTCACTGTCTGACTAGTATTTTCGATCTATCCTGTTTGCCATTGACCAGCGCGGTGTCCTGTCGGCTAAATGAACCGGGTGCCCCCCGAATGGGCCACGGGGTCTTACTCATGTACCAATAACCCTACTCCCGTCGACCGTAAAGTACGAGATCCATCTTTGCCGCCCAATAAGCGGCCATGCTCCCAACATGGCACTGTCCGACCTGTGGGGTGGGCAGAGTCATGTAGTCCAGCACTTCTGCTTGGTCATTTCGAAATATATTAACTTATACTGTGTTGTCTCACTGTGGTGTCGTCACTTTGCGTTTCCGGAATATCCTCCGATGCTAACAACGAACCGCGAGCTTCTAGCTGCACTGTCTCACTTGTTCCCCTGGTTCTAGGGATATTAAGGGACCTTTTTCTACCATTCTGGGCTCTTCCATCCGATCGATACAGCGTCACTACAGCCCGAGCCACCTCCCTACCCGCGGCCTAGAATCGGGTGGACGAATGGGCTATGGATAATGAAACAAACCCTGCATAGGCATCTACATAGAAGTATCCGTAAGAAACTTCCGAAGGGTCGTCCTCAGTCATTCGTATAGCTCTCCTCTATATACGAGTTGATTGAACGAGCCAGGTGCCGTCTGGTGGGCATAATAAGGGCCGCTCGACGACTCATGTTTCCAGAATATTAATATGGTTCCTGAATCCTAATTTCCCAGGATTACGGCCTATGGGTCTCTTTAATATCAATAGCCCGAGTTGCCTCGGGTTTTTATCATTCAACTGCCTATATGGATCACCAATTTGCGATAGTATATTAATAGGGGTAATTTAGTCGCCATCGTTCATTACTAGGAGCATACCAGATTGTTCCTGGCAGGCTGGTTTAGCTTCTCAGGGATCATTAGTTAACTTTGCCTGAATGTGACCAAGCGTCGACCTCGCGGTGGGTGCATTAATCAGGAACGAGCGGTTGTCTGAGTCGTAGTGGAATCATCCTTCTATAAATATATATGTTGACTTCGTCGAAGACGGCACAGAAATCATGGTCAAATATATAGCTGGGTTTATTTACCTATACCTGGTCGGTTCACCCATAATTCATTACGATGTAGAATATTTCCTGATTTCTTTCTTTCTCTCCCAGCTACTGTTAATTCATTTATCCTGCTAAATTGGGGTAATTGATTGTAGCATACGGGCAACTGTATTGTGCTGGTTGATAAAGCAAAAAGAATGTCTGAAATTCAACAACAGCATGTTAGCTCAGGGGAAGAGCGCCGGGCTCATAACCCGGAGGTCCCTGGATCGAAACCAGGACATGCTATCTGATTTCTTTTTTCTTTTTCTTTTTCTTTTGGTTGGTTTCGTTTTTAATCCACTCTATTCTCTTTTTGTTTAGTCTCTGGCTACTGCGCAAATTGATTGGCTCGATTCCCACTGCAATGGCCCCCCAACCTTCCTTACTTTAAGCGATCAGGATCTATCTCGGTGAGGAGAGGACTACTCTGCACTCGCTTCCGCTTTTCGCATGTCACAAAAGAAGCGTCTCAGACAATGAATGATGAAAGCAACTTTTCAAAAAGGTAACCAAACCTAACTCTGGTTCATCATATCGACAATGGCGAGATCACCTTGTTAGTCAGTCCCATGCATCGTGCCGGTCGCAGCTCGATTGCCATATCGGGATAACATCCAGACGCCGACACTGTACAAAGCTTCCTCTAAGTACTTATACCATGATTGTTATGCTTCGCACCTCAATCATAACACTTGAATGAGGGCATTCCAATACAGTGTCAATATCCCCATTGATAGGATATATTGCGATCTTCTACGACAACTCAGCACTGGTTCGCTCAGAATCCGCAGAGTACTGCCAAACCGTCGGTCCCAACTCCTGGAAGACAAGACGGGCCATACGGTCCCGCGGTTCTTGGGACTCTATCCTGATAATCCCTTTAGATTAATGCCAGCTTTTGATGCGGCCAGCAATCTAATGAAAGCCTCTTGGTTGCTGCTGCTTATCGCGACGCGAGGGACAGCCGTGGGTCCTGCCATGCGTGAGATGTAAGTGATCTTCTCGAGTTCGAGCATGTGGATTTAGAATTAACAGCAGCAGGCGATAGACTGTCTTTCCCGCTCCGATCATGAATATCTACGGCACACCTGTTCACCTCACTGATCGACCTGGCGACAGTGAGGCCATGCTCTACTTCCTCGACACTACGGTCGAAGCGAACGCGTCATCGGCACTCCAAGCATGCGTGCAAATGCCTACGGCACAGACCTTACAAAATGCAAGTTGATCGAGGTATCGGACCTAGTCAAGGTAAAGAAGCTCTTTACCGTCTTCGACGGTTCCTACCAAGGGTTCGCGATTGGGGACTTTAGGCAGATGTCGGGGCCATCCGGTACTCTCCTGAGCAGATACTCTCCGTCTGACTCAAAACTTAGGGTTGTGAGTTCGCCCAATCCTTCTTGACGTCCGACCAGGACATCGGCGCTTTGCATGGCAAGCTGGAGAGTATGGGACCTGCGGTGATTGGTCTCTTATTGCCTGATTGAGATGTTTTGCTATGCGGAGCTGAGTCTAGGACCATGCGAGCAGGTTACGGGAAGAACACCATATATATCTGCCGCCATCATGCACTGTGACTATTGTGGCTGACAGAGGGCAATGTTCCCTGAGCGATCTGCAATGTCGTTGGTCTTGGCTGAGCGGTATTTGGGTAGGAATTACGGACATATCACTCGGTTTTCGAGGTGGATACAATCATAGAAGTCCTTGGTAGAATATTGTCCATTTGTCATCCTTCTACCTTTGGCAAATGCCGGAAGAGCCGGCAATAAGTACATCAAAACTCCGGGAGATCCACACTATTTATCTCCGCATTAAATCCGGCTATAATGATCTGCCGGTATATTATTCTCCCACCGCGACATCATTAGCAGTCAAACACCTTGTTCTTAGTACTAATAAAGACGAAAATGCCCTCCATCAAAAACTCCACAGTCGTCATTTTCGGCGGCAGCTCCGGCATCGGCTACGGCGTCGCCGACAAGTGTCTCTCCGAAGGCGCCATCGTGCACATCTCCTCCTCCAACGCCTCCCGCATCACTCAGGCCGTCTCCTCTCTGAAGGAAAAGTACCCCGAGGGGCAAGTAATCGGTCACACTTGCGATCTCTCCCTCCCGGACGTCGAGCAACGCCTCGTCAAACTCTTCGAGGAAACCGGGTCCTGTGACCACATCGTCTACACCGCCGGGGACGCACTAGCCGTCAGACCGCTCAAGGACCTCGATCTCCAGTTCATCCAGAAAGCTGGACACATCCGCTTCGATGTCCCGCTGCTCGTTGCAAAACTTGCCCTGCGGGTCCTGAAGCCGGGGTATACCTCGTCGCTGATCCTGACCGGGGCGTGGTCGGGGATCGCCCGCAGCCGGATTGGGCTGTTGTTGCGGGGTATGCGGCTGGGCTACACGGGATGGTGCCCGGTTTGGCGTTGGATATGAAGCCCCTGCGGGTGAATTTCGTTAGTCCTGGTCCGGTGAAGACGGGGCTGTTTCCGGATGAGGTGGCGGAGATGTTGGCGAAGAAGACGACGCTGGGGAAGGTGGGAACTGTGGAGGAGGTGGCGGAGGCGTATGTTTATTTGATGAAGGATACCAATGCGACGGGGAGCTGTGTGAGCACGAATTCGGGGTCTTTGCTGATGTGATTATTCTGGTATTATGTAGGGCGTATGCTTGAGGTAGAGGGTATTGCAACAGGTATTCGTGCATTTGTTGGTAAATTCAACGAGACGGGGTTTTCCAGTTTAGTACCAAGGTGTATCAGCATGTTTCTTCACGTGAATCACTTTCTAGGTTCTGAGATATCAGTCTGTCCTTAGTAGGGTAGATAGTATGTTGATAGGCAGCGGCGGTCTTATCTCTATTTTAGAGGAGATAAGGACAGAGATGCCCTAATAGGATAACCTGCTGACGACCTATTGGCCATCTCAACATACTATGGAAACTATCTAGAATATCCCACTTCAGCATGCATGATTCTGTTAGTTAATGGATACAACCCTGATGGTGCTGACCTAATGACCTGCAGGACAACAACCCCGCATCATCCAAGTATCCTCGCTCTTGTTCATCTTGACTCATTCCTGACCGAGTTCTGATAGTACAGCAACATCAAGGATATTCCTCTACATTAGCAGTAAATGGATCCAGAAATACAGTACGTCCTCGGGCTAAAAGCTGTCCGTGAACGAGCCCATCGAGTCCTACAACTCGCGGAGGAAAATCGCCTGAGCCACTTCGAGTACCATCCCGATCGCCTTCAGATTACAGTACAATACGTGATAAATATCATCAAGGTTCGTGCACTGGAATAGCGACAGGAAGAAACTGACAGCTCTAGCGCCACTTTGGACCAGACAAATACCACCTCATCCCGCCTCATGGCCGCTGGCAACACTTTGAAGTTGGGGGTATCAATCGCCCTGAGAAGTTACTGCAGCAGTGGAAGAGTAACGGGGCAGACACACTCGAGCAGACCCGTAGTCTACTGGACTTGTTCTTCGTCTCGGTGCTGCTTGACGCGGGAGCAGGCGACAAATGGCGGTTCACCGAGCCAGGCACGGATATCGTTGTTGGTCGTAGTGAGGGGACCGCATTAGCCTCGTACAATATGTTCGTCAACGGCGACTTTGCAACTGCTGACAGTGAGAGGAGGGATATCGTTATGGGTTGGTGCCATCTCCTCTCTAATGAGTGCAGGACTGAACATCAACAGGGCAGGCCCTTAAGGACTTTGACGCTGCAACCCTGGAGCGCGGCTTCCAGATAGACGAGAAGACGAATCCCCTCGTCGGAGCGTCTTCCCGCGTCGAACTACTACGGGGCCTGGGCCGGTCCATCCTCAACCTACCAGAGATATTCGGGCCCGGAGGACGACCTGGCAACCTAGTCGGTACGTTGCCGTATTCTTATCAACAGACATAGGCTAACGATAGCAGACTATCTCATTTCTCAATGCCCCACGCCAACAGAAATCAACTACGAAACCTTCTGGAACACGCTACAAACCGTCCTGTTACCCGTGTGGCCCGCGTCCCGCACCCATATCGACGGCCACCCCCTCGGCGACGCATGGCCCCTCCAAGTTCTCGCAGACGACGCCGAGCAAACCGCCCAAAAGTCAAAATGCGCGCACATCCAGCCCTTCCACAAACTCACGCAGTGGCTCGCCTACTCCCTGACCGTCCCTTTCGAGCGTCTGCTCGGCGTGAAATGGGCAAACATGGATCTGGGCACCGGGCTCCCCGAGTACCGCAATGGAGGCCTGTTCATTGATCTTGGGGTTCTAACCCTCAAGCCTGATGCAGAAGAACGTGGTCGAGATAATTCTGGGTCGGGACTTCCGGCGTTTGAGGCGACGTCAGATGAGATTGTGGAGTGGCGGGCGATGACGGTTGCGCTCTTGGATAAGCTGCATGCGCAAATTATGGACAGCGAGGAGTTCGCTGGGGTGAGGTTGAGTCTTGCGCAGGTTCTGGAAGCTGGGAGCTGGAAGGCTGGACGGGAATTGGCGGCTGAGAAGAGGCCGGAGACTAGATCGAGCCCGATTTTGATATTGGGTGATGGGACGCTGTTTTAGCGATGCGATTCTTACATCGACTGGGGCGGTGGGGTATCCCTGAAATGGCTTTATTGCCTTGCACTATTATGTCTCTCTCAAGCAGAGCCATAACCCCCTTGCCCACAGGAAAACCCGAAATAGATATACAGTCGTCTACCTCTTTCAAGGACTGGGTAAGTAATCAATACGTTTCAGCGCTCCGTTGACGGGATAGAACCTAAGAACTATGCTACCTAGATACAGTAGGTGCAACTACATCCAGAGAGACAATGAAAGGTAGTAGGTATTGGACGATTTTGCCAGCAGTACTCAGGACAAATCCAAGGTGAACCACATCTGTACGATGGCAACACAAGCAGAGTTGTCAGGATATGAATAGATGAAGACAACAAGGAACTTCCACTGAGAATGACGGGACTGGCTCGAAGATCTACAGATTGTACCGGCTCTTCAGATGACGCCACCAGTCACGGACCATCCAGATATCGAACTCGGTAATCTGTGTCGCACTGCCTGCCAGCATGATGAAGTTCGTCTGGCCAGTAGGAGTCCAGTCGTAGAAATCTTATATGCAGTGTCAGCACATACTCATCCAAGCAAACAAGGAACAGACTGACCATCCAAGCCAAACGTATGTCCAAGCTCATGCAGGTAGATATGGATATTCTCCGAGTTGACATTCTGCATGAAATACTCCTGGCCCACGCGCTGGCCCCAGTCGCCGCCCGCGCCGCCCTGGAAACCATCCGTGAGCCATAAGCTCTCGTCTATGGATAGTTAGCCACAGTAGTCGTAAGCAAGAGAGGGCACATACCATAGTGACGGCTGGCACCAGCCGGACACTGACTATAATCCCCGTCCTGGTGGAAGAATCGTCCACACCTCGGATCGCACTCGGGAATCCCGCCTTCATCCTTGGTGGTGTAGATGTCCAGGCCCGAGGTGTCGCCTTCCAGGAGGGACCGATCGCGCACGGCGTACCCGACGACCTTTACCTCGACGGTCTTGTACGGGAAGCCGTCAAACCCGGCGAGCCCTGCGATCCACTTGTTGACGGAGCGGTTCACCGCAGCGGCGATCTGCGTGCGTTGTGCGGCGGTCACCTTCTTGCTCGAGTCCCAGCGCACGCAGTAGTTGATTTTACCGCCGGTGGCCATGACTTGGTCGAAGCCGTAGTTCTTGAATCCCATTGGGTTGCTGTAGGTGGCCATTTCGTGCTCCCAGACCTGAATGTGTGCAGAGGTTAGGATGGGCTTTAAGGCTAGAGATGGAATGGGACGTGTACCTCGTTGAGAGGCTTGACGAGATTAGCTGGGGGGTTCCAGGTACCACTCTGGCGCTTCTCAACCCATGGGCTGCCAGCAGGGGCGTCGAGGTCTCCTGGGATCTGGCTGTCGTGCAGCGGGAGAGCGCAAACCGAGCCGGCCAGCAGCTGGATTGCGGCGAGGTAGAAGGTCGCCTTCATTATATACAAGTAAATGCAATATAGAGATAACAAAGGTTGGTTAAAGAGAGAAGTAGCTAGTCAATAGCTATGGAATGGATAGTGAGGGTAATCAACATGGGTTCCTGGAGAACTATTATATATGCCCCCAATAGTGTGCAACAAAACGCCAAGAATCGGGGTCTATAGTCGTGGTCGGACGGTAAGACATTTCCTCGAAACTGTTCTCTTCATGGCCATTCTTCAGGGTCCTCTCCGCCAATGGGACTCTCTCTCTGTATGTGAAAAGGGAGCGCCAAGTGTTGGTTCCGGAGGGCAGACCTCTATGGTGCTCGACCATTCACGGACGAAACAATCCCCAAACAGCGGAAGGGACATGCCAAGCGTCCGTCAATCTATTAAAAACAGCCCCTGACTCTAACAGGGCGCATGACTGGTAGTCGCATGACTCGTAGGGAAACGGAAATATACCGTCAATGGGAATGGGTCAATCTATTTCAGGAATGTGGTTCGTTCTGCTAGCCTCCAGGGGATTTACATGTCTTCAGTCAGGATGTCCGCTTCCTCAACCCACGCAACCGCCCTTGCATCATTGGTCTCATCTCGGTAGATGGCTCGAATGCGGATCATGCCCCTTTCGTCATACACTTCATCCCAATTGAGCGCTGCTTTCTTTGGTCCGAAATCATCACGGATGCATCTCCGAGCCTCCTTGTTCGCTTCCTCGATTGTGGCCGTCGTGCCCACCTCATCTGGGTAACAAGCCGCCATCATGGGATCGATAGAAAAATACTCTTCAATCTGCATCTTGACCTTGTACACCTTGTTATACGAAGGGGTTTCTAGCTTTCCGTGAAGGAACAGTATGACCGTTGACATGGGACCTGTGCTTTGGCCCGTCAACCATTCTGCAAAGATCGGTCGCATGTATTCGGTATAGGTCCTCCATTTGTGCGAGACGCTATCGAGTAAGGTCTGGCGAAGGTCGACTGCAGGGCGCTCGGCATCTTGATCAATCCAACTGATAGAGACCTGATTCAACGAATTCTGTAGGTCTTCTTTCTGAGCTGGGCTTAGATCTCCTCGATAAATGGCATCTTCCAAGACCAACACGCGAGCATAATGATCAATGGCCTCTAGCTTCTGAGAGAATGACGTCGTGTCCTGTAAGCCTGCCACCGTCCAGCGGGGTTGGTCGTCTAGGACTTCAGTCTGGATCAAAACAGCCAGCCACCAGACCAAGGGGTTGGTGTGTGGTGTGGCCGCGGCGTCCTTGATCATCTTCAGGAAGAATATATTGGCCATCTCGCCGAGAACTTTCAGCGACTTTCCTTCCTTGGCGTAGTACCGAATGGCGTCGATGTTGTCCTTGACAGACCAAGATAGGTTCAATCCCATAGACTCCAGGGCACCGTCTGCACCATACGACGTCCAGTTGACGACAAGAAACGCCAGCAACGATGTCCATACAGAGATGGCCTGCTTCCGCTGCTCCTGATCCCGCGGTCGTGCCCATGTCTCGAATTTCCGGTCAGGCTGGGCAGGATATCGCGAGAACCGGTTTATCAGCTCTCGGATATGGGAGGGCCATCGTTCAACCATTGCATCGCTGTCAGTAAAGGTCAGTGCGACTGCGGTCGCAATCCTGGAGATGATGTATTTTGTGGTCGAGCCATTAGCCGTGATGTGTTCCATGGTTGGGCCATTAGCTGCGTGGAAGCGCTGCCGGGCTTCAGCGATTGCTTGCTGCTGAGCATCTGTGAAACCAGCCGAGCGACACCATTCTTCGATGATAGAATCCATTTACGAATTTGATGCTGGTTAAGAGGTTTCCGACAGTAGTCTGTTTATACGAGCTGAGGGTTGCGAATGAGGAGTCGACGCGTAGGAAACGAAACTCACCGCGTGAGGGGAATTCGATTACCCCTCCATCATCATCCATGCACCCTGAACGCTTACATATATCACCAATTCATCCAGAAGACGAGATTGCGGGATATTTTGCTGCTGGATGCGTTTAGTGCGTCAAACCTTTCCGCTTGAGTATCTCATCTAATTTATGCCAAGGATTGAGTGGACCAAACCTTGCATTGACTGGAGATATTCGATCTCCCCCCTACAATGGCCGGCCAACAGCGCAAAGATGCGACAATATCATCAAAGCAGCGATCTAAAATGTCCGGAAGGGTCTTAAACAAAATGAACAAGAAAACCAACACCTTGGCCACCCAGCCCTGCAATCAACATGCGTCTGTTTTCTTCCGTCTCCCTCGCGAAATCCGCGACATCATCTATCGAGAAATCTTCGTCTTCCCCGTAACCGTCCACCTCGCCTACGTGGGGAGGACCAGGAACCGCAAATTCCGTAGCTTTCTCTGCGCCCTATCCGAAGATGAGCAGCCCGAGAAGCGCCCGCAGCTGCTCTGTCCACGGTGTCGAGTCAACCACCACCGCTGCTCACCACGGAAGGGGACGTCTGATGATGTGGAGGGGCGCCCTTCGTCCGAGGCCAAAACCCAGGCTAGGGTCCTGGCGTTACTGCGGAGCTGTAGAAGGGTGTATGTTTTGCTTAACCTCTGTCGCTGATACACGTAGCTGACATGAGTAGGTACGACGAGACGGTCGACATGCTCTACCGCGAAAACACATTCTACATTGAGAATCCGCGCACCCTGCTGGAACTCCCGTCGTCTTTATCCCCGGCGCGACTCAGTTCGTTCCGGCATCTGTATCTGGAGTCGGCCCGGTATGGTGAGAATACCCCGGCTGACCGCTTGGATAAATGGGCAGCGGTTGTTGGTGTGCTACAACGACTTGATGGACTCGAAACGCTGGTTGTTGTTCTACGGCCGATGTTTGGGTTGGAATGGGAGGTGGAGGGGCTGATGAAGCCACTCGAGGCGGCTGGGCTGCCGGTTTTAAGGCTAGTAACAGATCAGATGGTGTACATGGCTCTTGATAGTTCGGCGCCTCGTTGTAATCTTCATGCGTTGTAGCCAGAGGGTTTTGCATTAGGGTTATCAGGCGGTGATCATGCAGGCCCTGGGAATACATAGGTGTTTTTGATCAGTCAGAGTATACGTCTAGCTCATATGGACTCTCGCATACCTGTCTGAGATAATTAGGTACTTATATGTCTAGGAGCATAGCTACGACACATGTTACTTGATACAGATTCGGTCAGTTTTACTGTACAACTACATCTGCATCGGAAAATAAGATAGCAGGCCCAGGATAGATCCAATTAGAAGAAAAGAACAATTCAGTGAATGATGGTTTGAATCCAGGCTAGAAGTATCCACCGTCCAGAAATCAAGATTGGGGGGCGCCGTACCGTACTTTTACTACGTGGAGAGACCAATCAATCTATGATGCAAACACTTTCACATCTTGAATAAAGAATGTAACCATCGAACCTTGCCGTAGAGTTGGTGGTGTTGATTGGTGCATCGAACGCAACCGTTGGCCATGTTCCATTCCAGTCTCCACTGCGGATGCCCACGGAAGCATCTTCCATATTTCCACTCTCCGTTCCATTCCCAGATTCCATTCCCCCTGGAAATGATCTGTTTTTTTGGGGATTTCCAGGTTCTGATTCATGATTCATGATTCATCATTCTGTTAGAGCAGGTATCTACACTGAGACGTACGTGGGCATCACGATGTTAGAACTTAGGGCTAGCGAATAGGACGATTCATGTCGACTCCCAGAGTCAGTCCGTGCAGTGATTCAATGCTTCGCAACCTGTCGGTTACAGGTTTCAACTCGACCAGGCCAAAGGGACGAATTGACTTTTACTGGAACGTATCCTGTTCCCCCCTCTAGACCTTATCGCCAGCAGCCTATTTAGCTACAGGCAGTTCATGCTCACATGTGCCCTTATGATTGAATGCAACCACAGTGGACCAGCCTAGTGCCAAACTATGATAGGCCATTGGGAAGCACCAGGATTTCAGGGCTGCAAGACTGTAAGTGGGTATTGGACGTCATAATCCTCTAATCGTTTGATTTTGGGTCGATAGCCAAATCGATGATTAATAGCGAGAATCAGGGATAAATCATTTATTAGGACAGTACTTGCTTTCCCCCAAAACCTATCGCTTTGATGGCTTGATTTTATCTGTAGATACAGCTTCTCCCCACGATATGAGGTCAGGAGCCGCCCGAAAACGCCCCTCGGACGCCGACGATCCCTGCCAAGCGACCCATGGGGCCCGGAGACGGATCAGCAGGGCCTGCGACCGGTGCCGTGCGCAAAAGGCTAGAGTAAGTCAATCACTTTTGGTGGATGCAGTGCAGCAGAGCTTAATTTTCAGTGCGATGGAGGAAAACCGTGCATTCGCTGTGGGGACCACATCCCTTGCGTCTATCAGGAGAAGAAGCCGCTGCGACGGAAGTATCCCGCTGGGTAAGTCGTCTGCCTTGTTTTTTGGATGAGACTAACAAATGAAGATATGTGGATATGTTAGAGGAACACCAGGCGTATCTGATAACCGGTTTGAGAAAGCTATATGAATGCATTCAGCAGGACGCCAAACTCCCAGAGGTCGATCGCGATGGCAATAACCGCCCGATTGTGCACGAATTACTCGATAAACTTGGCATCTTTGAAGGACCGATCAAAGAGCATACGCCCCCAACAACTGGAAGGGCAGCGGACACTGAACCGTCTCTGGGAAGTCTTCGTGGAAACGAGATCGTGGGTGGAGTGATTGGGACAACCAGGTTGCCAGGGTCATCTAGGCCCTGGTCATCTGCTCAAGAAGTCAAAACCTCGCCTGCCTCGAATGCAAATGCCGCAGTATATCTCCCCCGCCCCTTGACTCTACCAAACCGCATCCCTCTCAATACAGGCATGGCACAACAGCGGTTCTCGCGCTCGTGCCACGAGCAAGCTAGCCCAGTGGGACTCAACCGCCATCAACGACCGGTCGATCTCAGCAATGGATTTTATAGGTGGTCTTTTGACTTTTCCGACTTTTTGGCTGTCTCGAGTCGGGAATGAATGCGATATTCCTTACTGAGGGGTGCTGGAGAGCGCAGCGATCATGGAAGCATGGCCTGATAATAGTATCACGGACAATCGACGGCCGAGTGTACAGCCTGCTGCTTGGAGCCGAAAGTACCGGATATGAAGTATTCCAATCTATTGGTGAGTAAAAAAAAAATGGAATCGATTGATCATGAATACTAATTCAGCCAAGGTATCAAGCGAACGAGTGAAGCGTCTAGGGAACTATCCACATGCACAAAGTTGCAATAATATCCGATCATCTACAGCCTGCAACAAACCTACAACGTCTCTCCACACGGCCAAAGGAGAGGAGCTTACGACTCCGCCAGACCCTCTTCCCCCTCATAAAACTTCAACAACGGCTCCAGCTTCTGCCGAAGAACCCAAACCCGAAAATGCCAGACGGCGTTCCTAATCTGATACGCGGCGTGCTTCCTCGTCGGAACAGAAAAGACCTGGTCCAGTTCCTCCAACGTAAGAGCTGCAACCCGTTAGCATTCGTCCAAGTGACAGATGAAGGCAGCCTCACCCTTCGTCTCGGGAACAAAAAGCAATATCAACACCCAGCCGACCAAACACCACGCGGCATACCACCCAAACGCACCCTGCGGCTTGAACGTATCCAGCAGCATCGGCCACGTAAACGAGAGAATGAAGTTAAAACACCACGTCGTCGCCGTCGCCCACGACATTCCGACCTCACGCACGTGCAGCGGGAACGCTTCAGCCGAGTACGTGAACGGCACGGGACCCTCGCCGGGCGAGTAGAACACCTCGAACAGATACATGCCTGTCGTGACCATCGCGACGCGCTTCTTGCTGAAGGGGTCGTCTGGTTCGATCCAGAAGGAGAAGCCCGACCAGAAGAGGCAGATGGCGAGGAGAGGGAAGGTGAAGAGGAGGAGGTTACGGCGGCCCCAGGTGTCGATTGTGAAGAAGGCGGGGAGCGCGAAGACCCAGTTGAGGATGCCGGTGCCCATGGATGCCAGGAGGGCTTCTTGGATGCTGTAGCCCGATTCGACGAAGATGGTGGTTGAATAGTAGGCGATTACGTTGACGCCGCAGAACTGTTGAATTAGCCAAGTGCCGTCAAAATTAATTGAAGATGTATACTGAGAGTACCTACCTGCTGCATGAACATGACGATCCAACTAGCCAGAGTAGCCCGACGATTGCGAGGAATCGTAAACAATTCAATAAACATGGTGAAAAAGTTCTTGCCCTTGTTCACCTTCCGCTCCAGCTCCACTCCTACATATGCGTAGTACAGATCCCGGGCAGCTTGTAGGTCGCTCGGCCGGAGGGTCCGGAACGCGGCAAACGCCTTGTCGATCTTGTTGTGCTCGATCAACCATCGAGGTGACTCGGGACAGAAGTAGACTTGTGCGCAGACAATCAGCGGGAGGACAACAGTTGAACCCAGCATGAGACGCCAGGAGAGGTCGTCGGATAACCCCATAAACGCCACACCCATGATATTCCCCAGCATGATACCGAACGCCGTCCACATCTGCCACATCATGACCAGGGCGCCTCGGATCGGAGCCGGTGAGCATTCTGCTGCGTAGACGGGTACCGTCGACGACTTGGAACCAATCCCGAGACCCAGCACGAAGCGAGCGATGAAGAGGTTGACCCAGGAGTTGGCGACTCCTTCCCAGATTGAGGCGACGGCAGCGATGAAGCAGGACAGGAAGATTGTCCCTCGTCGGGCGAAGTAGCGGTTCAGAGGCTCGGTGAGCCAGCATCCCAGAATGGCGCAGGCCAGGTACGGTGCGCCGACGATGAGGCCGGTGAGGTATCTCTGCATGGACTCGGAAAATCTCGAGTTTTCAGGGTGCTCGGGGTTTGTGATGTTGAACTGCTTCAGGTAGATGGCTTGAGCGCCATTGTTGACCGTTTCATCCATGCCTTGGACTGCTGCGGCCAGCGAGCACATGGCTGAGCTAGGTCAGCTCTGCCTTGAACACTCTGCTACCCTGTAGGAATACTTACAAGCCATGAAGTAAAGCTGCCATGGCTGGGACCATTTGTGTGTAGTCTCCCGGCGAAGAATGGCCTTCTCGTCCTCGTGCAGCTCCGGCAAATCCAGAGCACCGGCGGGGTTCTGCGAGACGAGGGCTCCTTTGCGAAATGCGTCGATGTGGTCCATCAAACCGTATTTCTGACAAAAGTCTTCCACATTCTGCAGCAGTTTATCCCGAGGGACGTTGGCGAGGGGATTCTCAAATACCGCATTCAGCCTATTGGGCGATCGGCCTTCTAGGTCGAAAATGTCTTTTCGCTGAGTAGTATTCTCGTCATGTTGGAAGGTTGTGGGCTTTTCTCCCTTGGGACCAACCATATCCTCCGAGGGCGAGGAAGGCAAGTCACCTTCTTTCATGGTGTAGGTAGTATTTCCAAGATCACAAACTAGTCGAGAGATGGAACAAAGTCTACAGTGTCTTCTCTCCCAGTCGAGTTCGGCCAAGGTATATAACCTGGGGTAATCGGCCACACTGTCTCCACTGGATCAGTTGTGGGGATTGTTCCAGTCTTATATCCTCTGGGGAAGATTGTTTGAAATATTGGGAGATGTCTGCATGAGGGCTGATTGACTCGCTGACGGAGACGCCCATTGGATGGTCAGTCAACTGATGAGGCATATTCTACTACAGTTCCAACTCTGTAGGAGATACTGACAGCTTATTGGCACACCGTTGCTATACTATAGACAATCCCGGAAATATAGTCGAACGTTGTCTCTGACTGGGCCGTCCTGTCCACAGAAAGCCGGATATGCTGTCATACTCCCAGGGGATCCCTGTTCTATTAGACAGTTTGCTTTGAGTTCAGATCGCCCACGGACGAAGTGTAGCCGAGTAGCCGGAGCGCAAGCGAATCGGAGATGGCATCTTCGCCGGGTTGGATGAGATCAGTGGCTGGAGGGATATTCGCTAGGCTATCACTTGACACCTGTCTCTGCCAATAATTGTACTTTGTCGGGCCTGTGGGGAGAGTATTGCGCCCATTGCGGGGTTGAAGCCACCCGCCATTAGCACTTGGGCTTACTATTAGTGGCTACTGGTCACTATGTAGAGAGGTACTGTGGAGGTACTTAGTGGATCCTGTCGCGGCCAAAACGCCTCCCGTGCGCCAATCCGCCTCAAGCATAACCAAGCTGCCTCATGCCGCCTTGACTGCCTTGTCATGCATTGGCATTATAGCAGCTATACAGTATGTACGGAGTAGAACACTGTTCTATATGAGCTTAGTCATGAAATATGCTGATTGACTGACAGCGCTGATTGCCCATGATAAGCCATTTCGCTGTGCCAAGAAGCTATGATGCCATTGCTAAAGGTGATAACATGTGCTGACTGCATGCACTCACTGTTCTGAGTCAGGTATGTCTCGGGCTGTACGTATATAATGCTCATACAGCTGGGATTAGAAATTATGAAAAATGATAACCAATATAACATCTCAGCCTCGTCCATACATATCCATCCATGAATTGGTGGTCAGCATTTAGGCTGTCAATGAGTGAGGCTGCCCCACATATCCGTCACTCGAGCCCGAAAGTCTTATGACCGAGTGTAGCAATTACTATTACCTTCTTAACCATAACATCCTGTTTGATTGGCGACCATACCTGGTGCCGCTCGATCGCAGGTGGTGTAAGTGGGCGATATATATGATGCGAGTCTCTTAGCCTTCACACTCGGAAATAGCAGCAGGCAAGGGAGAACAATAACAGACGTTTGCTATCAGTCTGGGAAGAAATACATAATCCTATGATCCAAGGAAAAAGTACCCCTTTCCTCTCTATCCTTGATACGGATACGCCCAAGAGAGATGGGAATCCGCGGAGGCTGCGTAGTGGCCACATGACCAATAACATGGTAGTGGTTAAGGATAAGCATATGGGGTTGTTGGAGCGCATGGAAAGAAATCAATGAGAACAGAGTAAATAGTTAAAATAGGAATCCATCCATGGAAGGCTCTGATAAAATTGTTCTTGACTGCTTCGCTGAGGGGGAATAGCCACGTGACATGTAATTTCAACTGGTCAAAGATCATGTGATTCCCAGCTGGAATTGGGAGCATCAACAGATCCATCCTCCATCCTTCCCTCGTTGTCGCAAGATCATCCATGTTCCATCCAAGCATGCTGCATCCTGCAAGTCAGTTCCACTGCAGAGGGTTTCCTGCATCAAGGGTAACAGCAATTCTGCCACGATGGAAGCTCGACGCATCATGTTCGACGCCGTACACTATGAGGTCCATGACGCGCAGGAAATTTCATTGGCTCGACGAAGAGGACAAGGCTGAAATGATGCTCTGACGTTGCAGCTGATGCCAAGGCTAGCCTCAACATCCTCAAGGTGACTTACCCCTCTTCATCACCCCGTCACACCGATTCAGGGGTTTCCGAGAGTGAGTTGTGTGCATAAATCTCTCTTTGACATTCGTGGTGACCATGCATGGATCGCGATCGCACTATGACTATACCGTGGCATGGATCAGCGCGCTGCCGCTGGAGATGGCCGCCGCGACACAGATGTTCGACCAATTCCACGACCGACTGCCTCAGCCATTGACCGATACAAACACCTACACGCTGGGCAGTATCTGCGGTCACAATGTGGTTCTGGCATGTCTTCCGTCCGGTGTCTATGGTACTACTTCGGCTGCTACAGTCGTCGCTCAAATGCGCTCGACCTTCCCTAGGCTCCAATACGGGCTGCTGGTGGGGATCGGGGGAGGCGCGCCCAGCGAGAAAGTTGATATACGGCTAGGCGATGTGGTGGTTAGCAAGCCCACACGCACCTACGGCGGTGTAGTGCAATACGACTACGGCAAAACTGTGGCTGGCGGGCTGTTTGAGCAGAGCGGAATGCTCAACAGGCCTCCGGAAATACTACTTACCGCGACGTCGAAGCTACAGGCAGAGCTCCACCACCATGAGAACCCGGTCTCTAACTTGCTCCTGAAGCGATCCCGGGCAGATGGAGGAATTGGCTTTGGTTTCTCCTATCCAGGCCAAGGGCGCGACCTTCTGTTTGAGCCGTCGTATGCCCATGTGGGTTCAGATGATGCATGCCAGAACTGTGATACACGCCATTTGGTTCCCAGAACAGCCCGTGGATCGGACGAGCCTAAGATTCACTATGGTTTGATTGCATCCGCAAACCAGGTTATGAAGGACGGCCCAACACGCGACATGCTGACTCGGAACCTCGGTATTTTATGCTTTGAGATGGAAGCAGCTGGCCTGATGAATCATCTTCCCTCCATTGTGATTCGGGGCATTTGCGACTATGCTGACTCCCACAAACATAAGGATTGGCAGCCTTATGCAGCACTAACGGCAGCTGCTTATGGCCGTTTACTCCTATCGGCCGTCCCTATTCCGTCTTCGGAGAAGCACGATCGAGTTCCCACGACGGAGGAAAAGGAATGTTTAGAAAAGCTTTTCCTGACCGACCCCGGAGACGACCTAAATGCGCTCAAGCGTAGGAAAGGAGGTCGCGCTCCTGGGACGTGTGAGTGGGTTCTGGAATCACCAGAAATTAGGCAATGGCTTGGGAAGGAAAGTCCGGCTGCAGGGCACGGATCGAATATTTTGTGGCTTCACGGCAATCCGGGAACGGGCAAATCAACGATGGCTATCACCCTCGCTGAAAAGCTACCCGAAGACCCCTTATTTGCACGTGAAGAGGTCATACTTGCATACTTCTTTTGCGACTCGAGTTCTGAGAAGCACAGAACTGCCACGGCTGTATTGCGTGGCTTGCTTTATCAAACAATCCAGAAGCGTCCATCATCACTGGGATACCTTGTGTCAAAGTATCGCGGCCACAGGGATCAGCTATTCTCCTCCTTTGATGCTTTGTGGTCAGTATTGATGGAAATCGGTAATAGCAGCGGATTGGAACTGTACTGTATCATTGATGCCTTGGACGAATGCGACGACGAAGCGCTGGAATCTCTGCTGATACAGCTGAATCGAAGCTTTCAGCACGGCAATGCCCGGAACAATCATTGCGGAATTCACATCTTGATAGGAAGCCGTCCGTATGAAGAAATCAGAATACATTTGCACGAGTTTCCGAATCAAGATCTTGCGTCTTATCCTCAGGTCAGCAACGATCTTGCAATCTTCATCGAGCAGAAGGTCGAAGAGTTGAGCATGAAAAAGCACTACTCTGCCAATGTTCGCCGCAATGTCGCCGCAATCTTGAATGATAGGGCCGAGGGAACCTTCCTATGGGCTGGTTTGGCATGTGGCGAATTAATCAGAGTTCGATCGAAGGATGCAGTCGCGACACTAGAGAAATTACCGAGTGGCCTTAGTTCAATGTACAAAAAGATGCTTGACGTTGCCGTTGAAGATCGCCAAGAGGACAAAAGTACGATCATTCAGTTATTGTCCACCATTGTGATTGCCCGTCGCCCATTGACTCTGTTAGAGCTAGCGGAAGCTTGCAATCTCTATGAAGCCGATGACCCTGAGGATCGAGTCGCATATGTTCGTGAGGATGTTTTCGACTGTCGCCTACTGGTTGTTATTCACGATGACAGGGTGATGCTCCTCCACAAATCCGTCAAGGACTTCTTAACCCATTCTCGGGGTGTCCCTGTCATCAATGAGCAGCTAGCTCACGCGGAATTCGTTAGTTGTTGCATTGATGTGCTGACGCGGGATTTGGATGCTGAAAGATCGGTAATGGCTTCAATCCTGGAGAATGCTATGGGCGACCGTTCGTTCCTAGTTTATTGCGTGCAATACTGGCCTGAGCATGCTCATTTGGCAGGAGCCGAATTCAGAATTCAGGAACGCCACGGGGCCTTCTTCGAACTAGATTCTCCAGCACGAGAGAGATGGTTAAACATTTTTCGATTATTCGATCTGTCCATTGCCTCTGTTCCATTGAAGTTCTCCATTTTTCACATGGCGGCGAGATGGGGTATTCCTGCCCTCATTTCCCATGCGCTTTCAACGCAGATTCTGTGTGCGCCAGGCAACACAGAAGCGGAAAAGCTCCCTCTGCCGCAGGATCATCTTATCAATGCACGTTGTTCGAATGGAACCACGCCGCTCAAAGAGAGTGCTACCCGGGGCCATCTCGACGTATTCGGCGTTCTGCTGGATTTGACCGATGGCCCAACGCTGCCCGATGAAGCCATCGCCGCGGCAATTCATAATCGGCGGAGAGGAGCGGGTCTTGTCAAGCTTCTCATTGACAGAGGAAGACTACAAGCTATGCCTGAGCCATGTATAACGACAGCTTCCACCGAAACCTGGGATTTGCTGCTGGATTACTTTAGCCTCGAATTCCCTGTTTCTGAAGACATGCTTCGAGGACTTTGCTATCGTGAAAATGGCACCGATGTATTGAGCGCAATATCAAGAAAGCTGCAACGGCAATTACCAGTCACCAAGGAAGTTCTTATGGTCGGAGCCTTATACAGAGACGCAAGGTTTGTGGAGTTACTGCTGAATGACGTCGAAGAAAGGATTTCAATCTGTGAAGAGTTCATCTTTTGCGCTTTGGGGAATAGGAAGCATGCACCAGGTATAATTGACCTTGTGCTGGCTCATTGGCAGAGGGGCTCGCTAGTCTTGGAGTGCCCAGAAGAAGACGCCGTCCTGCTAATCATGCAGCAGCTGCAGAAGCCCGCTGTCTTGCCGGAGAAGGTAGCAAACATCTTGCGCGTGATTCAGCACAGGGGTTTCAAACTTTCGCCCTCGACGGCCCTCCTAAGGCTGGTGGCAAAAACCGGAGACATCGATCTTTACAAGGAAGTTCTGCGGAATCGGGAGGCGGTGAACTTGATAGATGAGAGCATCCTGCTTTACATGGCAGAGCGAATGCCTCCAGGGATGTTCGACTTCTTGTTGGACACCCTGGGGGTAAGCTTTCCATCAGTGCTAGCGTCGTTGAGGCTGCGGCTTCTAATTTGGAACATGGATGGCAGATGATTCAAAAACTGTTCAAGATCTCAGGTGGTAACCTTCCTGTCTCTGCCTTGACTTTTAGCCGTGCAGCGCAAATAGCACAAACGCAGCTGCATGGCGGTCAAACCCTCAGTTTCCTGCTCCAGCATTTCAAAGACCGCATCCCGGCCTCACCAAGCGTCATTAGATTTGTTGCTGAATCGGGCAGAGAGGGATACCCTTTCATTGAAGCAATACTCGATCGCTTAGAAAACAATGGGTTGACTGCAAAAGCCGACTTGATTCCCACTGTCATATCCTATGGCAATGTAGAGCTACTGTTGTTTATAATGGATCGAACTGACAGCTCACTCCCAATCACCGAGGAAACACTTGCTTTGGCAGCCGGTAATCATTGGGACAGCGTACGAATGGTTAGACTCTTAGCGCGGCGTGCTTGCAGGCGATTGCCGTGGCACGAAGAAGCGTTCAGACGACATGATGAAGTCAATATTTGTCCGATCTTCACCGAATGGTTGAATGAAGGCACCTTCACACATGAGATGATCCACGCCGCAGCGATCTGCATGGCCCGGACGTCTATTATACTGGGATACCCTCTACAGCAGACTCTTATCGGTTATTGGAAGCGAGTCGTTTTCGACGAAGATATTGCCCGAATACTCATTCAAAACAATAATATGAGGATTTTAACAAATCTACTAACTCTATACGGCGGCGCCTCGCTCATTGACAAGGAGACCATGCAGCTCGCAGTGAAAAATGATTCGCCTGAGCTTCTGATTGATTTGATGATCAAACACGGCCGGGAGGATCTCGTTTTGACCGAGGAGCTTGTCGAAACCTCTGCGTGGTATTTCAACGCGAGTGATGAAGCCATAACCTTCTTATTGGAGCAGTTCGGCGATAAGACACCTCTTTCAGAGCAAGCACTTGTCTTTCTGTTGCTCAATGTATCCAACAGAAAGCGTACTGTGGCGCGCTTTCTCGAGCGGCGGCCATATGCAATTTTGAGGTCGCCGACGATGCTCAAAGCTGCCGCTGCAGGGACTAATCGGCAAATCGTCGGAAGGATCCTTGAGTCTTATCCGTTCGAGATCACGGACGAGATCGTTGAAGCAGCAATAGGACATTCTTCAGATGCGAAAGATATCTTTTGCATGCTTCTTGCCAGAAGCGGACGTCACATTACTGAGAGAATGATTCAGATTGCGTGCATAAGAGGGGTTGAGATCCTTCCATTTTTTCTTGACGAGACCAGAGACAGGATTTCAATTAGCACCGACACACTATTTGCCGCTTTGTATGGTTCATCAGTGGAAACGCTACTCAGATATCCCATCGATGTGAACCAGATTACGGAAGAGTTTCTGGTAATGGCAGGAAGTTGTTTAGAACCTGAACGGCGGCTTTCCCTTATATTGGAGCGATTCGGAGATCAGATAAAAATCACTGAAACCATTGTCGCAGCCACGATCCAAACTTCTCGTAACAATCTATTCATTGCAAAGTTACTGAGCCGTCTCGATAGCGCGACGCCTCTCACTGAGACGGTGCTAGTCGCCGCGGCAAAAAGTGTGCTGCCTGTACTTGAGCTCATTGAGCTTTTCAATCGTCTTCTGAGGCTGATCGGGGATGACGAGGTCATTACAGAACGGACATTTGTCGCTGCGGCCGGCAACGGATTGGAAGGTGCATCGATAATACAGCTGCTACTCAGTCGTAGGAGTGATTTCGAGATTACAGAATCAGTGAGCGAGGCAGCAGTGTTCAAATACGACTCACTCTTGGGCGACGTACCAATCGGTACCGACGTAATGGAAGTGCTCCTGGATCTGAAAGGAGACACAGTCCCTATCACCGAGGAGGTTCTGCTGGCGGCCACACGGAACCTTCGGGATAGGTATAGCATTTTCAGATTACTAGTCAGGGAAAGGTTCGACTCGGTGCGCGCTTGTCTCACCCAGAGACTTTTGCTCACTATCGCGGCGAGTGGGGATATGATGATTCTGTCACTCCTGGAAAGGAGGTTTGGAACCGTAATCACAAATGAATTGCGCTCGATCTGTCGCCTGTATATTGGCGCCCGAGATGGCAATAGCCGTGTGGTACAATCCCTCCTTCGTCAAGATGTACCGCCAGATACACGAAGCGCCAGAGGAGAGACTCCCCTTTGGATGGCCGGAAAGTCCGCCTATGCTTTAGCAAAGGAGAAGTCATACCTGCGTATGACGGCTATCATGAGAGAATATGGGGCTAAGTAAAACAAATAATAAAATTGGCGCGTCCGCCGTCGGAAAGAATGGAACTATGAAGTGAATACACCAATGTACTACAGCTTCCCACCACTCAACCACTCTTAATACGTGGTATCAACCCAACTGTTCCAGCCGCTGCCAAGGACCGTGTTCTTGCTAACAGCACCAGAGATGGAAGACTCGTACTCTCTCTTCGAGGTATCCGCTCCGGCACCCTTGTTATTGTACTCATAGTAGAGTGGTGTCGCGCCCTCCGCCATGGTCGTCCAGCCCTTGGGGTTGATGATGTTCGACAACTGGGAATTCTGGTAGATGACACGGGCAAGCACACGCCATGGACGACCGAGGTAGACCTTGCCGGTGAGATCGACTCCGGACTTCCCGTAGACGTTGCAGTTGTCGATCGCGTACCACGTGGTCTCGTCCGACGTCGTGCGCGACATGGCGGTGATGTAGCCGGCGCCGACGGACATGATGTCGCATTCGCCGAACCAGGCCGAAGCGTCACCGAAGATGTAGTCCGTGGCTCCTGGAGGACATTAGCATATTGATCGACGTGGATAGAGGGGAAAGACTTACCCTCGATGTAGCAGTTAGAGTAGTATTGATGACCGGCTTTGGCGTAGAGAGTGTCCTGGTAGCCGACAAAACTGCAGCCGTAGAAACCAAGCTTGTCGGCATTGGCGACGAGCCTACCATATCCTGTCAGTTACCTTCGGTAAGGGTTCTGGGGGGAGGCAACGTACGCTACAGCCTGCGAGCCCTTGCCATAGCCGTTGACAACTTTGATGTTATACATCTTGAACCCGTCCGACCTGACGTTGACCGTGGCACTCTTATCGAGCGTTCCCGCCTGAGGAGAGGAAATGGTATGGGTGATAGTGACCTGGTTCATCTTGTAAGAACTCGTGTCGGTCGTCTCGCCGTACATGGTGAGTTTTCCCTTGTAGCTGATGGTGAGCTGCTCATTGTACGTGCCGGCACTAATGAAGATGCAGGCGTCGGACGTGGAGTCGCCGAGATCGCTCAACGCAGCGCCGATGGTCGAGTACTTGCCCGACGAGCCGACAGTGAGGCATCCGTCCGGGGCTGTACTGCGATTAGACCGTTGTTCGAGGGGGTGTGCGGAAGCCGTGAGGCCAAGGCCAAGGAGGCCGAGGACGAGAGAGGGAAGATGCATTCTGGTGTCTGGAGGATCGAGTCTGGAGTCTGAATGTCTAGAGAAATGATTGTTGATCCTCCGGGAGATCTCAAGGGCGATGGTCGTCTTAAATAAATGAATTCTTGTAGTCTAGTATAAAGCTCGAACTGGAGAAATTACATGGCGCGCCCCTTGAGACAATTTCTCCGTAGTCAGACCCGAGATGTTTCATATTTTCCATGAATGGATTGGCCAATCAACCCTACCTCCAATTCTTCAGAACCTGAGGATCCCCCAGGGTGCGCGGATCCCCCGGGAGGATGCTAAAGGAAGCCAAGTTGGCATTTATTGCTTTGTTTAACCGGGTTCTCCGCAATCTCCCTGTTTTAGGGTGCGGGTGCACTAGTTTGACAGATTTTCCTCGAATGGCGAGGAGTATTCATTAATTTAGATGTCACGTCCCCCAGACGTCTGCTGTTTACACGCGGGTTGCGTCCTTTGACGATTTTAAATTCAGCCAAAATCATAAAGTCAAATCACCAATGCTTCCAATCTCGAGTGTCTTCAGTTCTCTGCCTGATGAATTTAGCCGCCTCCTACAATGTAATATATATATGTATGAGAAGTCTCGTCTACCATATCGGATATCCCTCATTGCAGAAGTAATTGGACAAGATGCCGTATTATCGCAATCTCGCTCTTCTCCCTCTCTTAGGCCTAAGCATCGCTGCTCCCTCGCAGGTTGAGCGCTCACCTGATTCAGTATTCAAACCTCGCGCCGTCTGCACGCCCACAGCTGGTGGAAGTTCTTCGATCGACGATGTACCAGCCATCAGGAAGGCCATTTCCTCGTGCGGCAATGGAGGCACGATAGTATTTCCCGCTGGGTCGACCTACTATTTGAACAGTGTGTTGGATCTTGCTGGGTGCTCGAACTGCGATATGCAAGTCGAAGGTCTACTCAAGTTCAGTGGCTCGACCGACTACTGGGGTGGCAAGACCGCTATGATCAATATCAATAAGATCAATGGCTTGAAGCTCCGATCTTTGACGGGGTCAGGTGTCATCGACGGCAACGGACAGAATGCGTAAGAGACATCTGTCCTTTCGAAGCAGGAGCTGATCGATAACTACAGATACGATCTTTTTGCCTCTAATAGCAGCTATGACCGTCCCACTCTGCTCTACATCAGTGGCGGTAGCAACATCGAAGTATCGGGCCTCCGCCAGAAGAACCCCCGAATGTGTTCAACTCGGTCAAAGGCGACGCGAAGGACATCACCTTCACGAACCTCCGCATGGACGCAACCTCCCACTCTTCCAATCCCCCAAAAATACGGACGGCTTCGACATCGGCGCCAGCACGCATGTCACCATCTCCTCCGTCAACGTGAGCAACGACGACGACTGTGTGGCCTTGAAGCCAGGCTGCAACTACGTGACCGTCGAGGATGTCACCTGCACCGGGTCCCACGGTATTTCCGTCGGCTCACTGGGCAAAAGCAGCGCCGATACAGTGCAGAATGCCTACTTGCATCGCATCACCATGATCGATTCGACCAAGGCAGCCGGTATCAAGACCTATCCGAGCGGAAACGGCCATGGCTTGTCCACAGTCAAGAACGTGACTTTCTCCGACTTCACAGTGCAGGGGTGCGACTATGCCTTCCAGATCCAGAGCTGCTATGGCGAAAGCGCCTCCTACTGCGCGAGCAACCCCGGCAATGCCATTTTGCAGGATATCATCGTCAAGGGGTTCTCGGGAACCACGAGCGGCAAGAACGACCCGGTTGTCGCAAACCTGAATTGTGGCGCCAGTGGCACTTGCGACGTTAGTATCAGTGATTTTAGGGTCAAGGCACCATCTGGAAAGGCAACCGTTCTGTGTGCTAACACGCCTTCAAGCCTGGGTGTGACCTGCACCTCAGGTGCTTCGGGTTAATTTTTCGCGGATGATTGGTTCTACAACTCATCCCTAAGGAGGTTTTGGGTTGTTGAGCTTCTATGATTGGCCTGCTTTGGATGCGAAAGGCCACAGGCTGACCAGTCACTCTCTTATGTTTGTTGAATGCGTATTATGGTGGCTCGACCTTGCCTCTGTGCTACGATTGATTCTATATGGCTTTTCACGATCAATGACTGTCTTGCCTGCCACTATGATCTTTTTATAGGCATGATTTGCGCACTTTATGCAATTTGTCCTCAGCAAAGGACTAGGATTGTATAACGTGGTTACTGCCATAGCAAATGCCGTTAGTTCCACAGCAGTCCGTATTTTGGTTGAGCATAAGACCGGTAATAGAGAACGTGCAGCCCGTTGAAGAATTACACCCCGTTCTCAGGATGGTCATAACTGCACTGAGAACGATGTGCAATGGCTCGGTCTTCAGAACCTGCTCCCATCTCGGCAACAGTACAAGTGAAGGAGCAAAGTCGTAATGGAAAGCGACTATTTATACGCAGGGCCCCTCAGATCACTCCTTCAGCATCACTCGAGCGCTAGTCGCTCCTTTCATTCACCGAAGTCTTCCGACTCCAATCTCGTCCACCGGGGCGTGGGATGTACGGTGTACCCACGGGGTGGCAAACGGCAGGGCGGAAAGGATCAGACCAGTGAGGCGCAGGAATGCCGACTCGGGCCGGTGCCTCTCATTCGATCTCACCGCCGGAATGGAGAATACGGAGTAGTCACTAGTAAGCAAGATAACTCGGGATCCCGGACTCGGCTTCTGTTGCAGCACTCTTTGTGACTCGTCCCTGTTCTCGGTCGGTGTGGAGGCTTGGATCGTCATGGGCCCACGGATGGGTCGATCTCGGGCGAGTTCCGAAACTATGATGTTGCCCTGGCGGGCCAGGTTTCAACTGGGATCCTTTTGTATACTTTTATATCATGGAAATGAGCTTTACTTTTCTACTGTTGGAATGTCCTTGACTGTCTAGTTCAAGAGACGTGAGTATACACTTTGTATGGCCTGAGGTGGTCGTAGCGCTCTGAGATGCAGCGAGGCCAAGTTTCTCCGAAGTTTACACAGATGGATGAAAAATCTTCAGTGACCCACAGCAGTTGGAGTACGGTAGTCTGCTGACTGTGCTCATCACTAAGGAGAGATCACGCCTCATCCGAGAGAATGCAGTTGGAGACAAACCTGATGCCATGGCCGGACTCCGTAACCTCCCGAGACAGGCCATTTACTGCCGGAGATGTTGCACTATGGAGCACAAATCATGCATTGACTAGCTCTGTCACTCTAGAAACAACTCACCGCATGATTTATGCAGCTTGATGACGAAGCACACTCGCCTTCCATATTTAAAACAAGCTGTCCCCCAGAAAGCAGTCAACGGAAACCATCCACACCTCCCCATACTCCCCGCCATGGACAAGACCGACAAGACCGACAAGTCCCAGCCTGTCCAGGCGTCTCACGCCGAGAATGCCCATTCGCATCCTCAAACTCAGCAGCGCCAGCGTGGTCATGTTGCTGGGGGAAAGTACCTGCAAGAGCTCTACGATGATCATGCCTTTGCTCCTAACGATGGTCCAATTCAAAAGGTCGATGTTGACATGCCGCTCACCCTGACGGAGACAATATATCACAACGGGAACCAATACATCGTGCTTAACTTTGCGGAGGGAGACAAGGAAAACCCCTTCAACTGGAGTGCCAAGCGCAAGGCGTTCATCTCCCTTCTTCTATGTCTGATGACACTGTTCATCGGTCTCGCAACCACAGCGTACAGCTCAGGCATTTCCCGCATGACGGCAGAATTTGGCGTCTCCTCCGAACTAGGCCAGCTCGGCCTGTTCACCTTCAATTTTACCTGCGCCCTGGCTCCGCTCTTCCTAGCCCCCTTCTGCGAACTCGCCGGCCGCCGGGTCGTCTACGTCGGCGCCTACGTCCTCTTCACAATCATGTTCATCGGCCTCGCCCTCGGCCAGAACATCGCCACCATCATCGTCTGCCGCGCCCTGCTCGGCCTCTTCGGCTGCGTCGGCACCATCCTCGTCGGCGGCACCTTCGGCGACATGTACACGCCCAACCAGCGCGCCGTCCCCATGGCCACCTTCTCCTACGTCGCCATCCTCGGCACCGTCGGCGCCCCCATCTACGCCGGCTTCATCGACGAAACCCTCGGCTGGCGCTGGATCGAAGGCATCCAGGGTCTCGCCAACATCCCCCTCGCCATTATTATTGCTCTCTGCCTCCGCGAAACCCGCGGCAGCGTCACCCTCACCAAACGCGCAAAGACCCTCCGCCAGCACACCGGCGACGACCGCTACGTCACACAGAAGGACCTCGAGGCCCCCGGCCTCAAGGAAATGCTGCACAGTTCCTCTGTGAAGGCAATCCATATGCTCGTCACCGAACCCGTCGTCCTCGCCTTCGGTCTGTGGATCTCCTTCGCCTGGTTCCTCACCTTCCTCTTCCTCTCCGTCATCCCCATCACCTTCCAGGAGAAAAAGGGGTGGAGCGAGGGCGTAGCCGGCCTGCCCTATATCGCCCTCTGCATAGGCACAACCCTCGGCTTCGCGCTCAACTTCCTCCAAATCAGAAAATACCGCTCCATCGTCGCTGATCCCGCCCGCGAGGCAACACCCGAAGCACGCCTCTACGGCGCAATGCTCGGCTCCATCTGGCTGCCTATAGGCTTATTCATCTACAGCTTCACACAGTACAAGGAGCTACACTGGATTGCGCCGGTGATTGCCCTGTTACTCATTACTATCGGGATTTTCTTTATCTTCGAGAGCTGCTACAGTTTTACCTCTGATTGCTACGGGGAGAATTCCAGCTCGGCGATTGCGGGCCAGGGGTTCATGCGGAATACGCTTGGTGCAGTATCGCCACTTTTCGCGTCGCAGTTTTTCCATAATGTGGGAAGTCAGTATGCGGGGTTGTTGTTGGCGGTTGTGGCGACGTTGTTGACGTTTATCCCGTTTGTGTTTTATTGGTATGGGCCAACGCTAAGGGCCAGGTCGAAGTTGGCGGCTCGCATTACGGGGTCGAAAGAAGAGGAGATTTGAGTTGTGATACTGTTTCGATCAGATTATTTGAAATACAATGTAGAAGGATTACTTTGATTAAATTAAGGACTCCGTGTATGTGCATTCCGATCGACATACTAAAGTCGAAGGCAACTTAGTGCGATTCTGCAGATCGTATACGGTGATATCAACAAGACCCAAAGTGAAATCAAAGTTCATATGTGCCATAGATCATTATTTACCGCCGCAGGCTCGTCATGCCTGCCTGAAGGACAAGCACGTTACCCACGATTCTATTCTCAGTCCGGACCAGCGCCTGGCCAACAGCACCAAGGGCCTGTCGGGCGTCGGGTCCGACCTCGTCCGGGGATGAAACGGCTGCCAAGGTCAAAGTCTGGTCCAGCCCGTTATGCCGTCTTCCCACCACGACGATGTTTCCCGCCTTGGGTGTTGTCTGCGACATTTCTTCTTTCACGGCGTTGATGGTAAATTCAATCACATTCTCGTCTGCCTTGGGGGTGAGACGCGTGAAGATGACGCGAGACTTGAACTCATCCGGGAGTGAATCTCGCATCGAGGCGAAGAAGGTCCCGTCGCTCTCGGGCTGTGTTGTTGTGACTGTCGAAGGGCCGGTTGAGCTCTCCGCTTGGGAATCTTTGGTGTTGGAGACGGATTTTGCTGAAGGGGTGGAAAGGACATCAATGTGGAGCACCGTCGCCGTGACCTGGTCGTTTTGGGCGAGCTGAAGAAGGAATTTCAAGGCAAAACGGTCATCATCACCGCCAAAGAACGGTAACACGATATGGTGCGACCGGGCGGCCGTAGTACCGCCCCAGATGGAACTGCGAATGCTCAGAGCGCTGGCTTTTCGGGTGAGTTGTGGCCGCTGCTTGCCGGAGCTGCGGCTGTATATGTTCCTCTCGACGAGGACGCCCACATTGCTCGTCGTATTAGAGAGCACACTCGATACAAAGTCGGTGTAGGGGCCGTTGACAAATCTACTGGCCTCGTCGATTCCAAGACCAGATTGAACGTCGCTCATGCCACCCGTTTCACTCCATGGGACTAGCAGAAGATCCGCGGATTCTTCGCGAGCCATCCCCACGACGGTGTCCGCATAGGAATGCTCGGGAACGACGGATACGCCAGCCATGATCGCAATATCGCGCCATTGACCGAAAGCCCGGAAGGTGTTGATGACAGGATCCCACAGCGTGTACTCGTCAATTTCAGAGACCTTCATGACACTAGAGTCTCGATCCGTGAGTTCCATCAGCCGGACGCCGTGGACTTGCAGCGCAGGCTCCGGCTGGACTTCGGTCTCGGCGCACTCTTCCACTGCTGGTTCCGGAGATGACAGAGCTTCCTTGACCTTGGTTGGATGCAGCTTTGGGGATTCCGGCGTGGCGGGTCGATTGGGGCCCAGCAGTGCAGCCAAGGTACAAATGCTGGAAAGCCCGTCCAGGCGCAGATAAACGAGCATCTTGCGGACCGGTGCACTTTTGAGCTGCTCTTTCGCAGCAGCAACACTGTCCTGACGTCCATCGGCCTGGAGCGGACGTCCATTCCAGTCGATTTCCCCACGACGCCAGCGCTCCACCTTGATCTGATACCATTTCGGATACAAGAGGCTGGTCAAAGGGGTGGTTGCAAAGGTTGTCACGAGGGCCATGACAACGAAAATTGTGAATGTGCGGGTGTTAAGGATGCGCGCTTGAAGACCAATGTTCTATCGCGGGTCAGTTGTCTATTGATGGACAAAGGTAAGAAAAAGTACTTACCAAGACAATCAGCTCAACCAGGCCCTTGCAACTCATCAAAACGCCAATGGAGAAACTCTCCCGCCAGAGCAGGCCACAAAGTCTCGAGGCTAGAGCGCCTCCTGCCACCTTGGCGAGGAAGGCAATGGCAATAACGCCGATGACATACCCCCAGACGGTACCGGAATCGAGCAGACCGAGATTGGTGGAGAGTCCAGAAAGAGTGAAATATAACGGAAGGAACAGGACAGCAACCAAGTCTTCAATCTTCTCGGTCAACTTGATAGCGAAACCACCCTCGTGGGGACATAACAATCCAACGATGAATCCTCCAAAGATAGCGTGTATTCCAATGATTTGAGTGAAAAATGCCGAGGCCAGAGCTATGAGAATGGTGATTGTCACAACGGATTGACTGGGTCCTTTTTGCAAGCTTCCGGTCTTGTTAAGGAAGCGCATGAACAATGGGCGGAATACGAGGGCCAGAAAGGCGATATAGCCGGCTGCGACGAGTAACACCCAGAGGGCCGTAATGCCGCTTCCTGCATTGACAAGAGCGACGCAAAGGGCGAGTAAGATCCAGCCAACAACGTCATTGCCTACACCGGCAGACAGTACAATGACACCAACATTTGTACCGAGGAGTTTTAATTCGGTCAAGATACGGCACAAGACCGGGAAAGCCTGTTGAATGAGTAGCTGTCATCACTAGTTGGATGTCAATAACGCTCACCGTGATCGCCATGGCAATGCCGATAAAAAGCAGATAAGTGCCGAAATCAATATGAACCATTCCAGGCTCCGTTCGGAAGGTGTGATAGAGACCATACGAGATAGCGGAACCCAAACCAAAGGGCAGAATCATCCCCGCAGCGGAGACACTCGCCGCTACGCGCCAGTTACTGACGAGAAAACGCAAGTCGGTCTCGAGGCCGACGAGGAACAGAAAAAGCACGAGACCCAGGTTGGCGACAAGAGTCAGGTTGGGAATAGATGCAGCAGGGAAGATTGCATCTGTAAACCCTGGAATCCGTCCCATTATCGATGGACCCAAGACGATACCAGCAATGACCTCTGCAATCACGCGCGGCTGTCGGAGCTTGGAAAGCGGCCAGTGAATCAGGCGACATAGAATAATGATGATAGAAGCCTGGTCGATTTAGTTTTGAGCTCTGCTTATCATGATGGAATACTGACCTGAATGATGAAAATAACAATGGGGTTCTTGGGGTCATAGTGGGACGGATTTCCACCTTCGAGGATGCCACCCTGCGGCGGGACGGTCGGGGAACTGGCGATCGACGAGGTGGTGGTGGCCATAGCCGTTGGGAGTGGCACTAGGAGTGCCTGAAGTCAGAATTCACTGACAAATTGGATGAAATCGAATTGATGGAAGGAGGATGGAGGAGAGAAAAGAGAGAAACGATGAGAGGGAAAGGGTCGAGATAAGAGAATGATGATCCATGTCAGTTGATGGGGATGCCTGGTGATTGCCTGGAGCTTCTAGACCGTGTCGGGTCGTCTTGGCACCTGATCCACGTGGTTAACCTGAGGCAGCTCTTATTCTTGGCGCGGGGATAAAACATGGGGGGGTCTCATCTATACCACATAGCTACCTACATAAAGATAGATTAACCCTGCAGAATTGAATTGAGCCTCAATATCAATCGTACAATCTATGCATACAGGTCTAGTCTCAGCCTTTATATTTTTATTTGTTTTCGCTGTTCAATACATGGCTTTTTGCTTCATCTTCTGGTTTGTTGCAAGGGTCCATGGTCATTCGGGCATCTTCCTCCAAGCCACACTCACGTCTTGGGGCTCCCCACAGAATATGCCCAGCAGACCCAACTCCTTGCTAGTGACGTCAGGCATTTATCTTATCATGCTACCGCATCTTAGTCTTCATGCTTCTATTGGCTGCTGCGGTTATGCCCGATATATATGCCAAAACACACATGATGAGATACACGCAAAGCTTCTGGTGACTACTGATAATTGGTATTGCCAGGATTATCAGACATAGTTCCACTAGATTCACGAGGCACAAATTGATCATACATCGTTTGCAGCGTGGGATGAACAACTATATTCTGCGACAGAGCGACATTAAGTTCCAGCCCATCCCGCATCGCTCGTAGGATATTGCTCCGCGGTGGTTCCGGTGAAGTAGAGAGGGAAGGTGTTACATTCATGCTGTCGACAGGCGTCAGGGAAATGCAGCAGTAGAGGCTATGGCACACCTCCCACGCTCGTTGAGCAGCGAGATTATCTGCAGCCATTGCCAGAAGCCACCCCATAGCTTTCTCCACCATCAGAGTGATTTTAGCGGCCTCTTCGACGTCGAACTTGACGCAGAAATCAAGCTCAATTAGTAAGACAGTCGCAGACTGCATCAGATAATGGATGATACACCACCAGGGCGATAAGTGGACCAGCCAGAGCACGTCCGGCGTGTCCGGCAATAAATCCAGGATATCGCATGCCGAGTCAACGCATATCTTTGCGTTCTTCCGTTGATCCAGTGGGGGATTTTGGACCTGGCCGGGGCGAAGCCGATCGGTGCGGCAGAGAGAAGGGCGAGAAATAGTGATTTTGGTGCTATAGAAGCGAAAGGCAAGGCTCCATCGCTGCCGTTCAAACAGCTTGGACTTCTGCATCGGCCTAAACTGGAATACATCTGGAAGACTGCTACTCCACTCGTCTGCGTCCCTTACCAGGTCCACTATTGCTGCGCCGACTTTCGGCCAGGGTTCTCCAGACCCGCCTGGCGCATACAGCACGTCAATGGCTCGCCGCATAATCATCGTTATGTCAATGAAATACAGAAAGTAAAGAGAATTACTAGGTGCGGCTTCGTTGACGGTCGAAGCCAGGTAGTGGCCTACAGACGGTGCAGGTTTTGTGGAAACTTGGGAGGGGGGTATTTGTGCCGTGCCGAGGAGAAGGCTTGCATATAGCCATATCGGACACTGTAGTCCGAGAGAAGTTGTGATGCGATAGGTCCATGGAATTGGTCCTCTTCGTAAGGGATAGGGAGAGGTGTGGTGCAGAACGTATCTGCAGCGCTCGTGGGACGACCAGTCATGATAGAGAGGGTATTCTCCAGCGTGTAGATGGACCACCAAACGCGATACCGCAGCTCCTTGGAGAAATTCGGCGTGTCCTTGCTCTCGCTGCGGAGATTAATCCCCAAAGCGATGGCGGACCTCATGGAGACACCACAGGTTCTCCATGCCCTGCAGATCGTATTAGATGCAAAATTCTGGATGTATGATAAACTAGTGAGAGTGGAATATTTACCTATTGACGTGCCCCATTGACATGAGCCAAAACGCGCTCAAGCCTTCGGCTTGCACCTGCTGCAGGTTGGGGTGATCAAAAATCTGGCCATTCGTAAAATTGAGCTTCTGAGCCCGGGAAAAATACTCCAAGGGCCCATCGGTACCTTCCATCAACGGCTCTGAGAGAAGATGTCGGAGTTTGGCCCCCAGAGCAAATATTAAGTTCAGAATCGCAAGCCACCTGCCTGGTGGTCGCATATTTGGCCGGGAATAATATAATGCATACTGCTGCATAAATGGAATCCTACCGACAATGGGAAAAGAGGGATGAACCGCGTCAAAATAGAGATGTATAAGTCTATCTCCAATAGTACGAGAAGGACGATCATAGGGGGCAATACCATGATCGACTAACAGATTCTGATCATCCAGAAAATAACTTACCGAGGTCAGTGCCTTGGAACCGTTGCCAGGTGAAGCTGCCTTTGCCTCCGCCAAAGGAGTAGCTCTATCTATTTCCTTCCTCAAATCACGTATCCATGAGATTTCGGAATGCGACCCTAGATAGCCGAATGCATGCAGTTGCTGATTCCGATGGTAGTCCTCCTCAACGTAGTCCACGGCAAACGAAGCCTGAGTAGGGGTCGGAGGTGTCTCGCTGACTGGATCGGGGGATGGAGGCCTAGTGATCGAGCTCCTCTATTGAAAATTGTCAAATCGAGAAGGCGAATGGAAAGAGACGGGTTTGACTTACTCTGTGCAATGTCCTTGTAATAAGCTCCGCATCTTGAACATCGACTCTGGATCGTAGGTGCTGCAGTAATTCTTCGTAAAGGGCAACCTGCTGCTCGAGTTCTTCAATTTGCCTATATAACTCTAAGTCAGAGTTCAAGCTTGTCCAGGTCTCCTACTAACCTTTCCCTACTCTCGCGTTTACTTTCGAGCGACGTGCAAGTGATGCCGAAACTGACGCAGCGAAGACATGGCCGATGTTCACTACACTTGGCTTTTTGCTCCCTGCATGCCGCACATGCCGTCCTGATGCGCCGGTTGCCGGTGGTTCTAGGAGGAGCGAGTCGTGGGATCGCAACTTTCACCGAGGGCACTTCCTCAGATTGTAGCTGCTCTGTTGATGCGTTACTGAACGACGAATTTGGCACAATCTCAGCTGGGTCAGAAAAACGCGACTGCTCGATCCTTTGTGCATCTTCAGACTCCATAACATATCAACAAGAATTGTTAAAGGCTGAAGCTGTTGAGCCAGAGGTCAGACCGCAAAACATGATTGTTATTTTGTTGTTGCTGCCATATTAGGTCAGCATTGGCGACATCCATCAATCCCCGCCACTGACTACGGAGCTGCCGAAGCACTGGTTGGTCGGAACGCAACTCCGGCCGTACTAAGGCATCTTAGGGTAGGGGTGAGCTCCGCATATCTTTGATTGATTCGTGCTGGTCTGTTCTGGCATGATGGCCACGTCATAATGACGTGTGCGGGGGTTCTTATGGATAGAAAAGGGAAAATCTCTTGTGCACAGACTGTAGATCTTGAACGGCAATCCTTCTGAGCAATAATGAATAGAGTTGAGTTACTGTACCTTTCTGATCTGTCAGCTACAGCTCACCCGCGGGCCAATAAAGTCAATGTATGGTCAGGTCCGCGGTCTCACGGCTCCGACTCGGGTCCGGGTCATATTAAGTCTCATGTCCTTGTCCCTATGTTAAGGTACTATGATGCGAGGGAATAGGTAGTCTTGGGGAGGTAATAGTCTGAGCATTCATCTACATATGAGGAGCAGAAACGTGCTTAGTCAGATTGATACTGCTAACATAATCTACCACCGAGCCGATCAACCCCCAAGCAGTGTACCCCAAGCCGATCACTCCTTTCAAATTCCACCAGATTTGGTATTTGAAACTATTCAAACAGCCACTATGCCACCAAAACGGCGACCGGAGGCGAACCATTAAGCAGTTAAAGAGACAAGGCATTAGAGTATCGCATTTGTCGAAACCATTGTGGGTGTTGCCATAATGACGTGCGTGTACCGGAATCTGCTGGGTAACCGAAACACTTTGCTTCCTTTTAGAGACTTTTCCATTCCGGTAGCCTGACTTATTTATAGTGATGGCGGGAAATCGTAAGGTTCTTGCTTCCTCTGAATAGGATCATCCACATCTTTATTACCCTATAGTCCTTTTTTCGACCCTTAGTCTTGGTTCACGATGCGTATCGGCGTGATTAAAGGCAACGGTATCGGCCCGGAAATCTCAGCGGCTACTATGCGAGTTATTGAAGCGACAGGGGTTCAACCTGAATGGGTATTTATCCCTGTTGCAAATGAGGCTAGAGAGCTATACGGACACCCCCTGCCATCTGAAGTTATAGAGTGTCTGAAAAACATTGAGTTCTGCATCAAGGCTCCCTTACTCGCCGAAAAGCTTGAAGGACGTATTAGTTGCCCTCAGGCAGACGGCTCCGTGGCAACCTACCCCTCTATAAATAATGCGATCCGGCGGGAGTTGAAGCTCTTCGTGAACCCTCGCTTTATTAGGGGATACAAAGGTATTTCTGGCCGTCACGAAAAGATGGATCTCGTGATAATGCGCGAGATCACAGAGGATACATACATTGGCTGGGAACGGGAACTGGAGGATGGTACCGCTGCGGAGGCTATCAAGCGGGTTACCCTCGCTGCGTCGCAAAAGGTCACCGAGTACGCCTTTGAATATGCACGGAATCACGGCCGGAAGAAAGTGTCATGCCTCCACAAGGCCAATGTTCTCCATGCTACCGATGGACTCTTCTTGCGGACATTCCGAGATGTTGCACAGCGTTACCCTGACATCGAAGCCGATGACATCATGATCGATGCGGCATGCTATGCTGTCGTCCGCGACCCCTTGAGGTTCAGCGTAGTGGTAACTCTCAATCAATATGGCGATATCTTCTCCGATCTGGCGGCTGGACTGGCTGGCTCACTCGGCCTGGCCCCCGGCGCAAACATCGGCGATCATGTTGCGACCTTCGAAGCGACGCATGGAGCAGCTCCAGATATAGCCGGCACAGGCACCGCGAATCCTCTAGCATTGATTCTTTCTGGCGCGGAGCTACTGGAGCATGCCCACTACGTGAAAGAAGCAGCGGCGATAAAGCTAGCCGTAGCCCAAGTCGTAGAAGAGAGACAAACATTGACACCTGACTTGGGAGGTTCAGCGACCACGGATCAGGTGGCAGATGCAGTGTCGGTGAATGTGAAAAGATTGCAAGGGTATATGTGAGTGTGTGGTGCAGATATGTCTATTGTCTATTACAACTATGCTTGCTTCTGCAAATATTGATAATCATACAACAATGCTGGGTTGTCCACCCACATCAGGTGCCACTCGTCATCCGACATCCATCGACTCAGAGACTCAATCCAGGCCCGGGTATCAATTTTAAGAAACGGCTCCACGCTGGTAGTGCTCCTACCCGCGCGGTCCTTATGCCGCTGTGTGTGAGGCCAATCACTCCCCCAAACCATGCGTCGCGGGTTACACTGGACAAAACGCCTTGTAATCCATCGCAAGTCATTATACTCCGGCGCAAGGTTTGAGCATCGGTAGGGAGCAGAGAGCTTCATCCACAGCTTGCCATTCCTGAGTGTTTCACAGAGCGTTTCCAGTCCGACGCGTTCTGCTTCGCTTAGGTATGACTCGTTCTGGATATTTGTACTATGATCATTGGCCCTGTAGCTGCTTCCAGCGACCAGGGCAAAATGGTCTACCACGATCGGCACCGAGCTCCTATGCACTACTTCGCGTAGATGAGACCAGAACTCTAAATGTGGTTGCTGGATCTGAATACTCCATCGGTGGCTACCCCATTCTGCCAGTCGCTTGGATGTGGCATCGATTAGTTGGGCTTGGACGTCGACATTGTCCATCGCTTTATGCCGATTGAAATCCAGTCTCACTGAGCGCACGCCCGCAGCGTGGTATTCGTCCAGAAGCTCATCTGTCACGCTCTCTAAGTCCAACACACAGATTCCTCTTGCTTCGCCACCAAAAAGGCCTAAGTAGTAGAGAAGGGAGCTGCAGTCGGGGCCGTAGGAGAGGCCATGTGCGATGCATACATGATCAACTCCAATGGCGCTTTCAAACGCCTGTAGGTCTTCCAGAGTAGCGGGAGCAGGAGTGAAGTGTCGACCTTTAGCGTAGGGGAAGCGGTGGGGTTCGAATATATGGTGATGGGTATCCCACGCGCCGGGTGGCACGGGCTTTTTCGGAAAAGTCTTTGTTTGAAGGGATACGCTCGCCATGTTGATTGTATTCGCCTAGCTTCACGGATGAGAAACTCCAGAGATGGTCACATCGGTGCATGCGTACCCAGGAGTGTTTGCAAGCTTGGTTTCAATGCCGAGTCACCGGGATGGGGTTACTAAAGGCGTTTGATATTAAGTACTGATTGACAGCTAGTACGCTGTCCTGGAAAGACTCGTCATGTGAGACATGTATGGGAGGGAGTCCAGTGTGTAGCTAACCACCAACCGAGAAAATATTGTCTATCCAACGGATCTTTGGTGTGTGCGTTCTATGGACTCGTCTCCATTCCCTTCCCCGGAAGATCTAGCTAGGATGTCCGGAAATGGCCACAACATGGGCCAAGACCGCCGTCGGTTTGGACTCCGGCCGCCAATTGTCGACCCGCATTCGGATCGTGATTTCACTGCAGCCATTACACCATGATGTCAATGGGTCCCGCAAATCGGATGATCCCTACGATATCGAAGGAGGCTCGTGAGGGTAGCAGCCAAGAAAGCACCAATACCACTTATATACTGCCAGGACAAACCGAATACGCTGCGGAGGCATGTCTCCCCAACACTACCAGAATTAATGATGTCCACACCCGCGAAAAATATTATCGCAAGTCTACAACGATGGAGTACCTGCGATGTAAGTATTATATGAGCCCTTCATTCCTGTCGAGGAACTTGAAAGCGATATGACCATTAGCAGGGTGGCTAACCAGTACGTGACCAGGTTGCCGACGGTCTTTCGAAGCTCAAATACCCTAACGGAGGATTCCTCGAAGGACTGACTATGTATTCACCCGAGTTTCAGGCTGGACAGACCAAAATCGTCGGGCAGGCGTTCACTGTCAAATTTGTTCGCAAGTCGGACGAGGCCGCACCCAAGGTTCAAGGAAACTATGTATGTGACCTGGACCAAATCAACAAAGACAATAATTTCGACGCTTTGCTAACCAGCGGACAGATTGACAAAATACCAGCTGGCGCAGTGGCCTTCATTTCTCAACCCCTCCCGCACATAAATGCTGTCTATGGCGGTCTCATGACGCTTCGAGCTCAGGCTCTCAACGCAGCCGGTGTTGTAATCGATGGCCGTATTCGTGATCTCGACGAGCACCGTTCTCTGAACTTTCCCCTCTTTGCGAAATCTGTAGGCACTACCGCTGGGGGGCAGTATGCCGCCCGTCGGAAGTCAACGTGCCTGTTCGGCTCAATTCGGACGTTCAGGATGTGTGGATTGAACCCGGCGACTATATCATTGCGGATCTGAACGGCGTCGTGTGTCTACCTCAGGGGCTTGCTGAGCAGGTCTTGGAAGCTATTCCAGCTATTGCTGAAGCAGATGCAAAGTGCGCAGAAGCTATCAAGGGAGGCCGCTCCGTGGAGACAGCGTTTAGAGAGTTCCGTGGTCGTTAATATCCATGATATCAAAAGTTGTTGCTACCCTGCACTTTATGTTTCATGAAACCCTTTATCTGGAACGCCGTACATCCTGTCAGTTCTGATATGCCTGTCATCTTGTAGTCGTGAGCATCTTGCCGCTGCTAGTCAGTAATTACCGTCCTTTGCGGGAACCTGACCCTCCTTATGAAGCTAGGGTTTCAGTGCATCGGTTATGGGGCTATGTATAAATGCTGGTATATCTACTATATTTCAGTGCCTTACAAATTAGATATTCTTTTCCGGCAGTTACTTCTCATAGACCTCTTCTCTTGCCACAACGATACTATATTGTAAAACGCAAAGTGCGTGATTGGTCACTTCCGATCTGGAAGACGAACATACCATATAGTGGTGGTGGTTTTGACGTAGCATTGTGCTATGGACCGGCCGCCTAATTCAGTTTAAGACGTCATATGAGCTTCTATTCCAAAACTTCCACTACCGCTGAAAACGGCTGCTTGGTCGTACCAAGTGGTCGAGCGGTGCCGACCCGAAACATTGCCGGATTATGCCACCTCACTGGTCTGATGGGGGTGCGGAGCAGCCTACGGGTATTAGCTTACTATATGCTTAGTGTTATTATTTCCTAGAGAGACAATACCTGGGAGGTAGTATGGCTATAACTGTACTATACCTGGTGATGCGTCGTTGAGTTCGTCTACCTACTTCGACACGTCTTGCCAACTTGTCCGTGGGGTTTTCTACGCCCCTCTTCATTTTTCAAAACAGGTAATACCATTCGTAGGATATTGAAGTACTTTCAATCGTTTCTTATAATGACGATCGTCCACATGGGTGAGTCAAGAGCAGGTTTTACTTTCCCGTCTGAATTTCCTAGAGCTAACACACCGACGGTAGTCATGTTCAAGTTTCGTCCCGAAGTGACGCAAGAACACAAAGATACGTTCGTCCGAGAGCTCAAGAGACTAAAAAACTTGGACTGTGTGAAGGGTCACCGGTTGGTTGTTGGCGGTCCATCTGTAACGGAACCGATTGAGAGAAGCAAAGGGTTTGAGATTGCCCTCCTCAGTTTCCACGAAAGCATGGACGATCTGCAGAAGTATCAGGCTAGCAAAGAGCATCATTGGTATGGGGCCTCCTTGAATCCTTACCTTTTATGAGCGTGAAACAACGAGGCTCATCATCACTCGCAACTATTAGGGTGACCAGCACATATATGTTCCCATACAAGGAGGACTTGGTACGTTTTGACTTTGAGGTTGCGCCTGAGGACGAATACATGTGGCATTTCCTGCCTGTTCCTGGTGCCAGTGAGTGAATCGATTTGATGGCCACAAGGTCCAAGAACAGGACAAGACAGTATTTGAAGAACGAATAGCACCCGATTCGATTGTTATTTTTCCGCGTTGGGCCTCCCATGGTACCTTATTGTCTCTGAGGTGCAAAACTGTTTCTTTCCTCTTCGTACCATTTATTCCTGATCAGGAAGGCTGTGGACAACGGCTAAGACATTAGAGACCGGTTTTGTTGGGATCGGCTTCAGTTAGACAAATGTGCACACTAATTTCAGAATCTTAAGTTAAAAGTAGCTAAATGCTAGAATCATTGCATAACACCGTAAGCACCGCCAGCTAGAAAGCCAAATGTGATCAAAACGGACTGCGATATTCGCGGAAGACGCTCAGGGGTTGAGCGCCCTCTAGGATCTTCTGCAGGAGTGTTCCGTAGTCCCAACCCATTGCAGCAGCAGCTATAGCCGTCAGGCTAGCTTGATCTTCCCGGCCTGGACGACCGGGCCCAGTCATGTTCTGTGTTTAAAGTCAACAGGTTAGACACCACTGCCGAGGAGTGCACAAGGATTCCCAGGGAAGGGAGATATCTTACCGGCTTCATATTAATATCGAAAAGGGCGAATTTCGAGCCCTCCGAGAAGCGCCGCACATCAACGCGGATAGGCGCCGTGGCCCTGATAAGCTGAGCTACCTTCTTACTTTCCTCCATAATAGTTCCGTAGGCTGGATCCTCCATCTCCTTTTCTGTCACGGCCCTGGAGTTGGCGGTTACCGCAGTTACGCCACTGTACGGAGCGATGCCCTCGGCGTGGTTAAACCTTGTTACGGGCGGCATACTCCAGTATTCTCGGCGCTCAGGCGATGGAGGCATGACGGTAATTGTGGCCTCCTCTCCGGCCAGATACTCCTCCACCATCACGAGAGGCGACTCCTCTAGAAGGGTTTCGACGTGTTGCTTCAACTGCGCTGGACCGTGACATAGTTTGACGCCGTGGCTTCCACGCCCCCGGACTGGTTTCCCTACAACAGGGAACCTGTCTATGGAATGGACAAATTCATCCAGATTATTGGATTTTGACAATAACCAAAAACATGGCAAAGTATAGCCCCGAGCTCGCGCAGCTTCCCGTTTAGAAACGCTTTATCGTCGCAGTTCTCTACGAGCGCAGGGGCTGTCCCACGACGAAGATCTCCGACGCATGCGGCGTCAGCTTCTGGGACGTTTGTAGAGGGTGTGAACCAAAGAGGATAGTATTGGCCCATAAATGCGTAGCGCCGTTTCGGACGGCCATGACAACGCCATCTTCTGTATCAGAAAAGCACCAGCCCTCATGTTTAAACACTTGTGGTGACGGCTCAGGGGTGATGATCTTGATGCCCTTGGACTGGAGAGTGTAGGCAATGTCCGCCCCGGAGTCCTGATATCCTGTAGGGTTGAATTCAGCCAAACGTTCCAAAGTTCAGCGGTTAACCAGAGAGAACGAGTAAAGATACCCACCGCCTGGTTTGCGAGGTTTGCGGACACCGTTGATGACTGGAGGATCAATATCCTGGAACAAGACGGCCACTATCGGGGCTCTACTACTATACAGGCGTCTCGGGGCAACTTGGGGCGAAATTTGCTTACGCGCGAGGCGTAGCAAGATGGAAGTGGGCACTGCAATCTTGACAGCCATGAATCAGTCTAGCAAGGTTGTTCTGTGGCAATTGGCAAAGGGTCGCGGGAAAGTCAAGAAGTAGTAGAGGAAGTATGAGGGGTACGGGCAGAATAATCAAGGTCAACTGGAGTGACCGCTTGCGGATAAGTGCGACACTTTTCGGAATTGCAGTTGGGCCAATCAGATCGCTTCAACATGCTGATTGCACATAGGTTTTGGGGGTGATAGGCTAGAATGCTAGATAGATAGATAACTGCAAGAACAATACCTTATTCCTTGTGCATTCCGTGTATATGCGTCTACCACACAAACGCAATGAGCGCACAATGGGCTATTGGGCCCCTATGGCGGGCCAGTCCGCAATATCCAGAAACTCAGGGTTTGCCGCCGACAGACTTACGATCTGGCTTCGGTTCATTGCTGAACTCGTGGTTCCCAACTTCATATATCATCCCACATATGACATCAGGCCTACGTATGTCAATTGCCACGGAGTTGTAAGACGTACTTATACATAGGTGGTGGCTAGTGCTTTGCCCTAACAACAATATTGGCTTGGATGTAGCAGAGCTTTCCAACTTTTCTCTTCGAAGCTTCTTGACGCATAGTGACTCCTTACTATGGCCTCTTCTGTGAGTGTCCCGGTCAATGGGCTAAAAGGTGTCGGCTCAAGCGCTGTGTTGTAATAATCCTGAGTTTTTCGCTGTAGGTTCGCTACTACGCTGACCCCTCGGCGGCAGCCCGGTTTGCCACGGATTTACTAGTAAAGGCTGGTCTTTCCACGGAAGATTCCAAGATCATGGCGGATTGCTTGGTTATGGCAGATGTCCGCGGTGTCGTAAGTTTTACCCAGTTGCATATTATCAGCGAACCCAGTGGTTCGCTTACAGCAACCTTGTAACGCTACGTGTAGGACACGCATGGCCTAGCGCGGCTACCCCAGTACCTGGACCGCGTCCGGAATGGCCGTGTCAAGGCAAAGCCTGAATTCAAGCTAACCGAAAAAACACCCACAGTGGCTCACATGGATGGGGACAACGGCTTCGGCTTCGTTGTCGCTACCAAGGCCATGACAGAAGCCATTAAACGAGCAGAGACTTACGGAATCGGTATGGTCGCAGTAAACCATTCTAATCACTTTGGCATGGCCGCTACATATGTGATTCAGGCGCTGGAGAAGGACATGATCTCTTTAGTATTTACCAACTCAGCTAAACAGATGCCGCCCTTTGGTGGCAAGGAGAATCTTCTTGGTATCTCTCCTTTTGCGGCTGGTGCTCCTTCTAGTACCGAGGTCCCCTATATCTTGGATATGGCCCCTTCTGTCGTTGCGAAGGGCAAGATCCGCCGTGCCGCCCGTCGTGGGGAGCCCATCCCTGAAGGCTGGGCTTTTGGCCCCGATGGCAAGCCTACTACAGACGCAAATGTGGCGTTGAATGGAAGCATGGCTCCAATTGGAGGACCAAAGGGATCAGGGCTCGCCATCTTGATGGACATCATGTCTGGCGTCTTAACGGGCGCCGCATTTGGAGGTGAAATTGGAGATCAATATAAGGATCCTAGACCCCAAAATGTCGGTCACTGTTTTATTGCGATTAAGCCCGATATTTTCATCACCACCGCTGAATTCAAAGCCCGGATGGACACTTTGGTCCAACGTGTTCATCATGTTCCGCCTGCCCCGGGGTTTAATGAGGTGCTTTTCCCTGGAGAGCCAGAACATCGAATGGGAATCCAGCGCCGGAAGGAAGGCATTCCCTATGCCGAGGCGGAGAGGAAGATGTTTAGTGAAGCTGCTGAGCAGTTTGGTGTTTCTGAAATCCCTCTTTCGGAGACTCCCCTTTCTCTGTCCTAAGCCGCTCAACGCTCTTCCCGCGCGTGTTAGGAGGATCTTGCAAATGCGGCATATTTCCAGCGATAAGGGCTTTTGTAAATTTGGTACAGTGAGGTAAATAGCAGGAATGCACTTGGCACTATTAGTATGGTATACCGCGGGCTATATGGTAATGCTCATCTCAACGGATGTACACGTAGGATAACTAAATAGATGAAATATGTTAAATTAGCTTGGCTTTTTTGGCGGTGCAGCTGTTGTGTTCGCTTGCGGGTATGAAATGATGGACAGAAGCCGACAGTCATGACGTCTTCATCTAACATCGAGCACACATTGGCCAATGCCGAGCGGATAGATACTGTCATCCTAATAGATGTGGTAAACTGCTTTATATTGATCAGCAACGCTGCACTGTGGGTGATAATGTTTGCATTCCCAAAAAATAGCAGTGATCCGCAATTGATATCCCTTGCTTATTCCTAGTGACTTCCCTTTCCATCATGGCTAATGATCGCATTCCATTTCCGGCAAGCAATCTGAGCTGGAGAATTCTTAATCATGCCAATGAGAATGATTACGCCGTGGGAGCCTATAACTGGCATGTGTAACCTTCAGCAAATGGCTCCATGAGCGCTCGTTCATCGAAGAAAATCTGCTAACATTGCCCAAGCTACAATAATGACGGTGTCATGGCCGTGATTCGAGGAGCCGAGCGGAAACGCTCGGCAGCCATCATTCAGTTATTTCCCTGGACTTTGCATTTCCAGGGACCGGAGTTCGTCCGTTACGTTGTTGCGGCTGCACACAGGGCCAGCGTGCCGGTTGCAGTGCACTTGGACCACTGCATTAAGCCAGAAGATATCAACCTCGCACTTACTCTTCCATTCGATTCTATAATGGTGGATGCTTCGACGCTCGATGAAGAGGCCAATATATGTCACTGCAAAAACGTGGTGGACCGCGCCCGCGCACTCAATATCACCATCGAGGCGGAGATGGGCCGGATCGAAGGTGGCGAGGATGGTCTTCCTACAGTAGACATGGAGGCCATCATGACCCAACCAGAAAAGGCCGAGCAGTTTGTTCGTCGAACAGGCGTCCACTTCCTGGCGCCATCATTTGGAAACATTCATGGTGGCTACCCTGCTGGTGGAGCGGAGGAATGCTGGGATCTGGAACGGTATGCGCAACTGCACCTCTTGTCGTCTCTTTCCGGTCTTGACTAACCCCCTTTCCGGCCTTTTCTAGGCTTGCAGCCATTGGCAAGCTAGTGTCAGGCACTACACCCCTAGCACTTCACGGAACACATCCCGTGTCGGCCGAACTGTTTCGAAAGGCCATTGCTTGCGGAGTGCGGAAAATTAACCTTAACCGAACTGTCCGAGATGCTTACACCAGTTTTGTAGCTGAGAATGCCGGCGCGTTAGAATTGACGGTGCTTATGGTCCGGGCGGTAGAAGTTTACGCAAGATCAATAGAGAGAATGATGGATGTGCTGGGCTCGGCTGGGCGATACTAGCTTATGAGGTATCACCTTTTTACAGGAATGTTTCACGTGCTGATGCATAAGTAGCTAGTGGTTTTATATACTAGTTAGACTTGAAAGTACTTTTCATTAAAGAAGACCCAGAAAGCTTGATATGAGTAAAGAAGATAGCTTTAGCACGGCTAGACCCTAAAGCAAAACTAAATATTGATTGTGCAATTCAGTGAACTCAAGTTTGCGTGGGAAAAATGGGGTGTGTGGCCAAACCTTTACCCCCCATGTATTTTATTTAAAAGCTGCCAGCAATACGCAAGCCATGCTGGATAAAGCCTACTGCTCGCTATTCATTGTAGAACAAAGGCGAGCTTCTAAATTGCCTCGCTTCTTCAGCAAGAGCCTCGCGGCGAGTCTTGCTGTTTGGATCAAAGTAAGGCCTCTCACCAATGCCGACTGCACGGTGACCGGTCCGAGCGCCCATGCCAGCAAAGTCCATGATAGCAGAGTGGAAGACAGATCGGTTATCCCATATCGCTGCAAAGATAGTCAGAAGCTGGGCAGACAAATTCCAAAGGGGATAGAACACTTACCAATATCATACGGATTTTCCCATCGATGCCGCAACTGGCAATCATGGTTCTCCACAATCAACTGCAAGAACCAATCATGCAGCCGCTTGCTCTCCTCGGGTGTTACCTCGTTTATTCGGACGATATGGTTACCTACCCCGTAGAGACTCTTCCATCCAGTGACTGGATTGGTGCGAACAACGGGGTGGACAGTGCTGAGAGCATCGCCAACGTTGTTCGGGGATCCACGGGGCTCGGTGTAGAGCTCAAACCCCTTCTCAGCAGCGGTCTTGGGGTATCTGGACTGGGCGAAGGTCGCCGTGAGGCCTTCAAGAAACTTCCGGAAGGGAGGAGAAATTTTGTCGTAGATCTCGCAGGAGGAAGCCCACATTGTGTCTGTGAAAAAGACGCCATCAACGACGAACACTATGCTCGGGAGGTGTGGATAGGAGACACATACCTCCGCCCGTTTTGGGCAGCTTGACCAGCTTTAGGATCGTGTAGTCGCTGGGGTTGGGTTCATAGCCAATATCTGTGTGCCAACTGCCTCGAGCACCCAAGGGCCTCTCCGCCTGGTTCTTGAAGAGATCTTCCGCAGGTGCCGCGGCTTTGTCGGTAGTGATGATGTTGAGATGGCGGTCCCAATCCCCGTTGAAGTTGGAAAGGGGATGGATGTGGAGCGTTGAGGATGGCGGTTTGCCAGCGAGAAGGCCTAAGCGGTGGGCCAACTCTTTCTCCAGTTCATCGGTAAGGTCTGTTTGGGCGCGAAAGAAGACAACTCCTCGACGAGAGACTGGTTAAGGGGGGTTCAGCTACAAGCCTTTGAGAGATAATCGCCTAGTTGTGCACTTACCGGTGACCGCCAAGTCTCGGAGGAGCTCATCAGAGTTGGGGGCTTTCATCCACTCCACCACGTTGGCCTCAGGGAACTCCGTCCCAATGGTGGGAGTTACATCAAAGGACTCGTACTCATCCAAAAGACCTCTCCGTCTGAGGGGTTCCTTGATGAGTAACTTAGCCGAGGCACCCTTCTGGCCAGGGGGCATTCCAATGGCCTGCAAGGGGGCCTCATCCTGGGCGGTGATCGTTCCGGGTGGCATGTCAAGAAAAGCAAGGGAGATGTCAAGAGATTAGAGATAAGCTTATCCGCTTTTGTCCTTAGGCTAGGCCAGGCGGGAAGAAACGCTAATTGCAATATCCCGAGCCGTCGTGGATTTGTGAAGGTGACTTCGATCTCCTTGACATCAAAATCATGCCACTTATGTATTTCTTACATCTGCAGATTCGCCAAATGAGCATTATGTGTATATAATGCCGATGGAACACATGATGCTCATAGACTGAAGCCAGGACTAGATCTAGAACCGTAGCCGTTGCGCAGTAGAGGACGTCACTGCAACAATATTCCTGCTTCCGGCGGTAGTCGTTACATTGTACATCAACATTCCAGCTATGTTTGTTACATTCTAGATACATAGCCATTGATGGCACCACCGATTACAAATTATTCATTAAGGAGGCGGCATTGCAGATCCTTTGGAAATTTGTTACATGACGTGTAGAGATTAGTATTTCCCTGGATAACATGGTTGTGAGCATCTTATGCAACCCTTATGTGGAGCTGCGAGTACAATCCGGACCACCTAGACAAGAAGACTGTTAATGCCCCATTTCCCTTTATCGATAACTATGACATGCAAGGCGGATTTGTCAGTCATCCTCTTGGCGGCATGCATACTACGGTTACTACCGCATTTTCCAAGCGGAAGACCCGTCCTCGGTCTCGTCCGAACCCTCATTGGCTCTCGCTTAAGAATTGGCAGCTATGGCACTTAGCGGATGTCCAAGGGTCTAAGGCATCATGGAAGACGGTAATGCTCTACGTTCTCACAGCTTGCTGGAGAATTTTCGAGTTATGCTCAGTGTAGCTTTCGACCGTCGAAGCGGACATCCGCCTTAAATACCAATATCACGGAAACGGAATCGTGCAGTGGCTCCTATGTACTGTTCACGACCCCGGGCTATGGATGGAGGCTAGCTGCGAACACTTCGACGTTACGGGCACTCCTTCTCCATCTGGCCTCCCCTGTTGGAAATATACTACCTCGTAAGGCGATTGACATTGCCGGCACCCCCTATAGACGGAACGATCATGATCTCATGATTCCACTGTGTTCCTTCGCTCAGCTTTCTAAGTGATAACTTCTACGGAACTCAAATACTTCCAATTCGTTTGCGGTCACTGTCTTTACCAATAGTATTCTGCACAGAGAGCACATGGATAGGACTGTGTCTCTTGCCTTTTGCCATTTTAGCTCAATCGTCCGTACTACTCCTTTCTACCGCTTATCCACTGAACTCCACATCGCTGCACTCAGATAGATCCTAATGCAAACCCTAACACCAAAACGTATGTGACAGGCCGCCATGGTATCTCGAATCTCGAGAGCTGGAAACTTGCCCAAGGACTGCGGTTTCTCGTCTTCCCGTTGCCCCGTCATTTGGCGTGCTGAATAATTCTGCAGCGAAATCTAACCACCATGACGGCCTCTATCCAAGACCACAACGAGGATCGCCCTGACAACGAGGAGACTCCCCTCCTAGGATCATCCACGACGGACGCCCAAACCCATGTCCTTCCGACCCGCCAGCTTGTTATCGTCTTTACAGCTCTAGCGTTTGTGCAGTTTACGTCCTTTCTCGACCAAACCGCCATTTCCACGGCTCTGCCCTCCATTGCGCAAGACCTGCACACCGGCTCCTCCATCTCTTGGGTCGGAGCGAGTTTCCTCATCTCCAGCACCAGCGTCCAACTCATCAATGGCCGGCTCTCAGACATCTTTGGCCGGAAGACCTGCCTCATCACAACACTCACTGTGATGGGACTCGGGAATCTGCTATCGGGATTTGCGAGAACGCCGTTCGAACTGTATGTGACTCGGGCGGTAAGTGGGTTGGGCGCCGGAGCGATCAATGCTTTGGTTCAGGTGACCATCTCAGATATCACGACATTATCCCAACGAGGCAACTACTTTGGTATCATCGGGATCTTCGTGGCGCTGGGAAATGGCTTGGGTCCGGTGATTGGTGGTGTGTTGACGAAACAGGCTTCGTGGCGATGGGCGGTTTGGTTCATCAGTCCAATGGCGGCGCTGGCTGTGGGAATCCTTTATTTCGTCTTGCCGACATCGCGCATGAGCGGGAACATGTGGACCAAGCTGAAGATGGTGGACTGGCTCGGGGTTATCGTGAGTGTGCTGGCTGTAGTGTTGGTATTAGTATGTCTCCTTGGCGTAGTCCATGTTGACCAACATGCTGACCGGATTTACCTACAGGTACCCGTCTCGCAGGGTGGTTCGGCGCTTCCGTGGAGCTCTCCTATTGTCATAGCCATGTTATCGGCGGCTTGCGCGCTCTGGATAGCGTTTGTGTTTCTCGAATGGCGCGTTGTGCGCTTGCCCATCGTACCTAGTACGTTGCCCCAAGCACATGTAAGCGCTAATCTGTTGCTTACGCTGTATACTTCACAGTGCGCCTTTTCAATAACGGCTACTCAGCCAACATTTTGCTGGCCCAAAATCTTGCCATCGGCTGGGTCTACTGGAGCAATCTTTTCTACCTGCCTATGTACTTTCAAAATGTTCGAGGCTGGAGTCCTACCGAGGCCGGATCCCTTATCCTCCCCATGGTGATCGCTCATGGAATCTTCTCCGGACTCAGTGGTTTCCTCCTCTCCTGGACCGGCCGGTACTGGCCTATCGTCGTCGGCGGAACGTCCATTTGGACAGTTGCTACCAGCGGCAAAGCGTTCTATGGAGCGAACACGCCGGTCTGGGTCTTCATTGCCGTGGGTATGCTTGAAGGCTTAGGGGTCGGCTTTTGCTTTCAGCCCGTCTTGGTCGCCTTGATGACAAACTCGGCCAATGAAGACCGTGCGGTGATGACAGGCCTTCGAAATTTTATTCGAGCTATGGGAGGAGCGGTCGGTATTACCGGTATGTTACACTTCCCTTGACTTCTCTGATGGCTTCCACATCTGACACAACCAAGTATCCGGAGCTATCTTGAGCAATGTCCTCCAACTCGGACTTGGAGACAAATTCTCACCGGAAGTAATCGCTCGACTGACTTCCAGTGTTCAAAACTTACCAGATTCAGAGTTCTCCCGTGATGAGATGCGTTTGATTCTCTCAGTCTACATGGAAGGACTCCACGCTGTTTTCATATCATTTGTGCCTCTGATCGCGCTATGCTTTTCGTCATCGCTTCTGGTCAAGAACTACCCAATTGGAGGCAAAGATAAGATGACTGAGCGTCGTACACAGACAGGAAGAGCTAGCCATGATTTGGAGGAACCTGCCGAGGTTCCAACGGGCAGAGATGGGGCATGATTAAAGAGTATGGTGACTGAAACCATGGCCAAGGACGGCTGGGCCGCTGTTGGAAATAGTAATACTGTATCGATTTACGAATCGCTAGCAATTTCTATGGCCAATCGAAAATCAATGAAGGTCTAATTCTTCTAAACGAATGACTATCCAGCTCCTATTTATCCCTTCCATTAGAGGCCGGGATCTGGCTGATCAAATGACGAATATTTGCCGAAATATTATCGCCAAGAGGCGGCACGGAGAAATCAAATCACTTCCCAATCGGGCAAGCGGTCATATAATTCAATAGCCGCCCTATTCTTCCTCAGTTGAATACGAATCAAGGTACAACCAAGTTATCAAGTTGCAGGCGCTGGGGAGACGCTACCTCTGTATGACAGATAGATTCTGCGAGGGTATCCTCGAACTGCTGCCACCCAGCGATCTCACAAGTTCGGATAGCATGTATTTACTACTGAGTTCTTGAGAATCCGACCCTCCTTCGCACGTATAAGTTGGCCTAGATTGTGATAAAGACTTTGCCAAATTCCTCTTCGGCAAGTCTCTCAATATCCTTGATAAGTTCCACGGAGACCGTTTTAAAGGATTCAGCTACACCAACTGTTTGCTAGGACCGCTCCTTACAGCGCTTCTAAGGGCCCAGGCGATTCGAGATGATTTCCAGCGCCAGTGATGAAATGAGATATCACAAAGGATCTTCTAAAAATACTTAACTAAGCTAATAAAATCATTCTTACAAGCTATTACCCTTTCTTGATTTAGTAGCTCTATGTCCAAATAGTACTAAAGGGCGGTCAGCAATGTCCGTGAAGCAGTGACGCATGCAGTTAACATAGAAGAGGAGGCCTACATACAGCAAGTCAGCAGCAGTTAATCATTAAACTCGCATTTCGAGATCACATGATCTATGATGTGCTGATTGGACAGCTTCACATTCGATGCATCCATAGTATCAGTCACATAGCTAGTGAGTAGGAAGGAATTCAAATCTCATGGAATTCTACACAACATACAAATTAGTAACGGGCACTGAATTCCGAAGGTACCACGGATTTTGACATCACCCCTTACACTTGGTTAGAACTTTAAATCAAGATACAAGTGTGGCATTCTATCTACATACATACATACTTATGAGAGAGATACAGTTGCAGTCATAGGGGCTCCCTGTTCGACTCTTACCTTCAGTTGTCTACTGTCTCTTAGGTAGCATCTAGTAGACCCTATTGAATATACTACCATCTTGCCATAGGCCTTATGTGCCAAATGATCCAGAACTGATCACTTGAGTGGTATGTGACAACTTGAGATATGCTTATAGATCTAGTGAGTATGAACCTCGTTCCTTACAGTGAACCTAAGCCTCACCTAAGGGCTTGTGGTGGCCATGTGGTCCGAATTCTACACTCACGGGGCCTTTGCACACTAGTCAATGAAATCTTTAATCACCCCCTGTTGAGCAGGGCTTTTCAGGGCCGCCATTACCTAGATATGCTGCTAGGATACAGCTGCTCAAAAATTCATGTACTTAGGGTTCAGTACAATATCTCATTCCACAGGGGCACAATCCTTTGTTAAATATGCTCTTGGTCAGTTTAGAGTAGCGGATATTTAGGTTCTATTCATTATTATAAAGCATTTCCAGCATCAAATCCTCCATCGCGCGTGTAAAGTCTTCTCAAACAGAAAAAGAAAAAGATATCACTATGCCACCACCTGGATTATTCAGACATCTAATCCAGAATAAGCGCAGACTACTCTGGGAGAAGAACAAGGGGTGGATACCACTCTTATTATGGCTAATGTAAAGCTTAGGGTTCATAGCATGATTCTCAGGGCGGAAAGTCCTTTACTACAACCACACTTTCAGGCAAGTCTTCGAGAATCAGGCGTACGGGAGATCTGCATTGAAGAAGTGGATATACACATAATTTGGAGAACTTTGATGCTTGTATACCTCGGGTACTCACAAGCCTATGCCCAAAAGCTACTACATCAGGTGTGTTCATATCCTCATCCCTTAGTGCTATACTAAGAAACTGCAAGACACATTGCGAAATGAGTCTCTACATGCATCAGTATACTTTTTGTCTCAGCATGGGGCTCATCACAAAGCCTCCAGAAGCTGGCTCTGCGGAATTGCACCGTTGAAGGACAAAAATATGGCAGATATACACGACGGAGGGAAAGGTTAAAGGTGCTAGATCCTACCTGATACTTAGTCTGCCTTTCTATATAGATGTGGACTGGACTGGTCACTGTCGCATATTTCGTTTACTACAGGTGCTATTATCTTGTTCTTTTCTTCCCTGAACCATCGAAAGCGCCCTGGTCGTGAGGAAGGCATTTGAAACTGGGCTGCATGACTGTATATACTGTGCAAGACATTGTAAAGACAGGATCCAATGAAACTTATGGACGGCGGAATCGGGGCCGTTCTGTACGGGGATTGATTGGGCTGAACACTGCCAATTCCACCTGGATCACCTACAGCACTCTCAGAGCTGTGCTGGCTTTTGCAGAAGCATCATTTATGTTTCAATCCGCGGCGTAAAGAGACCGCCAGCGAGAGATCCACAGCACGGAGGCTCTGAGAAGCTCAAACTATCCGATAAGACCCATCCAGCGTCAATTCAAATTCTACACCGACGCGGTCACACATCTCCCCGACTTTCACGAATATTTCTCTGAATGACTCCGGGATCCGAGCCTGACTTTGATAGCCGCTCATGTCATGGAATTCCGGTATAATTTCAGCTACCGCAGAGGAGATAGACACTTGTTCTAGGCTAGGGAACTGCTCCTTGTAATGGGCAAGAACACCTTGTATATTTGGCACGAGCACTGCACAGTGCGTCACCCGGCATTCCGCCATATGTAGCGATCTCAAACTCGAAGGTAGAACGTCCTTGAGCACGACGGATTCATCTCTATCGCGGTCATGGTAGTTGAGAAGGTTCTGGACGCGGATCCGAAGATCCTGTAGCCTGCTGAATGCCGCCAGAGATCCAAACCACCGGTCTTGCGCTTGCGGTCCGTCATTCTCCTCGTCGTCATCGCTCAAATAATCCGTATCAGTCTCGTTCTCCCCACGGTCGCTCAGATGGAGCACCTCTAGGCTGTGCTTCTGCGTCAAGAGCGCCCTGTAGAACCTCCGGGGCTGAAATTCGATGTATGACTCTCCCCAGATCTCCTGGCGGTCATGCTGGTATTTAAATTGCTTGAGATTGGCGCATGAGGTGATAAACTCCGCCATTCCTTTTCTTCCATTGCAGGAATATTCCAGGGACAGTGATTCCACAGGTGCAGTGCCGGACGCGGAACCCACAGCCGCGTGGTCCAGTCTCTGCCCTTCTCTGGCTTCATTCACTGCGCCCAAGTTCACATCCCTGATAGACGGTAGATGGAAAAATGGTAGGAACTGCCAGTGCGGATAGGCTTCTTTCAGATTCTCAGCGTGGATATAAAGCGTCACCAACCGCTGCAGGGCCGGCCTAGTGTCAAATGGTGGTTCCTTGCGCGCAGCCCGCGAAACAACCCGCGTCACTCTTGGCGCGTCTTCAACGTATTGCCCTGACAACGCAGTAAGATTTGGCACTGATGCAAGAAGAAGGGCAAGCCAAGCTTCCTGGTTTCCACCACGGAGATTCTCAGTCCAGTCTTTCCGCTCGTCTGGCGACTTGCTGATTTGCACTACCAGCTCCTCCGCCCTTTGCGGCAGGGGGTCATCACTTTGCCTTTGCGGGTGGGACTCGATGTACGCATCCCACCACTGGACTGATAACCCTCGGATGGCGGATCCTATCAGCGGGTTGGCCAGTACGACTTCCGTAAGGGGCCGGATACGAGACCCCACGATATCGAGGTGGTTGTATGCGACCTCGAGGAGCAGGGCGCGCCAACGTCGGCAGACTTGCAGCAGTTGTAGCTTGTCCTGTACGTCGGAGACATATCTACCGATGGTGAGGAGGATCTCCACGGGAAGAGTGTCCATTTCAGGTTCAGTTGTGCTGATTATCAGACAACGTCGGATTAGCGCAGAGGGAGATTTATGCGTCCGCTAGCCGCCGCGATCATCGCTTTTTTTTTCTTCTTGGTCATGGGAAAATAGCAGCCTGCACGTGCAAACAGGCTATATTATTTATTTTTTCCCTTTTTACTATTTCTGGGTGTGTGGACTTAGTGTCACTACCTCTACGAATTCATGACCTTTATGTGCTGACTGGAACAGTAATAACCACGCAATCTGGAGAACCCCTTCTGATGTCATGTCTGAAAGCCTAATTTCTAGTAAAGGTTCAGTATCCAATATAGCAGCCTTAAAAAGACAATAGTATACTAACCTGTTCACCCGCTTAGGAGCATGCATGAACCAAGAGAAAGAGGGTTCGTATATCACCCTGAGAAAAGAGAATGGTTTCATGACTATTGGACGATAGATGATACCATTAAAAGAAGTCCATCTGCGCTCGAGCCTGACATAGAGCACAGGAGTACTCTATGGGTATAGGTAGCTAATGTCCTTGGGAAACCAGGATCGTAGTTAACTAGGTAGTTACTGCAATCTGGCTTAAGTCAATAATACCAGGCGCAGTGGAATTGGTGGGAGCTCAAGGGAAAGATAACTCGAGATCATCCGGTTTAGCAAGCAAGGCCATCAGATAAATCAAGCTACGGCTGCAACACAGTACGTTGTCCAAGTGTCGCTAACAACCGGGAAGTTCGGTGAAAAGGCCGTCAAGAATAAAGGAAAAAGACACACTAAAGTCAAAATGTTAATGTTGGCTGAGTCGTCTGAGAGACATTAGTACTGTAGACACCCTACAGCCGTAAGGGTGGGTCCAGTTATGCAGCTGCTATTGTATGGTTTACGAAGAACAAATTCGCCGGAACGAGCGCTCCATATCCCCCCAATAATATAAAGCGTCCTCAGGAGGTAATGTTGCTCTGATTTTAACACTTCTTACCTCAATGTTTTGCTACTAGTATTTCTCTGCAACACTACCCTTCAAATAGCGAAGATGTCGCATCGGGAATCTGTGCTTTGACTTTCCCTGTTCTCCATACACTCAATCTTGCTAGTTTAAGGAACAGAAAGGGGCAATGGGAAAGGGCGCAACATGCCAAGTGCCTTCTTTGTCTTGGTTTCAGTTTTGGCACCAGTAAAAGGCTGATTTTCATCTGAGACTGTGCCTATAGGGAGTATCTGTTAATGTTGGTATCACCTTTTCAGGCCATTCCAGAGACACCTCCATATAAAGCGTACTTAGTCTTTCTATAGATACGTGCTCTAGTTGACCCTGCTGGTTTTGTTAGCGCAGGGTGCCCTTGATAGGCTCAGAGAGAAAGCGGGCTGGGCCCTCTGAAGCACCGCCTTAAAATGATCAAAATCTGAGGTTGCAAGTCCTTGTGGTTGGCAGGAGTCTCTGGTGGTTGCAACGCCCGATGAAGCCCCTACGCTTAATTTAATTTAGGCAGCAACCCTGTGAATTGGCTCTTCATTATTATACGCACAAGATAGTCATGCAGCGATAGGATTGAAAGGCCCCTCGCAGAGCAGAAGAAGGATATTGGATAAGAGTTGATGTGAATGGAAGCATCGTGTTTTATTCAGTACTTGCAAGCTTTCATTGAATATGTTCAATTTATCTCCGAACATTTAGTTGCGGTTATTTTGAAGTAGATACCAGCACTGATAAAAGACTGAACCGAACCTTGACCGCTACAAGATCCGAAGAGTCCGTGCAGCCACTTTTCAATCAAGAGCCTGGCGAGACTCTCGGCTCAACAGACTCTGGTAATAATTTTACAGGGTATTACCCATGAGTAACAGTGAGTTAATCCAGCCTTGGACAGGAAAGTTGACCAGAGATCTCTGCGAAACTCTCTCGTTAAATTCTCATACCAATGATCAAATGGATCCGACTGAGAATTGCGTCATCAAACTGGATACCCCGATTTGAAGTCAAGAAAAGAATTCCTTGATAATATTCTAGCTTTCGGAAGAAGGTCATAGGTAATATGGCCGTGCTGCAAGATTGACGAGAGACGCTGCGAGATAGCTGCATATGCTTGCTTGAGGTGGCCGATGAGCAAACAGAGATGCTGCACTTGTGCCGACCTATTGTCCGAACTATTATCCATGTTCTCCGCACATCTGTCGAGCTCTGGGAGGAAATGAAACCGATGGCTTGTCCTCCATCAGGCTAATAGCTTTGACATCCTGCAGCACCGCACGCAGGATCTCGCGCAGGCCTTCTGATTTGATGTCCACGTACGTCATTACCGCATTGGAATTCCTGTCTAACAATGCTATTAGTATGGTTTCGGTCTTTTAAGTAAAGGTATTATGTACCAACACGTTCACGGACAATGAATGCATATTCAGCATAGTCGTCAAGACCCCGGTTCGGCGATCCTGTATTTACATGCTTCTTTGTCCCGGCTATGCCTGCGTCAGATACTTTGTAGACGACGGAGACTAATGGTGTCATTTTATTCCTACTTCACGGTCATCGGGGTGAAGGTGGCGATAATCCCGCTGCGGTAGTAAGGTTGTTACATAGGCAGCCGATATCTGGAAACCTGACATGGAGTGAAGAGAATGGGGGCCAAGGAGTATTGACTCTCACGAAGACATGGCTGGGAATGGCTTACCCAAATCGAAAGCGCAAACATGAACTGGTAAAATTCTAATTATAGTATTAACGTAGCCACCACAGCGATCGAGTTTAATGGCGATCTCTTGCTGAGATTCGTACTCCAGTATACTTGAATCGAACCCCGAGTTCTTCCTGGATATTGCTCAGAGAACAATCTTGTCACATCTGACCAACAGAGCCCCAGATCCCTCTTTAACTTCAGTCTGATGATGGGCTGCTAATTCTGTTTTCTACCTACAGAACTTCTAATAGTGGACTTTTAATTTTGAACAATAACTGGGTCAGTGTGCCACATTCATGGATCTTCCCAGGGGACAAGGTTTTATATCAGGTGTTGCTTATGGAGTGTGCCCAGAGTCCCTTCAATCTAGGGAGTACACCTTTGGTTCAAGCGCACCGGCAATATACCCTGAATTTTCCATTATTAGCGACTATACCACTCTCAATACTCTAGTAGAAGTCAATATTTATATAGGGTGACAATAAACAAAGATAGGTATGGTCGCTGAACAGCTATTCACGTAACATTCCACCTGATGCGAACACACACGGAGAAAAACTTTAGACCAGCAATCGACTATTGTTGCGGACAAAACGTCCTCTCAAATCCCTGTCTCTCCAACTCATCTTCCTCCTCTCGACTCATAGGCGGCTCGGGATTAGCCTCACCCTGCTCCATGCGTTGTCGCACCCGTTCCATATCGACAGTCCGATTTGGAGGAGTAGCCAGCATCTCTCCGACGACCGCCGCTGCTCGGTGGTGATTATTCCTTTGCAAATGTCGATGGAACGCGCGCATCAAGTACGACCGCAGCGGATTGTCTTCTTGACCCTGCGCAGTCTCAGGAGGAGCATTACTTGGCGAGGTGGAGGGGCCTGCATCCCCTGTTCCTGACTGGGCAGCGCGGGTTGGAATCGTCTGCACGGGAGCAACGGGAAACGGCGTGCGGTTGATCTTCTGGTGTGCGTAGTCGGCTACTGCTCGCAGACACATATTGCGCAAGCCGTTCTGGAGTCGCCAGTCCCTGATCTCGTCTGGAACGACGGGACCAACGTAGACTGTGTTCGGATGATCAAGTGCAAGAGGCCACAGATCTTCTAGTAAGGCGGATTGTGATGCATGCATGGCGAACAAATCTCCCCAGACTAGGCTGCCCAGGATTCGCATCTGTCCGTGGTACCCCGGGGATTCGTCTGGACGATCTGGACCCTCGGCTGGAATCCACTCGGCGTCAACGGCTAGCACGAAACCTGCAAAGTCTCCTTCGCGTGTGATGATCAGGGCGGAGGAGTAGCTTGAGGTCGTATATGAAGCGACACTGGGCTCGTCGACTACGAGGAATACTCGATCATTGACCTGGTCCGGAGCGTCGAGTGGCGAGGGGCCGAGATCATGGAAGTGTCTGTAACGTTAGAATTCGAGAAATCAATCTCACAGAGAACTCACTTTCTTGCCCCCTCGACGTCCCCTTCTGGAATTCCTAGATCCTTCCCATCCTTCCAGTGCAGCTTCAAATGCGGCTTGATCGCACTCGATCCGGTCTGTCCGCGACCCCAGTCCGCAATGTGTTGCTCTATTTTCTGTTTGCACGCGTTCCATTCAGCGTCGCTCTGCTTATAGGTCAACCTGTAGATGGCCAGCCCGAAACTCTGACGTCGATCGTTCGGGCTCTGAATCCAATACAACAGCCTCGTAATCCATGGCTCCCGGGGTACCGGCTCAACCGGGTTGCCGCGCACTTCACGCCGCAACTGATGCTGACCATTGACCTGGTCGAGGCACGCCTGGTGCAGTGACACGGGATCCGCAAGGTGGTGAGTCTCACCCCTCGCGCGCGCCTGCATTATGCTCTGGTATCTTGCTGTGCGTGTGACCTGCTTGAGCCTCCGCGAGCATGCTTCTCCACGCACCGACCAGACTGTTGAACGAAGAGCAGGAGGGATATTCGACGGGACGGCTGGTGCAGTGTAGCCCTTGTATCCGTCCATTGGAATAAGAATGCCGTAGTCGGCAATGCAGTTGATCTCGGCCAGCTTGTGCAGCGCGTCGGTTGTCCGCCACTGAATTCTGTCTAACGTGTCCAGATCCACGGGACGATGTAAACGTAGCGTAGTGAGCAGTGGAGCGCGAAGGGCGCTGGCTTTGACGGTCACCCAGCGATGTGCCCGCTCCGTCATGACCTCAAAATGGGCCGTCATGTATGCCGTCCACAGGCTTGTCACACTGACAGATGGCTGCTGCGTCTCTGCACGCTGTCGATTCAGCATAACTTCTAGCTCCCTCCAATGCTCCCAGATCAGGTTGAACGTGTCGCGCATGTTCGCCATCACTTTGGGCTGATTCAGATATTCAAAGGTTGCACAAACGGCCGACAGATGCTGACACGCCACGTCAAAGTTGTCTGTCTTGTCCAGGCCCTTTTCCTTCCATCGCTGCTCACACAACGGGACAATCCCCTCCCACAATCTGTTCTTCAGGGAATGGATATTCTTCCCGACACAGCACAACCGGTCCCCATCCTGCATGGACCCGATGCGATTCATGACCCGGTCAATGATGACGGTTTGATCGGCATCCGGATCAGGACTCGTCTGCGTCAACGGGATCTCGTCCGGGGTCATACGCACAAGGTCACATTCCTTGCTATTGGGGAGGGGAGCGCCCAGCGCAAATTCTAAGAAGTGTGCTATGGTCTGCGGCTCAATGAGGCGATCGACTGGAAGTGGATCTTAGCATGAGGCTCATCCAGTGATCTGGCGCGTCCGCTGACAGTAACCTACCGATTTCCAGCTCTTGGTTCTCGATGTGTACTTTGGTGAGCACACTGTTCATTGACACATTGTTGAGATTCATGTGTGAATATGGCCGGGTTCCGCTCGCCATTTCGTCACTGTTGCCCAACAATAATCCAGGCGGATGTGACAGAAAGGGGTGGTGGAGTTTTGAGGCGCCGGAGGGTCCAGGCACCAAGCGGCCAAGCGAGGTGCTGCCTAGTGCGGTTCATTGCCAAGCATCTTAGTTCCTTTTGTTTTCGGTTCGCGATGGCCCTTGGACGAATTCCCGATCGGGAAAGTCAGGCTAGCCTGTTGGTGGAGATCTTTAGTATCCACAGTTGCCTGAGGCAACGCTGTCTGCCTGATTCCTAGTCGGAGTCGTAAATAAAAGGAGCATAAAAAACAAGGGTCCTATCGCCAGGTAGATGACCCGAGAAAGTAGTGAATCTATGCTGTTGTGATGTATATCAAATTTATTTTACCCGCACAGTTGTAATGCTGGCTCAGAGATAAGCCATAAGTATAGATACTCTTCTTGCAGCCGAACATGTCTCTTAGTTTTCTTGACACGCCTTACTCCTGCTGTACCTCAGATAATCAGGTCTGTCACGTCATATTTCTCTGTCTATATCTTAAACCCTGCAGCCTGAACTACCCCGGAACCCCAATCCTAGTTGTCATCGTTGACTGGTTGGAAATAGCCCTAGTGTGACATGGCAATTTATCCTGCACGCGGGGTTGACAGAGATCAGCCCCTAAATCGCCGGTCTCTCCGGTCTCCCCGGTCTGGAATCCCCAGCTTCGAGAACATCATGCTTTGCCCATAACATGTGGCTCTACAGTCTGTACCTAAGTTTGCGTCAGTCCGTCGGCTACTTCAGACAGGGAGAACAACGAAGAAGAGCCACACTCGTCCATGCCGAACAGCATGCATCCCAGATAGTTGGTTACCTCGAACGGCACGAGTGGAGGAATCTGCGACAGCAATGCGTCGCTCCGTTGCGATGGTTCTTCTCTGAATCGTTTCTAGAGAGCCAATGGAGGGCGATTCTCACCAACTGCGGGCCTCTTCGACAAACTGGTCACCCCACCGTCACGATGGGCTGGTTCGTCCTTACTGCCAAAGTATCCCTCCGGTTCGGCCGTGTGTCCCTTGCCTTATCACTTCAGATGACACCTTCCGGCAAGATCATCGGTCTGCGTGTCCTCACGTTGCAGGCAGCTGGCATGGGTGCCTCCTGGCAGCCACCGCCATATGCAACCGAGGATGTCACTTGTATCCCTCTCACGCTCGGCAAGGGCCTGTACAGAGTGGCGGCAGAACTAACCGTCCCGCCCTCCATTAAAACTGGCCAGAAATACCCCTGTATCATATTCATCGGCGGCTCCGGCCCATGGACAAAGACTCCACCATTGGCGCCCTAAAACCATTCAAGGACATGGCGCTTGGTCTTGCCAATCGCGGTATTGCGTCTTGTCGGTTCGACAAGTTTACATGCACGATTGCTGGGAAACTCCTCACGCGCCACACGATAGTCACGCTCACAGGTGAATACTTCTATCATGTCAGACATGCCATACGTAAGGTCGGTGAACACCCTTATATCCACCATGATAGGATATTCCTCCTGGGCCATAGTTTGGGTGGGTTGATCGCCGCTCGCCTTGCGGCCGCTGAGCCCGCGATAGCAGGCTGTGTTCTTATGGCGTGTCCGGCGCAGCCGCTATACCGGTGTGCTATTCGACAACTTCGGTATCTCAAGAGTCTCGACGAGTGTGACTGTGGTGAGCAACGGTCAGCCGATGAGCCAAGTATGATAGATAATACGATCGAGATGCTGGAAAAGCAAGCAGAGCTTGCAGATGGTGCGACTCTGACCCGATCAACGCCAGCCAGCCAACTACCGTTTGGTCTTGGTCCTGCATATTGGCTTGAATATCGTGACATCAATGCCATTCAATCCCTGCAGCGATCCGAGTGTCCTGTCTTGGTGCTGCAGGGTGCACGGGATTACCAGGTTATCGTCAACGAGGACTACGCAGCGTTTTATGCAAAGTTCCAGGATCGCCAGAATGTACACTTTCGCCTGTATGAGAAGCTAAATCATTTGTTTGTACCGGGGGAGGGGAAGTGTACTCCGGCCGAGTATGATATTGGAGGAAGTGTAGACGTGGCTGTTGTGGATGATATCAAGCGATGGGTTAAGACTGTTGATTCTACTTGAGTTCTATCCTAGAAGCTCTTTTTACTCGTGAATATAGGTCATGAAAAGATTAATACTGAATAAACCAACTATATTCGAACGGGAATGCGGACCACGCCCGTCGACGGCACAGCTGACATGCTTGCTCATAGATGCCCACAGATGAGACTACTTAGACATCCTCGATGACACAAAATCAACTAAGTCGAAGAAACTCTTCTTGTAATATCGCTCCTGCGTCGTCCGATTAACCACCTGCAGCCCAAACTGCTGCTTGTAGTCCCCAAACTCCCAATTATCCGCCCACGACCACGCCAACGCCCCCATAACGCGCACCCCGTCTTCATGGATCGCCTTGAGAATCTCCGACATGAATGAAAGGTAATAAATACTCCGCGGCGTATCAAGCAGCTGATCAGACAGGTCCGTCTTCTCAGCCTCTCCGAAAACAGGAAACCCAAATTCTGACACGAAGACAGGGCTGCGGAATGTATTCCACAGATAGTTCAGGTACTCCCGGAGGTAGGTGGGCGTGATATAGACGTAGCTCTGCGAGCGATAGCCGATGTTCCACCCGTATCCATTCTTCGTTTCCTGGACCACGCAGTACGGGAAGAGCTTGCTTGAGGCGTTCACAGCGCAGGCTTCAATCCCTTCGGGCGCCGGGGAGACAACCGTCGCAGTGTAAGGATCGATGCCGAAGAAATCGGACGTGTTCGCGATATAGGATAGGTCGTGCTTGCTGAGCGGTTTCGCACCAGGGAGGGTGTTCAGGATGGATTCCGGATACTGCTTCCCGAGGAAGATTGGGTTGGCGAACAGCCCCAGCTGCATCTCCTGGAAGCGGTTTGCGGCGTGGACGTCGCTGGCATTACGCGGGTCGCGAGGCACGCCGAAGTTGTCGTTGAATTTGATGCCCATTTTGCCGGTGGCCTTTAGGACGTCGTGGTAGTAGTGGTATACTTGTGCGTGCGCCCGCACGACGTTATCGGCGCCTTTGAAATTTAATGCGTACAGAAGGGGCTCGTTGAATGTAACCCAGATGGGGACTCGGTCGGCAAAGTGCGTGATGACGATTTTGGCGTAGTTGACAAAGGCGTCGACGAATGTCTCGTTGTGGTAGCCTCCGTTGCTGTAGCCTATGTCCGGCTTGGCTGTGAAGTTGCTGCCGGCCACGAACATCCAGGGACTGTCGAAATGAAGAAGCGTTACAATGGGCAGCATTCCAGCGTCAAGCACAGTATTGATCAGATCATCATAGTGCTTGATGCCCTGCTTGTTTACTGGGTTCCCGGGTAGAACAAAGGGGAGGATGCGCGTCCACGGAATGGAGAAGCTGTAGTACTTGACGCCTATGGCCGCCAGACGTTGGATATCCTGCTTGTACAGGTAGTAGTTCTCGTTCGTGACGTAGTCCTTTGGCTGAGTCGCGTTGCCTAGTTTTTCGAGGATAGTCGGACTGCGGCCCTCCAAGCCCACTGCACCCTCGACCTGCGCAGCACTGCCTGCCACTCCGAAGACGAAGTCATCGGGAAAGCTATAGCAGTCCGTTGGGCCAAAGTAGTCAGCGGGCGGTAGGACCAGCGAACTACTGGGCACCGGAGTTGGACTGACAGTCGTCGAGTACAGGCCGGTTGTCGTATAGTTCTGGATGCTCGCCTGCTCCCACAGCTTCGACCAGGCGGCTTGTCCATAAGGGTCTGTGGTATCAGTGGCCGTGATGACGGTCTGATAAGGGAGCCAATTGCCCCATGTTGTCGTCGCTGGAACGGGGCTGAGATGTTTCACGGCATGAGCATAATGAGGCCCATAAGTATGGGTGGTGGTTGGCTTCGGTACAGAAGTGGCAAAGCTGTAATCATTAGCGTAGTTCTCCTCTGATCCACTATTGCCACTGTCTACTCACCGTACTGTCTCATTTAGAGTATAGGAGAATGGGTGAAAGTAGTACTCCGGGGAGGCCGCTGGCTTTGTGCATTGTGGGCGATCGGGATAGCCAGTCGTCGTGATATACAGCTGCTGTGCCTCAGCAGCTCCCAGGAGTATAACAAACCATGAAAATATAGTCTGCATTTTGTTCAAGTGGTAGAAACTCAATTCATGCATAGCTTACAGCCAGAGGCACCCCTCTTATACCATTTCATAGCGGCAGGCAGAGGACAGTCGCATTTCAGTCCGATGCCGCTTAGACGTACACAAACTGGCAATGATCGACAGGTAGAACTGGATTGTATCATTTGTATGGACAGAAGTGGTTCGCCACCCCACATTCTCCAGGTTTCCCCCACCCCGACATCCGAAGTATTCCCGAGATGGCTGATGACTTCATGCGGGGTTAAGGGAAGCAACAGGTGGAAAATTTATTCCAAACACATGGGCATTAATGGGGCATCAGTTGTTGTATTCAGGCTACACAACAACATCACCGTACTGATCCGTACATCCGAGCCTGTCTCCTTGTAAGCAATGTTATCGAGAAGAATTTGTACTTTGGCATACCACTAGAGCAGCACACAAATCAAGCATTAGAAATACATGTTAACAGAGATTTGGGAGCAAAAGGTAGTCCATTTCAACGGGAATCAAAAGGTCAATCATCGAGAATTCCTTCTTGATCTTTCCTTTCTATCTCAGTCGGCACACTGTATTGACTATCCAAATGTGCTGCCAGTTATTGTCTTCCAAGCAATGGAAAAAGTGGAGGTACTATCAATGACATTTGTTCCTCAAGAAAGGTTGCTTCCACCATATTTCCTCCCTATTCTTGGTATGATTATGGCGACGTGGGAAATGCTCGAACTCGGACAGCCATCTTGCCACCGCCAGGATCTCCATGTACGCAGTAGGCATCATTCAGCTAGAGGTTCAAGCTGGAGGTTCGAGCAGTCATCCTTGAGATCTGGATTCCACTGCTGCAACTGCGCCATAGTAATCCCATACACCGGTTCGGTCTTGGCGCAATAGTCGCCCGATTGTACCACATACCACTGGGGCCAGATTAGTGGGTCACAAGCCCAAGGATTTCTTAGTTATCACCTTACCTCGTAGCAATTTGCGGTAGTTCCACTGGGCGTGGGTGCCAGTGCGGTCTGGTAGCTTGACGTGGTCGTGGTCGTAGTCTGGTTCCAGTCTGCTGTTGGAAGAACGCAGTAATATAGCCCAGGGGACAGGTTTGAGCATCCCGCGTCAATTTGCGGGTTGATGGCTTCAAATAGTGAAACAGTGATGGTGAAGTTGAGAGCAATGAGTTGGCGGTAATCCCCTTCGTTGACCTGATAATACTTGCCACATAATAGCGTACGAAATGGAATGGGTCATTCAATCAACCCTGTCTATCTCTCATGAATCGCGGGAGTTTCGGGGTTCACGCCCCCCAAATTGCATCCTCCGTTGGGGGCGCAAGATCCGAGGTGGTGTCCTCACAGTCAAGCAGCGCGGGGTAGAACTTGGTGATCAGCGAAGCGATAGCCACCTTGAACGTCCCCGAGTACGACAATCGCTGCTCTCCCACGGTGACGTCAACCGCCTTCATGAACGGCGCAGGAGAACTCGGTTCTCATCCACAACGGAACGCATACACTCCTCGTCGACCATGAGGCACATCCGTGTGTGGAGACCAGGCTCAAGTCTGTCCTCCTCAGCATCGTCGTCCATCTCCTCCGCGGACAGGCGATAGGCATACGCCACCCTTGCGGGCGTCTCCCCTGCCATTGCTTCATCCGATACAAACTTGAGAAAAGCCCGGTCGCGAATCCGCTCAATCCCGGATTCTGCCGGGGCGGCGTCTATCCCCTCATCGAGGATATCGCCGTATTGGGCCAGGAACTTCTCCCAGAGTGGCTCATCGGAATAATACGTGCGGAACACCAAAAACCCGAAATCAGGCCAGTCTTCCTCCTCGACCAGCGAGACTAGCGTTTTCAAATTTTCGAGATCGGCTGCTGGCGACGGGAGTTGTATTGGGGGAGCCCCGCGCTCGATGCGTCTCTCATTTCTGCGGGCCATGTTTTCCGCACTGATGAGCTTGGCTTCGGCTGCCTGGCGGTCCATCAGGTTTTGTAGTTCCTGGTCATGTCAGCATTCGCCTGGGAGACTGTACAGATGACACTAAGAGGACAGAATATATCTTGTTCTCTTCTCTTTACTCTTGGTAATATGTCCACGCACCTGTTCTGAAAGGGCTTCAAGGGCGGCATCAGTCTGGTTCTGATACATCTCCTCCGTCCATCCTGGCGGCAGGTAATGTAAGATTCGATCATCATCCATTGCAAAATGTGTTGGTGAGCTACTGAAGGGTGAGTCGAGATGGAACTTAATGTCAAGAGGGAGAAAAAAAGCCAAATGAGGGACGAGGATGATCATCACATGATCTCACTATTAGCGGGGCTTTCGGGCTTTTCGTATTACTTTAACTATGGAGTAAGTCTGGGTGATAACAGGAAGGGCATGGTTATGTATGGTTTTGGGCAAGAAACTACAGTCTTTCCACACTGTAAATTACTACTTTATAAGAACTAGTTGACCTTACACAGTTCATCCTAGTATAGTTCATCCTAGTATAGTTTATATACTTCTTCCAAGATAAGCTCAGTGTATATACTATGATTACAAGGAGCAGAAGCAGAGCATTAAGGATAAGGGAAAACAAGAAAAGATAAGAGGCTTTTGATACTTCTAGTAATTCACTTTCACTAAAGACTACAGGGTAGTCTCTTACAATTTTCATTAATGCCAACCCTTAATAATGGGATGTATATACCTTACCACAGCCTATTCATGGCTGATTTTTCCTAATTCAGGACACACAAACACACTATAATTCTTTGCTTTGAATGCTTTGATAGCTGCGAAGACCAGACGGGCATTCTCTCCAGTGAGTGACATAGTGACGATGGACGAGTTGCGAAGCTGCTTTTATGTGATGATGAACCGGTTCTGCTAGCTGGAAAGGGCGCCTGGAGGCCCATGGTCAGAATGAATCAGTACAGCCATATGAACAATCTCAGCACCTTCAATTGCACTTGTAATATGGGACGTGTGAACTACTACATGCTGTTAGTTTTGCTGTTTCTGGGTTGGCACCTCAATACACCATCATATAAGCTCTCCTATCTCTTTTGACACTCCTGAACCACTTTTTTTTTATTTAGCACTGCTTTATTGGTTCACTACACTATGTCTGTTACTTAATCGGTCATACGTGCTAGTAAAATGAATGCGGAGAAGACTACAATGAAACGCGCTTTAAAGCAACAGAATGACTTGCATGCTATCAACAACACTACCTTGAAAACAAACGCCAAAGATCCAACTCCAGAGGAAAGGCCACCTCAGAGCCGCAGATTGCTAGAATGGATATCGCTCAAAGATCCACCCAATGGTGTCATCCCAAATAGTGACGAACTTTTTGCGACCCTATAAGAGATACACAAACTTAAAGAATGCATCGTTATCGCCCGAGGCTGTCCACATGAACTAAGCGAGACTGAGTGGTCGATTATTCGTAAGCAGCATTAACCTTTCAATGTAAGAAGATGCTATGCCGTCTTCTAAATATCCAATAATTAACTAACTACTAGAGTGGAGAAGCAGCAGAGACAGAGAAGAGTTTCATACCTCAGAGCTTTTCCTCAGATTGAATGAAGCCCTTGCACATCGCTCATGCAGCCAAGAAGTTGCCCGGCCGATCCGTGATAGAGAGATTATCATACGCGCAAACCCGCTTTTCCCTCCACAGAGGCTTTATGGGGTCCTGACAATCTATTTCCCTGCAGACTTAGACCAGGAAGCTACCCTCTCTATTGAAATGTTTAGAGGGCTACCATGCTGCCACCTTGATGATGAAGACCCACCTGAATATCTCTCGGCGGCGGTCAAGTCCCAGATTCCTGCATTGATAGAGGGGACTTGTGAATACCAGGGGCGAACTGCAAGGCGGTTGGCTTATTTCATCGAGTTCGCTGACGAGAAAGGAGAACGAATCTATAAAGAAATGGTGAGGTATAATCTACGCGGAAGGCAACCTTGGGACGTCATAGTGAGTTTCTTTGACGAGCTGAAGGATCCGTCATCCAGTGCAATAGGGTATCTAGAGACGGTGTGCAATTCATAAGACGCACGAACTGGGTGAGCTTTGCCATCTAGAAGAGGCTTCAGCCTATACCCAAAGTTCATAAAGCAGAGAATGGTCAGGATCCGGGACGAACTCTTCGGCCCCAGACAAAATCATTGTAGCTATGCTGGCGTGTTCGGATATCTGCCGCTAAAGAATATCTTTGCTCCCGATCTCCTCCTTGTCTCTATTAAGGAATATCACAGTACATGGTGCGATTAACTCTTGAAATGTCTACCGCAAGTAAACCCCGGCTTTGTAGAAAGAGTATCAGTCTCGCGTCCTCTAAGAAGGCATAGCAGACTTTCGCCCCCTAATACCACCAATACATCGAGTAAATCGCCCCTGTTAACTCGGCGCCGCTGGTTTTGTCAATACAGCATATATCGATCTAGACCCAACCGATATTACAAGACGAGGCAATCAAGCAGCATCCTCTTCTCTTGGCGTATCCTTCTATGTGAGCGTAGTTTCCATTCTTCAAGCCCTGCTGCGAGACTTCTTCCCCGCCCCAGGTGTGTGATAGGGTGGCATATTCGGGCAAGGAATCATCGAAGTACTCCTTTGCTTCGAGTTTTGCAAAGTTCAGAAGACTCCTTGTGAAGAGATAATGTCTATCACGGAAAGGTTGAAAGCTTAGGACGCAATGCAATAAGGTTGTTGGATCTCTCACACCATACCAAGACCCGTGGTCTTTTATGTCTTTTACCGTTGACCGGGGAGGGGCAAACTGCCCAAATACCATCCTAGGGAAGTGGTGGTTATCATTGATTCTGCCATGGACCTCGTTTGCGACGCGACGCTTGTTCACAATCTCAATGCGTGTGCTAGACTCTCGTGCGGAGTAGGTCAATTAGCAAAGTCGAGTAAGCGAGAACCCCGCCTCAAACCCCCGCAAAGAAAATGTACTAGTAGGCAGCTACTCCTTATCTCTTGCTGACACCAGTCCCTTTCCAACTGCAGCAAACACCATGGCGGGTCTCGAGCAATGCCCTGCAAAGATTGTCGAGGAAATCGTCGCATACCTGGACCTGGCGGATGCGGGCAATCTCCGACAGACAAATCGATATCTTCGGTCTCGAGTCACCCAGGGACGGTTTAGATTCAACTTCCGCTCTAAGCGTGTCAAGGTCACGGGAGCAGACCTGCAACAGCTCGGGCTTTTGACACAGCGTGGTTGGCTCGGCTGCGAAACTCGCCACCTAACGCTGGTTGGCGTGGTTAACGACACTATGGCTCTCGAAGCAGGCCTCAAAGCAGACGCAACCGACCCCAGGAAGCGAGAATTGGAGATTCTTCGACAGCGGCGACAGGATTATGAGCAACTACTGGAGTCGGGGAAGATTGTGCAGCTTCTCAGCCAGGCTTTTAAGTACCTGGCGACGAATAGCGCCGAGAGGAAACTCCAATCCCTCTCGCTCGAGGTTACGGTGTACCGTCAAGATGCGGAACGCGAGATAACTCCCCTGGCTGGCGGTGATTGGAGCCTTATCTGGCAGACTACGGCAGAGACCTTCCGGATTGTATTGGCGGCTCTACAGGAAAGTCTACTGGCGGTTGACTGTTTGAATGTCTTTACCGGTTACTACATGCAGCGATGCAGCCTGGAGAGTCGGGAGCTTTCCCAGATTGATTATCGTAACGAGGGACTCTCCAAAGTCCTTAGAGCTCTTAAAGCTTTGTCTATCAGTTTTTCAGACCGGATTCTCTTGCTCACACCCCAAGGCGCCCAGCGCTCCGGCGATTCGGCCGATGTGATCGACTGGTCGGACGATGAGCACGATAGAGACATCGACAAAGTCAGGGAGGAGGCGCAAGATGAAGACAATTTTGTTGGCCTAGCAAGGATGTTAGACGTGTGTCACGAGCTCAAAAGCCTACAGATACACCAGTATCTTGTGAACTCTCGTCATCTTACCTTCCACATCCCCAGCCCGAGGGAAAGGCTCTTCCAGCGTGTAGCGGAATCAGCAGCACTACCAGCATTGGAAGATTGCTCTCTTCGGGGCGTGTTTATCCGGGAGAGAGACTTACTTGCACTCCTGAAGCGGACGCGGCTCCGCAGGCTCTCTTTGGAAAGTGTTCAAATGGTTTCTGGTACATTCAGGTCAATCTTCGATGCTTGCACGGGCGAAACCTCAAGTCTGTCATATCTATACCTTGACGAGCTTATGATCCAAGGGGACTTGGTACACTTTACAGGCGCCGGGGAGCCTAGGTTCAACGCCTGGGTTGGTGCGCATGGCAGCAATACGTTGAAGCGGGAAGGCGAGGAGCTGAAACACCCGATCCTATATCACCTCCCCCATGGAATGCCAATACCTCTGGGATCTCCTGCGAGACAACAGTGGATGCTTGAGCAACGGCAGGAATACGGACCCCACCGATAGAAGCATAAATCCCAAAGTCATGGCTCAGGTGGGCAATGATGGCGACTCTGGAGTCATTGACATTAGCGAAATGCTGTTCACCGTCCAGGGCTCCACGGCGGGAGCGATCTTGATGGAATGGAACGTGCATGAAAGCTCTCAAGGAAGCGGTATATTCTCTAAAATATCTTGCGATAAAGCCGATGCTCATACTACTGTAGCTGCCATGTGGGATAGTCATTTCCGAGTTGGCGGTGCTGAAGGGACTAATCTTCAGCCGGCGGACTGCCCAACAGGTCAAATCGTCGTCAACTCGAAATGCATGGCGGCTTCACTACTGTTGCATATAACAAAGGACTCTTCGGGCTACTTTAAAAACGTCTGGGCCTGGGTGGCTGATCATGGCCTCGATAACCCTTTCAATGCCGACCCCTATGAGACCACCGATGGGATCCCGCTGGACGTCTAAACGCAGATCTCCATTTACGCGGGGAGAGGGGTTCGGGGTTCTGATAGAATCTCAGGGTCCGACATGGCTGTATGGCACCGCCAGCGAGCACTCGCAGACGTATCAATACCAGCTTCTGAACGCATCCAACACCTACCTCGGTCATATGCAGACCGAGACTCCGTACTGGCAGCCAAATCCCGATGCTCTCAAGCCATACCAAGCTGGGGAATTCCCCTCCGATCTAGTGTATGACAATTGTGCAGACGACCTTTGCAAGGGGGCATGGGCACTGGGAGTGCTTGGTTCCATAGACGTTTTCATCTATAGTGCGGGATTCTACTCCCTCTTCCAGAACAACCAACTGGGTTGCACTGACGAGGCTCACATTGAGACCAACTTTGCTTCAAGCCTGTGGGTATACATATCTTCACCAAGGGCAACGTCCAAATCATCACGCCACGCGGGGGACTTCCACCCCTGGTCTTCAACTCCACCACGCGCAACAGATACACCAGCGGCATTGCGGCATGGCTCGCCCTTTCTACACAAGGAGAGGATATCGGATCCTCTCTTAGCGATGGATCGGGCAGCGTGACAATCGATCCGGACCTCTGGTCTGGAAACCCAGGGACTCCAGTTACGATGCAATGCTCGCCGCCATGCACCTATATCTTGCCCCCTCTAACACTCACTACTGAGACAACGTTTTGTTTCCCACCGCTCACTACGTCGGTGACAGTTGGGTTCAACTCAGCAACCACGTTTGAGATATCAGGCGCGACATCCACGCTTACCATCTACCAGATTACCGTTGATACGACCACTATCAGCATTCCTACGGTGACGACCTCGGTGATCCTGTGGTTTGATGAGACAGTTACCGTCAACTCGACCGTCATATATCCCATTCCGAGCATCATTGCGCCCCCTTTGACCACCACTGACCCAATTATCATTTACGGGAGTACTTATCCAGCGCGGACACGCACGTTCTGGCTGCCTCCTTGGCCTGGGTCCTCAGAGCCGCCCAGCACTACACCAACTACAACTACTACGACAGGTGGTGTAACCACAACTATGACAAGCGGTGCCCAGACTACTGGGGGCGCGGCCATAACCTCTGTTCATCACGCGTCAGGACCCCCAAAGCCATCCTGCACTCATGCGACAGGCTGTGGCCATCATTGCGGTGATAGCATCCTGGACATCTGCATACTTTGCTGGATAGGCTGCAGTATTGGGCCTCCATGTAGGTTCAATGCATCCCTTTCTGCCGTTGCTGTTGATACCACAGGCTGACGAGAAATAGCCATCAATGGGATTGGTCCTGACCAGCCTGGGGGCATCCCGCCTGCACTCGACCTCAACAACCTTGATAACAAGCCAAGTTCAAGCGAGTGCGAGACATCAACATTCTTGATCTTTTTGGTGTCCCCGACTTCCTTACGCTGGTGATACTGAGCGTTGCCTCTTATGCTTCGCCCGAACCTGGGATTACGGCAAATGAAGCAATGATTTTAGCGAGCCTTTCTAGTCGGGAAACAGAGACTGTGGCTGTGCTTAAAGAAAATGCGCCTCATGAGCGTACATAGACCATAGATCGAAACGCTACTCTTGTGGCATACGCATCACAAGAGAAGCGAGTTGAAGTAGAAGTTCGAGGGCTTGGCCACTTATGAAAAGCAGAGGGTGATTGAGGAATGTACTGAATGTTAAACTCCGTCTAGCACCAAATGGGAGTTGATTTCAATAAGTGCTTTGTCAATGGGACCTTATGGAATCGTCATCAAAGTGAACATCGGCTCCAGGATGATAACTCATCATTATCTCTTTTTTTTATTGGCTAACTTATGATTCATGTTAGATTATTAATCTTTGAACTACCACCTAGCCGGTCTGTACATTCAGCCGAACCCGATTCAGTCCCAACCAGTTGATCCAACAAGACCGCCAACGAACCTGGCCCCACTGTTCTCAATCGGTGTGGGCTTCAACCATTAATCAACGCGAGATGCAGTTGAATAGGCTCCGCCCAACCACACACCCGTTTTCTGGCCTCTCACACTTGTTGGAGTTTAAATTAAATACCTCTATCATTTGGGACTTATTTCAGTGCAACTTTTGATGCGACAAAAAGCCCCTGCAGCGCAGATCTTGCGACTTACAAAATGGCTCAATCCAAGAATGCTGACAACAAGGAGTCTATCGACTTACCAACTCAAATCATTTACGAGGGAAGTTGCCACTGTAAGGCAGCGAGTTTCTCTGTGAAACTGCCATCTCTGTTATCACAATTGACGGTGATATCTTGTAACTGTATGTGCATTGGCGCATAACCCCTGCATGATTGTACGCGCGCCGTCTGCGTAATACAAAATGGCTTGACTGTTATACTAAGAAACACCCCAGGTAGCTATTGTCACATTGCAGGCAGTCTGCTCACGTTCGTGGGTGATGTTGAGATCTATCAAGGAGCAAGTTCACTTAAGGTTAGCATCTGCTAAAACAGCTACCTGTCCACCCATGATTACTTACAGTCCGCCGTATTAAGCTACTGGTGAAGCAATTACTAAAACACATGGTTAATTTTGCATAGGAATATCGGTTCGGTTCGCATTCTATACAGATCTTCTTTTGCGGGACCTGTGGGGCCAATGTATACAACAAATCGCTAAACCCGAAGTTTAGATATGGCGAGCACGCTGTTAATGTAGGTCAAGCACTTTATTTCTAAATACCTCGATCTTCTGTCTCTATGGATAACCCCTTGTTAGTATCGTGAAAGAGAGCGTACATTTAGGCTAACCGATATACTGTTGTTCCATTTTAGGTGCGCCTATTACACGGTATTGATTTGGAGACCATAGAGATTACCAAGGCTGATGGGAAGAGAGTACAATTACCTCCGTTAGGAGAGGGACCGCTCTAAGGCCCGCGAATATACTCCACGAGCAGGGAAAAAATATACGCGAGAGACAGTTCAAATTCCAGTGAGAACGACTACTTAAATCTCGTCTATGTTCTGATTGACTTGTCGTGTTTCCTTTCTTTGAACGATCAATGTTTTATTCTTTTGCTCACCCCTATCCTATGTAGTGATCTGATGATATTATTTTCGAGGCGGTTTAGACTAATGTAGCAAGCTGCAGGTGCGTATCTCTCCGGCTCTGCAAAATGTTCTTGTGTAGAATAAAACTGAATTTACCAGACTTAACACATGAATCGAATGCCCTATATCATCATTTATTCTAGGCGATTTTCAAGGTTGTGGCGCGTGTTCTACGGGTCCATCTATTAATAAAACATTAGACTCCTCACAAGAAGAGACACTGATTCGCTTGGATTCAGAAGTTTCATGACCTCTATATTCTAGCTACGCTAGAGCTTATTGAACAGCAAGCACTTATAATTTTAGCGCTCTCGTCCAATACGCACGTTACTGAGGCGTGCTATATCGCTTCATTAAATAGAATAGCTACTATCTGATATTGAGCTTATCAAGCAAGTTTCGTATTTCATATGCATGGCGATCACAAGCGAATCTAACGATCTTATATGAATCATAACAGAATCCCTACTTCGACGGGCAACAACTAATGGAGAACTTGTAGACTTGTGGCATGGCTGGAACGTGAGTTCACATGACGTTGTTAGTAACCCTTGCATCTCTTGCTTGGCGAAGCTGCACCCTCAATTTGCAAATAGCTGGCTCCTGTCGAAAATGGACTTCCGGACTTCTGGGTTGTCAAGTCCGACCATCTTTTTGACTATTGGGTCGAAGACCTTCTTCCATCCCACCGCATTCAAGAACCAGGTTATCCAAGCGGAAGTACCTTTCCACAAATACTCACCTTCTCCACGTCTCGGGGTTTTAACCAGAATTTGGTACATGACCTGTCATGGCAAACTCTGCTAGTTTCATGCTATTTCTGGCATGGTTTTGGCTCCTTTCCTTGGCCTGCTCAAAGCAATCGTCATAGAGGCTCCCAGCTCCAAATGAGATATTGTCTGGAGACATGAGGTTGGTTGAAATTTCGCCCATGAATAGAGTAACAACTTTAACGCCATGGGTCAAGCTCGATTCGGAGGGTGTCATTATACGAAGCCGCGGCCATTGTATGCGGCCGAAAAGGTGAAAGGCCAGTCGCGAAAGAATCGAAGAAACGTTTGGAATGAGTGGAGGTGTGCATCTGTCATTGGCGCTGTGAGTCAAGACCTATTGTTTATTCTACTCATCAGTAATGAGATAAAGCTCAATACATATAGTACCTTAACCTAGCATCTTAGCCTCTCGTAATAACAGACCAAGCAAAACATGATTCCAAGCAATTATTCACACAAGACATTGCTAGACCAATCCCGGACGGTACAAATCAAACATGGGCCAGGGAGGTGGGCCTAGTTATGACTGGATCATAGAACTGGACGATGTCACCACTAAGGGTGAGTCGAGGCACCAGGTCCACGTCCATTATGCTCTATTGTAAATGGCCGAGGAAGAATCGGGGGCAAGCTTGAAACCTCGTCCGTACCGATCCTTGAATTCATGGGGTGGTTCATCTCTTTCCGCGCTGTCAGGGACAGATGGCGTATTTGTTGCACAGGTTTGAACCTCGCTTTCAACATGCCGAATATTCATACTTGTCATGTCCCGTGATAGTTGTTGGACGGAAACGTCACTGAGATGGCCTCCAACCTGCCTATTTCTCCACCCAAGCCCTCTATTTTTACCATGAATGGTCTTTCCATCAGTCGAAACCATGAACTGTACTGAATCACCAGTCGCATAATTTTCAATAGTACTGGCATTCTCCCTTAGGCGGGCGTCGGCCTTCGAACAAATGTCCATACACTGGCGGGCTGTATCCCATTCGTCGCGTAGCCTTTGAAGGTCTAGGTATTCCTCGGATGTCATTTCTCGCTTCGATTTCGCCAACAGCCGGTCCGTGAGATCCCGCATATGCTTTTCTAACTTTTCCGCAGTCAGACTAAGATTGCGTTTGCAGTCCTGGAGACTCTCGTTGGTAACTCTCTCAGGGAAGCTATCAGGACTTGCAAGCCCGGGAGTACTGTGGTCGCTCTCATGGACAACTTGGATCTGGCTGATATGCTGAGATAACTGCGAGCAGATTTGGAGGCACTTCTCAGCGCTTAGCCGCTCCTCCTGTATCACTCGCAACTCTGAATTATCAACGTCAGGCATTGCCCTGTCTTTGCCAAGTATAGCGTCAAGTTTCCCATCAATGACCTCCAGGTGAACCTCAAGTTCTTCTTTGGCGCTCTCAATCAGACCCTGATAGGCTTTGAGACTTTCGGCCGTTACACTCGATTTTCGCCTAACAAGGTCAATATCACCAAATATATATATATATATAGGGGGCTGCGATTCTGCTGGGTACAGGATGATAATACTTACAGATTTGCATCCGTGAGGGCAACGTTAATGGTCAACTTATACCCGCCACGAGCCGCCTAAACCCATCAATATCATCACCCATGTACCTAATCCTAGCCCAGTCTCGAAAGCTCGTCCGATTGCCACTAGACCTCGACGAACACTTTAATAATTCCTTTTCGAAGTCCTTACAGGCATTACCACACCGCAGTAGAGGGAGTTTCAGCGCCGACAGGTCCGTGTCGGAATTGGTGTTCACGATTTCGGTGAGCGGACCCAGAACATCACTTAACGCCTGTAGTTCCTCCATGAGGTCCTGTACGCGCCTCAAATGCGTGTTGAAACTTTTAATAGTGTCACAGAGCGTAACGCTAGATTGAAAGGCAAAGGTGGCCAGAGTCAGGAGCCCGCAGGCAAGACTTATGGGGTCTCCCATTGTAAGATCGCTTCGTTTGGTATTAGTGATGGTGAAGAGGCGACGATTGCTGACCGTGCTGAAGAGTCAGGGCTAGACAGGACAGGGCTTTTATAGGTCATCAGTAGCTCTCATATCCAGTCATTGATCATATATAAGCGCTCATATAATTCGCAACCTCGGCGGCAATCGTATTTTGTGATAGAGGCGACACGTATCTCCTCTCGAGGGCGGGGTTGGAGAAATGGGGATGATTAGCTGATAACACATCCGTCTTGGCAGGCAATATTGAGAGCACGACATTATTGGCCATAGGACGAACAGGCGCAAAAAACGCGGCCCTAATTATCTGATCGGTTGGTAAAAACGGATTGAAATCTCTGGGTTGTCTCCACTTCTGTTAACCAACAATAGCGCGCGCGTAACGCTCTCATATACCTTACGATTAGACTCTATTGAACCCTTAATTTGTTGGGCTTCTTATGCGCCACATATTTTTCCTGCACCCTCAGTCCAAAGGATAGCCGCCGATTCGAAATTCAATGCGGTGGCCAGATGGAGGAGAGTCAGTCTATTGGAACGGCTCCGTATGAGAAACAAGGGAACCGTTACTCCTTGTCATGTTGTACCACTGATGATTTCATTATCCAGAATGAAACCCTTTGTAGTGGTTGGGTTTCAAGATGGTCACGTTTCTCGCGTCTGATACATTCCTCAGGGCCTAGTATTCTGAAGTGGCAGTCCTAGAGAGGTAATTGATTGGAGTCTGTGCCAGCAAGTTACTTGCGGTTTCATATGTCGCAAGCGAACTCTGCCGCTAGGAATTGATATTTTGAAGTTGGCGAATAATGGAGCCGAAAACAAAGAATAGAGAAGCTCCTTTGTGCTTTCAGTCGTGTAAATATCAGGACAATGATGTTGTTTGTACCACTAGTGGCCTATGGCTATTTATGCCATTGGTCCCAGAGTTTACTCCCATGTTTTAGATGTGGTATAGCATGCATCCGAGGGGACGTGATGATGCTGCAGTCTTCATGCTTCTCTAGCTATGTGGAGGACTACGAAGACAAACAGGGAGGGCTCGAGCCATCTATGTTACCATATCACAAATTTCTAACAGTGGATATCTTTTGCAGTCTCTGAATTAAGGATATATTAATAGAACTTCTCTAAATTATAAGATATAATGCAGTTAAGGAGCATACTAACGTCTTTTACTTTAGTTCCTGTTAGGGACTTACTTATAGTAGCCACAGAAAGTAAAATAAACCTATGCATCTTATCAAGTAAACATAATATAATAGCACCCATGACATCTATAAGCCCTACAACCAAGTACACATAGCCTATGTTGGCTTCTGGTTTTCAGATGTAAGGGCACTCTGTTTGATAAAAGAACCGCCGCTCTTGCAGCAACCTTTTTATTTAAGAGATCAACCTTCATAGTGAATTTGCCCGAAAGGCTAACGTTTGCGCGCCCTTGAAGTCTTCCGATTATAATCAACTGCCAAGGACAATTCATGAGAACATACCTTAATGAGTTCACCAATCCTGGTCCGAAAAGATGCTATACCATCCGTGGATCAGCCGTATCAGGAGCAAGAGAACTTGGCAGACGCCCAATTGATAGCCAATAAACAGCCTCCCTCGAAGACCTGGCTAATTCTTCTGATACGGCCCCTTGTGAGGGTGGCGTAGATAATGTATTTTCTGCTGCTTATGAACCTTCGGGTGTATTCAAGAGCTTCTTTAAAGAGACTCCTGTTAAACCAGACATCCTAAGGTCGCAGGAGGTCTCTTCCATTACACTTACACCCCTGCTGAAGAATCGTTAGGATAATAATGATCTTATTGACAGTGAAGACGAAGTCGCCAACCTTGTGCCACTACAAGCAGTCATGTGCCTTTATCCATGGAACAATCAGCAACTGAATTTCTCCAGACACCGAGTTCGCCAGAATGATTTGCACACCTGCTCTTCAGCAAAGCTGAGATCTGGATTTAGCACCAGGATTAAGATATTATGACGTCTGACCCTTGATTTGAGGACAACGTGAACATATGCGGGCTAAGTGAAGGAGGTTTTGGTCAAGGATTCATCAAGCCTCTCCCACATTCTGCGAAGTAAGACCAGACCTTTGCATTTCCTACTTGGTGGACCGGGGCCATTCTCTAGAGGGGCGCAGATTAAGATCAACAAAGCTAAGGAGCCAAGTCAGACAAGATGTTAAATAATGTGAAACGTATACTAATCAATCAGCCTAAGTACTATATCTAAGTAACGTGTATACTTACTATAACTAATCTAATAATATATTAATGATAGTTAGAAAATCTTTATCTATAGTAAGAACCACATTCTCCTATATATAGCTAGAAAACCCTAGGCAGGCTAAAGGTAAACTAGCTCTAAAATAGTATAGCATAGAGATCTAGTTAGATTCTTTGAAGGTACTGCAACCTAAAAGGCTAGGATGAAAATCGTGGTTTCGATGATGGTATTTATTGATTTTTCTTATGGATGGTTGGACCCTTCACCTTCTTGGTGCTCTGGGTTACACCAAAGGTTTCTCCAGCTCTGGCTGTGAATCATGTTCAATTATATCCACTACCAAGCTGTAACTTCTACAGTTGCTGCAGGATGTACTATATCAATGTACTGGTGCATCTTGAACATTGTTAATTTATGGCTGGGAGAAGACGTTGAATGGCATTCAAGGCAGGTGGTCATCATGTGGTTTGTGGTGGAGTGGCCAGTTATATGGTACTTGATAGAGAAGACAAACCTCCTTTCGACACTGAGAGTCTTCTATGGCGGGGAATCCCTAGCAATGTCATCATTGCACATTTCAGATGGACAGTTATTTGCAACGGTTCAGGACAAAGTCTCCCGGCCCTGCCTGAGTTGGTGTCCTTCCGTAAGTCCGGCAACTGTCCACTTGAAAGCTCACCAGGACTCGTTGGCTACTATGAAGATTGAGGTACAGGAATTCGTTCGAATTCTTCTTGATGACCTCCGTCGATTTCAATGTAGATTGCCTACATTGCAGTTTGCAATGATAATACTTGGGTGGACTGAGGGGTATTTACGGATAACCCTTTACTGATCATTGTATGATGCACTACGATTAATATTAGAGAAGGAGATCTGGGAGTTCAACTATCACATTTATGCAAGAGAACGTCATTAGCGGCAATTGCTAGCATATACCTTCATGCCAAATGGTACAGAGAGCATTGAAAGCATATAGAATAGGCTTCAGCTATTCCGTAACTTTTTCATTCCAGAATTTGAGGAGTGGGCAACCGAGCGCCACAACCTTGAATAGCCCCTTTTTTGAAAAGGCAAGGGAGATTGAGCCCTAAGCCAATGATCTCATCCCACTTTTACTGGATCTTGGATTCGATGTTTCGCCTACGCCTATTCGACGGTGTGTCTGCTTTCTCCATCTCGCGCCGCTTCCAGTATGCAAGCTCTATAAATTTGTTTTTAGAACACAATCACAGCAGATGCTGCCACGAAACTAGTCAACTAGCCCTCTCTCTGGAGGGCGCAGGCCTACGTATTGAATCCTGGTGTGCAGTATATGGTTTAACCCAAATCTGTAACGCCGAACGTCCATACGTAATGTATAGTGAGATGTAAAATGACGAAAGTCTATACAGTACCGTTTGTTCCTTCCAACCCCTTCACATAATTGACTCATCCTGCCTCAAAAGGCAGGACACAGCCTTCCGTCCTTCTTCTCAATCCACGCTTCACTACCAACACAGTGCCGACACCAAAGTAGACCCTCTGGATCATAGCTGCGCTTGATTGCATGAAGCCTGGGGTAGTGCGACCCAAAAAGCGATGATTGCCAGTCTGGTTCGTATGAGTTTGCCTGGGGTAGAGTGCCGTTAGCCACTGTGGGAACAAATCATAACATCTCTTGTCCAAATGAGGGCCACTGTTGTACCTCATTGACGTAGCAACCTGTATCGGGAGCCAGCTGCCGAAGGGCATGTCCTTTGCGATACGTCATATTAAACACGGCCTGTTCACGCAGGTCCGATGGGAGCGATTCATTCCAGCTTTGGGAGACAATCAAGTGCACGACTGAATCCCTCCACGCTGGGTTCAAGGCGTTATCGACGGCGACCTTACTCCCCGTCATAGTGCCGGAAATCGAGGGAGAGGATACACCCTGCAACGAACTTTGCATTAGATAAGATCTACAAGACCGAAGACACCAACCAAGACCCTCAAGGTTCAAAGGAGGAAAAGGAGAAGGATTGGTGGGGCTGGTTCTTACATCGTGAGCATCCTGTCGAGACATGACGAGCTCCAACACGTCCGCAAAGCGTTCAACATCTTCTTCAACCACCCTTCGTGGAATGAACCGGGACGCTCTAGCCACTTCTGCCTTGCCGACAGACTCGGTGGATGGCATGATTTGAATAACATCGTACAAGGGCAGTGTGACGAGGGGCTGCACTATAGCGGTGACGACGGTTTCGTGCTTCTTCAAGAAGTCCTGAAAGGGACGAAGAAGCTTCTCCGCGGCTCCATTTTTCGCATCGTACAGCAGTAGCGCACCGTTCATTACAAACGGGGAGCTGCTTAAGGTGTAGTAGCCGTGGATTCCGTTGTCCTGGAGGTGTGCCAAATAACGGTGGGCCTTAGCAACGAGTCTGTACCACTCATGCTCGGTAGTTGTATTTCTGGCGGATAGCATGAGATTGATCATTGTTAGCATGGGCATACGATGAGCTCTGACGGCCACTGAGACAATCACTCCGTAGGTGCCACCGCCCCCGCCTCGAATGGCCCAGAAGAGATCCTCATGTTGGCAGGCGTTCGCGATGACGATATCGCCCGCCGGAGTAACAACCTTGGCTTCGATAATGTTATCCGCGCCCATCCCATATATGCCCGTAGCCAGCCCGTGGCCACCCCCGGTTGCCCACCCTACAACACCAACATCCTGAACATTCTCGCATCAGCATTATTGCCTCCACACTCAACCTTTCCGTCCCTTTCGGTCGGCCATAGATCTTCAGGCTGGGGATGAGATCCTCCTTACCATGTTCGTCCCGCCAACGGCTGTGGCATTGTGCTTGGCAAGTGCTTCAAACATCTCTCCGCCCTGCACTCCCGCACCGAGAGTAGCAGCCATGAAGGTTGCATTTCCCCCTGACCCGAGCTTGCTGCACTGGTGAAGCTGGAAGCTTTCATGAAATTGAATTTCTTTCATATGATGAGTCCAAATCCTTGCTTTCAGTCAGAGAGATTTCATGTTAGGCAAAGGGAAAAAGTGGTTACGAAAACAGAAAGCCTTACGATAAACTTCCGTGGTTGATGCTGCGTTCGGACCCGTGGCCAGTGTTTTTGATGTTCAGCCGCAGATTCCACTGCTTTGCGAATCGAATCCCGCCTTGGATATGTTCTGCTTCCGTGGCATTGATAACATAAACCGGGTAGTTGCCGATGGTGCAACCCTGCTGGCCTGCATGCGCGTTGCCTGTGATGCTTGTTCCATTTGGGTAGATCGGGTTACAGCTGTTGTTGGACCAAAACGGATCATCGACGCTGACCGGATCTGCCGCGTGGAAGGTCGATCTTGTCCAGTTGCCTAGCACGGCTCTGCATGCTGCTAAATTATAGTTGGGCTCATTGGGGTAGCACACGGCTGCTGCTGGGACAGTTCGGATCAACCTTCCGGACACGGTGTGATTGAGAGAGGCCCAATCATCCTCGGATGGCCAACAGGAGTCAGAAGGAGTCTGCGGGGAGATGACAATGGCAACACAGTGTTAGTCGATCACCGATAGAGGTGCAGATTGTCGCTTCTTTAGACTCACACATTTGCAGTTAAGGGCATTGGTTATGCCGCTGGCCGCCAGGATAAGGGCCACAAAAAGATGCATGATGCCAAGGCGGTTTATTGTTGAAGACTGTATGACTTCAAATCACAGAGGCTATATGCTATATATATAGCCGTCTATGAGGTTCAAGGGCAACGTCCTGGGTCGGCTAGATTTCTAGAAGTGGTATTGTGTATACGAAAACGAGCCTATCGGAAGCAGTGGACCGATCTGCCGACAATCCCCATGCGGCTCGGTTACCGCATTAGGTAATCTGGCTGCGAGTACGCATCGTCGCGCGGTTGGTGGGCGCTGGACTAGTGTCGCCCGGCGATCCCACCAAGGTCATATAGAGCAAGATCTTCACCATCAGCGGGCTGGCTGCGCAGTTGGCCTGTGGTATTTCCAGTGTGACTCAAGTCAAGGTTTATGGTAAGCCAGCAATGGCAACGGGTCCTCCAGCCAAGCACTCATGCGAATAGAGACTAACTTGTATCCTAACTGAAAATGTCTAAAGTGAGCAAAGATACCTTGGACTCGGATGTTGTCTTCAGGCCGTGTGCTGATTTTCCATATCTCAATGGCAGAGTGTCTCCCTAAACGTGGATTAGCGAGAAGTTTCACGGCCCTGTAGCCGTATAACCTGGTTTCATCAAACCTTAACCCAACAATGCGAGGCGTCGTCCGCGTCAAGTCATAGATATGATCTCATACCAATTCGTAAGCCGGCATGGGCCCAGAGGGAGCTTTACTAATATTATCAACACCCTTGCCTTTGCAAAACCTAAAATATAGTGGGAAGCGCGATCTCTGGGTGGCTTAATTCAGGTCCTCTGCGGCTGCATCGCCACCTTGAAGTTGAATAGCTTCATAAAATATAACACGCGCCAAGTGGTTTAATTTAGTGGTTATATGTTGGGGGTGAGCATTGAAAATGATTGGCTGAACTGCGCCACTCCCGCTACTGGCTAAGATGTTAAGAGTGATTGGTGCAAACATGCCAAAGAGTGGGGTGGACATTTTACCCTGGAGAGCCGTGTGCCATTCTTAAGTGGGCCCAAATGATAAGAAAGCGAAATTCTGCAGTAGAACAAACTATACAAAACATACAAACCACTAGAGTTCACAAACCGCGGTGCTCTTATCGGTCGAAGTACCATAGAATTAATTAATCATACTGTGCAAACATACAAAGAAACTTAGATCATCTTTGAGTTCACCAGTGTACGGAACATCATTCTTTGAACATGTGAGCTCAAGGTATAAGAACGCGCCTTGATTCCCAGAGGAGGTCTGCCGGGACGCAACAGATATCTTCAAATTCAAACACTCTGCAAGAAAAGGTAAATTTCCATATTTCTCTGCCTTTTTAAACCTTCAGAGAGGCCCCTTTAGATGAGCCTAGACTCCAATGGACATTCTTTGGATTCCGACCAAAACATATCTAGTCGGCATGGGCCTTTGTTCGGACGTGTATTTGCTGATTCTTGGTTTCCAGAAGTTTGACAGGAAAAGCAAAGACTCCCACGTTTTACCACTTTATCAGAAAAGAGTCACTACATGTGAGTCTTAGTAGAAGTCAATGATCTGTTAGAAAGACTAACGTACCCTTTAAGCAACACAATGACTCGTCTTCTTTTACTACCAAGGATGCGTCGATTCGTTGACTTCATCAATTCAAGCGATGAGACCATAGGACGAGAGGTGGTTTCCGAATCAGCCGTGTTCCATGTTCCGTTTTCCGATACACCACTGAAAGGATTGTCTGGATATATGCAGATTCTCGCTACGATGCGCTCTGCCTTTCCAGACATCCAATGGACACTTGACGACACAGTCATCGAGGATGATAGAGTTGTAGCGCAGTTTACTCTGCGTGGATCTCACGAAGGCCAATTCTTTGGTGTTCCGGCTTCTGGAAAGAAAATCCAAGCACAAGCTATGAACATCTACCGATTCACAGATGGAATGATTGTGGAGGAGACTGGCCTGCCTGATTTGTTTGGGATAATGCTGCAAATTGGGGCTGTGAATCCGATGGGTACTCATTAGGCAATTTCCCGAACGGCATGTCCCGGATCTTGGCGGGATACTCCTGTATGGCTTATCTAGAAGGACGGATATCGCATGTGATGGCGTCTGGTACTTTTCCGGCGGCATACGCGAATACATGACGGTTTACCAAGTGCGGTTTGGATCGCTCTCAAGAGTAGACAATATAAAAGGCACAGATATGAGAGGGCCCTGCCGGATGAATGGCACCCATGGATCGCACCTGTCCCTGTCGCGTAGAGTGTGTCGAGGCCAGGTGAGAAGCAGAGACCGTTAGGCTGGTAGAAGCCGTTTGCAACAGCGCGAACCGATCCGTTATCGGGATCATAACGATAGACTTAATTGGGGAGCTGCGGCTGAAGCCTGATGCCCTGCTGGAAGCCATGGCCATAGTGAGGATCCGTAAACCGGATGGAGGAGTCAAGCGGATGTATGACCAAGTTGTTGACTGAATTGAATGGAGTCTCGTGGCAAGAGCCGATCACAACTCCTGATGTCGTGTCACTGCTGCCCTCGATGCAACTGTGACCTTGCATCCCTGAGCACAGAAGAGAATCATGATTAGTACTCAGATTAACACCGCCATTCAATCGGCATTATCGTTTTCGCGTGAGCTCTGCTTTCTTTGCGGAAAGAATCGGACGAAGGAAAAGCATCGCCGTTGTGGTTGTAATAACGGGGCCTGTGAATCCCCGTATCTAGTTAGTTTTTCTGCTTTTCGCCTTTCTAAGCGGACTCCCCGTAGGCGCCCCTTTTTACCTTCTTATTTGTAAAAGGCGGCTGCGCTGCTATCGACTCCAACTTCAGCTCTTTGAATCAGGAATATATAGCCTCTCTAGGCATGTGTGCCTAAAACAATTTCCCAGTCTTAGGGCGAACATATTCTAAGTAATACTTTGTCGTCTACTTTCTCACTAAGTGCCTACTGAATGAAGTCCGCTCGTTCTAGAGTGGAATGGACAAGGGCGGTTATAAATAGATCATTGAAACTCTTCGGAATGGTCATAGCTGAATGACATCTAATGCCGATCCTTCCACAACTGCTAAGAGATATCAAGTCGAATATGCCTGAATAACACCATAGAGAAATGAATAATTGAAGTATAGCACAGAGCCTGGTGTGAAGTCCCGTGCATTAGTGTGAGGCTGTGTTAGGCTCTCCCATTAGAAACCTAGAGACGCATGCTCAGCTCTGGGGCTGAGTCGAACGTGACTGATACGTGGTGGAGCCTTGCGTGCCAATTTGGATACAACACCGCCCTTGACGGCGAATATAATACCACCTCACTTATCTATCCAGCTTCTCATCTGCCCTTGCTTCTCCTACGTCGTAAAGACCTCACCCAAATCAGACCAGAAAGCAAGGTTTGAAACAACAATGGAAAGTGATGGAGAGAAAGTGGAATGGAACCGAGAATCTCTCAAGCGAAGCAGTGCACCCTCCTTCCCTTCACTAACACAAATGGAGTGTAAAATCCTACGAGATGTGCAAGCTATACTGACAATTCTTTGACGACCAGGAGTGGAGTTCGAAGACGATGAGTCAACAGATGATGACTCTGAATATAATGAATTAGATGATTCCGAGGAAGAAGAATGGTGGAAGGAGGATGAGAGCGAAGACCTGGATCGTGAACGGGACATTGAAGAGCACGAGTATACCACCTCCGGCGACACGGCACGAACGGTGAAGATTCGACTCTTTTTGACTGATGAGGAAATGAACGAGTCTAGGTGGATGACAAATTTTGTCGCCCAATGCACTTGTGACGGCGTTGTCGTTGTCGCCACCGCTCTGGCTCGGTATATTCATCGAAAGGGTATGCGCTCTGAATTCTGGGAAAAGATGGAAGTGCCTAGCGAGGAAACATGCAATGTGGCTTTCCATGTCTTTGATCGATATGGAACAGTCAAGGCCAAGTATAAGGACCATCCAGTACAAAGAGGAACTGGTGCGTGGGGAAACGAGCTTGACCACGGCCCTGTTTTCCTGATTGAAAACCTTCATGTTACAGAACTGAATCTGCGCCGGAAAGGTTTGGGGCAGAAAATAGTGTCTTTACTTTTGAACAAAGCCCGGCTGTTCTGCCTAGACAACAAGCCAGACAGCAAATATGCGGATCTTTTCTACGGTCCCACTAAGGCCTTTGAGCTAGCATGGACTCTGCATGCTCTAGTTAGTCCCGGAGTACTAACGGCTGATATTGAATCACAGTTAGTGGGCAAGTCTGCAGACGAACGCTTGATGATACGGACTCGAGTTCAATCTGGTTCTATTGACTTCTGGCGATCGTGTGGTTTTCGCCGAATCGGAGCATCTCAGTGTTTCGCATTTTCGTTCGATCCCCAGCATCCATCTCGCGCCATTGCGGCGGCTTCTGATTTCGACCCGCGTAGAAGTCATGCTGAAGATCTTGAGAACGAAGAACTCGAAGTTATCTATGAAGCAGATCGATTTACTGAGGTAACAAAATTGAAAATGGAAAGACTTCGGGACGCGTTGCCGCTGCATTATGCAGCCCTTACTCTGACGGACGAAGAGCTCAAAACTTTTTTCACCACTCATGCCGACGACGAGATTGGCTGGGACCGAGTGACGAACTCTGAAGCCACACTTCTGCACATAACAGCTTGCGAGCTTAAGCCCCTGAGTACACAGTGGCTACTTGAGAATGTCCACTACGCCGACCGCTGGAAGACGGCCCGTGATATTGAAGGGTACACCCCGCTCGAGGCGTTACAGGAGACTTTAGAGACAATGCGAACGCAAAAGCAATATGGCCTTTTCAGGGTCTTGAATCTATCTGACCACTTTGAAGGGTACCCTGACGCCGCAGTGTCCTGTCTCTCCTTGCTATTTGGGCAGGGGTCTTTGGGGTTTAATAGAGCATGCCTTCGCTACGGATGTACATGCGGAGTGTGTGTTGGAGGATTTCTATCCGCCCGAATGAGGTCCTCTTTGATCTTTCAGGGCGAGACTACGTTCGACCTTATGCAGAATGACATTGATGATGGCGGCTTCTGGATAGAGGTCAACAAATTCAAGCTGGAGCATCTCGATCTCGAGGTGCGAAAGAACCTCAAAACCAACAAGTCTCTACGAAAAGGCTTTGCGAATATCTTCCAAATTGCCGCGGAGTGTCTTAAGGCGAGAAAAGTTCCCACCGCGGAGAATCTCAAGTGGTGCTGTAACAACCGGAGCGAGTGGCCACCTCATACCAAGAACTACCTGCGACGCGCTGGTACGCAGATGGGCTTTCGGGCAGTGCTTCGTTACATGTTCGACGCCGCTAAGGAAGAGGATGAGAAAGCAGGTAACGGGGAGTGTCAACGCATATTGAGGGAGGAATGGTCACGCCTACCAACTTGCAGAAATGATCATGAGTTTGAAGTAGTTGCCAGGGCCTGTGGGTACGGCGGGGATGATTTCATTTCGTTACCATGCTGGTAGACTGAATTATATACTTGTCTGGCCTCGCCGCCTCATTGAGGAGGTTAGCTTGGGTGGTAGAACAACAGGGACGCAAGAACGTAGGTGGACGACCGTCGGTGACTTGCACCTGGCGTGGTCGCCAGTTGGCGGTCCTGTGCTCGTTCTTGGTCGTACGACCAGTATCTGACGACCATGTCGGCCAGCAGCATCTGACCTTATTACCCGGGTAATCACCATATGGACACACCGCCCCAGCCCTCTGCTCAAGTCCCTCCGACCTCCCTCCTAGGTGTTCAATGTCCAAACCACATGCTCAAGTCTGTCAGCGACCTAGGACCCCGACGTCGTTGGTGACGGTACCATTAACATGAAACAAGGTCACATTTACTATACGAAGCCCTAAGTTATGACCACCATCAGAGACAACGTTACTTGCAAGCATAACTTTCCAGAGGACTTGTAGCTCCCAGGTGAGAACAACGTAGACCCCGGAGACGGATATCTCGCGTGCTGTTTAATGAGTTGTCTCCCATGGACAGAAAGTGGTCGTCGAGGGTGGTGGGCGGTTAAGCGCTGGCGGCGCCCCGGCAGCCAGAATTACAGGTAGAAAGGCGGCCGTTTCTGGCCTCCAAAGCAGTCATTTTCGGCGTCAATTTCAGAGGTCCTCAGATTCTAGTTGTAATCGAGACCGTAACAAAATATACAAGAACCTTGCAGGAGTCCCTCGCTGGAGATAACACTGACGCTCTCATTCTACCACATCCAAGCAAATAGCTAATTGTATTCTCAATTTTGTATCCTCAAGGGTTCAGACCCGCCCCGTGGTCGATCGATTCTCCGAGGCCTGGGATCGAGTCCGGGCGCCCTTATGTCGTGTAGACGTTCCAAAATGTGATGGTGCGTCATTGCCCCTGTCTGAGGGCTCTTCTTCCTGCTGCTTCGATCGGAGGGCGTTCTCGTAGTCGTCAATCGGCGCGTCATCGCGGGTCACCCCGTGCACCTTCTTAGGCTGAAGGGGATGGTCGGCGAGTGGTTTCGAAGGCATTGTGTGAACAGCAGTAGAATGATAATAGTTTATCGCGTGATGTGCCAGTGCAGGAGAGTGTGCCCTTTAAATGCAGGTAGACGATTTACTTCATAGGTTGTTCTTATATGCTGCGCCGCGGAATGATCCTAGCATGACGTGCTGTTTCCAATAGCCAGGGACACAGCATGATATGTCGAATCATAAGCTTAGTCAAGGGAGGTTCGTGGATTGCCACTGAACATGGCCATAGATCAAGTCACCGTGACATGGTATTGCGGATGGCACATGCCCGTCATACTTATGTCAACGAAAAGGGCTATATTCAAGATTGTCAACAAGAAACTAAATTGCTCGGCCTTGTGTGCGTGAATAATACCATACAATATGAGTGTGCAATGCAACAAATAGGTTCACGAAGAAATCTCTATAAACTCAAGTGGACCATGACGATAGGTAATACAGAATATTGGGGAGGACAGGAATGCTAGCCTACACTTAACCGCTGGCCAACTTCCTCAACTGCGTCATCGGTCCATTGAACTTATCCGAGTCCCCTCCATGCTCATACTTGTCCGAATTCTGCCAGATCGTCCATGTCTTCCAGTCACCTGGGATCGTCTTGGGAGGAGAGCTGCTATACGCCGCCAGCACCAGAGGAGACTTATCGCCGAAGCCCTTGGCGTTGCCCGTGCAGCGATTCCACCAGTCTGCAGTGGTGTAGATCATAGGCCACCGACTCGTCGCATGATGGTACTCGTCGACAAAGTCGTGGATCCAAGCGACCATCTGGGAGTGACTGAGGCCGTAGCATGTCGCTCCGTAGGGGTTGTACTCGATGTCCAGCATCCCGGGCAGTGTCTTGTTGTCGTTGCTCCATCCGCCGCCGTTCTTCAGGAAGAATTTGGCTTGTGTGCTGCCGGTGGACTTGTCAGGGCGGGCAAAGTGGTATCCACCGCGGAGAAGGCCGGCCTTGGTGGCGCCTGTGTAGTGCGAGTTGAAGACGGTGTCTTTGTACGTCGTGCCTTCGGTAGCCTGTAGTTCGTCTTAGCTGAGTGAATTTTGGCATGAGCTGCTGAAAACAAACTTTGATCATCACGAACTGTGCGCCATCCTTCTTGGCAGCTTCAAAGTTGACGCTCTTCTGGTGGTTGGAGATGTCGAAGCCCTGGACGGTGGTTGCGCGGGCTTCGGGTTGACTGGGGAGGGCCGAAGCCAGGCCAGCAATAGTGGCAATAGCAGCAATGGAGAACTTCATTTTGCAGAGGGAGGCGATGGTTACCTTCAGTGCCTTGATGTGGTCTCTTTCAATTTGCGCAAGAAGTAGTTGGTATATATATTCGGTCCACACAGACTCTTTACCGACACGATCCGTTAAGTTTGATTGCGATGTGCGCACCTCAAAATAGATACAGAGTGATACGAGTTGCCGAATCGATCGTCGTCGGATTTTGGACCCCAGGACATTCAATCATATGAAGAGATTCGGACAACTTGTGCGAGGATACGAGTAAAGTCGTCACATCCCGCCTGTGGGGCGAGTATACGAGAGGATCGTCATCTCTAAACTCGCTAAAGCGCACCATCTGGCCAGATGGGTATCATTTTGCGAGGTTGGAGATCGCTCTAAAAGGATTAAGAGCAACACACTGATCATCAAAGGTCCCTGACTAGCCCGTGTTCGTTGCTTGCATAGCCAATTACGGGGCAAAATGCGAAGATCGTTTCCGTGAACACTGAATGGGGTCAAATACGGGGGCCATCAATTCGCGCCACTCCCGTCGGTCGTATCGATGTGGAGATGTACTAAAAATAGTTTCTTATTCAGGACGATTCGGTGTTGCATCTGAACGAAACTTTGACTTCACTCCAAGGTAACTACTTTGTGTCCTATGGCCGAGGACGAAACAAAGGACCTTGTTGCCGACTGTTTTAGGAGTGCACCCTTCGCCTTGATCTAAAGACCACTGGCATGGTTCAGAGGATTGCATTCCATTTTTTACTCAGCGTATTGTTAGGGGGATAAGCATTAAACAAGGTTATCTGGAAGCAGAGAAGCAGATAGACCAGCAATACCTCCGATGCCCCAACGGTAAACGTCACCTATTTCCCTCTATCGTGCACATTCCATTGGCAAATAGGATGGCCAAAGACTACGCAGCAGTGTGTCAGGTTGACTGTGTTGAACACCTACGCCACCTACTTCTGTAGGCTATACTCTGTTCGTGCTTCGTAAGCCTACCTGTCAGTCCAATACAAGCAGATGGAGTCTACGTGATGAGCAGCCTGCAGGCCTCCCTCAAAGGCGTCATGACATGTAGCGGTATCAACTCACGGCGAGTTCGCGATCTCAGGGCATGCATAACTCTGGCGGAGATTCTTTGAGGAATTAGCTATTTGCAACAGGCGTATCCATGCAGTCATCTCAGAAAGGTAAAGATGGTTTCTGATATTCACGTTCTGCGACGTACCCTAGCGGTCATCTCAAATACTTCTGTTCAACCTTGGTAGAAATACAACACCGAGCTCCGATATCACCGAGCACAACCTCGAAGCTTCAAATAAAGCGCATCAATGAGAGCTTCGGCTTTTCCAAGGAAAGTTGCCTGACAGAGACATAATAGTGCACACTAGCGATACCGCAGACCGTTGTTCCCCTACGTTCCACGACAGTGGCAGGTTTAACCTAACATTGAGAACCCCGAGTCGGCCTTTTGGGAGATACTATCAGGAACATGATGGACGGGAGAAGCTTACCACAACTGTTTTCCCTACTCACGCCAGCTGGTTCGGACTATAAGAAGGACTTGCGACATCACATCCTTAAGACGGTTGAATTGAACTTCTGAACGCACATACTCGCTCACCATCTAGTTGCTATCTACTATCACCATCCTCAAAGAGGCAACCAACAGGGGAACATGACTGCTGAAAAACTTCGCATTATCATCGTGGGCTCTGGCCTGGCTGGCCTAGCTGCGGCCCGGATTCTTCGTGAGCATCACGCTGTCACCGTCTACGAGCGCGGCGGTCCGGATACGGCCACCGGTGGACAGGGTATCTGTCTGTTCTCCAACGGAGTCAAGATCCTTCAAACCATGGGATTTGACCGTTGCCGTGCTGGTGGAGTGCAATGTTACGGCTATCGGCTGTTTGACAAAAATGGCAATCAATTGCAGGACTTCCCAATTGACTTCAAGGGGCGGTATGGCGCAGATACCCTCAGTATGAAGCGGTCTGATTTCCGTGACGAGCTTCTTCGACTTGCAACTGCCCCGTCGGAAGAGCTCGGTATCCAGGGCGGTCCGGCGAACATGGTGTTCAATACCAGTGTGATTGATATCGACCCTGAGAAGGCTACTGTGACGTTGGAAAATGGGTCGGTTGTGGAAGCAGATGTGGTTATTGGTTAGTGTCTCTAGCGATGATTTCCGGACATAGACGAGTCTGACTCTGAAGTATAGTTGCTGATGGTGTGCACTCGCGTCTCCGTCGCCGGATCGTTGGCAGTGACAGTTATCAGGCGAAGAAGAATGGGATAACTTGTTACCGAATTGCCGCCTCCGCTGAGGCAGTTAAAGAAGCGCTTGGCTATCTTCCAGTGTGGTGGGAGCCGAGTACAGCCGAAGGTCGCATCTCTGGGCTACAGGCAGGTGATGGGAGTAACCGCATGATTGCAGCATACGCTATACGGAATTATGAGTATATGAACTTCTCGTGCCTCTTTCCGACCCGGGAGCATAAAGGAAATGTCCTGGAGTCATGGTACGCAGATGGTGACCGACGGGAAATGATTGAGGTCTTCAGCGATTACTACGACCCTATACGCAAGATTCTCAGTAAACGCCCTGTGTCTTTTACGAGCTTCTGAAGCTGACGATTTCAGTATCGCCACCGAGGTGAAAGTGTGGGAACTCCAAGATATGGATCCCCTTCCCAACTGGAATCGAGGACGCGCAATTGTTATCGGGGATGCCGCCCATGCGATGACCCCGTTGCAAGGTCAAGGGGCGAACATGGCCATCGAAGATGCTGACAGTCTCCGCTTGTTGCGTCCGGGCCTTTCCTATGCGGAAATCGAATCGGTTCTTGAGCAAGTCGACAATGTTCGCCGGCCGCGTGCTTCAAAGGTCCTGGAGGACACTCGCGTTATGGCAAAGGATATTACCATGGAGGAAAGGCTGGCCCATTTAGACTATAACTGTGGATATAATGGGGTATTTGAAGCTCTAAAGGAGACTCAATGAGAGCTTGGCAATGATGGGGAAATCCGCTGTCACTGTTGTTTGATCCTAAGCGCTTCTCAGTCGAAGTGCGTATGGAATGCTACTGACAGTCAATGTGATATCCTTCCTTCTTGACCGTAGAGACATCGAAGCAGAATAAAGGATTGAGTGGGATTTTATGCAGCGTACGATTCACTCTTCAGGATGGCCCTTAAAAGGGCTCCAAGTCTAGCAGTAGTATATTCAGCTCCATTAGCAGATACCCAGCCTTAGTGTACCAAACTCGACATTTCTGGACTGAAGTACTATGTCCAGTGGCTTCCTTGTTTGCTGCTTCTTTTGATAGAGATTACCGCTTGCCCGATTGGGCCTATGGCAGGACCTTCCCGATTTCGATTAGATCGATTACGCTCCTTTTATTGCCGATAATCGGTAGTTTACCCCTCTCTAGATGCCTGCATCCGACGGTATAAAATGTAGCTAGTCAGACGATAGATTAGAAATAATCGTACTTTCCGAACTTTATCATTGGTAGGCAATTTACTAGTGATAGCGAAATCTCATACGGTTCTGCGCTTTCCAACAGTTATGAGCCCGGATTGCCTCCTAGACGTACGGATTTGATGGTTTTCAGCACCTTAAATCAGCAGTTCCTATTTGCAAGAGCCATATCTCGCGCTGAGAGATATCTCGATATTGAACTGCCTGATTTGGAAGAGGTGAAGCCATATTGAACGCCGTCGGCACCCCTGATCTGCCAGATATGGAATATCACGCAGAACCGGTGCCCCAGGCCACCATGAAGGTACCCATCGTGCTAAGCGAGCCCGATGATTGGTGGATATGGGATTCTCATATAATCGGCCTAGCTCGAACCCGCGGAGTGCTTGATATACTCCAGGGAGAGAGGCCTTACCCCGTTCCGCCGATTCGACCAATTCATCCAATGATTCTAGCCCATCAGCAGGCGGAACCCCAGTCGGCCTCAGAAAGGCCCCGAACGACGGAAGCAAGCCAATCAGATGCTCCGTCAGCTGCCGCAGCTGCCCCGAAGGCTCCAGCGAAGCCAACTGAAATCGAATTAGTGATATATAACGAAGAACTGGCGATCTATAAGGAAGATAAAGAGCAATATCGACTAGATCGTCAAGGCCTTGCGGCTATCTGGATTACCATGGAGCAATCGGTAGCCAGAGAGCATCTTCAGCGGCTCACTAGCCAATCAGACAGCGAGGTTGAGAGATATCGAAAGCTTAAGGCTGCCTTCGATAGAAACGCGAATGAACAGAATCCAAGAGAGATATCAAAAGCTTGCCGCTAAGCCAGCCAATCAGATGTATCAAGCTGGCTAAGCGAGTGGGAGAAGGTGCTGTTGAAAAATATAACTAAGGATATGAGACCCTAGACTGATGGGAACCATGTCCGGACACCTTTTTAGCCTAGTGGTATTATATTTCAATAGCTTCTCATGGCGGCCAGAACCCTGGACTTCCTTTGTGATGAAAACCATCAATGTTAATCGGAGAATTGTCTACCTTGATTTCGTAATCGCCGATCTAGAAAATCCATGACAGATCTGCTTACAGGAAAATAATTGTAAAGCCCGGACTTAAGACGCTACAGGTGATGTCACCGGTGTGCTAGTGTCGGAGATATCGGCATTTTATTCATCTTATGACGTCCGATACTCTTCCGGAGATAACATTTAACTCTCCTTCGCCCATGAACAACGGAGCAGAATCAACTGTTGACTAGTTTGTCCGAACTAATCTATCCCCGACTTGAGGAAAAGAAGGAGTTTCTGCTTTTGTCGGTAACTACACCAATGGCTGGGCCGACTGAACCCACCAGAAAACGCCGGCGCCCGGCGTTATCCTGCGTAGAGTGTCGGCGACGCAAGGTCAAATGCGACCGGAACAGCCCTTGTGGGCAATGCAGAGCGCATAAGTCGACTGTTTGTACATATGCGGTGGCCCACGACACAGGTTTAGAAAGACAGCCATCACAACGGGCCCAGGGACCGGTGCTGGCAGAAGCGGCCGACCAAGGCGCAAGCGCACCACAGCAGCCTGCCTCCGGTTCGACGAATCTAACAATTGGCGAGACCACTGGACTCGGAACATCTATCGTGTCAGAGGGGTCTGTGCGATGCATCCCACCGGACCTAGACAGCACCCACAGTATTCCGCAGAATTTGAGCGTCAACTCATCTACACCCCAAGTTCCTCCTGGCCCATTTCACGGCATCTTGTCCAAGACAAGGGTCTTTGGCCATGGTCATTGGATGAGCTCGGTGCCTCTGGTACGTCGCCCAACTACGCCGAAGATTCTGGCTCCTGATCTTTACTAACATCACCAAAGGTGGACAGCCTACCGTTCAGTAAAGACATGCCCGAGCGCTCCGGCGAACAGATCTCAGAGGCAATTGCCAAATGCAAACAATTGGCTCGTGATATTAAGAAGCAATTGCCCAGTCGGAGTCCACTTCCTACCAGTATCCATCAACTTCTCCCCGGCCGCCCGGTCCTCGACGAGCTAGTGCAACTGTATTTCGACACTTTTGAAACATGCTACCGAATTCTCCACACTAAGTTGTTTAGAGCAGAGTACGAGAGCTATTTGAGAGATCCAGACGCGGCAACTACCCCGTTCAAGGTAAAGCTTCTCCTGGTCATGGCTATTGCAGCCCCATTGCATGGTGATGCCCAAGCATATAATGATCTTGCTGCCAAAGCCAGAACATCGATCCAGGTCGCTCAGGGATGGCTCTCCGCGCCTTTTGAGAAGGATCGTTTGACACTAGATGGTATTCAGATCCATTGCTTGCTTCTACTTGCTCGTCAGGTAAACCGGGTAGGCGCAGATTTGGCCTGGATTTCAGCCGGTTCATTAATACGGATCGCCATGCAGATGGGCTTGCATCAGGATCCCAGCAACCTGGGCGAGTCGAGTGTGCTTCAGGGGGAGTTACGAAGACGACTGTGGTATACAATCTTGGAGCTGAATGTACAGGCTGCGTTGGATTCTGGAATGGCTCCTATGATTACTGCTGCAGACTATAATACCCAGCCACCAAGCAACCTCGACGATGCCGATTTGGTCGAGGCATCTGGGGAATGTCCCCGAGCCAAAGCAAGTTCGATACCGACCGCGACTTCAGTCCTGCGTCTGCTGGCCAATTCCCTGCCTTTGAGACTGGAAGCTACGAGAGTCATCAACGACTTGCAGGATAACCCGTCATATGACCAAGTTCTTCGTCTTGGGAACGATCTGGCGTCAGATTGCCGTGGTGCAAGGATCTTCGTGGATCAACTCATGTCAGCTGAGCACGATATGTCGACTCATCAAGCACGTCGGTTTAAATATAATTTCTGCGAGCATTATCTCTCTCGCTTCCTCCTGAGTCTCCACCATCCTTACGCAATCCAGAGCAAACGCAATCCTTTATACAGCTACTCCCAGAAAGTGTGTCTCGAGGCTGCGCTTGACTTGGTTTCACTCCTCGAGGACAGAGTGTACCGTCGCTTGCTACTCTCCGGGGGCGGCATGTATCGAGATATTGTCACTCGGGGTGCTGTGGTAATATTCCTGGAACTGATTACACAACTGGAAGCCAACAACTCTATATTTTCAAAGCAGCGAAACCGTGCTCGCAGAGAGCCATTGCTGGAAGACGCACGCAAGGTGGTCCAGTATACACATGATAGACTGTGGTATGGTGAAACCAACGTCAGAGGCTACCTTTTTGCCCGTATGGCAATGGCCCAAGTCGAGGCACTACTTGACGGGCTGCCTGTCAAAGAAGCCGTGATCAATGCGGCCGGCCAGAGCTTGGCAGTATGCCGCCATATTTTGGAATCCATGGCAGCCAGTTCCCTCTCAATCAGTGCCAGTCCTTCAGATATTGCATCCTGGACATACGGGGATATGCTGGCTATGCCCACTGTGGCTGATACCGACTTTGACTTTTTGAGTAGCGAGAACATCAGTTTCGATCTTTCGGACCCCTATTTTGTTCAGCAATGGACAGATCAGTGTTGGCCTCAGCATTTGTTTAACTCAGAAGAGGAACCGAGACAAGAGCCATCACACGGCGGAGTGAATCTTGGCGTAACAGCAGAAGAGTAAACCGAAGCAGGAATAGGGATACGGGATTTCATAATAATTTGAAGCCATCTGTTAAGGGTAAACGCCTGGCATGTGTTTGTTAAATAATCTATACTGAGGACCAATCCCAAGCGCTTCGTTGACATTAATAGTTCATATTAAGCATACTATATGATCACCTCATACCGTCCTGTCAGATTCTCCTTTATATCCGAACGCGGAGAACATACTTCATTGTCCCGGGCACTGCCGACCCCCTGGCCCGAATTCTGATACCGAGACATGAGACCCGTAGCGGAGATAAAGCTGCGCTCTGGTTGTGTGCCTGTTCCGGAGTGCTCGGCGATTCTGTCCCCACGCGGGGCCGACTGCTATCTCTGTCTTGAAAGAGCATGGCAAGACCAGTGATATTAATCCCCGTCAGGAGCCGACGGAATAATCGTAGATCAAGTATATATAGGCCCTACTAGCATTTCCAGTTCCTTCAATCAACTTGGAGAATTCTTGCTTTTGCTACAGATACATATCCTACGTCCTAGCACCGAGATGGCCATGGCACAGTTAAAGGTCCTCATTTGCGGCGCAGGCATTGCCGGCAACGCTCTTGCTTTCTGGCTTTCGAAAATGGGCCACGACGTTACGGTCATCGAGCGGTTTCCAGCCCTGCGCGCCACAGGCCTGCAGATTGATCTGCGGGGCCATGGTATCGAGGTCATGCGACGAATGGGTCTCGAGCAGTCCTTCCGCGCAAAATCGGTTAAAGAGCAAGGTTTGGAAGTTGTCGACAGCTCCGGCAGGCGAATGGCCTATTTCCCGGCGAACAGGTCAGGCAAAGGGATACAGAGCTTCACCACCGACTTTGAGATATTGAGGGGAGATCTATGTCGACTTTTGTACGGCGCCACCGTGGACCGCGTCAAGTACGTCTTCGGAACGAGTCTCGAAAGTATCAATGACAATGTCGGCTTTGTCGAAGCAGTCTTTTCAGATGGTCGAAAGGAAACCTTTGATTTCATTGTCGGTGCGGACGGCCAGGGATCGCGCACTCGGAGGTTGATCCTCGACTCTGACGCTGCGGACCCTTTCCATCCCCTCGGAGTCTATATAGCGTATTTCACGCTCCCTCGGCCCGTTGGAGGGGATGAGTACCTTGCTTCTGTATACATCGCTCCTCAAAGGCGGTTTGTGGCCATGCGCAGGCATAATGCACGCGAGATTCAGGTGTACCTCGCCTGCAAGCCCCATTCGTGCAAGCCGAATTCGGACCGACTGGAGAATGCCCGGAAGGGCGACGTCGTGGAAGAAAAGCATGGTTTTGCGGAGATATTCCGCGGCGCAGGGTGGCAGACGGACAATATCCTCGAAGCACTCGAGTCTGCTGATGACTTTTACTGCGAGCGACTGGGGGTAGTCAAGTTGGACTGTTGGTCCGGCGGCCGGGTGGTTCTCCTGGGAGATGCAGCATTTTGCCCGTCGGCAACCACTGGAATGGGCACCACCTGCAGCCTTGTCGGTGCTTATATATTGGCTGGCGAGATAGGTAAACATTGCAGGAGAGGTTCTGGAGGTGATGCCGATGGAAGCGCGACGAAGGATGCTCTGTCTAGCGCGTTCAAAGCGTATGAAGAAACGTTTCGGCCTTTCATTGACCAGGTCCAAAGGGGCTTATCGGATGGTTCTAGTTTTTGGGATCGGGCTCCATCGACATCCTTTGGTATTGCTGTTCTCCACTTCCTCCTCGCTATAGCGTCATTCTTCAGATTGGATGTCCTGGCCAGATTTGTCCTCCGCGAAAATGTACAGGGATGGGCACTCCCGGATTACGATATGTTGTAACTCGTGGCACGACTAATTGAGCCTTTTGCTTCTTGATGGTGAACAAAGGAAAGGACACAAGCATGTTCATGTTGATATCAAATATCCTGTGGTTGCTGAGTTGCTAGGACTCGAATAGATAGGTCGAGGTTTGTAAGTGGCGTGGAAATATATATACAAAACCGATCCTCACCCCGCGGTTAACAATGACTTGTAACCACCTGTTATCCAAAATAGACATCATACAGTATTCTAACATAGGCTAGAATGTAATGATGGATACATGAATGCATAGAAAGATAAGTCTTGTATAAGTTACCAGAAAGGCGCAACATGTGGTCATCTATGTAAGCGCCGGAGTCGGAGGAATACATTATTGGGTGGTGTAAATTAGCCCGACCGAGACTAACCTCGTCGTACATAAGGTGTGTGAGTCGGACAGACAGATCCTCCGGTATTCTGAAAGTAAGGATGACGGGCTAAATGTTAGTTCCCATGGCCGTGAACCAACCACTGGTTGCTCCGAGCCCTACGGCGGTATATTCAGCCTTACCATCAGTTGGAGAGCGGACAGGACTGAAGTCATGAACTATATTAATCACGGCCTCCTCTTTCAAATTTCCTGATTCCATACATCCTCAATCAAACTACTTTTTTTGCCTCTTAAGATGAACTCCCAGAGAACGGCATATTTCGGCGCCACAGGCGGATGTGCAAACGCATGTCTGGCCTTCTCTCTCCAACAAGGGCTCAAAGCCGTCGCACTGGCGCGGACGCCCAAGAAATTACACGATATGCTGCTGGCCCAAGGAATCAGCGACGAAACCATCAACGCAAAGCTGATTATTATCCAAGGCGATGCCACCGACATCGCAGCCGTCAAGAAGACCTTGATGTCCGGTGACCAAAGAAAGCTCGTGGACAAGATCGTCTCTGGTGTTGGTGCCCGGCCTGTGATGCAGCTTTCCCTGACCACTCCGATCAAAATGGATAATCAGCATATCTGCGAGCAAGCCATCACAACCATCATCCAAGCGCTTGGGGAGATATATGCCGAGTATCCCGACGAGCGACTGTGCAAACCTGTCATCACCGTTATCTCATCGACGGGTGTGGACGGTCCGGACGATGTACCGTTTGGTTTCAAGTCGCTGTATTCCGTCCTTCTTGCAGTGCCCCATGAAGATAAAAAAAAGCTGGAGGAGTTGGTCAAGGCCGATGAGCTGAAGGATGAATCGTCTAAGGCTTTTGGTGGAGCAGTGATTGTTCGTCCGTCATTGCTCGTCGGAGACCATCAAATCGCTAGCATTGGGTCAAAGAAGCTCCGGGTGGGAACAGAGGAGAGTCCGCCTATTGGGTATACAGTGCATCGTGCTCGTGTTGGCCAATGGATTTTCGAGGAAGTTGTCACCAAGACCGAGGTGGACTGGGTGGGAAAGATTGTGACTTTGACTTATTGAGGAGGATTCTGTATGCTCTTGTTGTCATCTGTTGTTTTTGTGATACTCCGTTTGTTCTGCGCGTTATGTTATATACTTAAATTAGTTAGGAATGTATGATATTATAGTGATAATTAGGAATCTAAAAGCCTATCCGGCCGACCAGGAGGCAAAGAAGCATGGAATAATATGTACTTATATGGACAAGAGAAGACATCTCAGAGCATGCCTCACCAGGAGAAAGTTAGAGGTTCAGTGATGTATCAGACATACACTTTTTCTAGTCGGCACTAGATACCAAAGAGGGTTATTATCCAAAGGCAATATTCAAGCCTTGATAAACTGTCCCATAGTAAAGGCGGGTTGGCAGTCCCGTTCGACTGGGGCATTGGTGCATTGGTGCATCGCCGATCTTCATGCAAAGCTGCGAATTGGGAAACCAGTAGGGCGTTGTTCGCCAGTGTTGCATGGATAACTTCCTGGAGAGGGAATGACAAGGGCACGGCTTCCCACCTTTCAATTCGGCGATTATCCACTAAACAAGACATCATACTAAGGAATACATTTTGCTTGGACTACTTTACGCAAACCTTTCAGAATATCTGGATAGCCAAATTGCATCGTGTAGTCCGCAGAACTTTTGCTGTCATTATCACAGGCATCAGTTGATGCTCCGGCATCTACGAGTAGCTGCACTGCTCTCTGATATCCCGAGCGAGTAGCATAGTGCATTGCAGTCCAGCCATGGAACCCTTGAACATTTGGGTTTGTGCCATGCTGGAGTAGTGTTAAGATGACAGCATCATGTCCATATCTGGCTGCCAATTGTAATGCTGTCCATCCACGGGAGGATCGTGCATCAACGTCCAATGGCAACCGTAGTAGCCTCTGCGTACCAACGAGACAATTTGTTACGAGCTGCTTTATGTAAAGGAGTTTCTCCTTCCGCGTCCCATTGTGCTACAGGGGCGCCTTGTTCGAGCAATCGATCGATGGCAGTTGGATCACATCGTGCAATGGCTCGTTGGAGATGAAAGCTCTTCCCATGAAGAATCTCCTGAGCAAGGATGCGGTAGACAAGTGGACAACATGTTTCATTCAGTCGACGTGCAACGAGTCGCAGTCGTACGAGATATTGGACGTCGCAGAACTAGAGTTTGTCAATGTCTTAGGGAAAGGAGAGCTATCGAGGACGCGGCAACATACTCTCGCGATGATACGCATGATTTCCAGTGGGAGATGTCTCTGGCACAATTCCATGTAGAATTGCTGTAAATAGCTCGCAAAGCCTGTCCACATGTTACCTGTGACGGTAAAGAGAAGTTCTGAGGTATGAAATTAGGAGACTTTACGCCTTATTAATGCCTTTATAGGTAGTAATGCTGGTCAAACTATAGTTAACTACAACGGTTTGTCATTTACAGTTTTCTTAAAATTTGGTCGGCTCCACACTTGCGCTCAGGTGGGTGGGGTCGGGACTCTTCCAAGAAGGGAAATGAGAAAGGCGTCCAGGAGTGACAAATCGAGGGCGCGAAAAATTGGATCTGCAAGTTTCTAGTTCTAGCCGCTCCTCGAATTTGTAGACATCAATTCATAAATTTCGATTCCTTCCTTCTTCCTCACCACCTAGGTTGTTTTGGATCTCAGTTCTCTCGTTGCCACTTCGGGCAAGGAATACATGCAATGGCACATCCAGAACGCCTTCAGACCCAAGAGGGAAAGACCCGTTTGGTAAAATATTTCGAGAGCCAGTATGCAGCCTTTTCTACCATGCGAATGATCTCTCTGACGTACGACAGGTATGTTGGCGATCATAGTGCCGCATGGTCGAATCTTTGGGACACAGATAACAGTGATATGTGGGATCGAGGTAAACCGTCACCTGCGCTTATCGATCTTGTCGAGCGAAATAAGGATTTCTTCAACCCGATTACAGCGGATGGACGGCGGAAAAGAGCCTTAGTACCTGTAAGACAATCTTGGTTTTCCCTACTATAAAAAAGCAACAGCACAATGCTCAGAATTCACAGGGATGTGGCAAAGGCTACGACGTTGTGATGCTTGCTCTTCATGGTTTTGACGTGTACGGGCTCGAAGTCTCCGCAACCGGGACTTCTGTCGCCAAAGAGTACGCCAGCAAGGAACTTCAGAGTCCGCAGGCGTACAATTTCGGGGTCGGCTGGGAAAATACCTCCAAACAGGGCACGACATCGTTCATCCAGGGCGACTTTTTTGAAGCAGATTGGGAGGAAGGCAGGAAATTTGAGATGATCTATGATTACACCGTATGTTGCACGATGATAAACCTACCCTTGATGCGAAGCTAAATACGAACAGTTCCTCTGTGCTCTCCATCCGACCCTGCGTTCCAAATGGGCCTCGCGAATGGCGGATCTTCTGGTCCGCGGCGGCATGCTTATTTGTCTCGAGTTTCCCTTGTTCAAGGACCCAGGGCTTCCGGGACCTCCATGGCCGTTACAGGGTGTGTATTGGAATCTGCTGGCGGACGGTGGTGATGGAATGGTTCTCGACAGGGGAAAATCATCTGAGCAGGGATCGTTTACGCGAGTAGTCTACTTCAAACCAGAGAGATCGTATGAAAGTGGGAGAGGGACAGATATGCTGAGCATTTATGTCAGAAAATAATTTCCCGTCACATAGACCTTCGGTCAAGCAAATTTGCTATAAATCTTGTTTCGGATCTCGCGAAGGCTCGAAGACAACCAGCGCTACTGAAAAAGGGAGCCAGTATATACAAAGCATCCCGTCAGCAAAACATAGGGCACAGTTCAGGTTTTGTTCCACTTCAGAAAGTGGCAGCACGCCTTACTAGTTTCCTTTTGTGGAAGTAAGTAGCTGCTTAGGTTCTCTGATATCAACAGCCGTTATAAATCTCAAGAGCTCCCCTGAGGGTCTGATCCTCGCCAATTCTCTTTCTAGAATATTAGCAATATGAAAAGCTTCGGAACCCGTGCTGTCCGATCTGGACTACCTCATGATACCAACACTGGTGCATTGGTGGAGCCGGTATGTCCCAAAAGCCAGCCTGATTCCTGAGAAGGTATCCTGACATTCGTACAGATCTGCCTTACCGCCACCTTTGCTCAGCAAGACATTGCGTCTTCCACCGGTCCCTACGTCTACTCACGTTCTGGAAACCCCAATCGCGAGAGCTTTGAAAGAGCTGTTGCTGACGTGGAGTCTGCGAATCATGCACTCGCATTCTCTGCTGGTATGGCTGCGACAGCTGCTATCATACAGGGGCTAGCAGCGAACTCTCACATCGTGTCCATGGGAAGCCTCTACGGCGGACTCATCGATATTTGACACAGCTTGCCCCAGCATTCCGTGTCAAGGTCTCCTTTGTAGACGATATCCACACAGAACTGGCTCCGCTCATTGATGAGAGCGACAACAAGATCCGAATTGTCTGGATTGAAACGCTACCTCTTGTCAACATCCAGGCTGTGGCAGACATGTCCCACGCCACAGGAGCCTTGGTTGTGGTGGACAACACTTTCCTGTCACCATATATACAAAACCCGTTGAAACATGAGGCTGATATAGTCCTGCATTCGGTTACTAAGTATATGAACGGACATAGCGTAAGTAATTATGCGCCGATATCTGCTTCAGGGCAAGACACTTATGTAATACAGGATGTCTTGATGGGCCTTAGACTGTCCCAAGATCCTCGCTACGCTATCGTTCTTTCAGAATGCAGCAGGAAGTGTGCCCGGTCCTTTTGACTCTTGGCTTGCCCACCGCGGGCTCAACAGCCTTGCATTTCCGTGCGCCTAGGGCATCTCACACTTCCTGGGAATTGGCGAATGCGCTTGAAGCATCGTCCGACGTTCTAACTGTGAATTATCCTGATCTTGCCAACCATCCACAACGACGAATTGCGATCCAGCAGCATCGAAACGGATTGGGAGGAGGAATGATATCCTTCCAGATCAGAGGGGGTTCCAAGGCAGCAGCAACATTCTGCGAGGCGACACAGCTTTTCACCTTTGCGGAGAGCTTGGGAGGGCTGGAGAGTCTCTGTGAGATACCAGCGGAGATGACGCATAAGGGTGTGCCGAAGGATGTACGAGAGAAGGGTGGGATTTATGATGATTTGATTCGACTCAGTGTGGGAGTTGAAGATATGGATGACTTGAAGCGGGATCTATTGGAAGCTTTGCAAAAGGCTATACATGAGTAGTGCCAGTAGTCTTGTTGTGATGTCAAGAGAAGAATGCTTGCCTTTGGGGGTGCTGTCTTCTTTCTCTCTGATATCACCTCATCAATGCTCTCGCTTTGTTACCTTACCTCTCTACCTCATTCTTGTTGTTGGCTCTGTAGACTCCACTGAGTGCTATTGTCAGAGTCAATATTCAACTGATTACAAAGTGACCTGCTGTGCCTTGTCTAAGGTAATAACATCTTTTCTAACTGTACAGCGTTCGGCCACCGCATCCACAGGGGTTTGCTAATCTTAATGCCTCACAGCTTCTGTATAACGTGGACTCCCTGAAGCGACAGAAAGGTTGTCTTGACTCTGGAAGATTTTGTAGGAAGTGTTCACAGGGATGGTTGAGCTTAATGTAGTCATATAGTTTTTATCCTAGAATATAAGAGAAGCTATGGATTTATTCGCACCACTGTCAGCCAAGAAGGTAGCACATACTACTACCTTAATGATCCCTAAATGCAGACGGCTGACATGTGCTGTGTCGCAATTGGTTAGGAAGACGTAGATCGCTAATTTGAGATTCATCACTCAAAGTCCGATATACGTTGGGCATTCAAGTTCTGTCCACACCAATGCATCTGAGCGACGACTGACTGCGTAGATCCGTATCAGGGAAAGGTCGAGATGATACTGATATACATTCCAAGGACCTTCTCGGAGGCAGATACATGCCTATCGATCATCGCGAAGTTGTAAAGTGTATTACCCTCTGGATATGTCATATGGGTTGGAATTTCAAAACTTCTCATAGAAGTTATAACAGACTCCCTCCTTCCTAGGCTTCTCTCCGTTCACGGATTATGCGGGGTAAAGCTCTGATCTGAATCAATAATAGCACACTTCCAACCTTGTTAAGAACGGCAATGCCTCTAGAGGCTAGTTTTATACCTAAGAAAATGGGCATATTTAGATTCAAAATAGTTCTACATCTGTGCATTTAATTCTATCATCACAATTCCATAGATTTCTAGTAGAATCCTGATGTTCTTGGCGGAATCACTTGTACAGGAAAGTTTAACAAAAGAATGGCCGAATTCTGTATTCAGTAATCAGTAATCTAATTTCAACATCAGATATATGGCTATCTAGCCTAAAAAAAGCTAGTAGTCAGAAGTAATCTAATTGTATTAAATCCAAAGCCCTGTCGAGTTAGTTCATGAAAGCCTAGGATATGGTGTTTATAGATGTGCCACAGTGCTAGTTCTGCTGCTTAAGCTGCAGTCTTCTTCTCTATCCTTGTCAGCATCATTCAACCTGATGATAGTGGTAATAGTAGTGCGGCTAGTGCCTAGTACAGCTAGTGCAAAACTGGGGCAAATATTTATACCCTTGAATACTCTCAGGAGCCAACTTATGAAATAATTCTAAACCACTTCTGTGAAAGTTTCTGAGAGTGAGACTTCCTAGTAGATGTTTCCGTATTTCATGGTACACGCCGTCCCATGGCTGGAGATATTTTACATCACCTGTATCCCCGCGTATAAACACAGGTTTTGCAGGTGTAAGTGTCGCCACCGGCTGCCATTCGCGCCCAACTGTCAGAGCTGCATTCGGTTAGGGCAACTCTTAAACACATCATAATTATATCATCACCTATAACTCCATTCAGGAAAGATATAAAATTTACTGTCTCCTCTTGTGATCTCCCCTCTGCTTAGCACCGTTGACCCCAAAATAAAGATCAAGCGCATCAATACCACAGCATGAGCGGAATAACTGACGAGGCAGCCATAGAAGGCCATGACCTCATTCACCAAGCCGAGCTAGAGGAAGAGAGGGTAAGCTACACTCTGACTGACTGTTTAAGCCAGGAATAATCTAAACCAGTCTGCAGATGCATGAAAGTGACAATGCGCCACATTCCGATGCTAGCCAGGCAGTACCATCGCCGACCCAAACCAAATATCCAGATACAAGTCCAAGGGATCCACATGACACCCCGCAGTCCCAGCATAAAGAATCCACACTTGACAAAATAAAGGAAGCACTGCATATCAAATAGCAAGCCAGGAGAACTCAGAGGGTCATGTAATAGTGACAAAGTGATTTTGCTTAATTCACAGATGAATATTAGTATGTTGAATTAACCTTTTAATCCTCTACTTGCAATTTGTTACATATTAGTTAGCCCATTATATTTATTTTATTACCATTGCTGCTCATCATTACTTAAATCTTTAACTCACTACTCCTTGCGCATCCTTCTTCCTACCTTTTTCATCATTTCCAGGGCCGCACTGGGTGAAGCACATGCCTTTTAAGTACAGAAACATATAACAAGGCCTGTTGGAACTTTGTACTAAAGCAGCTTAGTATATTTCATATGAGGGCGCTCCTGAAAGCATTGAAGAGTATAAATATTGACTCATGCTGATTCCAAATAGCTTCAATTTAAGTTGAGTAGCATTCCAGACAGCAGTCACAAGGGGGTTTTCCGTCTCCCGCATGCCGTGGATCTCCTGCAATATTACTGTTATGTAGCAGTGATCTAGCCATGTCGTATTTAGTAATAGGCTTCTTTTGTAGTAGAGAGTCTATGAATCTCTACGACGTATAAGGGAGTAACCGATTCATGCACTTGAGGGTATATCCATTGAAGCCGGCGTAAGGCACGCGCTTCCAAATGTCTTCGGGAATCCAGGAGAGGAACGCCAGGAATGTGGGAATCTTGATGACATAGGTTTGCAGCATTCCATCATCACTTGGAATGTGTCGATCCTTGTATCTAAACAAACCTTGTCAACACTGACTGACATGGGATATTATTACCAGTCACATCCTCACTCCCCAGACAATTCTGAACACTCTTTTCTTCTTCACGCAAAACCTACCACATGCTTGATCACCATGAGACTATCCCCGAGTATCGCGGTCTTCACTCTCGTCACCTACGTGACTGCGCTTCCCTCCCTCCAGGTCATCCCCCGAGGCGAGCCGCAGTTGCCGCTTCTCGATTCTTCGATGACAATCAAAGAAGCTGCACGCAAATGTGGAGATGAGGCGCAGCTCTCGTGCTGTGGTCGGGTCGTCAAAGCTGGGGATCGTACCTCAGTCGACGAGGGGATCGGCGCTGGACTTCTGAGCAACCTCGCCGGCGGTGGTTCAGGAATAAGCAGCATTCTGGCTTTTGATCAATGCTCCAAGTTGGATGCACAAAGTGAGCAGTCTAATCTCCATCTCTTCACTCGTGAAAATGACTAACAGTCGCAGTCGCTGTGCTTATTGTACCTGTCCAGGATCTGCTGAACCAGCACTGCAAGCAGAACGTGGCTTGTTGTCAGAAAAATCCCGGCGATTCGGTATGTAATCCGGCATTATCGCTGGCTGTGAGTCGTGCTAACAGATTTAGTCTTCATCTGGTATCGCTGCCAGTCTGCCGTGCATTGCTTTGGGATCCATCGCGTAAGATTTAATGGTATATGGACGAAGCTGGCTATCAGGTGTAATCATGGTTGATTCTATTACATTCTACTTGTGCTGATTATATAGCCAAAGCTGAGATTCACGATATGTAGATCCTCCCCTCGTAGGGCTGTAATGTACCCAGTGTCGAGGAGGGATAGTTGCTAACCAAAAGCTTCATCTCCCCTGCCATGTCAGCTTGGGTAAGTGGCTGAGGTGAAGAGGTGAAGTTCAAGGCCACCAATGCGCGATCCTCCTCCCTCGACTTGACAAAGCAAAAGGTCTCGAGATTCTCAAAGTCCAGGACCTCAAACGCACCATGGATGAATAACTCGCGGTAATCCTTGCGCAGCCGCAATACGCTCTTCCAGAACGAAAGCACACTTTGGGGATCTGACTCCTGCTTCTTCACATTGATTTCTCTGTACAGATCGTGAGTGCGCATCCACGCTGTTCCCGTTGTAAATCCGGCGTTGGCAGTATCATCCCACTGCATCGGCAGTCGGGCATGATCTCGCGCTAGAACCCGCAGACCGTCCATGATGCGTCCTGGTCTGCTTGGATCGGTGCCATTTCCAGCCTGGCGCTCAGCCTCTCGATAGTATCCCAGCCCTTCAATGTCCTTATACTCATCAATGGACCAATCCCGCGGCGCATTGATCATCCCGATTTCCTGCCCTTGGTACAAGAACAACGTTCCGGTCATAGCTACCATCATCAATGCCAGCATCTTAGCGGAGCATTCTCGGAACTCAGGGTCATCAGATCCGAATCGTGATACAGACCGGCCGTTGTCGTGGTTCTCACAGAAAGCCGTCGTCCACCCGTCCGTCCCCTCGACGAAAGACTGCCACTTGCCCACGATGGCCTTCATCTCAGTGAGCTTCCACGGTTGGAAGATATACTTGTCTTCCAGGCTGCTGCCCATACCGATATGACCAATGTCCAGGTGGAAGACCATGCTCAACTGCTTCGCTGACGCACCGACATACCTGAGCACATCTTTCGGGTCGGGCGTATTCGCCAGCTCGCCGACGGTCATCACGTCCCCGTACGGCGCCAACGCTTCGTCGTACATTTCGCGCAGGAACTCGTGGATCCGCGGACCATTGCACCACATCTCCACCGCGGGCTGAATATAGCTCTTGGGGTCGGTGACAGGCGCGTCGGGGAAATCCGTCCGTTTGCTATACTTGTTGACGGTGTCGACGCGGAAGCCATCCACCCCCTTGTCAAGCCAGAACCGGATAGCGCTGGTATAGATGGCTTCGCGCGTGGCCCGGTTGTCCCAGTTTAGGTCAGGCTGCTCCTTCGCGTACAGATGCAGGTAATACTCCTGTGTCTGCTTGTCCCACGTCCACGTACTCCCAGCGAAATAGCCTCTGTAATTTGTCGGTGGAAGGCGGCTGCCCTGCTCGTCATACCGTGCCGGCCGCCAGAAATACCAGTCGCGTTTTTCGTTGTCCTTGCTGCTGCGACTCTCCTTGAACCAGGTATGCTCGTCGCTGGTGTGATTCACCACTAAATCAAGGATGAGCTTCATGCCACGCTCGTGGCACTCGTCAATCAGCTTTTCGACGTCCGCGACAGTCCCGTACGCCGGAAGCACTTTTTCATAGTCGGAAATGTCGTAGCCCATGTCGTGCATCGGGGAGTCGTAGTGCGGTGACAGCCATACTACGTCGATGCCCAGTGAATGGAGGTATGGGATCTTGGATATTAGACCGGGTATATCACCCCATCCATCGCCGTTGGAATCCTTGAATGATGCGGGGTATACCTGCCCCTGTCAGCTGTGATTGATGAGTATTCGTCAAGGTAGACTACCTGGTAGACAGTGGCCTCCTTCCACCAGTTGTTGGTCCCTGTGGGGACGGTCGTTGTAGCGTGCGGTGACATACTTGCCTCCAACAAAATGCTATAAACTCATTGTTCTTCTGAATTATGTGGCGTTCACTTGATTATTTATGTGCAGACATTGAGTGGGTTTTCGATCTCTCCGACTTGCATCCGCATCAACTCCGAATAGAGCCCGCCCCCGCAAATCTTGGACGTGGGGGGATGATAACTAGTTCTCACGAGACAACCTACAAATGATAATGAGACAGCCGAGTAATTCATCCTGCTACTCATTTAATATGCGATTGTTCGAATCGCGGGGGACAGCATCCGCGAAAGAGTGTTTCATTCTGGCGATGGCAAGGGCACCAGCTCAACTGGAATTGATCATTGTATCATACATTCGCACCTTTTATCCTTACTCCGTTCCAAAATACCACACCCTATCTTGGTCCCTCCAGCTTCAGCTCGGTGGTGCCTCTTGTATGGATATGCACCGCCGCCGCTTCGTCTCACACAGTTCACAATGGGGTTGTAAATGCCTCGAGGTCGGCATAAAGAAGATAATGAAGCATCGAAATGTCATGGTATTGATGGGAGTAGTTTAGCAGACGTTGAATTGGTGGAAGATAAAATAAGCGCCACATAGAATCAAGCCATGTCTCCAGAACGTGCGTCGTTAATACTCTGGATTGTTAGATCACTCTTAATTATTTACTAACAAAGACATAATATAAATATCACTACTGAATATTATAAGCCAACTCCGGACTAAAGTATGTCGTCTGCTTTAATGTCGGTCTTTCGGCCCGGGAGCCGTGAATTGCATGCTCTGCATCATCGAATCGACGCCAATGTTCGTATTCCTAGGGCTGCTTGTGGGTCAAGATTGAAAGATGCCTTGATGCTGTGCTCCCTATGTTAGTGACGATATACTCTGCTTGATATGGTGAGTCATGCCTCGTATTCAATAACAGACGTCTTCCATGGACTCTCGAGCAGAGCTGCGTCACGACTATCCAGCATTCTCATGCCTGCGATGATAAATGCTGCCGTTCGCCTCCCGACGAGCGATTCAGCAACTGCGAAACTGCCGACTCGCAAGCAAGATGTCTGCTTTAGAACCCAAGGGTCCTCTAGGATATCATCGTGTCCTTGCACCGTCTGCGGGCGTCAAGGTGTCTCCACTATGCCTGGGTGCGATGAACTTTGGGACCGCATGGTATGTTCCTAAAAAAATTCACAGATACAACAATGACGTGTTACTGACCATTACAGGGAAGAGTCCATGGGCAAATGCTCAAAACAGGATGCCTTTGCCATTATGGATGCGTTCTATGAGAATGGGGGTAACTTTATCGACACGTATGTCGATGCAGCGGGCAGCTTGAACAACCCAGCTAACCCCTACCAGTGCGAATAATTACCAGTCCGAACAATCAGAAGAATGGATCGGGGACTGGATGACAGCCCGTGGGAACCGCGATCAGATGGTGTAAGCATCGCCCGTACCGATCTCATTGCCTTTGCTTCCTCTGACTGAACAGCATCGCAACCAAATACACCACGGGCTTTCGCACTGCGCACTTTGACAGAGAACCCATCCAGTCCAACTACGTCGGTAACTCCCTCAAGTCGCTGCACATATCCGTCAATCACAGCCTCAGGAAGCTGCAGACGGACTACATCGATCTCCTCTACGTGCACTGGTGGGACTTCACGACCAGCGTCGAGGAGGTCATGCACGGGCTTAATGCGCTGATCTCTGCAGGTAAGGTCCTGTACCTCGGGGTTTCGGATACGCCCGCCTGGGTGGTGGTCAAGGCGAACGCGTACGCGCGAGCCCACGGGCTGCGGCCATTCTCCGTCTACCAGGGCAAGTGGAATGCGCTGTGCAGGGACATGGAGCGTGAGGTTATTCCGATGTGTCGGGATCAGGGCATGGCGATTGCTGCGTGGGCGCCGTTGGGTCAGGGGCGGTTCAAGACGGCGGAGGCCCGCGAGGCGGCGCATGCTGGTGGAGGACGCTCGGCTCAAATGAACGAGAATGAGACTAAAGTGTCCGAGACGCTCGAAGAGGTTGCGAAGCTGAGGAATACGAGTCTATGTGCTGTGGTATGTTTGCTCATTATATGCAGTCACAGTTTACTGACTAGGCCAGGCTCTCGCGTATGTCCTGCACAAGTCGCCTTACGTCTACCCGATTATTGGGCAGCGGAAGGCTGAGCACCTTCTGGCGAATATTGAGGCGCTCAATGTTGAGTTGTCTAGGGCGGATATGGTTAAGATCGATACCGCTGTATCATTCGATCCGGGTTTCCCGATGAATTTCATCTTTCAAGATACGCCCTACAACTTGAATTTGACGGCCGCAGATGTGACTTATACTCGCCTTTCAGTACACCTGCATTCCCCTCCTCATCAACAGCCAGTCAAGCCGCGCCAGGCGACTTGAAGTGGAGGTCGATCTCTGGTGGGTTTCTATCTTGCTCCTTATTATGTGCCTCGAGCCCCCAGCCGCTATCAAGGGTCATGGACAAGCTTCCCGTTCTGTATTGAGTACGGATCCTCGAGGTAAGGTCAGCTCACCAGAAGGAGACAGATAGTTGGTAATTCCATAGACATACTAGAAAATGTGTCAGCTAAAAAAGTCGCGTATGCGGTATATATAAAGCAGCATGGACCGTGATTCCCGATAAAGAGCTCCGCACTGGAGGACAGGAAGGACCACCCCTGCGGAGAAGGCTGGCTGCAAGCACTCGCTGCTCTGTGGATTTTACCCTGGCAAAAATAAGTACTCCCGGTGCAAGTTGACACCACGTAGGCTCAGACCATGGAACGTGTAATTGCGCGCGTTTTCAGTTGCAAACAACTTAGGCCAAGAGCTATCAGGGAAGCTCGGCTTGAGATCACGTAGTTCTTGGTCTAGTTCGCGAATGTACTGAAGGCACTGGCCTCGGGCTGTCCCCTGCCATAGTTAGAGTAAAGCAAATGATATACTTTCGATTTAAAAAGGCAAATGCATGAGGGAAACAAAAGCTCTCAAGATGACACAGATTCGATGAAGAATTTGTGATCTGAAGACGATAGTATGTAGTCTTCGGGCAGCTGCAAGTCACGGTCCTTGTCTTTTATCAAAGGAGGGTAACCGAAGCGGATTGCCATGTCTTAACAGACGATAGCAGAGCCAGAATAGAGCACGCAGATGTCCTTCTTCTGCTTGGTGGATGGCACAATACCTGTTTCCCCCGACAGTATACAACATCCGAACAGCCATGGCCAGAAATAATGACGCGATCTAGCCTGACCAATATGGAGAATATAGGAGAATTGACCGTTAGGGAGACACGTAAGTCATTTGTGGTGGGAGTAACCTATCACTGTAACGACAGACTTTAGAGTTCTCAGGCTAGTCTCCTCCATCAAGAGTCGGGGCAGCAGTGTCAGCACCGTTTGCATGTACGCATCAGGATCAGCATCGGCAAACACAGGCCCAAGAACCCAGGACGGTGCATTTGCATTGCCATTGCAGTGAGCGCAATGAGGCAAGCCACATTGGCAGTAGGAGTTCCGTTGGGGGAGTTGTTCAGAACATTTGCATCAAGTAATTCTTCCAATGCCTGAGTGTTGGCGAGAGGGAAAACAAGGTATAGCCCAGCCTTTGCGAAATGGTGTATACAGTGTCGTATCAACTCAACCGGTGGGCCATTTCTGAGACATTCATTTCGATTCTGCGGGAACATGCACCCTCCCCACGGTGGATTAGACGAGTTCTGATTTCTTACGCCTTAGCATCTTTTCGTGGCGGAGGCGGGCTTTCAGTGATGTGAGCGGCTAGTGCCTTCTAAGACACACGAGGGTCTAGACATGTTTAGTCGACATACCTTTCTCTGTCAACCATCGCGTGGGAGGTAATCCACTCAACTTTGACATTAACAACGAGAAGACTGGGTACCCAGTCCAATAGGTGAGAGGCAGGTGATTAGCGCGCCAGATTCGCTGAAAAGTTAAAAACCGTTGATTCCAGCCTATATAGAGAGGTCATGGAGGTTACAAATGGAATCTGGTAAAATTAATATACTGATGAGTTATCAAGATTGCTCTTCCTCCGAAACTAGTATATAACCACGTTGCCTATGTCAATGATCACGCCATTTAGGCTGCCACGATGGGAAACAGACTTGCAGATCAGGATATATGAAGGATTCTTAGCAGAAATACTCATGGAAATAGCCAATGATACATAATATACACATCAAGGCTCCCGACCATTACTTTATCATGCATACGAATGATCAGCTCCGTTTCCACCCGCTAGGCTGCTAAGCTTAATAGCACAAAAGGTGGCAGTGCTCTATTTTCAATGCGCTACCAAGGATCAAACTTTGATTCCGTTCCATTTCTTCTCATATAGTTTTCTCTGTGAGGCTTAGGTTGGAGTAACTGAGATAGTGATGACGAGCCACTGTGTTATAAACTCACCCTTTGCCGTCATCCACCTATAGATATATGAGGTAGATTGGGGCAAAGCCTTGACCCACCCGAACTCCGGACGTATGGATTAGGTGGGTTGGATATGGTCATAAGGATTTGCAGATCAGGTCAGCCAGTCTAAACTGGGCTATTGTGTTTCACCGTTTCCTTGGGCTCCACCACAACTAATGTATCCACGAACAGCCTTCGAATCCTTCAGCCCCAACGGGATCAAGCTCGCTAAGCCAGTCATCAAGCTCAAAGGCGCCCTGTGTCGGGGACAAGCCTTACAATAATTTCCGAAGATGCGCCGGATCAAGCCGTGGATGGCCACGCCAAGAAACAAAAAATACTCTGATATAGTGTAATCATTTACTAGGTAGGTCTCACACGTGGCTAGGTGTTTGGAATTTTGATGACTCCCAGTAGTCCAGATAAGGTAATACTCCGTACCTGGCAAACGGTTGTGGCGCTAACAGGTATATCTCTGTCTAATCTGGACCTGCCCGCCTTATTGGCAGCTAAAAACTCAAGGCCCCTTAATACCTGCGAATCCATCTATTCAAACCCTAAATTTACCTGATGGCGCCTTTCTTGACCTCGAGTAGCAGAAGATTTCACATCTATTCTAAATCCTAAACTTACATGATGGCACCTTTTGTACGGTACAGTGGCAGAGAATACGAACAGAAGGATTCCATCAGTAGTGGCAGTGGATAAGAGTGAAAGGATTCTCAGACCTAATCCAATAGACGTCAAGCCCTTCCTCATGTGGGAGGAGCTTCTACATACCGCTGCCTAACTTCCAGATGAACCATACACTGGTTACATCAGCGAAGAATCTCAGCTGGGACACGACAACATACCTATATAAGACCGCCCAGCTACTTTAATGGCTCAATTCAACTACGCGAATCCCAATCTACTATCAACAATGGTCTCTCTTCAATCCTTGGCCCTTATCCTTGTCCTTTACGGGCTGGGAACACAGGCAGCACCAGCCCAGGAAGGACAGGCAGTTGAGCATCATGAAGAAGTCTCCATCTTAGACTTAGTTCGCAATGGCAAAGTCACGGATAGTGGCACTGTCATTGTGACATACAAGCACGAATTGCCTGAACCGAACCGGGATGACACCTATGAGGTTGACGGCATCACCTTCTACGGTTTCCCAGGAGGAGTCGATGTCCATCCTGAGTTCTGGGAAGAACGTAACATCTCTTTCCCCGATACAGCCAAGTAAGTGGCATCGCTACGAACATGGATCTGAGGGCTATCATTCTAATATCGAGGCAGCTCCTCCAGCCTAGAGGCTAGACAGAGTTATATTACCTCGTGTGAACCTTGCAAATGCACTTACAACAAACAGGTTTACTATGAATGGCAAACTCAGAACTGGAATGCGGTCCAGGGCAATACGCATCAGCTCTCTGACTCCCTCTGCCCGCCCGGCAGCATTTCGAAGACTTGGACTAAGTCATGGTCTCACCAAATTTCTGTCCAAGCAGGCCCAGACCTCGTAGGTTCTGGTATCAAGTCACTTTTACTTGGGCAGAACTAATAGAACAAAAGAAAATTGGCGCAGGCATACTCGAAAAATTTGCCATTCGCGCTGGCTACTCCTATACCTGGGGGTATGTAGTAAACTCTTTGGGTCTGGATCATACTAACAAACTTCAACAAATAATAGGAAGGCTGTGGCAACAGCTTACAGTGTCTCCTGGACCACGCCCGGTCAGCAACATCCTTTCATTGAAACATTCCGACCAAACATTTTTGTGGTGAATGGAATTGCTCGGGTCTGTCTCTCCTTTACCTAGGAAGCCTTGTCTCACTTGACTCATCGATATCTATCTATGTACAGGCCCATTATGTTGATCACTACTACAACAACATGGCGTGCGGTGTTAGCGATTGGAGTCACATAAACCTCCATCTGCCACTGGTCAACAAGGACAATAATGACTGCCTACAGGATTCCAGCTCATGTGGTGCTGCCGGTACGTGGCCTTGTTCTGGGCTAAGAAGAAGTCCGCTAACCAAAACCCGACACTAGGTACCTACGACTCTTGCTTCTATATCGGAAAGTATGCCAAAACCTTATGCCCTGGTCGGAACCTTGGTGCGACTCCTGTGGGCCGCGAGTGCCCGAATTACCTTTATCCTGCTCCTTTCAACAACCCGGCGAAAAACTGAAGGAGCCAAAGACGAGGTGTTGGTGGCCTGAGACCAAATCACGTCTTCGCCCATGACCTTTACGGCGGACTATACCGTAGCTAGCTACGATGCGGACTTTTTGTACTTTTACTATCTACCTTGGTGTCAATTTTGAATCATCCTCTAGCAAGGATATTAAATACTATAGTATTATTCATATTAGTGTTATATCCTTATATACCAAGGTGGTGCCAGTATACTTACAATTCACATATATTTCTCCTTTCAGGCTCGCAATTGCTTATTCTGGTGCTCACGACCCTAGCTCCTATACAGACCTGACCAAGCGAAACTTTCTCCGCAACACCCGACGAACCCTGGACAAGTGTGCTGGCCACCTTGAGCGATGTGGAGTCTATGCTCGTGCTGAAGCTCGCCGTGCGGTCGTGACACGGACAAAGTGGTGAGCATATCCCACCGTTCCTATTTGCGGTCTACATTCTGGCCCCTGGGGGCGAGAGTGGACCCTTTTGAGTGGAGGGCGAATTGATCCGGCATGATATATCCGATGACCAGGCAGGCATCCCCATCATCGACGGACAATTCGTCGACCTCAACTCCTGTGAGCTCATCCCAGATCTCTACTGGGATGTCCGGAACTGCACGCAACTCTGATCCGTTCTTTGAGTATGCCTGTTTGGGTGACTCCATTGTGATGGCCTTCTTGCCTGGGTCACTCAGGGAGTCAACGTTACGCCCAGCCACGACTCGGTTGCTTTATATGCTGCTACCCTTGCATTTGATGGTGGTATTGCAGACGACGATAGCGCTGGGGTGACCAGATTCCCTCCGGCTCTACCTGTGCAATGCTGTCCGCATAACAGTCGCGATCGTATGTTCAACAATGCTGGTTTTCGAGGCAGATCTCCTCACAGTTCATGGAATGACGCTTCCGCAGCCTACCTCTGGACCAAGATTCCTGTAGACGACTGAATATCAACTCCTTGTGCCTATGGTTCTCTCTTTTCCAAATAGGTTCAATTGTTGTATACTGTAACCTACATAGGCTTTCCCTCAATGCAGTCACTGTTCTCCGCCTTGTACCTTCTGTAACCATTGCAACGTTCGAAATCAATCTTATTTCAACTTTCTTCAGGCTGGCTATCATTAGCTAGCCCATTAGCCGCGGCCTAAGAGTTGGCACGCCGCTGTTCGGTACAAGGGTCCAGAGGCACACCATGTGGCAGTCTCGAACTTTAAGATAGCCAACTCCGCAGACAGGATGAATTTTCCGTTGCTATCACGTAAGAAGAACAGTAATAATAGTCATTAGCAAAACCGCACATGCCTTTCCTCAATCTCCTAACAGCGCAAAGTTAGTATTGTTCGTGGCTGCAGACATATTATCCATAGTGGGGTGGAATGAATTGTCTGGCACATGAGTACGAATCCCGGCTTCAAGGGCTCAATATTTGCGATCCTTTAATAAGCAAGATATTGTTTGAATATTTGAGTCAGGACTAGCGGTCTCCGGTCGGATTCACTTGAGCCAAGAACCAAGATGCTAAGAGAATAAGCATCGAAGGGACTCTTCAGCCGCATGACTGCAGCTTAACTGCTGTCGTCCCTCCCATAAGGGGAAGTTCCTATCACGAGGTCCCTGGGAAACGCTATCACTGCATTATGACCTGCAGCAGTACAGCGCTGCTAAGAGTCATCTATGTAACCCAAGGAATTGCCAAGCATTTTCTCGGGTCAGCCCGACGGAGAACGAATGCACTCCCATTGGACGCAACCAGGAAAGTCGCGGCAATGACTTCCCCTATTGTACACCCAAGACCAGCTTGTACCAGCGGCAATATAAAAGTCTTGGTGCAGTAGATTCTGCAGCAAACCCACGCGGACATCCGACGGACAGGTCCCTGAAATCCTCGTCAAGATTGCATCCATAGTCCACTTTCCAATTAACCATGCAGATCGTTATCTTCAGCAATTCTCACGCAGTCATGCACTCGATTGAGAGAATACAGTCCGCAATGCTTACAGATCAGTATTATGTCTTATCTATGCTAATGCAACTGTCTCGGAGCGCGATGCGGGGAAACGGACAGTTACCGTCTTGCAATATCCCATGATGTGAATAGCTCCGGACTGGGTCGGGCCAAGATCGGACAGTTCTACGCTTGATGATGATAATGGCCTGGAGCAGATAGGAGATGAAGAATCAGTTACGCCAGATGGCTCCGATATAAATAGTCAGCTGGAGCTCATAACTGTCTCCCCCAGAAGCATCCCACTCTGAATCTGATATCCTTCTCCTTCAGATCACATCCTCAACATGCGAGGCCTTCTTCTGGCTGGGGCTCTTGCCCTACCTGCTTCTGTCTTTGCCCATCCCGCTCACCAGACTTATGGACTCAACCGTCGTACTGTTGATCTGAATGCCTTCCGCTTGAAGTCCCTGGCCAAGTACGTCAATGCGACAGAGACCGTCATCGAGGCCCCGTCCTCCTTTGCCCCTTTCACGCAGCAAAGCTATGTGGAGGCGGCCACTCAACATGTCAAGATGATTGCCCCTGATGTGACTTTCCGCGTGGTCGATGATCACTATGTTGGTGACAATGGCGTTGCCCATGTCCACTTCCGCCAGACAGCTAACGGTCTCGATATCGACAATGCTGATTTCAATGTCAACGTATGTATTGTGTCAGGCAGTGTATATCTCTTGCTAATAGGTGTGTATAGGTCGGAAAAGATGGAAAGGTCTTTTCGTATGGCAACTCTTTCTACACCGGTCAGATCCCAAGTTCGGCTGCATTGACCAAGCGCGACTTCTCCGACCCAGTGGCTGCTCTCAAGGGAACTACAAACACACTGCAGCTTCCCATCACTGTGGATAGCGCGTCGTCCGAGAGCACAGAGGAGAAGGAGTCGTATGTTTTCAAAGGCGTTTCTGGCACTGTCTCCGACCCCAAGGCCAAACTGGTGTACTTCGTCAAAGGCGATGGAAGCCTCGCCTTGACATGGAGAGTTGAGACAGACATTGATAGCAACTGGCTTCTGACCTACATCGATGCCAAGAGCGGCGAGGAGATCCACGGTGTGGTGGACTATGTTGCTGAAGCAGATTACCAAGTATAGTGAGTATTTGTGTCAACTCCCCCGCAGAAGAGCCTTTACTGATACGACCTTAGCGCATGGGGAATTAATGACCCAACAGAGGGCCAGCGGACGGTGGTCAAGGATCCTTGGGACTCTGTCGCGTCGGAATTCACCTGGGTCAGCGACGGCAGCACAAAGTATACCACTTCTCGCGGCAACAACGGCATCGCGCAATCCAACCCCAGCGGCGGATCGAGCTACCTGAACAACTACCGCCCTAGCAGCTCCAGCTTGTCATTCAAGTATCCCTATAGCCCGAGCTCATCGCCTCCCTCATCCTACATCGATGCATCGATCATCCAGCTCTTCTACACAGCCAATACATACCATGATCTGCTTTACACCCTAGGCTTCACTGAGAAGGCTGGTAACTTCGAGTACAACACTAACGGACAAGGCGGTCGTGGAAACGATTATGTGATCCTGAACGCCCAGGATGGCTCTGGCACCAACAACGCCAACTTTGCCACTCCTCCCGATGGCCAGCCCGGCCGCATGCGCATGTATGTCTGGACCGAGTCGACGCCATACCGCGACGGCTCCTTTGAGGCCGGAATTGTGATCCACGAGTATACCCACGGTCGTACGTATACCTCGCTTGTTTGTTTTTCTTGACGAAGACTAACATTTGCAGTTTCCACCCGACTCACTGGCGGCCCCGCCAACTCCAACTGCCTGAATGCTCTCGAGTCAGGCGGCATGGGCGAAGGCTGGGGTGATTTCATGGCAACGGCCATCCGCCTCAAGCCCGGCGATACTCGCTCCACCGACTACACCATGGGCGAATGGGCTTCCAACCGGGCAGGCGGAATCCGCCAGTACCCATACTCGACCTCGTTGAGCACCAACCCTCTGACGTACACCAGCGTCAATTCACTGAACGCGGTTCACGCCATCGGCACGGTCTGGGCAACCATGCTGTACGAGGTGTTGTGGAACTTGATCGATAAGCACGGCAAGAATGATGCGCCCAAGCCTACGCTCAGCAACGGTGTGCCGACGGATGGCAAGTACCTCACCATGAAACTAGTCATAGATGGAATGGCCTTGTAAGTTGCCCAGAATCCTTCGAGAGCTAGTTCATGCCCGCTAATCAGGAGAGCAGGCAACCATGCAACCCCAACTTCGTCCAGGCCCGTGATGCTATCCTTGATGCTGATACTGCTCTTACCGGTGGTGAAAACCAGTGTGAGATTTGGAAGGCATTTGCCAAGCGTGGATTGGGAGCTGGTGCGCAGTATAGCTCGAGCAATCGTGTTGGAAGTACTCAGGTCCCCAGTGGTGTTTGTTGAGTGCCCCATACTAAGCAGTAAGGGGGTACGTAGTTTAATGAGGATAATGACAATTCTTGGCACTGTTACCTTGTATCCGGCTAATTTCTTGTAATAAGCGGGGGAAGAAATAGGGTGAATCCCACAGCGCTCCATGACACAAGTAACCAATCCTGGACTGTTGGTACCTATCTAGTCTGGTGGTGATTTGTAGACGATACTACCTTAACTTCTACTAATAGTAATCCAATTTTTGTCTGGAAATGAGCACGAGATTCAGGGCCAATTGCGCCCCTTTATTCCTAGCCAAGAAATTAGCCGAGCTCAGACCCTGGAACAGTTCTCGAACACCGCCAATAACAGTCCATACTAGGATAAATTGACTGTCCCAAAGAGGTTACGGCAGGAAGCAATAGATGATAGTTGATCCAGTGCTGCCTACTCTTTTGATCATGGGTTTGTCGACTCTGCCACGCCACTTTGGCTCATTTCCGGGGATGAGAGTAGAGGCTCAGAGCAGTCCCGTACTTAACCCTCGTGGTCCCCTTTTCCCTGTTCCAACCATCAAAGCGTCAGGTCTATTCCAACTACTAGTCATTCCTTGCTTTGCATTATCACAGTCACTCTTTTACAAGTTCTGTTCATATTCAGACGTGTTTTCTTCTTCTATTTATCTACCATTTCCCCATAGTTAGATCCTGAAACACCATCTCAGCGAATCAAACCAATAAGAATACGAGGATCAACATGATGCGCTCCGTGATCCCCCTGATTGTCTCGCTTGGCTCGCTGGCTGCAGCCATCAACATCACCAGTCCTGCAGCCAACACCACCTACGCAGCCGGGTCCACCGTGACCGTCAAGTGGACCAGCGTCGATACTGATCCCTCCAGCTTCAGCCTCTACCTCTGGAACTTTGTCTCCTGGCCTCCGACTTATGTTCCGCTGGCCCTTGACATCCCAACAGAAGATCTGTCCCACTCGGTCCAGATCCCCTGCGACACCAACCCCGAATGGGGCTACCAGATCAGCGGCATCAACGGCACCAACGTCTACATCATCTACGCGCAGGGCGACAAGTTCACCGTCTCCGAGCCCGTCGAGCCCTGCGTCGACCCTGCCCCCGTGCCCACGCCGTCCACCTGCCCCAGCGCTGCGGCGTCTACCGTTTATGTCACGGTGAGCCCTACCGGTTCCAGCTCCCGTCTTTTCCATCCATCTTCCTCCCACGTCTCCTCTTCTCCTTCACCCAGCACCACCACCACTGCAACCTCCAAATATGTGAAGCCCGGAATCGTGCCTAAGACTATTGGTTGGTGTTCAGACTACTCCCACCCTGTGACCTTGGACAAGGTTCCCACCCCGACAGCGGCGCCGATGGTGACCCCCGCCCCTGGTGAGGGCAGCGGTGCTCGTGGTCCTCGTGTCAAGACCATTACTACGACCGTGAGTGTCGAGGCTTGTCCGATCGATGCGATGTGAGGGGAGTCTCTGGTGTGGAGTCCGGTCGAATGGTGCAGTCAAACTTAATTTCTTCATGCCGATATATTTTGTCAAGGTATTCGGTATTACTTATTAGTAAATATTGTAGGAGATATTTTATGTAACTACAGTCGAGGCTATTCTCACTCTAGCTACTTCTAATCTGCGTAGCCATCGTATGCCTCAGCTGCTAGTTTCGTCCAATTTCTCTACATATGCCTTGTGGGAGACAATAAGGAAGCATTTGGTCAATTTCAACAGGGTCCTCGACTCGGGAGGTCCTTCCGAGCCAGTCAGTTGATAGGGATCCTAGATCCATTTATTTTGCGACATTACATATATTGTGAGGAGTTTCGCATGGCGGCAGAAATCAAGCTGACGGAAAGGCTAGAGGCATTCAGGTCTTGTTTCGCGAGGTACGTATTATATATTAACCTTTTCAAAATTGCCAACACTGCCAACTATGCGAGGGTGAACTTAGGTAGAACAGTGAACGCTACTGGGTTGTCATGCTCTTCGTATCGGCTGGGGTAGAACATAGGAAAATGAAGAAATGATTGTGGGCAAGGCTGGATACTACAGTCACCAAGCATTCTTGGACATTCTCTACACCGACTTGGACTCTTGGTCAAGACTTGTTACAGACTCGGCCAAGATATCCTCTCACTCATATATCTGCAGAGTGCGGACAAGCAACCATTGTCGCAGAGGCTGCGTCTAAATTTGGTTGTTCTCGCCGATCGACACGAGACGGACTCTATTTTTGGGACACGAAACTGTGCCCTGGCAGTCCCTGGGCAGGAACACGAACGCTAAGCTTCGTATTATGGTTGCATCCGAGATCAGCCATCCCGACCACTCCAAAACAAGTCAAGCTAGAATTATTGTCGATATATTTCGCGAGATGCATACGAGACGGACCCTGATCAGTCCTACAGGTGGGGCCAAAAGTTTCCCCAGGGGCCCTCATCCTGCGAGCACTTTCCTTCTCGTATACGGACGCGGCTGTTTTGAACTAATTTCCGAGGCAGACCGGGCAACTCTCATTTGCCCTTATCCTTTGTTCTATACGAGGATATGGATGATCACCGTGTTCATGCTCGGGTATGGGGGCATTACTGGCTCTCGCGACTCGCGGTTTACATCTCGAAGAAGATCATGAATAGGAACATGACCTTCCAGATCAGCTATATAAAGGACAATTGAATCCCTCGAAGTTTGGATCTTCTCATCAGCATCAAAACAACCATCTTCATCCTCAGTCTCCTAAGGATCAGCGCAATCGCCGGAATAGTCTCATTAAGACCCTCTTGAATCAACCGACATCATGTTGTACCTTCCTCTCGTCGCCCTTTCCTTTGCCTCCACCCTGGTGAGCGCATACCCCATCACTGGCGATGGTGTCAACTGCCGCTCTGGTCCTGGCACCAACCATCCTGTGGTCAAGTCCTACCCCAAGGGCCATGATGTCTCCATTGTCTGCCAAGCGCCCGGCACCGACGTCAAGGGCGACAAGCTCTGGGACAAGACCTCCGACGGCTGCTATGTCGCCGATTACTACGTGAAGACCGGCAGCTCCAGCTATGTCACCAAGCACTGCGATGGCGGCAGTGATGGTGGCAGCGGTGGCGGCAGCGGCAACCTCCCCGGTCTCACTGCCACTCAGTCCTCTCACGCCCACAAGATCATCGATGAAGCGAAGAAGGAAGGCCTTGGTCGTCAGGGTTGCCTGGCTGGTATTGCGACCGGCTTGGTCGAGGTGAGTCAATCCTCATACTCCTTGTTTATATACTCGTATACTAATTGGTGAACAGTCCAACCTCTTGATTTATGCCAACAGCAAGGTCCCCGAGTCCCTGAAGTACCCCCATGACGCCGTCGGCCACGACTACGACAGCGTCGGTATCTTCCAGCAGCGTGCTGTCTACTACCCCAACATCGCTGCCGACATGGACCCTGCCCGCTCCGCCGCTCAGTTCTTCGCCAAGATGAAGAATATCAGCGGCTGGAAGACGATGGAGGTTGGCAAGCTTTGCCAGAAGGTCCAGGTCTCGGCTTATCCCGATCGCTATGCTCAGCGTGTGCCTGCTGCTCAGAAGATTTGCGCTGCCGGTGGACTGTAACCTGCTTACTCTATTCCTTTTCTCTTTCGATGTGTGAACACAGCGCATAGAGGTCATTAGACGCTCGAGTCTTTCTTCTATTTTTTTTACCATTCTGGATTGCAGTTTTTGTTAGATCCTGTATATTTGACTCATTCTATATTCTATCTTATTGAGATTTTGTGATAGCAATTCCCTTGAATCAATCAGCAACGGTATAGCTGACCTTGGACCTGCCGGACTTCCTCGTAATCTTCCTCACCGTAGTTAAGCCACACAGATCTGTCGTATCGACATGCGTCCCTCCACAGGGGTACACCTCGGCCCCAACGATATTGACCACGCGAAACTTCTCGCCGGGAGCAACAGCGACAGAACCCCGATCGGGCAGCAATCGCTCCAGCCCTCGTCTCCGAAACTCCTCCTCATCCCACCAGTCCACCTCGACAGGCAACTTGGCCTCAACAAACTCGTTCACTTTCGCCTGGATCGGCTCCTTCCATTTCCCGTCAATCGCACCCTGGAACTCACACGCCGCCGCGTCAGGGAAATGCGACGCCTTGAGTTCGTCGAACCCCTCTACCTCCTTTTCCAGGAGGTGCCGGACCGCCGCGCCGAGGACGTGGCCGGCCGTGTGTAGACGCGAGTATAGTAGACGCTTATCTGCGTCTAGCGTCTGTTCGACTGTATCGCCCTCGGAGAAGACGGTGGGTTGATTAAACCGGCCAAAGTGGAGGACTTGGCCCTCGCGTACTGCGTCCATGCGCACGGCTGCGACCGTGAAGGTAACTCTCGAGGCGCTGGTCATGGTGCCCTCGTCTGACGGCTGTCCGCCCCCTTGCGGATGGAAGATGGTTTGCTCTGTGATAACAGCGTAATCTTCATCGGTGCCTTGCTTGAAGAGCTGCCGGTTGGATTCTTCCAAGGCTGCGAATGGGTGGATTGCCTTCACGATGGTTTGGAGATTGTGGAGCTTGGCATTGTGCTGGAAGGCGAGAAATGTGCGGTCGGCTGTGACCATGATCACTTGAAAGTAAGTCTCGGCAAGTGAATTTAACCTTATGGGATGAAGAAAGTTACTATGGCGTTAAACACTATGAAATCGAGAGAGAGACAAGTTGCTTCATCCTTTTTCATTGTGATCTTCCCTTGGCACAAATTCACAATAGTAACGTAATCTCCCAAACAGGGAATAGCGTCAACGCTGAGTGGCTGTGTATATTTATTCCCGTGTCAAAGAATGAATTAATTCGAGGAACAAGACATTGAGGTCCGATCGGTGGGATTATTATAGTGGATAACCACATAGTAAAGTAAGTGATGCTTTTAACAGTAATTCCAGGATATAGCCACATATGTCCGTAACAAATGCCGACCATCAACAACGCGCCGATTATCGAACTAGCAGCGAAAGTGTGTAAGTCTCCAAGCTAAAGGAGACGCATGTGCATCAAAACGATGGCAATAAGCTAGATATATCTCAGTTGTCGCATAGAGCGCAGCATCCTGTACACCCCAAATAAGGTGGCATAGATGCCTCCGCCGGCTGTGGCCCAGGCTGGGCCCTGCATACGCAAGGACGAGACGGAAACAGGACCTGGCTGTTTGTAGGTATCTGATCGGACGACGTGCTTGCGCCTTTGATTTGAGTCTGAGACAGTTTGTGTCATTCTGGTTAACCCAGTTCCTCTTTGAGCTTCGCCACCTCACGATAGCGTACCTGGAGTTTGAAGCCTCTGCTTTAGAGTACTAAAGAGAGGCCTCGAACGACCGACAATTGCTTGATACATGTTTGTAGACTTGAATCGGTGATGAATGAATTGTTTGTTAGCTTTGTGAAGGGGAGGAAGGTATTGTTCTCAATCAGTGGACACTACGGTATTACGAGCATCAAAAATCAGCGACAAGAGAACAAAAGTCTCGATAATAAAGAACTGCGGGGGCGACTGCAGGACGATCAAGCTGTCATAAGACCCGACATTCGTGGAGTGGCGAATTCATCATGACTTCCCCGGAGTCGAGGAAAAGCAATGAGCCCACCGTCCTACCAAGGTACAAACGCTGTCAGAAATAAACGGTTACTGGTTCGTCGGCTATCCAATCGTTTTACGATTCTTTTCAATGCTCCCTGCGGTTGGCTCGATAGGGTTATGGTTAGCGCATTCAGGTGTACCGGCATTTAGATATGGGTGGGATGTCGTTTACGAGCTTCTTGAGACAGTCATCCACGAGAACGAGTACTTGGCTTACGGCCAGCTTTTATCAGACATTGCATCGCATGCAGAAGACAGCCCTTTTGCGAGGAGGTTGAGGCAGATTGCGGATTGACTGACAAATGAAAACACACGATCTCGTATGTTTTTATTAGAAGCTATCTCACAACTGGAAGCTGCTGGCATTGACAGGCTGTGCGGTTAATGTAACTAGGGAGAATTGTCCTAACGTCCCTGAGCCGCTCCCTTTTCAGTAGACAACTGACCATTATGAAATAGCCCTTTCTCATGCAGCTGGAAGAACCCAGGAGGTTACAGATTGGCTCGGAACGTTCCCACTCCATTTCTGCCCGCTCTTCATAGTGACAGTCACGTAGACATCATTGCCAAAAGTGTTTTCAATAACCACAGTGCGAGTTCCATCTGGGTTTAACGAAGCCACGGACTGGATACCGCCACTGTCAGAGTATGTGTAGCTGCCACTGCCGTTGAGCACAATCGCACCAGGCGGCATGAATTTGCTGAATTGTGCCATCATATAGTACGCAGTGTTGAGCGTGTAGCCTCCATTGTTGATAGTCACCAAGCCTTGGCATGTGGCGCAGCCGCCAGTGGACAGATGCGGGCCATCCTGGGCGTCGGTTCCCAGAGTCCATGCTGCAACACCCGAGGCCCAGTTCTGCAGGGGACCCATGGTGAAGTCGGCCGCCTGATGCCACGCGCCAGATGCTGGTGTCCAGCATTCGGTCATGTATTGCTTCACTCCAGGGTTGGTGTTGTGGAACTGGCTTAGCACTGTCCAGTCGACGTTGGGAGCGTAGCAGTGCCAGGCAACCGACTTGACGTACTGTCCGGCCTGGTTAAGGACTGTCTGAGGATACGATGGGACATCTGCAACATGTCAGTTTTTTTTGCTGTCATATCATCTAAGGTAACACGTACCTGTATTGTGGTCATAAGCCCAGATTTCGGTATTTAGCCCGGCGCTGGCAAGAGCAGGGCCGATATAGTTTTGGATCAGCTGTGCCGACTCATAGTCATAGACATACATGGTGGGATAGCCGGCCGAACTGAACAGTGGCTCGTTCTGGATGGTAATCGCATCGACCTGAGCACCGAGATTCTTATAGGCTTGGATGTACTTGACAAAGTACTGCGCGAATTGGCTGGCATAGCCCGTACTGCCGGTTCCACCACTGGTCAGGTATCCATCGTTTAGGTTGTTGTTGTTCGTATTGCCATCGATGACCCCGTTCAGCTTCATCCATCCTGGCGCACTCCAAGGAGAGCCGAGGATCTTCAGCTTGGGCTGCAGAGACTTCATTGTGGCCAGCATCTTGGCCATGGCTGTTCCTCGGTCGCCCAGATTGAATCCCGACAGTGACGGATCTGCCTTGCCGCCATTGTCGTCATACGTGTACGCTGGGTCACCGGACAGATCGGACGCCCCAATGGTGTGTCGCATCAAAGCAAAGTTCGCGCCGGCAGACGTCATCAATTTATTGAGCAGGTCCTGCAACAAGGAGGCAGGCAAGGTGTTAAACGAGGTGACCGTGGCATCGGTGACAGCAGCACCGAACCCAACAATCGTTTGTTTGTGACCGGACGAGGTGTCGTCGACAGTCAATTGCCATGTTGATTCAGAGCCGGGATTTCCTGCTCCTTGGACCGGAGCTGCTATAGAGGACAGCTTGTAGTTTCCGGCCGAGTTGGAACAGTATGCAGACGCAGAGGCGGCTCGTTTCTCTGGTGTGGCATGGCTCAGGGCTGTCAAGCCAAGCAGAGCACCGACGGATATACGCATTGTCAACGACAAGTAAGTGTTTGTCTTTCTCTTGGTTATTTCTTCGTGTCGTCAGAAGGACTGATTGAAAGGGTCTTGGAACAGAGGGGCTTCAAGGTCTTTATATACCCCACAGTCGGATCCATAGGCTGGTACTAATTCGGCACTTGGTTTGGCAAGAATCAAGCTATAACTCCTCTTCAAGTGCATTATTGGCCAGAACAGTCCAGGTGCATCTTTAGAAGCAACACAAGCATTACCCCGGCGGAGTACGGAGCTGAAGAATACTACGCACAGGGTGAGGATACCACAGTATCATGGACTAATGCTAGCCTCAAACCTGTCCGAAGCAAGCTCAGTATCAAAATGGTATTGATCTTCAGCGCTTAATCAATGCCGATGTCTTCAGTTCCCGGAGTTCGTGATGGCTCGATTTTCGCCCTGATACCTCAGACGGACTCTCGACCAACGAGGCAAAGCCTGCGCCTGTAAACAAGCATTATACCTCTCCTGTCAGTAGTAAATTTATATCAAAGCGGAACATAATAAGGCCCATACCCCACCTTTCTTAACTATGTTCATCTTACGTGAGAATTATGGATCATGCAGTGAGACTGTGGGTATACTTGACGAAGCCGTTCAATATGGGATATGTACTCAGATTCATCTGGAACAGGCTCTGTACATCATCGCTCTTTGAGAGAGAGCACAATAAATATCATGACTGCCTCGAAAGTTGAAAGTTGACAGTTGAAGGCCCCTGAAGAAGAAGACGATGGTCTGGCGCAGTCATAAGCCTCTACCATTCTACGCCATAAAGCTAGTGTCCCACAGCACGGTACATGAAAACCCCGGCCCCCGCATCTTCACCGTCTTGTCCTCTGCAAAGAGACCATTTTCCAGAAAGGGTAATGCAGAATTAGCTCCATCCAAATCATCCAATTCTCGATGCGAGCTTAGACACGGTTTAATATAGTACTTTGCTCCCATACATACATGGCCAACCAAGGAAGTAGATGGAAGAAATGTCCTGCCTCAGGCATGCACGGCATTCCCCAAGCTAACTTCCCAAAATGGTTAGCACCTGGTACTGCCGTGCCCCTCCGATGTTGTTGCGTCAATCGAGCATCGTCAAGGCATCGAATATACACTCGTTTCCGTCCCAATTGACTGCCCAAAAGCCAGTGATCCTCGTCAATCTGCACAATGGCATCCATTCTACCACGTACCGGCTTGAGAGCCCTTTCTGCGCTCTCCAGATCCGTCCCTGTCTCAAGAGTGGCTTTCTCCCGCCAGCTTCCGCGCGCCCAGCCCCTCGTGCAGCCCTTCGGTCGCAGATTCCTTGCGACTGTTCCCCAAGAACAGCCTCGCCTGCGTCTTGGTTCTACTGGTACCTTATTCTCCTCCGTCTTCGGCTGTAAACATCCTGCTGATATAAATTCCCTCCCGTAGCTCCAAACTTCAAGGCTCAGACCACCCACGGCGAAATTGATTTCCACGAGTTCATCGGAGACAGCTGGGCCATTCTCTTCTCTCATCCCGCCGACTTCACCCCAGTATGCACGACCGAACTCGGAGCTTTTGCCAAGTTGAAGGGCGAATTCGACAAGAGGGGTGTCAAGATGATCGGTCTGGTGGGTAGTTCTCTCAATTGAAGCACGGTACCATACTCATTGATCATATAATAGAGCGCCGACGATCTCAGCTCTCACGGTGACTGGGTCAAGGATATCAACGAAGTCGCATCGACCACCGTTCAGTTCCCCATCATTGCCGATCCCGAGCGCAAGGTCGCGTTCCTCTATGACATGATCGATCAACGCGACCTGGACAACATCGCCGAGAAGGGCATTCCTTTCACCATCCGGGCGGTTTTCATCATCGACCCAGCCAAGAAGATCCGTCTGACAATGCTGTACCCTGCTTCCACCGGCCGTAACTCCGCCGAGGTCCTGCGTGTGATCGACGCTCTGCAGGCTGCGGACAAGAAGGGCATTGCTACTCCCATCGACTGGACCGTTGGCGAGGATGTCATTGTTCCGCCCTCCGTCTCGACCGCGGACGCTAAGAAGAAGTTTGGCAATGTGCGGGAGGTCAAGCCTTACCTGCGCTACACCAAGTTCTAGGTGGTCTTCAAGTCATTCCGGTCAATACAAGGGATCCAGTAGATTTGTAACAACAATAAGATTTTTCATTATATCCAGCGTGATATGTCAAAGTAGCCTTGCTATGGCATGGTCAGTTTTGCACGTCGGCACACCTACTTGCCTGCTGTACTGGAACTCACGATAGGCCGCTCATTTAACACGCATTGAGTGACAACAGCCTCGGAACTGTAAATTCGACCGATTAAACCAATGTCTCATGTCCCTGGCGTTCCGCACTGCAGTGTGCTGTGTCGCTGATCGCTAATCGCTGGCCAGGTCAACGCCAACTTCTGGCGTGCAGGGAGAAACCGCACAGCCCGTTTCCGGGCCGCAAGCGGGCTGACAGTCACACAGCAGTTGTCATCGCAGTGGGACAAACGGTATAAGGCAGAGTCCCTTCACACGTAACAAGTGTCCGTCATCTTCGCAGTTTCGATACTAGCTTGGTCTGCAGGATTCAAGATGCCTGAAAGGTATAGCAACAGTTCGGTGGACTTATACCGTATCCTTGAGCAAACCAGGCACATAAGCCTGGAGGATACTTCAAGTAAGACGGGACCAACTTGTTATCCGGGGTAGGTGAGGGCAAAACTAAATATTCCAAAGGAAAGATTGCGTCCGCCATCGGACCACTGTCTCAAATCAGGAACCTGGTCAAGCTTTTACAAAAACTGGGCCACGTCCGCGAATCCTCTGCTCTAGCCGATGTGCTTCGCGTGTGCACCCATCCGCACGACCTTGGAGGGCTGGGTCTGGACGATGCGAGCGACTTGACAGTGCAGCAAGAATCAGAAGTTCTGTTCCTCGTGTCTGCCTGGCTGGAAGCGCTTAATTCAGCGGATAGGTCCAGATCGATGCTTGCTCCGCTGCCATCCAGGCCTCCAGGTCGGCGCGGGATGACTCTAAGCGAGAAAATCTTTGCGTTGCACGACGTGGCTCATAGGGGTCGGGTCGCTCCTGGAGATTTGATTCGGGTCGATGTCGATTGGGTTATTGCTTCAGAGGCATCATGGGCCGTGAGGATTGACCATAATGATTTCTTTTTCCGCGCTGAACCAGTTCATTAGGGCATGGAGACTACGTACAACGACCTAGGCAAGCCTGGGATTCATCGCAACGATCGCTTCTGGCTCGCCGGTGATCATGTTGTAGATCCTCGCATCCGAGATGTTCCAAAAGTTCGCGCGCTGATCGATGCAAGTGAGAGGGCAAAGCGAGTGTTCAAAATGACTGAGTACCAGGGAACGAACGTCGGTCAAGGATAACCCTTAACTCCAGGGAGATGCTAACATTGTCTAGTATACTATCCTCCACACCGAGTTCTACCGGGAACGAGCGCAACCTGGCATGCTGATTATTGGTTCCGACTCACATACGTGCTCCTCTGGCGCATTGGGATGTCTGGCGATTGGACTCGGGGCAGCAGATGTGACTCTCCCCTTGGTAACAGGAGAAACGTGGTTCAAGGTTCCTGAGTCCATCCACATCCGTCTATTGGGTGTACCTAAGCCTGGAATTGGTGGAAAAGATGTTATACTATACATTTTGCAGCAGTTGAAGAGGGATACTGTCGCTTCGGATAGGATCGTCGAGTTCTCTGGTGCCGGTGCCCAGTATTTGTCGGCTGATGCTCGGTTTGCTATTTGCAACATGACAGCGGTACGTCAATGCAGTTTCAAGCTGTTATGCCTTGCTTATTGGAAAAAAGGAACTCGGTGGTATCACCGGTGTATTTGTGCCTGATCACATCACGCGCGACTTCGTGGCCAAGAGACGCTTACAGCAACACAAGAATCTTAGCACGTACTTCCGACCCGACAACGATGCGCAGTACGCCGCAGAACTCGACATTGATCTTGGTAACGTCCAGTCATTCTTTGCTCGATACCCGAGACCAGATGATGTGGTTCCAGTCTCGGACTACGCAGGAATGCGGTTGGATGGTTGCTTTATTGGAGCTTGCACCACAACTGAGGAGGACCTCATCCTTGCTGCTCTTGTGCTGGAGCAAGGACTGAAGAAAGGCTATCGGCCAGTTAAGCATGGCAAGAGGAAGATGGTGCCGGGGTCAATGCCGATCCTGCGCAGACTACGCGAATTATGCCTCACCGACGTCTACGAAGCGGCGGGTTTTGAGATCGGAGTACCAGGCTGCAGCTATTGCGTCGGCATGTCGGCGGATCAGGCAGCCCCAGGAGAAGTCTGGCTCTCATCCCAGAACCGGAATTTTGAGAATCGCATGGGCAAAGGTTCGTACGTGTGCCGCTTAACAGAATTCTTTAGCTGAATGAGGCAACGCAGGGTCAATAGGGCATCTAGGCTCTGCCGCAGCTGTCGCTGCATCCTCATTTGAAATGAAATTGACCGATCCTCATGACTTGCTTCGTGGGATCAACTGGGAACGATGGATATCCTTGCGCGAGTCTTCTGGACCCTCGGCGAACACGGGCTCGTCTTCTCATCTGACCTATGTTGAGCCGAGCGGCTCTCGTGCTCTCGCTCCGGAGAGAACTGTATCAAGTATTTTCTCCAGATACACGCAAGAACCTCGGTTTCCTGGAACCCTGCGTGGCAAGGTCCAGCTGCTAGGCGACTTCATCGACACGGACGCGGTATGCTCAAATAACTACATATATCCTTTTGCCGGGCTACACTTTACTGATAGCATCCGTAGCTAGCACCGGCTGAATTCTTGATGGATATGAAAACTAATGAACAGAGTGGTCTGCATTGCCTACAATACACCGATCCGTTATTCCGTCAACGAGCCCAAGAAGGTTTCAACATCGTTGTGGCTGGTCAAGCCTTTGGCTGTGGATCGTCGCGCGAACAGGCCGTCATGGCATTGCTTGGTGCGTGATACGACTCTCACCTGTACTGTTGCTAATAGCATCTCAAGGCTGCAGCATCAAATGTGTGATCGCGAAATCATTTGCCTTTATCTTTCAGCGGAACATGCCCAATCTCGGCCTGTTGGGCATTACCATGCCCAATCAGTCGTTCTACGCCGCTGCCAAGGATGGCTCCGAGATATCGATTGACCTCCATGCGCACGTCATCCACATTGATGGACTCCGCTTTGAATTCGAGTCGAGTCAGATGGAACAAGAACTGTTCCGTCACGGTGGCATTACTTCTGCCTTTCTAAAATTCGGGAACAGACTCTTCGAAGAGCTCACAGCTGCGAAGAATGTTGGGACAAGTCACAAGGAAGAGAATTATCATGCACCTAGCGCGCTGCAATGGTAATGATGACTGTCCTAGTATCTGGACTGCGGCGGCCCTCGCTTCCATATGGCTCCCTGCCTGTATATATATATATCTCCTTTTCGGGTCTAACCCATCTTATTCATTGAACTGTCTACAGCCTAGAGAGAGCAGCTAAAGCAGTGGCATTGACAGCTGAAAGTATTACATTCCTTTCGTTTCCTGTTGAGAACAGATAGCATTGAAGAGAATGGTGAGAAGCAAGGCTATTCCCATCCAACGGATTGACACTGTTCATAATATGACTGTCTTGGGTTTTTCTTCCTGACTCAGTTGTTCTCCTCACTGTGGGTCGTCCAAAGTGATTGGCGGGTATCGGATCGATCCAGCCAATCAACAGTAGTCAATGACATCCTCAGTAGAAACAGGACATCTGATAAGGATTTGCAGAGTATAACTTTGACTTTATTTGACAGAAGTTTATGGTACAATAAGTTGCGGTTTGTTCAGATATCTTCCTAATATCAGAATTAATCCATATGTGGTCAATAAATCGCTTGACCCCGAGAGTCATCAGAATAGCCACTCTAACGCTTGTCCCATCCTCTGTCAGCATTAGAATGTCACATTCCGCCACAGTGACCCTACATGAGGTCAAACATGAACAGATACAGCCACGGCAGCCCTCATTCAGGTCGTTAGCCATACCGGAAAGTGAAGATGACCCGAAAATTCGGGAGAAATATCGTCCCTATCTTCTGAATCCCCAGCAAGCGGCTGAGGATTGGGCAAATCGCTTGGAACTCGACACCGTGCTGGACATGGCGGAGAAGGACCTCAGGAGGACTCAGAAACGTATCAAGGTGTTGGTTTTGTACGGTTCGCTGCGGAAGAGGTATGGATCTGTTAACACGCAGTAATCCCGGCAGCATCCGAGGCTAACACTATCGGCAGATCGTACTCGAAGCTCGTAGCCCTCGAAGCCAGTCGAATTCTCTTCCGACTCGGCTGTGACGTCCGAGTCTTTAATCCAGAGGGCCTACCAGTCAAGGACGACGTCCAGCAGACGCACCCCAAAGTCCAAGAGCTGCGCGAATTGAGCACATGGAGCGACGGTCATCTCTGGGTGACCCCCGAGCAACACGGCAACCTGGTAAGCTCTTCATCACACGTCGTCTTTCAGAACACCACTGATCCCTGCTAGACTGCCGTCTTCAAGAACCAGATCGACTGGATTCCCCTGTCGACCGGCAGCGTTCGACCCACTCAAGGCCGCACGCTGGCCATCGCCCAAGTATGCGGAGGATCCCAGTCGTTCAACGCCGTCAACTCGCTTCGGATTCTGGGCCGATGGATGCGCATGTTTGTGATCCCGAATCAGAGCTCAATACCGAAGGCATACACGCATTTCCCGGATGCTGGTCGACCGGGAGACTATCATCTCATGCCAAGTGGGAACAGAGACCGCTTGGTCGATTGCATGGAGGAATTTGTTAAGTACACTATCTTGATGCGGCCTCACTTTGATCTCTTTGCGGATCGATATAGTGAACGCGAGGAGAGGCGATTGAAACAAGCGGCGCAGGCTGCCTAAAGCCGGGGCGGTTGCCATATAGAAGGAGGTGGTAGTACAGACACGCTTAACAATGTAAATAGACATTGGTAGAATAGCCCCTGGACTCATTGTCCTCGATATCATGAAGGAATATGCCCGAGCGGCAGCCGAACGAATATAATCTCGGGGAACATTAAGCCAGCAGTCCCGGCATAGGTAGCAGCAAACTCGCTGACCGTCGTAAAAGCCCTCCACAAGACAGCTGCCGCACAGGATGCTCCGTAGCACGAAGTTGGGAGAGAGATCATGAGGAAGGAGTGTCAGGGCAAAAAGACCAACAGGATCGAGGTGTTGGTTCGCAATGCCGCCAACGGTCACCATCGCCTTCATCCTATGCCTCAGACCATATGCTCATTGGACACTGCCCTACGGAAGGAACAGAAGTCGGATATATCCAATTTAAATTAACAAATCAGAAATTAATAGATCAGAAGCGCCGGTATCTCTTGCAATCATGAACAGACAAATCGAAGTAGAATCATGAATCGTCAGAGTTGCTCCCGAATTCTGCAATCACGACCGCTGTTCTTTGCTGGGCGAGCCTGTAAACCAGTTTCCAGCACTCTGAAATCCTCCAGAAATGGAATTTCCCACCGTCTGTGCCCCAGAGGTGACACTCTGACCAGCACCCTTCGCCCGGTCCACCACGGGGTCTGTGACACCGCCAAGCGGTCCACCATATGAGCCATCCTCGTCCTTGCCGTTTCTCTCGGCGCGGTTGATGCCTTCTTTAGAGATCATGTTACCGACTGGAGCAAGGAATCCGTTCTCACCGAGCTGGTTGCCGACCAGATTGTTGACGTCGTCTTGCACTTGATCGACCTGTTTGATGCCGGTGACTTTGGACTTGGAAAGGGTATCTAGTCGAGCTCATGTTAGCCTATCTGGTGCTCAAGGACATTTATCCTATATAGATTGGGAAAGGGACATTTCTTACCTTTTGCGACGTATGAAGCCTTGTTGTCGCCCTTGCCGAACCATTTCAGGTACTGCTCCTCAAGCCATGGCATCCACTTCTCATATTGGTCATTGTATGCCTCTTTTACCCATTCGCTGAACGTCTGCTTCTTCTTCTGGTCCTCGGTGAGGTTGTCATAGAAGTGTCGCTTTTGCTCCTCCGTATGGGTCTCAGCACCGGTCTTTTGGTTAGGGCTATCCATAGTTGTTGCTGTGTTCGACGGAAATATCGGTTCTGTGTCAGTGATAAGCTTGACGCTAAGGAGAAAGTTGCCTAAAAACGTATTACCATAGGTCTAAGATCGCGATAGCCTTCTATATAATGCTGGTTTGGGTATGGCTGTCCGCCACATGGTGGGCTAGCACCATGACGTGTGTGGCTCTCTATTAGATCAGTCACTACTCGATCCTTGCTGGATTGCGTACTGGCAAAGTCAAGCTTCATTTCCTTAGCATCAAGGATGACATCTTGTTGGATCTCTTGGGTTGGCACTTCTGGATGGCCATTCGATGCGATGATCCACGCGGGCCCTGACGTCATTGCGCCGTGTCTGGTGATGAATCTTGAAATGACTAACATTCGATGATATGATATCCATATACACCAGGGCTGATTTTCCAATGAAATTGATCAGTTTATATTACAGTGCTTTATATCGATGTCATGTCGTGCTTGGCATTGTTGTAGCATTATTGTAGTCGAATAATGCAGACGCAAGCGCAACTGTCGGATGGCTAGCCCTTTGGTGCTGTTGGTAAAGTTCACTTGCATGTCGATCAGAACTTTCTTTCGTAGGAGATCAAGATCTCAGACTTCAAGGCTAATCAATCGCTGATTTGGTTTGATTGCTGTCTCCTCGAGACCAGTCTCAAGAAACCCTTTCCATACTACCGGGGAGGTCCATGGTACCCTTCCCCAGAGAACTCCTCCCGAGGGCAGCAGTGTTCTCATTGGCTTGAATGAAGCGCGCGGGCAAGGAAGAAGAATTATATTACACTACAGGCCCTCTGCTATCTTGGTAATGACCATAATCCTTTAAATGAGCCAGAATCTGGCCTGTTCGCGCTAGAATTTGAGATTTACTGACTGGACATCTGCTAGACTATGAGGCTATTTCAGAAGACTTTTAGCTCTTTTCCGAACCAATTGCTTCAGAAATGACAGGCTTAGGACCTGACCACTTCGGAGAGTACCGACTGGGGATGGATACTGGGCAGCCTCGCCATTTCAGCCTTGTCAGGGGCACAGCGACAGCTACCGAGTTCATTTGATGAGCCCTTGTGCTGTTGCTGTTAGCTCCGCCTATTATTGACCGTTCTTTGCCAAAATAATACTCGGAGTATACAAGGTTGCTCCACCTTTACGAGGTCGACAGATCGTGCCGCCTTTGCGCCAATCACTTTGCGAGTTGCATCATCTCGAGATATAAATACCCCCGGATACGAACGGTGGAGATTACTGATATGTCTGCCAAGACAATATTATTGCCTCTTTCAGGCTTCATTCTGCGGCTCTGTCATGATGCCCATAGCCTCAACACTTACATGTGCTTTATTGGGGAGCAATTATCACCGTATATAAGACTTCGTCCGGAACACGTCATGTGAGGAGCAGAACATCACTCCTCTAATATTTACCACCACTCTCCTTTATTCCTTTCTTACCCAAAATGAGACTCCTTCCTTGGGCTGCGGCCATTCTCTCAGCTGTGTGCGTTCAGGCAAATGAGTGGCACGCCTACTACCGGCTGACCTCCGATGCATATCAAGCCAAGTTCAACGACCTTGTGGGCCAAGGCTACCGTCTGAATTCCGTCAGCGGTTACGAACGCAACGGCCAGCCTAACTTCGCCGTCATTTTCGAGAAGAAGTCTTCTACGGCCTGGAAATCTCACCATGGCATGACTTCTGCCGCCTACCAGAAGAAATTCGACGAGTATCTCAGCCAGGGATACCGTGTCGTTCAGGTCAATGGCTACACTGTCGGCGACGACGCTTACTATGCTGCCATTTGGGACAAATCGCCCTCCGCCGGCTGGGTCACCCGTCATGGACTGACGATTGAGTCGATGCAGAAATATTTCGACGAGTACCTGAAGCAGGGCTACAAGCTCACTCATATTAGTGGTTACGAGCTCAAGGGCGAGGAGCGCTTTGCGGCGATCTGGGAGAAGAAGAACGACCATACCGCCTGGCTCTCCTATGCCAACATGACCTCTGCTGAATACCAGTCGCGCTTTGACAAATATGTCAAGGACGGATACCGGCTCACCGACGTCGACGGATATCAGGTAGATGATCACGTCTACTATGCGGCCATCTGGGACAAGTCGGCCTCTGGTGCCTGGGTCGCCAGGCATGGATTGGACTCACCAAGCTTCCAGGCGGCATTTGACAAGTATAAGAAGGAGGGCTATGTTCTGCGCGCTTTTAGTGGGTACAACTCTGGAAAGGAGGATCGCTATGCTGGTCTTTGGATAAAGCCATAGGTTGCATTCTGTCTTTTTAGAACGATTCCATATGATTACAAACTTGTAATATAGGATAACTCTTCAACGGTGCATCGTTACTAGAACATACCTTCGAATACATCAAAATCATGAGTTGAAAGTGGTCACATACACAGTCCGGCGTTGAGAAATATATATCGACGGTGGTGGCCGAATGTACCATACTTTTGAATGCTGATAAAACCATTTATATCCTAATTTTGCAAATGCAAGCAAGATCGTGTAACTTAATGCCTGATTAGAATAATTCAATATGTAATTGTGTATTTACAGGCGCCTTGCCATTTATATAGGTATTCTTTGAGGGCCGCCAAGTGTGGGGGCAGCATCGTACCTCGCATTGGGCGCCTGCTTCATAAACTTTTGAAAAGCGCAATATCTCAACAATTGCCTCTATGGTGTAGTTGGTTATCACGCAGGTCTCATATCACATGACTCTTCTGTCAACAGAAGGGATGTTCCTGAAATCCTGAGGTCTCCAGTTCGATCCTGGATGGAGGCAATTCTTTTTTTCATATTACTTTTTGCTCTCCGCCTGCCCCTCAGTATCTCTTCCCCAACGTGCAAATGACAATAAATGTACAAAATATAAACATGGATTTTTGACTCTGTAAGGACAACTAGATTCCCACTGCTACCGGCAAGCTACAAAAGCAATCAATCAGGACCAGATTCACAGGGAGACAGTTTGTCTAACACCAGTCTCTGCAGACTACCTCATGAGTCCACAAGCCATCACGATATCTCCTTCTTATAAGCGAGAATGTATCTCTGGTTCTGCCATTCTGTCACAGTGTACCACTCCTTTTTCGCCTCATTGTAGCTCAGATCCTCATTTCCTGGAGGGAAGTAGCTCGAACCGACGGCAGCCTCTCCAGGGGTCCAGGTGAATAGATCACCTCCATTGTTTTGACCATTAGTTCTTCCCAGGTAGAAAGTGTCGTTCCGGGAGAATCCGCCCTGCATGCGAAGAATATCGACGCAGTATGCCCAGGACGCGGTTGCTACCGAGCCGGTCTTGCGCAGCCGGCGTGTCGTAGAGTCCAGGGGATATTTGACCAGACGGATTGGAGTTGAGGTGTCATCGGTCTGGTACTCGCCGATCAACAGAGTATCAGGCGAGTCAAGACGATCAAGAGCGACCCAGGAATGCCGGAACTTGGAGTCTGGCTGGAGCTCAGTCCAGTTGTAGACCCTACCACCGTCATTAGCCCTCTGTCTACCTGGGATGTACACACAACGGATAACTCACCTCGTCTGAGGAAGGACATATGCATAATTGGCTGCCGAGTACCCGCCTCCAGCCACCTTACCGATCCCATCGCCACTCTCGACCTTCCATATGTTGTCCATGTCGAACACCCGCAGGCCATGGCTGGTATCGACCACGTACAGGGCATTGCCGTACCAAGCAATGCCACCCGCATGGATCGGCACCGGCTTGAAGTTATCCGCAGCGCTTGGTTCCACCAGCAGAACGTGCCGGTACTTGTGGGTCGCGCGGTCCACAAAGCTCACACGAACATTGGCATCGCCTTCCTTTTGGTACCAGCTGGCAAGCCAGACGTCCTTGCCCTCGTATGTCCCGACGGCCAGCGCGTCGCCAGAACTAGTCATTCCTTGTGGAATCCACTTGGTGGTGGACTCGTCGCCGGCATTCCAGAGCCACCGCTCCGACATTGGGACGGCAGCTGTGCCCTTTTGCAGGTCCCGATTCGCGTCAGCCAGAACCTGCGTGACCGTGACCTTCTTGCCGGCATCGGTGAAGATCTTGGACAGCGCTGGGAGGAACTTGTTGTCTCTCTCATTGAGGGTAAAGTACGACGGGTTCAGTACTTTGGTATCACCAGTACATGCTCTTGGGTCTGCGTAGACCGAAGTAAGGAGAAGCAGGGGAAGGGAGACGGAGATAGTGCTGAGCAGATTCATACTGGCGGCTCTGGAGGGTGTGGGTGGCAGTCAGGACGGAGATATTCCTCCAACATCCCGTCCTGCGGTCTTCTCGCTGAGGAGCGATATTTATCCCTTGTGTCGTGTGGTGATCGGCATGGCCTTTCTGCAGTTCATCAACTGATACGAGGCTTGGCAGGTGCATAGATCAATAAGAAGGGCAAGATCCATGGTGTGGAGAAATCAGGGGTATTGAAGGACGGGATTCATTAAATCCGAGAGCTTTTACGATTTTTCTACGCATCTCAATGGTGGAGGGGTATGGTCGTTGCGTCTCCCCGCAGCCAAAGGAAATGAATCTCGTATTTCCTGCGAAAGCAGGGCTTCAGGTGTAAGATCATGGATGACACGAGGCTCGGACAGCACTCTCATTGCTAGCTTGGGACCTCCAAGGATATTGGAATGTCGAACAATCTTAAAGCACACAACAAACGGCTTCGGTCTATTGACAACAGACTCTAAGGCATCAAGGCAGGTACCTGCACGCCGGAATATCACGCATCAAACCCCAGTCATGTGACTTTCGGCATGTTGACGAATGAGTCATGTGCTTCCCCTCCAACCAATCACCTCAGACAGTCGAGGAGGTGTATCGCAACAGTCTGAGAACGTACAAAGGTCAGACACAAGTATATCACTCTGACTATGACTTAGAGAGGATATATCCGTCTTGCCATGACGCACCAGGCGCAAGACGCAAATGCGACCGTGTCGAGTCCATTACCCTCCGGAAACATGCGGCAGCGGTCGCGAAAAGCATGCGCGCCCTGCCGCCAACGCAAAAGAAAGTGCGATGGGAAATTCCCCTGCTCGGCCTGTACAGGCTATGGATACGACTGCCAGTTTCTGGACGGCTCTGTGAGGTCTGTCAAAAGAAACGCAGACTCAGTTTCGTCGTTGCCACTTCCCTCTACGAAGGCTGCTCGTTTGTCAGAAGCGACAGCAAAAAGCCTGGGAGGCAGCTCGGTAATCTCTTCTTCCTCTCATGGTATCCTTGAGCCTTCAAAGCTCAGGTATATGGGTCGACACGCATCAGTTGCGTTTCCCATGACAGTCGGTGTGGAGTTGCAGGCTGCAAATCCCCCGCGCCTGCACTCTTTTGCGTATAACCCTGGAGTTCGCGCAGAGCCCAGCTGTGGTGTCTCCTTTGCCTTGACAGCATTTATCTCATGGGATAAAGTCCGAAGTCTGATGGATGTGTACTCGTCGACTGTCCATCCGGTGTTTGGATTGCTGGACATGGAGCGGCTGTACCATCGATGCGAGGAGCACTGGCACGGGAAAGCACAAGGCCTGGGCCTGGAGGCGCTAATCAGCGGAGTCATTGCTCTCGGCTCTCTCTTCTCCGGTTTTCTCAGCGAAGAAGAAGAGACGAGGGTCATGCTGCATGCGAAGGAGATCCTGGAAGATGCGTCGGTCAGTCGGACACCCTCCATTGACAAGATCGCCGGGTGGATCTTGCGTACCATCTATGTGCGAACGACCAGTCGGCCACACTCGGCTTGGATGTGTAGCTGCACCATGATGCATCTTGTTGAAGCTGCTGGCCTCCACCAGCCATTAGACGCGGTCATTCTGACGACCGGAGGTAATGGCAGGAAGGCCCTGGAGGATATCGCTGAGACGCGGGACCGTATTGCCCAGGTAGCTCAGTGTTTGAATATAATCATAGCCTACGATTATGGGCGGTCCATAGTGGACCTTGGATTGACATGGAAGAGAGACTCGAAGAGCGATGCGCCATCTAATGACCTGACACCTCAATTGTTCAGTCTGGTCGGAACTGTCCCACTCGACAACAATGCTGATCCGGTTGCCAGGCGGGATGAGTTGGCCATGGGCCTCGAGAATCTGGTCAAGGTGTCGGTTGAGCATGACTTTTTGATATTAGTCAAGGCAGACCTGGCATTTTGTATCTACCGCCGAATTCGACTTCTGGAGTCTGCAACGCCTCAAGCACAGCTCGATCGAGTCATCGAGATCGGTTGTTCCACATTACCTTCTGCCCGACGACTGGTGGCGCAGAACCGTCCGTGGTGGAATGTCGTTTGTACTGTCTTTCAGTTCATTTGCGTTCTTGTCGCTATGGATACTACCGAGAGTCTGGAAAGAATCCCGGAGGCCGTGGAGACCTTGGAAATGATCGCACAACGATTGAACACGCATTTGGCAAATGAAGCGCTTCACACAGCACGACATCTCATAAACGCATCATTGGAGAAGAAGCGAAAGGGCATTTCGATCCTCGAGCGGGTGTCGGGCGTTTCTGCACCGGTTGACTCTGATCGCTTGGGAGGACCGTGGCTCCCTTCAGATTCCTTGTTGGATCCCTTTCCACAAACACCTTCGATCGATATGGACTTTCTTCTCGGTATGGACTTGCTGCTTTGATAACATGTCCTCTTTGACTACCATTCGACTTTGCCGCCTACTCCGCAGCAGTCGACGCACTGTCACGATGGGTATGACGCCGAGAATCCTCGCCTGGTCAGCTGGATGTCGAACACGGAGTAACGGTTCCTAAAAAAGCTGCGAAAGCCGCGAAGGCAAAAACACAGGATCCCACGCCCAACGTTCTTCCGGCCATCATTGGACGCGAGAAGGCCGGCACCTTCACGTTGAGCGCTGCGGGCAGCGCTAGAAGTGCTAAAATGTCTACCGTTAATAGTGCGCTTGCGGATACTTGTGTGGTCGATCGATCTTAATTGGAGGGGGACGATATCCGCCAATCCGTGCAGATTGCCCAGTATGCGTAGAGTAAGCGCTTCAGCTGCGTCACCTTTTTGGAGAGGGGCTCACTGCCATATATGCTGTCGGTATCATCATACTACGTAAAGGCGGATGAGCAGTATCAGGAATATTCAAGAAGATGCGAATAGAGGCTCGCTTCGGAGCACATATAACATCCCTAAATAGATGGAGCTACTGATGATGATGCGCCGGTGTTCACAGTATTGCGGGGGGCCATTGCCTTGTAGGTGTGAAGCTGTGTTGAGCATTCACTGCAGGTCCATTATCGAATACATGACAGACTATCGTACAAGCTCATCAAACCCGGAAAACCTAAAACATTTTGTCAAAGACGTTCTCATCACGGTCCAATGCGTCCGCTTCCTTGCGCAGCACGTCTGCTCTGAACTTCCGGAACGCGTTCTCGATGCGTTTCCTTCGTTCAGGGTCCTTGGCAATACTGCGACTTCCACTGGCTGCTCCAGCAAAGAGCCCTGTAGTGAAAAAAAGGTTAGCGATCATTGCATCTTTTGTATAGGAGTATTGCACCAGGCATACCCAGTTCGCCGCCCAAGAAAAGTCCACCAGCCGAAGCGAAGAAATATGTCGCAAAGTCTCCCCAAGTTGTCGGCTTCAGTAACGGGGTAATATCAGGGATTGCCTCTGTTTCTCAATCAGTAACTGCACTCTCTATCTCATCGGACGAGGACTATCGTACCAGTTCGACCATCCGCAAACACCACCTGCGTGGGTTTCTCCGCTGCGCGGAATGCCTGGAAGAAAGCCTTCCGCGTGCTTCGCAATCGGAACGCGACGTAGAGACCAAGGCCGATGCCAACTGCCGAGCCGACGGTCGTCCAGAGAGATACTCTGGAGGCGGCGCTTTTCAGCACATCGCGATCTTCGGGTTGCAGGTCATGTTGCATGTGCTGGTCCGCCAGTCGCGTGAGCTCGTCGCCGCGACGGCTGCGGATGGAGAAGGAGGATTCAGGCATGTTGATAATTTAACGGTAGCAAAATGGTGTTTAGAGCAATAATTGATAGGAGACAAGTTGCTGGAGCAATGCAGGTAGGTTGAATATTCAGGTTTATGGGACTAGACAATTGAAGCTGGTTGCAAGTAATGACGTCAGCGGAGAAGCGCGAATTATAGCATCATTACCAAGTACAACAAATTAGATATGGCCCCATTTTTTATATTATGTCCCTTTTTACAGTCGGTAGTAGCTTTAAAATAACATTATACAATCTGATAATCTATTTACCAGCAGGATATGACAACCTCGGTAGATACTATGAAGCCTGAAGTATTGTCCTAGGAGCGCAGGTAGAATAACAATGATATGTATATCATTCCTCTTTATGTGTATGATAGTAATGATTACTTGACTTTTCACGTCCTTCCAAGCCCTTAGCTATTTCTATGCAAGAGCTAAACTATAGTCTAGCATTGTACGATATCCCCGGTCTCGTCGATGCAATATGATAGGTATGCTCCTTGTGGTGACTCGACTGCTAGCCAACTGCTGCCACGAGGACGGAGACATAAATGCTGTATAGCCATCAAGGAAGTGATTCTGGTCATAGGTGCCTTTCACACACCGTATTGGAACCCTCAGGCTTCGGCGACAAGAACAGACTGAATGCGCAGGGGACTACACCCTCATTGATAAACCAGAGGTGGGCGAGGGCTTGCAGAACCATCTGATAAACGTTTCGGCAGTGCTGTTCCAAGGCCTCACCGCATCTCGAAGGCTGGTAACCAAGTAGACGAGGAGCTGGAGAAATGGATTTCGCAGAGTATGCCGAACCAGGAACCTGATCTGTACAAGTCATCTAGTGTAACCTGAGAATCCCAACGAACATTCTGCTTTCCTCATCGTCAGCATCACGATATGCACTTCACAATTGATATGGGAACAAGTCAGGTATCATCAGTTCAACCATACACTGACACTAGTTTCAGATACGCCACCGCCGCAAGATCTGGGTGGAATCCTGTTGTATCCATCAGACCGCTTCATCGTAGTATGCAAGGGAGGATGCGCAGATCTCACTCATCTCACCTCAGCTCTGCCACTTGAGTGCTCAATTTTGGAAAATGAGCTTATCAGTGGCAATCGTGGTAATCCCTTGCGTCGCTTTGCTCGCATTTGAGAGGTCCTCACATGGCGGTTAGGGCGCCATTTTTGGGCACCAGCAGAGACACCTGTAGTTGTGATCTAATCAAGCGTGGTAGATCCGGCAGATAGACCATGAGATTCTTAAGCTTTACCGGCGCACGTGCGACAGTATACTGCAAGGGTTGAGCTTCGACAAATCTCGTGGCCTGATGACGAGTTAGCAGATAAAATCTGTTGGCATCACGCCATCCCCTCGTCTTCGGGTGTGGATGGGTCGAGATGTACGGCAATTCGTGGAGATAATAATTTACTCGAAGTTTCAGGTATCCTGGCTGACTCCCTGGGAGTTGCCATGGATTCTCGCAAAAGGGAGGACAAACTGCATGTCAGCTGTTTCCTCAGCAGGACCGTCCACAACAGGCTTACGGGTTGATGCAGCTCAAGGTAAGGGTCGCGTTCGATAGCCTTCTAGAAACAAAGGGGCATAAGGAAAATAACTTCCACGAGACTGCAAGGGAGGGACACGTGTATGTTTGTAGGATTCCTAGGAAAGTGTACATGGGTCTCTCTGGATAGGATTTCTATGCCTACGCTGGACCAACTGGTACAGACATCTTCAAGGCTGTCAGAACAATCTGTTGTGCTTTGGCCTCGACTGGCAAGAGTTCTTGTTTCACCGACGAATGCGCCTTGATTAGTCCTGTAGTAATTGGTTCTCGTACATACAGGTGTGTCCGTCGACTGTCGGACATGGTCAAATGGTTATTATCGGAGCCTGGCCAGTTCATCATTGCTGAATCAGTGGAAGTGCATTCGGAGCAGCAGAGATGAGCCCGCCTCTTTCCGAGAATCGGTCTTTGCTGGTTTCGAGAGTGGTCAGTGGACTGTACGCCCTCTGCTAAGCATGATGCGGGATTTTTCTGTTGTTAATAGCATCCATTCCTCAACCGAAAAGTCCCAACGGAGGCGTTAACCATTTGCTTAGCAATTCTGCGATCCGACAATATCAGAGCAATAGTCGAGGTTGCTCTAGGGACCAGACGGCAGTGAGAACAGTAGTTGACTCCAAGATGTCTACTCCAGCACAATCTCCAACTAAGCTTGTTCTGGATTCCAAGCAGCCACCTTAGGTAGCTTCGGATAACTTCCGTTCTGAGTAATCAGCACAACTGCCCTTGAATAACTGGCGCAATGAATACGCTTTGCGCTCTTGTCTCCAAGGATCGTCTCTGCAGAATAACAACTTCAGCTGTCGACCCGATATTGTTAATAAAAATGGCTCATAACGGAGTGATGAACGCGGGGTATAATGTCCACCTCTCCGCATGGAGATCCTGGGGGCTTCCCCAACAACATGGAGCAAAACAAAGAGCCATATCCACAGTATGAACTGTATTAATAATGGAATCCCAAATAAACAGGCAACTCGTGTAGGATACCCTCGCCGAGATGAAATACAGCCGCGACATCCTCAACATATTGCTGGGAAACCGATCCTGGCCCTGCCGTTGCCGGATCGGGACTAGTCTGAGACATTTTCATGACGCAAGCATTTCATGCAGTCAGCCAAAGCCTCAGCCTGTGCGACTCCCATACGCATCGAGGATAAGATACAAAGGATGTCTCAGAGAAGAATGAGAGGACGTCTGATTCGGGGGTGTTCAGATGGTATAGTCCATAGTTAGTTAACTGACAGTTTGATGATGGACCAGTGGTACACAGTACTCCGTACACAGGACACGCCTGAACTGAGAGGGAAGGAAAGAATAATTTCGGCACCCAAGGACAAGGCAGCCCGACACTAACCAGAAACCGCCTAGTTTCTTGGCGGAATTGAGTTTTTTCCGGTTCCTGAAATCGAACATGTCGAACATCCAGAGTCAACTAAATCCGACGCAGCCGGTCGCACCGCTCAGGCTTATCTTATCTCACCTGACCGCACTACACCAAATTCGGCTCCGACTGCGCTGTGGGTGGCGCAAATTCCTGCCAATTGCTGCCAAACCCTGCCTTGCCGTGTCTTGAGTCCGGCTTGTCCTGTTGCTTGCCGTGATGCCAGTTGCCCTTAAGATCGGATTTGGGCGGCGCCACCGTCGATCGTCCGCAGAGTTTTATTCATGTCAGGAAAAGTATCAAAGGCTTCTTCTATCATATCCCTTGCTTTCTTTCTACACGTGTCGCTTCTCCAGACTGTTCCAGGGCCCCCGCAATGGCCTTTTGACGATTTCCGGGGACTTTTCGCGGGGGATTTGGGCTCATCGACATGACTATTTCCCTTTGGTGATATCTATTACCCAATGCAATCACCTTGGTGCTATCTCGACTCCACGTCACAATGGGTCCACACAGCCGTGTCGTTTCACAGAGTGTCATTGACTGCCAGGAGTCTAACCTGTTTGTGGCAATGTGTCCACCCTTCGTCTGCCGGTCATTTGCTGGATGGTGCCAAATGCAGTAAACTGGTACGCATAGTGGATCGTCGCACACCAGCGCCACAGAATCTAATTAATAAAAGAAATTCCCTGCTATCACTCGCGCCCTTGGAGAAGGTCTCCAAGTCTGGCTTATGCAGCCCATCCGCAGTGATCTGTAATCCCATAGTAGTCCAATCATGCCACTGTATTTATTCTAATCGGCCTCTTTTCCCTACTTCTCCCACCCCCGTTCTCTGCCTCACTTTCCACTCCACACCCATTCCCGCCCCTTTGGCCAGTTTATAAAGCAGACCACTTGCTTGTTCACTTTTCTCTCCCTCTGCTCTTCACTCTCACGACTCGAGGAAGACGGTTCGATCTCGGGGCTCAGTCCACCTTTCTTCTCCCTTTCTCTCCCACCGTCTGCAACCCGCTCTCCTTTTCCAACATGGGGTCCTCAGCCGACATTTCCGACTACTCTGATACCGGCAAGGCCGTGGGAGCCGACAATGAGAAGGGCGAGAAATTCCTCGCTCCTCCCCAGTACGATGGAGACATGATCGGGGAGATGAGCGAGGCAGAGAGACACATCTATGAGGACGGCGTGAAGAAATTCAGCCGCCTCGGATGGAAGCGTCTCACCGTCGTGCTCATCGTGGAGGCCATTGCGCTTGGTAGTCTGTCGATCCCCTCCTCGTTCGCTACGCTGGGTATGGTGGCTGGTGTCATCTGCTGTGTTGTTCTTGGATTCATCGCCATCTACACCAGTTATGTCGTCGGTCAGGTCAAGCTCAAGTTCCCTCAAGTCGCCCACTATCCCGATGCTGGACGGCTCATGTTCGGCCGCTTTGGCTACGAACTGATCAATGTCATGCTCATCCTCCAACTCACCTTCCTGACCGGCTCACACTGTCTGACCGGCACCATTGCTTTTACCAACATCACCGAGAGTTCCATCTGCTCCGTCGTGTTCGGCGTTGTGTCTGCCATCATCCTTTTGCTGGTCGCCGTCCCCCTAGTTTTGCCGAAATGGCTATTCTGGGCTACGTCGACTTCGTGTCGATTATTGCCGCCATTGGTATCACCATCATCGGCACTGGCATCAAGAGCGGCAATGCCCCGGGTGGTCTGTCCGGTGTGGAGTGGTCAGCCTGGCCCAAGGAAGGGACCACCTTCACTGATGCCTTCATCGCCATCACCAACATCGTTTTCGCCTACAGTTTCGCCATGTGCCAGTTTTCCTTTATGGATGAGATGCACACCCCCAGGGACTTTGTCAAGTCGATCTGGGCGCTGGGTCTGGTGGAAATTTTCATCTACACTCTCACTGGTGCGCTGATCTACGCCTTTGTTGGCATGGACGTGCAGAGCCCTGCGCTGCTGTCTGCCGGACACACTCTCAGCCGTGTGGCCTTCGGTATCGCCCTGCCTGTCATCTTCATCAGTGGCTCCATCAACACCGTCGTCTGTGGCCGTCTGATCCACGGACGCATCTTCAAGAACTCCCACATCCGCTTCATCAACACCCCGACTGGCTGGGCCACCTGGCTCGGTCTGATCACCGTCATCACCGTCGTCGCATTCATCATCGCTGAGGTGATTCCTTTCTTCTCCGACCTGCTGTCCATCTCCTCTGCCCTCTTCATCTCTGGCTTCACCTTCTACTTCCCTGCTCTGATGTGGTTCCTCCTCATCCGCGAGGGCAAGTGGAATGAGCCTAAGAACTTGGCCCTCGGTGCCTTGAACGTCCTTGTCTTGATTATTGGTCTCGTCACCCTGGTCGGTGGTACCTACTCCAGTATCGATGACATTGTAAGCATCCTCCCGAGCTGTCATTTTTTCCATCAATTACTAACGGCGACACTAGATCATCAACTACAGGGAGGGCAAGGTTAGAGGTGTTTTCACCTGCCACATGGTCTAAACTTCGAATCACCAACAGCTACGGCTGATCTGCGCTGGTTGTATCATATTTGAACGGCAACGGCTCAATTCGCCGATATACCACATTTCTCTTCCCAGTTTATGATTAGACGAGCCACCGGCTGGCTCAACATAGATGATGTGCATGTACATACTGCGTTTATTTCGATATCTGAGCAAGCGAATCATGAATTTATTCCTCTACATCTGACCGTTTACTCTGACACATTAGGCACTAAAACCGATTGGCGATTCGATGTCTGGTAAGTAGGAAAATTTTGACAACGCCTAGACTAATCTCCTTTAATTTCTGTCATCAACCTTTAAGGTTGCAAGCTAATTGGTTTCCCTCGATTTCACCAGCCATAGGCTCATCGGCCATGAACCACGGTTAAGCTTCGGTCCTGAATATTCTAGAAAAACCTTACAAACCATCGCTGAATGGTGCCAAGTAGTTAGCTGGTGGATCGGACGAATAACCCAAATACACCGAAGTCCGAACCGCTGAAATGCCTCCAGATTTGCCATCGGGCATCAGCCGGAGACACTCGGGTAATCCCGGGTGATTGTCTTGTCCGCTGAGGATCCTCAGTATCGCTTCACCGGAGTCCAATTCGGTATGGTTCTCGTATTCTTGATCTACTACTATCGTTCGCTTCAGATTATGAACTGAAAGTTATCCGTTCTGTGGCTAGTCTGAATTGCTGCGTTGTTGATCAACACTCTCCGAATCTTAGCGGTAAATTGCTATGTGGCACTGTAACTTAGCAATAATTATCTTTCATCTTTGGCGATCATTATGTCAGTTGTACTCCGTAAGGATCCACTGTTCCACTTGCACTACGCAGTGGTCCTCTACGTACCTTAATGTTCCCGCTCTTAACTTTTGCCATTTGTTCATTGAAAGTGCCCCTATTGGCCAGTCATGTTGGATGACAGTATCCTTGAAGTAAGGTGATCTCATTGTCCTCCTCCCGCTCGACTATGATTTCATTTAAACAGCCTGTCCATGCTGATCCTCACACATAGAGAGGTATGGCTTCATGTCATACTTGCGTCGATATGCCTCATCCACATGCACCAGGAAGTAGGTTCCTGGGGCAAGGCTCTCGACACTTCCCTCGGGAGTGTAGTTCCTCTGCTGATATGCCTTTTCACGGAGTTTACACATCTACATAGTCAGCGATGATCAGGACATAGATGCATCACAAAACCAACTCACCTTATCATAGAATTCGGGCGACACTGCCGTCCGAGCACTCAAGCGATCATGCAAGCCAATCTTCTGAGCTATCTCGGTCGTGTCGCCCTTGACACGGAAGCTGAACAATGTGCTAGCCAGTCCGCTCCCATAGCTGAACATGCCGATGCGTTTATCCTGCAGTCGGTCGCTGGGGACATTGCTGATCAGGCTGATGAGACCCGCATACACACTGGCGGTGTACATATTGCCGCAGTTCGTCGGGACGGTCAATGATGGCTCGACGCGCTCGGCGAACCGGTCCTTGGTGAGACTAACACACAGCTTCTCCAGGCCTTTGTCCGTCAGCGACGCCGTAAAGTCGGCTTCTTGGACTTGTGCCGGCACCTCGTTAAACGACCCCGGCTCTAATTTGAAGTCGTTGAACAGCAACCGGCCATACCCCTTGGCGACGAGCTTGCAGTTTGGCGCATGGAAAGCGAAATAGTCAAACGTATCCAGGAAACTGCCCTTGTGACCATTGCTGATGGCTGTCCCATTCGTCTTTGCTTCTTTCCGCGCGCGCTGCTTGGTCTGATACCGCTGGTAGCATGCGTCCAGGGCACCCAGGTAGCAGGTGTTGGAAAACTGCCCGTCGACGAGCGGGTACTCGGATTTGAAATCCGCCTTGTAAAAATCATAGACATGCTTCATGCAGGAACCCCGGACCGGCTCCAGCACCAGAGGGGCGTCCGGACCGATAAGCATGGCCACGCAGCCTGCACCACCTGTGGGACGCGCCGCTGGCGTTTCGTACAGGGCAATATCCCCCGCCACGACGATGGCGTCGCGGCCATCCCAGGAGGAAGACTCGACCCAGTTTACTGCATTGAGCAGGGCGTTGGTCCCGCCATAGCAGGCGTTGTATGTGTCGACGCCCTCGATGTCAGTGTTATCGCCGAACAGCTGCATCAGCACCGTCTTGCAGGACTTGGCTTTATCCAGCAGAGTCTCAGTTCCCACTTCGAGACGCCCGATGGTGTTGGGGTCGATCGAGTACTTGCGGAGAAGGGAGGATACGGCGGTCAGGGCAAGAGAGTAAAGATCTAAGCGGTCAGTTGTTGATGCTTCTTCCATCGGATGGGTTGCTCACCTTCACGGTCATCACAGAAGCTCATGTTCTGCTGACCTAGTCCGATGGTGTATTTCCCTGCACTGGCTCCGAGAAATGTCTCTAGCTCGGTCTGGGGGACATACTGCATTCTGTTAGCCAAAGTTCCTACTAACTGCAACAGTAGAAACATCGCTACCTGGCGAACTTACTCGACTAGGAAAGTAGATCTCAAGGGCTTTGATGCCGACGTTCTGAGCAGAGGAGGGCATGCTTGGTTGAAAGAGTGATAGTCTTTGACTCAATATTTGACTGATGAAACTGGGCGCAGGAACTCGATTATCAGGTAATAGAGAGCAGCTTCAGGATGCAGACCACGTATTTATAACTTTCATGACATCTATAAAACGCAGCTGAGGGGTCAACTGCAGGCAGCTGTGATGGGTCCTACAGTGTACATTGGAGCATCATATGCACCTGTTGCTATTCCTTTCAACCGAGACTAGGCCTCCCCTTGCCTCTTGGGCTGGAATGTTGCGTTACAAGCAGATGGATTAATTAAATTCCTTGGACATTGGATGTCAGTTCGATCTGGGATCTGTTGGGGTGATGGCATCTCACATCTGCTGTATGAATAATGCTGTCGTTGTATCTACCAACTGCCCGAACACATTGAAATTATATTTCCCCTCAGTCAAAAGAGAAGGTCTCATAGTGATAAGATAATTGACAAAGATCCAACTGTAATTGGACTATTTGGGTGAAGATTTCCCGGGATATCCATCCATAGAATACTTGTCGCGGCTGAAATATAGTGACATGGATCGTCCAAGTACACCCTTGCAGTTTTCTTCTTCTAGGGTTCCCATGACATCATGATAATATGAACCTGGGAGATTCTCGATGCCTTGCTCAAGAGAGCTGGCATTCCATTCGCGTGGAGTAATATCAGAAGATTCATGTCTGCCTGTCTCTGCCAGTGTCCGGTCATCACCTGGAAAGATCGGTTTACTCACTAAACAGGAACAATCCCATATGTTTGCGCTATGTTACCAGTTTATCTTCTTGATGATCTTTAAGGCTCTGTAGAGGTCAGACTGGATCCAATGATGCTTGTACGCCAGCATACCTTCGTCGTTGATAGCCTAGTTCTGTCTGTCGTCGTATCTGATGTGCGCAGGCAGGATATCATTGATACTTGGGAGGCATCGCTTTCCCGTAACAGTCTCTGATCTACAACTCCAAGTTGGCCATAAGATTGACCCTCGAGAAACTCAATGGTCAATACTCTTCGGGTTCTTCCTATTAACCTTGAATATGTCTTAGACCTATTGACGATCTTTATCAATGGTCTTATTCATATCGGAGAATGCCATATAACTGCGCTGCTCACGGCAGAGAACCGGAGATCTCCTTATAGTTCATGTCCATTACCTCTTATATCGGTAACTCCCTATAATCTTCACAAAAAAGATTGAATTCACTTGCTGCAGTAGCATCCACGTGACATGAGTATAGAACTATATGAACCATCTTCATTGACTTGCTTCCTTCTCCTCTCTTCCCTCTACCTTACATAGAGCATAACAGCTGCAAAATGTCTTCCTCCACAGACGCGGCTGCCATGATCTCATCTCCTCCCGTTCAGCAGGATGCGGACATACGCGAAGCATCCGCTCCATTCTCATTCAATGTGCTTCCATTGGAGTGCCGACAACAGATTCTATGCGACCTTCCAGACATTGGATCGCTCAAATCCGCCATACTGAGCCATTCCTCCCTGTACTCAGCCTTTTACAATCACAAGACTGCGATCATAGTGCAAATTATTCAACGTCACATACCCAGAGACTTACTCGCATACGCTGTCCTGTGCTACCATGCACGGAATATCGAGCCGTGGACGAGAGCAAAGGTCCTCGATATACTGGACCTGTATTTCAACCGCCGCCTGATGGAGTCATTCAAATGGACTATTAGAGCAGCTATGGATCTGGTAATGTTCCACGATAGTGTGACCTTCTTCACAAACGATTATATCGACAATGCCCTGGGTCTCGTGGCACCCTTAGACTTTCCAATCCACGCACCCTCCGAGACCGAGTGGAGTCGTGTCGCTCGGGCATTCTATTTACAGGAGACGACCAACCATCTCTTCTGCTTCCGAAACAGAGAGGAACGCTGGATTACTGGCGGCATCAAATATGCACGTCCATCGCCCTCTGAATTCCGGCCTCGGGAAAAGTTTGAAACATTCTTCGGGAAGCACGCGCCCTGGGAGATGGAGCAAATTGGCGCGGTCAATGAGTACTTGTACTGGAAGATTTCACCAGGTATGTCTATTCCTGCTACTTCTCTTGTTCTCGTTTCGGTTGATGTCTCGCGCTGACTCTCTACGTCACATCTAGCTTTTAACAACATCGCAGCACACGACGTCGAGCTGGGTTACTATACCGTGTATTTCTCAGACAACGAGACATGGGAAGCTGTTATGGGAAGCCAACACAAGAGGGGTTTTGTAAGTAAGCTCTCTGTCCCACAATCTGACATATTGCTAACTGTTTGACTCAGCTGCTGAAAGGATTGGCGGCCCTTCATCGATTTGTCATAAGAGCCAACCACCACAGTCGCATCGGGCTTATCTCAGTTCGCAACTCGCGTTGCTCGAACTGGCTCCTAGTTAATGAGCTGGAATTCCTGCAGAGATTCGCTGCGGGGTCCCTTGGAGCTATGTTCTACAGAGACCTCACACCTGACCAAATGGACGAGGTTGTGAGAAAGCCTTTTGCACACGACAGCGACTCTGGCCCTCAGCAGGCATGGCAATGGGCCCACAACGATGCTCGGTGCTATCAATTCATTTGCGACAAGGAGCATCGAGAGCTTCGACGATTTGGCTACGTCATGTGGGACAGCCAGCGTCTCGAAAAGTGGAGAGACCTAGGGGGTCCTTTTCAGGTACCGCAGCAGGACGATGACACTCAGGCGGGCAGACGCTGGATGGCTATGTGCCCGTTGATCGAAAAAAGGCGAAAGATGTACGAACATGGGGCGCGTGGATGGTGGGACGGGGAAAATGGGGAAGAAATAAGATGGATTCACGGGGAGAAATCACCAAAGACCCAGCGGAGATTGTTGCAGTAGCTGAAATTGGATCACTAGGGGGCGTTGTCAATGGAATCTCAGTTTTCTTTTGAAGTCACATAGGGATGTGTTAAGCATAATGTTGGTACACAATGGAGTCTTATTCCGTGGGGGACAATCAGCACATCCCCCGTGTTTGAGTCTCAAAGTAACCCACAATAATTGCTCTAAATCAATGACAGCTGTGATGCCCCTTTGCAGACTGTGCCCGTTCGCTATACTGCGACCAAGCTAATAGACATGCACAAATAATTGCTCGTCGTCGGTTGCTCTTGTTGAGGCCTTGTTGACTGATACTCCACGCCAGAGTCAAGAGGGAGACGGCCAAGAAGAGAGGACGAAGTTTTTGAATGCCTGCTGCGGTCACTGAACCCGCAAAGACAAAATCTAGAACTGTCTGTATAGCAGTTAGTTAAGTGGACGTCGAATGGTTCTGGGAACGCACTGGTAACCAGCAGCAGGAACAGGACAGCAGCGCTGATCCTTCAGGGACAACTGCCGACATCCACTGAAGGGCACGGGCAGTGACACCCTGGCCTGTGGAGTCGGACTGTGAGGGTTTCTCGGAGGAATGGCAGTCGTGGCACGACATTTTGATTTTTGATGCGATTAAATGTCGGCTGAATCAGAATCCTGCTGGGTTTGACGTTGTGTTCTTATAATGTGGCCAGGCTGTTATTTCCGCCCTAGCGGAGTCTGATATCCAACGCCAATGAATTGCCAAATCGGGTTAAACAACGCGATAATCTCTCATACTAAGGTAGATACTAGACACTGATATTTGATAAATTTGACGTTGATAGATGACTTGATAGAGAGCACCCTTCAGATAATCTGACCTCAATGCTTGAGACGGTTTTCACTTATATATGTGTCTCCTGCCTAGACATTCCTCCATCCCCTTTCTCACCTACCCCTTGATACTAAGCTCTTCTCTGTCCGGGTTACACTCGACTCTTATCCCCTTGATCGCCTTCCGTAATTTGCACATAACTTCTCTCTCCTTCTCCAGCCCGCCAAATTTTCGAACACCGCTGTCATATCCGCATCTCCAAAATAGATCAGTTCATTGCTGACATAGAGGGAGTCATTCTCATGCGATCTCGAAGGACACTCGCCTATACATCGATTCTTCCTCGGTCACGCTGATGTCGTCCAGTTTAACGGGGTGGTCACTACCGAAAGCACTTCTCCGAGATTATAATTGAACAGAAATTAATTCAATACAAATACACTATAGTACAGATAGACATCAGAACTCGGGTATCTCATCATAACTCATATGTAAAGTCCTTAATAATAAGCACGACGATGATGGCTTCCGCGTCCGTCAGTGCCGTGCATGCGACGAGTGCCAGCGGCCTATAAGACCAGTCAGTTTATCCTTTTGTACACAATCAACAGCAATAATCATACCTTTACCGCCGGTCGATGTGTCAAAGCGCCTTTTAATCTCAGCATTGCTCCCGACACCTTGTCTCCCAGCGTAACCTTTCGACGGTGGTGATGTACGGGAGCAGTGGCCCTGGTACGACCGTAGGCGCCGCTGTGGCGCGTCGTGGTAGTCTTTGTCTTGACTGTCCGAGTGCGTGCATTAGGACCACGAAGGCGAGTCAATAGACTGGGCTTGGAGGTACGAGTGGTGGTCGTGGCGGGACGGTGACGGCGGAACATTGTGATAGTGGATGTACTTCTGGTAGATCTCTGGGGAGTTGTTTGCGTAGTATTTGAATCGATGGCACAGCTTGACATGGATAATACTGAATGGTGATGACTATCTCCAGATTGATGTAGTTTATATAACAGCTTCTATCCTTTTGGGAGACATCATGGTGGGTGCCACACAACGTATGCCAAGGGATCTACACCTTCGAGCAGGTAATATGACAGCCCTTGGACTAACGCCCGCACGTCATGTGGGATCATCGCTACGTCGGCCCCGCGGCTATATTAGGCTATCGGGGCTTAATTAGCGTACTAAAATTATAGACATGTAAGGATCAATAGCTCAGTGGACGCCGTTTGTTCATGGTGCTTCGATATAGATGGGGCTGGAATGATATCATTGTGGCTGGTGGCCACGCACTCCATTTCGCTGCATGGCTGTCTAATGAGATGTGCGATGAAGTAATATGGCCTAGAAGGGTGTAGAGAATACCCCTCTGATTAGTAGGTAGAGTTGGTAATGATGGAAGAGCTTCATGCAGCTGGATATGGATAACTAGCTCTGCATAACTACTGTTGAAAGGAGAAAGCAACAAAGACCACAAGGATATGTCTTAGGAAATGTGTGATATATTATAGAAGCTTAGAGGGTAATAGTACATCGTGAGAAACGCACGTCTATAATTACCATAACGCTCTTTGCAATCCTTAGTTTGAGGGTTGTTCGCTGGTTAGACGCTGCTTCTATAGCTTTAAGGCGTATATTTGTATTATTTCATGGGGTGAATACAGCTAAAATGAGGTCCTGTAGCTACCTTCATGGCATTTAGCTTCTTCTGTATTGTAATAAACGCCTCATCGCATTGGTAGTGAACCCGTCCCCGTCAACCTTGGGGTACGTCTTCAATGGACCTGAATCCAGGAGACCTTGCAGGGCCGGTTGAAATACGTAATGTCCTACAGATCGTCAAAGCAATCACCTTTGCCTGAGAGCGACTTCGCTCGATGCAATGTCCTGAAACCGCCGTCTGAGAGACGTTTAAGCAGATCGCCGAGGCTGCAGACAATATTCATTCATCACCGATTCCAAAGTCGGTGATCACTTTCAGACCAGGACAGACTTACAGTACACTCTATCCTTTTTTCTAAAATAAAGAGTCGAAAATTCCCAGTCTGCATGCCCACGGGGCATGGTGATATGTCTTGCCATCCGGCTCCCTGGGTAGAGCAAGCAATGCAGCAGACGCATGGTGTAAGTTCCACCTGCCGGAAGATATGATTGACACTTGAAGAAGTCCTCCTGGAAACCCAGTCCTTGAGCAAAGCAGCGCATTGACTGCTCCAAATCTATTGCCAACGACTTGGTCTCCAACCCTGGGAGATGCTCGTCGCTGATCCATGAATTGGCCATGTTTTCTCGCCAAACTGGAGATGATGCGACTCCTTGGTATCTGATCGGCCTGTTGAAGGACGGATCTACAAGTCTTCTCCAGTCCGGTGTTGTTTGCGCTCCAGGGGACCGTAGCTTCGATCTCATCCGGCAGGGAGAAGAAGCTCTCTGGTGCTGAACATGTTCTCAATTCCCGAGGTGGAAAGACCACGATCGGCCAGTGTAAAGAATTTAACACTCCCAGTGGCGTTCAGGGCTTGGTCCTTGTCGGTATCATCGGCAGCTATTGCGAGCAGGATCAGCTCTAGATGACGGATCGACGGTCGGAGCCGAATCCAGACTGGCCCGGAACGTATAGGGACATTGGACAATCCCCGGCGTTGAAGGTCTGTCGGTGTTATTTGGATTGGAGTATCGGAGGGCTGGAGAATATCTTCTCCTTTGCTGCAGATTATGTTACTTATGTTAGTATCTGGTCGGCAATGATCTTTCTTTGACCGCTATACGCGTGCGGCCCATGTGTCTGGAAGAACAGCCTCATGCCACTGAAGAGGGACTGCTTATGAATATCGTGACCCAAGGTGACTTGACGACTGATTCATGGGATTTCTGACTCGTGGCCCCCATGGTCCACTATCTACCAGGGGCAAGCGTTAGTGTCCTTTCGCTTAGTGTCATTTTATTACAGCGCCGCATCTCATTCCCAATGAGATCAAGTATACATGTTGGTTCCCCACTCTAGCCTTGTCTTTCTAATCGACTATGAGCACGATGTAACATTGATAATAGTTCTGCCTGGCGAGGCTTGAAAATCCCCTGATTGCCTTGAAAACTTTTGAACGCTGCGCTGCAAGCTGGTTCAGAGCTAGATTCCAATCGGCCACGAGATATGTAGTGGCCTATGCCAGTGCATTATGCTTATAGCTGGAGAATATACATCATGAGGAAGGGACTGTTGTCCTTGCTCTCTTTTGCCATTGAGACAAGTAATGCCATTGCTTTTGGCAAGGGAGATAACCCGGCTGTCGTTGAGCTTCGATTCAACCGGCAACGGAATGATGACATCGTCGAAATACATGGCTCTCCATCGAGGCGCGACTCGATACTATCTGAAGGGACACTAAACGAGGTATGTCCCTTTGACTTGCCTTTGACACCAGAAATTAACACCACAGGATGCCATGACGCTATACACAGTCAATGTCACTGTTGGGACCTCAGAGCAAGATATCGCCGTGGTATTAGACACTGGAAGCAGCGACACCTGGGTTAATATCTTCTCATCGAACTTTTGCCAGAACATGGCGAATGAGTGCGAACGGTATGGAATCTATGACAATAGCTCATCGAGAACCTACACGTTCCTCAACCACGAGTTCAACATCACATATAAGGATGGCACGATGGCGACGGGGGACTATGTCAAAGATACAATTCAGCTTGGGGGAGTGATGTTGAGTCAATTTCAGTTTGGCATAGCAGAGGAGAGCACCTCAAATCGTACGCTTCTCCATACATGCTCAAACCAACATGCACTGACTGTAATGCAGGAGGAACATTGGGACTTGGATTTCCTGCGCTTGAAGCTACTCACACTGAGTATCCCAACTTTCCTCAAGCCCTGGTGCAAGCTGGTCACATCAAGTCGGCTACGTACAGCCTCTGGATGGAGGACGTAACCTCGCACAGTGGGACAATTCTCTTTGGAGGAGTGAACGCGGCAAAGTATCTGGGACAGCTCCAGACAATTCCCCTCGAGCCCACTGGCGGCGTGTACACGTTCTTCCGTGTCATATTGACCGGGCTTGCTTTGCAACAGCGCGCGTCAAACACAACCACCAAATATCCAGATACCGAGTTCCCCCTTCTTGTCACCATCGACTCAGGAGCAAGCGTGTCTTATCTGCCCGAATCGCTCACCATAAAGATCTACTCTGGTCTGGGAGTCACACATAACACTGAGTACAATGTCCCCGTTCTCCCGTGCTCCATGAAAGACAGGGACATCACTCTGACGTTCGACTTCTCCGGTATCCGGATCGATGTCAGTATCCATGAGCTCGTTTTGAACGGGATCGATATGGACGGAGACACTGTGCTGTGCGTGTTCGGTATCTATACAAGTACCAGTGGAATCCCTGTATTGGGCGATACCTTTCTCCGTAGCACGTATGTCGTCTTTGATTTAGCCAATCGCGAGATCTCGATGGCCAACACAAACTTCAATCCCGGGGAGGATGCCATCTTTGAAATCGGGACAGGCAAGGATGCGGTGCCCGGTGCGACTCCAGTGCTGTCACCGGCTTCCACGGCGGTGAATATGCCGACTGCAGTGCCTTCGACGACGGGAAGAGAGGGTAACCATGCCAGTATAGCGATTAATGCCCAGATGGATGTGAAGTTGCTTTTTGCTGGCTTGATTGTCTCTCTTATGTCCGCTCCTTGATAGCTTTGTTTGTCCCTTGATGTTACGAGAGATATCGATATAGAATATCAAGGACTCGACTGCAGATACTGCATAAACGCTTCATCAATTTCTGGCGTCTTGTCGCCGATCCGACTCATCTCAGCATAGTTGAAGTCGCTGTACGATTGGTCATCCGGCCACATGTCGCCAAAGGCCTCTGAGTCGGCTTTTTCGGCCGGCACAACAGCCTCCACGGTCGCTGCTGGGAGATTCAGGTGCTGTGTGATAGGTTGCAGCATGGACGGCAATGTCTGTCCCACCTTTGTCAACAACAATGGCAGAAACCGTTGTCGGCCACCAGGGAGAGTGTTCACAAGCGAGAAGAAATGCTTCAGGTAATCCTGCGGGCCCAAGTTGAACCCCGACGAGCGCAGTCCCGCCGTCGATAGACAAGCCATTACATCAGTGAGGGTGCAGGCTACTTCGAAGATTTTCTCAATCTGTCGCGCTAATCAGAATTGTTCTGTACGGAGGGGGAACGAATTCACCAACCAGTCCAATCCCATGAGTTTCCATACTCTGCGTTGACAGCTTCCACGTCACCAAAGACAGATCGCGGGCGATCTGTAGCGGATATCGAAATTCCATGCACGGATGGCTGGCTTTGCTGGACAGAAAGCCCGCGGTGGTGGATAATTGCCAGATCATGGTTCGCAGCCACTGCTGCGAGACACGGAGGTCCGCCATTGGGATATCGGGAAGCTCGAGGTTAGGGGGAACTGCAGCGCAAATATGTTTGTCGAGAAGAATGAGCGACTCGCGGGAGCATGTGGCATGAGTACCATTCCACAGTCCGAGGAACGACTCGTCAAATGGGCGATAGAGGTCGGCCAGACAGCGAAATCCGATACCGGATGTGTCTTCAGGTGAAGGATCTTGCAGAGTTGGACTGTTGGCTGTGACCTGTAGGGTGACGGGCCGGTGTCGTCGGATGGCATGGGCTCTGTTCGAATTAGGACTATTCTACAGGAGGCAAATGAGGGAAAGTACCGTTCCGAAATCAGAAGTAGCCAAAAGAACTTGCCGGAAGAGGAATCGTCTTCATCGCCGTCCAATGCGCCTGACTGAGTATCCAACATGCCAGCCGTGTACAAGGTGGTGGCTTCCCGTAGGAAGTAGTACGCGTGGCGCTGATTCCCCAACGCGATATGACAGCCGTACAGAAGAAACGCGATGGTGATGCTCTGCCGGACAGGAACAGTGAGCGGATCAAGATGCTTTCGCGCTTCTGTTGCTTCATCAAGCAATTCGCGCCCGGCGTCCATACTCTGGGCCCATTTCGAGCCTGCAGCTTGGGAGGAGGAATACCCCGTCTGCATCATGACAAAGGCACAAAAGGAAACCACCAAGCAATACGCGTGGATACAATGATCCATCTGCTCGACATATCTCTGGAAGGTTTCCGCCTGTATAATGGGAACTGTACCTTGCATGCGCGTGAAGAAGTACTCGGAGCAGTCATGGATAAGCTCCCGAGGAAGGACATTTTCCTTGCGTGCAAATCGACATCGTGCGCTGGTTGTTGGATTCACAACAGGAGTAGCCACTGTTAGACTTGCCGTAGGGTTAGATGGCTCATTGCCTTGAGCATTCTGTGTACGCAATTCAGAGAGAACGTTGGCCGACTGGCCTTGCCGTCCTTTCTTCTGTCGCACCAGCGATGTTCGACAGCTTAGCCTGGCCGATCGACACTGGCTGCAGGGTCTTTGGGCGTTGCATTTGACTTTACGCCGTCGACAGGCATCGCACGCTTGCTTGACCATCTGCGTGTCGCGGGGCATCTTTAGGTCTGATTTCTAGTTGCAAGATTGAAGAGAAATTGCGGGGAGGATTAAAAACGGAGAGAATGTGGGGGTTTTCCGAGTCGTCCCACGCCAAGAATAACCCATATAAAGGCAATGAAAGGAGACCTAAGTTCCTAACGTTGGTGTGAGATTTACAGTGATTGGACTTGCAATCAAATACTGCTAGTCCCTGTGGATATCGTGCCGATCTCAGAAGCCTTGACAAACTTCTAGGCATGAAAAACTGTACATATTCCATTGTATAGATGCTTATACCACCATGACAGCTCCTGCAAATGCCAACCACGCTGGTAGATCTGCAACTAACATCCTAATGCGATGAAATCCCAACCACTCTTCCATCTCCACAGTTGCTCCATTCTCATTGCTGTCCTCGACTATACGTTGGATCCGAGGCGCCACAAACGGCACGAAGAAGAGATGCGCTACCGCACTCGCAACGCCGGCCCAGTAGAATGTTGTGCGCGACAGAGGCAGGGCACTGCGCGATCGACTCAGTAAAATGTTCGATACGCCGGTGGAGATGGTGGCTAGATTAAGGGCCAGGACGGAGACTATCTGGCGATTGAAGATGTACGAGTACCATTTCGGCAGCACAGCGTCGGAAGATTTGCGGATAGATGGTTGGAGGAAGGCCGAGTTGGAGAACAGCTCAACCAGGGCATGCACGAGGCTGCCTGTGCTGGTGGCTAATGGCGCGACGCGGAGTAGCTGGAGGGGATCGAAGATAAGTCCGGAGGCCATGCTAATTATTCGGTTTTGGCGCTTAATTCTGTCTGTGCAACAGTCCAGTAGAGAATTGATTCAGGAGAGTTGAGGATGAGCGGGATTAAATAACAAGGCGAGGGACCCAGTGGGGCCAGCGTAAGACCTAATGCAACGCTATGCAGGGGTACATCAGGCCACACACAAGTTCTCTAGGCATTGATTACTTTGACTTCAGATCATGGACATATATTATATAATCTGATTAGTCCTTGTGATGCTCCTCTCGCACCTCCATGTGTTCCTCCTCGCCCTCGTAAGGATCAACCACCGTCTCTCTGAACTTGCGCGCCGACACTCCTTGCTCGAACAGCAGATCCAGTTCCTCATAAGTCCTTCCCTTGGGCTCCGGCAGGCGGAAGTACGACCAAACCAAGCAGACAAGACATGTTCCCGCCCAAAAATATGCGCTGCGGGCACCCCAGTTCCAAGCCGTCGAGTTGAGCTGATAGTTTGTGAGTACATTGACAACAATGTTACTGACATTGTATCCGACTCTCGCCAGCACGATCGTCTTGGCCTTGAGTCGGGTGGACGACAGTTCCGACACCAGCGAATACGTGACGGGTCCGATAGTGAAGTCGTAGCAGAAGGTGAAGATAATCAACATTGCACCAATCGCCCACTTGGCTGTGCTATCTTCTCCCGGCGCAAAAGAAAGACTACCTGTGATGACGAGCAGGGTGAATAAGCTTGCCAGACCGCAGACATGCAGTGTGCGACGACCGGTGTAGGTCATTAGGAACCACGACCCCGCGGTCCCAATGAAGCCGAGGGCATACTGCGCCAGCGAGAGATCGAAGGAATGCACCGTCGGGAGACCGGCCTGGACACAAAAATATGCAAAGTAGCCCATGAGGTTCTGCCCGCACAGTGTCTGAACCAGCCAAACGACACAGACAACTTCTGTTCGGCGCAGGTTCGCCCCCTTGAAACAATCGGTGTATTTTGTGCCGCTCGCCAGCGCCTTTTCTAGCTCGTTCGTATGCTGGATCATGGCGATGGTCTCGTCAGGGTCGAAGTTCGGATCGTTGGATGAAGTAAGCCGCTGCAGGGCCCGTTTAGCACCCTGGAGATTTCCCCGTCGGACATGCCACCAGGGTGATTCGGGTGCGAAGAGGATGCCAAGCAGGATCGGGAGTGGCCATGCCCACTGCACTGCAAAGGGAATCCGGTACGCCCACTGGTCGGTTCTCTGTATGGATCCGCGATTCACACCCACCGCGACGAACTGCCCAATCACCCAGCACATGTTGATAAAGGTCGTCAAGTACGGACGGAGGACCACCGGACACACTTCGGAGGCATATGCGGCGGGCAAAGTCTGGAAGATGCCCCAGGGAATACCGGCTAGGATCTCTGCAGCGAGGAGCATTTTGATATCGACAGCAAAGAAGAAGAGGAAGATAACGGCGTTCATTGCCGCCAGCGCAGAAACCATTGTCCAGCGGTATCCCAGTCGTTCCGAAATCAGACCGTTGATGAGCAATCCGATGACTTCGCCCACTCGGGCCCCGTTCGAGAGTGCCGATTGCCACGAGGCCGGGACCGTCCATTTGCCGGACGCGGACTGAACCCCGTATTTCTTATTGAATGCTGGGGACGCGTACATGGAGCCGAGCAGGGCCAAGTCGTATCCTTCCATGATCAGTGTCGAGGAGAGGAGGACAGACCAGCCCACGGCCTTGGGATACAAGCGCACCGCTTGCCAGAGCGTCATGGACTGTTCTTTGCGGGCGGCTTTCTTGCCCTCCACGAGGGGTCGGGGCTTTTCTCCCTCCATAGCGTCTGGATTGCTGGACATGGTCATGTCGCGACTAAATTCTTAGGAAGACGGCCAGCAAAGCACACTCGAGTGCTAGATGAGCCTGGCCTGCAGATGGAGGACATGCATGAGATCCCGGACATATGACACTATTTATATTCAGTGTATGCGCATATCATAAGTTCCGTCTTGTTCTCGAGCGCCAGAATAGTCAGGACCCTTGCAGCATGATCTGGGGAATTTTGTTTTACCCCACACATTTCCCTGTGGGGGTCCTGCAGACGCACGGGCAAACGATGCTTTTCTCCTTTCCCATTGGCTGCGGCTATGCAAATCGGGCTCTACTCGGAGACAAGGCGGACGCAAGTCGGAGCGACGGCAGGTAACAGCCATGTCATCGATGGCGATACGGGTCATTATTCGACACATATCATAGTATATATTAGCTCAGACATGTAAGAAGAAGGGTACATTGAGGGGCACTGAGGCTATCGCCGCGATGACAAAAGCTAACTTTGCACTTCATCTAATCCACCTGGACCCAACCCGGAAGGCTATTCCATCAGATGTGAGTGCCATCCAGCTACGGGTCTAAGGCCTTCCGGTGCTCGCCGCGATCGGATCCAACCAAGCAATGTTAGGCTGATGACCCTCCGGTGTCATGAACACATCAATGGGACGAGCATACGGCGTCACCCCCTTTCTGTTCAAAATCCGGGTAACATTGCCACTCTTCTCCGCCGTCTGATTGTATCCAGGCCCATAGGCACTATAAACGGCCATCAAGGTCTCACTATTGAAGTTGTTGTTCGGTGCTCCCTTCCATACCGTGTATCCCCCAGGGAGAATACTGGAGTCGAAGTATGTGTTCATAAAGACTGATCTGTGGAGATTATTCCAGGGGCGTCCCAGCGAGCACCGTCCCTTGATATCATTTGCAATAGAGGAATTGACTGCGATGACCTGGGAATCGGCAATGTAGACACCGTACTTGTTCGCGAAAGTGGTGTTGGTGCCCTTCCAGGCTGTAATGCCGCCACCACATCCGCGCAGGGAGAGGGTTGTCTTTTCGATGAATGCCGTGCCGAAGCCATAGAGAAAGTCGGTCTGACCCGCAATGACATTGTCGTAGAAATAAGCATTGGCAAGTTTGCCAACGTATAACTATATTCGTCAGTGGTGACCTGTCAATGTTCGTTAACAACATACAGTATCCTGGTAGCTGTAGAGACCGCAAGAGTAGAACCCAGCGTTTGCATACCCCAACCCAACAGCGTGGGCAGGTCCATATGAATATGGAACATACTCGTTGCGAAAGTCAATGTTGTACGCGCGGAAGTCGGAGCATCCAAAAGGGGTGTTGTCAGGCACCGGGTATCCTGTTGGGCCTGCGCCGGTAATGGTCGCGTTATAAGTTGGACCGACAGTCAGAACGCCGGTGTAGACATTGTCCGGGAATGCGGCATTGTGGTTCGCTGCGTTCCAGTAAATCTGAACATCGTTCTGGACGGTGCTGTTGGTGTCGATATCACCATAGCTTTCTCGCTGCCAGGGGCGATTCGACTGGCCCAAGAGCGTGAGAGGCCCGGAGCGTGTCACGTTGAGCTGTTCCACATAGGCTCCAGCGCCGATAAGGATGACATGGGAAGAGGTATCATTGGGCAGCGAGTGGATGGCCGCCTGGATAGACTTGAACTGAGCTCGACGGTCTGTCTGGCTGACAAACAGAGTGCCATGGGGGCAGCCCTGAAGAGGGTCGGGAGTGATCCTTTGGCAGGATTTGTATGTTTCTGCAGGTCGAGTACCCTTGCCGAGAGCTTCAGGGAGGAGGCCCAGGGCAAGAAGAGCGGAAGATGGCCTCATTTTGTCTATTGTCTTGACAGTGAAACAATTGCACAATCATCTCGGCGGGGAATTGTCCCTTCATAAAAGGCCCTGGAAAAGCGTGGATAAAGTCAAAATGAAGCTATATCCTTTGTGGACCCAAGGAATGACCTATAGATCCTCCTAGGATTCCCTAAGCTTTCTAAGGCTTCATCCCCGGATAATTTACGAGTCTTGGAATTATTCCTCCAATGAGCTTGTATTCCCGGTGGAGTACCCCGCCTAAACACCGCGAATCATGTTGACTGATGATAGTCATAGAACGATTTTCAAGTAACCTGGGTAGTGGGTACAGTAATGTCTCAGATAGATCATGATATTAACCGGCCTAGAAGTCGTCGACTGGCAGGAAGGAAGATGACCTGCAATTGTTGAGACTACGCATTCTCGGGTCATCGAAATGATGGTACCCAAGGCATGCCTACAACTCGGATATTCGAAGATCATCTTTATATAGGCGAGATGGGCAATCAGCAAGGTATACTGTGATCAATATGTCTTCACTGTCTGCTGCGAGAAGATATTACACAAGAAGTTACAGTTTCTGAATAATATCACTTTATTTTATTTTATTTTATTTTATTTTTTTGGAAATTTTAAACTAGGACTGAGCAAGCGCTGCGTCATGGAATGCATCAGCTCCTTCTAATATACATAAAATAGATGTGTGCCTTGGGCATTCTTCCTATATCGCAGCCATTTCTCCGACCATCTGTTTAGCATTGAGACAAATTTATGTCCGTGATCGTTGCCAAATAACGTTGTTCATCAGGGGTAGTCATCAGGTTCATAGATCGAGGTCCGCCGATGTTCGGAAAATATGATGAGATCGCCGACATGGGAAGGGTCTGTAGCAGCAAGGGTAGGTAGTCATATATATTCGTCAAAAGATGCGGTCCGTACTTGGCTTCACCCACTGAGGTCGCTGACATTTGTGGGTATCCCGGAACTGCTTGATTTTCTTCAGGTCCCACCCGGCTGATAGGGTCGTGTCTTCTGTGGCGGGTTTTTGCGCGCCTAGTCGCATGGATGGAACAAAAACACAGCGGCCAGAATGGACATAGGTATATGAGAAACACTGGGGATGCTCATGGCATGCTTCCGCACAAGCTTCAACAGACTTATGGCCGGGTGATTCGGGCGGTTCTTGCCATCCGCCCCAGTCGCCATTGTCCCAGTCCGTTTTGTAGTCAATGGCGCCCAATTTTGTGTACTCGAACAGGTCGGCGTATAGCAATGGAAGCTAGAGTGTCAATGTTAGGGGTTGCTGGTGATATACCCGCGAGGGCAAGGAAGAAAACATACCTTTCGGTCCCGTTGATTCTCCCACCGCGCCAGCCCTGCCATATCTTCCAAGGATAATTTATGCATGCTGATCACCGGCTGACACCAATGGTTTTCATTAAATGGAACCCCATGCACAGGATGTGGATTGAACATCGGCCACATCCCAGAGAGCTTCACTCCACTTTGGTAGAGTGCCCATCCAAGTATTGAATCACCGCAGCAATCCTTATCGATCAGCCCCTTATAGCGCTGACTCAACGAAGGCTGACTGTACACGCCATTGCTTTCCGCCATACGAGCCACCAGCCTTTGGACCGCGGCAGTTGACAGCACAAACCCAGCACCCCCATAGCCGAAGAAAGATCCGTCCTTTCCCGGAGACGGGGAGCCAAAGTATAATGGAACAGACGGGTCGAACTGGTCAAGAAGACGAAACACATTGTCCCACACGACGTATGTATCAGATTCGATAAAAACAAACCACTGAGCAGTGGGATTCATTTCATAAGCGCGTTCGACCATGGGCAGGAACTTGTATTTGTCGAGTGTCCAGCCCTGAGAACCACCGACCGTCTCGACTTCGCCGCGTTGGAGCGCGCTGTACGCCTGAAAGTCGGGACTATTCCCCCAGAAACTCTCTGGCAGAGTTGCGAGAATATCGTGCACGTGATGACCGTTGATTTCCGACTCGTGGTCGGAGACGACAATGAGGTTAGTTATGCAGCGGGTAACAGTGGCCAGATGGGTATCAACACGATTAGGAGGCTCTGTACTGCCGATTTTGAGAACAACTTGAACGCGCGAGAGGTGGTATGATGGGAAGGAGTCGCAAAGGTCATCGCCACCACTGTTCTCTTGGGTTTCATTGGTGCCGTGCGCATTCGAGAAGCGGGACGTTGTCTCCCACTCCCAATAATCAACGTAGGGCGTATTCGGGAAGCTGGATATTGTCGCCCGATCCCAATAATGGGCATAGAACAGGTCAGATCCTAGTTTCAGCCCAAGACAAAACATAAACACTGTCACGATGACCACCAAAGCGTGCTTTTGTCTCTTCTTGGGCCATGATTTCCAGTACTCGGAGATGCGATCCGCAAAGGAGAATGTCCCGCGAAAAGCCGCAGTCAGGACGCGGGGTTGCATTATTGAGGCACATGGGAATGCATGTAAGAGACGCGCTGATTCAGGAGAACAGGAAAGTGTCAGATCTAGACCGATAGATGTCAGGGACCAGTCCCTTCTATATAATACGCCTGTTAGATGATCTATCGGCCATGCATTAGTGCTCTTTCTGTTTGCGGCTTAGCAGGAAAGCGTGTGCAGGCCCGTGATAATAATAATAGTGAGTTTGAAATGAGAAAAGGTACAAGGGAAAAAAATCTAATCTAAAAAAGAACCAACACTACCTTGGCCTGTGACTGGCCGCTGATCCTAGAGATACGGTTGGGATTGAAATCATGTCAATGACGTGGCTGACATGTCATTAGATAAAATTTCTGTCACTCTGAAAGTTTGTTGTTTTCCCTTTGGCCTGCGGACATGGGATCTGTCCTCGGTTCCTTCTGACACAGATGATCAATGTGACAGCGTAGTGCCTAGATAAAATCTCCTGTCCACTTCAATCTCGAATCCCTGTTATCAGTAATAAACTAACATGTATTAGCAGCGAGTTGTCGTCGCGAATCTCGAACGGATGCTTGTGCGGCCTAACACGGTTGTGGGTCAGTCAACGTTAGTGCGGATAATCCATGCCCTACGTTACATCGTGACAGGCAGACACTAAGACAAAAACGCGGACAGCAAATCGACAATATGGATTAATTAAGGGAAGCCGTAGGAACACATGGATAGGACCCTGGTACTGGCTGATACGCGGTGATAAAAGTAAAAGGCCGTTGATTCAGACTTCTACAGTGGGAAACTGGCGCTGGGGGCCAAAGGGTGTCTTGTGTGGATCAGTCTGAGTTTGACCGACATAAGCCCCAGCAGCCTCAATGGGCTTGGAGGTTCGTGTTTACTATTGGTTGTTCTGCTGAGCGGCAGGTGAATGCGCTGGAGCCTGGGGCTGCACACCCTATCAGATCGTTATCTGCCATGACTACCTATGAGAGCCAATGAGGAACAAGTCAGCGGCTCACTCCGCCAAGAGCCAATCTCAACAAAAAATAACTAATTGCATTGCGTGATAGTTGCTAGGGTTAGCGACAGGAATCATTGATACACATCAGACTTCATACTATTGCTTCGTTTTCAAATATGCAGGAACGGCGAAAGTGCATCGAAGGCCAGGTCGCTCCACAAATATAATACTCAACCCTTGGCACAGTGGAGGTCGAGAAGGGATCGACCCATCTGTAAGGTTGTCAGTAGGGTCTACTTCAGGTAACGCGAGGACTTACATTAGTGCAAATGGCATCGTCGGTGCCGGAAGGACTGACGACGCTGATATTCTCAGCGCGGATATTCTTGCATACATCTGGGCTAGAGCAGACAAGAGTAGCATTTATAAGGCGCCCTCTTCCTACTGGTAGTGCCGTCAAAATTCTTGAACAGAATATCCTCAACAATGAGCGAAGCTCATGACCGATCAGGCGAGTTTGTATGTCTAGCGATCGAACATACCGGATGCCCATTGCAAGCCGTCTGGTTAGGAGCAAAGTAGCATTATGTCATTTCAATAGCCCAGTCGTTGTTATAGTTGTGCATGCCATCGTAGGTCACGTTCCTCGCCCAGCCACTGCCGCCGCCAGTGTTGGTGGACTTGCCAGTTGCTCCAGGCCAGATTTTGATACGAGCGCCATCCTGACGAGTCATCTTCTTCATGCTCTGTAGAATGGTAGCGGATCACGTACCGAGGCATTGTTCAGAGAAGCGTTATAGATCAGAATATTGTCCTCAGTGTCTACCTGACCAACGTATTTGCCAAGAGAACCGACGGAAATACCATGGGACCCCTTGCAGTACAGATTCTTGCCGGAGGTGAGTCAGTTATACTCTGGTAACGTACGCTTGAGAGATATTACCTGCACGAGGATATTCGTACCGTTTAGGCTTGAATGATACACAGTCCAACCATGTCAGCAGATCATCATTGAACGGATACAGTGACCCACCGTCGGAGTTGAAAATGCGAGAGTTTTGGATCACAATGTTATCAGACCGATACGTATTCCTGTGTTTATAAGCGCTAGTCAAGACTGGTTTCAAGCAACCTCAAACATACCATCCATCTAGCAGAATTAGTTCCGGAGTGTAGCGTAAGAGGTAGACAACTCACCTGAATTAGCTGTAGGATTGCTATTGCTTGATGGAGCGTTGAGATACATGCTATCAAAAACGACATTGCTCGAGTTATACACCAATTGAAACCAGTTCGGCGAGTTGCGGAGGGTGATGTTGGACACAGATCCGCCATGGAAATCCATCTACGTGACCGGGATAGGACGCTGGATTGACTTGTTGTTCATCCTGGCGTCCCACCAGGCCTGACGGTTGCCATAGATTTCCCCGGCGCCGTAGATATTGATGTAAGTGCCTCCGATTAGGACGAAGCTCGAGCTGTCCTGGAAGGCGTACTTGAAGGAATGGGCCAGCCAATAATGAATATCATTGGTCATGACGATTTTGCCTTGGACATCTACCACGTATATGTAAGCTCATACGGATCTCGGGCAGTGGTAGATATAACGATACCGACCTGCTTTAGAAACCTGATATCCGTCGCCTTGCCAATGGCATACAGCTTGTCTTTGCCGAAAACAACACAACTGCCCAGGTTGCATTTGTAAAATGCATGGAGCCCTTATATAGTTTAGCTAATAAGATTTTCTTACTAAAACTCATAGTTAGTAGTTTAATAAATCTAACCTAGGTGAGATTATATACTAGCTTTAATAGGTTATAATACATGAATAAGTGATGGTTAAAAATACTCCTAACTTATAATAATTATTAAAGGGTTATATACATGCATACATACATTTATATGTATATATATATATAAACTACTACTGAATTCAAACGCTGCGAGTTCAGTGAGGATTGGGATTGACTCTAGTGCTTTGGTTATGCAACTCTAGGAGTGTCGATCGATGTCAGCAGGCGCAAGGGTGAGGGCGTAATGCTAGCCGCGATTAGGCAGCGATTCCACAGGCGAGACTTCGAGCGGCGGCAGCCGATAACAAGCTTTGGCTTGAAAGCTCCTGCTTATGGGCACTGGCTTTGCTACTGTAATACCTCTCGACCCGATTTGGCTTGCAATGCCCGCATGGCCGTCATTAGCCTATAGTTCAGACAGTACCGGATGAGTCATTGTTATATTGCCCACTCCATATAATCTCAAGACAATTGTGACTGCCATGAGATTCTAGAGTAGTCCATGCAAACAGAATAAACACGATAGAAGTGTGTTAGCGCGTTTCAGTTTACTCATAAGGCAGGCTAGGCAAGCCATGGGAGTTAACAACCCTTCCATCATCCACTCGAGTTCACAACTAGACTCTTCTGCATACTGAAATCCCCAACCTACGACTCCGCGTTTCTATCATGTCAGAGAATGTCACAACTTCAAACCCCGCTACCATCCACAGGCCCCCGGAGGAGGCTATGCTCATGTTGCCATCACAAAGCCGGGGCCAAGAATAATCGAGATCGCTGGCCAAGTTGGCTATACGGTAGCAGGTACAATCTCTGAAGAGTTTGATCAGCAAGTCCGCCAATCATTTGCGAACCTCAAGGCTGCACTTGAGTCGGTTGGTGCAGCTCCCAGAGACGTGACCAAGGTTCGGTACTACATAAAGGATTTCGACAAAGACAAGTTGCAACACCTGCGATCAGCCGTGCAGGAGTTTTATGGCTCCGAGTACCGAGCCCCTAGCACCCTTATCCCAGTACATGCCTTGTTTGATCCTCATGTCCTCTTTGAGGTTGAAGCATCGGCTGCTCATTAACTTGGCCCGAAAAAATTGGACGAGAACTTGTCGGGAGCCGCTTTCGATCTGCTAGTGACCGTTGGCCTTGGTATTGTGTGGAGGCATCTCGTCGGTTGGATATCAGAAGGGTTGAATTGGCCCATACAGGACATCGACCAGGCCTTGTGCATATGCGTCGGCCTAGTGGCAGTGCCACAACAAAATAGACACCTGAAGGTCGGGGTAGCCCTCAGGCGGCGTAGCATGATGGTTGGACGTCAGGGACCAGGGACACAGGGAATAGGGGAAAACCAAACAGCGTGGACCGTGGTGGTGGGACTTGTTGGGCGTGCGATTACTTGCATGGATATTGTGTACTTATCTAGGATATTTAGTTTTCAGCGTTCTATAGAAAAGAGTCTTTCAATGCAATAAATCCAGTAAGAAACTCATTGTGACATGGCTGAGATGTTGGCTGTTAGGCTAAAACCAATAGCCCTCTAGTATTGGACACAATATAATATGGATGGTGGATCCACTATACTTCACTTAATTGGCTACCCCATCACTGTATGTATTTTTTCGGCGGACCCACCAAATAATACCATAAGTGTGTAATAACAGCCATCCAGGAACTAGAGTGATAAATTTCTTTGTTAGGTGGGAATATTATAAGCAGGGATTAAGGATTTGACTAAAGTACCAAGCTAACATACATAACTGACCCCTGTTGCATATTGTGAATCAGCCCTTACTTGACTAATAGAGTATCATAAGTTGTAAATTGTGCTTTGATCCCTTACATGTTGGGTGATGCACATAATGATTTCGTAATCAAGGAGTCAAAAAAACTTATTCTTAGGGCGTTGCGCATGGAAAAATTATTTCACGTATAGATGGACCTTATATGGCTAAGGAAGCTTGATTGCAACGACGCTAGGCAAAGTATTGGCCTCCAGTGAAGGCGGCAGTAATACTATGAAATATATGGAATACGACTACAGGCAGTACACAAAACAAGGCTTCAACATTCTATCAGCCACTGTATCAGTGTGTCTTTCCTTGAATCTTTAGGCAGTTGAATAGAGGGCCTCAGAAGGATAGGAAATAGTTATAGAGAGCATACCTCCACACCTCCATGAAGGAATGGATGCTGTGGATATCATTAGTATGCTAAATACATCTAGAGCACTAGGAGCATATAAACCCAGAGTAACTTATTAACAGTAGCTCCCTGAGGAGTATTCGCAAAGTTTTCAGCTTCTAGCTGAAGGGTAGTCCATGGTTTCATCCTGGAGTCAAGCTCTAGAAGGACCTTTGTAATTTAGCATACAGCTTAACAGTCCAAGTACTTATCATTGACCTCATGTATTTGCATCATACTCTCACCAGTATCAGCTAAATATTCACTTCGCGTTAGCCTTTCCCTTAAAGATAATGTATGGCAGAAGCGCCCATCCAGTAGAGTTAATACACTCTATAGATGTAACCCACTCGCGGCTCCATGGCTAGATAAGGAAGGGCTAACTAAGCATCTCAGCTCTTGTAACTACCTTAGCAGTACCGCCCTCTCTCTCTCAGAGCTCCATCCAGCGATATCAACCTTAGCATCAGTTTCCGAAAGTCTACTATACAGTTCAACCACCACAGGCACCATTTCAGCAGTTACGGCTATGATACTGCTATTTCGATACGAGGGAGTCGAGAAAGCGACTCGGGAAGATTGCTGGTAGCTTAGTTGCCTCTCGTTATCCTTGACCTAGAATTCCGCGTCGCTATAGTTATTTGGTATCGGGATAAAAGCCCATACCGAGATACCTCCTTAGTATGTATGTAGTTCTTTATGCTGTTAAGTATATGCGTCAACCCGGCGAAGAAGATGTGGTTTTCAATAGCTAGGATGAATACAGTACTTGAGCAAGTTTGCGAGGGAAAGTACAGCACTCATAGCTGCGACACTATAGACGAAAGGTCCGACTCCGGATCTTCGCAAAACTGTTGAACAGTAGAGAGCACATTCTTTGCAAGTGCCGAAGCAAACTCAGACAAGTCTTCCCTCGAATGGCTGTCTGCAGAAGTAAGGACCTCGATTGTCAACCTTCCTCCAAGAGTAGCAGAACGAATAAGCACTTGGTTTGGTAAGTCGACTTTTTCAGATACCGACGACTCTGACCACGTTACGTCTTTCAGCGGTACAAGCCCAGTACCCCCATACGCGTGTGTATTATTAACAATGTAATTGAGCCTTGTGTTGATCGGCCCGCGCGTACTTAGCGTTGCAATATCTGGTAGTTCTGAATAGCAATATTGTAACATGTTTGCATACTGCTTCTGTGTGTGGATGCAGAGGTCCTTCACAAGATGGTACTGTCTCAGACGGACTCGAAATGGGAGGGTATTGAGGCAAGGGCCAAGGATAGTCTCAATGCCCTGAAGTGGGATACTTCGTGTATTCACAATCACTCCAAATACAACGTCGGTACTGTTCACTAGCTTTCCCAGGACGAGAGAAACAGCCGCATTTACCAGAACGGGAAATGTCATATCCAATGGTGGGTGTGGAAGGTCGATTGATGCGCTTTCGCAAATGGGTATAAGATCGTCACATATTCCGTTGAGTAAAAAGGGAAGTTTTGTCGCTTCAGAGCCTTGTAAATGTTCTCTCCAGAACTGATTCGCCGCTTCAGGATCGGCTTGATGGCAGTAATAGACATATTCTGAAAACGAAGTGGCAGTTGATAATGACAAGTTGCCACCGTTGTAGGCAACAGCCAAGTCTTGGAAAACGGGCTGTAGGGAGTATCGGTCAAATTGAGCATGGTGCATACGAATAACAAGCGTGTGTTCTTCACAAGATCTTGAGACAAGGGTGACTTTGAGTAGAGGTATGGTAGAAAACGGGGATTGCCCCATATCCTGATCAGACAAATCGTTGAGGATTGAATCCAGACGCTTGTCTGTACGGACGTGATCGAAATCTGCATAGCCTCTCTTGAGGATAACCTGTAAGATGCTACCATGGTATTCGCAAAACATGGTGCGCAATGCCGCATACTTCTCAACCAGGCTTTGTGCTGCATAGCGGAGACGAGCCGAGTCTATCTGCCCATAAATTGAGAAAGAGAAATAAGAGAAATTCCACTGAGTAAGGAACCATATTTGACAATTAGTTGCCGGAAGAATATCAGCAATGTTGCCAGATTCAATAAGTGAAGGCGACGAAGCGTAGGAATCAAGACGTGCATCTGTTGTGTGACTCATCGACACAAAGTGCTGTTTGGGTATGTGGGGACAAGAGTCATCCATCCCCACTGACCGAGACTGTATATGGTCCACGAGCGGATCAAGCATCTTGTATGGCAGGGAAAGTAGTGGGAAATCGCACAACGTATACTTTCGGCCTATGTTTACCAACGTATCAGTCGCTTCTTTGAGTGACTTTTCACAATTCATGATCCACCGGCGGATGCCGTCTTGATACTTCATATGTCTATTATGGTGAAATGAAAACTGAAGGCAGCCCCGATTGACCGCAGCAGTCACATCAATTAAAGAAAACCGTGGCACATCCCCTGCTGTATCGGGAATATGATCTTCCAAGGTGATACGGGGACGGAGCAGAGCCCCCTCCCGCTCAAACTGCTGATACAGGCCCAGGTAGTTGAAGGCAATCTCTACCGGACCATGCATGTTAAATGTATGTTGGCCGTCGGGGTTCAGGAAGCGGGATGCAAAGTAGGCCCAGCCGTTGCTCGGGGTCCGTCGCCGCGCGTCCTTGGACCGCCGGACGACATCGACAATGCTGTCATTATCGCCGTCCATCGCGATGCACAACGGCCACATGGTGGTAAACCATCCTACCGTCCGAGACAGATCGATGCTGGGGTCCCACGGCTCCCGTCCGTGGCCCTCACAGTAAATAGCTGGGGCAGACGGTCCGGGAAGGTCCGGACAAAGGCATGCCAGAGCACAGCTTGGAAGATCTCCACTGGTTGGGTCTGGAGGGCGTCGTTGGCCTTGCCGAACAGGGTTGCCGTGACCTCTTCGCTGACAGTGAAGCTGCCGTGGGTGGCGTTATCCCACGTGTTCAGGTGATTCAGGTGATCGACCGACCCCCAATAGTCAGCTGCGGCATGCGGTAGCGCGAAGGGGAGGGCCCGCGCAGGGTCCAGAGAGTCGCGGGCGTAGTCTGCCTGAAGCTGGCACCACGCTTGAAACGGGAGGGTCTGCTGCCCGAAATGTGACCGCTCCGGAGAAGGTCCTCCAGGTCCCCCAGTATGATTCGCCATGATACAAGGTCGACGACAAGATGGTGTGCCGTCAGGAAGACGTACTGCTCTTGGTCAGTACTGAGGTCGATAAGATCAACACTCAGCAGCGGGCCGTTTCGGAAGTCTAGGCTCTGCTGGCTGGTGTGCATTATGTCTCGCGCCTCTCTGAGCGAGGGGACCATGGAATAGCGGTAGCGATAGCTGGACTCGACATCGGAGCAGACTACCTGGCTCCAACCGCCATCGTTGCGTTGGCGGAAGCGAGCGCGTAGCATGGAATGGCGATCGACAATGGCACCGATGGCGCGTGCAAGGTCTTGGGTGGCAATCGACGCGGCCAGTGGGATCAGGAAGCTCTGGTTGAAGTAGTGGGCTTCATTGGGCATGACTTCGAAGAACAGGCGTTGGATGGGAGACAGGTCGAAGGGAACATCGATTGATTCCTGGACGTCGAGCGCTCTCTGACGATCCATCCCGACGAAAGGGGTAAGAGCAGCAATGGTCATATAATGGAAGATATCAGACACGCTCAAGGTAAAGCCTTCCGTTCTGGCGAGGGACGAGAGCTGCATGGCGGTGATGGAGTCACCGCCGAGGCGGAAGAAGCTGTCATCGACCCCGATGGCGTCGGGCTGGAGATTGAGGACACGCGCCCACAGCCGCTGCAGCGTCCGCTCGGCCGCCGTCGCGGGGCGCGCTTGGCCCCCGCCGCGACGCTGTACGATTCGATCTCCGCCCGCGACAGCGCCGCCGCACGTTCGCGGAGCCGCCGCCGGTCGGTCTTCCCCGTGGCCGTCAGCGGGATTCCCGCTACGGGAAGGAACACCGCCGGTACCATGTACGCCGGCACCGCATCCTGCAATGCCGCCTCGGCCCTGTGGGCGGCCGCGCGGAAGCCGTCGGTGGGGGGACCAGTATGTCCTCCATCCTGTCCTCGTCATCGTTGACCCACACAAACGCCACCAGTATCGGTGCCCGCCCTTCTTCCGCAGGGAGGACCACTTCCGCCACGACGTCGCGCGCCCCCGGGAAGCACTCCCGCGTGTGGTTCTCCACCTCGCCTAGCTCGACCCGCTGACCGCGCAGCTTGACCTGCGTGTCCTTGCGCCCGATGAACCGCAGCGACCCGTCCGCCGCATACTGTACCAGGTCGCCCGTCTTGTACACCCGGTCGCCGCCGCGGTTTCCCGGGTGGGCGGCGCGAAACTCGCACAGCCAGGCCGGCGGGTCGATGAAGGCGGTCGCTGTGTTCTCCGGATCGTTGAGGTAGCCGCGGCCGACGATCGGACCCTCAATCAGCAGCTCCCCAACCGCTTCTATTGGGAGTAGTCGCTCGTGGTCCTGCGGGTCCACCACCCAGCAGACACCGCCCGTTGCCTTTCCTATGTTTCTTGCGTCAGAACCCTTTTGAGTTACTGACTGCACAGTAGAACATGCTGAACATTCCGCCGGACCATATCCGTTCTTCAAGTTCACCTGTCCAACCCATCTGCTGATATCGCTCGACGTCATTGGCTCCCCGATCAGGACCAGGGTCTCGAGAGCCGTGATTTTGGCTGGATGCAGTATCCTCGATGTGGACGGTGTGACCATTGCCCACGTTACGCCCATCCGCCCAGCCGCGACCTCTATATTATTTTGACGATCTGCATCTGACGGGATGCATATGCACCCTCCAACCATCAAGGTTGTCAGGTGTTCCACGATGCTCGCGTCAAAGGCATAGGATGAGAATTGGAATGCGCGCGAGGTAGCAGAGAGACCGAACGCTCGGGAATGTGACATGGCGCTTGTGCAGTACGCAGCGTGTGTGACAACAGCACCTTTCGGTTTGCCGGTCGAACCCGAGGTAAATACCGCATATAGTGCTACGTCCGGCACTACCCGGGGACCGACCCATGTAGCAGTATTAGCAAGATCTTCTAGGTTGCCAGGCCCAATGAAGAGGACCTGCTTTCCTAACTGCTCTGCTGTCGCTGCCTGCAGTACTGATGCGACAATCACGCCCGCCGATACGGCCTGGCAGATGGTCGCCAGCCGCGCCCGGGGGTGCGATGGATCCAGCAGCACAAACGCCCCGCCCGCCTTCATCACACCCAGCATCGCCACCGTCGTCCACCGCGACTTTTCGAACAACAGCGGCACAAACACCTCGGGGCCAACCCCTAGTCTGGCCAGGTGCGCCGCCAATGCCGACGACAGCCGGTCCAGCTCGCCGTACGTAAACTCGCCGTCCCACGCGCAGACCGCCGGGGCGTGCGGCTGGGCCCGGCGCCGCTCCGCGATCAGCTCGTGCACGCACCGCTCCACCCGCGCTGGCACTATTCCGTTCCACTGCTCAAGTTGTCGCCTGTCCATGTCGCTGAGTAACGGCGCAACTGCCTGCATCCCGCTCTGCTGGATGATGATAGCTATAGCTTGGTTTAGATTGTGCGCCATCTTGATCGCCTGACTTTCGGATAAGGTGGACGGCGAATACAGAAGCGATGCTGTAAAGCTGCCATTTTTCAACCTGCATTCAACAGTGATATCGTACTATTTCCCGTTCCTTGTTAGCGCTTTCCTATCGATCTCACCTGGGCATGGGATTAGAAGTCCTAGGAGATACTGACCTCATCCGGTAAGACTCTCTCCAGTTCTTGGAAGGTAATATACCCCTCGTGCTGTCTGCTCTCTTGTAGCTCCGGTGGAAACGTTATGCCGGTGTTGAACATCTTGTGGCTCCCATCGTTACCAGAATGGAATAACTCTGCCAGGGAGAAATGCGGCGATGAAAAGCCCCGCGTGAAGTCCCGCTGAGCCTTGTGTACCATCTCTAGTAGCGTTGCCGATCGATCAAAGTCGATCCGGCAGACTAATATGTTGATGAATGGTCCGACCGCAGCTTCGATCCCGGCTACCGGAGCGTCTCGCCCAGAGCTCACGTAGCCGAACAAGACGGAATCTAGACCTGTAAATGCTCGCAGGACCAGACCCCAGGCGACCTGGACCACGTTTGACATTGTAAGCCCCGTTCCCCTGCAAAATGCGTCCAGTTCGACTGCATGTTCAAACGGGACGATGACGGACTGCTGTTCGGCAGCCAGGCCGCCAGGGTGTGATCCATCCCGAAGATGTGGGAAGTAGCACGGAGTGCAATCCTTCAAATAGTCACGCCAATATTCCAAAGCTGCATCACTGCGAGAGCGCTCAACATATGCGACGTAGTCGCTATAAGGTGCTCCGCTCGTGGTGGGCAATCTCTCATCGTAGGCCAGTGCCAAGTCCCGTTTCAGAATTTCTATCGAAGTTGCGTCGATCAGCACGTGACTAATTTCCACGGCAACCAGCAGTTTTCGGTGCCCTGTCTGACACACAGTGAACCGGGGTAGCGACTCTCGGCCGTGTCCGCCAATCTGCCAGTTGGCTCGCAGAGAAGAGCGAGCGTCGCCGTCATCGGCGCATCGAAGGACCGCGGTCCGCGCAGCGTCGGCCCCTTCAAAATGACCTGGATATACGGGGAGGCGCCGACCCCTTCCATGAATATGGTCCGCAGGACGGAATGACGGCGCGTTAGCTGCCGCCAGGCAGACAGGAGTCGATCCGTGTCGACGGTGACATGACCGCCAGCGGAGATGACTTCCCAGAGGAATAGCCCCTGATAGTGCTCCGGCTGCCGTGCCTGGCTGATCAACATCCCTTGCTGGATTGGGGAGCACGGGTAGGCTGCTTCAACGTCACTAGGACAAATGTCAATTGCCGGCAGGCGGCAATGTAGGAAATCCTGAAGATCCTCTCTGGTCAAGGCCAATAAGGGGAAATCGTAGGGCGTGAAGATGGGGATCTTTTCTTCCAATACTTTCACGGCCTCGTTAATAGTGTGCCTACACTCCTGAACCCAGCCATCTAGGTCTGTCCTGGAGATTGTGCCTGGAGTCCCACTGAAGACCATTCTTGGAGCGTTGTCCGTCTCCGATACTGTTATAATTACTCCCTCAGCGAGCTGTTCATTGGGCAGGCAAGCTTTATTCGGCACGACAATCTGCTCGAAGATCGCACCGCTCCACTGTTGTTCGTGGGAAGGCATAAGAAATCTGAAGAGTATGTTGGGTTGAGGCGTACGCATCGAATTCCCTTGCAAGGGTTGCCGACCAGGGCTGGGGGTTAGATGCATCGTTTTCCCGTTGCGAGCCTGCTGGTAGCTCTCTTTTGTTTGGCGAAGAATCTCACCAAAGCTTGGCTGCCCATTCGACTGCACGTACAGGGTCGAATACGTAGTGAACTGGCCGACGGTCTGAGAGAAGTCCTTGTGACTTGATGTCAGACCTCGTCCGTCTTCCTCGACGGTCAATAGCGGCAGTTCCCGGTCCTTGAAAGCCCGTTGGAAACTGTGGAGGGCCACGGCCTGTAGGATTACACTGGAGGATAACCGGAGACCCTTAGTGGCGTCGCCGAGGAGGCACGGTGGAACGAGTACACTCATACGTGTAATGCTGTGACCGTGGCCTGGCGGGACATCGTCAGTCCATGGAGAGGGTTGCTGGCTAGATATGACCGTGGGCGAGATAGGATCGGGAGCGGGAGCGGGAGCGGGAATTTTGTGTTGCCCATGTCTCGCCCCATATCCGAGCAGCACCATTCCCGAAAATCAAGGGGTTGGGGCTTGGGCTTGTACATCGAAGCATTGTCCAGGAAATCTTCAATGTCCTTTGAAATGATTTTCAAAGAAGTGTGGTCGACAACCAAAACGTGCGCTGCGAACGACATATATTGACTTTGGCCCAAGTTCAGTAGTAACGCTCCGAATACAGGCCCTTTTTCGATGTCTAAAATCTTCCCCCTTGATTTTAGGATCTCCGGCGCCTCCTCCATCGTAGACACGGTACAGCTGGCGAACTCATAACTGCCGCCCTGGGGCTCACAGGCGGCATTTGAAACGCACTGAACCCAAGCGCCGTTCCGGTCACGCGTAAATCTCGCGCGCAGCATTGGATGCCGGCGGACGACCTGCTGTATAGCATTTTCTAGATGAGTGGGATCAACGCGCCTTTTCAGCCGGAGAAAGATACAGGCTGTTGGTGAATGCCAACTCTGCTCCTGCTCTCCGGCCACAATCATGCTTTGCTGGACAGCGGACAAACTAAATTTAGTTACCGAGTCGTCGTCACGCCGCGCTACAGTACCGCAATGCTTGCCCGCAAGCAATGCAAGTCTGCTTACGGTTTGTTCGCGGAAAACATCCTGCACCGTTATGGAGATGCCTTCCGCCCGGCATCGTGTGACTAGCTTCATTGCCTTCAGAGAATCCCCACCGAGACGGAAGAAACTCTCGTTCACGCCGAAGCTTTGAGAGGGGAGCCTGAGGACATCTGAGACCAGTCGATGGAGACATTGTTCCGCGCGTGAATCTGGGGCCACTGGGTCTGATCTGGTGTGCGTATACGACGCAAGAGTCTCATATGTCAATGAACAAGCGATTTCCCTCAGCCTGCGCCGGTCTATTTTCCCAGTAATCGTCAGAGGGACGTGTTGCAGGGGAACATAGAGATGCGGAATCATGTAGGGGGGCAAGTAGTCGCGTATTATGGAGTCGGTCTTGGTGGACTGCGACTGGAAATCGGCATCGGACCCGTTAAAAAGAGCGGCAGAGCCGGACCGGTCGTTCTCTTTCGGCGCCGCTCGGCCATTCTTGGAGTATATGAATGCCACCAAGATCGGTGACGGGGTATCGCTGATCGGGGTTACCACATCAACAATCACCTTGGTGGCCCCAGCAAAGTGCCGACACACCAGGTGTTCTACTTCCCCCAGCTCGATCCGTTGCCCACGAATCTTGGCTTGCAGGCTCTTTCGTCCGATGTAAATGAGGCTGCCGTCAAGACTATGGCGGACGAGATCGCCGGTCTTGTAGAGCCTGGTCTCCCGGTCTGATCGGAAGAGGCACAGCCATGGGGGATTCTTGATGAACAACATGGCGGTCAGTTCGGCGTCGTTGAGGTACCCTCGTGCCAGGCAGGGCCCTTCGATTAGCAGCTCGGCCACGGCCCCGATTGGAGCGAGCACATGGTGGTTGTGGGGATTGACCAGCCATAGATTCGCGCTAGGCGACTTGCCGATGTTCTTCGAATCTGCTGCCGTCAGATCCAGCTCATGCTGAACAGTACATATTCCTGCCCATTCCGTCAGCCCGTACGCCGGCACTAAGCGAACTCTCCGCGCCCAAGATCGGGCCAGGTCATTCCTCAACGGCTCCCCTGCGACGACTAATGTCTTGAGACCGGCTAAGTTGTCCGGATCAACGGAGCCCATCAACGAAGGCGTTAGCAAAGCCCAGTCAACGTCCATGCGATGCACTGCCCCCGGGAGGTCATTCAATCGCTCGTGGTCCGAAGGAATACAGATGGTGCCTCCAGCTGTCAAAGTACAGAATATCTCGATAAGGGAGACGCCAAAACTGAACGACGCAAATTGCAAGGCTCGCGTGTTAGCTCTGATTTGCAACGCCTCCGCATGATTTGCGACAGCTGCCAATGCTCTGTGGTCGACGACGCATCCTTTCGGGATTCCGGTGCTGCCAGAAGTGAAAAGCACGTATGCCACGTTGTGGGCTTCTGCCCGCGGCAATGTCATCTGGTTAGCCGTTGGCAGCCGCGCAGCCGTCGCCTCTGACACAGCAATCACGTCGTCTGTGGCTCCCGCCAGTAGTGCGGCGTGTCGATCTGACGAGAGGATTACTTTTGCATTTACCTGCGCGACGATTTGCTTCAGACGCTCGAGCGGATGAGAAGGGTCGATTGGAACGAAAGCTGCGCCGACTTTGAGTACTGCCAGCGTCGCTACGATCGCCCACATCGATTTCTCAAAGCACACCGGCACCATAACCTCTGGCCCCACCCGCTTGGCTTTCAGGTAGAAAGCCAGCCTTGTGGAAAGCTCCTCGAGTTCTCCGTATGTCAGAGCACCATCCGATGAGCACACAGCCGGTGCGCCTGGTTGGCAGCGGGATTTTCCTTGAATTATCTCAGTGATGGAGGAGCAGCAAGCGACATCCGCCCGCTTGCTAACCCATCCAGCAATATATTCTTCACTCTGCTGATCGAGCAAGTCTATATCCCTTATCTTCTGGTTTGGGTCTTTGAAGAGGGATACAGCTGCGCGAGACACGACCCCTCCTAAGATCGCAGCCTGTTGGTCGGAGACGACTGCGGTGTTATATTGCAGCAATAATTCGACCGACTTGTTGGATGCTTTTGCGATAAGCAACAGGTCGCAACCCTGCCGTCACGTCTAATCAGCGCTCTGATAGAGATGGAAAACCAAGATCTTGACTGACCTCGTTATCCTTAGCATAAAGTTGCCCCTTTGGACTCTCAGATCCGAATGAGCTCTCCTCGTCTCCTCTCATGAAGGAAACTCCAGTATTGAAGTGGAAATTGCCACTTTCACCCTGGCTCATGGACAGCTGGCGGTTGCAGGTTCGAAGCAGTTGCTCAATTGGACCTTCCGGGTCGATGATTACTGCAAAGGCCTCCATATCGCCAGAGAACCCCCCAGATATTCCTTTGGGAGCATTCACCCCAAAGTACAGCATCTCCGAGCTGACAAACTGATGAAGCGTAATCGACCATGCAGCAATAAGCAGAGGTGCCAGAGAAGAGCTGTCCCTTTTGTAGAGAGTACCGAGGTCGGCTAAGTGCTCCGACGGGACACGCCAAACCAGACTTTGCACCTCATCTGGTGTGTGATCATTAAGGGTTGGAAAGATACACGACTTAGCTCCATTCTTTAGGGACCTCGCTTGTGGATTCCTTGAATCTGGCTTTGGGGAGAAATCGCGAGTCATGGTGATGATTCTAACTATTTGGCTTCTGGGATTATCTCGTCTTTCTTCTCAGGGAGAAAAAAATAGTTTGCAGATTCGTGGATGAGGTAGACGACGAAAATAGCTACGGTGACTTAAATGTCTTCCCCCAGCACACCGCTTCTCCGCATACGTTACATATTTTTACCAGAGTCTCTCGCCGGACCAGACAAGAGAGGATGGATTCATGCGCCTGTACGACTATGCAAGGCCACATAGTACCTAAGGCAGGGAAGCAGACTCCACAATTTTATTAAAGGCAAGGAGTAACTGAAATCAAGAACTTATTCTTACTGAAGCAAGGTTGGTGAGAACCAGCCTCTCCCGGAATGAGTATGCTGCAAAGGCCAAATTCAGTCGTAGGCAGTAAGAGGGGGGGGGGAAGTCTTTCGGGTTGACATGGCGACACTCTCTCAACCTGGCAAGTCGAGGAGGATTGTGTTATTGTGATGAAGTCGCCTAGCCAATGGTTTATTTAGAATGTTGGTAGAAGACATTGGAGTATCCAGTGGAGATCCTCCGAGAAGAGGTTGAAGAGGAATGGGCTGTTGCAAGATCGAAGCGGAAGGCAACAATCGACGTAGATGGACTTGTTCCACTGCAAGGCAAGGAGATGCGGGCTAGCCTCGGCGATAGGGACTATTCGGAAGGCGTCCTTGATGTCCCTCTTGATGATTTGGCGCAACCGCGGCCAGCCTGTATAATCTGGTGGTAGATATTGTCGATTGTCGTACATTCAATAGCTAACCAGGGGTCCGGTATGCCCTAGTTAAGTTCCTGACTAGGTGCCCAGGATAGGTCATGGATACGGCGCCGAGGACTTACCAAGCGGCGAAACGAAAGGAGGACCCCGAAGCTAATCCGATGCCACCCAGGGTTGAGAAACCCTACTATTTTGGCTGTAATCATGCCGTGTTCGTAGACCATGCCGAAATAATAGCGCATACCTGGGCGACATTCATCTCAGTTCTTTTTTAGAAGACAATGAAGAATGTGTACTGGTGTATGCTTTTAGGGACCAATATAGGCGCCTCGCATTCCGCAATGTATCTACCTGTGTTCTGGTGTCAAACCGAGCGGTGAGTGGGTGACATGACTTCACTTAGGATGATCCCAGTGGTACGCCAGCGGCGGCATTCCATACTTTCAAAACGCGAGCTTTACTAATAGACGGATATGATATAAATACCCATGGACAGGAAGACACTGAATAACTAAGGATAGAGTATTAGGGAAGACAAAAGAAAGATACTAAGATCGAGTGTGTAAGTATGAGGAGTAAGTTACTACACTCCTAGTGTATGCCATCACCGTTGCTCCTACCATACAATAACTCAAAAAGTTTTCAGCTAGCTTATCCATGGTATGTATGGCAAACTTGCTCCTAATAGGTGCTAACGAGGGACGACTCTGCTTTGAACTAGGCTTGAGAGTTTGTCCTAAGGTTCTACATTATGATCGGTAATGAGACTGCCTGTAATGACTGGGATAAACTCTATTACCCATGTCTCTTTATGCTCTTAAAAGAGTGCTTCCGATTATTACAGTGGATTCACTGTACTAAGGGCCTTTGAGTGGTTATTATTACTCTCGGACTACTGATAACGCATTTTCCATATTAGGGGGTATTATATTTAGTTTTATTTAACCGCACTAGTTTTTTTGCATAAGTTCCTGAGTATCCTCTCTCACACCTACACCTACATTAGAAAATAAGTAGAGGGACACCATGTTCTGAAGGTATAAGTCCTTCTTTTGGGAAGATAAGCGACAAAGAGGTAAGCCGGAGACGAGAGACATAACGGTTGATTGTCTGCAAGGGGACATACTGGTGGTCATTCCTACCAACCCTTGGAAAATATCGAGGAAAGGGGCAAATACCTTCCTTCCTCCAAGCAAACACGCACATCGGATTTATTTCTTATAACGTCAGCCAGGGAGAGGTTGAGGCAGAATACAGGTTTAGAAAACTTAAGAAAATGGTAACCCACGTTGGCAATTCGTGACTTGTTAAGCTTTTGCTCCACGGCACTTGAACAACTCCCTCGACTCTTTCCCGAACCTGAATCTTCGTGCCTGGCAGGGTCACGATGGACAATTACACAGGGGACGCACTTTTCCCACTTGGCTTTCTGGCCATTGGTGTCTTGGCAGCGGCTCTGCTCTTGTTCAGACGAGATGATGAGCTCCCTCTTCGTAATGATAAAGCCCCGACGGAACTCTTCTACACAAACGCCAAAAAGCGATTTTCAAATGCTGCAGCTGACATGCTCGAGTCCGGCTTTGGCAAGGTAACGTCTTGAGTTGGCGTGGCGCTGTTCCGCTGAAAGGCTAATCGGTGTGTTTCCTGCTCTCTTTGTTTAGGCCAGAAAGACGTTTCTCTTGATGACTGACTACGGTCCTCGATACATCGTGCCGCCGGAATACGCCCAGGATCTCCAGAATCACCGTAGCATCACCGGGAATGGTATCATCGATGAGAACTTTCATTCAGATATCCCCGGCCTTGAAATATTTAAAATGGATTCGTACAATGGCAGACTGTTGAGGAGCGTTATCCGAAAGAAGTTGAAGGGCATTCCACTTGGTATGTAGCGCACTGTGAGCAATTGCATTATACAGACACCAATCGTACGAACGGTGGTAATGTATTACTACAGGAGGCCTAACGGATACGATGTCCAATGAAACTGCGTTGGCACTGGCGGACCTATTTACCGATCACCCTGGTAGGATTCATCGGCTCTGTACTTCTGCTTTGGGGCTAATAATAGATGTAGATTGGCACGAGATAGGTGTAACGGACACGATCCTCGAGCTCATTGCCCGTGTCACTACTCGGGTATTCTGGGGAGAGCAGCTATCACTCAACAAGGCTTGGCTGCGTATTATCCCGGAGTATACAAGAACGGCAATTATGGCTGCTGAGCAGCTGCATTTCTGGCCTAAGTCGTTGCGCCCGCTAGTTCACTGGTCGCTGCCAATTTTCCGAAAGCTGCGTTCAGTCTTGGCAGAAACACGCAGTCTGCTGGGAGTCGTCCTTGAAAAAAGGAAGGAAACCCCCGGGATGCGTACGGAGGGCAATCCTGATTTCCTCACTTTAGTCGAATGGCTTGACGAACTCAGTGCAGGGAAGGAGTATGACCCAGCCCTTATTCACCTGGCTTTTTTTTCTGTCAGTCTTCACACCGCCACAGACATGTTGTCCCAAGTGGTCTATGATATCTGTGGGCGGGAACAGCTGGTGCACCAGCTCCGGGATGAGATAACCTCAATTATATCCCAGGATGGGGGCTTGGTAAAAGGGTCGCTGGAGAAGTTGAAGCTACTGGATAGTGTGATGAAGGAGAGCCAAAGACTAAAACCAGCTGCCATAGGTAAGACGTCCGATTCCATTTCGATTTCTTTTTCACTAACCATCTTTGCACAGTGGGCATGCAGCGGAAGGCCAAGGAGGATTTTCATCTTCCGGATGGTACGCGAATAGCAAAAGGCCGACAGCTCATGGTTCCTGTCCACCGTATGTGGGACGACTCGATCTATCCTAATGCACAGGAATTTGTGCCTGATCGGTTCTTGAAGTTGCGGCAGATTCCGGGACAGGAGGACTTGCACCAATGTGTTTCGACGAATCCTGCTCACATGGGCTTTGGCTACGGGGCTTATGCTTGTCCTGGTCGATTCTTTGCCGTCCACGAGATCAAGATTGTTTTGTGTCATTTGCTACTGAAGTACGACATGAAGCTGGTCAACGGAAGGCCAACCCCGCAAAAGCATGGGGTTATGTTCGCTGCAAACATGCTTGGTAGGATTTCAATTCGCAGACGCCAGGAAATTTCTATTTAGGGCAGATCAATTAGTTCCCTCGGTGGATGAGATATACACGTTTACGGACACATCTAAACATCGCTAGTGGGCTGGTAATGGGGTAGACAAGAAACCAAGGTTATAACGCATAACAATGACAACACGTAAGGCCAACGGCCGTTTCGTGCTAAGGGTATTCGTATGGTAAACCTCTGACGTGAAAAGCGCAAGGAATGAAGGTCTGAAACTTCTAATCTAACCTAGGGTTTATATATGACAGTAGGAAGGAGAGAAGGCCTCGGATTTTATATTACTTCTATTTCCTTCTGGGAAAGTCCGCCCTTTCCAAAGATAGAATCTGGAAAAATCCTCTAAGTTCAGGCCATAGACTCACCTTAAATAACAGATTTTAGTAGTCTTCTGCCCTGCTTACCCAACTAAATGAAGAAATGAGGTTTCTAGCAGCGCTGTATCTATAATCCCACCCAACAATGGTATGATGGTGGTGTTACAACCTATTCTAAATCAGCTATAGCATGTCTGGGTTCTTTATCCTTGGCATGGTTCATTCCCATGCCCATAAATTACACTATAGCATGGAAAATAGCATGGAAAATTACAGCCACACAGCTCTGTAAGTGCCTACTAAAAGTAAATGAATAGGAGGTGTATGTGCCAGGATTGATAGGGTGTGCCCACTGAGATTTAGAGTTCAGCAGCAGACCTCCTACTTATGAATTCACCCATCAATAAATCATTCAAGAAGTCAGCCCACAATATTAATAGGGCCATAAATATAGCCTTATCCTGTGTCTCCTTTGCATGAAAGTTTAACAAGGTAAATTTTTACTTGCTATTAGACCTAAGGTGCCGCATTAGCGCCCCAACATTCTGCTAATATATCTGATATTGGGGACCTCTTTGAGGAAGCTTCCTCACCACTTACTTAAAACTCTAAAGTCAGCCCTTCCCCAGAGCCGTCTCCCCCGACTCCCATTAAACAAGGATTGCCAGAAGCTTTTAAGAGGGTTAAGTTTCCCCCAGCATCAAAGAGGCTCTACTTCCCCCTTATTTTAGGAGGTGGGGGACTTAATTACCTCCCACTTGCAAGCATAAGAATAACTACTATATCCTTTTTTAAGACCCTCCCTCACAATACACTCCGCGTCCCTATAGGTCAGGTTGTTTGGACAGATTATAGAAATCCAGTAAATATGCAAGAGTTATACCTAGCACTAAACTTAGTAATTATCACCTATGACAGCTGGGGAGTTCCATTGCTTAAGATCTGCTAGTCTTTTAATATCTTTGCTAAAGATGAGAGCACTATAGTGATAATTTACACAGAAGTACACACCATTCTCATGAAATCCCCCTGCAAATTCTAACCATGACCAGGTTTTGAAAGGCCTGAAGTACATACATGATGAGATTAGAATCACACATAGCCAATATTTCCTGCGGAACTATTCTCCTGACTGAAAATGGCATTATTAAGATTAGTAAGAACACACACTCATGGGCAATAACAATGGGGAATGTCTTTATTGGATCATTTATCTAGTGAGCTTATTACCTCGGTCTGCACGTCATCTGTGGTTCCGTGTCTAACAATCCTAACTTATAGGACGGGCATCGTCGGGCTCACAATCAGTAAGGTCTTAAGCCTTCTCTACAGATGCGCCTGAGGTCAAAGGTCGAGGATGGGCTGAGGCTTAAGGTCTGAATACCTCCAGGGTCGGAGGGACTGGGCCGAAGTGCTAGTGGGATACGCCCAGATGCTGATGACGCGGGCAGTAAGACAGGGTGTGTAGACATTGTGATGGATGGCCAGGAATACTTGACTCACCGCTCCCGACCTACATGATCCGAAGATCGCGGCCCGTACGACCAGCACAGGCGGAGGACCGCCTACTGGAGCAGCCTCGTTTAGCTGACGAATCAGCACGACGATGAATGCGAACTGAGTACTAGTATGAGTCTCGGATTCGCCCCGTATTGCCTGGCAGATAATGTAGCCCTAAAGAGCGACGTCATTGGCTCTAGGCGAGTACGAACTCTTACTCTATTGGGACTATATCCTGTCCCCCATATTCTATAGACAGAGCATATAAAGCGCATCAGGATTGCACAAGCCCTTGCCTCCTGTAAAAAGCCAGAATAGATGCAATATTAAGACATATTGAACATGTGCTCGATTCTGGCATTATTCTCCCTATGCATTATCTCTTCCATCATTAGCACAACAGCTGCTCAGCAGTTTCCCCTCGTGGACCTTGGGTATGCGACTCATGCCCCAACATACACCAACACCACTGCATCTGGCACCCGAGTTCGCCTATACAATAACATCCGTTTTGCACAACCACCAACTGGTGCCCTACGGTTCCGAAAACCAAGCACTCCCCCACCGAGTCAAAAGGGTATCCAAGATGGCAGGGACCGACTGTTTTCAACTGATTGTGTAAATGCTGCACCCGGAATGGTTCCATTCCCGGGACTCAATGGCTCCGCATGGGGACAAGAGGATTGTCTGTTTCTAAACGTGTGGGTGCCTGAGGGTGTCCGTCCCGGGGATAATGTCCCGGTTATTCATTGGTTGCATGGCAGTGCGTATGCATTTGGAAGTAAGGATCTTCTTATAAATGCAATGGGATTGATGGATCTCATTCAGAAGCCGGAGGATCGCTTTATCTTCGTGGCTAGTAATTACAGGTTAGGGAGCCTTTTCAGATGAAGAGATGATTATCAACGTTGACTGATACCTGTCTAGACTGGGTCTATATGGATGGGCATCATCTCCATACGAAGATATGGATGCCAATGTTGGTCTCCATGATGGTGTTGCTGCGTTGCAATGGACCAAGGACTACATATCTCATTTTGGCGGTGATACAAATAATATTACTGCAATCGGCGAGAGTGCAGGAGGTGCAATGATTGCACTAATGCTCGTGGCGAACGGGGGAATGGGACCCTTCCATTCCAGAAGGTGAGAGATCAGCAAACTCTTCCCTCTTCACTCAGACTGACTATCGCAGGCATTCATATCATCGCCCGCTATTCTGCCTAGAAGAAACGTGTCAGCGCGCCGCGAGGAGGTCTATAATCACATCCTACAAGCTGCAAATTGTTCGTCCCTCGAATGTCTTCGCAGTGCCCCATCGTCCCTCCTATTTGATGTTAATAAACGGCTCCTCATCGACACTTTCGGTGACGGCGGCGGTGGCACTTTTGGCCCAGGGGTTGGTTTTGGCCCACTCCCAGATGGGAAATACATCCCTGATGCTATAACCGTCCTGTTCAACCAGGGCCGTTATAACGAAGGCATTAAAGCTGTAGTATCTGGTAATATGGCAGCAGAAGGATTTGCCACAACGCCAGACATTGGCACGCCTGAAGAACTTCACTCACTGATCCGCAAAGTTCTGCCAGAAGCCAGCAATACTACTATCCAGCGCATTAGGGATATGTATCCATACCCCGATTCGCAGGCACAGAAAATCGCCCAGGACTGGACAACAGATAGTGTGTGGGCTTGTAATTCTCAGGCGATTGCGAATGCATACGCGAATAAGACTCTGCGATATGTCTTTTCTGTGCCTCCATCATCGCATGGATTGGATATAAACTGTATGTTGTTTCTCTATACCCTTTTCTGCTGATGATTCGCTCTGTGTATTGACCAACTGCAGATATGTTTTTCAAAGACAATACTTCATCCCCAGTCTCGAGCGTCTCACTTGCAAGACTGTTTCAATCGGAAATACTTAAGTTCTCAAAGGAGGATATTACAATGAGAAACACTACGACCTGGCCTTTGTATTCCACCAGATCGAGGTCTGCCAACATCACACTCACAGGATTAGAGACAAGTGTTGATCCTTGGGCGACAAAGCCTAACTGCAAGATTATTATGAAGGCTATTATGGATGAGAGGAATGGAGCTTGAGAATTACTTTCATATGGGGTCAGATCTTTGACCCCCTTGGTATGCACATAACTCTATAGCTATTTCAGGGCTATTCTCTGCTCGTCAAGGTTTTGGAAATCCTTTTCATTGCTGAGTTGACTAGGTAGTTAGATTTATTATTGTAGGACTCCCAGTCAATAATACCAGTGCCAGTGTAGCCAGTCACTAATATCAGGATCCTACCGAGCAGAAAACTACAGTCACCAAGGCAACTCGCTGCTGCGGTGGGAAATGATAGCCATTCTGCCGGGTAACGTCCGTTTCCCAATTCCCCCACCGTACCTGTCTTTTCCACACTGTTTTTTACTTGCCCGACGTTTGTGCGGCCTTGCCACTCGTCGTAGGTTACTACAACCTGTTATCGCTGCCGCCACGCTGCTCCATGGAGGACAGCAGCATCTTCCACGGAGTCAGGGATGCTTTATAAACATTATCAGCTTATTCTCCTTCCTATTTAGGAATTTTATACACAAATGGGCTACTTGGCAGCCCATCCCAAAGATGAGAGCTTCCTGTCAGTTTGTCCTATTATTCCAGTGCAGGAAGGAGACATGTCGGGTGTCTTTGCTGGGATGATTCGGTACTCAGAAAACTTTCACGCTACATATGGTGTTCCTGGTCCAGGGGATAAACTCTGGCTGGATTACCCGCAGGTTACTGGAACATTAAACCTCATGAGAGTAACGTCACCTAATGGGGTTGCTAACGTGTCTCTCCGGTCGGAGCTTCTCGAAGAGGAAGGAAAACATGAGTCGCGAATGACATGGAGGGTGTCAGTGCGGGCTGTGAGAGCGATTATCACATTCGAAGAACTCATTCGCGCTGCTCCTCAGAAGGAACAGTATCTTTCGCACCAGTCACCGGCTCTATAAGAGCGCTACTGTACTTTTGTCGAGTCTTTATTGCAACTATGAAGACACTATGTCTTCCAGATCTGTAATCTTTCTGTGCAGTTGTCTGCCGATCGTTCCCTTGGGAGATAAGCGTAGACCTCCCACGATCATCTGGGCTCTCGATCAGGTGCGGGGAATAATGTCCAGATCAGGGGCTCCTTCGTCCTTAGGAGCTCAAAAGTTTGGAAGAGTAGCCCCAATGCCAGCGCTGATGCAGGCTGCCTGTGCCACAGTGCATTTATTGGGGTGGATGCCACTAGGTATGTCGCCCGCTCCGGATTGGAGACGCGCGGTTTTCGTCGAGCGAGTCCCGTTTTTGCCAGCTTCTTCCTTTTCTTTGGATAGGAGTTTGCTCTATGTCGGATGCTGACCCTTACATAGCACGCTAAAACGGTGCTGACTAAGGGTCCGTATATTTCACCATGTTCTTTGGTACTATACTTTTCCGCACAATATCCGCATCGCTCTTTGGCGTCGCACGAAGGCCCATGTGGCCGTATTCATTGCACTGGTAGCACTTCATGAATATGCACGGCCGGACGTATAGGTTGCGGTCGTGATCAATGGCGTTCAACTTGCTATGCATGATAGAAATGAATTCCATGATGAGGGAAGTGGTTACCTCCTTCCTTCCTTGGTCAGCCTCCCCACATGAGACATCTCTGCTCCGTATGGAGTACCGCGTTCTCAGATCCGATCTTCTCGACAGCTCTTTTGTTGGTTATCGGTATCCATTGATAATTTATTAGTATGTACTCCATGTACGGTTTCTCTGTACGTGGGCTAGATCACTCACGCGGTCGTCCCAAGGACATTGACCCATTCCTCTTCGATGCTCTTCGATGCTCTTCGATGCTCTTCGATGCTCTTCGATGCTCTTCGATGCTCTTCGATGCTCTTCGATGCTCTTCGATGCTCTTCGCTGTGTCCTCATACGCTGTGGTTGCAGGATGAAGTACTCAACCATCAAATAGTTTGATCCAGAATTGAGATCGATTAAGCTTCTATTTAGCAAGAAATTTCAGAAATTCGCTCCCAGCTGAGGGTAGGTGTTCTGCTCTGAGATATTTGATATGGCCGAGGTGCATCGTCTTTCCAGGGCATGCATTCATGCTACTCATGGCTGAGGTGCTATCCATTAGCTTCTTCTAAAGACATTTGGATCCTTTTATGTAGGGATCTGGCTCCTCTCAGACTCAGTCACTACTTCTGTAAGAATACATAAGAACATTCCGCCCTGAAGTGACAAGTAGACTAGATCTTACTATTAAGTCTGTTTGCCAGGCCCCGCCTTAGAGTGTGAATCATAATAATCTTAGGATATCCTGCATTGACAATAACTGCCTAAAATAAGTGGCAGAAATACTCCCATATCTATGTACTATTTGAGAGTCCCCGAAATCTAGTGACTTAGTGTAACCCGGTTTCCCTAGCCATAGATGGTCTCTATAGAAGGGGAATAGGCTTATTATTATTAGGATTTAAGTTTTTCAAATTTCTCAATTAAAGAGTGCTGACGGAAGGAAGCGCTTGAAATCTACTCTCAATTCTCGTCTCCAATCTGAATAAATCGTGACCAGGTGGCAGCAAGATAACTGACACGGTCTTAGAGAATGGTTTGTTTGGATCGGTCATTTGCCACCTAGCCGTTCTTTGAACGAGCAAAAACTACAAGTTGAAAACAAGGCTTTCCGTCGCACATGTCGGTTTCCAACGCAGGAATTATGGACACCTCGGGAAAGTGTCTGCAGAGTTGGAGCAGATTTTGACTTGAATTCGAACGGACTTGGATGTGCTCAAGCAGCGTATGTAAATGATCTCCAGCCGTATCGAGACTAAACAATTTGAATATCAACAGGCTCTGACGCTGGTACCACAATGAAAGGTCGCCCATTGTTATCACTGGGATGTAGAATCCTAGGCCCTATCCAACAGGGCACTGTTACTTTCGTAGACAGGTGGTCTTCCCGCGTTCCCCAGTCCCACCAATCAATCTTTGTCTCTGTCAACTGGGCTCTTAATGAATCGCCCACCTGCGCATCTTCAGGCAACTCATGGTCCACAAATGAGGACAAGGTCTGTCCAGGGTGAAGAGTTGCAAAATCCTCATGGTCGCCGGGTGAGATCTCCATATCAGGATCATCCCATATCCCCCTCCACAGCCGTCCACTGTGTACTCCACCCAACGACCACACCACTGATAAATGGGGGATACTTCAGAAGTCGACTATGAAAGGTGATCGGCCTGGTCTCGCCAGAAGGACCAGGATGGTAGGTAATATGAATTCTCACTCTCACCACCCATTTGTGTAAGGGAACGGTTGATGCACATTCAATCTTTGCGATTAAAATCGGGGCGGCTTCTTCTCTAAAATCCACATCAGCGTGTAGTTAACTCAGGAAGCGCAGCTGTCCTTACGCTCGAGATACTACCTCCACTGGCCATGGATTGGGAATATGCAATGGCTGCTCTCCTTCTTCTACAGTGAAGGTTAGTAAAGGACCGCCCGGCAGGATGAGGCTGGTGTCTTGGGTTGGTATGTAGCTGTCAAAATGGTTCTTGGCTACTCCCCACTCCCATGTGGCGTATCTTTCACCCGGCCAGAATAATGTATATCTCTCTCCAGCTGTTAGGCAAGAGAGAAAGCGGTCTGGTAATACATCCATCCATCGCTGGGCGCGCCTTAAAGTATGTTCAATAAAACATGATTCTTCTGTGACCCATGGCAAAAGGGGAGGCCATGTGCTTTGGGGAAGCTTAATCTGCCTCAAGCCTTCACAGGCATGATGAAGAAGAATGAAGCCAGAGGCCACAAATCCTTGGATATGAGGAGCCCAATCAAAAAGGCATGGGCTGTCTCTATTATCGACACGGCGTAAGATGACTTCAAATAGATATGGGGTTCTCCGCCACAGCTTCTCAAGGCCTTGCAGCTCAAGGGAAATTGCCGGCGTACCTAGGCTACAGGAGGTTAACCCGCGGCTACTCTGGTTAGGCTTGGGGCTGAGAGCTCACAGGCAGTCTTTCTGTGTCCATCGCAAATACGGAGTCAAGGCCTCGTCCATTTTCTGTTCTTTCATCCACTTTTGGAAGGTAGTAGTAGTTTGGCTGTAGGATGGATTAGGAACCCTAGGCACCCCTTCTGGGAGATGAGACTAATATAGAGCGGAACTGTTGAACTGCTGTCTTGGAGCCGTATTATTCGAAAGAAGGTCAGTGGACCACTTGGTGGAGACCTTTTTTGATCGCTTAGAAGAAGTAAATGGTCGGAGAAAATTTATGAGAAGAAGCAACAGTCAAGGTCTTAAATCCGTGGATCTGTACGAGCAGAATTTTCCCCCTGATTCTTAATTAAGTTTAGGGTGAATCTTGGGTCCGGGCGGCGCGTTCTCTAAGCACAAGACTTCCCCACAACAAGCTTAGCCTGGACTATTAACCCTGTGCACAACTGCCACTAGAACATATGATGTTATCTCGAGAGTCAAAATCAATTATTGAGTAATGAATATTGGATGAATCTCCATCCTCCCTTCGCAATTGTGTGACATTGATACCATAGGCGAGTTACGCCGTAATGCACAACCCAGAGCCTTAACTCCTCTGGAAGATTAACAACTCTGACTTTGTGGAAGAGAATCTAAGACGTAATACTACGATGTTGCAGAACTGTACTAACACATTTGTGTGAATCCGAACCACGTATGGAAAATGACCTCGACAGTTTTGACTGGCTTCACACGCCATTCGGGCTGATGCAGGCCCCTGCAATCTTTCAGACCTTTATCGAATTTGTCGGGCAACTCCTAAGCTGGAATGCACCAACCTAGACAACATTCTATTGCATGCCAAGGAATTGAACGAACCGAGACGAGGCAGGAACACACTCGAAGATTTACGTAAATCCAGTTTGCGATAAACGAGAAAAGACCTTCAGAGATACAGACAGTTGAATATTGCATGCTCCATCATGGGACACGCCGTTTCGCCAAGACGACGCTATTTGGAGGTTGCCTACCCACGAAACGACAACTCGTAGACTTCCCTTGGAAGCATGAACACCTCTTGTACTCACATTTGATGCTACGCACAGTTCGTGAGTCGGCAGCCCACACTTGCACTTTCGTAGGGTCATTACTAGGTAGATATAATTATGTTATTGAGAAACTGGGTTCTTTAAGAGGGTGTATTAGGATAGTTAATTCTATCGTGGGAATGCATTCCCTCAATTACGTACTCTTAATTGTATATAACAACTCAGAATCATTTTATCTTTGATGTGGCGTGACCGTGAGTTGAGGTGCTAACGGATGTGTCCTTATCTTAGTAGGCTGTGGTGTTATGGGTTATGCAGCATGGTAAGGATGGGATAAGTCCTAGAACAATAAGTTACTCTAGACGGACCTACCAGACCCACAACGTGATCTACTATATAAGATAGTAGACACAGTAGGCACTGACTCACACTTTGAGCCCTAGGCTGAGGTAACATAATATGTCGACTCTCCTGTTATCATCCCTGCCTTTGGGCGTCTGTTATGTTGGAAAGGCACTATTACATGGCTTGCGTTCTACTTCGGTGTTTTCTATAAGCTACCGGCGTAACTATCATAACTATCACGCAAACTAGATGTAAACAATGCTAACGGACCAAGGGATCTTTCAATTTTCAGTTTCTTAGGTGATATTATGCACGTGGTACACTAGTTTCTGAGAATCCCCCCTGCATTGCCTGGATCTGGAAAGGTAGTAATTACTGAAAGTTTTGACCAGGGGATGCCCCAGTTTAGCGAGTCCGCCGACTCAGTAGTGTCTAGCCCGAACATGGAAAGTACAAGTGTAGTGAGACATTGCAACGACATGCACTGGAATGGACCACAACAGATTTAGTACTTATTAAAAGCAACTTCGATCATTCCTTGTACCAGTATCAACATTTGTCCTACTGCTCCTGCTAATCGATAAGGCATATGTGCTATATTCTCTAATCGAGGCAGATAGCCCTGTCCAAGTCATGTGGGCAGATGCTTTGCCACCTGTGTTTGAAATATGAAGTACATGAGCTGAGGCCAAAAATGGCTGCAGGGGAAGAGACTAATATAAACGCATTTGAGGTTGTTATACAGCCGTATAGGCGGGTCTTCGAACCATAGCCCCGAAAACTATAGCAGGCTATCCAAGGACCCTAGACAGGTGCTAGCACTAATAGTTCTTTAGGTGATTTCCGGCATATATTCACTCTACGTTGGCACCGCACGTTTCGGTTATACGACTGTTTATGGACAAAGTTCCGCAATAATTTGGTCCGGCGCTCGAAGCTGGGGGCAATGGAAGTTTACATAAAGAGGCAGCATCTACAGCTGTCTCGCTCTTGATGGATGTAAACAAATCGCCAAATTCCGCTAACCATATCTCATCACGATGAATTGGCTAGCATGGCTTGCCATGGTGGCGGCCTTTCAAATCATTCAACAAGCACATGCAAAGGCCGTGTTTGCTCATTTTATGGTTTGCTCTTCCACTTCCCTAGATTTATACACCAGGTAATTGGGCACTGATGGTTGTGGTAATAGGTGACAAACTCAGAAAACTATACTCTCACCGACTGGCAATCAGACATGACCCTGGCTAAAGATGCCCACATCGATGCGTTTGCCCTCAACATGGCCTTCCTGGACAAGACCAATAATCCATCCCTGGAGATGGCATTCGAAGCCGCCAACGCTGTTGGTTTCAAACTCTTCTTCTCCTTCGATTATGCCGGTAATGGACCCTGGGATGCGACGGTCGTGATCAAGATGATCCAGCAATATGGTCCCAACAATGCATATTTTCAGCATAACTCAAAGCCGTTTGTATCCACATTTGAGGGACCGGGCAATGCAGAAGATTGGGTCATTATTAAGGAGAAGACAGGCTGTTTCTTCATGCCTGACTGGTCCTCAGTGGGTGCAAAACCAGCCATGGCCCTAGCTAATGGCGTGGCGGATGGTCTATTCAGTTGGGCTGCATGGCCATGGGGCAATCAAACCATGGACACATATACTGATGCTTCCTACCTACAGTATCTAAATGGAAAGCCATACATGTTTGCTGTGTCACCATGGTTCTATACAAACCTTGAAGGGTATAATAAGAACTGGCTATGGAAGGGCGACACACTCTGGTTTGATCGATGGCAAGAACTCTTAGCTCTTGACCCAATGCCAGATTTTGTGCAAATCATTTCATGGAATGACTATGGTGAATCCCACTATATTGGTCCGCTACGTGAGAAATCAATGGCTGCATTTGATATTGGAAAGGCGCTCTACAATTATGTGGAGGGTTATCCCCACGATGGTTGGCGTGATGTTCTGCCATTTCTGATTAAGCTTTATAAGGATGGTACAGCCAGTATAGATGCAGACACTGTGGTCTTCTGGTACCGTCCACATCCAGTATCATCTTGCCAAGATGCAGGCACAACGGTGAACACAGCCTCCCAGCTACAGCTTGAATTTACACCAGCAAGCGCATTAGAGGACCGCATATATGTCATGGCAGTCTTATCTGATGGGAATCACGCAGTATCAGTTTATGCCGGGGGTGATCAAGGTTTTATTAAATGGGATTCAAAGCCAGAACAAAAGATTGGACCTGGGATCTTCTTTGGCAGTGTACCTTTTAACCCGGGTAAGGTCCAGATCAGCCTCTGGAGAACTGATCCAATTGTTGGCCAGGCTGAGGGTCTTGAAATAACGACTGAGTGCACTAGGGGATATAATAACTACAATGCTTGGGTAGGCAGTTTCACTGTAACACCCTTCCCTTCAGCATCAGGAACTACAGGGGTTGCGCTCAAAGATCAACAGTGTATCCGAGGTAAAGGAGCATATGATTTCAATGATCTATGCAACTTCACTTGCTCTTATGGCTACTGCCCTGTTGGAGCATGTACCTGTGAGCAGATGGGAGTTCCACGCTTGAAGCCCAATGCAACAGGGGTCATTGGATACCCTGCAGAAGGTAGGGATGCAAACTACCTGGGTTTATGCAGCTTTGCCTGCAATTATGGCCACTGCCCATCAAAGACGTGCGACACCAAGGAGCATCCCATGCCGGTACCCACAGTGTCAGACTTCCTACCTCCAGCCTGTGTTGCGGGTACTGGACCGGGAAACACCGCCGGACTATGCTCATACAGCTGTAGCTATGGCTTCTGCCCCCTCCATTTGTGCACCTGCACCCAGACAGGGCCTCTTGTGCAACCGCCGGAGCAGACTCAGGTCGGTGGCATGGCGGCTCTCGGTGTCGATTCGTCCATTGACAAACTCTGTGACTTCACCTGCAGTCGTGGATACTGCCCACCACAGGCGTGTCGGTCCAAGGACGACGTGTCTGCCTCTGCAATTCACACCCGCTGGATTGAGGGTGAAGGATTGACATGCACTGATGATGAGAAGAAAGCAATCGTCCGTGAACTCGTGTATGCAATGAAAATGGCGCAGGAGACCGCAAACAATATTCAACTAGGAGATTACCACACGACCTTCTTCGGGCAAAGGCTGGTGTCCAACTCCAAATTCATCTCCGATACGGTTGAGACCTACAAGCGAGTGGAGCAGATCCTCGGTGGCCACGCCGACGAGTTTCCAATGAAGCTGACCTGCAATCCCAACACCCCACTGTGTAAGAACCCGAAGACCGTGACCGTTGCACACATGAACGACGCTCGACAGATCCTAAACTTTTGCCCCAAATTTTTCCATGACGCGAGATTATTCCCTACCAAAGACCTGCTCGATAAGTGCGACATGGATCTTCGAGATGCCGCGAGAGCCAGGTCCGCTGCTCTTGTCCACGAGGCCACCCACACGAAATACGCGATGCTTGGAAAACCATAGTGAGTCAATACGTTCCGTCTTCCTGTTCTCATGGACTGACAGCTAACTGCGTCTAAGTACCCGTGACGTCGCATATGGCTTCAATGCTTGTTGGCTCCTCCCGCGTGGGTTGTTCGACCGTTCGTGTGCCCCATGGGCCAAGAAACAGAAAGGCCAACCGCCACCACGGATCGAGTGTCCCAACAAAGATGAGAACGGGGAAACAGTCGAAGGTGTCTGCCCAGGGGACCTAGCGGGAAAAAATGCCGAGTCTTATCAATTTGTGGCAGCCGGCGTCTACTTCAGCAGGAAATGCGGGCACAATATTCCCCTGCCGCCTCTGCCACCGACCCCCTCAAAGCGCGCCACGACATGCCCGAACTTTGCTGACTACATCTTTTGGGATGCCATCGGGGACGATCTGGTTCCCGTCACCGGCTACGTCCATCTGGGGGACTCCTTCGCCGCGGGGTTGGGGACCGGCACAACTTCCGGGAGCCCATGCCGCGTTGGATCGAACAGTTACGGCAAGTTGGTGTACGATTCTCTTGATGGAGAGGACGTACCTTTTCAAAACGTGGCTTGTTCAGGGGACACCATCCCTGGCCTCAATAACAAACTCGCGGGCTGGCAGGAGTCGTCGGCATATAATCTGGGGACCGTGACTATTGGCGGCAACGACGTTGGCTTCTCTAACATTGTCAAACACTGTATCTTGAGATACTTGAACTCGCCATTGGGCTGGGACGCCTTTTGGTGCAGTTATTACAAGCGTGCTGCCCGAAATCTCATGGCCGACACCAGTAAAAAGGGCCTGCAATACCTGCTGGGATCCATTTACTCTCAGATCCATCAAAAAGCGACGTCAAATCCCGTAAGTGCTCTCGGATATAACTCGCACGGCCTCACCCCACCAACCTCTCCTTTTTCGGTTTCGCTTTGTGCAGCTGACGCCTTCTAGGACTTTCACCTCTACGTTGCTGGGTACCCGAGGTTCTTCAACCCTACGACGACAGAGTGTGACAGTGTCACCTTCAAGTACTGGTCTTGGCAATTCGGTCCAAGCCCAACCACCACTTATTTGACCACCGACTTGAGGAAGGAGATGAACGATCTGGTCGACGGCGTCAACCAAGCCATTCAGGCTGCAGTGACTGATACTAACGAGTTGATGATTAGCAATGCTACCCACTTCGTTGACGTGAATCCCTACTTTGAGGGACATCGATGGTGCGAAGCGGGAGTGAAAGAGCCTGATTCCTCGAACCGGAACACGTACTTCTTCCTAAGCGGCTGGCCGGACGTGACTGAGTCCGGGATGTTCCAGCAGTCCTCAGCTGATGACAGCAATGACCTGAGTGTCTTGGAAGCAACTCGGAAGTTGCCACTCCCAGACGGCAACACATGCAACACCACTCTCGGTGAAAATCCGGACCCGGTCAACGTTTACTGGTGTAGTCTTGCACAAGCAGTGGCGCAGGAGCCTGGTGGGGACTTGGCAAAGCATGTTTCCATGGCGAATGGAGCGTTAGCTGATGGTGACTTTACAAGCCAGGATGTCAGTCGCTTCTTACCTACACGACAGATCAAGGCGTTCCATCCCCGGAGTGCGGGGATGGCCCTGTATCGGGATGCTATTTTGGCCGCAAGATTCGAGGTTGACAAAGACTGGTGGTAATATCTTGCGAAGAGCCATGCAAAAAAAAGTGTTTTATTTTCTCTTATATTTGTGTAGAAATGTATTCTGCAAGAATTCAGACCCTGGAGCCCTATAGCAGGCAAAACAAACCTGATAACCGGACTATGAGAGAGCTATTGGAAATCCTACGAGCTGCACATCAGAGTGAAGCGAGCAAGGCTGCACGGAGTTGCAAAAGCAGTTATTACCGCATTGTTGCTCAATGGAGCTAGGCGACCGCTAGATTGGCCCGCTAACTTGACGCTAGAGGCAAGTGTCCACAGATCATTTTCCTATAAGATGCGAGTTTGCCACCCCCCAATGTGCTCAGTATTCTGTTCTTCCCAACTGTGACTGTTCAAGATGCTACTTACCATTCTCAGCTTGTCCGTTATCCTCCCCAATCAAAAAAGAAATTAGCTCTTTATAGTATTGCTTACATCTAGGGCAGGATTGTGCTTCTTCTAACCTTTGCGTCATTTACTCCCCAGATCCAACATGTCTGGCGGCGGAGAGATGCCAAAGGAATCTCATCATCCTACATCCTATTAAATCTGATTTGCGCCACAGAACATGTCTTTTTCGGCTTCTTTTATATAGTGAATATGCGCGAGTGGTCAGGGTTCTGGACCCATCACCCTATAAACATCCTGGATTGGGTCAATTTTGTCCAGTTAACGGGCGTCTGGGCATTTTTCAATGTCTTGTGAGCTGTCTACAGCCCCCAACAATCAATGTTTTTGAAACTAACAGGATGTGTAGATTCTTTCTATCTCTCTACTTCAAACCCACCAGCCGCCTCCAAAAGGCACTGCTTATAGCTATCTACATCTTCTTCCTCATCATCTCCCTCGTCCCACTGGTCATAGACGCCACAATAGACATCTTCTGCCCCCAGAAAAGCCAAACTGCCCCGAGTACGATCGTGACCCAGTTGTGTTATTTGAGGGCTACCACCTCTTCGTTCTGGTCCCAGTTATCGTCATGCTTTTGGTTCTGGGCTTGTATAAACAGGCTCGAGCATCCACATTTAACCTCAGTCTGCCCGGGCTTAAACTGCAAGCAGTAGTCTTCATGCTCTCAGCTGCTTCCTGGGTCCTGAGACTTGCTTTTCCATGGAAGGCGTACCTGGAACAGCCGCAGGGACATGTGCCTATTTATTTAGTGATTCCTGCTTGGTGGCAGATCATTGGGTTTGTGGCTGTTGACGATGCCATCTTTGCTCTTGGGCAGGGCGTTTTGCTGTGGTTGGCTTTGAGGCGTGGAAAGCGTCTTGCGGCTTCTCATCCGGAGAGCCGGCCATTGCTGGGGGAGTGAAGTAGGCCAATGGATTCTGCAGGCTCGGGCTGTGCCAACTTGGAAACTTCCCCAACCTTGACTGCTGCACCTGGGAAGAAAGCACATAAGGGAAACCAGGCGTCATACTGTGGATAATGATGGAGGTCATGCAAACCATTGACTGACTAGGGCAATGACGCGAAGACAAGCCACTGACACTTAGCATGGCCATGTTTCATGCTTTGAGAGCACTAAAGCAGTGAACCATCTTTCTAAGGATGGCATCAATTCAGAGGCGTTGGTACGTGACACAGCTGTCGCTGTGACTCATTCACTCAACTTCCAGAGCATGTATGCGCCAGTGAAGAATTAATGGTGACTGGACTTTTTTGTTCTATCACGATATTTCTGACTTCAAGGACCAACATATCTTTTAAACGGGTCTATGGATCTTTTAAACGGGTCTATTGCCATCGCTCTCTTGGTATGGGAACTTAGTTTCGAAACCGGAATGCTTTCAAGGATGGTCTCAAGACGGTCTCAAGGACGGCCCAGCTCGAAATTTGAATATGGAGAAGGTGCTATAACTCAGTGGATGAAATGGAAATGTCAGTGGATCTAAGTATCCTATTAATCAGTAATGGTTGTATTTTGTAGCTTGGATTTGCTTCTGCTTACCGTACCGATATCAGTGGTGACGTGTGATATTGTACTATCTGTCTACTATGCGCTGAACGAGGAAACAGACGAGCATAACATAGGAGTGTATGGAATGAATACAACACGCTGTCTCAGCCTTGGGAGGTTCTGGTCCCGGATTCCCAGTTTTGGGAGAGGGGGCACCAGCGAACGCAGATTTGGGAGGATAAATACTTTCGCCGAGATGCCGCTCCGGTGAAACATTCGACAACATACAGACCAACAACGTCGCCATGGGTTTGCTATCCCTTTCTCGTGGCAACAATGAGTGGAGGCAGCTCCCCAGACTATAAGGGCACCTTTCTTGAGGCAGAGGAAAGATTGAGGCAAGAGAGGGAGCGCAACCAACTAATGATTTTAGGAGAGTTCATCCGACATTGTCATGATCTCCTTTGGAGGCTGCTATGAGTTAAAGCGCCTTCTCACTCCATGACAGGCAAGATGCGCCCTCCTACCCGAAAATACTGCCCTGTACAACTGCGGCGGTGGCGCAGACTATGAAGCTAGATAATAGGAAATTTACAAATCTGTTTGCTGATACATTGAACTAACTAAAGAGGATGCATAATAGTTATTCATGTCACAGGCTAGGACGCCTTGAAATCTATAACCTAGATTTTGACAGTAAGAAATTGCTAAGAGGTTCTAACTAGGGCTGCAGCAGCCGAACATAAAAAGGAGTATGTAAATGGTGGCCAGGGTTACATGACATAAGCTTACTACATTAATTAGTATGGTGTCACGTGACCACAAGCTAGTACGTACTTTGTCTAAGCGGAAATGTCAACGAGGGGTACGGGGATTTAGATCAAAGACAGTTTCGGCGACGTCATGGCTCCCAACTGGATGACATTGTGTGTGGAAGGAACTTGCGTCTCCCTAGTCTGCGTCTGAAAGGATCTGGTTTTTGCACCAATGGAACAACAGAACAAGCAGATCTGCAGGGCCCGATCGTTACTGGTCGGTCCACATTCGACCGAGACATCATCAAAAGTGGTGATGGTGCAGATCCTTTGCGACTTCAGCCCGGATTAATAATGTCTACTTCTAACATCGCATCTGGGGTTCACAAGTCGTAGAAGCAATAGACTGTCCGCTTCTATGTAGACCATTCATCGTCTAGGCGCCAAGACCAGCGAATCATCATGGCGTTCTCCAGCCTGTCGAAGACTATAATACTCATATTTCTGGCCCTTGCGGTGGGTGGAAATGGCTCGAGGATAAACCGGCGGGAGGTCGTCCGTCGCTTCAATCCCGTCCGGACCAACTTGTCCTCCACGACTCCCATCCAGGTGGGAAATGGCAACTTTGCCTTTGGAGCTGATGTTACCGGGCTACAGACCATTTTGCCGTACAACATTCTGTCCTCCTGGTGTTGGGCCAATGACTCTCTACCTACCGAGCCGGGCCAGGATGCTACCTCCGACTTTACAGGACAGGGCTGGTGGACTCATGGTAGACTGGTAAACTACGATATGCCAGACCCGGCCGAAGCAGCCATCTCGACGTGGCTGAGGGCGAATCCGCATCGTGTCAACCTAGGAAGGATTGGTCTTCTGTACAATGGCAAGAATATCTCGCTGGCGGACTTGTCCAACATGTCGCAGACCTTGGATCTCTATACTGGACTTTTGACATCTGAATTCATTCTCGGAGGGGTGAAGGTAGTTGTGCAGACCGTTGGAAGCCCGAGCTCAGACGAGGTTGCGGTGCGCGTAGACTCGCAATTGCTGCAAAATGGATCGCTGAATGTCTTCTTCGACTATCCCCTGACTACCGGGGCCGCGTCATTTCAAGCGCCGTTTGTCGGTGATTGGAATGCTGCATCGAACCATACAACGAAGCTGTCCGTCCATGACCACCAGAAAGCCGTAATTCAACATTCTCTGGGAGGAACAACATACTACAACAGCATTTCGTGGCTACCCCAAGGGAACATCAACGGTCCCATCAACAGAGCCCATCGATATGTCCTCCAACCATCTGGAAAGACCACGTTTTCCTTCACTTCCACCTATACCCCGGAGAATAACGCTCAGGTCGGCACATTCAACAGGGTAAAAGCAGAATCAGCGACCTGGTGGGCCAAGTATTGGGAATCAGGATCGTTCGTCGACCTCACGGCCAGCGGAAGCTCGGACATCAAAGAACTGCAGCGACGCATTATTCTCTCGCAGTATCTCCTCGCGGTCAATTGCGCGGGGAGGGACCCTCCCCAAGAAGCAGGACTGCAAAACAACGGATGGTACGGAAAGTTCCATCTGGAGATGGTCTTTTGGCATCTGGGCCACTGGGCCCGATGGGGTAAGTGGGAGCTCCTCAACCGCAGTCTCAGAGTGTACGATCGCTTTCTTCCCTCGTCCATCGAGCGCGCCAAACAACAAGGATACTCAGGCGCTCGACTGGGCAAAATGAGCGATCCATCCGGTCGATCGGCCCCGGGCGAGATCAACGCGCTCTTGATCTGGCAACAGCCGCACGCGATGTATTTCGCCGAGCTGGAGTATCGCGCCTTTCCCACGGCGCAGACTCTCAGGAAATGGGACACCGTCTTGACAGAACTCGCCGAGTTCATGGCCTCGTACGCGTGGTGGAATAGCTCGACGCAGGTGTACGATCTGGGTCCGCCAATGTACCCGTCATCGGAGAACACGAACCCGAATTCGACATACAATCCCACTTTCGAATTGGCGTACTGGCGCTTTGGTTTGCGAATTGCCTCGGAGTGGAAGCGTCGACAAGGTCAACCTGTTCCGTCCGAATGGATACATGTTCATGATAACCTGGCTCCTTTGCCCGTGACCGACGGAGCGTACGCCATTTGTGCAGATCTTCCCAATATGTGGACCACCTACGATTATATTTCCGACCATCCCAGCCAGATTGCCGTCTACGGCCTTCTCCCTCCCACGCCTGGAGTGGACGTCGGAATCGTCAACGCGACGATGATGAAGATCAACCAGGTTTGGAACTTGACCAACTCATACGGGTGGGATTTTCCCATGCTGGCTCTGACGGCTACCCGTCTGGGAGACTCGCAGCAGGCCGTGAGTTATCTTCTCGATCCTGTCTTTCAATTTGATGATGTCGGTAATCCCATTGGCGGTTCGCGGGTGCCTACTCCGTACTTCCCTGCCTCATCTTCCTTGCTTCTTGCGGTTGCGATGATGGCAGGTGGATGGGACGGCAACGAGGGTCCGCATTTTCCCCTTGGTTGGAATGCAAAGACAGAAGGGTTTACTCCTGGTCTTTGATGAGACTCATCATTAAAAGGACAGTCACGTTAGCTATAATTCTGGCTAGAGTCCATGAATATTATGTTGGTGGATTCTCTATGTCGATACGTTGCTAGCCTTCATGTTCATGTTATGGAGGAAAGTACCACAGTACTAACGAGTATATTTCTTGAGAACCGAATACGTAGACTCTACATTCACACAACCACATGAGAAAACCTAATGGAAATAGGGAAACCCTACGTCAAGTCTAAAGTATACTAGAAGCCAGTCCGCATACTAACCTGGACAAAGTCATCGTCCACAAGAAAGAGATCATCTAAACTAGGACTCATGTCCATAAAGGGTGGCAGAGAGAAAATATCGTCCAGGGGATCTAGCGTTGTCGTGACATTGTTCTGATGGGCAACTTGGGGGAGCTCAGGGCTCACTTCCACCACCGATGACGAACCCGCGAGAGAGCAGCCTTTGTCTACCGACTGCATCTCACGGACATAACGCGCCTTGGCCATCAACCGCCCGATCGGCTTCCATAACGTACCCTTGCGCGCGTGCTCCTTCATGCGCCAGCGGTCATAGAGGATCTCCACTGCTGCCCACGCCCGGTCGCAATCCTGGCAAGGGGCCGAGTACAGATCTCGGACAGGACAAGGGCAACTGCGTGCCACTGGGAGTAGGTATCTGATCTCCAGGCCCAGTGAGCGATATTGGGATTGCACAACACGGAGCAGGAGAGCTCCGAGATCTCGATGGCGAGGTGAAAGATCTTGTCCTGTAGACTGGCCTGCAGCGGGGCCGCTGATACTTCCTTACAACTATCCACCCGCTTGCGAGGATAGTGGACCATCAGCCATACGCGGGCGATAATCAACCGCGCCACGGTAGCTGAGACAAAGAGGAAGGGTTCGGCGGGATCGCAGTACGCCAGATACCGTGTCTCCAGGCGGCTCTGGAGCTGCTCGGCCAGTGCCTCCCGTTCTGGCAGCGACAACTCGGTAACTGATGCAGTGCTGGTTGTCCGTGCCTGACGGCGGTGCGGTGGAATAAAGCTGACCTTGCGCACAATGGGGATGGATTCGAACCCAATCAGGCTCAGCGTCATCTCGGTGGCGCCGTCTCGCTCGGTCGGCGGCTGAACCAGATCCGCGGTCAGATCGGAATCGTTAATATTCAACGGCAGCCGGGTATCAAAGGACGATTCGGATACAATAGGTTCGTAACCGTGATATTCAGACGAGCGCTGGTCGAGGCCGACGATGAACCACCACAGTCGCCGTCGCAGTTCGGTCTCGAGGGGCCGTAAGCCAAAGGCCGTGCCGTCACGATGGAGACCCATAGCCTGCGCAATATGCACAATTAAGGCTGTCAGCGACCAGACAGTTCGGGAGTCATCTTCATTGCGCAGGGCACAGAGGAACAAGGCTGCCGCCTGCAGCAAGATCATGTTCTGGGTATTCAGCAGATCAGCGCGGGCGAGGGCCTGTTCGATGGCAAAGCGAAAGGTACGAAGCGCCTGGGGTCGAGGTAAGACAAGGGGGCACTGGGTCTGGTCAGTAGTACTGATGATCGCAGCATAGTATATGGCAAGCAAGAGGGCCTCCGTGTTGCAGTCGAGGGTGTCAAGCGAGGCGACCGCGTCCCAGAAGAGCTTCGTGAGTGTCGGCATGTGGAAGATCTTCACCACGGGAGCAACATTGGTCTGGAAAATCTCAAACAGAGCGACCGATTGAGAGATGGACGGATGGTAGTCTCGCAGTGAGTGAGCGAGCGACCTGAAGCCCATAATGGCGGCATTCAACCCGATTGTGCCGACCGGTTGCTCCTGTTCATCTGTTTCTTCCTGCCAAACCCCTTCGTCGTCGTCATCGTTAGTCGACGGTGGTCCGTGTAGTAAATCCCGCAGTTCTTCAATCTATAGTCCTTGGTCAGCTCTTATCGAAATGTAAACGTGGGGGTAAAGAGATGACCTCATCGCCCAGACTAGCCCAGAGCACGTTGCTCACATAGACGCTGGAGGTGCTATCAATAGCGAGACGACCATTCCGCTGGTTCCCTTGGGGTGGCAGAGAGACTGTGGATAGGTCCAGCGGCTGATGCTGGGTTTGTTGGCTTTCCAGCTGTCTTATGATGCTCTCCAGCCGGTCAAGTCTATCCAGCACCGCCGGGTTGTTGGTGGATTGCTGCGGCTGCTTAGGGGCGCGCCCCGTCCCACTGGGATAAATGCAGGTGGAGGCAGCCCGAATGCAACCCCCACACGGTTGCTGTCGGTCACATTTGACCTTCCGTGAGCGACAGAGCAGGCAGCTGCGGCGCTGGGAATGGTGTCTTAGGGTGAATGGTTCACTCATGGCTGGTGAGTAGATAGAAGCCAAAAAGCAACCAATGTGTCGCTACCTAGTGTTATGATCATAAGGGAAGACAAGGGAGGGAGCGACGGAGAGTCAGTGTGGTTCGGCGGTTCGGCGTCGGATAACTTATGCGACTCCGAAGTGCCACTTGAGCATCGTTATCCACGGAGTACCCGCTCAGATGGATTTACTACAGTAAAAATGTCATATATAATGTAGAATTCATATCACGAAGAAAGGGGTAAACGGGTAAATAGAAGCAGCCTGTCTCAACCGAATTAGGATCCTTGGTCAGCGAACGCCAGTAAAAGGAGGAAGTGATTTCAGACAAGACTAGTCCGTTGTATACTGAGCCCCAGTTCGACACCAGAGATGGTAGAAGAGAAATGGCTTCGCGGGCGTACGGCCGAAGAGTATTGGAGGATTGTCTATCTTCCTTCAACAGGAGAGTGAGAATGTGCAGGTATTGGAACTTGGTGTTCTTGATTCCCAGATTCATTTCTCGGAGTTGGCAAGCATTGGCCGAATCACTCTCGACCCTCATGGCTTCTGACAATACCTGGCCAGGGCAGTCAGCAGAAGTCAGCTTTCACGTATTCTGGACATCGCAGATTCAGTTCGAAAGCTCGCCTGGTTTGTTTGCAGAAACTAGGCGTTTAGTTTCGACCGTATGTCACTCTTGGTTATCGATGTCTTGCCCACAGCCAGAATTTCCAAGACATATCCTGTTAATTTAGCCAGCTCAACAGATGATCTGAAAAACAGCACGCCGAAATTAGTGGCTCTCTCGACCTCCATGGACCATCGGGCAAGCGGCACTGAAGAAAGCGCGTCTATTTGACGCATTCAACGCGGTCTAAGCACGCTGGGACGCCTCGCAGGTGCACATTGTCAAACAGTCTGGAGAGACAGTTACACGGTTACACGCTTTGGCGAGGGGCGCGACGCACCCGAGATCGATCGCCTGCAGCTGCGTCGACTTCTACTTGACCCAGTGGATGCAAGTAAGACCGATGGAACCATGCAGTGAGCTCTGTTGGGAGAAAGGAGAGCATCCCTTCTGGAAGCAAGGAAAATGGCTACACAATTCACTTCACCAACGGCAGCTCAGCGACTGGGTGCAGGCTTATCGTTGGTGCTGATGATGCTTGGACCAAGATTCGCCCTCTGGTAAGCTGATGCGTCAAACGCGGATGTCTGTATGCCAAGCCGAATCACTGAATATCTCGCAGCTTACGCCAGCGAAACCGGTCTACTCTGAAGAAATGTACATCGAAGGCAAAATATCACACAACGACCCGAGCTACAGCACAGCCAGGGAAACAGAGGAACCATGATTGCGGTGGGCCAGCAGAAGCAAATAGCCGTGCAGCAGATCTCCGACGGCACATATCGCGTGTATTTTGGTCTGACAGTGCCGGAAGCTTTTACCACCACTGCAGCGGCAGCGCCGTCGACAAGACCGAAGCCGTACGTCAGATGCTGCTGTCATTGGACGATTTTACGAATCCTGGGCGCCACAGCCCAAGGCCATTATTGCGAACGCCGAGGGCCACCTTCCGTGCTTGGCCTTTGTGCCGCATGGAGGTAGGTGACATTGGCTGGAAGCGCGAGGTCGCTCCTGGAGTGACTTTGCTTGGAGATGCGGCGTACGCGTCGACCCCGTTTGTGGGCGAAGGGGTCAATTGTAGCATGTACGATGCAGTTATGCTGGCTGAACGCATTCTCCAGCACTGTGGGAGTGTTTCAAGTCTCAGCAATGTCCCGGCAGTCAGGTTGGAAACAGCCTTGGCCTCATTTGAAGAGGATATGTTCGAGCGTGGCCGGGACCCGATCCGTCGTAGCACGGAGAGCGAGGAGATGCTATTTGCTGAGAATGCGGCAGGGCTACTTCTCCAGGCCATCAGTGGTGCTATGGTGCATAGGAAGAGCACCGCATGGAGGTGGATGTGCATTATATTATGTTTCACATTTGGCCCCTTTAATGGTATTATCCATATTCTACTCTTAATATACAACCCTCAACACCATGGTGCCTTAGGCTAGCGCCCTTAGAAAGGTTTCTCCAGACATCAAGCTGTCAAAGACCTCTAAGCCTTAGTCTTCAGGAAATCTACCACTGCTATAACAAGAAGTCTGTTAGCAGACATACTTTAGGGTAAAGAAATAGGCAATAGGCAAATCACCTGATCTCAGCTCCTCCGGCCGCTCCTGAACCACCCAGTGTCCGCAGTCTATATTGACGATCCGTGACTGAGGAAAGAAGGAAGGTAGGAGTGGAATCGCAGCCTCCGGGATGTAATGACTTCGAAGTGCCCGAATAAAAAGGGTAGGATTGTGAAATTGTACCGCCTCGTTCTTGTGCGGGAAATCGCCCAAGGGAGTCAATGCCGTGTTGAGTATATCCAATGGAACGCGGCATTTCAGATACGGCGAGTCGCTATCTTTGATAAAATTACTCAGCAAAAATATCCGTATGGGTAAAGACTGGCTCAATCAATGTCAGCATCCATCTTACGAGGGTGGAAATAGAATAGTGCCACGTACATCTTCATATTCTCGCAGGATCATCTCAGCATCGTGGTGGGTTTTCACCTTGGCATCCCCGACTTTTGCCATTCCTTCCAGGTACCTTGGAAAGTCATCCACCAGGGGTAAATGGATTGGGCAGTTGTCAATGGCTACAACATCGGAGACAAGCTCTGGTAGTTGAAGAGCGAGTGTCAAAGCAGTTTTGGCACCCCTGGCAGTAGGTTAGCAATAACGAGAGATCCAGGATGCCCGCAAAGGGAGTTCCACATAGAATGACCGATAAGTGTTGCTCTCTCCATCCCATGGCTCTGCATGAAAGATGCAACGTCCAGCGCCATTTCCATGTAATCATGTTTCAAATGATGGCCCGACTCCCCATGATTGCGAAGATCCTTCATTCTGTCAGCTTGAAAGTCTCCAAGTCTTGATTTGGATGCAATGCTTACTACAGCGAAGACCGGTCTTGATAGATCTCTAGCCAATAACCTCGATTAAAGAGTGAGCCCGGAACCCAGCAGTGTGACAAGATCACACAGTAGCTTACTTGCTCATCCTTCGGTTTTCTCGCTTCGACCCAAGGAATCCATGCAGGAATATTATGGGGACATGCTTGTTGGCACTCAAATTCTGGCAGTCTGCAGGTGTGAGGCTATGTAGCTCATAAGCCAGAGCGACCCTTGAAGTTGCAGCTGGCGAAGAAAGTGGTTTTATGCGCGCGAGGCTTTGACCCAATTTCTTTAGGGCAGCAGGCATGGTACTCAACAAGCAGGTATTTAACACTCAGGCTTAGTACATTGGGTCCCTGGGTGGTGATTTTGGGATCACATTCATCCCTGGCGGAGAAAAGCTGATATGACTCATCCTAGCCATATTTAACTACTAACTAATTAGCTGCTCTAAACAACACGCTAGTCAGTTAGTAGTTAGTGAATCCCTGACTATTATATGTTGGAGTTCCCCATTCCTTTTAATTTATTGGGTTTAGCGCCCTTTGCTCCTATATCTTCTTCTTCATCCTCTTCACACTGTTTACCTGAACCTCACCTAAACATGAATATAACACAACAGTAATCTTACTCAACCCCCTTTCTGTTGACGTGCCCTGTTCCAGCACTCTAGGATCATGTGTATAACAGAGTTTTCACACATAATACTTACATGTCAGGCCAGGGTCTCAACTCACCAAGGTCAGGGTAAATGAATGTACAGCCCGCCTCCAGCCTTCTACTCTGCTGATTAGGGCGCCATTTTAATCGCCCATAAGAAGCCGGTGTGATAAACAAGGCTCACATGTAGTGCCGCAATAGCAATATTCCATTGCTTTTCCCAAAGCCGCGAAGCGTCGCATTCATCATTCTCAAATAGGCAGTAAAGCCGCAGTATGTACTAACTTTGCTGAGCCCAGATGCCTCTCATTTCACCTTTCCGGAATGGGGAAGACACCCCTGTACTCCAATTTAACTGCAGCCATGGCCCGAATCACCCGTATGCGACCACCTGCCAACCACACAGTATGACTTACAGTGGCAAGCATCAACGAGTTCGGGACCAAACACCCACAACGCTTCAATGAGACTTTCAGGCCCGAATGCCTTGCGCGGCAGCATAATGTTTGCCCTGCCCTCAGTGACCTCTACAGAGAGCTCGGGATCGCGACCGTCCAGGGTTCTAAGCCCGAGAACATCCTCCAACCCATGCTGCTCCAGCAAGGCGGAGAGTTCCATCAGAAATTCTGCGTCCCTAGTACCCTGAAGGACCGGGTGTGAGGATTCCTCATCCTCGGCAAAGTCGAACTCATATGGCATGAAGCTGTCTCGGAAGAGACGGTAGGAGCGCGGCACTATTGCGCCCTGGTACTTCGGTACGATGGGATCGGCATTTCCGCCTACGTCCCAGGGCGCTGAGACGTTTCGGTAGTCGACCAGGCGCTGGGTGGCTGTGATGGGGAAGTGCCGGTGCAAGAGAGCAATTCCGTAGCGTTCGTGAACCCCTCGACGGAGGAAGAGGTCTCGGATGTCACTGAGGAGGACGTTCCTTGCGCCCTTGTCCTGGAAGTTCTGGGCTCCGATGGAGAGTGTGGGGAGGGAATTGTATGCATCTGGATCGTACATTTGTCTACCTGGGATGTAAGTCCTGAGTCGTGGAGATGGAGGAGCAGCAGAAGGGGTGGAATGCTTACGCCTCCATAGTGATCTTTGCAGCGGGGATTACAATCAGCAAATCTAGTAGGGCGCAGAAGGCGTTTTGAAGAGGAAACCGTGAGTTGCTTGATATTTCACCCGAAGCAAGGAACAACAGCTCCTATTTATGTTCAACATTCCAGGAGTCCAGGGCTATCCTGCTGTTGCTTGCCTTCTCTATTTCAGCCTCCCCATTACCACAAGCCTAACAACGTGATATCTTGGCTCACACTGTAATTTGTGCCCGCACAATGCTGGAAGGTGTCATGATGTAGATTCAGGCCCATTGGTGATTGTACATCTGCAAATAGTGGTGGGCCTTACTACAGGTCACCCTTGAAGGCTCCAATAATGTAGAGCTAATAGAATACATGCTGCAGCCTGATCCGAAAACCCGTAGGACTTCTCTGATTGGAAAGTCATTGTTTGCTTCCCTCACACCCGCGGCTGCCACAACTACCTATTAATGCGAGGTGCTGAATCTAGTCAATTCCCATGGCTACCCCTCACAGCCTTGCGCTTAGGCAGCAAGGTGTCACGACCACCATATAGATATCACCAATGACATCAATGAAATCTGTACGCCAGTGTAAAAGGCTTCTATGCCAAGTCCTTTGAGGCGAAATTAGTCCTAAGCCTTTGCAATCCGTCGACAGGATGAGACATACCCGAAGCACCATCGCAAGATGAATGACACCCTTGATAGGTTTTCTGGCACTGCTGATAGCCCGCTCAATGTCCTCTGGTACTTCGGCCCGGCCAGCAACACCAGTCACCTTGCATCCCATTGTATTCAACTCGGCGAAGAATGCCTGATCAGGGACCTGTTGGCCAGGAAGGGTTCCATATTGAGCTGACCGAAGCCAACAAGATCTCCTTTACCAAGCTCGGACAGCTTGCCAAACTCTGCAACACACTTCCGGGAAGCGGGGAGCAGTTCGCCCGAGAGCGAATTCAGAACAATATCCACTCCCGGGCCTTCAGTCTGGCGCATGACCCCGGCCAGGAATGTGTCATCACACCAGTGGAAGATGCGGTTTCTAGGGATATTAAAATGTTGCATCAAATACCGTGCCTTTTCTTGGCTTCCAACGGCGACAAATATCTGGCGTGCGGCGTCATGTTAGATCAATAATACGTCGTGCGCCACTGGAAATACTCACCTCTGCTCCGACGAGTTGGCAGAGTTTGACGGCACAGTGGCCGATACCACCAGCGGCAGAGTGGATCAAGACGCTTTATAGGCGATGTATTAGCTAGAGATCAACCGTGGAGCGCGAAAGCCTATATATACCTGTCCCTTTTCGAGGCGACCAACGCCCATCAAGGCCTGGAAGACGGTGGTGTAACAAGCAACCATAGTGGCAGCCTCTTCAAAGAGCAGTCTATGGGGATCCTTCGTACCAATGAGTCCACTAGAAGAGCATGTGTCGAGAAGCATCCTTCTACTGTGATGGCACAGACTCGATCGCCGACGGTGACATTGGTGGCCTTGGAGCCGACACGGCTGACAACTCCAGTCGAAGAGGACCAGATGAGAGAGGTTCCTTGGTAAAAACGCTTTAGCCATTGATACAAATCCCGGTGGAGGATTCGAATTGCATTGATTATTTCTGTCCAGCCAAAATGCGCTAGTAGCTTATCGTAGGCTTTTATGAGTCATCGTAGAGGCTCTATCGTTACAACTAGATGCCTCCTGACGGGGTTTGAGGTAACTTTGCGAAGCATTCAGTATAGTCACTAGCTCAAAAGCATATGAAATAGGTATCTCTCCAGTCTCAGGCAGTGATCGGTGCGGCAGTAATATAATTAACCATGTTGACCACCAATACCCTTCCACTCAGTAATTTGGGCGTTCTCCCAGATCTTCTGCAGATGTCCCTGGACGGCGACATCCACTCAGTAATTTGGGCGTTCTCCTGGATCTTCTGCAGATGTCCCTGGACGGCGACATCGACCGCTGCCCACGCCAACACGTCGATCCGCACTGAGGGTGCCAGGCCACGGATGCGATCAGCAAATGCCCCCTGTCGACTCAGCACCATGCCCGGACGCATGATGTATGACTCAAATGTGGTGGAGTGAGCAGCTGCGTGTTCCAGCAGAATATTCTCAGCTTGACCCTGGGGTCGTCAATCGCTACGTGCAGCATATAAGGAAGTGGGAAGGCGTTCAAACCCTCACACGACGATAGCCCGCATTGAACCACAGAGTTTTCGACTGGTCGCGCTCAGCCATTCCGCCGCTGACATACACGAAACGAAATTTTGGAGCGGCAGAAGCTTCTTGCCCTGCCTCATTTGAAGCAGTAAAGGCATTGTTGAAGGCCTTGGCGGCCTGGCTGGTATACTCCAGTGTGACCCGCCGGAAGGCCCGTTCATCAGAAGCGCGCGAAGGAGTAACGCCTAGCGTCCAAATACAAGCGTCTGCGCCTCGGAGGGAGGCAGAGAGCTGGGGGTCTGAATAGGAGAGAAAATCTTCGTCTTTCATGCGATGGACGTGGAGTTTGGGATGCGTAGTGAGCAGTTCATGCCGGAACAGGGCAACAATAGAAGTGATAGAGGGATGGGCTAGGCACTGTGAAAGGACCTCTTGTCCCACGAACCCAGTCGCGCCAGCAATGATGACCTTGATGATGCAGTTTCTATAAGTTTCATGGACATCAAGAGACGGCACAGCTTACAGCGCCGAGCAATATGTGCTCCTCGCATGGGGTAGGCAGTTCTCAAATGGTGTGGGCGATGGCTTATAGAGAATGTCTCGAAATGCTTGACAGCTCCCCCCCTTTTGTTTCCTGCTAGACATCATTGGACATTTGGCGGTAAGTGGGGAAGATCCATGCAGCTTTAGTGCTGACGTCCAAATGGATACATAACTAGTTACGCCTCGATCCGCTCATCCACGCCAATGATTACTCCGTATTCCGTAGAAGCGGCGGCTAATCCTGTCGGAACACGCGCTCTTCTCATTGGAGTTACGAGCTTACTCATTATCAACTATTTGGGCTTAGCAACAAGATCAACTCCATCCCGAAATAGTGGGCCGGAAGATCATCCCTACTACAGTTAAATATCCTCAGCAGTAGGCTCTGAAGCTTATAGCCTTTTGCCACTCATGTCGACTATAATCGCCAAGCGCAAGCGCGCCAGAAAGGCATGCATCCCATGCCATCAGCGCAAGCGGAAATGTGACACAATGTATCCCTGTGCCATGTGCACCACTTATGGATACAACTGCAGGTACACCGACGACGATACCATTGATACTACGGGTGGTGCCGTACTTAATCCACTCTCAGCCAAGCGCGTCAGCCTCAACGGTGAAAATCGTCTGACGAACCGGGCCCGCACAGGGCACAGTCCAGGCAGCCGGTCTCACATGGAGCGAGGCTCCCGCGAAGCCGACGGCTCGTCAACGCAGAGTCCTACAGTCATTGCCGGCGCCTCCCCGGGCATCTTTGACGAGCAAAAGTTCCGACACTCTGGGCCATCGGCGGCCATGGCATTCCCACACATCCTAAGTGTGGCTCTTGGCTCCGACAGTCCTCCCAAAATGCGTTCCTTTGCCTACAACTTTGGTATTCGCCCCGAGGAGGCATCCAACACTCACTGCTTTCTGGGGAATCTCATCTCGGAGAAAGACCTCGGCTTCTTCTCAGGAGTGTACTTCTCAATATTGGGCCCTATCGGCGACATGATGGACGCGAGAATCTATGCCCAGCGATGTCGGGATTATTATCATAGTTCCGGCACCAATGCGGTCGCCTTTGCCGCAGTGGCCGCTGGTGTGGCCGCTCTGGGGTCGTTTCTATCCCGCAACCGACACCCGAGGGAGTCCGACCTGGTGCAGTACGCCAAAGCCATTCTCGATGATCCGGCCGCGATGCGATTGCATGGTATCGACCATATCGTCGCGTGGGGCATGCGAGTGTTTTACCTACGGGCCACCACCCGCCCCAGCAATGCCTGGATCGCCTCGTGCACCCAAATGCACCTCTGTGAAGCGATAGGGCTGCACGAGGAAGAGAGCATTAAGAAAATGGCGTCCACCGCCGGCGCTGCGGTCCTTGGACATGATGCGGACCGACTGAGGCGGATTTTTTGGATCTCGTGGGCTGGGCATAACATGCTGTCCTATGAGTACGATCGTTCGCCTGTACACTTTCGGGCCGTGTCGAGCCAGTCTATCATCCCGGTATCAGGGTCCGTTGCCGACCAATTTGTTCAATTAATCCAGATCATCCCATCGCCCAACTCTCCGTTACAGCTCGAATCACAGCCCCCAACTCCCAGTGAGGAGCTATATGAACGTCTCAAAGTATTGGGTGGGTTCCAAACCACACATCCGTTCCTGGTGGTGACCAAGGCGGACATCGCGTTCTGCTTCTATCGTCGCCTCTACCAGCTCAAGGTCCGCATACCGGACGAGGTCATCAAGGTCGTCATTGATAGCGGCAACGCCGCAGCGGAGGCAGCCGAGCAGCAAGCTACCCAGGGTCGTTTGTTTTGGAACGTCATCGGCAGCGTCTTCCAGTATGCCTGCATCCTGTTGGCCATCGACACGCCGGACGCCTCTGCCCACGTTGGCGTGGCCTTCAAGGGCTTGGAGAACCTTGTCAAGGCTGCCGATACAGCACTGACGCGTGAGGCGTTGTCGATGGCACGGCATCTACTCAGTCTTAATAAGGCAAAGAAGCGAAAGGAACTTGCCCAGCTGGAAGCTGTCGAGGCGAACTATCAATTCTTTCCGGCGCAGCCAGCATCCGAAACCAACACTGCTGTGCCAGATATGGACTGGGAGGTGGACTGGGACCAGTTCTTTATCGAGCCATATCTATCCATGATCGGTCCTGACATTCAGTTATAGCCCGCGGTGTCGTGAGGGGAGGACGTTGTACAATGATTTCATCCACTCAGCGGTATTCAACTCATCAAAACATGGCGTGGCACTCAAGGATGGTCTACTGCAATTTAGTATTGTATTTATGTAAACTTGCCATGGAAGATATCTAAACATACTCCTGTATTTCGCTCTTTCCCTGCGCCGCTTCTGGCGTCCTGGACTGATGCCGCTCCACAAAACAGAAAACCAGAGCCACAGCTACACCCAGGCCCGAGAGACCGACACCCAGATAAAATGCGCCCCTATATCCTTGTAGAACATGCTTCCCCCCATCATTGACCTGTCCCTCGACCGTGCCGGCAAACCCGAGCCCAATGGAGATCGAGTAGTTGACAAATGTGTTGACCAGCGACGCAGCAAGGCCCTGATGCTCCCGCGGCATAGCCCGACACAGGATTATGGTGCCGGCCGGGAAGGACATGTCCATACCCCACGGGAGGACGATGATCCCCACGAAAGTCTGCGCCCAATAGGTCTGGTGCACTGGTACAGTCGCAAAGATGATTCCGCCGATGAGGAAGAAGGTCATGGAGATGAGCATTACAGTCGAAGTGCGGAAGTGACTCAAGATCAGACCGGTGGTAACCGCAGCAAATAGCCCACTTATGGCGACCGGAGTGAACTGCGCGGACGTGAGCAGAGGGGTCTGGTCCCTCAGGACCTCGAGGAGATTCAAGGTGTAGAAGACGAAGATTCCGAAGCTGGACCAGCCGGCGCTGATACAGGCTAGAGTGAAGAGGGATTCTATCTGCAGGACGCCGAAGGGGATCAACGGGTGGCTCACCCTCTTCTCGACGACGACGAAGACCACGAACATGACGATGCCGACAATCATGATGCTGTAGGTGTAACGTGTCGGCCAGCCGACAACGGCGCCTTGGTTCCAGGCGAAGTTGAAGAGGACCAGGGCGACCACCCCGGTGATGGAGCCGAAGATATCGACACGCTGCCAGATACTGGGATCGTCAGGCTCTGTTTTGCTGGGCGCCGGGGTTGCGGGAATGACAAAGACGCCCAAAACGGTCAGCAGAAGGCACGCAAAGCACAAGACCCAATAGGACCAGGGCCACCAAGTCATCTGGGAAAGCAGGCTGGAGAAAACGGCGCCGAGTACGAAGCCACCGGGGGCGGTGGCACCGAACAGACTGAAGATCATGTTCTGGCGACGCCCCGGGTCGTAGCAGCGACTGAGGATAGCGATGGCGTTGGGCAGTAAGAAAGCCGGGCCGATGCCCTGCATGGTGCGGCAGAAGATGAAGAAGCTGGAGCTGCTATAGACGGCGACGCCGGCGAGGGCGGACCACAAGCCGAACCAGGCGTAGCCGCCAACGAAGAAGGGCTTGTGGCCGAAGACGTCGCCCAGGCGCCCTGCGATAAGGATGAAGGTGCCGACGGTGAGAGAGTATCCCGCGGAGAACCAGCTCAGCTGGGCAGGCTGGTCGTCGATGCCGAATGAGCGACCAATGATGTGTTGGGGCACGATGCTGAGGGCAAGACCGGCTTGAGTGAGGAGCTGGGAGGAGCAGATGACTGCGACGAAGAGGATTTCACTGGCGAGGGACTGGGGGCGTTTGACGTTGGAGTTAAACGGTTGGAGCTGATGGCCTTCGGTGTTGGTGTTGCCGTCGTGGGCCTGGTTGGATACGCCATTTTCATAGTCCTCATTCGAAGCTTCGGGGGATGTCTGCCCCATGTTGTCTTTTTTTCCTTGGAAAGATATCTATGTGGTTAATAAGGCGGACTGAAGCTTAAGGAACGAGTTAGCCCAGCCTAGTAAAACGACTGGCAGTGTGGACTTTGATCAGCCGGTATGATGATGGCGTTGCCGACTTTGGTGTCTTGGATCTATGTGTCGCCGAGCTGCCACAGAGTATATCTAAATTTGTTCTTGCTCCCTGAGGTACGAGGCTGAGCTTCTGCGGGTGTCATAAGGTCTTCTTTCTCTGCATAGTATTTCCAACCTGATCATCTTGACACTGCGGAGATATATGCGGAGGCCTGTTAGTCGGAGTTGAATCATATCGGCTATCCTGTCTTAACGGCGCTTTAATATTGGTGTGTGCGGTGCGGTGCGGTGCGGCTATTGCGGAGTTAGACTGACCACTATTAGGTAACTAAGTTAGAATAGCACTGTGCTAGTGTTAGTCAATGGACCCCTGTGTGCGGCTGCTGCGGCCGAGAGCTGCGGGATGATCATCAGTAGCCCACTGTATCTCCGTCTGGAGGGTTGGCCAAATGAATCCCGATATACGAGCTGGAGAATACGCAGGTGTTTGGAATTTCCCAATCCGATCAGGTATCACTAGGCTGAGATGGAGAGAATGGCATAGAAGCGTGGCTCTGTAGAGATGTCGAGACTGGGTCTGAAAATATATAAATTGGCAGGCTTCTGCTCTAGAGACCAACAGCCAGACACCCGCAAGCTCAAACGGCAACAATAGCTATAACGCCCCGACCACCACTCTTGGCCACGACCACAACAATTAATACGTTACTTATCAATTCAACGTCCTATTGGAAAAAAGAGCCAGAATGCCCGAGTACGCCAAGGACCAGCCCGCCGGCTTCAAAAATGCTGTTGAGAGAGTCGCCATTGTCGGCGTAGGTATATCCATCAACAGCACCACATACACAACAACTAACAAACTCCCTTAGGCTGGAGGCACTGTTGGATCCCACATCGTTGCCGCTCTCCTTAAAACCGGAAAACATGCAGTTACGGCCCTCACCCGCAAGGATAGCAGCAACAGACTCCCTGAGGGCGTCCTAGTCGCCCGAGTCGACTATAATTACGAGGCCACCATTGTCGACGCGCTCAAGGGCCACCAATTTCTCATCATAACCATGGCCCCTACTGCGCCCCGGGACACCCATAGCAAGCTCGTCCAGGCAGCCGCCAAGGCTGGTGTTCCCTACATCATGCCCAACGGGTACGCTGGCGACATTGACCACATCAAACTCGGCGAGGACACGTTGCTGGGGCCCGTGGCCAAGGCCAACAGGGACGAGATTGAGCGGCTCGGCATGCAGTGGATAACGGTGTGCTGTGGGTTTTGGTACGATTACAGCTTGGCGGGTGGCGAGTCGCGCTTCGGGTTCGACTTTGTCAAGCGTTCCCTGACAATTTACGACGATGGCAACACCAAGATCTCTACTTCAACGTTATCTCAGGTTGGGCGCGCTGTGGCCAAGGTACTGAGCCTGAACGAGCTACCTCAGGATGAAAACGATAAGAGCCTTACCATGTCGATGTTTCTCAACAAGGGCGTGTACATTCAGAGCTTTGTCGTCAGTCAAAACGACATGTTTGAGAGCGTTAAGCGCGTCACTGGTACCACTGACTCTGACTGGACCATCACTCAGGAAAACACTAAGAAGCGATACGAAGATGGCCTGGCGCTGGTTAAGGGTGGTAACATGGCTGGTTTTAGTAAGCTGCTGTACGCCAGGGCGTTTTACCCGGATGAGCCGAGTGAGTTCTCGGCCAAGGCACAGAATGAGCTGCTTGGTTTGCCGGAGGAGAGCCTGGATGAATCTACCCAGGTTGGGATCGATATGGTCAAGGAACTACAGCGTCGTCCTGAGCGTATGGCGTCATAGACAACAGCATCTACAGAGCTTACATTCAATAACAAGTGCGGTTGTATAACCATGTTTGACACAAGAAGTAACAAAGAAAGTGAATGAAAAATTACCACTGCGGGCAGGATGACACTCCTGCATCCAATCAGACCGAATCAATCATTTAGAGGAGGGACTCCAGAATTATCTGGTTGGTGCGATGGCTCTAAATGGGTGTTGACCAAGAAAGTACCCAAGCTTTGTAAGTTGGTGAGATAGTTAGGTTGTCTGTGTAGACATTGAAAGCAGCAAAGGTAGATGCCATATCAATTACCCAGGCTGTATCACTATGCAAGCACGACCATCATATCCCCAGATGAATCGCTTCCCGAGCCTCCAATAGCTGCAGATACACGCTCGCCACATTCCACCGCACCTTGATTGTGCGAAACGCCTCCCGCAGACTCTGCATTACCGCTGCCGCATGTGGCGTCTCCCGTTGACCCTGCATATGCGCGCCGCAGATGCGGTAGGCAAAGTACAGCCCCCATGGGGACATGTCTTCTGGGTCGCGGCCAAGAAAACACTGACGCTCCACCAAATTAGCGCTGATACGGTCGGTGATTTGGTCCAGCACGACTCGTGCCCGTCGAAACCGGTCGCTGTGAGGATCAGCGGCTCGGTCCGGGACAAGCCACGGGCTATACAGGGCGACAAGCGCACTGGTGATCGAGACTAATCAGTTTGGTCAACTGGTAGGAGAGGCTTTACGAACCTGTACACAAAGGTAATCTGATCATAGTCCGGACGGTCAATGTTCAATGCCGCAGCCAGCATCGACTGCAAGGTGCGATCGAGCTGCATCCAGACCTCGTCGTGGATGGAGACGTCGCTTTCGAGGTGGTGCAGGACCTGCCCCAGGAGTCGGGCAGCCTGACAGAGCAGAGCGAACTTACTCATATGGCCCGTCCTTGGAGAAGACAGGGTCGAGAGGTCCTCTGGTCGGACTGTCTACTCTAGGCATTAGAGACTGGCGGAACATATGGATACGGACCTACCCCCTGGTCCCATGCTGCATCATCCGCTGGTAGAAGATCGTCCAGACGTGGATCGGCTGTGGCGAAGGGTCGACCCGGACAGCCGATGCTGACGAAGCTATGAAGGATTCAGCCATTAGTCTACAGTACATACAGTAGCATGCAGACGGGCGACGTACCGATCGAGTATCACGATCGCCCACCAGACCCTCCGCCGTTCCTCCACCTCGACAAAGGTAAGCACTCTCCGGGTGGGCACTGCGCGAGAAGCATTGATGCCCAACGCGTGAGCGTACCGCGCACATGCCCCAATCGACAGGTACGCCGCCGGGTAGATGGCATGGCCCAGTTCATACAACGCCACCAGGACCCCAGCCTGCAACACGAGAATGGAGAAGACGCCTTCGACCTCCACGTAGAAACGCCGAACAGTGTCATACAAGGGAGTGCGGGGTCCCCGCGCCCCGGCCGAGGGAAATGTGGTGCTTAACTTGAGAGCCAAGAGTAACAGGACTGCATCGGGGCGAGTGTGGAATGCAGGCTGCAGATACATATCGTAGAATCTCTTTTTGGAGATGAATGGTATCCACTGGTGGATGTGTTCAAAGAACCGGCCTGCAGTCAACCGGATCTCATCCAGGCCACCGAGCAGATGCAGGATCTGAGGTGGAACAAACACCATGCTTTGCGCTGTGTCCACCTGGCCGTGATGCAATAAGCCCGGGTCGAGGAAGAGGAGGGTTGGAAAGTCTATAGTGCGGACATCCTGTTGCTGGTCCTCGTCCAGCGGAGAGGGGTACCATCCCCTCTTCGGGTCCGAAGCGGTAGTTGAGTGCGTGCTAGCTTCTGGCCGCCAGTATTCACATGTCCGGCCTCGTCTGTGGCGGCATTGAGAGTCAGCTCTGCTGCATCTACGCGTAGGGTTGTGTACCGTACTTAGCGCAGGAGGAGCACTTGGGAAGTGCCTTGTCGCACCTTCTCTTGCGTGATCTGCACGACTGACAAGCTTGCGGAGCCAGTTCGTGGCTCTGCATGACGTGGCAGACTGAGAGTGAGTGTTGACTGATGGTATAGGACATAGACGGACTTTGTCTGCCTCGGACGCCGTTCCAAAAACCGGAGAGTGAGGGTGGGGTATCTGCCGCTACTAAGGCGGCCGCAGTTAGGGGGAGAATGCGGCCCGCAATGCCGCCATGTGGGGACCACTCTTTCGGCCGCTGCTCCCCGGTATTATACTGAGGCCTATTGGCAGCCGTGACCGGAGACCGGATGACACTTCCAGGGATCTGGCAAGATCTATACAAACTCATAAGTCATAAGTACCTGGACAACACTCCCAAGGTCGTGGAGTATACGATAGAGAACTCCATCAAGCTTATCTCACTACTTTTATCTTCATATCCTGAGCGCTTGCAACCTGCAACAGACTGCACAAGATGGGTTCCGTAAGCCCACACGTTGCCGCGCATCTTGACCCCCAAGGAGCCGGGGACGCCCGGCCAACCGCCCTCCAGATCATCCAAGATGAGGGCCTTGAAGGCAAGCTGGCTGGCAAAATCATTGTCATCACTGGTGCCACGTCAGGCATTGGTGTCGAGACCGCCCGCGCCCTCAAGGCCACAGGAGCCACTTTGTTTCTCACGGCTCGCAACATGGCGAAAGCCCATAAGAACCTGGCTGGCATCCTTGAGCCCGGCCGTGTCTCTCTCGTTGAGATGGACTTGGATTCCTTCAGGAGCATCCGCACTGGTGGGGAGCAAATCCTCTCCGCCGCAAAGGGACAGGTTAACATCCTCATCAACAGCGCGGGAGTTATGGGCCTGCAGAACTACACGCTCACCGAGGATGGGATCGAGGCGCACTTCTCTGGCAACTACTTGGGATTCTTCTTGCTCTTCCAACTGCTAAAGCAAGCTCTGCTGGCCAGCGTGACGCCCGATTTTCATTCCCGCGTGGTCGTGGTGGCCTCCTCCGCACACCGCGCCGCCACTCTCCCATCCAGTGACAACTACAACTTCGAAAACGGCGGATACAACCATGAGATGGCCTACAACAACTCCAAGCTGGCGGATGTGTACTTGGCCAACAAGATCGAGAGGGACTACGGTGCTCAGGGACTGCATGCCACCAGTCTGCATCCCGGCGCCATCAATACCGACATCTCCCGCAACATGCCTCCCGAGTTCCTGGAGGGGCTCATGACCAACCCGTACATTCTCAGGATCTTGAAGTCGGCGGAACAGGGCGCAGCGACGACCGTTTGGGCTGCCGTGGGCAAAGAATGGGAAGATAATGGTGGAAAGTATTTGGAGGATGTCAGAGAAGCGGAGCGGGGTGAGGACAAATGGTCAAATCTTTGGAGTGGGATGGGTGAAGCAGACCTACAATCCCCAGGAGGAGGACCGCCTCTGGAGAGACTCGCTGAGGATTGTTGGCCTGGAGGGCGACGCTTGATTATCAGGAGATGAGTGCCAAGGGCTCATGGATTAAGATGCATGTGCCATACCAGCCATAGTGGAACTTGCGGCGCTGTGGAGCGGTCATTGTTATGCCATCGTGAATGACTCGGATCTGTATACACTCGGCAGAAGCGCATGCAAACATTCTCTGATATAAATGTAAGCCTGACTATAGGCGGGACCCCAACTCTAGCGATGCCATCTCTGGCTAATCCTAGGCTAAAGTCCCGCATTTTCCCTATCCCTAGCGGGAAGGCTAAGCCCCTAGAAGCCCAATTAGCGACCGCTGGACCGGGCAAATAGAATTCGATCGTCTGAAGCATGATTACGCCATGGCATGCGGAATACCAAGATACGTAGTAGTGTCAAGCCTGGACTCTGTCAAACAAGGGATGATTTACAATCGCCGGTCTGGTGCTTGTGGATGCCAACCATGAGAGAGCGCACCTGGTGATGAACGTAGAGCGATCCAGTTCTCTGGACTGTTGCCGCGGGTATTGATCCATACTCTGCCTGGGGCGTAGAGGCGGAGCGCAAGTTGACGCACGAGTGGGACGCGTTCAGGGCGGCGGAAGCAACCGAGAGTGGCCACTTTGTCCAGATGGCTCGGCCCGAAATCGTTGTTGATGGAGAGAAAATGGGTCCGACATAACCTACCAACATCTTCTTAGTTGCGGAGAAGTGACATTAACACTGGAACTCCGAGTAAAACACCCGGTGCCGCAATTCCTGCCGACAGTCATGCTGCATGCATCCGCCTTGGCGAAGCTTCGTTGATGACAACAAGGAAAAACGGTGGGGCAATAGGGATATCTCACCCATCACTTTCCAGCCGTCGTTGCCGATTCGTCTGGGTCCAACTGCTCCTACCTTCGGGTGCTTGAATACGGGAATGAAGAAACAGGTTGATTCTCGCGACTCAAGATCCTGTATCCTAGTAACTCAATGCGTAACAAAACTTGAACCTGTTGTCTGGACCAGATTGACAGTATCATGGTTGGGAGTTTAGATATTAAATAGGCTTCAGCTATAGACGGATAATAATCCACTGATTAGATTAGTGTGGATATTTAAGCCTCCACATGTGCCATGTCACTAAATAGCTGGGTGAATCCTGAAGTCCTGCATGAGATGGATCCCAGCATAGGCCCCAAGCAATTTGTTCTCTGCTCTAATGGCACTAGATATAAATTTCGCAGCGACGAGTCTGCCAGCAATGTCCTTAAGATCTACATGTTCGGGTTCAGTCCTAGGCCGTACGTTGCGCGCTTCCTGGCCGAGATGCTGAATTTTGCCAGTCTCGTTGATCCCGGAGACAAAGAGATGGTGAGGTTCGCCTGAAAGACGTTTGCACTAGTGAGTTCTGGCCGCACATTAAATGAGTATGTGGCTGCCGTACTGCCCGGGACGAGCGGAACGCGCGGACCGCTATCAATCCGCCATAGCTATGGTGCTATGGTAATTTAGTATCTGCTTATAAATGGCGAGCTGGACTTCTGTTTTAAGTTTCAACCGAGGCCTAGTCACTGACTCACTGTAGACTGCGAAGCACAGTCACCAGAATGCCCGACTGCACCATGCAGTCGCCCATCGGAACCCACCAAGATGAAGAGAAGGCGATCCAAACCGCCGTCATCTCCGAGAGCCCTGCTCTGAACTCAGCTCTCCCACCAGAGGGCGGTCTCCGAGGTTGGCTATGTTGCGCTGGCGGTTCTCTGGGTCTGTTCGCTACCTTGGGCTTCTTGAACGCGTTGAGTCCTTCCTTCCGTTAAAAGATTTATGCCCCGGTCCTTTCGCTGACCTGGACAAGCATTGGCATCTTCCAAACCACCTATCAAGAGACTCTGTTGAAGGACTACAGCCCTTCCGACATCTCATGGATCTTTACAATCCAGCTCGCTCTCATATGGGCTCCAGGTTCCCTATTCGGCCGCATTGTAGATGCCTACGGACCGCGCCCGGTCATGCTCCCATGTACCTTTCTTTGCCTCTTCTCACTATGCATGACGAGCCTTAGCACCGAGTACTATCAGATCATCTTGGCGCAGGGAATTGGTTATGGCCTCGGAGCTGGGGGTATTTTCACCACCTCCTTGGTCTGCGTGAGCCAGTGGTTTGTCAAGCAGCGAGGCCTTGCTCTGGGAATTACTGTTGCAGGCAGTAGTATTGGTGAGGAGCAGACTATGCTGTCAGTGTCTATGACGTGCTGATGTGATGTGTGACCAGGAGGGGTGGTGTTCCCATTCTTTCTGCAACTGGTTATGGAAGACGTGGGATTCAATGGCATGGTACGCTACACGGCCCTGTTCATAGGTATCGCTTTAGTAGGCGCCTTCTTTCTTCTCAGTGCGCGCCTGCCTCCTAGGAAATGGGACTCGGAAATTGCATGGATTGATTTCAAGCTGTTCAAAAACCGAGGCTTTGCTTTCTATGCCCTCGGCTCATATTTCGTGATGTGGGGATTATGGGCACCTTTCGATTATCTTCCTAGCATGGCCCAAATGTCCGGAATGTCAGATTCGCTCGCCCTCTACCTGATCGCTATTGTGAAGTGAGGTTTTGTTCGATCTTGTTGTCCCTAGCAGAGCTGACCTGAGCCGCAGTGCTGCTTCCCTTTTCGGACGAATTATCCCGGGCACATCGGAGACAAGGTGGGATACTTTAACATCATAGTCGCGTCCGCCTTCCTAAGCTGCATTGCGATCCTCTGTTTATGGCTGCCTTTTGATTACCATTCTTCAAATGCCGGCCTTATCGTTTTTGCTGTGGCTTATGGCTTTTTCAGCGGCGCCTTCGTTAGCATCATGATGCCATGTTGCGCAAAGTCCGGCAGACTAGAGACCCTGGGGAGACAGATAGGTACTTATCAGGGTGTTATAGCTATCTCGTAGGTCTTCGTTGACCCCATGTGAATGGTTTTCTATTTTTACAGGGCTGATATTTAGCAGCACTCTTACTGGCCTGCCGATCATGGGAGCTATCTTGGGAAGGCAGCATGATTCAACCTACATGGGCATGCAAGTATTTGCCATTGTGACTATGTTTCTCGGTTTCGTGTTCCTCTTGGTTTCTCGCAATGTCCTGGCTGCGGCTCACGGAACATGGAAATACTGAAACGTATGACGATCGGCTGCGTCGCGTCGAGTTTCTGCACAAAACAGGCCCTGCTCGAGCCATTCGGCATGTTGAGCTGGAAGATGTCCCCGATCTGGACCAGGAATTGCATAGGCCAAGCGGCACGGAGTAGATGTGGAAGATGACGCTTAAAAATGAACCGCCTAAATCCCAGAAAGAGGAGCCGATATCCCTACTAGATGATGTTCGATATTGATACTATAAATATTCAATATGTAGTGTTTGGGTCATACAAGGGAATCCTCATCTCTGTCGGGTCTTCATTGGTGGTGATATATATATATATATATATATTTATACAAGCTGGCCGGGCGCTCGCTCCGCTCGCTGCCAGCTTTGGCTGCGCCAAGTTACAATTGATTACTAAAGCAACGGAAGAATATCGGCCCGGATCAACACTTCAGGCTATTGAAAGAAATTATATGAGTAGGGCCGCAGGGCTGCACAATGAACTGTATAATAGTAGTCGATATACAGATGCTATTCAAAGAACCTGAAACGGGTATTCAACAATGAGATGAATAAGGCTGCAGGGCGCAAAAAGAACATTACAGCATACTAAATAGGGCTGTATAAAGAACGGGACAATAGCAGGCGATATCCAGGTGCTATTCAACATCAGTATGAAGGAAGTGTTGCAGCTCTATTAAAGATAGACGTCAATAGGCCGTAGATTCATATATAAGGGCTGCCGCCCCCCAGAAGTTCAACTATCCAGGTATGCAAAATTTTTCGTTCAAACTACCCCCTCCTGTTGCACCTGCAAAATGCCTTTCATGCCATACCTCAGTAAGCAAAGCCCCGGCTCAAAGAAGGGCGACATCCGCAAACGCAAGCGCACCAACTCTGTTTCGTCTGCAGAAGATTGCACTGACTTCCTCATAGCTGGTCTTGCAGCTGGTTCCGCCCTCCTTGCAGCTGGTTCTGCGCCTGCCACTGAGTCTGAGTCCGCCGCTGAGTCCGCCACTGAGTCCGCCGCTGAGTCCGCCGCTGAGTCCGCCGCTGAGTCCATTGCTGAGTCTGTTGCTAAGCCCGAATCCTCCCCTCAGCCTAAGCCCTCCGAACACGCCTCTCCTCCTCCCACCGATACTGCAGCTGCAATGCAGCCCGCACCTGATGACCTGCTGAATTACACTCCTGGGGCCCCCCCAGCGTCTGGGCCAAATTTGCAATGGACCTTAAGGTATATAATGGAAAGCCCTCCCACGCGCAGGAGGCACTTACAGTGATGCAGCCAAAGAGAGAGCCCGCATGGCGGGATAACTGCAATCTGCTAGAGAAGTTCAACATTACCTATTTTATTAACTGGGAAGCATTGCAGGCGCAATGTGTTGGTGATGTTACAAACCCTGCCTGTAAACACTACATTCACAACCATGGCCCCTGGGCCGAATGTGTTATAGTCTGGGGTTTCTTCAAGGGCAGCTGCACTAACTACCATTACAACTCATCTAGTGCCCGCTGCAGCCTCCGCTGTAAGTATCTAACCATACAACATACCTATATGCACTTGTATACTGACATGTTACAGCCCCTGCGCCTGCTAAAGCTGCTGTAAAGAAGACCACCACTGCTGCCACTGCAGCTGCACCTACAGAGACTCCAGTTACACCTGCGGAGACTCCAGTTGCAGGCCCAGCAATGACCCCACCCCCAAACCGAAGCTGCTGCTGCCAACCAGGGCCAGAAGCGGGCTGAAAGATTACACCACATACTAACAACCACCGCCATGTCCTGCGACGCCATGGCTGCGGCCATGGCTGCAGCTGCTAGGGTCATAATAGAGTTTGCTACAGAGTTTGCAGAGGAGGCTGGTTTCCAGGGTATTAATCCAGAGGAAGAAACTAATAAAGAAGAGCCTATTAATAATAATAATTAGTTAGTCTTGCAGGTGTACTTACAGCTAGTTCTATAAGTAGTTTAATAAATCAAGGCCATGCAGTAGTCGGAAAGCGAACTATAGTATTAGATATTATTAAACCTAACTGTCAACCTAGTCACAAAACAACTATAACACTTCTGGATACACCACATTCCAGGTATCACTTCTACCAGAGAGGAGGCATACCATTAACTTATTTACATCTGTACAGTGAGAAAGTGCAACATAGAGCTAGCCATGGGAGAAAGCTAGGGACTATAAATCAACACTAACAGTATATAATGACTGACCCTGTGACTTATTAATAGTTATAGCGAAACAGGGCCGTATAGGGAACTGCCAACAACAAAGGATGAAGGGAAAACAGCCTAGTCTAGTCATTAGATTAATGCATGGAATCAGATGCACATGAGAATCAACTGCAGAACTATTAACAGCAGCCTTACGGACCTCTAGTAAGCATTAATGGATACCTATTATGATCATACAGGTGCCATTGCAGAGTCCACCATTAATATAGATGTTACACAGGAGCATGACAGGCATGCTAATCTTCAACCACAATATAGATGGCGGCAGACCCAAATCATCAACTGACTGAAGGAACTCCGGCGTGTACTACTAATCTGCAGTTATAGTACCAACATCACCTATTTCCACCTGATTTGCAGCATAGAAGATGCAATAGTCACCTAGTAGCCAGCCACTGACAATATCATTAATGGCCGCCACATTCGTGTTTCAGACTGTAAGCACAGCCTATGTAGCAAAGTAATTAATTAACTGGTGCTGTTGTAGTTCATCTAGAGGGAAAACAGCTGCACAAACTGCCTCAAGGCTACTAATGGTGCAAATATAACTAGGCAGCATGATACAACCATCTAGAACTAGTTCATAGGAGAGCTAGGCTAGATACTCAGCATACTCCTGGTTTACACCACTAGGAGGAAGGCGCATATTATGATAGAGCTGCAACACCCAGAGCTACAGCCATATATAGGAATATTACAGGCAAGCAGCCACAATAGCAGCCCTGCTGCCTTATATTATAACTAGTAAAGTCTGTGCCCAGTCACCTCCAAGGAGAACCACAACACCACCAAATAATAGATCATTCTGACATAGGTCCCATAACATCCGATCTACGGCTTTAAAAGCAAAATGATGCTGCATAGTAACTTCATCCCAGATAATCATGTCCACCGCCTACAGCAACCATCTAAGTGTAGACCAGGAAGTCACATTACAGCTGCTAAACTCGTCCAGATCTAGAGGGATCTTAAACTAGGAATGCGCTGTACAGCCATACAGCAGGAGTAGAGCTGTAATTCCAGATGAAGCAACATATAAAACAGTCTTACCACACTGCCATAGATGATAGTAGATCACATGATAGAGAAATGTCTTCCCAGTACCACCAGGGCCCTGTAAAAAGAAGTGATAGTCAGGGCTTTAAGCCATAACAGCTACTATAATATCATTAAAGCAGGCCTGTTAATCTTCATTTAACTAAGGCACTAAGTTATCTGCCACAGCTGCAAGCTCATCAAGCAGAGTAGACTGGATAATATTATTAGCTGTTAGACCAGCCTAATCAGTTGTAAAGCGCGGCAAATTAAAATCTGACAGCTGACAGTTGTGAGAACAGAGCTCCCAATTCAGCAGATACAGGCTGAAATCAAACTCTACACCCTCATAAGCCGGCGTAAAGGGCATCTGACCTAGCCAGTAATGCAGATCATCGCAGAGGTAGCCACAAAACTGAAGCCAAAGAGCTGTAGGGTCAGCAACTATAGCAAATAGTAAAGCAGTTGCAAACAGCACACGCAGGGCACGCCTAGAAGCAAATACACATACCTCCTTAATTACTGCAGTCCACTCCTGGTCATCTTCCAGAAGATTCATTGCCATATAGGCCGCTCAATATATTGGGTGAACAACACCTTCAACAGTACAAAGATCTTCATAGCCTATAGGGCTAATTCAGGCCGTTAAGAGCAGGCAAATAAAGTATCTCTCACCTGTAAGAGGGCTGCAGTACCATATACAGCCAATTACATACCCACACTGCCACTGCCGCCACTCCCGACTGCGCTGATCCCATACATGGGCGTTCAGCATATCAGCATACAGACACCTTGCAGCTGGCGCAACACATGAGTTATACACAAAGTAGCCTATAAGAGTTGTATGGGATTACTGCATCATCTCCTACAACTGCATATAATCCACATTCTCTGGGAAGTAGACTGCCTGCTTGCCCTCCTCATGCACAGCAAGCTATTGCACAGAGGGGAACTCCTCATGGAAGCAGAAGCTTAGGATGCGCCATACAGCCTCTATTAGACCTAGATAACAGCCATCAAGATACCATTTAACTTCATTCTTAACTGCTGTGACCTATAGCGTTACTAAGTCACCACCCTTGTAGACATACTTAAACAGATACTTAATGGCATTAATTGACTGGCACATCTGCACGTTAATATGAGCGTTAAAACACTTCAGAAAAAACAGACTATAAGACACAACCCAGCAGTTATCAACAGTAACCATATAACTGCTAACCTCCTTATGAAATGCCACATTCAGGTCATTAGGCTGAAAGTAAAGGGGTAACCATCTTCCTTAATAATAGTTTAGTCCGCAAACCATATAGGGAAGCCCTTAGTGCAACAGCATACACCTGTAGCCTCATCTACCTCCATACACAGGGCTGTAGGGTCCAGATCACCACAGGGGCCATAGACCATTACACACTAGACAATAGCACTCAACTTACTAGTTAGGTCTTCTACAGCTGTAGGGAAATGGGCCCAGATAATCTCATTAATTACATCTAGATCAAGAAACCGTTCACTACCCTCCATGAAGACTAACAGGTGTAAATAGGGAAGTCTGTATTTCTGGTATTTAATTATCCAAACACATCCCTGGACTGCGCCAAATACCTGGTGTTTAAAGATATCATCCAATAGCACCCTCTTTTTCAGCTTAAATACATGTGTAACTAAATCTGGACGGTCCTTAACATCCTGGCCTGGATATAACTCTCGCTTAATCTCAGCCCATCAAGGGTTGGCTGTAAATATGATAAAGAATGTTGGCTTGCCATAACAGGCTGCAATCACCATGGCGTCATGATAGAGGGCATTCATATACTGCTCACTACCAACATGAGAAGAAGGCAAGATAATACAGCAACCTAATACACTATCTATAACCTCATTAAATTCAGCATCATCAGCACCTATAGCATCTGCAAGGCCATCATACAGGTCTGCGCGGATCTCATCCTGGTGGTGGATGAACCAAGCTAGGCATGCCTACTCAACTATTACACCTGCATCAACCAAGAATTGCTAATACAGCCGTGCAGCACGATGGGCTGTATTAAAGGCATCTGCTCAGGTGAATATATGGAATGCATGCCACATATAGAGTGTAAGACGGCCTACTTTCTCTGCCTAAGTCTCATTAATATGCTCTACATCTGGCAATGGTGCCTCCTCAATAGTATTATTAGGAGCACCGCCTTCAGTAGCAGTCTGGTCATCAGCTGTATGGTGAGCAGGACGGTCCGGAGCAGATATAACTACAGGCATGCCTTACTCTAATAGTGTAGTTAGCAGTATATTATAACCCCAGCCAGGTGTTCCATACAGGAAGATCAAGATGTAATGAAGAGGCATATATGAAGGGTGACTGGAGTTAATATAGATTGTATTAGACTGATCTGCACCAGGCCAGAGCATAAGCTGTAAATCTCAGAAGGTCCACTAACTAAAATCTCAGCCAAGGTATGGAATAACAGCTGCAACCTCAGCTGATATTAGCAGATTAGAGCAACAATGATCTGCACTAACCTTCATAACCAACCACAGCTCTGGCGATAGCATGATTAAGATAGGGGTGGCCTGATCCTAGATAAGAAGCAGCTGCTCGCATGCAGTTATATAAATAGACATCCAGGGGTTATGCAGCTGCAACTCATGCATTAACTCTGAGAGAATTCTACCTTTGAGGTTGCTATCTCAATCTAAACAGACTGTATTTACATACTCTAGGTCTAAGAACCATACCTACACAAACGCCAGAGCTGTTCCTTCAGCAGCTTCTAGGGGCCCATGCAGGTGGAATAGCTCACCCTGAATCTGGAATAGGAGATAGCCGCCAGCAACACATATATCTATATAGTAATTTACAGATATAAAACATAGAGCACTATTATAGCAACAGATATGACGTTGAAAGTCAATCACCTCAGCAGTGATATCTGTAAGATAGGAACACAGAGACTGAGGAGGGGAATAAAACAGCTCTAATTACACTTTGCCTTGCAAACAGCACTTTATAAAGATAGGAGAAGTAACAAAGGAACCCTGCTTATACTCTGCAATCCAATATAGAGCCTTATAATAGCAGCAGGCATGTTCCATACAGCCCAGATCTGAGGTTTTCTAATAATCACAGCAAGACCAAAACGCAAGAGGGAGCACCAACAAACAGGCTGCAATAGTAGGCAATGGCTCTGGAGATTATGGATGCAGGCAAGGGCGGCCATTAGGGACAGGCTCAGGCTCAGGAGTTGCGGAATGTAACCAAGGGCAACCATAGCAACAGGGAACAGCTGTAGGAACAGCAGCAACTGCCAGAGATGAAGGACTCACAGAAGGAGAAGGGGAATATACACCTGTAGGAGTGAACCAAAACCTCTTGCCACAGGCCTAAGGAGCAAAATTCCCATTAGCATATGGAGAGAAGAAGCAATAGGGGTATGAAGACTGTACTGAGCAGTCACTACAGGTGCGACCGCGAGTAAATAAATCATTTTCTTTCTGTTTCTTACAGACACGGCAGCGAAACTGCGATAGAGGCATATTAGGAGAAGTATAAGAAGTGCAGCAACTGCAGCAGTCAATTATATGAACTGTATAATTGTAACAGGGTGCAGGGAGGGCCGCAGCAGGTGTGTAGCGAAAAGTAAACAAATAGGACGCTAAACCGGAAAAGGGAATTTCGCGAACAACAGCCGATTATTAAGCGATTATTCAGCATTCTCCACCGTTATTTCTTTATGATAAGAGTAGATTCTCCACCGTTATTTCTTTATGATAAGAGTAGATATGAGGGCACTACCTTTGACAATAACCATGGTTTAAGAATGATTCTTAACCACCACCTATTGAACCTCCTCGATATCAAATCAATATTTTCAATATGAATTAAAATGACTATTGTTACTATATTTTTATAAACATGCTGGATGGACCCAGGTGCTGTGTGCTGGCGTCGCGGCCATAACCTGCTTAGAGAGTATGGGCTCGCCTTCAACAATCAGCTCCACACATCTACGGTAGAGCGAAGACGCCACACCGAGGCTTTGATCGAAGTGTGTCCCTCAATTATTGAGCTGCAGTTTTCGGATGCTGCCCAGCTGGCATTGCCCACTTACCCCGACCTCCCCGAGGGGGAGCAAGTCTCGGGTGAAGAATTCGACTTGGTTGGTACGGTGCAGCGCTCTATCCTGGCGAACCAGTTACTGGACCAGCACCGTCTCGAAGCTTGCGACGAACAAAGAGGACACCTCCTCATTGCCTAGGGGTCGACCGCGCTCTGCCGGCGGAAAAAAGACAGATGGCACCACGCTGCAACTCTAGTATGTTTTCTGTCTCAACAACGCTTGTCTTGTTTGACTTACACCTTTGCTAAGTCAGAAGCTCGATGATGCCACATGGGGTCCTGATCAGCAATTTCTCTTTGCTTATACTGGCGTTGTTGATGAGTACCTCGTCATCGACGCCAAGTCCGGCACGTATCTGACTGCTTCGGGTGGTACCTAAGCGTTTTGTTCTCAATGTGGGCTGCGCTAATACTAGACACCCTCTTCTTGTCCAGGCGAGTGGTGCATCACAGATCACAGGAAATCTGATCTCGCCGCAAGAGGAACGAGTACGCTGGAAGGTCAAGCCTGTCAAGGACGACAGCGGGGCGTACTAGTAAGTTATTCCCATGTTCACGAAGTCCTACCGAGACCAAAGAGCTAACCATCCATGGCCAGTATCTATAGTGTCGCCTATCCCGAGAATGTAGTTGATGTGCGAGCTGGAGGGACTGATGATGGGACCGCAATAATAACTTTTCCAAAACGACCCCCGGGCCAGAACCAGCAGTTCCTCTTGAGGAAAGCCACGGAGCAACCATGAAGCACAATTATTGTCTGCAAGTCTGCTCATCTAGCAAGTTGACCAAGTCTTTATATCTATGTTTGGAACACAAGATTTTCATTGAAATGAATATTTTCCATCTTGACGTAGTACAGTAAACAATAGCTAGCTTCTAGACGCAACTGATGCCATTCGTAGCGATCATTTTCAGCGTGATGGTAGTGACTGGCACGAAGCCAAGATCTGGCTGTCCTTTATATCATGGTGGCCAAATGTAGATAGAATGTGTCTTTATGTCCTGTTACGACTTCTTAAATACATTGTTCGAATTCAACTTGGGGAGAGTCCTTCCATATGAGTTATAAGCATATTCTAACACGACCGATAATCTACGTATATAATATTAAGTTATTTAGCTTCTCCTGCATCACCCGAGCCATATTTATGAGTAATAATACTACAGTGGTCGATTAGGGCTTTTCAGCAAGTCTTAAATACAAGAAAACAATAAGAGATTGTTAGAGCGATTAGTTGTCTGGCACTGTTGCTGTAACAGCTGCATCGCAATTTTCCCTCCGCTTATTACGATATGACAGCTGGAGAAAATTTGGTGTCCTTGTTCAGAAAATAAACTCTTAATAGGAAGTAGATTAAATATTAACTATCTAGGACAGCTCTTAATACTAAGGAAGCTAAGGAAGTTCTCTAGATTAAGGATAAGATACCACCTAAAAGAATTTATCTAATTAACAAGCTCTTTTTATAGCTAATATCTCTATTACTCAAAGGAGAATAGTGTACTAGAATACATCTATAATAGTAGTCTTGGTCCTAAACGGTATTCAGGTTCAGGGCCTTTCCTCAAGCCCAGGGTACACAAAATGATGGTAGACGCTTAGATACACCCGTTCGTCGCAGTATAGGCATTTCAGAAGAGCGCGAAGCTAGTAGTAAGGCACAGCTTTCTCACGCGTCTAGGTTCGGCTTGATAACTTGCGTCTCCTGAATAACTCCTTAGGTACGATGCCCCATTAACGCATTTGATTTAGGCACGATGTTACCAAGCATACAGCGTTATGTTGAGAGTAGACGATTCAGTATATGCATTTGCATTGGCTTACCTTTGGCTATCTCTTGGTTCCTCGTTCCAGAGACGGCAGGCCTCAGTGTTTAAGACATTGACAGGGCATATGAGACGAGAATCGCACCACGACACTTCAAGTCTTCCAAGGTGGCAGTCAGTGGAGAGAGCGAACATTGATGAGCTACGTTATATTCTGTCTACAGTTTGGCTACCTCACCCTTACTGGGTTTGGACTCGGATTATTTGGTTTAAGTTCTGCCTTGAGCAGCATACACTCAAGAAACATTATGTTTTCCTCCTTGTTCACGTGTCGACTTCATAAGAATACCCTTAATGGTTTATTTCCCAATCGTCGGTACAACAAAATCATCCATAGGGTAATTTGCTAGCACCTCATGGCGTCATAGTTGGAATAATTACTTTAATTGTGCACGCCACAGGACTCGTAATCTTTGTCGACCTGCAGGTCCAAACAGCAACCTTGATGGTGGTTCTCTTCGCCCTTGGACAATGAGGCGGTTCCATGAAGACGCCTTCTCACGGATTCTTTATGCTCCCTGGAATTGCTAGAGCATTTTCTTCTCTCGGGCACCAAAGTAACCTAGTACAAATCAGACATTATTGAATCATCTCCAAGGCCGTTTGTGCTTAGATTCCGTACATCTACCATGATCTACCGAGTGACAATGCTACTGCAAATCCTTATATTGGCTACAAAATCACAATTTCCCCCTAAATTACAGCTTCCAATCCGACAATTGCCCTACTCTTGTGCTGAGAGGCTGAAGCTGATAGAACGTGCTAGATACCAACATCTGAACGCGATACTTAACATCCCGGAAGTGGTCGAACGATGTACTTTCTATATTTGCAGTCGGCCTACTGCCGTGTTTCATGGCCGATTGCCCTAATTTGCATGGAATCAGCGTCATATGTTGGTTTCGTCCCAGCCTGCAAGTCTCGCACCCTAAACCCCACCATTTCGGATATTCCGGCCTCTTCTTCGACGGGTTATCCGGGGTCGGCAGAACAATCACCGAAATGTTCTAATATCGCCCTCGAAGCTTGTCCATTCTCACATCGGGTCCGCTAAAGTGTTCAAACCATTCGCGCTTCGTATGCTTTGAGCTTGAGGATAAAAGCTCTTTTCCCGTCCGGTCTGCATATGTATTTGCACCGATCCATCTTCGCTTTTCCTCCACGCAAAAACAGAGAAACGTCTTGTTCGACTCATCTCTCACCATGTCTCTCGCCTTCACAAATCAACCGCCCGAGTCGAGGGCCCCCTACGCCATTCCCCAATTGGAAGGCGAACGCATTACTATCCCCGGTAGCAAGGGAACCTTTCGCATTCTTGCATCGTCCAAGCAGACCAATGGATTGATGGCAGTTTTCCAGAGTGGCGCTGTGCTATCTGATGCCCCAGGATTCCACTATCATAACCACGCGCACGACGTCTTTCTTGTAACGAAAGGATATTTGAAACTGTGGAACGGGGATAAGTGTCGGATTATGGGGCCGGGCGATTTCGCATACGTGCCTCCTGTGAGTAGATATCTTGCTTCCCGTTTCGCTAGTGCTTAACTGACAAGGCTCCTTATAGAAAGTAATTCATAATCCCGAGATGCTTGGACCACATACCGAGATCTACGGTCTGATCACCCCCGGCGACTGGGTAGATTTCTTCCGCTATGTCTCGGAACCGTACGAGGGGATCCTTGTGCCCGAGGACGACAACCGTGACCTAAAGTCCATCCTCATCCCCAAAGTCATGGCCGCAAAAGACAAGTTTGACGTCGTCTTCCAACCCACCTACGAACCTCCCGAGGTGGGTGAATTCACTAACGATGACGAGAAAATTCCAGAGGGTCACGAGCCATACTATCTGCGCTCTAACACAGGCCCGAGATGGATGCTGGGTGGTGTGATGTCCAGACCCTTCATCACCACGAAACAAAGCAATGGCGTCTGCGCGATCTCGAGCATTGAGTCGTCCAAGGTGTACAGTGAGGGTCTGCTCTCTAAGCGCATGACCTTCAAGTCTGTAGATCACTGTTTCTGTGTGCTGGAAGGTACTTTGACCGTATGTCTCAAGGGTTCTACTGACACGGTATTCCATGAGGGAGAGACGGTGGTGGTTCCCGCTGGTCAGGCGTTTGCTCTGCGATTTGACAGCAAGTATGTACGGGTGTATTCATTCGCTGATGGAGATGGCATTGAGTCGCTGGTGCACCGGCTCGGAAAGCCGTTTGAGGGATCCATCCTGCCTGACAAGGAGCCCGAATGGGACTACAGTCAAGTGCAGGCTGTGGCTACCGGTCTCAATGTAGAAATTGAACTGTGATCATAGGATTACGCAGTTTCTCATTATGTACATAGGCAAGAATATACAGATGGCATACCCATCGGGAAATAACTGGGGCCTTCATTTGTTCAAGCATAAAAGCGGAGTAGCGGGGAAACGGGGAATCCCCACACGAGATCATGCGACCACCGGCAATTCATCCCGGCTTCTTCGTCGGGATATCCGGCGCATTTTCTTGCCGAACAGAGAAGATCGCGGCCCCTCGTCGAACGTCCATCTATCTACAGCCACGCTTGACAGCGTATTTGAAATATAATCATCTCAATGAACGATACAAAAATGCGTGGATGATGCAGCGTCAGCCTCAACGATCCTCTGCGACCCCCCACAGCGTCCGAAGCGACAACGTGCCGCGCAGGCATGTGACAGGTGTCGCCTGAAGAAATATAAATGCGATGAATTGTATCCCTGCACTCACTGCAAGAGTAAGCTTGTCACATATACTGGCTTCAATATGATAAGAGGATTAATTACGTGCAGAGAACCAGCTTGATTGCGTCTATCAGAGGAATTACCGGCAGCGCGAAAGCGGCCAGTCAGCCAGGTATCTTTCCAATAGTTCCCTCGTTCTGGATAGATAATGGCTCTGTTGACTCTATTAGCTATGTAATCGAACTAGAGACGAAAGTCGAAGAGCTAACCGCAAAGCTGCGCGTGGCCGAGTCGAAACTCATCTCCAACCATGCTCATCAACCGCCAAAAGTTGTGACGCGCTCGAGGCCCCGACCAGCTCCCCGGGCAAGCATCGATGCTACACCATCGTCTATGCCGCCAAACGGAACTACTCCAAGGGAGGCTTTACCGTCGCCCTATGACCCGCAGGAAGAAGCATGCGACACTGTCGAACACGAAATCAGCGAGCTGAATCATCACACCAACGGGATCGAGTTTCACGGCAGTTCCTCATCAGCAGCACTGATAGGGCATCTTCAAACGACTAGGGAGAAAGGCCGCGCCGAAGAACGATGGGATTCTCGCGCCCCAGAGGCGGGGTTTTCGCTGATCTCGACGCTGCATAATTCCAGTTTCTCGCCTTCGTGCACAGTTGGTTCCGCGCAGTTGGCACCACTACAGGATCATAACTATTACTTTGAGCATGCACACGCATTCATCAATGGGTACTTTGAGAATATCCATTTCATCCATCCGTTGATCGACAAGGAGGATTTCTATGCCCGGGCGCGTGATCTATGGTTCAACAAGACCCGGCAGCCGGAGCCGAGTTTTGTGGCTTTGTACCTCAGTGTACTCTCCTTTGGAGCTTTGGTCCGTGTTTGGGACGAGGAGACGCTAGGGGGACTGACGCGGTTTGAATGGAGTCGAAAGTTGTTCAGTGAAGGGCGGGTGTATCTGAATCACCTGCACTTTTCTAATAACCTGGACACAGTCCAGTGTTTATACTTGATGGTAAATGCAGCTTGCCAATTATGATATGCGTCGGGCTAACTTCATCCAAGGCAAAAATATGCCAAAACGAGCTAAATCCTAACTGTGAGTGCCATTCAGCCTCCTAGGTGAACAACTACTGATTAGAGCACGAGTGGCTTATATGTACTTGGGCCTCGCTGTACGTACTTGCTTGGCTGTCGGTTTCAACCGACATGTACGAAATCCAAAGGACGAACAACGTTCGGGCTGGATCTCGAAGACTTGGTGGTGAGTACAAGCAAGCATACTTCAC